CGCGAATCTCGCGGGGCACCTTCGAGGGCAGCACGAGCACGTGCACGGCAGGACGCGCCACCACCGCTCCTTCCGATGCAGCCGCCCCACGCAGCTTCGCTTGCAGCTGCTCGGCGAGCATCTCGGCCGCCTGGATCGCACACGCCAGCCTCGGTCGGTCAGAGCGCGCATCGCGGCCCACGACCACGTACAGCTCTTCGTCGCGCAAGTTGAGGATCGAGATCTTGGTCGATCGCGTCGGCAGCAGCAGGTCGTGCGCTCCAAAGTAGCCGTTGGATGTAACAGGTTGCAGCTGCAGGTCTTGACCCCGGAGCTCGACATCCACCAGGCTTGACGCGTCGGTGCGAGCACCTTTGTCGTGTCGGTGGAACCAAGCGCTGGCATATTCTTGCGACTTGTCGAACACGTTCCAGAAGAGCGCAGCTTCCGACCCCTCCTCCATCTCGACCATGCCTTCGCTGCTGCGAGCGCCGCTCGAGCCAGACTTGGCGAGCGCCTGCGCGAAACGCACCGCGGCAGCACGCACCGCCGTCGACGCGCCCCGTCCATGCCACACACCGAGCGAAGACAGCATCAAAAAGACGAAGCTGTCGCCCGAGCATAGATTGGTGGTCTGCAATTCGACCTGCTGAATGGCAAAGCGCTGACCCGGGCCAGGGCTTGAGCCAACAGCAGCACGGATGTGGTACAGCGACGAGGCTGCCGCGTCGAATCGCTTGCGCGAACCTTGACGGCTGATTGCCCAAGTACCCGAGAGGCTTGCGATCAGCTCGTCTGGTTCGCAGCCTGAAGGGATCATCTCGGGCTTGCAGGCGTATCGCTGAGCAAGCTCCTGGACTTTGCGGCCCTCGGAGCACGACGTCGAGTGAGGACCGTACTCAAACGGATGCAAAGCCGAGGCTTGGCCGGTCCTGACCCAGAGCTTCGTTTCCGTCTGTCCAGCATCCGTTTTGAGACGCTTCACGACAGCGAGTGTCTCGTCGTTATACAAGATCTGTTCGCGTCGCAGCTGCTCGCTTCGCTGGAAGGTCTGATCGCCCGAGAATTCCAGCGCTTCCACAAAGCCATCTGCATCGATCGCCAACACCTCCACAGAGACTGTCTTGACGTTGCTAGAGGCAGCAGAGGTGTGCGAAGAGCTCACCACGTTGGCCAGGATCGCGTATTTGGCAATGGCCGAGCGTGCTGCTTTCACGATCGAAGGAGCGGCGGCAATTGCCTCGCCTCCAGCGAGTTCGGAGCCCAACTCGACGATTTCGAGAGGCGACGGCTTGGAAGCAGGTGCGATTGCGGCAGCCTTTTCGTGCTTGGTTGCGGCCTCCTGTCGATCCAGCTCTTCGAGGTGTCCCTTGAGTACGAGGTCTGCTGCCTGGACGATGATGACGTGCTCGACCTTGTGAATCGCCTGCTCGAGGTCCTCCAGCTTGTACGTCGGCAGTATGTCGACTTCGCGCACGATGATCGGACGACCGCGGTCCACGTCGGCGACGACCTCGTGGACCATGCAGCCGGTCTTCTTGATGAGCCCCTGCTGGTGTGCTTCGAAAGCACGTGGAATGGCGTTGGCACCGTCGAAGGCGCCGGGCAGTGCGGGATGCAGGTTGATGATCGGCACTGCCTTGGCCGGCCTGGCGCCGAGGGTAGGTGTGTTGGCAGGCAGGCTCGTGGTGTGACCGAGAGCATGGAGGAAGGGCTCGGAGACGATGTGCATGAATCCGGCCAGAACGATGAGGTCCGGTGGCGCGCCCGTGCCCTCGGGATAAGGACCGTCGAGTACAGCGCGAGCGAGCACTTGGTCGTACTGTTCGCGGGTGCCACCAGGATTGCGGTTCTGCCAAGTCTTGAGGGCCAGGACTTTGGTGGGGATCGGCGGGTTCGATTCGGCTGCCCTCGTCAGCCCGTAAGCAGCCTTGCGGTTCGAAAGCACAAACGAGATCTGTGCGTTTTCGATAATCGGAAGGCCGGGAGGTGGGTCGAGCAAAGTAGCATCAATCAACGATTGCAAGTTGGAGCCCGATCCGGACACGAGCACATGGATGCGCTTGCCGGAAGTCCTTCGTGGCGGCTTGGGTGCCGACACGGGCTTGGAGCTTTCCTGCACTGCTGGCGTGGAGGCAGCCTTCTCAGCAGAAGGCGTCGGAGCAGGCATCACGTCCGCTGGCGATGGGCTTGCTTTAGCTTCCGTCGGGGCTCCTCGTCGGATGGGTCCCTTTGCCCTTGCTTTGGTCAGAGGCGTCAGGACCTGATCAGCGGTCGATGTGCCCTGACCAGGAACATCGACGTTGGAGCCGATGGTCGCCGCATCCGTGGTGACGTTCCTGTCGGCAGAGCGGGCGAAAGGACTCACACTGGCACCCATGCCAGGCAGTCGGATGGGCTCCGCTCGCGGCTCGGCCGTCATCTCCGCTTTCTTGGAAGGAGACGAGAGCCACGGGCTGGAAGGGGCTTCCTTCGTCGGCGAGCGTCCGGCAAGGCCAGGAAGCGCATTGCCGTATTTAGTAGGCGACCACGGAGATCCAGCCTTGCGTTCGTCGGAGTTGGAGCGCACAGGAGACATGTTTGTCTGAACAGCGGGCGGCCATCGATCCCGAACGGCGGGACTCGAAGGCACGCTGCGGCCGGCAGAGCCGACCTGCATTGCATCGTACTCCTTTTGAGCAACCGAGTCGCGCAGCTGAGCTTCCTTGATACGCTGGCCGACCATCTTCTTGGCGCTCAGACGCGAGAGCGAGGCTGTCGGCATGCGGTCGGCACCCGACAGCTCGCTCGCGGCAAGGCTGGCGGAACGGCTGGATGGCTGCGATGCCGCCGTGTCGGATTGCTCCGTGGACTGAGTCCATCCTCTGCCCAGGCCGTCATCTGGCTTGGGCTGCGCACGTGCAGCAGCAACCACTCCAGTGGCAGAAGGGTCTACAATGTCCTCGGGCTTGAAAGGACTCGTGGCAGCATCCTTGCGCTCGGTGGAATGCGCTTCGGCGTGCGAGCTGGAATGCGCCTTGGGAATTGGGAGCGGGCGAGACGTAGAATTGTTGGGTGCCACGATCCCAACACTCTCGTCACGCACTGGAGACGGTGCCAGCGAGCCTTTGAGTGGCGAAGCGGGACGATCCAGCAGGGGCGAGGCGGAGGCGCTTTCGGCTGCCGTGAATCTGTGAAACTTGGAAGGACTGGAAGCGCGAGGAATGACTGGAGATGGTGGAGCACTCGTGCGTGGAGTGTTCTGCTTCTCCATCAGCTCCAGATACGCCTTCTTGGGCGATGCGGGACGGGCCGATGCGGCGTTTCCGAATGCGCCGGTCTGATACGAAGGCGGGTCTGTCGCGGTTCGCAGTGGCCGACCGAGCTCAGCAGAGGCGTATCCATACTTGGCAGGACTGCTGCTGGCCTTTGTCGGCGAAGCGGGTGTAGGGGAGTCCTTGACAAGCGATGCGGGGGCGCCGTCTCCCGTCCTTCGTTTGCCCGAGGCGTCTGCTCGCTCCTCGAGGAAGCTGGCGAGGGAGCGGCCCGAATGCGGCGACATGCCGGGCAGGGGCACCCTACGACTCTCGTGGATGAGCTCCGCCTCGGGAGGAGCACTCTTTCCGTCCCCGGCCAGCTTGCCGAGGCGAGGACCGGCAGCCTTTCCGCCCATGAAGTTGGCGAGGGAGACCGGCGATTCATTGGGGCCTCGCGGTCCCGCTGCAATGCCCGTGGGACCGTACTGTCCACCATACCGAGCGAGCAGGGAATTGGCACGCTTGATGCCTGTCACTCCCGACGCCTTGGGAGGGGAGGCGTCGAGCAGCGGCGAAGCCGAAGGTGACTGGGAGGCGTCGGGAGGCGCCATGGCAGCGGCAGCAAAGCTGGGAGGATCGAGGGAAGGCGTCGCAAGGGGCGAGTTGGACTGGGACGAGATGCCACGGATGCCAGAAACCGAGAGGCGATCTCTGCGCTGCTGTCGCTCGAGCCTCTGTCGTTGGAACTCCTGCTCCAGCTCGGATGCTGACGAGGTCGGTGCTGTATCCGCAAGACCCGAGGATCCTTGGATGTCGCTGGACGTGGCCGAAGCTGAGCTGCGTTGGCGCACTTGGTCAACCCAAGACGCAAGGTCCTGACTCGTCCCGTCGGAAGCAGAAGAGACGTTCTCGGATGATCCCGAGGCGTTGGGCGTTCGTTGAGACGAAACGTGATGGTGGGAGAAGGACATGATGAAAGCGGGCCCAAGGTCAGACACTCGGCGTGGCCTGGCAGACGGGCGTGGGATGGTCGCTGCAGGAGTGTGACATGAAAAGGTTGTGATCATACAGAGGAGGTCTCCTCGCTCTCGGGACCCCTTCACCGCCAGAAGTCGAGGCGAGGCTTCGACGCTCGGCTCGGCTTCGGCCTGGGTCCTCTCGCTGCGCGTGATGAGACGAAAAGACGAAAATCGTTGTCGTGCCTCTCTGCAGTTACCTTTCGCATCTGACGACCTTTTTCCACCCAACAAAACAGCGCGTCCGAGGGAGCGTGCCGCTTTGACCTCCTAAAGATCTGAATCTGAAACTGCATCGGGGGATCAACACGTTGAGAGAGGGGCAGACGACAAACGCTCCTCCAACTTCCAGGCTGCGGGGCTCCCGCAATGACCCCTCAAAGGGTCTCCTATTCTCTGTGAGCCTCCTCGCGGCCCTTTGGGCCTTGCAGAAGGCAGCCGTTCTTCAGCTGGATGGGCAGGTGTTCGCTCCGCATGTCTCGCCAGCTCGATTCTTGTTGCTTCCTGCGAACGACTGAACGGCAGATACCTAGGCGACTTGGCGCGGAATCGGTGACGAAAAGGGAGTGAAAATGTTGCCACAAAATCCCCATCTTAGGCTCAACTGCTGCCAGCTGGTTGTCCAGAGTGCCCGTCAGATTGACAGGGCACGGACAAAGTCACATCTGGACGGAAGTGCCGTGCCGGCCCTGTCTCGCTCGGAGAGAATCGAACGCTTTCTGCGTGAATGATGCGAAGGCGTGAGCATGGGCGCGAACTCCGGCACGCCATGAACAGCTTGTCGGATCACCCGGTCAATTCACAGCCTGGCTTGGTATGATATCAGGCCATTAAAACCAACGTACTGCGATGACGGATACACAATGTGATACAGAGGAGCGGATGTGGCGGCGCCTCGGGACATCCGTACTTGCAGCAAGATCTTCCCATCGACGCCAGTGGCGCGTTGGTCACGTCGGGCATGCCGACAAGGGCCCTGCCGGCGCTCGACCGCCTTGATCCGTCCTGCAGCGGCATGAAGCGGCTAGGCTGGCTTGCACCTGCCAGTCGGGTTCTCTTGCCGTCGAGTCTTCGCGTCGACGCCCTCGAGCCCCCGACACGACGAGCTTCGAGCAAACTCAAAACACAGCCAGGCCAGCCCGCGGCGGATTTCGATAAAAACCCGGGAGAAATCAGCAATTACTCGCGGACGGGCCCGACACGCGACACGCTGATTTGCATGGCCACCTCAGCGGCGAAATTCGAGCTCCACACCTCTTTGGCTCTGCACACCACCACCTCGAAATCCACCGATTCGACAATCCATCCATCCGCTCACATCTGCGACGCCATCCCATCCCACCACCGATCGTACCGACCATCCAGCTTATTTGAAACATGTCTGACCCGAGAGCAAAGGGAGGCAAGGGCGGCAACGCCAAGGTGGAGCCCAAGAAGCAGGTCACGCAGTCCGCGCGTGCCGGTCTCCAGGTGAGTATCCGCGCTCTTCCGATATCCGCGGCGACATCCTCCCGCCATCCATCCGCAATCCCTCGGTTCATACGCCGGCCGTGCTCGCGATCGTCCCAGCGCCGATCTTGGTCACCGCTCGGCTGCAGTTCTGGCGCCAGAGATCTCCTTCCGCCTGTCTGGATCCTGCGTCATGCCATCCATCCACCCAGCATCGACGCGTCGAAGCGGCGAAGGCAGCTCGGGCGACGCGTCGCTGGTCCAAGCGAGTCCGTTGGAGCCCGTTGCGCGAGCTCGTTGTCGCTCTGACGCGTCCGAGTCCCCACAGGAACGTTGGCGGCCAAGCAAGGCTGATATCAGCGACTCAGTCTCCATGCCCGGTTGTTGTCACCTCGTGGCTCGGATCGACGCAGGTTGATCGATTGGAGATGGCATCCGTGACATGAGGCGAGTGGCAGAGCGGAATCGTGTCGTTGGTGACGATGCGGCCAAGCACTCGTCCAGACGACGCAGAGCTCGAGGCGGCTCGAGGATTCGGACGGGTCCGACTGGCCGCAGTTGTGCTTGGCGTCCTGCAAAGACTGGGCAATGCTGACCTTATCCACCTTACCATCATTCCTGCATGTCTCCGCACTCTCTGTCTTGATTGAACGCAGTTCCCTGTCGGTCGTATCCACCGTCACCTCAAGAACCGCACGCAGAACCACGTCCGCATCGGTTCCAAGGCCGCCGTCTACACCTCGGCGATCCTGGAGTACCTCACCGCCGAGGTGCTCGAACTTGCAGGCAATGCATCGAAGGACCTGCGCGTGAAGCGCATCACGCCGCGACACTTGCAGCTGGCGATTCGAGGAGACGAGGAGCTCGACTCGCTGGTGCGCGCCACGATTGCCGGAGGTGGTGTCCTGCCGCACATTCACAAGACGCTCATCAAGGCGCCAAGCAAAAAGAAGGCTTCGGCAGCGGAGTAGGCATCTTGACATGGCCTGCGCCTCGAGATCCGATGGGTGGGATATCCTCTAGCCCATCTCCTTGATTCTCGCTTGCGACGACGCCACGTTCCGGCCGACTCTGTTCCTCTCTCTCTCTTGCTCGCGTTTCGACCTTTTTTGTATGTTTTGTACTGTAGTATCCCCTGACGAATCGATTTGTAGCGCTGCTCTGCGCTCGCGTACTGTTGCAATCTTGACTCGTGTCCCGGAATCCTTCTGACCCAGCGCAAGTAAGGCAAGCCAGCACGAATGTTTACATGAACGAGTCGTCGCTGTCCATGCCATCGTCTTGGTGGTCGTCGCCGCTGCCGGATGCATTGCCGTCGAGTTTGGCGAGCCTGCGTTCTTCCTTACGTCGTCTCTCCTCTTCCATGGCCTCGGCGGAGTATACTGGAATCGATATCGGGAAAGGTCAGAGGCGTCAGGTCGCTGACAGGAGCATGTCATCGCTGGCTGGTGGCACTCACGCTTCGAGTAATCGCGCGCTTCTGCTTCCTCCTTGCGGCGCTTTTGTTCGGCCTGCTGTGCCTTTTTCTGAAATTTCAAGGGAGGAGCGTTCAAGAGGGTCAGTATGGTGATCTCCGAGGCAGCTCGGTCTGCTGAATGAAGAAAGGAGGATGAGATCCGAAACTCACATCCTCGATGGCTTTCGCCTTCTTGACACGGCCTTCGTCGCGCAGACGCTCTTGACGCTCAGCCTCGTGGTCGACCTGCACCTCCTTCTTGGTCTTGTTGAGGCGGTTGACGATAGCATTGTCCTTCTCCTTGATGTGGAAGCGCTTGACCTTGCGGTCGTTGAAGAAGGTAACGGCACCGACGGCCATGTCGCCCGTCTTCTTGATGTTGGACCAGGGCGTGTAGATGATGGTGATGTTGGCTTTCTTGTTGCCCTCGATGGAGTTGGCTTTGACTAGCTGGGAGCAGTCGTTGACAAGGGCCTCTGGTATTGTCTCCCAGGACTCGATATTGGGTGGGAGGCGCAGGTATACGTGCGCGGAAGAGAGCTTGTCGACGTGGAACCACACATCGCGTTCAAGGCCATACCTGAGGAGTTCTTCGTTTTCGAACTTGTCCTTGCCCACATAGATGGTCGCTGGTGGCTCGACCGCCGTGGATGTGAAGTAGAGCACCATGATGGACAATGACTTGGCAGATCGAGCTCAGCGGCTTAGAAGCGAAGGGAGAGGATCGTTGGAAGAAGGAGGAGGCTGTGAGGCTTGGCTGGGAGCCGTCAAAATCCTCCAACTCGAAGTGTGGAGGTAGTCACGTGCTTAGGCTGGGCCAAGTTGCGAGAGCGGCAGCGCGAGTGCGGCGGCAGAGCAGTGGACGGACGCGTAGCGCTGCAGGTCCGCTTGGAAATTTGGTGTTACATTTCGGAGAGGCCGTGTGTTGTTCTCAGTCGGCTCAAGTCTGAGGCTGCAGCTTTCTGCGCTGCGTACCGTCCATGTTCTACCGCCCCCTGCCAGTCAAAGACCACCATCATCCCCAAATCGCCTGCCCCAACGCCGAAAGGAGGACCTCGCAGCCTACTCTCGTCGGTCTTCTTTCCCGTCGTTCCTCAGAATCACTAGCACCTTGCGTCGACGGCCATGGAGGCTCAAATGGCAAATCTCCACCTTGATGGCGGCGCCGACCCTAAACAAGCCTCCCGCCCCTCGCACGCGCAGGCTCATGGCAGGAGCGCGCATCCTCCGAACGCTGCCATGAGGCCACTTGCTCCCTCGAGCTCCATCGCGTCCAACATGGGCATCAACGGTGGCGTCAACATGCAGCACTTTAACCGCATCGCTGCCTCTGCAATGGGCGGCGGGGCTGCGGTCTCATCCACCGGGCTCACCAACGCCAACAGCATCGTGCAAGGCATGAGCCGCGGCGCTCCATCACACATGCAGCCACTCAATGCTGCGAGGCCAAGTGCACAACAACCGACCCACGGGCACAGCAACCTCAAGAGTCGACCTCCAAGTGTGGCGGGAACCTCTGCTGGCGCCGCGGGCTCATATCGCGCCCCAAATGCTCTGTCTCATACATCACAATCCACCAAGGGAAGCAACATGCTCGAGGCAAGCTCGTCCAGGCCGCCAACTCAGAATGCCTCCTCAGCATCCTCGGCACCAACCGTCGACCTCGGCCGCTACGATGGCGGGCTGGAGCGCGACGAGGCCCGCGGTCGCAGAGGCACCATGCAGTTCGATCCGCTCGTCTTGTCCTCGGCCGATGCGGGCAAGTCGCATCCACCGACGCGAGTGTGGTCGCTCAACGACTTTGAGATGGGTCGTCCGCTCGGCAAGGGCAAGTTCGGTCGCGTCTACATGGTCCGCACTCGCGGCGGTCCCAACAAGGGCTACATCATCGCGCTCAAGTGCATGTACAAGAACGAGCTCGTCGAGAACAAGGTCGAAAAGCAGCTGCGTCGCGAGATCGAGATCCAGATGAACCTGCGCCATCCTCATATCCTGCGTCTCCACGGATACTTCCACGACGAAGGCCGTGTCTTCCTCATGCTCGAATTTGCAGGCCGCGGAGAACTGTACAAGCTCATGAACAAGCTTCCCGACCGCAGATTCGAGGAGAAGGTCGCTGCAAGCGTAAGTTCTCCTCCATCGATAAACCCTCTCGATCCTCTTATTGACGTTCCATTTCTTGTCTCGCCTGCTTCATTCCGCTGCTGCAGTACATCGCCCAGATGGCAGACGCGCTGTCGTATCTGCATAGCAAACATGTGATCCACCGCGACATCAAGCCCGAGAACCTTCTGCTTGGCATCAAAGGCGACCTCAAGATCGGTGACTTTGGCTGGAGCGTACATGCGCCAGGCAATCGCCGTCAAACGCTTTGCGGCACGCTCGACTATCTTCCTCCCGAGATGGTCAACGGTGAACAGCACGACAAGGCTGTCGATCTCTGGGCCCTCGGCGTCCTATGCTTCGAATTCTTAGAAGGCGTTCCTCCCTTTGAGGAGCTCGAAAACGCTCCGGGTATGTCTCCGATTCGGCCATCGATCCGTGTGCCCGACCACTTGTACTGAACTGCTTCCATCCGACTACTCTACAGCCGGCACTTATCGCCGCATCAACAACATCGACTTCAAGATCCCACGTCACTTTAGCCCGGAAGCTGCTGACCTGGTACGCGCAGTACGTAGACTCTGTTTCCATGACCGCAATCCTCTTTGCTCCGACCATTTTTGACTGACCGATGACGATCGACGCTCTTCTGTGCTCCTTTTACCGTTCCAACAGCTCCTCAAGAAGAAACCAGACGACCGCCTTCCACTCACAAAAGTGCTGCGCCATCCCTGGATCATGAAGTACGACCCGGACGCCTGCCGTCGCGCATCGCGCGGCAAGATCCAGTAGTCCTACCTAGGCGGAATGTTCATGGCTTGGTAGCCTGCCGCCAGATATCAGCTTTCTGCATTCACAGCACGCACCACGCTCATTGCTCGTATGGAATTGCATCACATGTCACCAGCTCTCGTACGCCCATCCACCACAGCACGGCTAGGCAGCCACACCGAAGGGGTTCGATCAACCCTGAGTGCTGCCAGCGCCTTCTTCGGGCTGGAGGATCAGCTCGAGCAGCCGAATCGCCTCATTGTCTTCCAGAACGGCTTGCTGCTGGTCATCTTCATCGCTCCCGAGGTCTAGCTGCAGGAGCCTTCGCACGATCGCCTCGTCCTGATCGGCTTCTGATTCGTGCCAGGCGCGCAGGCCGACGCGGCAGATGTGCTCCGCGAGCTCGACGACCGAATCGGGCACACCGCAGAGACGTGCGCAGTGGCACGCGTGCGACGCCCCCGCGAAGCCAGGCCTCAAACGGTACAGATACGTGAGCGACTTGAACGACTCGGCCAACATCGGCAGCAGGATGGTCTGCATGTGTGCCCGCTCGATCGGCAGGTCCACCGGAAAGTGCCTCTCGATCGCACCTGCATGTCATATCGCGAGGCGGGTCAGATCTCGACCACTTGCCTGTCTTTGGCGTTGATAGCTTGGGGTGACTCACGAAGATGATGGGTGGCGGATATGACGATCGGACACTCTGACCCGCGCTGCAGAAAGTCGTAGATCGTGGCAATGAAGAGTCCGGCTCCATCTACGCAAAACGGCCCGTACGGATGGTCAATGTTCCATATTTTGCTTATCTGGCATGCTTCGAATCGAGGCGACTCACCATCGCTGCGGCATTCTCTTCCCACTTCGTCCAGAATGACAAGGCTTTTCTCGGTGGCCATCGACATGGCTCGGTGCAGGCGACCCAGCTCCCGCGTAAACGAGCTTCCTTCGCTCGATACCGACTCGTCCTGCTTCATCCGCGTCAGGACTTGTACCGGATCAGGGTGTCAATATTCGAACACGCCATGCCAATTCTGGTAGACGACGAGTCGCCTTACTTTTGTCAAAGACACCCAGCTCGGCGTAGGTAGCAGGGACAAAACAGCCGCACTGGCTCAAGAAGCTGTCGGCCAAAAACGGATCAGCTATACTGCGTTCTCGGCCGCCTTGGGCTATAGATCGGCTCTTACACAGCTAGTGCCGCCTGCTGCAGGAGACAGCTTTTGCCCGACGAGTTGCTGTGCAGCCGGAATGTTGCGCTTGTTACCAATCGAACCGTTCTTGTATACTGGGCCATGGGTCTTCACTTACGCTCCGGTAAGAACCATGACGCTGAACTTGTCTCTCGCACTGACAGAAACTTGCGAAGGCGGCAGAGATGCAGCCTCAATGCTCGGCGGAGGTTCAGTACCCTCGCGCGAGCCATCACGGGCGTCTCTGGGTCTAGATCTGGTCTCGTTGCGATCATGCGTCACTCCGCGGCCCCCTCGGAGCTCGAGATCGTTTGGAACCTGGTGTTGAGCATGTGAAGCGTCAATTATAGGGCACCGCTTATCCGTCTTTCGCTTACGATTTCGACATACGAAGCTTTCATCCGAAAGAGCTTTCAGAGCATGACGGCTGCCCTTGAGCTTGATCACCTGCTCCTCTACAAGATTTGGGCCTGAGGTGCCAAAGGACGAAGAGGACAGCAGCAAAGGACGTCAGTACTCTGGTCGCCTCACAGTGAGCCCGAATACAGCACTCACGGCGCAGGTCATAAAGAGTTGCTGCCCTAGCGAATGCCATGAGGCTAACAGGGGAGAGGTCCAGGCCAGAATCAGTCATGTACTCAACCGGGCTGACACCGACGTGAAAAGCAGCTTACCAGTCGAGCTGACAAAGGGCACAGTGGGCAGCGAGCAGATCCGTGATGCTGTCATCGAGGACGGCGTGGAGACCGTCGAGCAGCTCAATCTCTCGATCGACGATGAAAGAAGAGACATCTCCAAGCTGCAAGTCAGACGTGTCAGCATCCATGAATTCTCGAACCAAGCATGTTGCAAGCTCTTGAGCTCACTTGTTGATCCATATCGGTCATCAGGTTGTTTTTGAGGTAGACGCTGTTCTCGCCGATAAAATCATAAGAGTGAGCGTCTGGACCACATTGCGAGAAACCCGACGCGAACTCACGCCTCTTCGCTGGCAAACTGATGCTCGAGTGTAGCATCGTATTCGGTGCCGACCGTGTCGCCCCGCGGTACCACAATGAGATAGCCTATCTGGGGAAAGTAGACGACATGGATGCTGAAGACCAAAAGGAGGCAAGTTTGAGGCACAAGTTAGATCTTCACGACCCGATAACGAGGCTGCAAGACATGGATTTGGACTCGACTTGCCTGGTGACCGAATGAAATGCCGGTTGTTCCTTGACTTCAGCAGCCACCCGTTCGAGCAAAGATGGAAGAGTCGCGGAGCACTCCCTTAGCTCGTCAAGATGGGCGTCGACACCGGCTTTAAGGGTGATCTTGCCCTCGTTTTTGCTTTAACAAAAGCAAGTTGTCGATTGCAGCCTCAAGTTCAGCAACAGGGATGAGCCTCAACAAGTAGGCGAACTCGGATTCACCCACCTCTCTTCAAAGTCGATCTACGATCAGGGGTCAACGTCGTTATCAGAATCGGGTAGTGCAGACAAGGTAGTGCGGAGCCTCGGACTGACCATCTGTTCTATCGTATCTCCTAGCTTCACCATTGTTTCCGGACGGAGCTGGTCCTTTATCTATACAGACTCATCGCCAACAAGCTTCAGCCATATGCCTCGTCAACAGCATCGCAAGAGATCCAGAAAGGCGGCATCCCCCGAGACTTACCTCGCGAAGGAGTTGAGAGGCGCTCAGGTTCAGAGCATTGAGCTCCGTGCGAATGCGAAGAATCGCGTGGCAGGTCTTACGAAACGCTTGGCCACTTCAGATACTTGGACATGAACCACTCGGCATTGTCTGAAACCGAGTCACCTTACCTTTCGCAACTTGTCCCAGAGAGAAGCAGATCCAAGACCCTTATTGAGCTGGTGACAGATCTGTGGGATCTTGCCGAGCTCCGCAAGGCGGGAACGAATCTCGATGATCTCTGAATACGCCTCGTGCCTCACCAGAAGCTCCACTGCGTCGTGTCTTCGCTGGATCTCTGCACGATTGGCAAGCGGAAGCATGATCCACCTTTGGAGAAGGGGCATCGAGGCTGTAATAATGTCAAAGCATGACGTGAGCGTCAGAGATATTGTTCGACATGAAAGCCTGCCGGCCAATGGAACAAGAGGAGAGGGCGGCGGAATCGCACCTTTCGAAGAAATCAAGTTGAGCATGGCTGCCGAGTGACGTCGTATCGAATCAGACGACGAAGAGGGTGAGGTCAACATCTGGATCGCCGTTCAAAAAGACGAGTGTACAACTCACCAAGCACAGTGAAGCCTTCTCTACCAGCCTTTGCATGCACAAAGGCGTGGGGGTCGTTTGAGCAGATGCTCATGCTGCGGAGCGTGTTTTCATCGACAAAGAGGTACTCGTTCAACGACAAGACGGAGAGGAGTAGAGACCTTCCGACGTCTAGGCGACTGCGCAGGCCGGATAGAAGGGGCCCGACCGCGCAAATCTATCAACAACGACGGTGCGGCAAGGGACAGGTCAGCTCCGAAGCGTAGTTGGTGACGGCGCAATTTGACGTCCCGGACGCGGCTCGCTTCGACTTACCGAAATCGTGGCCTTGGAGGTGGAAATTTTGGCGTCGGTGAGCACCGCGCTCGACAAAAGACCTTCACCATCGATAGTCAAGGCGTCGGTGCAGGCTGTGACCTCGGCGATGCCAGCCAAGCCGAGAGCCAATTGAAAGTCACGCGCCGGCCGGACTTCAACTGAACCATGTCTTTGGTCGGCTGAGCGTCATGGCGTGATCAATGAGGGCGATCAGCACGCTTTCGATAGACCCGAAACCTGTCTCACACTCGCTCCCAAGGCACAAGACTCACAAAAAGTCTGCAACACGGCTAGAAGGGGAGCCGGGCAGGTCGAAGATGCCAGGATGATGTCGGGATGAAACTGCGACAGCACTGCCCTCATCTCGACGTGCCAACAGAGAGAAGGAGGTGGTCAGTGCAACAGCGCGGGTCCAGGAAGTGCCGGGCGATCTGCTGCTCACAGCTTTCAAGGACGCTTGCCGCGGGGCCATGCACTGTCGCAGTGGTCTTTGCAGCAATATCAGCACTCATCTGGTCAGGATCATGGTCCGCGTTTTGCAGCGGAGCTGGATTCTCCTGCTGAGAAGAGAAGAAGTCGCACGGCAGATCCTCGCAGAGCAAGAGCTGCTGCTCCTCCTCTACAAAGACAGCGCAGCCGAGATGACCTCTCTGAACATGAATCGCGACTGCCGAAAGTGAAAGTTCTCTCAAAGCGGTGCTGGCACGATCCCCTTGGTCGTGTGTCGCTGCTCGGGCGTTGGCGCTCGGAGTAGTGGCGTTGACTACATCTGAAGGTGGTGCAGAGCTCATCGCGGCGTCAAGTGCGAAGCCTTTGTTGAGCCGTGGCTTATCTCGACCTGGGTGGGTCTCGTAGAAAGCTGCATCTTTTATGATTTCCAGGAGAGCCCACCAGATCTGCGTCCATTGTCTCCAATCGGACTGCATCACTTGCATGCAACGACAAACTCTGAGTCATGCGACGATTGGTCGCATGTCACGCAAGTCGTGGAGAGGAGGACATGGCATGAAAGGTGGTGGGAAAGAGGGAGCGTGGGAGCATCGGCTCGACGCCGAAAGCGCCGCTTCGCGGACAATCCGAAGAAGGGAGGAGATGGACGGGGAAAAAAAAGAGCCAATACTCGAGGGCACTAGCGACAGATTGCGATGTACCCTTGATTGTTGTGGGCTGCGGTTTCGCCGAGCGACATGCGGAACAGATCCTCCACGGAACCTGGCTAGGACGAGCCGAAGACGCAAGTCTAGCTCATGAGGGTATCAAGGCAGAGCGAGCGGTTTCTGCTGTGAACCGCATTAAGCGGCCCCACTGTGCAGGAGCCGGAAGAACGCAATGCATCCAAGATTTTCATGTGGTGGGCGGTTCTGTCTGCATGAATTGACGACGCTGCTCTCGATGCCACTGTGAAAGAGATCCGCAGAGTCGGAACTGCCGATTCCAACGTTGTGGGAGCCGGCGCGTGCTGCTGGTGCATGTTGAAATCGCCAGCCGAAGTCCACGCTGCTCTGCTGCAAGTTGCCTTAGGTTGGGCCGAGCACGCGCGATATGCATGCTCATGTCCATTGTTCTCGTCGGAGCCATCCGCTTCTAATGGTGCCTCCTCTGCAGATACAATGTGAATGAGGCGTACTTTTCTCCCACTCTCATCATGGCGCCCTTCCACTCTGAGACTGCAGCATGTGCGCCACCTCTGAGCCAAGTTACTGCGAGCGAGGAGAAGCCGTCGAGTGGTCGTTGACAAGTTGAATGCAAGTCGACGAATCCACTATTCCGCCCGGCCAGCAATTCAGGCTCCAGTGCCGCCGCCTCCCAGATTAGGCCGCCCCGGTCCTGCAGGCGTGCGGTAATGTAATTTGATGGGCTCTTTCATGTGGAGGTTCGCTCGGCTTCCCGCCCAAGTGCATCGAGAGCCTATTGTTGTCGACGTGACTACGAGTGTGACAGAAGTTGTGACTGTATCGCCCGGCTCTTCAGTTCCAAGCGTCTACAGCGGTACCATACTACTGCCCTAGGAGACGTTGCGACTTGTTTGGCGCCAAACCTCGGACCGGTGATGTGCAGAGTCGGAGCGCTTCCGATCCCGCCACAGAAAAAAAAAAAAAGAAAAAAAAAAGTCTCCTGGAATTTCCTGTCGAGGCGACGCAGCCTTTTCCTCACCCAGCCCAGCAATTCCCGCAAAGGCCCCTGCGACAAAGCAGCTCCGCCGTGCCTCTGCAGCCCGGTTGTTTCGCCGCTACGAGTCGGAATCCGCGCTGCCATCGGCTGCCACTGATTGCCACTGTTCGCCACTCTGCCTGCTTGCGTGCTCAACCGCCTCACGTTCCAGAAGCGGGCGACGCACCCCAGCCGATCCGCTACCGATTTTGCTCGGCGACCGGCTTCTCGGGCCACACTTCTGAGGCTCAGCCCCCTCCACCACCTTGCCTGCATCTCCCCCACCATCCACTTCGGACCCAGTCCATAGGCTGGAACCATCCGCGCTCCCGGCAGCGCTACCTAGAACCTGCATGGCGGCTCGCGGCTGGAGCGCTTTCGACCCAATCACACACGCACGCCTTTGATGCGAGTTGGCTCGTGAGTCGATCTGCCTACCGAGCGTAGAGCTTCCTCCAGCCTCCCTTCTGTCCTGAGCAATCGCTCCGCCTCTGGACCGCACCTCCTAAGCGGCTGATACGGCAATCCATCCGTGCTTCCGCCTCGTCTTGCGCTCGCGGCTCAGAGACCTCTCGCCCAGCCTTGCGCGCTGTCCATCTCTCGGTGGACGCAGAGTAGCGGGCAGGCTTTCATCAGCGAACCGCTCCCGGACGCAACTTCCTCAAAAAGCAATGGCGCGTGGACTCGAATCGTCCCAACATACACGAGAGGGACTCATCCAATTCGCACCCCGCACGCTTTAGCTACATCTGCTTGAACAACATTCCTCGCGATCATAGCTGCCCGTGATGGCCAGACGACCGCCCGTAAACGACCACCTTGTGGCTCGTGACCCACAAGCAAGAGCGGATCCACATCGTTGGCAGTCTGCTGTCCCGCCAATCGATTCCACTTCCGCTCACGCCGGCCCCTCGCGCCACACCTTCGACTATCAAGATCGACCCGACCCTGGCTGGAACGCGGATGTATTCCGGAATGCTCGCCCTTCTATCGCACCGTACGGCTGGACGACGGCCGACGAGCGCGACAACCCGAACGCGGGCGACGGTCTTCTCTCCGCGACAGCCATAGGCGTCAAGCCTAACGCACCCATGCCCGTCCCGGTTCGACCGGGGTATGAACCGGCACCTCCTCTGCACCCCTCCTCGGCACATGAAGTGCACGCTCGTCGCGTTTCCGCCGAGGAGTGGCAGTATCGCCAACCTACCATACCGCCGACTGGTGCCCTGCCTCCCGTGATGTCAGGCGCCGTGCGTCCCGACCCACAGCCACTCGCCACGCCGGTCGCTTCGCCCTGGCCGACTCCGCAAGCGCCTTCCACCACCGAAGCGGATCCACCACGCGCAAGAGTAGCTTGCAGCTTCTGCCGCCTTCGCAAGTTGCGCTGTGACGGCGCGACACCCTGCCGGCACTGCGAACGGCGCAACATCGACTGCGTCTACGCATCTGCCAAGGGAAAGGCAAAGACCTCTTCCGAGTCCTCCACGAGCCCCCAAAAGGGCGATGGGACCGCTGCTGCTGCCGCTTCATCAGGCGGCCAAAAGGCCGAGCGAATGGAAGTACCCCAAGAAACTGGCGACGGGCGTCAGCGTGGAACCAAACGAGCGGAGCATCCAACCCAGCTCGATGGCACAGATCAAGACCCCTCGACTTTGTCAGATGCGTGCCGGCAATCCACAAAGAGAAGCAGACCTCCGAGGCAAACGCCATCTGTGCTATCGCCCGCTACCTCGAATACGAGCTCTAGCTCCACTTCGCCAAGCCAGTCAACTCCCAGCAGCAGCATGCCCGGCTCGGACCTTGCCATGATTCAGAACAACGATCCACGCATACCGATGGATCCGCATTTCGGCGGCCAGGACGGCTGGTACGATGCCTTGCTCGGCATGCTGGGCAAGTCGCGACCCCATTCGATCAAGCTGGTCAAGCACCTGCTGACGCGCTTTGTCCAATCCAACGCCGTCTTCTTTGGTCTCTTGCACGCGCCTACGCTTTTTGGCGTCATCATGGGCGGTCAAGCCCACGTGCGCGCCGATCCGGCGCTCTACCTCGCCGTGCTCGCGGTCTCCGCTTGCGACATGCACCAGGACCGCATTGCCGACGAACGCACGTCGGACATGCGCGCAGCCAACGAGTCTTCGCGCAAGCTCGCGCAACGCCTCTCGGAGATGGCGGCCACCTATCTGCAAATGTCGACGGCACGCGGGGCGCTGCTGACGGCGTCGACGGGTCAGGCTGCCAGCATCCTTGCGCTGACGCAGCCGGACGGGAGCACGGAGCAGACGACGCTGGTGCGCATGGCGGAAAACGTGGTGCGCACGCTCAAACTGCACGAGACCGTGTCGCAGCGCGAGCCGCTGCTGCAGGACAGCGAGCCGGACTCGCCGCTGTACTGGTCGCGGCCGCTGGCGTCCGAGTCGCCCGAGTCGGAGGTCAAGTACGAATCGATCGTGCGGCTGTGCTGGACGGGCATCAGCCACCGCTTCCGCAAGTACATCGCCAAGCCGGACGAGGGGTTCGGCGATACGGAGCTGCCCGAGTACATCCAGAACATCCGGCCCATGGCGTTTTGGCAGCCGAGCTTGCTGCCCAAGGACCTGCCGCCGCCTTTCTTCCACTCGCAGGACCTCATGCGTCGCTCGGCGCATCTGTCGCGCCTGGCTGTCTCGCTGGCGGGGCTCGAGCGGCTGAGGGAGATCGGCGAGGCAGGCACGCCCACCGACGAGACGCTGGATAAGGTGAGGGAGATCCTGCGCTCGCTCGATGGACTCGAGAGTGCCTTTGTACGCCACCGCCCGCGCTCGGATGTGGAGCGGCAGAACGTGCTGGGTCGGACGCTGCAGATGTTCTGCCGGATGCACGTGTGGGTGCGTCTCACCATCTGGCGCCAGTACCGACTGTGGAGTTCACCCGCCGATAGCGCCGCGGTGAGCAGCGAGTCGGACTCGTCGGCGGCGTCGGGAAGCGAGTCGACGCTGCCGCCGCAGCTCTTCCAGCAGCAGCATCCGACCATCGAGTTTTGGCTCGGCATTGTGCAGGAGATGATCGACACCATGCAGCGCGACCTGGATGCGCATGTGCGCGACCAGACTTCGCTGGCGACGACCATCTCGGATGTGGATGCGCTCGCGCGCCACGTCGCGTGCGCGTGCGAGCTCGTCGAGGCCTCGCGCATGCTGCAGCCGGGGCTCGCCCAGGTGGATGCGGCACTCAGCATCCTCAAGCGCGTCCTCGCCGTCGCCGAGATCAACGCCGCCGCGGGCGTCGTCGGCGCGCTCCAGCTCGATGACGACGTCACCGCCAAGGTCAAGACTGCCGAGACACGCCGCACGGCTCTCGAGAGCGTCGTGCTCCAAGCTGCGCCCGTCTACGGCCAGTTGGCTTGATGGGCGGTCGTAGCTCATTTACTATCTTCCCAGACTTCCACGCGAAGCAGAATCATTGGCAATGGGAACGCGCGTAGTCACAGACGCAAGAAAAGAGCAGCGCTGGACAGCCTTGCATTTATTGCGGGCGTCTGACAGAAAGCGATCCTATGGTACAGGTAACAGCGGCTAGATGATGGTCAAAACGGTCGTCGAATCGGGAATGCGGGAGAAAAAGTCCATAGGGGTCGCGGTACAGTAGTCGAGAGCTTGGAAAGAATGTTACGGGGGTTCTAGCCGTTGATGAGGCGGATGGTGAGGTAGAGGGTGGAGCCGATGAATCGGATGCAGGCCATGCCTGCGACAAAGACGAGGACGAGGACCATGTAGACCTTGGTGCGGGTGACGCCGCCGCCGGAGAAGGTGCCGGTGGTGTCGCCGTTGAGGATAAAGGCGGCGACGACGCCGTTGCTGAGGGCCCAGGCGAGCACGACGTTAGTGCGGATATTCTTGTAGTAGTCCATCTGCCTGGCGGCTTTTTCCTCGTTGCTGGCGTCGCCACGGATGATCATTGGGCGGGTCCTGAGGTTGTTGAGTGCGTCATCGTAGGCGGTGTCGATATCAGCCTGTGCCGTGGGCAGGGTGATTTCAACCGTGCCCTTGCCAGTCGACACGACGGCGCCAAGGTCCTTGGAGACGGTGGTGTCGCCTTTGGTGCCCCAGCTAAAGTCGTGGAGGTTGCAGAAGGCATAGATGTTGAGGATGTTGATGTACGTCGGCGCAAGCAGCAGGTACTGGACAAAGCTCGTGACGAGATGCAGCGGGTCGCACGCCAGCAGCGAGCTGATCAGGTACACTCCGTACGTGGCCAGGAGCGAGACGACCATCTGCGCATAGATGGCATCGTGCTCCACCCTTGCCACCACCTTGGACAGACACAGCACCGCCGCCACCATCATGTACACGGTCAGCAGCGCAAAGATGACCACGGCCGCCCAGTACTTCCACCTGCTTCCCTGCGGACGGTTGCCCATCGCAAAGATGAACGAAGCCACGACAGTGCCGAGGTAGATGTACTGCATAAACACGTTGAATACGCCGATGCCGCGCAGCTTGAAGGTGGGGTCTTCGAGCGAGGTGGTGAGGATGCGGAAGAAGATGTAGTAGTTGGCCAGGCCGAACCAGGCAAAGCACATGTTGATGAACGAGTAGAAGCTCTCGAAGACGAGCAGCGACTTGCGCCACACGTTGTGGCCCGATCGCACGAACTGCGCCGTGTGGTAGAGCGCATAGACGGCAGCGAAGAACGAGCCGTTGAGCCACCTCCTCCTCTGCGAGATGAATTCGGGCAGGCCCTCGGGCACGTCGGTAACGCCGCGTGCCGACTTGACGTACTTGAGCACCCATCCGTGCCCCCTCTTTGCCGCCAGCTCGAAGCACAGAATACGGTCTTCGGCGAGGTACATGTTGGAGGTGAACACGTCTGCATCTGCACCGAGCAGATTCTCGCCCTTGAAGTACGACGCCAACGGGCCGTGGCCAAACTCGTCGTTCTGGAGCGCAATGTAGCGATACGCCGAAAAGGCACCGGGGAGCACCGAGATGTAGCCCATGACGCTCTCGGTGGTCTTGTCGAGGATGTTGGAGATCTTGTACTCGAAGTTCTGCGCCGCCACGAGCGGGTTGAGCAGCAGCGGGCCGACGCCCCACTTGCCCTTGGTCTCGGCGCAGATCTCGCCACACGCACCGGCGACGTTGCTGTTGAGGTCAAACGACTTCCACAGATAGTAGATCGACTTGTTCTCCGGGCGCGTGCCGACGTCGAGCAGGATCGTCACGTTGGGCTGCAGGATCGGACAAAAGGCGTTGAAGAACCAGCGGTGCGAGTTGATCTTTTTGGCGTTCTTCTCCTTGAGGCAGAAGATGATCTGCATCGGCACCAGACCCCTCTCTGCGCCCTTGAACTGGAGGTTCGAGTCGATCGAAAGCTGTGTCGTATACTCGTACAGATGTGCCTGCACCTCTTTGCCGTCGACCATGTTCTTGGCCACGCCGTCCTGGTAGACACCGAGTGCGGCGAGACAGTCGAGCACGCGAGGATGGATCTTCTTGCGTCCGTCAGAGATGATGGCCACCACCACCTTCTTCCAGCCCTCCTTGCCCCAGGTGCGCGACTTGTTGCGCGAGCACAGATGCGCAATGTTCTTCATGACGCCGTGGAAGGTGCGGCAAAACAGCACCTCGTCCTCGTTGTACATGGTGATGGCAATGAAGAGCTCCGTGTGGCGGCCGTACAGCGCCGGACGCAGCGTAAAGCTCTCGGCGGCAAAGTCGTCCGGATCGCACGTCACGGCCGAGTAGCGCATGGTGGTGAACTCGTCCTCGGCTCGCCGCGTGAGGAACGTCTGCAGCTTCGTGGGGACGGGGCAGTCGAGGATGAGATTGCCCTTGGTGAGGCGGACGTTCTTCTTGGTCTTGTGGCGACGCAGCTGGGCTCCGCGTGCGGGCGCGGGGCCAAAGTGCTGCGTGTCAAAGTGGTTGTCACCGAATCCGCCCGCTGCAGCGCCTGCAAAGCCCGAGCCGGCATGGTAGGGGCTCTGGTCGCTGTGCTGGTGTTCGTGGCCGCCGAACGCCGTATCGCGCGTAAGGGCGCTGTAGGGGTCGTCGATGTCCTCGTCGTCGTTCGTCTCGACCTGCGCATACGGGCTTTGGAGGTACGCCATGCCCGCCGCCCTACCGACCGCATAGTCGTGCTTCTCGTCGTACACCGAGTTGGGTGAGTACTTTGTGTCTGCATCGTCGTCGTCCTCCTCCTCGCCGTGTCCGAGCGACGAGTAGTGCCCCGCAGCACTGGGCACGCCAGCGGACTGCTGGTTGTAGTACGAGTAGCCGTCGGCGGGTGGTGGCTGCGAGTACTCGGGCAGCGTAGCGAGGCCGCGCACGGGGCTGGTAGCCGCGGGAGGTGGACTGGCAAGCGCATACGCCGCCTGGCTGTAGAAGCTCTCGCTGAGCTGCGGCATGTGTGCCTGTCGCTGCTGCTCGATGCTGATCGTCATTTGCGGATGGTGTGCCTGCTGGTGGAGGGGCAGCATGGAAGCCTGGGCAGCATGTGCGTCCGAAAAGGGCGAGGTGTGCGACGCTGCCGACGCCTCGTATGGATTCGCGAACGACGTGTTGGCAGCGCTGCCCTGGATGAGGTCCGGGTCCGGGTAGAAGGGGTACTGGTTGGAAAGGTCATTTTGGTCGGCAGCATGACCGGCAGCCGAAGCCGGTCTAGAGTAGTGGGCCATGAGTGTGTTCGTTAGCGCGCGCGTGTCAGGCGCGTATCGTGGTCGTCGCAGGTACGAGTAGGCTACAAGGGATGGTGGTGGGAGCAATGCAAGGAAAGTGGATGGAAGGCAAAGGATAGCAACGGATGATGGCGGCAAAGAGAGCTCGCGTCCCGAGCGGGGGGACGTGCAGCCATCTGCCGGAGCTTCAACGGCAGTCGATTCGAGCTCCCATGCAGCGGCAAGCAAAGACAGCCCTGGACGGCGTAGAAACTCAGCCAAGATGGACCCCGCTCGCCTGCACCGTAGCATCATGCCGAATAGGAGCAGCGCGGGCGCGCCTAGGTCCAAAATTGACAGGGGCCGTCGAGCGGAGTGTTGGTCTCTCTGCGCAACTTCTTTTCCGGCTGCCCAACACGGCGAGGTTTTTTTTTGGCAGCTCGTGTATGTAGGGTTGACTGACGATTCTACGCGACCCTGCCTCCACCCTTTCGCTCTTCCACCACACCAAGTCAGGCAACCAAGGCGGTCTCACAGCTCATCGTATTGCTACGGATCTCCATACGACAAGCAGCATGCTACAGACGTATGTATGTAGGGTCTTTGCATCGTGCCCGAGACGCAAGATGGAGTCGACGTCGACCCATCAGGATTGAGGGCAAGATGCGCTCACTCAGGGGTGTCGCGCAGATGCACTTGCGGTGGGACCCCTTTTTGGGCCGCCGCGCCCACCACCCCTGTCTCGCTTCTCGCGCCCCGTCACAGTCCACTCACGTGCTGCAGATGCTCACTCAAAAATCTCCGCTGCTGGCTTTCTTTTTTTTTCCGCAAACCTACTCCGCAAATATCGCGAGTCTAACAATTTCGCCCATTTTTGCCCTGCTCCCTGAGCCCATCGGGACGCAGCGACACACGCAGCATGCACTCAGTGTGGACAAGCATGTGCATTGCTGCAGGGTCTATGTGGATGACTTCAGTCCACGCTGATGTTGAGCTGCGTCTCGCCAATCTCGACGCGCACGCTGCGTTCGGTGTTCCAGTGGAAGCCGATGCGATCAAAGCCGACAAACTCGGCCTCCTCCGTTGTGCCGCTCGCCTGTGCGGGCGCCTTGCGTGACGCAACGTCTTGCGGATCGCCCACGTGGAAGAGGAACGCCTTGTACGCTCCGTCTGTCAGCTTGGCGTCGGTGGCACCCTGGCGCGGCATCTGTCCCGGAGAGAAAAAGCTGCTGAAGCCCGAAGAGGTCTTCCACACCAGCACACGCCCTTCCTCCAGGCTCATCGTCACCAGCCGTCGACCGTCCGGGCTGAAGCTCACCGCGTCCGCACGTCGGCGGTGGCCCTCGAGCACGTACAGGCGCGTCGCCGTCTTGAGATCGTACATGATCACCGCGCCCTCGTGCGTGCCCACCGCCAGCCTCTGTCCCGCCCCAAAAAAGCTGATGCTCGGATACGTCGACACCAGCTCCGAGATCATCACCGTCGCCGCGTTCACCACCGCCTCCCGCATCGTCGTGTGCGTCGGATCCAGCGATTTCACCACCGCCTCCGCCAGCCTCGGCAGATTGGCCACCAGCACCGCAGGTCGCTTGCGCACCATGAACGCCACCAGCCGCATCGTCGCCGCACAGTGCGCAGCCGAGCGCGCGTGCAGAATGTCCAGCGACAGCGTCGTCATGAACAGCGGCGTGTTTTCAGCCGCGATCTGTAATGTCGCTGACCGTGCCAAGGAGCGCAGCTCGCTTTCGCCGCTGCTGCTCGCCGACGTCGACGTGCTGAGCGCAAACAGCGCCCGCACCACCTCGGTCGCATCAAAGTAGTGCTGCCACATCGAAAAGCCTCGGCGGCACAGCTCCACCGCCACCGCCAGCTTCTGCAGCTCCTCGCCCGTCCGCATCTCGCTGCCCCGGTCCCCAACAATCGCACTGTGCACCGTGCTCGCAATGTCCTTGAGCAGCCGCGGTGACAGACACGCATATCGCTCCACAGCAATGCTGCCCAGAAGCGCAAGGGCACGCGTCGACGGCGTCGCCTCTCCCAAGACGCTCGAAGCCTTGCCCTCGCCTCGTGCTCGATCTGCCAGCGCATCTGACTTCGCCGGCCCAAGTAGCGGATGCCACTTGGAGCACACTTCGTCCAGCTCGCGCTGTTCCAGCCGCGCCAGAGCGCTTTGGAACATGGCATGAGCCGCGCTCTGAAGCTCCAAGTTCGAATCCAACCAGTACGGCACGAGCTCGTCCAACGTGATCCCACGGAAGCCCACGCCGACGAGCGTCGAGAGCTGCAGCTCGTCATCCACGAACCGCTGCAGATCCTCCGCGATACCCGTCAGCTCGCTCACATTGCCCAACACGCGCAAAAGTGCCGATGCGATCAGCAGGCGTGTCGTGGTCAGCCGCGAGCTCAGCTTCCACGCCTGTTTCGCCTTCTGCTCGCCACCAGAAGTCGCGCCTGCTCCAGCGACCATGAGCGCGTCGGGAGGCGAGAGCAAGCCGACATGGAAAGCTCCGCCCCGGCCTTCTTTTGCGTTCGGCGAGTTCAACGCTCCTAGCTCGTCCAAGTTGAGTAGCACGGCCAGCTTGGCGTCGATGTCCGCATCCAGGCCAGTGGGATAGACGACGGGTAGTAACGGACGCACAATGTTGACAGCCTTGCGTGCGGCGGGAGAGCCGAGGCTGATGGGCCCGTTAGCGTTGGCATCCGACTCTGGCTCTGTGCGCAGCATTGCCGGCGGCTGCAACGAGGCTGTGGTCGACTTTCCACCTGGAACGGCTGAGCTTGTCTCGTTCCCTGAAGCCTGCATGCCACCACGCACTGGACGTGCGGCAGCCTCGATCGCGCGTCGAAAGTCGACCAGCAGTGTCGCAGCCGCCTCACCTCGGGCAGCCGCGAGCTGCGAGAGGACTCCCGTCGTGCCCGAGTGTAGAGGGTTGTACGGCTCGATCGTCTTGACGCTCCACCATCCCTTTCCGTCCTCCACCAGCGCCTGTGCTTGATCCGTCGCAATGCTGCGGCGCAGCTCCTGCGAGCGTAGATCCCACACACGCGCTTTCCCGTCGTCGTACGTCAAAAGCAGGTCGTCTGCGCGCACCGCCAGCGACGTGAGACGCGCACCCCTGCCCGGCACCGTGTAGAGCTTACGGAAGCCTTCGAGCACCACCACCGTCACCGAGCTGTCCGCGCAGATGCACGCCACACAGCCATGCAGACGGATGGTGTTGTCATCGTCTCCAAACACCACCAGCGCCTCCACAGGCGTAGTCGACACCGACAATGCCGCTTCGAGCGCCGGGTGGGGGCTGCCTTGAGCTCCGGCTGCGGGCACGGTCCAGAATCCAACCTCTCCTTGCAGTGTTCCTCCGATGATGAGACGATGACCGGACCGAGGAGCCGTGGCCGAGCGGAGCAGGCAAATCTCGTGATCCCCGCCAAGGCTGTTGGGCATCGATGCAGACTGCGAGGCACCATCGCCCAACGCACTTGCAGCTAGCGACGAGAGCGGCGAGATGCTGATCCCGCCGGACCTTGCAGCTGCAATCCTCTCGAGGCTGAGAGGCAAGACCGCGGTGATGCGATTGTCCTCGGCGTCCAGCTCGCCAAGCTGAGGATCCTGACGGCCACTCAATGCAGCCGCATCCGCAGAAGGGGTGCCTGGTGCCGAGAGCAGATCCTCCACGTGAAGGTCTCGAAGATCGAGAGCTGCAAGCTCCTTCGGCGTCGCCGAGTTGCGAGAGATTGGCTCTGTTGAGCGAGATTGGCTGGCAAGTGGCTGCAACAGGAGCACTTTGTCGAGCAGGGCGCCAGTTTCGGGCAGATTCCAAGCCAGATTCAAGCGGCCCGCTGGCAGACTGCTCACAGGATTTGCAGGGTTGGATGGGTCCGTCTGGCTGGCACCGTCTGGCTGTGCAGCCTGCTTGAACGTGCCAGACACCAAATCGAGCGTGGCAATCGCCGATGAAGTGCGCACCAGGAGATGTTGCGAGTCCCTACTAGAGCCGCATACTTTGGTGAAAGCTTCCGGATCAAACTCCTGCAGGAATTTTGCGTCGCCACCGCCGGCAGTCAAGATTGCAAGTCTTGGTCCACTCAGGATGACCACCCGCCCTGGAAGGAGGTAGGCCCTGTCCACAGGTTCGGGAAGGCTAGACAAGTCGCACTGCAGGCTCGCCGTCGAGTCCGCATCATCCAGGTCCTCGAGTGAGAGCGCAGCGAGCTTGGCCGGCGGAAGAGAACCGTCCTCGACGCCTGGGACGGCTAGCGTTGGAGAGGGCGAGAAACGAAGCAATTTCTTCTGGAGCTTTGCTGAGCTTGAGTCGAACCAGGCTAGACCTATGTGATCTTCGGAGCCGGGTATCCGGAGCAGGCTCGGACGACTTGCCGCATGCACATCATCTAGAGTCTCGTGAAGCATGAGGCGACCGTTGGAAAGGTCGATGATCAAGGCTGAGGATGAATGCGAATCCCAGAGCAGGGCGAGAGGTCCATAGGAGGAGGACTGCAGGATCTGGACAGAGTCATCCATCTGAACACCGTAGGCGTCACGAAGCCTAGAGGACGACGCCGCGCCCTGGCCACTCAAGGCGGAGCGAAGCATGGATCTCCTCATGCTCGCGTCGCCGCCCGCAAAGGTTGGGCGTGGGGAGGCTCGGGCGGATCCTGCGGGGCTACGAGCGAGGGGCGTGCCGATGGATGCTGGAAGTTGTCGGCCGAGGGAGTGCATGACATTGAGCGAGACGGATGCGTCCTTGATAGCCGCCTCGACTGCATCCGAAGCATCCGAGACGACATTGGCAGTGGTGAGATCGGATTGCCACAGCATCGCGCCTTCCAATATGGACCACAGCGAGACGTTTCCGGCAGCTTGAACCACAAGCAGAGCGATGTTGCCGAGTCGGGTGGCAGCAGCGACTCGATTGTTTCCATCGGCCTCTGCGGACGGAGTTGAAGAGGAGGGCATTGGCACGAGGCGCAATGCAACCACGGGAGAGCGGTCGCGGGTGAGCAAGGTCATGACTGGGCTGAAGCGGCCGCGTGTTGGATCATGTAGCCAAGCTTCGGAGATGGAGCGCTTCATCGGAGCATCCGAACGGGGCGACGCGCTGGACTGATTTGCCTTTGCTGGTGTCGATGTTTTGGCGACTTCTGTGAGCTTTGCCAGCGGAGATGGCGTGTCAGAGTTCTCGCCGACAGAGGGGCGCCTGGAAGTCGAGCGGCGATGATGCGATGGGCGAGCGTCCTGTGTGGAGGAAAGAGAGTGCTGATGCTGCGAGGAAGAGTGAGAGTGTGAAGCCAAGCCGAGTCGCTCGATGACGCCTCCGACGACGCCATGCTGATGGTCATTGCGCTCTGCAGCAGCCATCTGGAGCTCGAGGCGGTTCTCGGCTCGGTCCGAGTTGGAGCGGTCTGCAGTATGACCGTTTGCTGTGATGTTGCTCTGAAGAGAGCTAGCGGGAGCGCCTTCGTCGAGCTGGACATTGGCTGCGATCGTAGAGCTGATGGACGCTGCAGACACGGTGGAGCGCGCGGCAAGGGAGGAGCGCTCGACCGGCGAGAGTGTTGATAATAGCGGGCTCGCATCACGTCCGGCAGATGTCGGCGATCGGACGGAAGACGTGAGCCTGATCGCCGGAGCTTCGAGGTCGGGGCTGCGAAGGCGAGAGGGATTGGAGACGTTGGAGGATCGGCGTGAAGCTAGGGCGCTGGCGCTTGATACGTTGGAGGATGCCGAGGCGGAGGCTGGGAGTGCATACTCGGCGTCTTGCTTGGGCTGGTCCGTCCGACAGAAGGAGTCGTAATCCTCGGTGCGGCCGTAGGCACGGTAGATGGAGACGGTGCCATCTGTTCGCCCAACAGCGACCACTCGGCCAAGTGCGGGATCGTACTCGAAAGGTAAATTCGAGTTTTGTTTCGATTCGAGATCGTCTGGCTCGAGTCCATTCGCTGCTAACGGAGCAAGAGAGATGGACGGGTCCCATTGATCCGAGGCAGTGAAGCTGGCGTTGCCGTTCGGACGCCGAGATTGAAAGTGAGGGTAGTTGTGACAGGCCGAGTTTTCGTCATAAGAAAGTGCTGCCGAAGGAGCGGCGAGTCGAGGCACGTCTGATGAGGAGAGTTTGGGCGACTCGGTAGCAGGCAGCCCCCATTCATCCAGGTCGGCCTCGAGCTGGTCGACATCGACGTGCTGCGCAGCAGCTTTGACGTTACCCTGGAGACGGGACGATGGAACCGAGGACGACGCAGCACTGCTGGGCTGAGGCTGCGCGGCTGTGAGCAAAGCGCGATAGTTGGGGCGGTCTGGCTTCCATTGTCGTTTTGGCGAGTGTATCGATGCTGGCTTTGCATCCTGTCCCAGGACAAACGGCAGCGAAAGGGGCGTAGCGGTCGTCATGGTGTGCTGGGGCCGGTGTGTGCGTGAACAGAGACAGACTCGTCGCCCGCAGCGTACCAGCTCTGCCGATTGTGGCTCTCGAGTCTGTGATCGTGCCTTGATGAGGCGTGATGTGGGAGCAAGTCACAATGACAATGCACAAGCCAGGCGGACATCCCGGTGATGAGGAGGGAAAGCACACTTGGGTCAGGGCCTTCCGAGATCCGAGCGCGTATGCCTTTTGGCGTTGGTCTGTGCTGTGCTGTGCTGTGCTGTGCTGTGCTGTGGTGGGCTGCAGCGCCGCCTAATTTGACGCGCGTGGGCAGCCGAGCGCTTTTGAGCCTCCACAGCGCGGCACCTCGAAAAGGGTTTCCCCCGCTTTGTTGGAACATCCGAGTTTGCCGCGCGAGCCGGTTCTCCCTCCCGCCATCATCATCATCATCCTCCTCCTCCCATAACTGCACGATGCCGTTCTTGTCATCATACACGAATCGGCTGCAGGACGGCCGCGTGGCCCTCGCAGCTGCGGCCGGAACCGCATCGCTCCTCTACCTCATCTCGAACGCACGCATGCGGTCCACCTACCCCAAAGTGCTCAAAGCGCCCGCCAAGATCCACGAGCAGCCGTATCCGGCCGACGTATTCCCCAACGGTGCCGACCTCAACACGCCGTACGGCACCATCCGCTACTACGAGTTCGGACCCGAGGACGGCAAGAAGCTCCTGTTCGTGCATGGCATCTCCACGCCTTCGCCCGCCTGGAGCCTCATCGCACCCTACCTCACCAAGGCGGGCTACCGCATCCTGTGCTTCGACCTGTTTGGTCGCGGCTACTCGGACTCGCCTCAGGTGACGCATGATGCCGCGCTCTTTGTCGCGCAGATCACGCTCCTGCTCGCGCACCTGCCGCACTGGGACAGGTTCGACCTGTGCGGCATGTCGCTCGGCGGACCGATCGCTTCGCACTTTGCCCACTACTATCCGCAGCGCGTCGACCGCCTCATCCTACTCTGCCCGGCAGGCGGCACGCCCCACGCCGACCTTCGTCCCGCGGTGAAGCTCATCCGCTCGCACCTCTTGCCCAACAGCCTCTTGCGGCGCCTGCTCCGTTTCGTGCCGCTGCTGCCCACGCCGCCCAAGGGCTCGTTGGCATGGTGGCAGGCAGAGTATCATCCGGGCTACAAGTTCAGCTTCGCCTCGTCGCTGCAAGACGGACCCATCTTCAACGCGCAGGAGGTGCACCGCGCGGTGGTGCGCGACTTTGGCTCGCGGCTGCGCGTCATCTGGGGCGACAAGGACGACGTGGTGCCGATGAGCACCGCAAAGTACTTTGGCCAAATCGACCTCGCCGTCATCCCCGGAGGCGGCCACTTTATCGTGCTCACCCATGCCGAGGCCACCGCGCGCCACATGCTCGACTTCCTCGGCGCCGGCGGCAAGCGCTGATAGGATGCTTACAACGACATTGCGACTTGTGGAACTAGTATACAGATGCAGATTATGCGTACAATGGGTAAAGACGTTACGGAGCGATGCGATGGGGAGTTGGACTTCTAGACCTTGGCTCGCCACTGGCCTTTGGCGAGGTGGAATCGGACGCGCGTGATGATGATGGATCCAACGAGGGTGGTGCCCGCCGCCCAGATGGCGAGCGCGGTGTACTTGCCGTCCATCTTGTTGACGAGTGTGGTGGAGATGACTGGTCCGACGAGTGTGCCGGGGGCAGCGATGGTCCACATGAGCCCGAGACGGGCACCTGCGTGCTTGGGCGAGATCTGGGCGACGCACGACGACACGGTGGCGATGCTGCCGCCTGACGCCACACCGTACGTAATCGACAGCGTCACCACCCCTGCTTTTGTGAGTGTGAGACCGGGGATTGGCCAAAAGAGGATGAGCGCCAGGACGGAGCTCAAGCCAAAGAGCGAGAGCACGTTGAAGCGGCCGTACCTGTCTGCGAGCGGGCCGGACACCAGACGACCCACCATGCTGGCTGCATTCATAATCGCCACCATGTGTGTCGCCATGGCCGGGCTGAAGCCGACCCGCTTTGCGTACGATGCGATCGTGAAGAACGGTACGAAGAAGTTGATGAACAGCACTCCCGTGCCGACGACGAACAGCGTGTAGGTGCGCACATCCGTGGTGAGGAGTGTCCAAGCCTGCGACCAAGGCTGACGCATCCCCGGCTTGTTCGGCGGCAACCTCGGTCGCATGAGCACATTGCTAATCGTCAGCAAAATGGCCAGCAGCAGCGCGGCGATCCTGACGCCCCAAGCGAAACCGATCTTGGGATGGTCGAACAGCGCCTGCAGAATCAGCGGCCAAATGATGCCACCAAAACTAGCCGCACCGATAATGACCGACATGGCGGTCCCCTTCTTCCTATCAAAGTACTGGTTGACCAACGCACATCCGGGAAGGAAAAGCATGCTTCCTCCCAGCCCGAACGCTACACCCTGGACCATGATCAGCTGAACAAGTGTGGTGCAGAACGAAACGCACAGCATCGAGATGAAGGTGATCACGCTGCCGCAGACCACGACCCATCGACTACCGTAGTCGTCCGAGAGCTTGCCGAATACAAACGAGCCACCGAGGATCATGAATGTCTGCAGGCTTCCGATCCAGCTCACCGTCGACGACGGCAGGTGCGCCAGCTGGTGCGACAGATAGTACGACTGGAAGACGCCGTAGGATGTGAGCAGGCCAAAGTTGGTCATGATGAGCACGAATGTGCCTGCCACCACGAGCCATGCCTGCAGCCCACCATCGGGTGCCGGCCCCGGCTCGGTCACCACCTTTTCGATGTCGCGCTCGATCTTGTCGATCTCGTCCACGTCGAGTTTCGCGCGCTCGAGTTTGTCCAGCGAGGTGCGTGGCGAGTTGGCAACGAGCGTATTAGGGCACGTATCGATGTGTTCGCTCATGCCTTTGCTAGCGTTGGACGACGGTTGTTGTTGCTGCAACAGACGTTGGGCGAGACATTTGGGCGAGACACCGCCGTGCACCGAACGAGGCGACTTTTGCGGTGTCGCCGTTCCCGGCACTGTCGAAGAGAGGTGTGCGGCAAGGGAGAGACTGTTGCGTCGGGTGGGAACAGCCGTGTTGACTGCCGTCGAGTCTTCCGACGCGAAGCTCGAGTGCGGCGGCGAAGGCGCAGACGTCGAGCACGACGAGCACTGCTCATCTGAAGACCGGCTGGATTCCATGTCGAAGGCTCCGTGTCGGGAAGGCGAATTCGGTGCGGGAAAGTAGGTTGGAGCTAGATGATGGTACAGAGCAAACAAGGACACAAGCGCATCTTAACGTAGGACCGGGACAAGCTCAACGTGTCACCAACCTCATCAACGAAGGGGCTGGCTGTGATAGGACGGCTCGAGCCGGTGCGCATGTGCACGACACGATACGATGCTGGACGTCGAAAGATTCTTTCGCCTGTACCGCAGAGCAGAAGCAGAAGCTCGGGCCGACCGTCAAGTCCGACCCTTTTGCGCTATCGGAGAGGGGGTCGGACAGGCCTGCGCACGCCGCACGCTTGCGGGTTCGGAGAAAAGGACCAGGGGCAGCGGCAAATTGGCCGACTGAAAATCTTCCAGCCGAGTCGGTTTTGCCATGTGTGCGGGTCTCTGCGCACGCCGTTACGATTTGCGCAGGCACGCCGCTGCCGGACGGACGAGACCGGAAAGGATGGACGGCTTTAGTGGCGCATCTCCAGGGTGCACGTCGCACATGGCGGTAGCGGACAGGGAAGGGCTCGAGCCGAAGCGGCTCTGTGGCTCGGAGAATTTTCGCAGCCCAGATCGATGCTATCGGATTGGACAGCTGTCCAAGCCTCGCCGTCAAAGCCGACCCGACCAACGGGCCGAATTTTTCTTCAGATAAGGGGATGCGACCGGCCTAACAGTGGAAACCTCGGCGTTTTGGTCGGCAATGCCTCCACACCTCGCACGGTCCGAGCTGCACGCTGGCTTTGCGATCCATCATCTCGAACCGGCTCGGTGCGCCCAGCAGCTGCGTCTGGTGTCGTCAACGTCTTCTCTGCATAGGCAAAGCGCGTAGGCGCGATGTGAAGCGGAGGCCGAGCTTAAAGTATGGCCAGCCCGCCCGCACAGCCCACGGTGGCTGACGCCGTACGGCTCATGGATGCGCTCCGCACGCCGTCGGGGACCGCACCCCGATCCACGCACAAGATCACGCTCGCTGCAACGGAGGGCTTTAATCACAGCACTGCTACAGCTCCGGCTACCGGCGGTCCTGCTGACGCGACACGGCAGTCGACGACGCCCGGCAATGGGAGGATCCCGAACCTGCCGGCTGAAATCATCTTTCAGATCGGCACGCACCTCGCCCCCTCGCGCACGCCAACCACAAGCTCGCTGCCCTGCGCGCATATAGATGCGCTCTCTTGCACGTCTACGACGGGTCTGGGGCTATCGGCGCTGCATTCGCTTGCATCTGCATCGCGCAGCTTCCACAACACACTTGTACCGCTCATCTGGCACACACTCACCATCCGCACGCCGCAATCCCTTCCACGTCTCTCCACCTTACTGGCCAGTTACGATACGATGTCGCTTCGCTCCCTCGGCGAAGAAGGGGGGTTGAGGCATCCGCTGGGACACATTCGCAGCATCGTGGTGGCGGTGCCGGACAAGTACGCCGAGCTGGACCAGACGTACCTGCTGGCGCTCCTGCGTGCGATGGATTTACCGCGTACGGGGCAGGTGGAGCATCTGGCGTGGTCGGCCGAATGCGCACCCAGTCCAGCGCTCTGGCCGTTGCTCGCAAAGTCGCTGCGCAGTCTCGAGGTGGACGGGCGCATGTTTTACCAAGGCCATAGCGGGTGGGCGGCCCTCAAGAGGTTGGAGGTGCTCAAGATGACGGGGTACGATAGCACGTTGCTGCCAAGGGGGGCCGTGGAGGTGATGAGAGCAAGAGCGCGTACCACTCTACAGGATGAGGTTTGCGAGGTTCCTAAAGCAAGGCCGGTGGAGCGAGGACCGCGTCGAGTAGCTCAGCATCTGTATCTCGACCCGTGCCCAACTCAGGACTGGGAGTCTGAACCTGTTCCAGCGCAGATGGGGATGAGGCGGTTGCGGCATCTGAGTCTCTCCTCATCCAAAACGTCGCTCCTCCACCAAGCATCGCTCATCTCCGCAGGCTGCTTCACCGGCCTCACCTGTCTAGACCTCTACGCCGTCACACCGGAGCCACCACTCTCCCTCGCCATCCTTTCCGCCGGTGCGACACTAACGCACCTCCGACTAGTGCTCGACATCAGTGGAGCTTTCGGCCACTTTGACACGCTCTGGCGCACGCTCACCGCCCAACTCCCACACCTGCTCACGCTCGAGATCGATCCCATGCCGCAGCAAAACACCGCGCCCAGTTTCGGCGGCTTCGTCGAATCCTGCCCTCGCTTGCGGCGCATCAACGGCCGCAGCGTAGACGCCTTCCCGCCGTGTTTCGGCGACTTTGACCCCACACATCCCTCGGGAGCTCTTCCATACTAGAAAATGCATTACAGAACCCACCACGTGCCACCGCAGAGACAGTTGCGCGCGCGTGTGTCGAGTGCCTCAATCCCCACCAGCGCGGGAGGTGGAAGTGGTGCAATGGTCGGTGGGGCGGGGAGACCGGCTTGGACCATGTGCATGTGCATTTGCATCTGCATCTGCATCTGCACGTTCGCGGGCAGTGTTGCATCGAGCACCATCCCGTTTGGCAGCGGTTGCGCTGGGGGGATGGTGTAGGTGGCGTGGACGGCGTCTTGAGATAGCGCCCCGCATCGAACGCAGCGTTTGGCACGCATGAGATCCAAGCGAACCTCACCGTCGCTCGAGGTGCGCGGGGCGCTGCTCCGAATAATCGCGGCAGAGTCGTTGATGATGGTCGACTGGGTCACGGCGGTGCGTAAGGTGGTTTTGCGCATAATGTCGCGTTGAGTGTCGCGTTTGGCTGCCATGGCACTGAGGGCTTGTACGAGCGGAGATGCAGCGTGCGCGGCGTCCGCACTCGCATCGTAGAGTACACTGCGTTCGTCGGTGAGATCCGTCGGCACGACAAAGAGCGGCAAAACATCCACGAGCGCTCCAGACTGTGCATCCCCAATCAAACCCAGCAACTTGGCCGGCACCCCTTCGTCCGCTTTCACCTCGCCTTGCTCTTCCAAGCTGCCTCCGCCCAACGTGGCCCACCAGAATCGATCCGTCTCCCTCGCTCGCGCTGTGGGCGCCGCACCAGACTCCGCCTCGATGCTGGCAAGCAGATGGGCAAAGTCGGCGAGATCGATGGATGCGCTGCGCGTGATGTGGGCCAGTGCCTCGCGCGCCAGAGCCATCTGCTCGCTCACCGCCAGCACGCCGCGCGTGGCAGCATTGGCAAGGAACCCGATCTCGTCGCCTACACTCGCCCCCGTCGGCGGCGGCAGGTTCTCGGCGCGCACCGTGCTCTCGACCCACTGCACAAAGTCGACTACGTGCGCGACGATGTGCAGCACCAACCGGCGCGGCGTAGGCTTGCCCATCATGCGCACGAATTGCTCCTCAAACACCTCCTCCCGCGTGTCATCCTTGCTCTCCGTGCCCACCGCCGCCGTGGCAAGCGAAAGTTTACTTACGCCGTCCAGCAGGCCAAGCAGCCACTGCAGCTGCGCAAGTAGCGGCCACACGCTTTCGAGGCGGTAGTACACGCGTGGTCGCATCTCGCCACCCACAGGCTTTCCCTTCTTCTTGCCCTCGTCCTTGAGCGTCGTAGGTACCTGTGTGGATACGCGCGCGAGGCGCAGAACCTGATAACACAACCCAAGCTCCAGCACCAACCTCTGCAACCGCACGCTGGGCGATGCGGGGCTAGCGATGGCCATGCGGATCTTGAGCAGCCGCAGCGCCTGATGAAAAGGGATCGAGTTGGTGTGACTCGGGCCCTTGGCTGTAGCGCCCTCGATCTTGACCAGCACATCCTGCCGTTTGGAGTCGGTGATCTTGAGCACGTCGGCCACGTCCACTAGCAGCTTGGCGTCGTCGCCACCTGCGCTTGCGCCGTACACCCGGCTGATGTCCGATGCGTCACTCGCGCGCACGCACGACAGCGCCAACAGCTGAACCAATCTCGCCCTCTCCTCGCTCCCCTCATCCACCGATGGCTTGGTCGCATCATCCGTGTGGGGGCGGAGGGAGTGCCAGGGGAGCTTCCACATGACGATCGCGGGGGTTGCGCCGGTGTGTGCGTGCGCAAAGACGGCGATGAGCGCGCCGTTGGCCGAGACCACGGGGCGGGAGCATCGCAGCAGCGCGCGTGGCGGAACGGGCACGTGTTGCGCGAGCTCGAGCGTGTGCAGATCAACCATTGCCAGCTGCTCGGAAAGCAGGCCTGGTTTGGCCTGTGCCGCGCTGAGTGAGGTGAGGATGGCCGTGTTGGCGCCCACCAGCGCATGCGGGGCGACGAACGAAGTGACGAGTTGGCCACGCAGCGTTTTTGCGCTCGCAAAGCGCAGCTGCCATTCGAGCCATGCAGGAGCCTGACCCGCCTTGCGACACTCGAGCGTCGCAAACGCCTCGCTCAGCTCCGTCTCGGCCTTGTACAGATCCCACACCGCCAGGCTACTGTGCATACCCATACCATCCTCCTTGTCGTCGCCGCTCGCATCGTCGAGGTGCGACCAGCAAGCCACGAGCCGGAGCGAGTCGGTCTTGCCCGCTGCGGCGCCCGAGGGCTCTTTGGCATCCACCTCGGCCCACGTGAGCAGGGTGAGTGCGTCGTCACTCGATCCGCCCGCCTTCTCTGCTGTCGAACCCTCGCTCGAAGCCGGTTCGACTGGCGCGAGCGAGATGGGCTGGAGCGGACGCGTGGTCATGGTCACCGCATCGGCACGCAGGTCGACGGTAATTTCGGCGAGGTCCACAAGCGCTGCTGGTGCCGAGGTGCGCTTCGAGGCAACCAGCAGCACCGGCTCGTTGGCTGGCATTCCCACCGCCAGGTGCGAGATGCGCGCGTCGTGAGCGTACCCCAAGCCATCGTCGGCTCCATCCGCCTCGCCCGCGAACAGCGACGCATACGCTGACCCCACGCCGTCCGGACGCTCTGTGCCTGTGGACGAATCGAGCGTGATGGGCGACGGCTGCACCCTTGGCGTGTGCAGATCGGACTGCAGCACAGTGGTAAAGAACTTGGTGCGTGCTTTGGCGGTGTCGATGGAGGAATCGTTGGTATTGGCGTTGCGTCTGCACAGCAGCGTCACCTGCCCGCGCTGCCCGAACACAACCAGTGCAAGGTCTTTGTCCGGGCCAGCCTCGTCGTTGGGCGCTGCAGCGGCGGGTACGCAGGTGGGACCGCGGGACGAGAGCCGCTCGAACGGTGCACTTCCATAGTGGCTTGTAGCGGACGATGCGGTTGGCAGCACGACTCGACGCCTCTGGTTGAGCCAGACCACCTTGGCTACGCCGGCGTGGAGGTGCACGCCGTCTCTAGATGCAGGTGATGCGCGGCTGGCGTCCTTGACGATCTGTTGGCCCTTGTCGTTGACCTTGAGCACATTGTCCGCCTTGCCCGCGGCGGCGGTAGGAGCTGGATGCTGGACGTTGTCGACAGGGATGGAATCGACAAGCTTCCAGTCGTTCAAAGCGGCAGTTTCGGCTCGTGACCATGTGCAGAATACACCTGAAGGCTCCGAGGCCGAGCCGAGAGATGCGGCTGCTGTTGTCTGTGCGACAGATGGGTTGGTGGAAGCGGCTACCGATGGGTCTAGCGGAGGAACTGCGCCACTGAGCTGGTTGATCATCGGAATGCTGGTCGCCGAAGCCGTAGCAGCCATGGGCTCGGCGGCGTTATGGCCGATCTGGGCGTCCGAAGGCAGCGTTGGTAGCGCTGGATTGAGCGATGATAAAGGCGTGTTGGCGGGCAGAGCGGGAAAGTAGGCGCAGAGGTAGAAGCCGCAAGGACTGAAGGCGATGTGGCGTGGATCGTCATAGCGTACACTAGGAGCGCGTGGTTGGGATGGCGCAGCAACGGGCGTGGCGGAAAAGTAGGGCTGGTGTGGGTAGAGGTGAGAGGGCCTGAGGGAGTGCTTGGACGACTGTGGCACGGGATATCGTACGATCACATGTGCGCTTCCCGAAGGGGAAGTCGAGCTAGAGGATCCCGAGGCGGTTGCGATCAGATTTTGGGCTGACCAGTCGATCTGATCAAGGTCGGATTGGCCGTGTGTGAGGCGCTGGAGCTGCTCAGCGACGTCGATGCCGTTTTCGAGATAGAGGGCATGGCGGAGCGACTGGCGTTGTTGCGTGGAGAGGGGCTTGCGGACGACGCGCTTGTGTGCACGGGTAGAGGCGTCGCTGGTGCGCTGACGCTTTGCGGGAGTGTCTATCGACATGGTCGGCAAAAGGATTGTGGGGAGCGGGAGCCGAGCCAGGCGTGCGTTTTGGTTGGTGGACGAGTCAGAGGGACATTGCCGCACGAGCCAGGGTGTCGATGCAGATGATCACAGCACAGGCAAGGCCGAGCGATGGCAAGTCTGCTGCTGCTGCTGCTGCTGCTGCTGCTGAGTCAATGTGATGGGGGCGGGGGAGGGAGGACAGAGATAGGTGGAGAGGAAGGGTCGAGTTGGCTTTGGCTCGTCGAGCTTCTGTGCGCTCTGCAGTTGCGTCTCGCTCAGACCCGACTTCCGCGAATGTTGCCCGGGAAAATCACTTTATAAATGTTAGATGTTTATAATTTGGGACCATCGCCGATTCGACGTGGGACGCTTTGTTACTGAGCCAATTCGGGGCGTTGCTCTCGTTGGTGAGACGACGGTGCCATTTGCCCGATCCTGCAACCAAGCCTAACTCTCTTGCACGCATGAACGCCGTTGCTCCCGCTCGTACCGACTGGCTAGTCATCATTCGATGGTAGACTGGCATACTTCGAAGCACAGGAGCGAGGTTAGAAGCATGAGTTCAATCTTGTCAGCCAGGCCATGTGAAGGGAAGGGGAGGCGGGAAAGGCGGGAGAAGAGGCTGAGACACGTCTATTTTGCAGCGGTGGGGCGGCGCGGGAAAGCGATCGGATCGGCGCGGTGCATGGTGCCTCGGTTGGGCGGACACCATGCGCTCTGCCGAAGCGTTAGCGGTTCCTTCTTTCTTGGACCCAGCAGCTCTGTGCCCCTATCAAGCGTATGCGGAAGGCGGCTTGCCGATGCGAATCATCACCGGCATAGCCTCTGCTGTAACTTACTCTGCTGGGATTTGGAGCGAGACTATAGGCTGAATGTGCAGCCGAATGTTCTGTCCGCGGTGCATGGTGTCGAGTTGAGCCCAGCTACAGGATCGCATGGTTGTGCATGACCATCAGGTGGCACACACACGCCCACTAACAATTCGGGCTCCGCTCGCTCGTTGTACGGATACGCACGGCCTGCAGTGATGCGAGCTTCGGCGGTGGTTTCGTTGCGATACCCCAACGCCGGCGTGCAGCAGCAGCAGCAGCAGCAAAGCCTGGTCGGTGCGCGTGGTTGTGCTGTGCTGGCAAAAAGAAAGCCAATTTCGAGGGGACCGTGCTGGCATCGTGCCGCGTTGCCTGGAATTTGGGCATTTTCCAGACCAGGGGCCGAGCAACCGTGCGTCTGATTTTCAGCCGATTTTGACTCAGTGTTGCTCTCGCTTGGCAGCGCGTCCTCGGTCCTGCACTGGTTTTGGAAGGGATGTTACGTCGGCGCTGCAATGCTGCTGCCAGAGTACAGCAGGGCGAGCGGAGTTGGTGCTGGCGCTACGCCGACCTGGGACAGCTGCTTGTGCTTCCCTCGTCTTGCACTGGTTGGTGGCGAGCGTCGCATCTCCGTTGTCGAGTTTCACGCCGAGCTGCTTTTGGGCTGCTTTGAGCGGCGGCTGGGCGTGGGTCAGGGCGCGTATCCTTTTTTTCTTTTCTTTTTCTTTTCTTTCTGTTTTTCGAGCAGGGCGGTGGCCGAGGGAAGGCGCGTTAGGCTCGGGCTCGGGCATGGATTGAGCGTGTGTGCATCGCAGCCCGTCGCAGCACTACAGTACTGCCTGCCTGCCGCAACTGAGCTCCGAGTGGCCGAGGGGTAGGAGGTTGAATGTTCAAGGTCGAGTCGACGAGAGCATGTCGTACCTGGCTCGTCCTCATCGCACACCAACCCGCTTCCCTTCCCCGCCACACGCCTCTGCACGTCGTTCATCATCCCTCCTCGTCCTTCTTCTGCCGACAAACACTTCGTCGCTGGCTCGTCGAATCGCACTGCTCTACACCAATCGGCCCTCTCCCTATTGCCACTGCTAGCTTCTCTTCCTCGTCGCATCCTCTCCACTCCCGACATCTTACTCTACCCGCCGACTCGCTTGCCATCTGCGCCACACTCGTTTCATCGCGCTCATTTCACTTCCCATCCACAGGCCGGCTCTGTGGCTTGCATGCATCCCATTTCCATCCCGACCGCATCTCCTGTCAACCCAACATCCGCCAGCATCTCTCCGACCACCTTCATCTCGTCCCTCCCGCGCTCCCACCCTCTCCATCACCATCGCAAAACGCTTGGCTCGCCCCCTCAGCTTCGACGTGTTTAGAGCCCCGCCACTTCTAGGTTTCTCAGCTTGGACCTCGTCTCCCACCGCTTTGGCCGCCTTCAACAACAACCCAGCATCTTCTCCTGCTTTGTCTTCTTGCCTTTGCACATCGCCCAAAACCCGCCCCGACCGCGGTCCGCGCAGCTTCATTTGCCCACGCTCCCCGATCCTCGCGTCTAGCCTCTAGCTCTTAAGGTGAGTCGCTCGTCATCCACCGCACGCGCGTGCCCCTCGCTCGATCCATCCCCATCTCTCTCTTTCTCTCTCTCCTTCCCTACTTCCCCTTCGCACCACCCTGCCTTCCTCCCATCTTCCCTCACAGGCTCTGCTCATCGCACACGCAAGCAGCACATCGACTTGCCCATTCGCGCCTCCTTCCCTCACGCCTCCATCATCTTTGCTCCTCTTCCCCCTTCCCCTCCTTTCCCCATCCAATGCCTTCATCGTCACCCTCATCTTGACCTCCCCTTGACCCACCACTGACCCACAACACACTCTTTTGGTTCCTCGACACCTGCCTCCTACACCAGCTTCGTTTCGACATACATCCTCGCCAACATGGTGGCCTTTCAACCCGCTTTCAAGCTCATGCTTGTCAGCCTTAGCCTCGTCTTCGCACTCGCCAATCACGCACACGCAGACGCAGGCGCACATGCACCAGCCGCCGTTCGCCGCCATGCCGGCCGCGCAGCTCGCATGTCCAAACGCTTCCCACCCGTCGCCGCCTCCAACCAACAAGCCGCTCAGCTAGACAAGAGACAGCGACACGGCATCTTTGGCCTCACCCCCGAAGAGATCGACCAGATCCTCGGCAACGAGCCCATCGACGCCGACTCCACCTACCCAGCATCCAACTCCACCAACTCTACTTCCACTTCCACTTCCACTCGCCGCGCTCCTCGCACACGCTCCAGCACTGCAACCGACTCGGACTCGGACGCCCCAACAAGCACCGCTTCGCTTCGCAGCTTTGCTCTGCCCAGTGCCAACTCCACGTCCACCTCGCACTCCAGCTCAACGGCAGACCCCACCCACTCCACCCACTCCACCCACTCCACCGCCTCGAGCCACGCGCCGTCCTCAACCTCGTCCCGATCCGCCTCTTCCCCCACATCCTCTGCTTCGTCTTCCAACGATCCATTCACCGACGCTGGCGCTGATCCCACCTCGTCGTCTCCTGCATCTGTGGCCAGTGCTTCGCCCACCTCGTCTCAGAACGTCCTCGGCGGCCTCCTCGGCGGCTTGCTCGGCCATTCTTCCACCACCTCCGACGCGCCTCGCCAGACTTCAACCGGCCAGCAGGGCTCAGACGACGCCGACACCGCCTCGTCAACCAAGCCCGCGCCCACCGCAACCTCCTCGGCCAACGACGGCGGCACCGACGGCGATGACCCTACCTCGTCCAGCCGCGCGCCCAAACAGACCCAGCCCGACTTTTACAGCTTCACTCCCCAGGCTGCCACCTCCTCGTCCTCCTCGGCTCCCTCGTCGACTGGCCTGGTGGGCAGTCTGCTCGGCGGCCTCGTCCCTTCTTCCTCCGCCTCCGCTTCAGCTTCACCCACCCCATCGCCAACAGGTACAGACTCGGGCTCCGACTTGGGCTCGGATTCTGACACCGCCTCCTCCACCCGCACCACCCAATCCAATGCCCCCAGGCCTACCGGCAGCGCCGATGGAGGCTCGCCCACCGATACCAACACTTCCGACTCGGCCTCCTCCACCAGCTACGGCAATGGCTCTGGCTCCTCCACCGTGTCCGACAGCCCAACCACAACCGCAACCGTCACCGACGGACCCAGCTCCACCACACAAGATTCGGCCTCGGTTCCCACCGCCACCGGTACCGCCACTGCCTCGGGATCCGACTCTGGCTCCGCATCGAGTGCAGAGTCCTCGTCGTCGTCGGCATCCTCGGATGATTCCGCATCCTCATCAGCCTCGTCGACCGCCACCACCAACCCGTACTGGTACGCCAACACCCAGTCCCTCAAGATGGCGCCCAGCACCACTTCCAGCGCCGCATCCCCAGCGCAGACCGGCTCGGACAGCTCGAGCAGTGGCACCACCGACACCTCGACCAGCGCATCCGATGGCAGCTCCGGCTCGACCCCGGCGCTGCAGGACCTGCCCACGACCATTGTGCCATCCGCCGACTCGTACACCCAGCCGCCCGACACCACATCGATCGGCCTGCTCTTCAAGCAGGACATGAAGTGGACCTGGGTCATCTCGCAGGCCGACCTCACCGCGCAGATCTTTGCCTTTATGCCCGACCTCGTCGGCCAGTCGGTCAGCCTCGACTCGTCCAAGGTCTCGACGGTCAAGCTCGCCAGCTACTCGCCCGAGACCGGCACCGGCGCGTCGCCCGCCTCGCTGTCCACCGCCAAGACGCTCTACATGGCGTACGTGCCCAGCTCGAGCGTCGAGGATCTCCAGGCCATGATTGCCAACACCTCGTCGCCCTTTTACACCTCGGCGGCTCCCGGTGCGCCTCAGCAGCTTGCGAGCCAGGTGGATCCTACGTTCAACATCCTCAGCGTTGCCGGTCAGGTGGCTGCTGGTGCTAAGCAGAATTCCACCTCGGGCAGCGGCAAGACCAAGGACGACTCGACGCTCCGCAATAGCCTCATCGGTGTCGGCTGCGGTCTTGCAGCATGCCTGTCGCTGGTTGCGGGTGGTGTGATGTGGCGCAAGCAGCGTCAGGCCAAGGAGGAAGCTGTTGGTGGTGGAAATGCGGGTGTGTCGCGTGCGCAGACGATTCGTTCGTTCAGCGGTGGACTGCGCGAGACGTGGGCACCGGATGCGCTGGACCAGCACCGTGCGCTCGGAACGGGTGGCGAGATGCAGCAGGTATGGATGGCGGATGGCGGTCCCGCGCACGTGTCGAGTGGGCATGCGGATGGATTTGGCGGCTACGTTGCAGCAGATCCGTTCCAGGAATCCGCCTACCATCCCGAGGCAGCAGGCGCATACGTGGCGATGAACCGGTCGAGCAGGATGACGGAGCGATCCAACTATTCGGACTTTAGCCAGATGACTGAAGCGCAACGCATCCAGTACGACTACGAGTCATCGCGTCGCTCTTTCCATTCGTCTTCGGAGCACTCGGGTGGGCACAGCGAAAACAGCAACGAATCAGCGGGCATGTTGTCGACCTACCAGGAGGATTACCGTGTCCCGCGACAGCATACTACCAACCACGCTTTTGGAGCTAGATCCAACAGCGTCTCTCGTTCCGGTAGGAGGAGAGGCAGCGTTGCCAGCTCGACCATTGGCAGACCAGAGATGATGAGCAATTCTGTATTGCTTTGAAACCCATCCCCACCACCACACCTTCGCTTTTTTCGTTTTTCGGTCCTTTGGTTTTGATGGATTCGTTTGGTTTTGTAACGGAACTACTTCGGCGCAGTTTGGGAGGTCTGGATACCCTCAACGCCCCTCACACACTCCTTTTTTTTTCCGCGATTCACACAGTGTATAACTTCCCTCCCGAGAGAGAGGAGGGGAGAAAGGTTTTTTCAAAATCATACATTCGTTCGGTTCCTCTGCGGAGATGTGAAAAGTGTGACTACCAAAAAGTGTGTGTTGTGGTTGAAGCGGTTGTCTGTGTCGAGGCCAAGGATGCGCGATGGGTGTGATGGATCTTGCTCTGGATGTTGTTGTGTCAGATGTGGGTAGGAGGGCTGTTCGACGTGTGCGTTGTGTGGGTGGTGCGGTCGTGTATGCTTTTGGGCGCAAGGATGAGTGAAGCGTGTGATGGCGAGAATGCATAGCGACTTGCTTGGGTTTTATTGCTCACCGACTCGGAACCTTGATGGAGCAAGCCGTGTGTTTGTTGTATCAGATGGGTGAGAGCGTTGTTCAAAGTGTGTGTTGTTGTGGTGCTTGAAGCGGAGGCGTGTGCTTGTGCAGCAAGGAGGAGGGACGTGTGTGATGGTGAGGACCCCGACCCAGCTGCTACTAGCTCACCCACAGCGACACTTTACGAGCATCACTCACGGCGACGAGACCATCACTCTCGCCTCTCCCGCCGCCGAGGAGAACGACTTGGACAAGCGATGAACCAGGTAGACGGCGACATGTTTGGCCCTGCCCCTCTCCCTCCCCCTCCCGCTCACCCTGTCTCTCAGGCATCGGCTTCAAGGCCTTCGGTGAGCTGCTTGCAGTTCGAGCTGGATAAGCCGCGCCTCGCCATCGCTGCGTTCTCCCACTGGCCTCGGCCACAAGAGAAGGTTGAATGGTGAAGCGCTAGAAGTGGTCAAGGGCTAAAACGATATCAAAAGTCAGAGGATACACAGCGACGTGCTTGATTTTTATTGCTGACCCACTCAACCCCCGATAGAGGAACCCGTGTGTAGGCGGTTCAGATGCGTATGAGCCTCAGCCAAAGTAAGCCAGTCGTGTGGTTGAAGCGGGGCGGTGTGTGCGGTGTGTGTGTTGGGCAAAGGGTAGGCATGCGTGTCGTATCGTGAGGATACACGTGATGCTGAAGATCAGAAGCGTCTCAGGATCCAAGCGCATGTTTGGACAGATCGTGAGCATGCAAGGCGTCTATGGATCCAGCCAGGGCATGTGTGAACAGATCCTGATGCACTCTTTCCACACTTGCGGTGGCGAGAGCCAACGCTAGCCTGGGCTTGCTCATGGCCATCCGCACGCTTCCATCGGCGTCCTCATGGTTCCCACCAGGTCAAGATCGGAGCTTGCACTCTTTGCAGTAGGCTTGCGGTGTCATTCGCACACCGACGCCAGCCTCAGTAGTATCATCACGGCCATTTCTTGAGCTAGGCGCTTTCTTCGGCGTGCTCATGAGTCTTGGACGCCTTTGCTCGAAAGTGTCCTCTCCTTCTCGCAAGATGCGAGCATCATTCCAGGCTTCCCACCTCTCGCGGCTCGTACTTGGTGACTGCAGACCGCGCTGCTGGGGGTGGGTTCGATCAGACGTCGGCGCTGCCCCGCGATCACAAGCCTCCCCCGTTTGTATGACCTGCTATGGCGCGCGTAAGCGTCGACACTTCGTCTCACCCCTCCCTCTCCCTCGCCGCTCGTAGGTCGAGGGTGCAAGCCAAGTGCTATCGTCTTGTATGCACGGGGTTCCCCCTTAAAGCTAAGCGCAAAGCTCAATGGGAGCTGGGCGGATTCGCAGCATCGGCCAGGGCTATGCACTGCGACGAGATGCTTGTGTCCCGGGCGAGTCACGTATAAGAAGGTCCTTGGACAAGTCCGAAGCTAGGCAGGTACGCTGCATCGAGGCAGAACGGTTGCGCACCTAGCATCGATGATAGGCGGCAGACTGGGCTGGCAAGTGCGTCAGGCTTCCGACTTGCCCCGGCGCAGAGTCCATGCAGGGACTTCGCCGTCAGGATGGTGTGGTGATTCACGCGATACATCCAAGCGCAAGGCACTCCTGTCGTCATGGATGCCACTCACACTAGCAACGTCTCAGCTCCCGCAAGGTTCATGCCCTGCCCCCCCTCGTCTCGTGAAACCGCGGCAGCAGCTCAGGCACCTCATTCGGCCATGGGTGTCCCTAACATTGTCCATGCGGTGCAGCAAGAAGGCCTCCCTGCGACGTCCGTCCCCCTGTCTCGCTGTTCTCATGCCTTGAGACGGGCCCTGGCCTTTACGCGCGTCTTGGTGCTTGCGTGCCACTCTTGTTCGGTCAAGGACGACATGGCGACTCGGGGCTGGAGACGCGTGTATTGCAATGCTACTCTTTCTGAAACAGGAGCGAGAGCGCCATGATCCCCAACAGGGCGTATTTGAGCTTCGGATAGTCGTTGAGTGCGATAGTCACGTACCCGACGTACGGCATGTACCTGCGCAGCGACCCAGATGAATGTCAGCACGTTTCTAGCGTCGTGTGCCCAGGTATGATTCTTGGCAACTCACCCTCTGACTTTGCCGACCATGTTGGATCTGCGCATCCAGCGCGCGCCGTTGTACAGCGCGATATCGTCCGACTCGTTGTTGTCGCCCTTTGTGAGGATGAGCTGGTCGCCGTCGGGTGCATCGTGCGTCTCGATGATCCGGTGCACGATAGGAATGTCCGCGCCCGGCACCTTGTATACGGGAATGTCGCCGACTTTGAGCGGGCCGCTCGGCATCGAGAGGAAGAGCAGGTCGCCACGGTAGAAAGCGGGTTCCATCGAGCCGGAGAGCACCACGACCACGGGAGATTCGGTGTCCGTCAGCACCGACAGACCCTTCCACATGGCCAGCGCCGTCGAGACCACCGAGATAAAGTTGAGCACCTGGAACAAGACCGACCGCACGCCCTGGCGGCGAAGCGACGCAAGCTCCTCGGCGAACATCGTCAAAGCGTCGGCGAAAAGTAGTGGAGGGGAGCTATGTAGGGAGAGGGGGCAAAAGAGGTGGAGAGCAAAGTGGGGTCCAGCGGCCAAATGTGAGCCCCGTGCGAAGGCTTCAACGTGTCACTTTTGGAAGCGCCTCAAAGCTTGCATCTCCCGATGGAGGTGGGGATGAGCGCAATCGGGACGGCAATATGCGCGTCGGGCAAACGCAGTCTCGGTTGTTCTGCAGCATTTTGGCGACTGCACCCTGAATCCACTCTCGGCAGTCGCGCGCTTCCAATAACCGCACCTTTGTCTCTGTCCATTCGCATCCACCGTCCAACGCCCAACGCTCAGTCCTCGCCTTTGAGATCACGCGCCGCACCCAGCCTTGGAGCGCCACCTATATCTTCTCTTTACGTCGGTAACCCCGCGCCTTGCGTAGCGACCTGCACATTCGACTGGCAGCACTGCTCGACGATCCCCAGGCTGCTGCGTGCGGTCGCCCAAACACAGCAATGGACGACGACCTCGACTTCTTCTACCGTCGGCCACTCAAAAAGACGCGCTCCAAACCGAAAGCCGAACTGAAGTCAGCCGAGCGCACTTCCCCGAGCGAGCGATCGAATGTGGCGGGCCCCTCGAGCGAGGCCAACGGTACAGACGATGCGCCGATCGCAATCGACGATGATGACGACGAAGACGACGGAGACGACGAAGACATTGTGGAGTCGGGCAGCGGCAGTGACTACGCCAGCGAGGACGGTGACTGCGATGCCAAGCGACGCGTGAAGCGGCGCAAGAAGAAACACACGCGTACGCTCCCGGCGTGGGCCTCGCAGGCCGTCTACCGCCCACCCTCGCTCGAGCCTACACCGTCCTTGTCAGCGGCTCCCAACTCGACTGACAGCCCCTCTGCGCCATCCACCTCGCGCGACGACCCTGGCCCCTCGAAGGATACGCCACGCACAGCACGAGCACGCGGGGTGAGCCTGACGCCGCCGCCGCCTCCGTCGCCGGAAAAGCTGTCGATGGCGCGCGAGCTGGTGTCCAAGGTCATCGGGTCCAAGTTCAGCACCGCACGTGCTGAGCCTGCGAGGGGCGGGCGGCAGACACGCAATTCAGCAACACCGGGCGCGGCGGAGGCTGGTGCGGCGATGGTCGAGGATGCGGAGGAGCCGATTCGGTGGGAACCGGATCTGGCGCGGCTCATGCGTGGCGAGGACAAACGACATCTGCGCGAGCAGGCGAAACGCGAGCAGCAGGAGCGCGAAGAACGACGGCGGCAACGCCAACCACCAGCTGCCGCGCCACCGCGCGCCAATGGTCGAACTCGAGCGAGTCAAGCGGTGGTGCTCGACGGCAACGACACGGATGCGAGCTTCGAGGAATTACCACGACTCTCGACGAGGAGTCCGACCAAGCGCAGCGTACGCGCCAAGCCTGCATCTGAACCCGTGGTGGTGGAGGATTCCTCCTCCGACGAAGCCCCCGCCTCCGCGCCCGCCGCCACGAACGGCGGTGGTGAGGAGCAAGAGACGCTGAGCTTGACACTGCAAAGCAAGCTGGGTTCGCTCGGGGTGACAGTCACGCCGACGACGCGGCTGGCGACGATTCTGGCGCACTTTTTGACGCACCATCCGCAGCTCACGGTGCGCGTGGACCAGATGCGCGCCACGTTTGACGGGTACGCCTACACTGCCGCACAGACGATTGCGGACATGGACGTCGAAGACGCCGATCAGGTGGAGATCACATGGTCGTGAAGCAAGAGTACAAATACAAACAAAAGGCTTTCAAATGATGATGCGACCCTGGTCGTCGCAGTTCACCAGTCCGAAACAGCATTCCTGATCGTTGGAGGGCTTGGCGTCGTTGGTGGGCGAGGTGCGCATGTCGAACGAGATGCCGAGTGGAGCGGGTACCCAATCCTTCGGTTCGGGTCGGGCGGGCGGCGCGTCGAGTTTGGAACAGCAGCCGGGCTTGCCTGCACTGCCGCACGGATTTGGCTCGGATGTTGACGCGGGCTTGGGCGGTTCCGAGAGGTGGGGTTCTGATGGGCGTGGGGAGGGGACGGATCGGACGCGTGGCGAGTGCAATGGTGCCGCGCCCCTGAACGGTGAATTGACATAGGCCGGACTCGAGCCGGAAGAGTGACTGCGCGCGCCGGCATGCAACGCCTCGGTCCTCGCCCTCTCTTCGCGCTCCACAAACGGCGCGAGTGGCGGCAGCTGCGTATACCGCGGCGACGCTGGCGGTAATCTTGCCGTCGAGCTCTGTCGCGACGGTGCCCGCCTCCTCGCCTCGGTCGCTGGCGGACTAAACGCTCCAGCGTGCCGAGGGCTGTACCCAGCTGACGGCGGTGTGGGTGCCGCGAGTATCGATCCTGGACTGGGCGTGTGCCATGCCTGCGATGCCTGCGATGCGGGGACACTTCTGCGTTGGGCTGGATCGTGCCAAGATTCGCCTGGCGCAAAGTAGCTGGCTGTCATATGCACGCCCGAAGCTGCAGGCGACGCATGGTCCCCGTGTGCACCTGGCTCGTAGCGCATGCGTTTGGAATGGCGATACGCCTCATCGTTGGGCGGCTCGAGCAGATGTGCGGGCACGGGAATGTTGTGGTGTACAAGCACCGAGCGGAGCGACTTGACGGCGTGTTGAAGCTGTGCCATGTGTGCATCGACGTGGGTGGCTGCTACCGCCAGCTGACGGTTGGCGTGCAGGATGGGTGCACAGCTCTCGCACGTAGCCGTAGGCAGCGATGTAGGTGTAGACGCCGATGTCGACGACGCAGACGACCGCGATCCACTTGCAGCTACGTGTGCGGGAGGTGGGTGGGCAGTGAGATGGGGTGATCTGCTGTGGCCGGGCGAGGCAGCATCGCGCTGGAGGAGCTGTCGGAGGCGTGCGTTTTCGTCGGTGAGCTGTTTCACCGTGGCCTCGAGGCCGGCCAGATGCTCTGCCTTGCGCTGTCGGAAGGCGCGCTGGGTCTGGAGCGCGCGTGTGGGCTCGAGCGCCAGATTCGGACGCCGCCCGCGACCCATGGCTGTACGATATGAACAAGGAGGAGGAGAAGGTGGTGGTGGTAATGACACGCCAACGAGGCTGAGCCGCAGGCCCAAGGTTGCGCCTCGGCAACGAGACGCGGCTTCGGGTGTTCATAGTGGGCCCGCTTGCCGGTGGTGCAGAGCTGCAGTGTGCAGACACTCGCATGAAACCGAGCGAGCCAACAGCCCAGCTCAGCAGAGAGAGAGTGACTCGCAGCCACGCCCTCCCGGAGAAGCAAAATTCGAGCTCCCCTCGCTCCGCTTTGCATCGGAGAGTGTTGGAGGCGGCAAGATCGAGCCCGACCGTCACCCTCCTCTTCCCGATCTGGAAACGCAGGAACACCTCCGGTTGGCCTGCCAAAGCAGCTCTAAAAAAGGGATGTCAGTCGCCCATTTCGCCCAATTTGACCCAATTTCACCCAATTTCGCCTCGACCCGACACTCCGAAGCTGGCCCAGCAGGCGAGGCAAGGCGAGGCAAGGCGAGGCAAGGCGCGCGCATCGAGATTCCAACGGCCCTGCGTGGGGAAAAGGTCGAGCCTCAAAGGGCGGGCGAGGCTGGCGGGATGCGTGCGTGAGTGAGTTGGGTGGGTCGTGCGTGCGGTGCGGTGCGTTGGGCGTCAATGGCAACGCATACGCCGCCTCCTCCTCCTCCATCCCTACCAAAGCTAGCCGCGTATCTCTGCCTCTGGTTGCTCGGCAACACTTCACAACGCCATCGTCCACTCTACACGCCGTGCTTCTGCGTTACAGCTGCCACCGACGCTGACTGCTTCGCCGCGGCTCATCCGATCGCATCATCCTCCTCCGCCGCCGCCGCCGGGATCGTCTGCACTTCCATCGCCTGCCACTGTACCGCTGCTGCGCTTGGGCCGCGTCCACACGCTTGCACCTGCGCCTCGCTCCTCGTCCTTTCGCAACAAAGCGCAGCCGCATCCCATCCAGCCGCTTGTCTCCCTACCACCACATCCCCAGCTCCATCGACTCGTCAAGCCAAAATGTCTTGGAAGCTAGGCAAGAGTAAGTGCCATTGCCCCCCTGCCCGCCTGCCCACATACTCACCTGGCTCCTTCCTCTCTGGCTCTCTTGCCGCCACCAGAATTCAAGGACGGCGCCAACCTCGGAGCGCGCACGCCGCTCGATCGCTCCGCCACCCCGACGCCGGGCAATCCAGGCCCCGATCCGAGCGCATCGTCCTCCTCCAACCCCACCGCCTCGTCCGATGGCGCACCCATCCCGCGCTCCGGTCTGCTCACCATCCGCGTCATCGATGCGCGCGGCCTCTCGCTCCCCGCCGGCATGCCCACGCCGCCCGCCGTAGCGAGAGCGCTCGCCATGCACAACCCCAACGCCTCCTCCCTCGCCCAGTCGTTCGGCGCGCCAAATCGCGAAAACAGGCAGAGCATGCAGCGCAAACAGTGCTGGTGGCTCCCCTACCTCGTGCTCGAGTTCGACAAGAACGAGATCCTCATCGACGCCATCGGCGGCGACATCCAGGGCCCCACCTGGATGTTCCGCGCCCACTTTGACGTCTCGCGCATCTCGGAGATCAGCCTCCAGACCTACTTGCGCTCCGGCGACGGCCACAGCACCCACCAGCCAGAGGCGAGCCGCGACGGCCAGGGCGACGACGTCATGGGCGTCAGCGACATCTACCTCGGCGGCGTCAAGTTTGTGCCCGACTTTGAGAACCAGGTGCGTGCCTTCCACCTACATCCAACACTCGCTTTGCCTTTGACTGACCCTTTTTTTTTGATTCGTGCCTTGCAGAGAACGTCGGACGCGTGGTACCCGCTCGCCGGCGGCAACGGTCAGATCCACGTGCAGGTGTCGTACCGCAGCGACTCGCGCAGCTCGCTCAACATGGACGCGTTTGAGCTGCTCAAGGTGATTGGCAAGGGCAGCTTTGGCAAGGTGATGCAGGTGCGCAAGCGCGACACGTCGCGCATCTACGCGCTCAAGACCATCCGCAAGGCGCACATTGTGTCGCGCTCCGAGGTGACGCACACGCTGGCCGAGCGCACCGTCCTGGCGCAGGTCAACAATCCGTTCATCGTGCCGCTCAAATTCTCGTTCCAGAGTCCGGACAAGCTGTACCTCGTGCTGGCGTTTATCAACGGCGGCGAGCTCTTCCACCACCTGCAGCGCGAGGGGCGCTTCAACGAGGAGCGCTCGCGCTTCTACGCCGCCGAGCTGCTGTGCGCGCTCGAGCATCTGCACGGCTTCAACGTGGTGTATCGCGACCTCAAGCCCGAAAACATCCTGCTCGACTACACCGGCCACATTGCGCTGTGCGATTTCGGGCTGTGCAAGCTCAACATGGGCGACCAGCAGACCACCAACACCTTCTGCGGCACGCCCGAGTATCTGTCGCCCGAGCTGCTGCTGGGGCAGGGCTACACCAAGGCGGTCGACTGGTGGACGCTCGGCGTGCTGCTCTACGAGATGCTCACCGGTCTGCCGCCGTTCTACTCGGAGGACGTCAACGAGATGTACCGCAAGATCCTGCAGGACCCGCTGCGATTCGGCGACGAGGTTTCGCCCGATGCACGCCACCTGCTCACGCTGCTGCTCAACCGCGATCCCGCACAGCGTCTCGGCAGCGGCCCGCACGGGGCGGCCGACATCAAGGCCCACCCGTTCTTCGCCAAGCACGTCGACTGGAAGCTGCTGCTCGCCAAGAAGATCCCGCCGCCGTTCAAGCCGAGCGTGGCCTCCGCCATCGACACGAGCAACTTTGACCCCGAGTTCACCAACGAGCCGCCCATGGACAGCGTGGTCGACGACAGCCACATGCTCAGCGCCACCGTGCAGGAGCAGTTTGTCGGGTTTTCCTACAATGCGCCCAACGCGCTCGGCGCCGGCGAGAGCCTGCGCGACTAGGCTTGCAGTGAGGATCGGGGGATTGTTTATTATTCGGTAGTGTTGGCATCGCCCAGCTGTAATGGCCAGACATACGTCGTTGCATGGTCTTTTGCAGAGGAGACAGAATGTGTCTGTGATGAAAGTGTGTAGCGGCGATGGCGAGGAGGGGGGAAAGCGGGAATCGGAAGATGGAATTTTTGACCGCAGGGTTCTCCACTTTTTTTGGCGGGCTGACAGGTTTGCGCAAGGCCACCATCTCGACTTTAGCCCACATTGCGGGTTGCAATCATGGCGGCATCTTCGTCTTCGGACGGTGTTGGGGCAGCATCAGCCAATGCTGCATCTAGCATCCGCGACCTCTCTGTACGCTTCGCCGACAAAGTGCAGATCCACCTTCACCCTGCCTCCTCTCTACCGCCCTCGATCGCGGGCGACTCGGACGCTGGGTCGTTGGGAGTCGCTCTCATCTGGACGGTTGACTCTCTGCGGCTGCTGCGCAGCTACGGGTTGACGGGAAGCTTCACGGGCACGCTGGCTCAGTTTCCGCAGCAGAACATCTTTTTGGGTTTGCCAGTGCAGCTGCTTCCTGAAGAGGTGGTGTACCTCCTCCGACGGGGGCTTGCGGTGGTAGTGGACGAATCGGCGTCGTATCGGCCCAGTACAGCTTTGGAGCGGGGCGAAGTCGATGCGCGCACAGAAGAGGATCGACGGGGACAGCAACTTGCAGCGTGGTACGAACGACAAACCCTGCGCGCCAAGCACTCACGCACTCCCCTCGCTACCGACCCTGTGGAGGGCGAGCTAGACGGTTTGCCTTGGCACTACACGATCCCCACCACCTCGTCCGATCTCGGCTGGTATCATCCAGTCACCTACACAACACTCTCCTCCCTACACCCACTATGGCCGTTTCCAGCGACCGAGAGGCAGGTGGCAAGCGTGGCGTTGTTCGAGCATCTGGTGGGCGATCGTGGGTTGTGGTGTATGAACGGCCTGCGTTTCGGTGGTGCCTTTGCAGTCTACCCGGGCGATCCGCTTCGGTACCATTCGCACTATACGGCCCAGTTGGTTCTGCCAAGCGAGAGTGTCCCCATGACGACCCTCGTCGCCAACGGTCGTTTGGGAACAGCAGTCAAAAAGACCCACCTCCTTTGCTGCACCACCTTTGAAGCGGATTTCGACCCCAACGATCCCGTCGATGCACTCAGAAGTGGCAAGTTCGACACAGCTCCCAAGTCGGATAAGGAACAGCAAAGCAACGACGGCAGATTGGCCAAGTTCGATGTGTTCAGTCTGGCTTGGGCGGGATTCGGAACCTAAACACCCCCCCTGCCCGCAAGCATGAATCGCATCGCATCTGTAAAAAGCACCCACATGGCATTCGAAAGTTTGTAACGGCTGAACGATTTCAAGGCAAGGGAAAGGGGGGAGAGGAGATTAGGTGATGACGGTGGGCTTGTCGCGACCGGTAAACTGCTGGAGCTTGGAAATCAGCAGAGCCTGTTGAATGAGCGGCTTGAGACCCTGTTGGGCATCTGCCTCGAACTCGTTCGGGTCGTTGGAGTACTTTTCGACATACAGCCTAATCGTCGCACCCGCCGATCCGGTTCCACTCAGGCGGAAGATGATCCTGCTTCCATCAACGAACTTGACATAAAGACCCTGGTTCTTGCTGACCGAGCCGTCGATGGGGTCGGTGTAGCTAAAGTCATCCGCCTCGGCCACCTCGAACTCGCCGAGCTTCTTGCCGACAAACGAGGGGTCTTCGAACTGCGCGCGCAGGTGTGCCATGAGCTGGTTGGCACCGTCCGAGTCCACCTCTTCGTAGTCGTAGCGGCTGAAAAAGTTGCGTCCATACTGGGTGTAAAACTGCAGCAGCACATCCTGCACCGACGTACCGGGCTTCTCCTGGTTCGCGGCGGCAAGGATGGAGAGCCATGCAACCACGGCCCACAGTCCGTCCTTTTCGCGGATGTGGTCCGAACCCGTACCGAAACTCTCCTCGCCACAGATGCTGAGTCGACCAGCATCCATGAGGTTGCCAAAGAACTTCCAGCCCGTAGGCACCTCGAAGCACTCGTAGCCGTTCTTGGCCGCGACGCGGTCGATGGCGCCGCTCGTGGGCATCGAGCGTGCAAGACCCTTGATGCCCGACTTGAAGTAGGGGATCGCGCGCTGCGCCCACTCGGCAATGATGGCTACCGAGTCCGAAGGGTTCACAAAGGCGCCCTTGCCGATGATCATGTTGCGGTCGCCATCGCCGTCCGAAGCGGCACCGAACGAGATGTTCTCCTTCTCGACCGCGTCGACGAGCGACTTGGCATAGGTCAGGTTCGGGTCCGGGTGTCCGCCGCCAAAGTCCTCCGATGGCACGCAGTTCTGGATCGAGCTCTCGTCGAGCCCAAACTGCTCGACGAAGAGCGCACGGCCGTACGGACCCGTGACGCCATGCAGCGCATCGAAGCGCACCGTGAAGCCCGAGCTCTGGAGGAAGTTCTTGATGAGCGCAAAGTCAAAGATCTCGCCGAGGTACGCAATGTAGTCCTTGACGCTGTCGATGATCTCGATGTCGAGGCTGCCGAACTTGGTACTGCCGATCTGCGAGAGGTCGACCTCGGGGCCCTCGACGATCTTGTACTCTGCGATGGTCTTGGTGATGTCGAAGATCTTGTTGGTGACGCCCTCGGGGGCGGGTCCGCCGTTGTCCATGTTGTACTTGATGCCAAAGTCGTTGTCCGGGCCGCCGGGGTTGTGCGAGGCGGTGAGCAGGATGCCGCCGGTGGCCTTGTACGAGCGGATGACGTGCGAGGCGGCCGGGGTGGACAGGATGCCCTCCTGGCCGATGATGAGCTTCGACACGCCGTTGCCCGCGGCGAGGCGGATGATGGCCTGGATGGCGGGCTTGGAGAAGTAGCGGCCGTCGCCGCCGACGACGAGCGTGGAGTTGGCGGCACCGGTGGGGATGGCGGAGAGGATCGCCTGGACAAAGTTCTCGGTGTAGTGCTGCTGCGAGAAGACCTTGACGCTGTTGCAGGGAAGGAAGAGTGTCAGTGGCGAGCGGGTGTGGCAATCTAGAGAGGTTGGTGTGCTTACCGCTTGCGAAGACCCGAGGTACCGGGCTTCTGGCCCTCGAAGGGCTTGGTTTGAACGGTGACCACAGACATGGTTGGTGGTGTGTGCGGATAGAGATGGAGGCGAGTTCAGAAGGATGGGAGTGCAGGTGCGTGGGGATGGGGGATGCACCGGCGTGGTTCCGCTGGAGAGCGTCTGTGCGCAACACTTGGTGGGCTCCCCGTGCTCTCGCCGTTTCGCCGCTTGGCTGCCTCGCTGCCTCGCCTGCGCATCTCCGCCGAATTCGAGCTTCGAGTTCGAACTTCCCGCGTCGACGCTCGAATCAGAATTCGCCGCCCCAACGCCACCGCCGCTCCCAACGCTTCGCTGTGCTAAGTCTAACACTTTGCATTTTGGCTCGACATTTTCTGCGGCTTGAGTTGGAATCCACGTGATGCGGTCGCGAGTGTGCCTTGCGTTGAGTCGAGCCAGACGTGCGACGTGCAAAAAGCAACGTCAACAACCCTGGCTGCAATGCACAGATCAGCGTCCCGACCCTGTCTTCTCCGCCATGTCGATCCGCTTTGCATCCCGCCCATATATCCTTCAACTCAGACGCAAACTCCTCCGCCCGACCATCTTCACCTTGCCCTTGCTGCGTTGTGGTTTGCCTTTTTGGAGCCTTCATTTTCGTCTTCATTTTCATCTCCTAGCGACTTGTTTTGTTTTTGCGATTTGTTGGCGACACGCGCGTGCAAGGGGAGTGGCGAGTGAGACAGAGACTGGAACCCTGCGAGCCTTTTGGAGTTGCGTGTTGGACTGATGAAAAAGGATGTGCGTTGCAGGCGCATGCATATGCACGCAAGTTTTTTCGACCGCCGCCTCCACACACACCGGCCATGTGCGCCGCCTGCGTTGGTCGGTCTTCAACAATGCGTTGTTATCAAGCTCGAGCTGCACTCACAAGGCGATGGGCTTTTCGGAGCGGAAGAGCCGGCTGCGCAGCAACAATAACGGAGAGCAGCTCACAGCACGGTGTTCCCTATGGAAAGAGCGTAATGGCAGCCCGATCCGAGCGCCGCTTGGAAAGACGAGCGCAGATGCAGTGGCCATCACCAAGCTGAGAGAGCGAGAGAGCGAGGGTGACTGGTCGACAAAAAGAAAAAGGCGCAATGCACATCGCTGCACGCTGCCCTCCTCCCCGCACGCTAAGTGTCCACACACACACACAGACGTGCTCCTCGAGCTATATCGCACGTCGATCGCTCCACCTCGTCCATCCGCCACCATCCTCTACCTCATTCCCATCGCAGTCTTCACTGCCACACGCTGCTGCCCTTCCGCCCTTCCGCCTTACCGCATCAACATCGCAGCACCAACCCTCGACCACGCCTCGACCACGCCTCGACCACGCCTCGACCACGCCTCGACCACGCCTCGACCACGCAAGTCGCTGCCACACGCTCGCACAGCCCATCTCGATACCCAAGCAGCAGCAGCACCGAGCCGAATCAGCGCAGTCCACCTCACCACCTCGCTTCCACCGCTGTCCCTGCCCCGCCATCCACATCTTCGCGTGCAACCACCAACCCCCCTTGCCCCTTCTCTCCACCATACCCAAGCTGATCGCCCTTGCAAGTGGGCCAGCTCAACACATCCCTCCCTTCTTCCATCCCCACCAACTCGGACTCAGCCACCATGAAGCGCTGGAAACAGGTCAAGGACCAGCTCGACGCAAAGCGCAATCCATCTTCCAGCAACAACAACAATGCTAATCAACCTCCACCAGCGCAGCCCTACATGGGAGGGGGCATCTCCTCCGCCTCCTTCTCCGATCTTCGCCAGCTCCCGTCCCAAGCCTCGACATCCAGTCTTATGCCGCCAATCACCAAAAGCGCAAGTCGCACCTCCCTCGACATCCCAGGCCGTCTGAGCAACTTCATCAACAAGTCCACCTCCAGCTTGGACATCGGCGCCTCGGCCATCGGCGGCAATTCAAACAAAGTCACCAACGTCTTCCGCAAGTTCCCACGTCCAAGAGTCGGAAGCACTTCAAGCTTTACCCACAACGACGCAGCTTCTCCCTCAGCTTCCTCGCCATCCAAGGCCAACAGCCCCCGCAAATGGGTCAACAGCCTCTTGAATCAGGCTGCCCCCGGCTCACATCACCTCGAGACAGCAGCACAGGCTCGCTCACGCGCACTCTCCGACGCTTCCCGCCCCTCACCCGCACCCGTCAGCGCTCTCGTCCTCTCCCACGACGACCCTCCCTCCACCACATCCCCACGCATCTACACCATCGACTCGGGTCTGCAGCGACGTCCCTCCGCAGGCGGCAGGTCAGCCAGCATCTACTCGTCCCACCTCAGCGCCGCTTCTCGCTCCACTCCCGACCTCCACAACACCTCCGTCACCCGCCATCGCGACAATGGCGCCCTCCTCATGGACCTCGCCTCCCCGCTGCCCTCGATCGCCAACCGTCGACCCAATCCTGACGCTGCAGACACCCACTCGCCTCTCGTCGTTCGCAACCTCGACGAGGCGCCCCGCGGCACCTTTACCCCTGCCATCCCAGCGCCATCCGCCTCTGCTCAGCTTCGCACCGTCTCGCGACTCCGCAATCCTTGGTCCGCCGCAGACTCTCCGCGCATCCAGTCAGAAGAGGACGACAATGTCGACGCATCCATCGCGCACGATCGCTCCACCAACCAGATCGACCCCGCAGAGCGCGCCGTGCTCGACATGCTCGACTCCGCTTCCGGCGTCGGCAGCGCAGTATCCGCCCCCGTCCCGCCCACGCCGTACCACACTGCCACCCCAGGCACTCTCGCCAGGTCACGATCCTTTGCCACAACAACAAAGTTCGACAGCCCCGCCTCCGAGTACAGCCAGGACTTCCGCTCCCCCTTCCTCGCCGGCACATCCTCGCCCGCTGCAGGTGTCCGGGCGGCCATCCGCCAGCGAGAGCTCCTGGATTCCAACGTAGGCAAGCCCGCCTCGCTCTCGCCCGTCCCACACAGTCGCTCCGCCCTGTCCCCAAAGACCATGGCTTTCCTCGATACCGTCTCCACCGCCGATGCAGAACCGATCCGCGCAAGCCAGACCTCCTCCGCTTCCTTCTACCAGCGAGGTGCATCCGCTTCCACTTCGGATGTCAGGTCGAATGCGGCCAACTCTGGCTTCAAGCGCATCTCCCGCGTACCCGTGCCGCAGCCCGAGGTGCACCTTGCTTCGCCACCCGCATCCGCCAGCTCCAACGTTTTCCCCAGGCGCGGCACCAATGCTTCCACACACTCGCATCTGCCCATCTCGCCCATGGACAGCAGCCTTCTCGGCTCGTCAGCACACGCCACCAGTCTCTGGAGCAGGCCTGGCAACATGCCAGACACTCCTTCCACTTCTCAGGACGTCACATCGCCCACGCCCTGGTCCGCCAACTCGCTCGCTCCCAACAAGCACCACACCCAGTCGCACCAATCCCAGGCAGCGAGGGACATGTACGCGCTCGAGCCCGTCGTCACTCCGAGCGAGGTCGAAGAGGACGAGGAGCGCCTCTCGGACACTCTGCGCCCCAGCAGCATCATGCCCAAGCTGCGAAGGAATCAGACCGACTTTACAGAGGCCACCAGCATCTTTTCCGGCGCAGAGGCCTTCCGCACCTCGGAGAACAGTCTGCAAAAAGAGGCCATCGCCGAAGACCCCGCCCCCGCGTCTACAGAGAATGCAGCAGATACGGAGGCGCCAGCGTCGTCATCGTGGGTCGCTGGAGCTCGCCCGCTTTCCCATGTCGGCTCGGTCTCCAGTTCGCTGGCTGCGCTCAGAGGCATCATCTCCAAGGCTGCTTCCTCTGCACTTCCCTTGACCGGCGCAGCTGCACCAACATCAGACTCACCATCCAGACCAGCCACAAGCGGCGACACCGCCTCCGCCACCTCGGTCGCCGCAGCTACCAAAGAGTTCGAGCAGCGCCTGACCAGCTCCATACCCTCGAGTCCTGAGAAGCTCTCCATCCCCTCATCACCGACCAAGGCAAAGGATCTCATCAAGATGTTCGAGAGCACTTCGGGCACGAACTCGCCTTCCGATCTATCGCAGTCCATCTCGCGCAGCCGGCTCTCGCCCACAAAGTGCACGCCCTCGGCTACCAGCAGCCTCAAAAACACGCCCAAGCGTCCCGCACCGCTCGCGATTTCCATCTCCAGATCCAACCTCGGCCTCGCAGCTTCACCCGCAGCGTCCGAGCTGGGTGCGGAAGAGGCTTCTCCCGTGGCGACCAAATTGCGCGCGCAGCGATACGAGGCCGGCCGGTTCCGTGCAAGACGTGCCGGTCTCGTCGGTGTGGGAGGCGGAGGCGATGACGCCAGCTTTGCAGACGATAACGACGACGATGGTGCCGACGAGAACGCAGCACCCGAAAGCGTCTTGAGTGAGACAAGGAGCGCCAGTGGCCGATTCCGCTCGCTTGGCGTCGCTTCGCAGCACACACGCTCCCAGTCCACCCCAAGCGACATCAACGGAAACGTACTCGGAGATGGAACGGTCTCCTCTCCACCCAGACCAAACCCGATCGGCGGCCGGTCCGGCGCTGCATCGCACGAGAGAACCGGCTCGATTGGCACCAACGCCGGCAGCTTGAGCAGGAAGGGCGCCTTCCGCAACAGCGTCATCGGCTTTATGGGTGTCCTGTCTGGCAAGCCCACTACAGGCGGACCGGGAGATGGGCGTGCACCTGGTTCCAGTGGTCAGACGCTCGCGCCTAGCTTCTTGGCAGAGCGAAGGCACAGCGCCAAATCCGACCAGGACGACAACGTCAGCACTGCCAGTGCTGCCACGCAGGGCACCACCGCCTCGTACCGCCGCAAGAAGGAGGAGGGTAACCTGCCGCTCACCAGCACCACCGCCATCCAGATGTCGGGCGAGCAGCCGGGCACCAAGCCCATCCGTGCTGGCGTGCTCTACTACTTTAACGTGCACGACCCCAACCCACGTTGGCTGCGCGTCAAGGCGGTGCTCCTGCCCTCGGCCGTGGCTATGAGCTGGATCCCCAGCGGCGGCGGAAGGGAGAACGTCGTGCTGGATCTGAGGGCGTGCCGCGAGGTGCACTCGGTTCCCAGTCCCGACCACCCGAGCAGCACTTCCGACATTGGTGCCGCATCCGCACGCAGACAGGGGCTCGGCCAGATCAGCCCCTTCCAGCTCATCTTTGACGATGGCGTCGAGAGGCTCGCCGCCGACACCGCCAAGGAACGTGTGCAGTGGGTCAGCGCCGTATGGGATGTCACAGGCACGAGGAGCCCCAAGGCCGACAGCATGCACGAGTCGGCAACCGCCAACTCGGGCCACGATGCCCTGCCTAGGTCTAGCTCGTCGCCAAAGGCCAAAGGCAGGCCCATGGCAGATGCGAGCCCTTCGAGGCCGCTTCTTTCTTCGCTCGGTGCCGGCGTGGCTGGAACGCCAAAGAAGCCTGCGTCAACGAGCAACGAGGAAGCCATCGACCGCATCGGGTCCATCTGGAAAAGCGAACTCTCGTCCGAGCTCACGTCCAAGGACATGCATCCGAGCTTTGGAGAGGCGCTGGCAGGCGCCGCATCGCCACCACCGCCACTGCCGCCCAAGGAACCGAGACCAGCGCCCGCGCTGGTTGCACTCGGCCAGGCTTCCAAGCTAGCCACCTCGAGCAGCACTCCGAGCTCGCAGTCTCCCGGCACAAGGACGACAGCGGCGGTCCCGATCAGGAGCTCTGCCAGTCCCATTCGCGCCAAGGTGCGCAGCTGGCAACGGCCGCCCCTGGATCTCAGCACCGGCTATGTGCACGACCTCACGCCCAAGACACCTACACTCGTCAATCCGCCTTCGGACGTCATCCATTCGACTCCAGCTTCGTATGGCGAAGACAAGAGCACCGCTGCGTCGGCGTTGGAAGGATCTGTGAGACCTTCGGCAGCGGACCAGACAGCGCCTGCGGACGCTTCCAACAAAACTGCGGCCAACGATGCAGGCGAAGAGATCTCTCCGGCGTCGTCTCCGGACATGGACGGCTACGAGTCGGCGCGCTCGCAAGGCAGCTTGGTTGACGAATTCGGACCACGAACGCCCGTCAGCGAGGCAGTGTTCAATTGGTCGCGTCTGGACAAGGTGTCGGACCTGGATCCGAGCGATTCGGCTTCGCAGCGTCCCGCGCGGAGCGAGTATGGAACGATCAAGAGCAACGTTTCCGGCGCGGAGCGCAAGCGCAGCACTCGCAAGAAAGGCGACGACAACGAGGCTACGGATGCGGCCAAGGACGCTGCAGAGGAGTCAGGTGGTGCTGCAGCTTCGCGCACGCCAGCTCAGTTGCTACGTGACAGCGTCCTTGCTGGGTCGGCCGAGGGCGCCAACGGCTCGGATGCGCTCTTCAATGCCTCGCCCGCGGGTAGTCGCCATCGCCTCGGCACGGTCATCGAAGAGACGCAGTCGCAAGCCCAGAGCACGCGCATCAATGCCTCGGTGCGCAGCAACAACCGCAGCAAGCTCGACGAAATCGTTGCGCGCGCCATCGGCACAGGCTCGGTCAAGTCGCCGGCGGCCAAGAGCGCGCTCTCGCTCGTGTCTAGCGGCAGTATCAGCTCGCGCGACGTGGGCAAGTTGCTCGAGTATCTCGAAGAGCAGCAAAAGGAGCGGCTCAGCCGCGAGAAGGAGCTCGAGGACCAGATCCGCGGCTTCCAGCAGGTCGTCTCGGACCTTCAGAAGAAAGGCTCGACGAGCGGCTCGCACCGTTCCGCCAGGAGGAAGAGCTCGACGAGCTCGCTGGGCGGAGAGAGCAAGGCTACCGCCAGGTCCGCCAGGGACTCTGAACTCGCAGCCATGCAGGAGAAGCTCGACAAGGTGCTCGATCTGGTCACCAACGTCGTGGCGAGCCCCGTGATGCACAAGCGCGCCAAGAGCGAGTCGGCGACCATGCTCACCGCGCACGACGGCGAAGATGCCGAGCTGGCGCGCATGGAGGGCGTGCTGGCCAAGCTGCTGCGCAAGATGCATGTCTCCGAGGACGTCAACATGACACCAAGGTCGCAGGCGCTCGTGCGCGCGGCGATCGAGTCGCGCGACCCGGCGCTGATGGACGAGTGGGACCGCATGCCCGTCGAGCTGCGTGGTGAGGAGCTCATCAAGTCCATGGAGGACCGCGCAAAGCACGGCCGGGACGGACGCCACGAGGCGATCCATGCGGACTATACGATGCGAAACGTGTCGTCCGATATGGTGCGTGGCGGCAGTGCGCCTGCCGGCGCAGTCGGCCATCCCGGCACGCCCATCGATGTGGACATTGATCCCAGAAGACGCTTCTCGGCGACCTTGCCGCATCGCGTGGCATCCGGCGCGAGCATTCCGGCGAGTGTGTCGACGAGCGACATGGACAACGCTTCGGTGATGAGCCGCGTCCCACCGCGCAGCTGGTCGTCTGAGCGGGGCGTGCCTTCGCCCCCGCCTAACTCGGTCTGGGATGCCCAGTCGATCGGCAGCCGACCCGCGTCGAGGGCCACCACACACATGGGTATTGGGGGCCGCGCGCCTGCGCAGAACTTCCGCATGCTCGGCGACCCTGGATCCACCCAGGCGACGCCGCGCCCCGTCATGGTCAAGGCCGAGCCGAGCTACGGCTCGCTCGACATGGAGGCCGAGATCCGCCGCCGGCGCGCGCAACAGCAAGCCGCAAGTGGCGCGTCGATGCCCGGCGCGCAGCTCGGCGGCTGGTACACGCCCAAGGTCGCGGCAGGTATGGATGCGCAGGCCTCGACGAGCTCTGTCACGGTCGATATGCCCAACGTCGACAAGCCGATGCCGCCGACGCCGAGCGTGCGCTGGGCGGTCGGAGATATCGTTGCGGATCCCAAGGAGACCGACAGCATGGGCAAGCAGCCCGACGGTCTCGGGCTATCCATGGCATCGGCGGCCGCTGGGCCCGAGGCAAAGTTCGACGGCCCGCCGCCAACGCCCGGCGTGGGCTATGCCGCAAGCGCGACAGGAGGCTCGGCGGTCGGCAGCACCAACGGCGAGCTGGCGACGATCCTGCAGGCGCTCAAGCAGAGCGAGCTGGCGAGACAGACTCAGCTTCAGCAGCAGACCGAGATCTCGCGCTACCTCAACGAGCTCAACGCGTGGCTCGAGCGCGATGTCGTCGACCGCTCCAAGGAATGGCGCACGCTCGCCAGCGGCGTGACGCAGCTGCACGACGAGCTCAAGGCGCTCAAGGAGGGACGTCCACTGCCTGCTTCTGGGTCGGCTGCGAGTCTGCAAGACAAGGCTGGAGCAGTTGGACCGAATCAGCATGCAGGCCAGGTACAGCCGCCGACGCTGCTCCGGCCGGGCTCGACGGGTGCCGTGCCTGCGGTCACGGAGCGAGGCATGCTAGCGCCCATCCTGCTCATGGGCGACAGCGCCAATGCACCGACATCGCCGGCACGCAAGCGCCCCGCGGGCACACGCAAGTGGAACGAACGCCGAAGCGCGTCGCCATCAGCCGACGAGGGCGACAAGTCGTGGTACCAGCCGGACGATGCCGACGGCGGCGTCAAGAGCAGCTTCAAGTCCAAGGCGGCCAAGGCGGCCGCTGCCGCCAGTGGAGCGCTGCTGATCAGGCAGGCCCTGCGCGAGTGGGAGCGCTTCAAGATGATGCAGCGCGCGGCGGGCAAGCCCGAAGACCCGCTGCCGGCGGAAGCGACGGGCAACCCGGAGATCGACAGCCAGCTGCCGCTTCCGGCGACCACGCTGCAGGCGCTCAAAGACGCCGCGGACAGCGAGGACAACGTGCGGATCGCTGGGCTGGTGCGCGAGGCGGCCGAAGCAGGCTACGGAACACAGGCGATCATTGAGCTGACGCGCTACGTCGAGAGTAAGGCGCCCGAGCCCGAGAGCGACGACACTGCGAGCGACGGCGGCGGCCACCTGGACGGCGACACGCTCATGCCGACTCCGTCGCCGTACCGCACGCGGTTTGCGGTGGGCGACGAGCCGACGATCGGCAAGGGCGGCGCAGACGCGGACGACGACAACGACGACGGGGTGGTCAAGATGCAGACGCCCGTGCCGGCGCGTGTGGTTGCAGTGGCGGACAAGGTCAAGGCCAAGGAGGAGGAAGTGGAGAGCGGCAGTGGTCCCACCACATCTGCGCTCGCGCTGGCGGTCGAAGAGATCCTCAAGCATCTGCTTTCGACTAAAGAGGAGGAAAAGAAGAAGCAGACCGAGGCGCAGCAGCGCGAAGCGGAGCGCAAGCAGGCGGAGGAAGAGCGGCAGCGGTCGCTGCTTTCGGACAAGGAGCGCGAAAAGGCGGAGCTGGTGGACCTGCTGTACAGCCGCATTGCGGCGGACAAAGCTGCAGAGGAGCAGAAGCAAAAAGAGCTGGACCCGAAGACGGCGATCGAGTCGCTGGTTGCGGCGATCAACGCGCAGAAGGAGACGGAGGTCAAGTCGGCGCAGGCGGCGGATGCGGCGCTGCGACAGATGACGAGCGACCTGCTCAAGACGACGAGCGAGCAGAACGCCAAGCTGGTGGAGGCGGTCAACGCGGCGAGTCGCGACATGCTGCGGAGCAACGTGCAGATGCACGCCGAGGAGTTCAAGCGGCTGCTGCACAAGGAGGTGAGCGGCATGTTTGAGGACGTGGGCAAGATCCGCGAGGCCAAGCGGCATCTCGAGTTTGAGATCGCCGATCTGTGGAGCATCAAGAGTCGGCATCTGCACAGTGGGGGGCCCATGCCGATTGGGTACAATGTGCCGGGCGCGTTTCCGGCGAGTCCGCCGGTGGGGTTTGCGCCGCCGATGTCGATGCCCATGCCGCAGATCATGCCGATGCCGATGCACATGCCGGCGCACGCGCCCGCGCATATTTCGCCCATCCCCGCGCCCGCGCCCGCCCCCGCTCCGGCAGCTGCGCCTAATGCTGCAGCGGGCGTCGACTCGCTGCGTGCACAGAAGAAGGCTGTCAAGGCGGCGCTCAAGCAGGCGGTTGCGGCGAGTGCGCCTGCGCCTGCTCCGGCGGCAGTCACACCTGCACCCGCACCTGCACCTGCCGCCGCACCTGCACCTGCCGCCGCCCCTGCCGCCGCCCCCGCCGCCCCCGCCGCAGCTCCTGCAGCAGCAGCAGCTCAGGTGGCCGCTGCCGCCATGCCGGCGTTTTTGGCAAAGAAGAAGGACATGCTCAATCCGTTTTCGATCAACTTTGGCCCGCGGGCGCCGGCCAAGTAATCCCGCTCAGACACGATACACATCTGGCTAGACGCGGTGGTGTAGAAACGAATAGATCCCATGATACCCCGGTGCCGATGCGCGCGTCGTTTGATTTGGCGAGTGGTGTGGGTGGGCGAGAGAGCCGTGTGTTTGATCCAGAGTACGGCAGAGGCTCTTATCGAGCCAGGAGTCGACTGAAGCTCATACACAGCCGTGTGACGGCCTCGGCGGAAGTGACGCAGTGTTGATCTTTCTCCGATGTGACGGCTGCGTGAGTGTGCGTGTGTGTGCCCGTGCAGGGGTCCTCAGTTGGCAGTGGCCCCCGGCATCGTCGTGCTGTGGCTGCGCTGCGGTGTTGTCCGTTGCGTTTGGGATTGGAAAGATGCTGTTGCGTATCTTTGGCTTATGCCCCAGTCCGACGCTCCGTACGTACGCACGGTGATGCAGCACTATCAGCGTTCTGGGCCTCAGGACCGGACGACCGATAAGAGCCGCTGAGAAAAGCATGCGCTGGCTGCTGGGGGCATCCTTTTTGCACATCCTCATTCCCCCAGTTTGCGTACTTTGCACTGCAGCCAGGTGGAGTCTCCCTCGGGTAGCTTTCGTTGCACTTGCAGTGCGCACACGTACTGGCGATACGAGTGCAGCCGACGGACAGCAATACACACGAGACGAGGGAGTGGGTATCTGGTTCGGCATCGCTTCGAGTCGTCATTGCAACGTGGCCGTGCGTGACCCGCCCAACAGCGTACGTTAGCGTCAAAGCGTGTACCAGCGACGTGAACAGCTTGTGACGTCGTAAGACATCGTGTGACATCGTGACAGCGCGGCATCTCACCATCGCCCCGGCGAAACAGGGTAACATCATTTCACACCGTATGATCGTGCGTGACGCGTGTGGCATGGCATGACAACGTCTGACGGTGTATGACAGCGTATGACACGATATACGTCGTATCACATGGTCCGACAGCAGAAACCAGCCTAGACATCGTACCATCGTCACGGCGCAACATCGCACCATCGTACCATCGTGAATTTGCGCCAGCGTAATGGCATTCTATGCAGCATCAACAGCGTCTGACAGCGAATGCCAGTGTGCAACTTTGCGTGACATGGTTTGACAACGCAACATCGTAGACATCGTTCCAGCGTTCCAGCGTCACAGCGCATGACATGATGACAGCGTGCAACAGCACACCATACGACTTTGTACCGTCGTATCTCGATCTGGGTAACAGCATGTGTGCTTGCAATAGCATACGGCATCATGGCAGCATACGAACATTGTGAAAGCACACGGAAATGCGCATTGCCTGCGTGCTCCGCCAAACAACACAGCTCCGCGCCAAAACCACCTCAATCCCCACCACCATCTCCATACCCCAATCATATCCTCAAAGAACACCTACCCGCCTCATCCCTGACTCGTCCCCCCAGCATCTCTTCAGCATTGACAGTATGTGCCACCACTCGCCGCACCCACGCATCACCAAGCCAACTTCAGCCATGCACCAATCTTCCGCTATTGGCTCACAAACTCACTGCTCACAACCGCCCGTTTCGCCCTTTTCTCACGCTCGGCCGCAATCATCAGTGAAAAAATACATTAAGCTTGCAATTATGACGATCACGGATGCTATCGATGCGAATGTGTCACTGCGTGTGCGCAGATATTTCACGCCTCGTGCGGCGGCGGGCTCGGGCTGTCGGCACTGAACGCCGCCTTGACCTGCGCGGCGGTGGTGCCGCCCGGACTACCATTAGCGCCGGTGGGCAGCAAAATGCGGCGGCGCGCATTGATGAACCAATTGGACACCTGCGAGAGCGTGAGGCCCGTCATGCTGCACAGCGAGCGCTTCTCGTCCTCGGTCGGGTAGGGGTGGCTGGCATGCTCGAGTAACCACGACTTGAGCAGATCCGTCACCGGCTTGGGCAGCTTGCCGCGTCGACGCGGCGGCGGCGCAATCCCCGCCGACGGTCCCGGCGGCACGTGCGTAGCAGGCATGGCCATCATCGGCCGGCCCATCGCACCGCCCGGTCGACCCATGCCGGCGTGGGCGTGCATGTCGCGCGGGTCATGACCCATGTAATCGCCCGGTCCGTACGGGCTGGCATACGGCAGGCGGCCGTCGTGGTGCCTCGCGCCCGGATGCGCTGCCATTGGCGCCATACCGGGCGAAGGGATGGGCATGGGCGCAGCACCGTTACCTGGCTTGCCCACATGTCCAGCGTAGGACGCAGCGTGCGGCGAGCCGTACGGGTCGTAGGCGTAGTCGGCATAGCGGCCGCGAGAGCCGGCGGCGCCAACGGGTCCGTGGTAGTAGTCGTCCATCTCCGGGTCCTGAATGCGTTCGCGCGCAAAATAGAGACGGCGGTCCGGGTAAAAGGGCTCCGAGTAGGCATGCGGCTCGGGCGTAGGACTGAGGCGCTCGGCGTGCGCCGCTTCAATCGGAGGCGTGTAGCGGGCGCGTGGATCGGCATAGCGCGATGGCGCAGGAGCGCGAGACGAGAGCGGCGGCAGCTGAGGGCGTGGATCCGAGGCAAAGGGGGGCGGTGATCGGCGTGCGTAGGAAGAGTGGGGTGCGCTGCGCGAGTACGGGTCATGGGGCGAAGGTGCGGCGCCAGCTGGCGGGGCGACGATCGCCTGACGAGGTGCATAGGATGGTGAGCGTGGCGAGGGGCTGTAGCGGCCGCTGATTCTGCGAGAGTGGTACTGGCTGGCGGCTGGTGGGGCGGCGTCGTACCCGCGATAGGCGATGCGCGACGAGGACGGCGAGGCGGGATGTGCGTGGCGGGGCGAGTAGTGTTTGTCGTCGATGCGCTGGTCAATGTGACGTGCCGAGTAGGCGGCGTCGCGAGAGTAGCTGCTGCTGTACGTGCGATCTGGCGACTCGGCACGATCGCGGCTGCGATAGTAGCCGGTGTCCGGATAGGCCGAATGCGCTGGATAGTCGGCGCGGCTCCAAGTGCCGCGGTCGACCATGCGATCGGCATCGGGCCGTCTGCTGCCGGCGTCGGACGAGATGCTGACCTTGCGCTTAAGCGGCAGGTTGAGTGGCGGCGAGAGCTCTCGATGCGCAGCGTGCGGCTGGTCACGATATGCGGAATCGCGATGCGAGGTGACGGGGCTTCTGCCAAAGTCGCGGTCGTCGCGGTACGAGGGCAGCGGGCTCCTGGCAAAGTCGCGGCCGTAGGCCGAGTGGACGGCTCCGGCTGGAGCTGCGGAAGCCGAGGCGGAGGATGCAGGCGCCGGCACGCCAGGACGGCGAGCACCGACAAGGGGGCTGCCACGATCCGAACGCATATCCCACTCGGCAGAGTGGTTGGAGATGCGACCTGCGGGCGATGTGGGACGGCGTATCGAGGGTGGAGGCGGCGAAGCACCTCGACGAGGGGCCGAGGGGTCGGCAGGCTCTACGGCGCTGTGCATGGTGGGATGGGATTGCGACCAGGCGGAAGAAGGGTGGGTGAAGCGATCCGACTTGGGAAAGTCGAGCGCGGCGATGGGAGGCAGGCGATCCGGGTCGTGGGAGGCGGATGAAGTGGCTGCGGTGCTGACGGAACGGTGGCCGAAGCTCGAGGTGGAGGTTCGGTCGAATGAGTATTCGGACGAGCGTGCGGATGGAACCAAGGGCGAGCTGTGACGGTCGTCGGAGGAGAGGGTAGGAGCGGAGCGGTCGCTGGGGGTGCCGAGGATGGCGTGAATGCGGGGCGAAGGGTCGGCTGCGAGCTTGTCGTGTTTGAGGTAAGGGGTGCCGTTGGAAGAGGGCGGTTGTGGGGACGTCTGGTGATCACGGACGCTGCTTATGGGACGAGTAGAGAGCGGGCCTGCCATGATGCAACCGGCTTGGCCGGAGAGACTCGAGTTGTGGTAGTTTAGAGAAAGAGGGCCGCTGTGCGACGTCAAGTCATCCAAGGTGCTTGGCGAACGAGCGAGCGTATCCGGACTCGGTAGAAACAGTTGATGAACGGATGGATGCGTGCGCAGAGTGGTGTGATGGTGGCGGATGGAGTGGATATGGTGGGGTCACCTAGCGAGGATGGAGGATGGCGGATGGCGGATGACGAGAACCAAAGGTGGGGATGATCGGTGGGGTGGCGGTCGAGAACGCTGACGATGCGGATGGATGGAAGCTCGATTGAGTCGAACGACTGCGAGAGGCGAGCTGCGGGCAAGCAAGCGGCAAGCGAGCGGCGGCGGCAAATCAACAAGGGAAGAGAGAGAGAGAGAGAGGGGGCGGGCAATGGGGAAGGGGAGCCGGGTGCGGTAGGTGGGCGAGCAAAGGCGGAGGTCGAAATTAGCCAAGGGCGGTGATGGAAATGAGGTAGGGATGAAGGGCGCCGAATCGAAGAGGGCCAAGCTTGGGCGACGAGTGGATATCCTGGTATTGCGATACCGGGCAGCGGCAACAACGGCGGCGGCTTGGGGTTGATGTAGCGAGAAAGTCGAGGCAAAGTGCGAGAGTGTCTAAGAGAGAGAGAGAAAGAGAGAGAGAGGACGAGAGCGAGGACAATGGTGAGTGGAAGATGGATGCAGTTGCAAGGCAGGGCAGGTCAGGTCAGAGCTGGGCGGAGTTAGACGACGTGACGGAGATGGACGTCCGAAAAGGCAAAGAGCCAGGGCAGCGGAGGCGGCGGCGGCGGCGGCGACAACGCCCGTCAGAATCCGAATCAGGGCAGTTGGAGAGAGGGAAACGACAGCTGAGCATCCACCGAACCGAGCGGCGTCGAGGCGACCTTGTGCTGCTGTCAACAAAAAAAAAGAGAGGAAAAAAGGTGACGGAGCATCCGAATCGCCCAATGCTGCGCAACGCGGTGCTCTGAGAGCCAAGGCGAAAAGCCAAGAAAGAGTGTGTGGACCAGGGCAGAGCCAAATTAGCAGCAGCAGCAGCAGCAGCCAGACTGACGTGGCGCGTCTCTTCTCGGCACCGGCCCGCAAGCGCGGCGTGGGCGCACGCTTTGCAGCAGGCGCGATGCAGCTGAGCTTCCACCCGCGCTGTCTGCTGCAACGTCGCTCGGCATGAATGCAGTGTCAAACCGGGCTGACTCAAAAGCAAAATAAAAGAAAAAGAAAAAAAACAAAACAAAATTCAACTTTCTGCCCTGTTTTTCTTAAGCCAGTGTCATCGCTCGGCTAGTGCGAGCCGAAGGGCGTGAGCAGTGGCGCGAGGCGCTCAGTCGGTGATGAGCGATGCGCTTTTTTGTTTTTGACAGCGCGAGCCACACGTCACCACCGAAACAAGCTGCTAAAAAAATCCCTCTCGCCTTGTCCATACTCGGACGAGCGCTTTGCTTCCCTTTGCTGTCTCGCTCGCCAGACAGAGCCAATGAGCTGCCGAGCCAATGACAGCTCCGAGCTCGTCGCCTCGATCCTTGCTTCCTGTCTCCGAGCCAGCTTCGCACGACAACAATGCGAAACACGAAACACAATCCAACCACCCAGACCGCCGTCGCGTTGACTGACGTGGCGGCAAACCGAGTTTTTGAAACACCGACATCGAGCCCAACCAGGCTACATTTAATAATGATGCACTGACAGCTCCAGCTCCAGCTCAGCTCAGCTCAATGCGGTCTCCCTCGTTTTGGGTTGGCGGGTGGTAGCATGCGATCGTCGTTGGCCGAATCGCCGAATCAGCCGTACCGTTCAACGCGAGCCGACACAATGGTGCGAGGCTTGCATTCATTTGTTTCCACTGCATCTTGAGCCTTTGTCAAGCGCAGTTGCCAAACTCGATGTCGCCCCTTTTCGAGAGTCTATCAAAACAAACAGGTTCGAAAACCAGGGACCAGGGGAGAAGGGAAATGAAGAGGAGCGCAAAGGAGGGAGGAGGAGGAGGAGGAGGCACCGGCAGACGCCCACGCGCACCGGCCCAGAATCGAAGCGGTTGGGCCGAACGGTCCGGAGGGGCATTTCTAGCGCGCGGGCACTCGCATTCTGCCCTCTTCCAGTGCATCCGAACGCACATTGAACGCGCGCGCGCACACACACGCACTCGAGCAGCCTCTGGGCTCGGCAAAAACATCCCAGACACGCCAGCTGAGCTCAATTTTCGAGTTTGACGTGACGAGCGCCGCGCGCGCGCCGTGCAAATTTGCTGTGCCTGTTTCAGAAAAAAGCCCAGGTGCGGGCCAGGCCATGCAGATCCAGCCCGCCAGCCCGAAATCGAAAACAGGCATCTGTCTCACCCAACTCTTTCGAGGCTGCGACGCGAATCGCGTTTCGCTCCCAGACCCACCCAACCCTCCGCACGATGCTGTAAAGCCTGAGCTTTTGACTCTCCCCCTTACACGCATTCCTTTCGTGCGCCGAGCCAAAACAGTGAGCCAAAAACCTTGACCTTGCCCACTGCGATTGCGAACGAGGCCGAGCAGACGTCGGAAAGCGTGTGACAGTGCCGTGCTGCACTTCCGCGGATTGGCATGCCGACGATGCAGCGCATGGAAGACGCTGCTCCGACTCGAGTCGCCGAGCATCACAGGCGCGCGAACAAAAAAGAAAAAAAAAAAAGTCAGGTCCCAAACGTTGCCCCTGACAGGTCGTTCCGACGACAGCTGCGCCACTCCTTTTTCTTCTCTGCCTCGGCTTGCTCGTGTCTTGCCCAGCGAAAACACGCACGGTATAATCTCGTGCCGAATCTCATGCCAAACCCACAAGAGTGTTGTTGCCATCTGTGGTGCACCTACGCGCTGTCGAGGTTCTGCGTCATCCACCCCATATGCGGTGGTTGTGTGGGAGGAGTACGCCCAAATGGTTGGCAAGTTGGCAGGCGCGGGGGCCGTTTTTTCATCACCATGCAGCTGCCAAGTGTCCCAAGGCATCAAAGGATGCATGTTGGCGCGATCCAAAGCGGTCCCCAGAGCTCGGTCGACGCAGCCTTGCCCTCTTTTTCCTGGCGGTTTACGGAAAAAAAAACTGTATTCTGGTTCGCGCGTTTGGGTTTGGCTTCGCTTCGGCGCGGGCGATCGGTCAGCACAGGGCCTCTCAGCTGTCACATGTCACGGGATTCCAACCAGGGTGCAAACAGCCCGCGCTTTGCGCTCTGCCCCCGCCCCTGCGCTGCTTCGGTGCGCGCACTCCGCCGTGCAAATTTCAAAGCCAGCTCATCCAACTGCTGCAGATCCATGCCGTCATCGTTGCAGAGCCAGCAACAACGCGCGTCCGGATCCGGCTCTTCGGTGCTCCCCTCGCCGAATCGCTGCTTTCTCTCTCCCTCTCTCTCTCGCCCTTGCATTCGGCAACTCAACTGCGCTGGTGCCCCCTTGTCGAGGCAGACACTCGCATTTCGGCATTCTTTGCCGTGACGCCCAGCTTACTGTATTCCCGCAACAGCCCGACCGAGACGTAATCCATGGATCGGAGTGTTTGGACGGGGAGTAGAGTTCGACGATGCTGCTCGGTCGGCTCGGTGCACAGCAGCCGAGCATTCAGCCGGGCCCCGTCCGCCCTCGCGTGTGCCATTTGGCGAGCCAGCTTGCGGCTTCGCTTGCGTGGCCAGCTCGACTTTGCCTGCGCGCGCTCCACGGTGTGCGCCTGCCGGTCGTGCGTGCATCGTCGATCCTCCCAGCTGCACCCGCCTCCCTGGTTCCTGGCCCCTGGCTCTCCCCCCCGTCTCTCTGCCGTGCCGCAAGGCTCCAACAATGCCGCGGCATCTTGCAAAGAACGCCTGCAATTTCCCTCGCCAAATCTTCCCTTTCTGCCCCCTTTTCGATCCCTGCAGCAACAGCAGCCACAGCAGGCGACCCGCAACCCGAATCCGATTTACGCTCCCCTTTGTCCGTAACAATCGTGTGTTCAGGCTTTGTTTGGGCCCCCCTTTTCTCGCCTAGCTCTGCCGAGTCGGCTCGGCCCCTTTCATTTTTTTCTTCTTCTTGCGCCCATCGATCCAAGCGTGTGGATGTGAAAAAAGGGCTTTTGCTGGTCGCCGAGACAGGCGGCGTGGCACTTTTGACGCTAAGCCCGAGATTGGCTGTCACATCGCCTCGCTTGAATGCTTAGCTTGCCACTAGACGCCATCCGCCGCTGTCAATCGGCTCCGGTCCGCAATCGAAATGCTCGTGGAAATCTTGGATCTGTCGTTAGACTGTCCGTTCCGAATAGGCCCTGTCGATCGCCCCCCTCTGCTCACTCTGCATGCTCGTTAGAGTAGAGAGTGTGGCTACCGATTGTTCGGCAGTCTGGGCTCGTATCGGAAGCTAACGCGAGCTTGTGTGGCAGCTTGACGGGGTTTCACGTTGCTCCTTCCATCAAGAACAGCACAAGGCTGCATCTCGGCTGTCGCCTGGCTGTGGCCCGCCTTGCATGCAGCTGGACCCCCTGTGGTGCGGAACAAATATTTCAACCGTGTCAACGCAGCAAGAATATGCACAGGATGGCAAGCCACGATTCCCATCAACCGCATCGCCACCCCCTGGTACGCCCAAATGCGTGAGAGCTTGACATGCGCACAACTTCTCATCTTTCCGACTCGTGAATCGAACAACTAGCCTGCTGCAGTAGTGCCTCTTCTGCGTCATGTAGGCTATCATAGATGCACGACTACGAATCAAGCCATAATAGGTTGCAGGAAAGACGGGCCAGGCTGCACACCGAACAATGGCGATCGCCGCACCAATCCAAGCTGTCGATTTGCTTCCTGACACTGTGACACTTTTGTGACAAGTGTCGATGGACGGCTTGCGTTCGCCCGTGAAACTTTCGAACATGCGCTTCGGCCACTTCCGACCGATGTGCCATGCAGCACACCTGCGCATGCAGCAACGCAAATGGGCCGCATCCTACAGCACAGCGAGCCTTCTATGCGCATCTGAAGCAGCCCCCAATATGCAGTTCCAGACACCACTCGCCGCTTCTTTTTTTCCCACGAGCCACCGCACACACATGCAAGATCCGCTGCACGTCGGCCTCGGTCATCGGCCCGAGAGGCGTGCACAGCCATCAGGGCTTCGTCCATCGCATCGCTCGTCAAGGCATGTGCGGATCAGCCCCGATCGACAAAGCCGCACCATCTCATTCCGCCGCGAGCGCCAACATCAGAATTGTTAGGCCGCTGAATCTAGTTGGGTCGAAAAAAGGTTCGAATGTTAGGCTGTATCTCGAACGCGTTCTCCACAAAAACGGCTTTGGGCAGCACTGCGGACAGCCGGTCGCTTGGCATGGACATGCGCAGGGGCCTGCTCGCAGCCGAGGCGAACCTCACTCCTCTCCACTCGCATCCGTATCGCTCAGCATCCATCCTCCTATCAGCGCTTGTCGTGGTCGTAGCTAGCTGCTTCAAGGCTCCATAGCAGTGGTGCGCTCGAGCTCGTGCATTCTGCGGCGCAGCAGGAAGCTCAGACACCCATCACAGCTCGGCGTGGCGTATCTTGAAGCCCAGCACTGTTGGAGCTCGACCGTCAACCCATCCTGCTAGCACGCGCCAAAAGGAGCCGCCATGTCCCGTCAGAATCGCCCGTTCACATGGGGCGGTTCCCAAGCAGGATCATCCTATCTGGACCCCAACTCTCCCTCGATGGAGTCGAGCACCTTTGGCTGTAAGTGCATCTCTGAGAGCGGATGATAAGAACCGGGCTATATGCTGATCGACTCGTATGGACTCTGGATCAGTCGAGCCAAGCGTCCCGGATGCCTATCGACAGGCGTGGAACATCATCGTCACAGGCTCTTCGAGCGACTCTTTCTCGGTCCCAATCGACGCCGACGTGCCGCTCGGCTCGCTCCACAGCTTCCTCGGCTCGGCCGCCAGACTCGGGCCAGGCAGCGCCGAGCAGATCGTGACCATCGCTTGTAAAGGCTCGCGCTGCTCTCGTACCGATTTCTACCTAGCGCTTGGGCTGTTGCACCAGATGCAGCAAGGTGACGAGCTCGATGTGCACGCGGCCCAGCAGAGGCTCAACGCAGGCACGCTCGGTGTGCCTACGCTGCATCTAGCTGAGCATGCCTCTGGGGCGCGCAACAGCCACACTTTCCCACCTGCAGCTGCGCCATCCGGCTTCGGCAGATCAGATCCGCGCCCCGCTGGGCCGATGCGCGAGATGTCGGATCCATGGAACCCGAGCGGCGGCAGCAGCCTCAACGGCAACGATAACCGATCCACACTCAACCACGTCTACGATGGGATGCCGAACCAGCACGACGCTGGCATGAGCTACGATTCGGCCTTCCGCGGCGGCTTTGCGGCCAACGGATCTTCTGGCGTGGACCGCACAAGAAGCACGCTGGCCGATCCAAGACGCTCGCAGCAGCTGTACACCCACGCCGAGGATGCACCGAACGCCTTCCTGACAGCCGACCAGTCGCGCCGCAATCCAACTGCACGACAGGAGCGGCCATTCTCGTACATGTCGGACACGGCCGAGACGAATGCGGCGGACGCGACGGAGGATCCCTCGGCGGAGCTGCCCGAGGACGTAGTGGAGGTGCGGCTGCGCAGCGAGCTGGAGGGGTTCATCATCAAGCACAACGTGTACGTGGTGACGTCGAGTCTGCGCAAGTCGTCGGTGACGCGCCGGTACAGCGACTGGCTGTGGCTGGCAGAATGCCTGGTGAAGCGATACCCTTTCCGGTGCCTGCCCGTGCTGCCGCCAAAGCGGATCGCGATGCCGATCGCGGGGCGCCATCTGAGCGCCGACGATCTGTTCATCGAGCGACGGCGGCGCGGGCTGGAGCGCTATCTGCGCATGCTCACGTGCCATCCGATGCTGCGGAGCGACAAGCTGGTCGAGGTGTTTTTCACCGAGCCGCGCTCGATTGCCGAGTGGAAGAGCTCGGCGCCGGCGCTGTTTCTGGACGAGGAAGGGCTGGTCAAGATCGTGGACGAGGCAGAGCGCATGAGCATCCCAGAGGATCTCGAGCTCAAGCTCACGCAGCAGCGAAAGGCGATCCCGGAGCTGCTCGAGAGGTGGACGGCGATGGTGGCGCTGTTCGAGCGGATCGTCAAGCGCAACGATGCAGGGGCGGCCGACACTTCCCGGCTCAATTTTTCGCTGCTCTCGGTGATCGAGACGTCGGCCAGACGGTGGAGACCAGGGAGCGACAATTCGCAGCGCACCGAAGAGGTCATGACGACCACGGCGGGCATCTTGCAGGAGCATTCGGACCTGACCGCGTCGCGCGTGAGTGCCGTATCGCTGTCGACGCTCGAAGGACTCAAGGCGCAGCGCGACCTGATCGTGTCGTTCCGCGACCTGGTGGCACGCATCGACCGGCAGATGGTGGATCCGATCGACATGCTCAAGAAGCGCATCGAGGCGACGCAGAGGAAGCTCACGACCCTCGCCACCGCGCCTGGCCCCGCGGCGAGCACCGAGCAGGAGCAGGCGACGCTGTCGGCGCAGGTCAAGCAGGACACGCTGTCGATCCAAAAGTACCTCAACCGGCGCATCCACGCCAAGAAGACCATCTGGGAGGAACTCATCTGGTTCCACCACCGCTTCAAGGCCGTCGAACACGACCTGCACAAGTTTGTGCGCGACGAGACCTACTTCCTCGCCAACCTCACACGCACCTGGGAGACGGCCGAGATGAAGATGAAGATGATCCGCTGAACGTGCGCCGCTCGCTTTCACGACCTGCATCAGCCATTCATCCATTCACCCTCTGTCGATCCATCGGCGCTTTATCTTGACTGACGGTGTGGGTGTGTTTATGCGAGGCGGCGGGCAGCTTTACGCGGCGGCATGCAGGGTTTCGTTGCTGAGGCGCGCGCTGAGGCGGAATGAAGGCGGACCGAGGAACGCACGCAGCTGCCAGTAAGAGTCGGATGTGAAGGCGACGGGACACGGAAGGGCGAAATTTGGAGAAATCACAAAATCACACCCACTTTTCAGGCCGCTGTTTTTTTTTTTTTTTTGGAGAGCGGTGGAGGAGATGCAGGGCGGTCAGGGCGGGTGGGGCGAGTGGGCTGCTGAGCTGCTGAGCTGCACCCTGGCCTTCCCGCCTAGCCGCGACATCTTACCCTGCGTCCCGCATCCATTCACCCCACCGCTCCCCACCGCTTCCCGATCCCATCCTCACTCCGCTCCCGCAAGGCACATGGGCCCCACCGGCTCAAGCACATCACTTGCCCTTCTCGCACTTGCACCCATCACACAATAGGTGCATAGCCCGCCCACACACGCGGCAGCACCTGTCTTCCAGCATCTTACTCGAGCGCGGCAAGCGCAACTACCATCGCAGCCTGCCTTTGCTTCTCGCCTCCATCAACAATCCACTCGGCAGGCACAACAACCGACGCCTGGCTACCTAGCGGGTGCACATCGACAAACGACATTCCGGCATCCTCTTCGTCAAAACCAGGCTCGCCACGATGAAGTGCACAAATTGTGGCTCGTCGGCCATCGACTACGCCGACAACCAGGCGGTGTGTTCGCAATGTGGTGTGGTGCTCGAAGAGTCGCAGATCGTGAGCGACATCACGTTCGGCGAAAACTCGGCGGGTGGTGCGGTGGTGCAAGGTAGCATGATCGCCGCCGACCAGGCGCGTGCGCGCGTCTCGGGCCCCGGCGGCTTCCGCGGCGGCTACGTGAGCGAGTCGCGCGAGATGACCATCTCCAACGCGCGCACGGGCATCCACAACATGGCGTCGGCGCTGCGCATCCCCTCGCACGTCGCCGACCGAGCGTTACGCTTCTTCACGCTCGCGCTCGACGGCGGCGCCTCGGCAGCCACGGGCGACGAACCCAAGAACTACGTGCTGGGTCGCAAGTCCGAATACACGGTGGCGAGCTGCCTGTACGTGGCGTGCCGCATGGAGAAGACCACGCACATGCTCATCGACTTTGCCGACGCGATCCAGGTCAACGTGTTCATCCTCGGGCGCTCGTACCTCAAGCTCATCCGCGTGCTCAACCTGCGCCTGCCGCTCATCGACCCGAGCATCTACATTGCACGCTTCGCCGCGCTGCTCGACTTTGGCGACGAGACGCAAAAGGTGGCGTACGACGCCTCGCGCCTCGTCTCGCGCTTCCAGAAGGACTGGATCACCGAGGGCCGTCGGCCGGCGGGCATCTGCGGCGCGTGCCTCATGCTCGCCGCGCGCATGAACCACTTCCGCCGCTCGGTGAGCGAGGTGATCCAGGTGGTCAAGATCGCCGACGTCACGCTCCGCGCGCGTCTGGACGAGTTCAAAAAGACGCCGAGCGGTCAGCTCACCGTGCAGGACTTCCGCGACGTGTGGCTCGAGGAGGAGCATGCGCCGCCGGCGTTCCTGCGCGCGCGCGAGCCAGCCACCAACAAACGCAAGCGCAAATCGTACAAGGGTATCCAGCTCGAAGGCGTCAAGGACACAGACGCGGCCGAGGGCTCGGATGCCGATGCGGATGCCGACGTCGAGGCGGAGGCAGACGGCACGAGTGGTGCCACCAACGGCCCCACTGACGGTGCTGACAAAGGCGCGCCATCGAATGGTACGGAGAACATTGATCCGGAGCTGGAAAAGGTGGTGGACGAGGCGACGGAGCAGGAGATCCAGCAGTACTTGCAGCAGAGCCTAGCGCAGGAGCTCGACCGTGCGCTCGAGATGCAGGAGCGCGAGCGGGAGGAACGCGCCAAGTCCGGCAAGGTCGGCGGTGCAGTTGGATCGTCTCGAGCGTCGACGGATGCGATCCAGGGCGTAGACGCACCCATCCCGGACGACAATGTGGCCGGACCGTCGGGCTCGCGCGAGACGCTCGACATGAGCAAGGCAGGCAAGCTGTTGCCGCTGGGCGGATTAGGCATGGATGTGCAAGGCACGTTTGGCGACCGAGCCGATGCCAGCGCCACAACAACAGCAGCACCAACAAGAACAGCAGCGGAAGCCGAGGGGTCTACGAGCGGGGGCCGGCGACGAAGTGTAGCTGCGGCGGGGGTGGACGAGCTCGCAGATCTGGACGAGGAGGAGCTGGATCGGTTCATCCTGTCGCCCGAGGAGGTGCGGATCAAGGAGCGCGTGTGGATGGAGTTCAACAAGGACTGGATGGAGCAGACGCTCAAGAAGCAGCTCAAGCTGGAGCACGACCAGAAGATGGGCGTGCCGATCCGCGAGCCGTACAAGCGCAAGAAGCCCAAGGCGCCGCGCGATGCGTCGACGGCCATGCACACCAGCTCGGCGGCCGAGAGCGCCAAGATGATGCTCAAGCAGAAGCAGTTCAGCAAGAAGATCAACTACGATGCGCTCAACAATCTGTTCCCGGGCGCCAAGCAGGTTGGGGGCAGCAGCAAGGGGAGGGGTGGGAGGAAGCGGGAGCGCAAGAGAGGGAGGCAGGAGAGTAGCGACGAATCGTCGAGCGAGGACGAGCGCGGGAGGAGGCAGAGGGGGAAGTACTTTGGATCGGGCGACGAGGCGCAGGTGGTGGAGGAGGACGGCGATGTGCTGCCGCGCTCGCACCCGCTGCGACGCAACGAGACGCGGCTCAACCGGCGCGGCCATTCGTCGGCCGCCGAGGAGTCCGGTGGTGCGACGGATCTGGGCGACGAGGTGGACGAGTGGGCGGACGACGACGCGCTCGATGTCAACGCGGACATGCGCAAGAAGCTGGGCTACTTTGTGGAGCACGACGACGACGAGGGCGAGGAGACTGACTAGTGCTCCTCGCTTTGCAATTGCGTTGTTCAATCCATGCTTTCGATTGAGTCAAGTGCCTGTAGCGAGTGTGGAATGAGTTGTGGCGTTTGGATCTTTGCCGACGCGTTTGTGTGCGGTGCGGGGCGAATCGCCGGTGAATTCTGGCGCAAGAGAAGTGGGTGGGAGGGTGGATCTTTCCGTGGAACGTGCTGGTTCGATGAGGTGAGACCTTTGGTCTAGAATGGCGTTTCGCGGCGGGTCCAGGGTTGGCCGGGGAAAACGCGCGCCGTTGTAGCTTTTGCCGAGCGTGGCCAACGTGCCGACACTGTGTGCCGAGAGAAAAAACCAGGGTCTCCGCCACTCGACACAGCCTTTAGAGGAGTGTGCGCAACTTGCGAAATGTCGAGATGAACCCACCATCCGTAACTGGCGACGCTGGACGTGCCTCCTTCCATAGCCTGGTGCTAATTCCTTGCTACTCGACTACTGTATCTTCTGGGGGGTTGCGTACAATGATCGTTATCAAGACGGCGCTGGTGGTACTGGTGGTACTGGTGGGGTGGGTGGTAGCGTTGAGTTCCGATCCGGGCGTGTATCCGGGTGGGGACCAGAACCCGCTCCACGGGTGGCGTACACTACCCACCATCCCCGGCGCCTCTATCGACAATACAACACTCGCAGTGGGGAACGCCACGCTGGTGCACTATATCGACGCGGCTTACGATGCACGCCGCGTAAAACGCGCGGTGATTCAGATCCATGGCGAGAATCGAGATGCCTGGAACCAGTGGCTTTACGCCGACCTTGCTGCCCAGCGCGCGGCGGAGGGTGGCGATCTGGAGAGAGACGAGGTGGTGGTGATGGCACCCATGTTCTTCAACACGCGCGACCGTGGCGCTTATCCTTACGATGAAGCGCTGGATCCCGTTGCGACTACGACTACACAGGATACTTCGCTCCCAACCAACACGGCTGTTCGAAGAGGGATGGAAGGGAGGGTGCTGGAGCGCAGGGGAAAGTTCCCGATTCCGTTGGGGAAGGTCAGTACGACACGTGCGATGATTTGGAAGTCGGTCGAGTGGGGCGAAGGTGCAAATGCCTACGAACCGGTCGGTGCACCGGGTAGCTTTGAAGCCCTAGACGCCGCGGTTGACTTCTTCCTCGACCGAACGCGGTTCCCCCATCTGCGAAAAGTGGTCGTTGCGGGATTCAGCCTGGGCGCGCAACTCACCAATCGGTATGCCACCTTCCGCACGGACACGACCAACGACGACCGCGTGGCGTTCTGGATCTCAAGCCCCAACTCGTTCGTCTACCTCACCCCCACCCGCCCCCTCCGCATCGGCGCAGCCTGTGCATCCACGTACGCCGACTACAAGTACGGCCTCAACGGGACGCTTCCCTCGTACATCTCATCGACATCGTTCTCGGCATCCGAACTCATCCAGCGCTACCTGGCTAGGACGGTGTATTACCTTGTAGGCATGCAGGATGATTCTGCCGGCTTGGACTCGTGTGCACCGAATAGCCAGGGTCGCGGACATCTGGACAAGATGTGGTACTGGACCCAACAAACGCTCCCCTACCTACCGGGCAGCACGGGCAACGAGGGGGAACTTCCCCCCAACAGCGAGGTCAGGTTCGTTGCAAAGACGGGCCACCAGGACTGGAAGATGATCACCTCCGATCCGGGCGTCGAAACGCTGCTTCTCAAAGGGTGGTACGCCAACGGAACGGATGCACGCGCACCCAAGAGCAACGGTGTTACCGCGGCCAATACCCCATCCTTGCACCAGGTGACCAACGCGGCATCCACCAGCCACCGCGGGCACGTCGTCGCCGTGACCGTCGCGGTGTCACTTCCGCTACTCGTCGCCCTCACATTGTAGAGCACCCTTTAGACTGCTCTTAGACTGCTTTTTAGACTGCTTTTAGACTCGACACAACACGCACAATAGAGCGGCAAATCTGCACCATTACCACCTCATGCCGTCTCGCTCGTCGTTTGCTCCTCCTCTGGCTTCGCCTCGTCCTGGACGTGCGCAGCCGGCACCGCCGTCGCGCGCAGGGAAATCGTCGCGTCGTCATCCACTTTCACCCCGGCGAGCTTTTGCGTATGCTCCTCTTCGTCCTCTGCATCCTCTTCATCCTCGTCATCATCATCGTTGTCCGCGGAAAGGAAGCTGTGTTTGTCCGCGTCGGTGGGCTGAGCAGCCCAGCTGGGCGGATGGTCGTCTGCCTCGTCGTGGTCTGGTCTGCTGAGAATCGCGGTGGGGCGCGGACTGGGTGCAGGCGGAGGCACGAGCCCCACCGCATCCGCCTGCATGCTCTGTGGCAACGTGCGCTGAGCCGCCGTTCCACTCCTCTCCCTCTTTGCCGTGGTACCGTTGGCCACCACGGGACCCCGCGAAAATAGCTCGCTCTCATCCCCTCCGTGACCTGCAGCGCTGGGACGGGGCGGAAGATTATCGGTAGCGGTAAGGTCGTATGTCTGAACGAGGCTGTAGAAGCGTTCGTAGAGCGAGGTTTCGGCCTCGCACGCGAGGAATGTGTCGCGGTGATAGCACCATGCGTGCACAAAGATGCGGCTGAGCCGGCGGGCGATGCTGCCAAAGTGGCGCAGACTCGTGTTGGGCACGTACGTGCGCGAGGGGAAGTGGCGCGCCGAGTTGAGCAGCGACGTAGCGCCGTCGAGCGTATGCACCATGTAGTCGATGGCACAGCACTGTTTTTCTTCGCCGTGCGATGCGCAGAGGTACATCCAGTCGCCCGCATTCATGGCCGCACACGTCTGTGGCCGCGCGTCCCGGTCGCACTCCTGCTGCAGCGCCGTCAGCCACGGCGTGGTCAGGTCGAGTACTAGACGCCGCAGCTGCTCGTATACCCAAATGTCCGTGTCGACGTTCTGCAGCATCCCATCGTCCTCCGAGTCGTCCCTCGACTTGCCCTTGTCGGACGCTTCGATGTCCGCTTCCGTAGGGAGAGAGGTGATGGCTTCCACGGCGTGCGGGTCGCGACGCACCAGCATGGCCAGGTACTCTTGCAGCTGGAACGGGCTCTCGCCTCCTGCTGCCGACGAAGGACCCGCAGCGGCGGAAGAAGAAGCTGCTGGTGCAACGACGGCGGCGGTGGATCGAGGCTCGTCGGAGGAGTGCATGCGCTGCTCGGCAAGCAGCACCACTTCGTCGAGCTTCTGGCCGCGGCGGATGCGATTGCGCCGGGGTGCGGTGGATTTGGCGACGGCGGCGAGCTTGGTGCTGGGAACGACGCCGCCCACGGGTGTGGTGTCGGAGATGCTCATGGTGAGGATGCGGTGGTGGCGGTGGCGGTGGCGGTGATGATGATGGTGGTGGTGGTGGACGACGCGGATGTGTGTGTGCGTGTTGGATTCATTTTGGAAGTCGCCCAGTTTCCACGCGCGACATCTGCTGCTGCCCGCCTGGAGAGGGTAACTTTGAGCGTGTCGGTGTGTGTCGGTGTTGTGCCTTTTTGGCAAAGGTTGCGCGTGCGCTGCAGTGCGTGTGGGGATCGCCAGACCGCATCCGATTGTCCCACACAGGGGCTACATGCAATCGGGGGATCGCCCCTGCTTGAAACCGCGCAGGAACGCGAGCCAAAATTCAAACCTCTTTTGTTAGAGCTTGCCCCTCATCGGCCAGCGACATCGGCTGAGTGCTTCCCGATACATTGAGATCGCAATCTCCGGACGAGCTTATCCCCGGGATGGCGATTTCGGCTCGCACTTCCATGGGAAACTCGGGATGCCTGTCGGTGGGCCGCTGCGCCTTTTCCTCGACCCTCAGCTCAGGACCCCGAGCGGAATCGCTACTGTGTGCTGTGCTCAAGAGCCGCTCTTGCGGTGATGAAGCCAAGGCGAGGTCGCAGCCGCTGGCAGTCGGTGGCGACGAGATGAGGCGTAAAGCAGCACTGTGAGGACCCAGCATGGCTTGCAGACGAACCTGAACAGAGTCAGTTGGGGCCCGAGGGCAAGGCGGGATGGGGACTGGCATTCGGATGCAGGGCCAGGCGAGGCAGCGCAACGCTTCCATCCGCTTCGCTCGACTGCTTTTTGGCGATGCGCCGTTGCCAGGTCGGCCACACTTCCGACCCGAGTCAAGAGCGCCACTTGGCCTCGCCTCGCCTCGCATTGCGCCTGGCTGGTGGAGCGGGATGGCCACGAACGACAGCCCCAACGTGCGCTCGAAATCAGCTCGCGTTGGAAATTTGGATGGGCGCTGTTTTTGACAGCTCTCCTGCACGGCCAAATGAGTGAATGAAAGGCAGGCATGTGCGCATCCCACAGCTGTCTGAATCCAAGAACTGCGGCTCAGTTCCTCGTCTCTCTCTCTCCCTCTCTCCCTTTCTCTGACACGCGCGACCAGCTCTCGCTCGCTATCTCTGTGCTGCTCGTTGCCAATCCACTTTCTCTTCTTCTTTCACCCTCTCCGTCCACCTCGTCTCGTTCGTTTCAGCAGCAGCAGCAGCAGCGTCGCCCTCCACGCCGCGCTTTTCTCGCCACCAATCTGGCCGGCACCATCTCGCAAACGCTGCTTGACCGCATGCCTCTCGAGCTTCATGCTCTCGTCGTCGGCCTGATTCAGCCCGGTAGTTCTGTCTTGATCCTCCTCGGCCCCATCTGAGCATCTGCCAACCACCTTCTTTCATTCTACCGCCATCCTTCTGCGTCCGCTCGCAGCCACACATCGCCTGCTCGCTCACCATGAACGGCTTCAACTTCAACATGGCCGACGCCTCCGCAGGGCTCCCTTTCCTCCAGCAGCCCTCCCAACACATTCAACAGCAGCAGCAGCCACAGCCACAGTCCGACGCCGCACGACCCCCCGTAAAGCGTCGCAACCGCAAGGCCGTCTCGTGCGTATCCTGCAGGGAGAAAAAGATCAAGTGCGATCGTGTAGTGCCGTGCAACCAGTGCGTCAAGCGAGGCGAACAGGACCAATGCCGCATCGAGCAAAAGCCCAAGATCGTCCACAACCACCCGCCCGCCCCCTCGGCCTCGCATCCTCCCATCGACCCGCTCTCGCCCGGATCCGCAGCCTATTCCCAGTTCAGCGCCGCCATCTCTACCGCCAAGGACCAGGTCAACGCAGCACAGGCCACCGGCAGTCCGCCCCCGGCAGAAGTTGAGGCGATCAAGGCAAGGCTTGCCCAGGTCGAGGCGCTCCTCGCCGGTCAAATGCCCTTATCCAGCGCAAACGCCTTCGCTCCCTCTTCGCCCGCAGCATCGTCCAACTGGAACGTCTACAGATCCGCTTCCGGCTCCGGTCCCGCGGAACTCGATCTCTCGCGCGCTTCCACCAGCTCTCACAGCCCCGCCAGCCTCTTCTCCGGCCACCGCTCCGCATCCATCCCCACCTCCGCACATCACTCCTCGGTCTCCCCCAACGCAGCTCCTCATGACACCGACGAGAGCGAATCCGACGACGACGACGATACCGCCCCCTCCAGCCCGCGTGCTCCGCATTCCGCCCACTCGCCCTCCAACCGCCTCAGGACAGACCGCATGCCCGTATCGAGGAAAGAGATGGACTCCGACACCGAGGACGCCGCCATGGTCCTCGAGCGCCTCGCCATGGACGGGCCCAACGACATGCGCTGGGACAGCACCTCCGGCGGGTGTCCAAAGCAGAAGAACGCCGCCGGCGCAGAAGAGCTCGCCACTAGCCAAAAGTTCGAGCGCTGCAACAAAAAGGTCTCCGAAGCCGCCAACACGGCCAACGACACTGTCGCCCGTTTCGAAAAGTGTCTCCAGCGCGACAGAGAAGTGGGCCTCATGTCGACCGAGTGTGCCACCTCGGCTCCAGCACAAGCCACCGTGCAGTCGCCCGTCAGCGTGCTGCCACTCCAGGCGTCCGAGACTCAGGTCCCCACCGGTATGCTCCTTCCCACGCTCTCGAGCGCACCGCAATCCGACGAGCCCTCGAGCAGCGGTCCACCATGCGCCTGCCGTGCACCCAACGACGAGGGCACCGACACCACCTCCTACCAAGTCGGTGCTGACCACGCCTGTCTCAAGAACAACGAGCCCGCGTCCAAAGAACCTTCGCCCATCACCGTCCCCTGCAAGCTGGCGTGTGAGAACAAAGGTCTGCTTCGACTCAAGAGCGGTCCCGAAACCCTCTTTGGTTGGGGCATGGGGTGGGCCTGGTCGGCTGCCGAGATCCTCATCCAGCAGGACCAGCAAAAGGCAAAGGAGCAGGGCAAGACCTTTGACGTCGGCCCTCGCACCGAGCGCGAAGCCGTGCTCCGCGCCATCTGCGAGAGTCTCCCGTCCAAGCAGATGGCCTACCAGCTCATCGACGTCTACGAGTCCAGAGTTCGCTATCTCTGCGGCCACGTCGTGCACGTGCCGTGCCTCAAGCGCGAGATGGAGGCCTTCTACGCCTTAGACTCGGTCGAGAAGCGCGCGCGCGTTGTCAACCACGTCGACCCGGGCTGGCTCGCCATGTTCCTCTCCGTGCTCGCTCTCGGCCTGCGCTTCTACCCCTGCTCGCCCAAGCCCGGCTGGCAGCCCGCCAACCACCTCTTCGACGGCAAGACCATCTACGCATGGCACTCGGCCGCAAAGACGTGCCTCGTGCTCGCAAACTACCTCAACTCCACAAGCATGAGCGTCATCCAGGCCATCCTCCTCCTCTACCTCTTCACCTCCGTCTCGGGCGCCAGCTGCGGCGGCGAGGCCGACTCGGGAACCACCAACACCGCCCTCCTCCGCATCGCCATCACCAATGCGCAGGAAATGGGCCTTCATCGCCTCGGCGACCTCGACAAGCAGCCAAAACCCAACGAGCCCTCGTCCAAGGTCATCCGCAGGGAGATCGCAAAGCGCATTTGGTGGGCGCTCGTCTTCCGCGACTGGAGCGCAACAGGCACCGGCTGCTCCAAGGACTACATCATCCGCGCAGAGCATTTCAACACGCCCCTCCCCGGCAATTACAACGACGAGGACCTCATGATTACGCCGCTCCCCGCCCCCCGGCCGCGCGAGGAGTTCACCGAAATGTCTTACGTGCTCTCCAACCTCGAGTTTGGCATGGTCGTCAAGGAGGACGTCGACGTGCGCTTCCGTCGCGAGTTACATGCAGCCACCAACGGCGGCGACCGCCGCCTCACGTGCGTCGAGGCACAACGCCTCGATGTGCTCTACCGCGGCGTCCTCGAAAACGCACCCAGCTACTTTAAGGTGGGATCCGAGATCGGCCGCGTGACGTGCATCGAGGTGCAGCGCTGGCTGCTGCAGCAGGCCGTCTTCAGCAAGCTCCTCCGCATCCACCGCCCCAACCTGTCGAGTCGCAAGGAGTCGCGCACCAACTGCGTGCTGCTCGCACGCTCCATCCTCGACATGCAGAAGAAGATCCGCTCGCGCTGCACCGTCATCGACCGCCTCTGGGTCAACCTCATGCAGAGCTTCTCGGCAGCCATCGTGCTGGCGCTCCATCTGCTCCACACGCGCCCCACCGCCGACCACCGCGAGTCTGTCCGCTCCGAGATCACCGAGGCCATCCGCGCGCTCAAGCAGGTAGACGGGAACGACTGCGCAGCCAAGAAATGCATTCGCGTCATTGAGGCCTTGCTTGAGGAGGAGGCGGAGCGATGGCAGGCGGGCAACGCTGCCCTCGCACGCAAGGACGGACCCGGTACGCAGGAGGCCGCCAAACCTAAGCGAAAGCGCCAGATGGATGTCGACGCCGCCGACGACGAGGGCGCCGCCTCGTCGGGAGGCGGACGCAGGAAGAACCTGCTCAGTCTGGCGCAGCGAGTGGCGCAGGCCGCGCGCGAAGATGGCTCTGCGGCCAAGGCGCGCTCGGCGCCGGCCCCGGTCGATGAGGCTTCTAAGCGTCAGGCCACGATGGCTGCGGTCCGATCCATGGCCGACGACGGCAGCCGTGCTGCGGCGGACCGATCGCTCGAGGTGAACGGCGTCACGGCGCTCAAGGACGATGCTTCGCTCTTCCGCATGAACAACATCACGCTGCCGACGTCCGGTCCGAGCCCGATGTCCATGTCGGCGCAGGCCAACACGGACGACGTGGCATTCCCGCAGATGCTGTCGACGATGCCATTCCCGAGCAACCTGTTCAACTTTGACGGCAGTAATGAGGCCGCCCAGCGCCTTGTGCCGCCGAACGGTGTCGATCTGATGCTCAACAATCCCATCACTCCGCCGGATGGCCAGTCGTTTGACCTGGCCGCGTTCCTTGAGCAGGTGCAGAACTCGCCCGGCAGCTCGACCGATGTCAGTCTTTCGTCGGGACACGACGAGCGCTCGGCGTCGACGAGCTCGGACGTGTCGGGCATGGACGACAAGGCGTCCGGCTCGGCCTTTGGCCGCGCGAGCACCAGCAGCGTCGGCGACGGCACCGACAACACGAGCGTGTCGAGCTTCGGCGAGCCGCTGCTCACCAAGGAGGCCATCAACCGCCAGCAGCAGCATCTGCAGGGAGCCAATGGCGCCAGCGTGCTTGCGGCGAATGCTGGCGTGGGTGTCCCTCATGCGGGCTCAGCGGCGACGGGTGCGGCAAGGCCGGATGCGTCGACGGACATGGACTCGTTCTGGAACTGGATCATCACCCAGGGCGCCAACGGCATCACTGCCAATACAGGTGCGGCGGGACAGACGGCACCCGTGCTGGTCCAGCCCGCGCAGAACAATGCGACGCCGTCGAGCCAGGCCAGTGTCGGTGCACCAGTGGCTGCGCACGTTACGCCGCAGTCGGCGCACAGCGGATTGACGCCGTTCCTGGGTCCGAACGGATTCTTTGCCAACGCCGGCATGGATCTTGCCAAGGGTGGTGCGGCGGTGCACGGATATCCGACACCGAGCTCGATGGCGTCGTCGACGCCGCCGAGCAAGGCCGAGCCTGTGGGTGCGCAGGCGACTCAGCCGAGCACCACGGGCCCGGCTGCCGGCGGCGCGTTCGGCGACGATGCGCAAAAGGCGGATCTGCTGTCGGTGGGCACGCCAAGCGCCGGCTTTGGCCTCGAGAGCTTCCTCGGCGCGCCGCTGTACGACTTTACCGACTTTGCCAATGCCTGGACGGCGAGCAACCCGGCGAGTGCGGGTCAGGTGGGCGCGAGCATGGGTCCGGTCTCGGATCCCTAGTGAGCTCCCCAGTGTATTTTTAACTCAGGATGTGCGTGCAATGGTGCCGCGTCAGTCTAGTCGCAAGGTGGGTGTGAGGGATGTGTGAGAGCAGCGTGAGGGTGGAGTGTGTGATGTGAAGAGGCGGTGTAACTTATTTGGCGCGATGGAGGGTCGGTGCGAGCGGTGATGCACGGACGAGGTTGTCGCGCAGAGTCGTCACGGGAAAGGCGTCGCCAGCGTCGCCAGCATCTGCAGAGTCCGCAAAGTGTCAATGTAAGCCTTGTACGAGCTGGACGAGGCGGCAAGACTTGTACCGCTTCGCTTACTTGGTCCGAGTTGATCGTGTGAGGAAGTTGTCCAAGACTGACTCAGCCAACAGGAGCACACGTTTACTGCACCGACAGGACCGGTTGGAGTGACTGAACCAGTTGAGCCGACTGGACTGGCTAGACTGAGTGAACCAGTTGAATCGACTAAAGTGACGGAACCAGTTAGAACAAGTGCTCCGACTGGACAGATGGGACTGTAGAATGTGTGTAAAGGGTGGGAAAGTGTAGTACGACGATGCGAAGAGCCGTGGGAGTGTGGAAAGTGTCCTGACTGCAGCGGCAGTAACCTTTTGGCAATGGACGACAAGTGGACGGTGTGTGAAGCCTTGTGACCATGACTGCTGACACTGCATGCCCAAAGATGGACTTTGCAATCTGGCGCTTGCGCGGCTGTCACCACCATCATGACGCCCCCCATCCGTCAGCACCATTGCTCGTGGAAATTTCGATACCATCGCACCTCCCTCGCTTCATCCGAGCGCGTCTCAAGCCCTCGACTCATGACTTCTGCTACATGGAGCTGACTCTCTTCGACGCGTCTCTGAGATGGCGAGAGATGCTGAGGTTCGTAGCGTATCGTGCGTGCCAGCAACCCCCGAGACTGCACCCAAATCAACTGTAAGCTTGCGCCTCAAATCCAATCGACAAAAGTCATCCACTCCCAAGAGCTGACTGGCGACAGAGAAGGACGTGTCGAACATCACCAGCGCCCCCCCCTGGGACACAAGTGGCGCACAAACCACACATTCTCAAGTCTACACAAAGCCACACATCACCCACATCACTCAAATCACCAAAACCACACCGGCAGTCTGGCGAGAGCATCATCCTGGGCTCCAACTGTAACGAAATGCATTTCATCAATCCACGCAAGGCTGCAATGCGGGGGCCACTACCAGTCCGCAACCCAGCCCTGCCGGGGCGGCACGCGGAACACCTTGACAATGCCCGCCTTGAGATCGTCCAGCCTCAGACTGACCTCGTCGGGGCTGGCGCCCTTCTTGCCCTGGCTCTGCACCACGGCGCGCAGCTTGTTCTTCTTGGGCTCGACATCGACGAGCACGAGCAGTGTCGGACTCGCGCCCGTGCCCAGCGTGGTGTGGTAGGGCGTAAGGCCCTTTTTGCCCTTAAAGTCGGCGCCGGCGCACGAGATGACGTCGCCCGGTCGCACCTCGTCCGCAGCAGTCTCCATGACTGTCGGCCCCACCTGCGTCAGCACAGGCACGCCGAGCGCACTGCCCACGGGAGGCAGAGCATTCGGCACCTGCCCCAGCAGCGCATACACCATCCCGCGCGCACTACCGTCACCCACCGCCACCCCAGCCTTGACAGCATCCGTAGCCATGCGCGCAAGCACAGCTCCGATCCCCGCCGACCACTGCCGCAGCTCATCCGCGCCCGGCTTGGCAGGCGCAAAGTTGTGCCGCTGCGTAAGGCTCGTGTGCGCCTCGTCGAGGTCGTCGTCCTGGAACGAGAGCGAGATGACCGTGGTCGAGTAGTCTTCGAAGAGCATGTAGATGTCGGCGCGGTGCACGGCGACGCCCGTATCGCTGCTGCTCGACGTGTCGGCGTACAGGATCGCATCGGGTCGACCGGCGACACTCGGCGGCAGACGCAGCGGGTTCAGTCCGTGCCGCCACCACCGGCTGCTCGGCATCAGATCCAGATCCCGGCTCGACTGGCGCGCTCCCACCGCCACCCCGCTGCCGGGTACGGGCGGCAGGCTCGCCTCGGTCCTCGCGACGGCTGGCGACGCCGCCACTTCGGATGCAGGCGTGGCCACAGAGCCATCCTGACCCGCACCCACCGACGCGTAGGATGCAGACGAGCCCTGTCGGCGCGGCGGCACACTCGCCTGGCCCGGCAGCGGCGGTGCCCGCGATGACGGGCGCGGTGGCGGGCTCACAGGCAGGGGCGGCGGGCTGGCGGGCAACGGAGGCGGGCTGGCCGCCGCGCTCTCGCCCACCACCGCATCGTACTCGGCGAGCGTCGACGAGTCGCGCGAGTGTGTGCCCATGCCCTGCGGCACGGGCGGCTTGAACGACGTGCGCCGGCCCAGACTGCTGTTCGCCGGGCTCGCCGCACGCATCGCCTCGTCCAGGTTCGGCATGGGCGCCGTGCTCGACGGTCGGCCGGGCGGCAGCGCAGGCGGAGCCGCCTCGGCGCCGGGCGTCGGGAGCTGGCGCGCCGGTGGCGGGCTCATCGGCTTGGGCGGCGGACTGGTGGGCACGGGTGGCGGACTGGTAGGCACGGGCGGCGGACTCGCTAGACGCACGGGCGCGTCCACGCTAGCTGCTCCCGGCGAGCGCGCTCTTTCCAGCGCGTCGCTCTCGGCGCTCTGCGCATTCATACCGGGCACCCCCGTCAGACCGGGGATGGCCATGCCGCCCCTTGGGGGTCCGCGCAGCGGCGACACGGGTGTCTCTACCTCCTCCCCATCGCCTTGAGCCTCGACGGTCGCATCCTCCTCCTCTTCCGCAGCAGGAGCCTCGACGGGGGCCTTCCTGGCGGGCATGGGCGCGCCCATGATGGGTGGCGGCGCCATGCCGGGGAACGCGCCGATCCTCTGGCCACCGAGCGCGGCCATGCGGCGTGCGAGGTTGGCACGACGCTGCGCCTCCTGTTCTTCCTCGGTGAGCTCCTGCGGCTCGGCCTCCTCCTGCTCAGCAGCGACAGCTGGCTCGGTAGGCTCGGCAGACTCCGTGGCTTCTTCGGTGGAAGTCGGCGCCTCGGCCGCAGCAAGCAGAGCTTCATCCTCTGGATCCTCGGTGGGCACAGCCATCCTCGGCCTGGGAGCCGCGAGCACGGGGCCGGAGCTCGCGGCGCTCTCCTCTGCCTCTACATTCTCGGCCTCGTCAGCGGCAGACTCGATGGGCGTGGGCAGGGTGGGGGCGGGCACGGGCGGGATCAAGCTCGCGCGGCGCGCGGGACCCGAGTCGCCGAGTGAGGCGGCAGGGCTCTGCGCGCGTGCCAGCGCCGAATCCTGCTCGTCCGCAGGCGGAGGCGGGAGTGCGGTCTTGGGGATGGGCGGGCGAGTACTGGGCGGGCGACTGGGCGGCTTGGGCGAGACAATCTCTTGGCGCTGTGCGTCTGCGGCTGATGCGGCAGTCTCCTCATCGTCAGGTTGATAGGTGGTGCTGTCAGCGACAGGCTCGTCTAAGCTCTGGGATGCCGGCTCGGTCGCGGGCGCCACGGTGTCCTCGTAGAAGCCCTCGCCGCGCAGGTACTCCTCGAGCTGCCTCTGGTTCTCGGCGATCTCGGGGTCGAGCTCGGCCGCTTCTTCCTCGTGAGGTTGAGCGAGCGGGGCAGCTACCTCGGCGTCGTCTGCACGTACGGCTGGCTCGGAAGCTGGCTCTTCGTCGGCAGTTGTGGTCGTTTCGTTCTGAGCGGCTTCCTGTGCGATAGGCTCGCTGGTCTCGGTAACGGAATCGGCTGCGCTGGGCGCATCGATCTCTCGGCTGGGCTCGGCATCAGCAGCAGGAGCTGTCGGCTCGGATTCGTGGGCAGCAACTGCTCCTGCTGCTCCCGCAGCCACGGCTCCGGCCGCAGCTGTAGGCGCCGCAACTTGCGCGGCCGGCTTCTTCTTTCGAGGCGCAGCGGTACGCCTGGGCACGGCGAGGATCATGGGTTCCTCGCTGGCCTCTTGGCTGGTCTGTGCTGGCGCTTCGGCGCCTTGCACGTCTTTGGCAGGCGCGATTTCTTGGCCGTCTGCGTTGGCTGCGGCGGCGGATGATTCGGCCGGAATGGTGATACCCGGCTCCGACGAAGTGGCTTCGGCGGACGCGGCGCCGGCGGATGCCTTGCGGGTAGGCGGAGCGGGTGCGCCGAAGGGCGTGGGACCGCCGCCCATGCGTCGTGCACCGAGAGCGGCCATGCGCTTGGCGATGGCAGCACGTCGCTCGGCCTCCTGTTCCTCCTCAGCGAGCTCCTTTGCCTCGGGCTCGTTTTCGGGCGCCTCGGAAGCCTCGATTGCAGAATCGCCTTCGGTGGCAGCGGCGGTTACAGGCGCAGCATCAGCCTCTGGCTCAGCAGCAGCGGCAGCCGGAGCACTGGCGTCTTCCGAGGCAGCTTCGGGTGCAGCAGCGTCTTCGGACTGTGGAACAGCCTCGGTGCTGGACTTGCGTGCAGGCACCGCACCGGGAGCCAGACCCATGCCCTGGAGTGCGACGTTTCTGCGATCGGCGCCGATCTTTCCAGGGACGGATGGCTTTGGCTTGAGCTGAGGAGCTGCTTCGGCAGCGGTGGCCTCGTTGCGCTGGAGTGCGGCCATTCTTTCCTTGAGGCTCATCTTGATGCTGCTCTGTGCGTCGGCGGCGCTGAAGGCTCCGCCTGCGCCCGAGGGAGACTCGACTGTCGGGGATGACGCTTGGCGCGGCTCGGATGGCGTGGATAGGTTGGTGTTGATTGATGGCTTGGTGGTGGAAGATGCAGCGACAGGAGCACCGGGGAGCAAAGGCTTTGACTCGGTGGAGGCCGGAGTGGGCCTCTTCCATCCGCCAGGTTTTGCCTTGGGAAGCGGCGGCGGAGCGGACTCTGCAGGCTTGTTGAAGGCAGCGAGACGATCGCGGAAGGAGCTGGACATGCCAGCGGGCTTTGTGGCGACGGCGGGTGGCGACTTTGTCGGCGAGCTTGAAGCTGCGGCGGCGGCAGTAGCGCCCACAGCTGCGGCACCAGCGGCAGCCGAGCCAGCAGCTACATTGGTGGGAGCAGAGTCCTGAGCTGCTGAGCTGGGCGTATCTGCCGACCTGGACTCGTTTTTGGGCTGTGTGACTGGTGCGGTAGGCGCAGGCTCGACATCGTCGTCTTGCTGATCTGGCGAAGGCGGACGCGGCGGGAGGGGCGCGCCGAAGCCCGCTTGTTCGGTCTCGCCCTTCTGTGCTGCCTCTCGAGCCGCCTGTGGGACGATCTCGGCTTGATGCGTAGGCTCTTGCTCGACCGCGGAGCTCTGCAGCTGTTCAGGCATCTCTGCCGCGAGAGCACCGGGTGCAGCGGGCGGGTTGACAGCGTCGGCGATGGCAGCTTCGGCCTGGTGCGACTGCGCCGTGTCTGGCTCGTCGGTGGGTTGGACAAAGCTGCCCGGGAAGGTGCCGCTGCGAGAACCGTCTAGCGTCTCGCCGACCAGCCAGTCGTCGTCATCGTCGTCATCGTCATCCTGGTCGTCGTTCTTGGGCGCGACGCCGGTGACGCGGATGGTGTCGCCCTTTGCAAACGCGAGGTCCTGCTTGTGCGGGCTCTTGTACTTGATGGTCGCCTTGGCCAGGTAGGGGAACGTGGCCTGGGCGGGCATGATTGGGATTGCGTGGGGGTATCCTCTTCCCTTGTGTGTGTGTGTGGGTACGGTGGAGGTGGAAGGAGTGGAGACGAGGGTGGGTGAGTCTGAGGTGACGCAGCGACTGGACGAGGCTGTGTGTGGTGCTTTTGCGCAGGCGCCGCCTCAAAAAGGCTGGGCTGCGCTGCCCCTATGGAGCCACGCACGGATCACCCGGTGTGGAGGCGCGTCGCTCGACGGCTCGATTTTCTGCTTTCATTTGGACCGAACACTCTTGCGGTCTAACAAAGGTTACTGCGCTCGAAATTCTCGCACAGATGGACGGCCAAAAGTCGCACACAAGCTTCAGCCCCTTTGACGTGCTTTTTCCGCCTTGGGCTCCACTTTAGGCTCTTGGCGTTGGGCGCATGGACCATCGTCCGCATCCGCCAAGGCCTGCTTCTACACCACCACGGATCGCGAACAACCATGTCGGCGGTGGTGCGTCCGGTGCGCGATGCGCTTCGTCGCGTCCACGGCGCCTTCAGCCTGGAGCTGCAGAACGAAGGCAGCGTGGCGCGCGACCATCTCGCCTCGGAACGCACCTTTCTCGCCTGGCTCCGCACCAGCCTCAGCCTGGTCAGCATCGGAATGTAAGTCCCGCCTGTCCCTCTCACCCTTGTCTTTTGGATTGTGCTGACGGAGGTGTGGTTCAACAGTGCCGTGACACAGCTGTTCCAGCTTCCATCGCTCGTAGGAACACCAGACACCCACAACGGCGCAGGATACCTCGACTTTGAGGCTACACTCTTGGGTCAAGATGCCGTGCTGCCGCCACACATCCTACTCTCCCAGAGACTCGCCAGCATCGCAAAGCTGTAAGTCATACCTCTTAAGCGAAGTCCGTGCGGTGCACCCTGAGGCTGACCGGATATACTTGATTGGCATTACAGCGGCAAGCCGCTCGGTGGCTCGTTCATCCTGCTCGGCGTGATTGCACTCGGCCTAGGCTGCTACCGCTACTTTGCCGTCCAAGCCACCCTCGTCCAGGGCAAATTCATACCCTCCCGACTCGGAAGTACGTATGCTTTCCATACATCCCCTCTGCATCCACATCAGCGTCTGACTCCCACTTCTACTATCTAGTCTCGGCGATAGCGTTCCTCGTCGGCGCGCTCGTCGTCGCTGCCACAGCAGTCATCCTTGCCGGACGACACACTTACTAGGACCTCGATCTAATCTAAACCATCGCGACGTTAGATGAAACACTTCATCCTGCCCGGTCTCAGTCTCATGATGCTCGCGATGCTCACTGTTAGACGCCAACAGTGGTTGGTGTTTCAATGGCTTGGTATATTATTGCAAGATGGAAGGAGCTATGAACCGCTCACGACCGAGCATAATGGCAAAGCGTTTAGGAGTTGATCTCCTTCTGGGCCTTGCCAGCCTCCTCGCGGGCCTTGCCCTCCATCTCCTTGGACTTGTTGCCGGTGATCGAGCCAACGACGTTGTCGACCTTGCCCGAGACCTGGTCCTTGGTACCCTCGGCGTAACCCTTGGCCTCGGCGGCCTTGATCTCAGCCTCGCCCTTGGCGTGCTGCTCCTTGCCGGCCTTCTGCCACTCGGTGGAGCCGGTGGCGTTGCCGATGGTCTCCTTGACGGTACCAGCGACCGAGTTGTAGTTGCTACATTGGGACAAGGTGCGATTGGGTTAGTTGACACGGTCGATGTGACAAGGGGGATCGGCGTGGAGGAAAGCAACTTACCCGTTCATCTTCGAGGGCTCAGACATGTTGAATAGATTGTTTGGGTTGGTGTGTGAAAGGAAAGGGTTGAATGTATGTGTGGATGGGAATATGAAGGCAGAAGCGAGACTTGGGCGGGTTTATATGTGTTTTACGCCGCCTGGGGGGGAAAGATGGATTGGTTTGAGCGGCAACGTGACCCGCTTAGGCCAGGTGAGCCCCCAGGGAAGTGGAGGCAGCCAGGGTGCGTTGGCTAGGTTCCACCAACGGCATGCAGAGCCTCGTTGGGGCTCGCACGGGGATGCGGTGTGCAACTCCGCTAGGCCGAAACAATCCAGCATCTGCACTTGGTCAGCCGTCACAGTGCATGCTTGGATGCCGAAGCCGCCTAGACATTGTACTCACAGCAACTCCTCTATTTCCGGCGCCGCAGCGCAGCACAGCCAACGCCGTGTGCTGCTTGGCATCCCGAGGCCCGGCTGCTTGGCTCCGCCCAACAATGCCGCATGTGAATGGGCTTTGCAGCGGTACACCTCACCGACCAAGCTCACAACAACAACAACAACAACAACAACACCAACAACAACAACAACACTCGCTGCATGTCTGTCATCCGGCTTTTCGCAGCGCCGCTGCTTGACGTCACAGCATGTATGCTGCGATATGGAGGTGCTTTGTGGCAAAGCCCAGACCCTTACATCCGGTGTTGCACGGTTGTACCACCAGACCCTAGGGTGGTTACACGGTTGGCCGACAAGCGAGCTCCACCCAACGTGCAGCAGACAGGGGCTGGGGACTGGGGCTGGGGTTTGGAGGGGCACGGAACATCGATGCTGCCGAATGCCATCACCCCGACCAACCGCGTGCGGCTGACGACGCCCGAGTTCGTCACACGCCTCAAGCCACACTGCCGCCTGCATGGGCGAGGGCAGATGTTGACGTCGATGCGAAGCGCTGATCGCGAATCCGCTTTTCGCCTTCCCCACGTTTTCGGCACTTTAAACGCGCACATGACGTCACCTCCACTCGCCGTCCATTTTTAGACTCCTCCGACTCAGCAATCCCGATGCAGCCTCGCATCGGGTCCGCATAGCCCGCGTTCCTCGTCATGGTCTCGACCGCTCGGCATGACTCGAGCCGCACGTTGTACCACATTGGACGCTCATGGAACGTCGAGGGATGACGTGGAATCACATTCCCCCCTCTCCTCCGGCGCGGAACGACGGGCTGTGCAAGGCTTCCAAAAATGGCAATCACCCCCGCTGCATCTGCAGTAGCTGTAGTCATCAACCCAGTCTCGACTCGTGCATCTTTCCGACGGCGAATGCCGCAGAGCAACAAGCTGCAATGTGACACGAGCATGCAAGCCTGACTGTGCAGAACGCCGGGCTGGGAAACAACGAGCTTTATTCATTTGCCGATGGGCACATGTGCTACGGGATGGATGTGTGAGCGCCGATCCCTCTTCGTCGGGAGGACGGGCTGGTCTCACTTTTGAGTTTTGTTGCAGTAGGTATGTCTAGTGATGGTGGCCTTCGTGGGCGTTGGGATCCTCGTGGTCCATCCAGTCCTCGAAGCCGTCCTCGAAGAGCTGTTGCAGCGCCTCCTGCTTTTCGTTGATGCTGGCGAGCTTTGGATCATTCATGACTGCAGTCCACTGGTGCATCTCGTCGTCGGTGAGCAGACACGCATCGAGTGCAGTTCTGAGCCTCTGCTCGGCGCCGTGGCGCATGTCTTTGCCGATCATGACGATCTCCTGCCTGCGGTCGCCCCACGGCTCTTGAAAGTCGCGCTTGATCGCCTCGACGATCTCGGGCTCGTGCGGCCACATTTCTTCGCCCAGCTCGCAGCGCCAGCGTGCACCGCCCTGCAGCGTGAGCATGATGCCCGCCTGCGACCACTCGCCAAACATGATCGGCCGCGTCGCGAGCCACACAAACCCCTTGCTGCGCAGCAGAGGCGCAAACGTCTCGCTCGCATTCTTGGCTTGCAGCCTCGCCTGCGGATTCAGTTGCGGCTGAGCCTCCTCTTCGTCGTCGTCGCCCTCAGACTGTGCTTCGCTCTCCGAGTCCGACTGAGCGTCGTCTTCGTCGTCGTCGTCTTCGCCGTCATCGATGTACTCGGTCTGGATGACGACGAACACCTCGCGGATCGTCTGCCAGAGACGCGCGGTGTGGAACGGCCGACGTGCGCGGTACACAAAGCTGCCAATCCCGTACTCGTCCGTCTCGGGCTTGATCTCTTCGTTGAGACTCTTCAGCCACCCCGCACCGAGCGCCGCCTTCTCGTAGCTAAACAGACCCGTGTTGAGGATCTGCTCGAGATCCACACGACTCTTGGTGGTCGCGATGATCTTGGCCTCGGGGTTGAGCAGGCGGATGAAAGCACGGATGCGCTCCACCTCCTCCTCGCGCACCAGGTCGCATTTGTTGATGAGGATCACATCGGCAAACTCGAGCTGGTCGGTTTGCAGGTCGCTAATGTTGCGGTCGTCCTCCTCGGGCACGTCGTGGTCGTCCTTGTGGCGGTCCACGAGGAACTCGGTTGTGTTAAAGTCGTTGAACAGGTTCACCGCGTCCACCACCGTCACGCACGTGTCGAGGCGCGCCACCGCAGGCAGGCCGCCCTGCTTCAGGATCTCCGCCACCTTCTGGTTCTCTTTGCTCGCCTGCGGGCTCGTGCGCATCTCGGCCTCGAGATCGTCGGCCATCTGCACGTACATGTCGGCAAACTCCTCTGAGAACGTCTCGGCCACCTGCATGGGCTCCGAGATACCCGTGCTCTCGATCACCAGGTAGTCGATCTCGCGGTTTGCCGCCAGCGCCGCCACCTCTTCCAGAAGATCACCGCGCAGCGTGCAGCAGATGCAGCCGTTCTGCATCTGCACCACCTTCTCCTCCGCCTGCGTCACGCGGTGGTTGGAGAGTAGAGACGCATCGATGTTGAGCGCTCCCATGTCGTTGACCACCACCGCCACGCGCAGTCCGTGGTCGCGCGACGTGAGGATGTGCTCGAGCAGCGTGGTCTTGCCGGCGCCCAGGAATCCGCTGAGCAGAGTGACAGGGAGACGATCCATACGCTGACGCTTCTGCTGGACGGGCGCAGCGGTGGTGGCGGCACGCTTGGCTGCCTTCGATCGCACGCCGTCCACTCGGCTCGCGTCGAACTTTCCGTCCGCTGTGAAGATGGAGCCGAGGAAGCTCGCCTCTTGTCGCATGGCCTCCTTCGACCGCGGCTTCCTGTCCTCATCCGCATCCACCTTGAACTTTGACTCGGCCTCGTCGGTTTGCTTGAGCAGCTTGGCGATATCAAAACCCCATTGTTCCAGGTGCTCGTACACGAGGTCGTTCGGCGTGATGTCGCCCTGCTTGCGGGGGAGGACGTGTACGTGAAGGTGGGGCACGGTCTGGCCGGCCGCTTCGCCGTCTTGGACGCTGACAGTGACAGCATCCGCTTCAAACACCTTTTCCAATCCGCGAGAGATCTCCTGTACGCTCTGGAAAAGCGATGCGATGACTTGTGGCGGCACCTGCGAGAGCCGGTGATACGGCTCGGTGGGCACCACTAAGATATGCCCTGGTACGATGGGCTTGAGATTGACGATGGCATAGCAAGACTTGTCCGCCGAGCGGTAGAAGACCTGGTCGGTGACGTCGTATGTCGCAAACTTGACCTGCTCTGCTTTCGACACGGCCGCCTTCGAAGGACGCTCGATCTTTTTGGCGATCTGCGCAGGTGGGGCGCGCGGAGAGACTGCGGTGGGTGCCATGTTGGTGTGCAGACCCGTAAGCAGCTGTGTTCGAGAGTGGTCCAGACGGAGTAGATCGCGATGGATGCTTTGCAGTCGTGAGACATGATGCGAAGGAGGTACGAAAGCTTTTGAAGGCTGTGATGTCGGCCGCCGAGCATGTCCATCACCGGAGCGGTTCTGTGTCGTCGCCGAAGGAAGAGGCCGTGCGGCGGCGATGGGCGACCTCGGCTTGACCAGAAGGGTCGGCCATGATGACCTTGGCGGTCTCGCTGCCTTTGCCGCCATGTGCTGCGAGCCACTCGCCCCGCAATCAGGGGAGCCGCGCGACGAACCGGCGGTGGGAACATGCATGCTCGACGAAAGGCAGCAAGATGTGTGCGCCCTGTCCAGTACGGCCAAATCGCAACCTTCGCAGGACCCTTTCGGTCACAGCAAAGCGCCAATCGCTGGTGTCCAATTTGATTTCGCCGCTGGCTGATCAGTTGTGAGAACCCTAACAGTCATCAGCAGGCGCGCATCTTCTTTCCCCTCCTCCTCCTCCTCGTCCAACCAAAGCGACTGCATTCCATCATCTGCCTATATGCATGCGCCAGAGTCAATCTAGACGACCCCACCGGACACTCTCTTATCAATCGCGCCATTCTAATCCCTCTGTTCTGATTCGTACTGGTATCATTGAGATTGGAGCACTACACATTAGCGGAAACTACAAAGTCCAAACTGCCTTTTTACTCGTTCACGCTTTGCTGGGGGTGATGACCGACTTGAGCTTGGCAAAGCCCGACTTGGCCGACTTGACTGAGCCGTTCTTCTTGAGGCTGTTTCGGTCCGAGGCGTCTTCGGTCCTGTAGTCGGTGCCGGTGGTTTTGCCAGGGGTGGGGCCGCTGGTGGCCTGCTTGTACGATCGCTGGGCGCCTCCGTTGGCGTGGCCGTTGGCGCTGCCGTTGGTCTGCGCATTGCCATTCTGCACCTGGGCAGCAGCAGCTTTGTCGTGCGAGATGACCTTGTCTGTGTCGGCGTCGACCGCCTTCTTGGTCGCAGCCTGCGAGGCGACGGGAGCCTCGTGGAACGCGCCGTCGTCGTCGTCGTCGTCGTCCGCCGCGCCGGCCGCCGCCGCAGCAGCAGCGCCACCAGCAGCAGCACCTGCGCCTGCACCTGCGGCCGCACCAGCACCGTCAACGCCATCGAGCTCACCCTTCTCTGCCTGAGCACCCACGCGCTTCTCGACATCAGCCGGGTCGGCGCCGCCCTCGATCTCGGCGATCTCCTTCTTGAGCGTGGCGACACAGTGCTTGCGGCCAACGACGTGGCGGATGATCTCGCCGTCCTTCTGCTTGTAGTTCCACGTGACGATGCCCTGGCCGTCGAGCGTGCCGTCGCGGTGGTAGACGGTCTTGCCGCGGAAGTAGGGCTCGTGCTCGAACTGCGCTACACGGAGCTTCTTGACGAGCAGCTCACGCTGCTTGCAAACTTCGGCATCCTTGCCCTTGGTCTCGCACCACTTGCGCGTCACCTTCTCGTACTCCTTGGCGAGCGACATGTAGTTGTTCCAGGTGCGCTTCCTGCCCTCCTCGTCCTCGGTCTGCGCATTCTCGCCCTCCTCGGGCTCGACAAACTCGAATTCGGCCGTGTTGTCGCCGCCCATGTTGGAGAGCAGACGCTCCTTGGGCACAATGTCGAGATCCTCGGGCTTCTTGGTGAACTTGACCTTGCTGCGCACCACGGGGTCGAGCATGGGACCCAGCAGCTTCCAGATGCCCGTGAAGATCCAGGGCGCGTTGTGGATGTAGAGCGTGCCGAGCGATTCCGGGTAGTAGGCCTCGAGACACTTGACGATGAAGAGGATGCAGTTCCAGTCCATGTTGCGCAGACCGAAGCCCGTAAGGTCAAAGAGCAGCACCACCTTGTCGTTGGGAGGCTGCATGAGCAGACGGAACGACTCCATGGCGTAGATGACGTACTTGGACATGGAGGCGCCCGGCTGGCCCCAGGTGAGATGCTTCTTGACGTGGATGTAGCAGATGGGCTGCTCATTGTCCGTGGTGCCCATAGCGTACGTCTTGCCACTGCGCTGCTGGTCGAGGAACTTTTCGATGCTCGCATTGCCCAGGTCGCCGTTCTCGGCGAGCTCCTCGACGTTGTTGTCCAGGCGCCACTTCATGCATCCGGCCATCATGGCAAAGGCGCGCGAGACGTCCCACTTTCGCGCACGGAGGAAGCGCAGCACGTCCGTGTCCGGGTTGTCCATCTTGACAAATTTCCAGAAAGTGTTGCGGAGCGCCGAGGCGCCGTAGGTGTTGAGCAGCTCGTCGAGCGCCGCCTGCTCCTCGCGTGCCTTGAGCTCGTCCTTGGCCTTGTCGTCCTTGGGGATGCCGGCGCCGTCCGGACCGGACTTCTTCTCGTCCCAGCCGCCGAGGTCGCCGCCACCTTTGGCCTTGTTCTGCACATCGCCGTCATCGTCGTCCGAGGCGTTCTCGCAGACTTCAAAGAACTTCATCCACAGTTCCTGCAGCTTCTCCTCCTGCTCTTCTGTCAAGTTGCCTGGCGTGCATCAAGGCAGGGCGAGTATAAGAAAGCGTAAGGGTCAGCATTTGCGAATCCAAGTGTCAACAGGTCGTACGCGGCGCTCGTTGGCGGCGCGAAGCTTGCTGTCTGCTGCGTGGTGCAGCGTGGTGCAGCGTGCTGTGCGAAAGATGGTGCGGGTACTCACCGACATAGCCGGGCTGGATCTCGATCTCTTTCTGGCCGATTTCGGTGACCATGGCGGGCGAACAAGACGGGTTTCAACCGTTGACAAGCGTCGGATGTAGTCGGTAGGGGTTTTAGGTATGGTTGGCGGGATTGCTCAGGAGCCAAATGTTGCGTCTTTTGAACAAGTCGAGATGATGGATATAGCAGACAGTCTAGGGCGGTATGGGAAGACGTCTTTGCGGAGAGGTTGTCGTGAGCAGGACGAAAGACGGCGCTAGGCTTATATACAGGCGGCTGAAACGGGTGGCCATGAGTCCATGCGGATCTGCTGTGCAGGTTTGAGGCGTGGCGACTCGACCCGAACATCGGAGCAGGACCACGCATACAGGCTCTGGGCGAACGGGCCTATGGGAGAATAAGCGCTACGCAGCGGCATGCTGGGCGAGAAGGGCGTCGGAGCGGGGCGATGCTGGTAGGATTGCGGGCCAGGTCTCGCCTGGGCAGAGTGCAGCTCGCTTGGCGCCGGCGCGGGTGTGGAGAGCAGGCTGGGCGCGAGGGGGCGGCTAGAGGTATGAGTGGCAGCCGCGGCGGTTGGTGATGCAAAAACCGGGAACCGCTGCTGCAGAGCGCGCACAGAGCCATACCACAATCATGCACTGACCTCGGCTGAGGACCAATAGCGATTCACTTTGGGCCTCACGCCGCACTGCCCTGGCTGCTCCCAGGGCTTTTAGGCCGATGGTCAACCAAAAGTGGCTTCCGGCGCAGGCGTGCCCCGCGTCAAGCTCAGCGGGCCGATGTGCACATTTGGCTATCGTGTGCAAGCCTGGTCTGATCTTCGTGTCATGACAAGCACGCAGGAATAAAGTAGGCATCTGGCTGGCGTCGCGACATCGCTAGATTTGCAAGTCCGCCGGGCGTCGCTGACTTTGGCGAGAAGGCCATGCCTCATCACTGGGCAAGATTTGCATGACGGACGGCGCTAGGCTCGCGGTCCGACGCCGCTAGCGACGTCAGGGTGATCATTAAAATTCGCAGAGTGCAGCTGGCCCGCCTCTTGATGGAATGTGGTTCGTGCGGGAGTGGAGGGCACGGACGCAGTTGCCGTGCTCAATTGGACGCTCGGAGCCCAACTCTCGAGGGGCTAAGCGAGGCCCCGGCTCGCGATATGACCAGCCACCATGCGTCACAACAAAGCCAACCCGAGCGCTTTGGTCGGCACCAAGCCAAGGGGGAGCGCTGCTGTGACCGTGTCTCAATGAGCCACGTCCTGCAGGAGAAGTCTATCGGAACATTGTGCGAAGGGCTCGAGCGTGCATGTGCTGCTAAAGGCAAGTCCGTGTGGCGTGTTTGGTGTACCTGCACAAGGCTTTCGGGTACAGTATTGCGAAACAAGATAGGACCTCTCAAGCCGCAGCATCCATTGCCATCGTCCTTGGTCGTGGCAGCCGCGGCTGTGACGTTACGACGTCGTTCTGGAGCCGTTGGAGCCATTGGAGTGAGTGGGTATTGGCGGGGCGTCAAATCCAAGCTTTTCCCCGCATTTCTCTCGGCTGAGATCGCTGCATCCGCTGTAGCATCTCTCCTTTTTTCTGTGGCCGATGCCCGTCAAATTGGATTTGCTGCATCATGTCGATTTGCCGTGCAGGCGAGCAGGAATTCACGCGAGAAAATCGCACGGCTGCCATATGGGGTGACTAAGCATTACCTGTGTAGCCAGAGGCCAAGTCCATCTCGTCAAGCTGGAGGGCAACATCGTCCGAGATCTGATACCACCAGTTGATGCATAGGCACAGGCCTCGGTCGACGGGCGCAGGATCCGCAGCAACGAGCTGATGGTCGTGCTGCTGTGCAACGTGGTGGAACCAGCCGCTGGGCAGGTACAGCGCCTCTCCCTCGTGCACGCGGATGGTGAGCGCCGGCAGTGCATAGCCGTACTTGGTGTGGGCCGCGTGCGGTTGAGACGGCAAGCTGCTTTGTGCATCGGCGTTGAGATCGCGGTGCACGTAGGGCGCATTGCGAGGAGCGCTCTTGGGCAATGTCGGGTCGATCGGAATCCATCGAGTGGCCGCACCATCGGCGTCGCGCTGGAGCACGAGGCTCTGCTTGCCAGCTGCATCGGCCGGTGTTTGCTCGACGTACTTGCATATCGAATACTCTTCGTCGTCACAAAGAAAGCATGCTTCGGAGGGCGGAAAGACGGTGAACTCCTTGTAGCCGCGGACGACACTAAAGATGTTTTCGTAGTAGTCGCGGTGCATCGAGGTGCGCGAGGCCGAGGTGCCGATCCAGATGTTGGTCGCTTCCGGTGCGCATCCGATCGCCTCGGTTGCCCACGCAGGGTCGCTACGCGGCGACGCATCTGCCCTCGAGGTCTGTTCGAGATCATGAAGGAGCGGAGAGAGGTCGCCGTACTCGTGCACGCTCAGATTCGAGTTCTGCGACTGGAGGTAGGCGACCGTGTCGCTCTTGCCATCGACCTGGCGGGCAAGACGGTCGAGCAGCTCGGAGAAGCGCATGCTTCGCTCGAGCGGAAGGGCAAAGACTGCCTCTTCATTTGCAGACCCGGGATGCTTGACGAGATCGTCAGCCCTTCCGTCCGGAGTGAGCGCCACGACGACGCTGCGTTCGGGGCCCATGCATGATTGCAGATACGCCGTGTCCTTCCATTTCGCCAGCTGCGGACGGTCGTCGAGGCAGCCTTGGATCAGTACAGGCACATGCCGCTCGATGGTGTCGCGGAATTGCTGCGGCGAGGGTGGTGCGGGCAGACGCTGTGGCCAGGACTCGGACGAGGCGGCTTTGTTCGATAGGGGGATCCCATACTTGCGGCGGGCCTCCACAGCACGTTGACGAAGAAGCAGATGGAAGGGGTCGTCAATGTCATCCATAGTCGGCTTGTGCGGCAGCGCACTGGTCGACGCCATGGCGAGCTGTAGGAATCTAGCTGCCCGCCGTGTTAGTCGACCTTCCAATGGCGCCACCAAGTGTGGAGCAGAGAGAGAAGAAACGGAACCTGTCCAGCCTCGTCCTAATCGGGCCAAAAAGGCGAGGACGGAAGGCAATCGGGGGAGGCGATTCGCTCAGCTGCACGCGCCCTGAGCGTGTTTATTTGCAGCTGGGATTGAACCGCTTCGCTAGGCGAGGCGCGTCTCGTGGTGCCTGCATGTGAAGTGTTGGTCTCTGTTTCGTTTTCCTGCCCTTCTGGCAGCCGACGCGGCGGGAAAATGACAAGGCTTGGGCCAAAGGCAAATGCAGCAACCTTCGACGGATACAAGCGGCAGGCGGAGTCAGAGGCGCTGCGGAGCCAGATGCACCAGTTGCAGGCCGATGAGCGAGTGAGGCAGACGCTGTCGAAATTGCGTTCGGATGCTGCTGCTGGCCCGACTGGCTCGCATGAAGCTGCACGCTTGCATCCAACACCGAACGCTTCTGAATTGAACCCTGCAGACCACGAGCGCGGCAAAACAGTCACCAGCCAGACTCGCCGCGATCGGCTGCATATGTCCGCCCATCGCAGCCTCGCGCGAGCTTTGACAACCGCCGAATCCAGTCCTCGCTCCTCGCAAAGTCGCCGTCGGTTGCAGTCCTCGGCGTGGCGACTTTGCTGTCTTCTCGTAGTGTTTCGGCGTGGATCCATCCTGCTTCCGATCCACCACGACCATCCCAACCGTTCGTCGTCATCGCTGCACACGACAGCCAACACGTAATCCTTGAACAAAAATGCAACGCACCGCCGCGCTCGAATCGCCGCCATCGATTGCATCCCCGCGCCAGCCGATGCTCATGTCGCTGTCCACGAGCGCAAGCACAAGCAGCATCGAAGCGAGTCCGGCCAAGCCGTCGTCGCGGCGTCTCTTCCACGACACACCCACAGCACCCACCGCATCTTCCCCACACACGCTCGTATCACCCATTGCTACCTGGTCGCACACCGAAGCGCATACACCCACCGCCGCCACAAGCCAGGGTCAGGACGTGTTTGGCAAGATCGATCATACCCCGCTGCGCCAAGAGACGCACTCCACCTCGCCACTTCCCAACTCGCGCTCGTTTCAGACTGGCGACATGCTCGACCACGTCCTCGATCCCGTCCACTTCTCACGTCTGTCGGTAGGCAACATCATCGCGCCCGAAAGAGCAAGCTCCAAGAAACCACCAAAACGCCTCCCCACAGACACCGGCAGCACCACCGCATCTCCAACACCCCGATCCAGATCATCCGCCAAACCACGCACAGCTCTCACTTCCATCACACCTAATAACACCACAGACTCCACAGCATCTTCCGCACCAAAATCCGCCAGCACAAGCAGCCCAGCATCGTCCGATCCATTCTCGCATCCACATCGCTCCTCACCCTCGGCACACGACCTGTCGCTGCACGTCAAACACCACATGGCCGCATTGCAGCACAGCCCACAATCGCATTAGGAAACGGCCGTCAATGCAAAAGCTAAACATACGACATGAACCACATCCCCCTTGTCTGAACTCGGGGCGACCGCAAATCCGCCCGCGGAGTGCGCTTCAGAGCTGCTGGTAGTCGCTAGTGGTGGTGTCCGAGAGCGATAAGACGTCAAAGTTGCGTGCGAGCCTTTCGGCCGAGCTGCTCATGTGTCCGTGGCCGCCGCTCCTTGCGCCTCCGCGTCCGCGCCCTCGTCCTCGTCCACGTCCACCTCCTCGTCCACCTCGTCCGCGGGTGGCCGGTGCTTCCAAGTGGCTGCTCGGCTGCGCGTTCGCTGCGTTGCCGTTGTTCGCGCCACCGCCCGCGCTCTTTTTGGGCGCAACCTGCGCTTGTCGCCTAGGGCAGTCGACCGACGTGTGCTGCTGAGTGCCGCACGTGATGCATCGCGTGTGCGGGCATGTGTGCATGCTGTGAAAGCTGCCCTGCTCGTCCATACGGCACGACGCATTGGCGCACCAGGCAAGCCGGTTGGCCGAGCGCACCAGGTACGAGCGCTCTTGGTACACGAACCATCCGGGCACGGCCGTGCGGGCGCCCACAGACACGAGGCCGTAGTGCGTGTGAAGCTCGAGCAGCACTAGCAATCGGCCCGAAAACGTTGCTGTATCGGCGCGGTCGATCGCCCATGCACCGATCACCCTGCCTGCCTGGCAAATCCTGGGATTGCGATGCAGCGCAGCCATGACGTCTTTGAAGTCGCAGTCGGCCGCCAGGAACTGGATGCACATGGCGATGTGCCTGAAGTCGGGGATGCCGCGGCTGACCGGCTGGGGGTAGGTGCCGTAAAACTCGAACGTGAGGTCGTTGTCGTACGCCGTATTCACCTCGTATCCGTCGGCAAAGATGACGTCGACATAGTGCTGGCCGTTGACGGCCGGCGGATGGCGGATCTCGAGCGGCGTCAGCTTGTGCCGGCGACACATGGCCAAGATGCTCTGCAGGAGCACATCGCGATAGCCAGACAGACCTGGGCGGTAGCGCGTCTCGAGTTTCCATCGCACTCCACCAGGAGGCACGCCCGTTGCTTCCACTTCGCGCGTCGATAGACCTGCCGATACGTAAAGCCACTCTGCATCTTGCCAAGGTGGTTGAGCTGGTCACCGGTGCTCGAATCGAATTTCTGTTTGTACAGACGAGGTTTGGTTCGTGCTTAAAGAAGGAGCTGCAACAGAGATGGCTCTGTTGGCAGCAAAGGTGATGGCGGTGAAGGATGAGAGCGGGTGGACCTCGACTATCTTGAAGGGGAAAGCTCAGATGAAAGGGCGCATGCAGGTGCGGGCGAACTGCATGGGGCCGCGCTGAGGCTGAGGTTGAAACGGCCTGAGCGCGCGACCCTTGACTTAGCACCCTCTGCTGGGCTTGGACAGGCTGCTGAAACGAGCCCGACTTCCCCAGCACAGGGACCACGCAAGGGGAAAAAGCTTAAATTTTTCCAGCGCCGCTGCTGCATAGCTTGGGCGGGAGCGACCCGAACGCTTAGCCTGTCTGAGCATCGTCGGCGGGCTTCCATCTGCTTCTTGGCTGTCAATCACCCCGATCGTGCTGGCTAGCCTACACTGCGCAAAGTCACGGCCGGCTAGCTCAGCCTTGTCAGCCTTGCGTGGCGCTGGCATCGCGTATTGCGATCCATGTGATGTCGTGCGACTCGGCACGCTTTCCATTGCCTTGCGTTCAAGAATCGTCGCCACACGTCAAACATGTGAATGGTCAATCATGCGCATTGAGAGCCTATGGACGGTTGGAAGCCACGACGTGATCTACGACCTCTTCTGCTTCTTGTTGGATCTGGCGGTGCTGGGCCAGCATGACATCTAACCTTCTAGCCGCTGATGTCGCTCTCGGACAGCGCGAGCACGCCAAAGTCGCGCGCAAGCTCTCGCGCTTCCTGGTCTCGGATGCCCAGCTCTGCGAATCGGCGCTCCATCGACTCCCTTTCGCTCGACGTCACCGCCCGTCGCTCGCCCACCTGGTCGTGGCCCTTGAGCTTCTTCTTTGCCACCTGCTTCTGGCGCTTGGCGCAATCCACCGACGTGTGTCCGGTCTGCTTGCAGGCGATGCAGCTCATGCGCGGGCAAGTGCTGGCACTGTGGAAATTGCCTACTTCGTTGTACCGACACTGGAAGCACCATGCAGGGCGGCCCGCAAAGCGCACAAGGTAGACGCGTCCGCGGTACTCGAACCATCCGGGCACGGCGGCCCGCGCGCTGAGGGGCACACTGTCGCCTTCGGTGTGGAGCTCGAGCAGCACCAGCACCCTGCCTGCAAACGTGGTCGAATGGGGATGATGCATCGACCAGACGTCGACCACCTTACCCGCCTGGCGGATTCGCGGGTGGCTTTTCACCTTCTCCAGCACCTCCTGCAGGTTGGTGTCGGCCGGCAGCATCTGGATGCACATTGCAACATGCTTGCTGTCGGGGATACCGCGATCAAACACCTTGGGCTGCGTGCCGTAGAAGTCAAAGGTGATCTCGTCCTCGTAGGCCTTGATCACGTCCTCGCCCTTGGCGAAGATGACGTCGATGTAGCTGCCACTGCACTGCGAGAAAGGAGTGCGGATCTCGAGCGGCGTCAGATTGTGATGCTTGCACATGGCGAGGATGCTCTGCATCATCACGTCGCGGTACGCCACCTTACTCGGACGATAGCGCGTCTCCAACTCCCAGCGAACGCCGCCGGGCGGTACGCCCGTGGTCTCGAGCTCCAGGCGCAGGTCGGCGCCTTTCATCACGGGCGCAGTGCCGCGCTTGTACAGCAGCCGGTACTCGAACTCGGGTTCCATCTTGGTGGGGTGCGATGGGAGAAGACTGGGTCTAGGCTCGATTCGATGACGAAGAACTCGGGCTTCGAGTGAGGATTGAGTTCTTGAGTGGGGGTCGTTGGATCTAAGGAGGCTTGAGAGAAGAGGCCGAAGACCTGGCTGGAGCGTGCAGGTGGGCTGCCTTATATCTGGACGGGCCATCCCAGCCGCTCCTCATGTGGGTTCGCATGTCGTGCGGAGCAGCGGAGCAGCAAGCGCGGGTCTGAGCGCTCGACTCGGTTCCTTGGATTTGCCGAAGGTGTCAAAGGGCTGATCCACCGACCTGCACGCAGACTTCCACTCTTGCGACTGAGCCTCGGCGCTTCGGTTGGGAAGCATCTGTCTGCGCAGGCACGGCCCAGTGTTCGAAGGCAAAGTGCCGAGCCCTCGCTGCCAACGACCTTGAAAGGGAGCTTCATATGAAATGCGCAAAACCGTGCAGCAAGAAGCCGAAATCACACGGCGCCTCATGATCTCGGTCGTGTGCAGCCGTGTCCGCACGCAAGGTTGCCGATATCACACGGAACTTGCGCACGGCTTCGTCCTTAAGACGAGCATGTTCTGGTGGGGCCATTGTCTTGATGACCAAGGATCAATGCCGTCAGCTGCGGTGCCCGCGAGCTTATCCTGTGACCAGATTCGACTCATGCGGATGAACGTGCGGCTGTGAACGCAGTCTGTGTGATGATGAGGCCCAGCGCACTCAGGACCCTGACCTGCTACACCGGCTTCTCGCATGAGGTGAGCCTAGAGTTGCGCACATCCCAACCTGTCAGCAGACGATCCGTCCAGACTCGTGGACCCTCTCTGACGCTTCTTCGGGCAAATCAACCTGTAAATCTGCAGATCCTTGATCTCACACAAGCCCGCGCGGAGAAAAACAAAAGGGACCCCTGGGTCCGCTTCTCGGATCGCCGATGCTCGAAGCTTGACATTGCGACAAACCAGAAGAAGCCGACAGTCGTGACAACACCTTCCTGGACATGCGCACCACAAGCTTTGACTTACGATCGTGGTTGAGCGTCTGCGATTCGTTAGGCGCATGACTGGATTCCGTCCCCTTTCGGCGCACCCTGTCTGAGGAATTGGCCATAAATTCGAGGAAACACGTTGTGAAAGTGAAGCCGGGAGGAAGGCACTGCGAGCAAAAAAAGTGCAAAAAAAAGGTGCGAAAAAGATCGATCCATCGAAAAAAAACAATGAAAAAGAAATGGAGACATGGGGGATTGAACCCCAGACCTTCTCGAATTTTGCTGGTGCAAACGAGACGCTCTACCACTGAGCTATATCCCCGGGAAACCGGGTTTGTTCCGCTTCATGTCTGCTCCAGCGAGTATGTCATATATAAACTGTTGCAATCCGTGTTGGCATTGTCCAATACCGCCGACCCGCTCGGTCGTGAATCTTTCGGGAGCCACTTTGTCCATCACTTGCAGCTCTTCCCAAGCAGTACACCGACAGGAAAGCACCGCGGCTGTCTCTACCGACCCGACTTTGCTTCGGATGAAAGGGGAACAGTGCTTAATTCATTTGATTCCAGCGTTCGGGCTGTTGTCATCGGTATACTCAGCGTGTGTCAATACGAAGCCATCTACGAGCCCTCAAGATAGCATGCACCTCAGTTCGTGACCTCAGGATTCAGAAAAGGCTGTAATGTTTCAATTGTCAAGGTAGTGAGAGTGCTACTGGATCGCCTTCCATGCCCGTTCGCTTCGAAACAGTCGATGCTGTCTGAGCGCCGTCGATGTTGCCGAAGCGACAGAGTCAAATTAGACTTGGGCTTGATCAGCTTCGGCCCTCTTGGCGGCTGGGCACGAACGAAGAGGGTGCCCGGGATCTTGGCAGAAGCTGCAGAGGCGAAGCGTGCAGTCGGCCAAGCGATGGTGCTCAAAGAACGTGGTCGACTGGCAGAAGGTGCAGTGGTCGAGGCGAGCGGCATAGTTGAGTTTGTACTTGTTCTCTCCGAGGACGAAAAAGCCAGGGAGAGAAGAGGCGACGTCATTCGGGTAGAGGAGGCCTCGATCTGTGCTCCCCTTCATGTCCAGCTCAACGAGGATGTAGAGCTCGCCGTTGGGAAACCGAACGGGGTTGCCGTTGCGGTCGGTGTAGTTCAGAACGCCTCGCCAATAGTCAAGAATCTCGTGGGGGGAGAGAAAGTCTCTGAGACCTCGGCATACAGCGTCAAACGACGCGTCCTCAATATCGCGGATGACGATGGTGATCCATGTCTCTTTGACACGGCCTGCAGCTGCAATGAAAATCAGTCTCTCGCCGCTTAGCCATATAGGTGTCTCAGTGTTGTACGGCTGCGAAGAAGGCCAATGGATGTCCACGATCCTCGGGCGGCTCTTCTTGAAGGTTATGGAACCAATCTCGAGCTCAGGGTGGGCCTCGCAGATTTGGCTGTGGATCTGAACCATGTCCTGGATGCGCGTGGCATCCGGAAGCTTGATGCGAGGAGGAAGTCCGTAGCGCACCACACCAGGTGCAACGCGCGCATCGTAGTTGAGAATACGAGCCTGATGCGGAGGTAATTCAGCGAAGGATAGGAGGGGGTGGCGGGCGACAGCTGGACGAGGATCGCCATCGTCGTTGAGGGGTTCGAGGCGTGCGGCTATCGGAGGCCACTCGTGGGTGGCGGTGTAGACGGGAGTGTCGCCAAGAGACTGAGTGGGAGTATTCTCCGTAGTTTTGGGATCTCCTGGGGTAGAAGTTGCGGGAGAGGAAGTGCGAGTCATGGTGCTGATGTCGGTGGCGAGAATGTGAGCCAAGGGCGCTTGAGCGAGGTTGAGTGAGGCAAGGAAGCATTATTGCCAAACAAGTAGTGCGGGCTGGCAAAATCACGAGGAGGTCCAAGCTCACCGAGAGAGAGTGTGTGGCCAGTTCGAGAGGTTGCGGCATGTTGACATGTGTCGTGTCGCTCCTGCACGTCAACGAGGAAAAAGTGGGGGTTTGGACGAACGGTAGTATATTCTTATGCGAGTGTGCACGCACGCGGACAAAGCGGGAGAGGTGTCGATGAAGTGGGCTGATGACGTGGAGGGGAGGAGACCAAAGAAGACGAAAGGAAGTGGGGGTTTTAGGAGGGTTCGTGCGAAATCTCCTCGTTTGTAGAAGCTCATACCGAATGCCGGTCCACCATCATCATAACTGATTACGAATCTTCGACTTTGAAGCCTCGTCCGTCAGACGTTCGCGGCGAACGCACCACCGCCCTCGTCATCCCGAGACCTTGACCGCCGTTAATATGAAGGCGTCTCAGCTGCTTGGAAGAGCGTCTCGTGCGCACTGCACACAAGGTCCCAGCTCGATAATATAGAGTTGGGCATCCAGAATCTCGGCGAGTCGATACGGTCACTTCAGGCGAGCTCAGTCAATGTGCAAAGCGTACGATTCGAGACACGGCTACGGAACATATTGTCCAGGCGGGACAACGGAAGACGCTATCTGACAATGGGATACAGGAAGGCTACGAGTGAAACTTCGACGAGACAGGAAACAGAGTAAGCGAGAATGTGCTGATGAGATGCGAGGTAGACTGACTTGCGATGCATGTACAAACGTAACTAGATTGAGAAAGACCGTCACTGACGGTCCGATCCCGCGGCATTGGCTGCGGCGGCAGCATTGAGCATGCTCTTGAAGGTGAAGAGGGAGCCGCCGAAAAAGCCGATGGAGAGGAGGCTCGCGGTGTAGAGTGCCTTGCCCAAAAAAACGCGGACGCTGCGGCCGCGCGACCGATGTCGAGGCTGGATGCGACGGCCTTCGTGCGAAACGTCCGAGATTCGCCTCTTCTTGGCAGGAGAAGGGGACGGCGTTCCAGAGATCGAAGTGCAAGGGCTGGAAAGAGCAGAGGCAAGGGACGATGCCTCGAGGCTCTTGTCCGAGTCGGTACCATTGTCGTCCTCGTCACCCGTGCTATCGTCGGTGCTCGCACAATCGTCTTCGGGACTTTCCAGGGCCCGCTTGCGAGAAGGAGTCAGCTGGGCTTCTTCCTTTTCGTCGGCCGTGACGATGGCGTCAGGAATTGGCGTCTCTTTGTCCTCGGCCTCGCTGGACGAGTCCTTCGCTGTGGCGGGCTTGACTTCCTCTTCCATCGCCACGAGCAAGCTTTCGGCGGTGCTGCTGGTGCTGTTTGAAGCAGGGGCGATCGAGGCAGACTCCTGAGTTGGCGATTCCGACCCTTCAGTCTGGTCGGTGTGCGCGTTGGTGGTGGGAGCGCGAAGGATGCAAATGGCTGGATCGACTTGGTCCGAATCCATCGTCGAGCTGTCCTGCTCTTCTCCTTCAGATGCGGAAGCACCCGAGCTGGCACACACGCCATCGTCATCCTCGTCGATGCGAACAGGCAAGTCGCTGTCGTCACCGGACACGTCACCGGGACCAGACGACTCGGTCGAGCGGCACTCGGAGCAGCTGCAGATGTTCTCGCTGTCACTGTGCGAATGGTCGGTACCCGCGTCCGAGTCGGAGTCGGAAGAGTCGACTTTGATGCACGATTGCTCCGAGTCGGAGCTGCCGATTTCGACCTCTGCTTGCTCGAAGTGACGATCATTGACCGCGTCCTTGAGCGTGGGGGAGTTGCTTGCCTTAGGCAGCGAAAGAGTGACGGGAGAGACGCCTTTGTGGAACGTCTCAGCATCGATGCTGATGACGTCCGAGTCGAATGTGGCATCGTCCAAGCCGTACGAGTAGCTCGACTTGGCAGCCGGCACCGAGGCGGGAGCTGCTGCGGGAACCTTTGAGAACGATGGAGGCGTGGTGGCATCGCGGAAGCGCACGTAGCACCGGACCGGATAATAGTGGGTGCTTTCACGACTGAGGGTCTTGCCGAATTGAACGAGGTCGCCGTGTCGAAGCTTTGTGATGCCGTTGACTTGCACCAGCTGAGCACTGGCGTCTTGCTCGACCACTTGACCTTGAAGATCGAAGGTGGCATGGCGGCGGGCGACAAAGGTGCCATGAGTCGAGCCACAATCCTCTACGAAGGGCGCTCCAGCGGCCCAATCTATGACTGCATGCTCGCGAGAGACCGTCTTGGCAGAGTTGAAGCGGATAGTGTTCGCGAGATCGTTGACGATCGAATCCTTCTCTTCTTGTTCGGCCCAGGAGGAGCGCATGACGAGCTTCTTCTGTCCAGACTGCACGCGGGTAATGCGATGCTGCGTGGGGTCTGAAGCGTCGGCATCGGTGGGTCCCGTAGGAGACGCATTGACCCAGATAAGCTCGATACCAGACTGTGCAGCCGGTCGCGAGGTCATGGCTGAGACGAAGCTGGGTGAAGTAGGATGCGATGTTGGATGTTGGTGTAGAATGAAAAGGTTGGAAGAGACCGATGATGGAGAAGGGGCTGCGGTTGTTGGTAGCAGAGTGTCAAGAGATAAGGGCGAGGCGGGTGGGTGAGGAGGGTGGCGGACCGTGGAGTAGGGAGTTACGTGGGCTGTGAGCCGGGCTTTCGACTCAGCCACACTCGCGGACAGGGGTCGAGCTCAAGTCACAGTCGCAGGCGTAGGCGTAAGCGTGATGTGATTGTGTGATGCGAGCTCTGACTTCACTTAGCGGGAGAGTGCATGCGCATGTGCGGGCAAGAGCAAGGCCGACACTCAGCCCGCCTGTGCTCGCAAGAGCACACCTGTCAAAAGCCTCATCCAACCCTACGCTCAGGCCACGCCGCTTGCTAGCGGTACCGCCAGCACCTCTTGCGCCAGTCAGGCGGCTTTTGCGAGCGCGAGCGCTCAGCTTTGGCTCGAGCATGAATCGGCTCGATCCCGTCGCTGCTGGGTTGCCTCCTCGCCGTTACAGGATCGGTTACCGGCAGGGTGCGGAGAGCCGAATGCATCGCGCCATGCAGGGTCGTTATCTTGGACCCTGAACAAAAGTGTCGGTCTGCGCGCCTATTCATTCGCCTCTCACTTTTTTGGGCGTTCGGCTTGCGCGGCTTGGACCTGAAGCGAGGCGCAGCCGCTGAGTTTCGGATTTGAATTCAAAGCCGCGCTGGGCGGGAGAGGTCGTGCGAGTGTGCGCACGCACCAGAGGGCGCGCCGAGAGCAACAGTCAAATAAAGACATTTTCCCGTCCGAGACAAGTTCGTTGATCCAAGGCCGAAATCCGAACCTTCATCCAGAGTGGAGCGGCATCTTGCTTTGGAAGCTCCATCCAGCCTGTTGCACACTCTTCGCGTCCTCTCTTCTGCTCTTGCTTTCCCATTCCAATCGGCACCAAGACCGGCTTCAGAATCCAGCATGCAGCGATAGTCGACGTCGCAAAACATCGATCCACCTCTGCGCGCTCAACCTCGGCCGGCCGAGCCGTGTCAGATACTTTCACGATGCCGCCGACGCCAACACGCACAGTTCAGCGCGGCAGCGTACGCCAGAGGCAGGGCTCCTCTCTGCATCCGCAGCCCGGCTCCGGTGCTGCGGGTATGGCGGGTCTCGATGGCATGTCGGCTCAGCATGCCAAGGTGGGCCGCGGGCCGAACGCTGCCGATGCTGCAAGCGTCCCTTTCGTCCATCCGGCGCTCGCTCTGTCATCCGGAGTTCTCCCCTCTTCGTCATCCACCGCGGGCCTGCCACCAGCAGTAGCTGCACAGATTCGTGGTCGCCGCCCCTTTAACCATCGCAACCTTTTCGCTCGAGACCTGCGCAATCTCATGTACGCATACGGAGATTCGCCAGATCCCGACCCGGACTCCGTCATGCTCATGGAGGAGATGACCGTCGACTTTATCACCGACCTCTGCTGTCGCGCTCGTCCCAGCCCGTACTCGCTTGGCCTTGGCACCAGCTCCATCTCGAATAGCTCGAGTGCCTTTGGTGCCACGCTCGAAAACTTTATTGCGAACGACGGCTCGAACGCGGTGGCCAACGGCGGAGAGGCCATGCCGCAGACATTGCCGCCCCGGGCCCCCCACCGTCTGCGTGTCAAGCTCGAAGACTTCCGTCACGCGCTGCGCAAAGACGTCGAGGCCAAGAAGCTCGGTCGTATGGAACAGCTCTTATATGCAGACAAGGTGGTCACCGAAGCCAGGCGCGTGGGTGGTGTCGAAGAGGCGGCCGAGCGCGCCGGCGCACTGCAGACAGACAACCTTCCTCCTGCTCCGTCGAACGGCGACGCTTCGGCACAGGACGCCAACATGCAAGACCTCGACGATGACGATTTGGACGACAAGGATGCCAAGACCGCCAAGTCGGGCAAAACCAAGTCCAAGGCAAACGGGCCTGGCAAAGGCGGCGCCAAGGGCAAGGGCAAGCCAAAGGCAGCAGCCGCATCACGAGCCGGATCTGCACGCTCATCAGTCGCGCCATCCTAGGCTTCTTGCACAAAATGCCGCACGCACCATCACTGTATTTGTACCTCCATTTTTTTCATGCCATGCTACTACAGGAGTGGCGGCTACTCGGAAGGCGCATCCGGAATGAGCTGAGTGAAGATGCGCTGCGATTCTTCTTCCGGACCGGCGCTTTCGGGGTTGGTCGAGGTGGTTAGCAGCTCGTCGAGCATCTTCTTGCCCTTAGCTGCGATGAGGGTCTTGAGGATTGCCTGTACTCTTCGCTGCTCGACCGACTCTTGCGGAGCGTCGGCAAGCGTACGCAGGGCAGCGGCGACATGGTGAGACGCAATCTTCCACGCCATAGACGATCTTGCAGCTGGCATCTCGGCGACAGTGGCGAGGTAGCGACAGTAGTTCTCGAGCATGTCCACATCTGCTTCCGTCCAGCTGAGCAGCCATGCTGCAACGGGCGTAGCCGGGATGCTGCGAAGGCTGTCGCTGTAGTCGTTCCACACCAGTCTGCGGAAATCCACCGCGACTCCATGTTCACCTTCGATACCACTGCCCGCATTGGCGATAGTCATGACCACACGCGCAAAGTTCGCATCGCCAAACGAGACCGAGTCCCACAGACCGAGGAGGTCGGTGAAGACTTGGTAGGACGACATGGCGCCGCCGTACGTACGTGCCGTCCAGACATCGAGCGTCACCGTACTCATCGATACCTTGCCGCGCAACTGCTCGCGCAGTTCGACCAGCTGATCCGCAACATCTAGCAGCCCACCAAGGCTTTTCGAGATTTCGGAATCCCGGAACAAGTCCCGCCCAGTCAGAGCGCCAGCTTGCTTCTGCTGGTTTTGCCCAGCTGCGCTGCGGTCCGTAAAGGTATCGGGCTGATCCTTTTCGAGCAGGAACACCTTCATCACGCCCAGCAGCACCTGCTCTGCGCTCGGCAGACTACTCAGACTCGCCATCGCTTCCACACTCAACTCCTCCGTGACGGATGCAGAGGGAGCATGGGCGCGGAGCTGCGACTGCAGCATAGCAACGGCGAGCTGAAGGCAGGCTCGAACCATCTCGAGCTCGCTCGGCTTCCAGTCTGCGTCGAGATTGTCCGGGCGGTTAAAGACCGCCGTGGTACCGCTGTGCAAGAGGTCGTCAATTGCGAGCAATGGCCAATCGGCGCGCAGTGGCAGCCCCGCAGCTGGGCAAATCCACAGCTGCCCGCCCGTAATCGGGTCCACGTCGTCGTCGTCGCCAGCCTGTTCATCGTCCGCCTCTTTCCTTTCGTCTATCTCTGCAGAGCCTCGGTCTGTGGCGTATCGACGAGCCTTGAATAGCGACGACACGTGAGACAGCGGCGTGTAGCTGCGACCGTTTTCCTTGCTTGCCTGTGTCTCGGGCACACGATTACGACCCACGATGCACTCGAGCAGGAAAGGTCGTAGTGCTTCAAGTGCGGCCGGACCTCCATAATGCGTGGCGGCCCGCTGCACGATCTGCCAGACAGCTTGAACGTGATTTTCATCGAGCCGAGTGATAGCCGCAAGCTCGGACGACATGCTCGTCTTTGAGCTCGAGTCAGAGATGAGGGTCGCAGCAACAAAGTCCGAAAAGGCTTGCTTGTACGTGTGTCTTCCGTCTGCCTGCGACTCTGTGCTCTCGAGAGCTTGCCACAGGGGCTGGCATGAGACCAGCGTGAGGCCCTCTGTCACCATGTTGACGCTGACGTCCAACAAACCGGCTCCCGCAGTCGCCTCTCCCTTGGACACGACACGGCTGGCTTCTTCGCACGTGATCGACAAGTTGGCGTACCTGCGACAGGCCTGGCACGCCTGTTCGGCTTCGTCCAGCGCAACCGCCTGCGAAGGCGCCGACTCAAACGACCTCAGGACACTGAGGACCTGCTTCTGGATCGGGCCTTGACTGAAGCGCAGGACCTTGCTGCACGGATCAAAGCACCGCTCGACGATCTTGGGCTCTTTCGGTGTCGCGCAGCGCAGCCAATGGTCAACGTACTGGCACAGTGCGCCCAAGACTGGCGCCTTAGATGCTGTGGTGCGGGAATCCGCGAGCGTCCGATCCAATTGCTGCGAAGCGTCGTGGACCACATCGATCCAGTCCCTGACTTGCGTCCACGTGATGTCGTGCGCCGTCATGAGCTCGTGAGGGTCCATGGCACAGCGCGTCCACGCGCCCAGCACCTCAAAGATGCGTTGCGCAGCCGTGTCTCTCGCCTCCTCGCACCAAGCCGGCACCGCTCCGACCTGGCCGTTCACGAGGTGCTCCATGGCCCACGAGCCACACTCGCGCCAGAGCTGCCACGTCCGCGCGACGACCGACGCAAAGAAGCCGTAGGATGCCAGCGAAGCGAAGAGCTGAAGCACCTCGTCAAAGATCTGGTATGCCACGAGAATGGTCGCATCATCTCCGCCGTCATTGGGAGTCCAGTCCGCTTCGAACTTCCAAGGCGGCGTGACTACGAAGCGAAGAAGGTGCTCGATGCTTCCACTCAGCGCGATTGCCTCGGCGGTCTTGCGGTCGGCAAGTATGCCTTGATGCAGCAGTCGCACGGCGAATACCGATGGCAATGCCTTCTGGTTTCCCGATCCTGTGACCGAGATTTGGTCGTCAGCAGGCACCGGCGGCCATCCGACGTTGAGGCCAAGATGCGTAATCCAGTCGCACATCCTCTTTGGATCGGCTTCGAAGACTTTGCCCGCATGCGAGGCAGAGCAGGACGCGACGCGGTACAGCAGCTCGAGTGCGACCTCTGCTTCCCAGCGCGATGTAATAACGCTGTCGGTCCTGTCGAGAAAGAGACTGACGAGTCTCGACTCGAGCATGACATGAGCCCAGTCCCCCTGGATCTTGACCTCGACCTCGCTTGCCTCGGCCGGCGTTTCTTCCTGGTTGAGCCCGAGCTTTGCTGCCGGGGCGAAGAGACTCCCGAAGTCGAGCTCCTGCTCGCAGCCCAGCGGTACAGAGATGCCGGACGGCAACGATCTGATCGCCGAGATCAGACATCTGAGCGCAGCGGCTCGCACCGTAAAGTGTCGATCGCCGAGGAGGAATCGAGAGATCGAGATGGTCCTAGCTCGAAGCAGCAGTGAATCTGCATTCAGGTACTCGGTCACAACCGCGGCCTGCGCTGAAGCGGCTTGGCCCAATGCCGGGTGATGTTCCGAAATGCGACCAAGCACATTGACTGCCAGCTGACGCTGCGCCGCGACAGTGCTTTGGGTCAGATGTATGAGTTCGGCAAATGTGTAGCCTGGAGCGTCTTGATCGTCACCATGGTGATGGAGGCCGGAGAGATACGTCTTGTCTGACTCGACGTCGGATGAGATGAGCTTGCCCGAGAAGTCGAATCGTAGATCTGACGGGCCTTGCTTGGTCTTAGATGGCTGAGGCATCATCCACTCGATCGAAGGATTAGGTCCCTCAGGCTCTGCCGGGAAGTATTGTCGCTTGATGGCAAGCGGCCCTTCCGAGTCCATCTCTCCCACCGGAATGTTGCTGGTGCGAGATGCGCTTTGGGAAGGTTTCGTGCTCCCCGAAGCGGCAAGCTTGTCGACCGGCTTTGCTGCTGAATTGCTCTTGCGGTTGCGAAGTGCGTCGAGCACGTCCTTGCCGAACATGCTCTCGAGGCTGCGGAGCTCGTCGGAGACCTCGGAGGCGCTCATGTTGCGCAGCTTGTTCTCGTTCTCCCTCGATACGTCGGTAAGCACGGCAGTGATGGCATCGATATCTGCGCCTCCACCAGGGTCTCGTGTCGGGTCGGGACAGAAGGTGTTGTCGCGACTGTCAGGCTCCGCGGAGGCACGCTTCGAACGTACAGAGGGCGGCCGCAGCCCCTGTCGGAGCAGTCTGGACTTTCTGAAGGCTGACATTGGGTTTCCTGCCTCGTCTAGCCATTCTTCGTCGTCGGCTGAAGCTGCATTTTCCGCTGCAGAGGAAGCGGAGAGTGCGGATCGTGTTGCGATGTCATCCTGTCGAGGCGCTTCGACACTCGCAATGTCTTCGTTGAGACTGGCACGAGCGCTGCCTGAGGCAGGAGGCAAGATGGGAGTGATCTGGTCGCGGTGCGAGACTACCGGGAAGCCGGTGCCCGGCGCTTGATCTTCGGGCTGCTTGGCCGAGTGTGGTTGACGCTTTCTCTGTTCCTCGTGCTTCTGTAGCTCCTCGTCCATTCTCTTTCGAACGACGAAACGGGATACCGCTGGTTTCGATTTGGTCGAGGCACTTGCCTTTGTCCGTCTCTCACCCACCGGTCGCTCTTGGATGGTGCCGATGATGGATCCAGCAAGGTCCAAAGTGACTTTTGGCGGGGCCCTCTGGGCCGCTTCTTCGGGCGCCTGCGCGGTGGGTCCAGGCGCAAAACGCACTGACTTGGTATCAGGCTGAGACCGCAGCTGCTCTGTAATTGGAGTCTTTTGTGTCGATCCGCTCTGCTGCGATGTCGCAATCCCTTGGCGCTGGTGGTCCTCCGCATCCTCGACGGTGGCCTTTCGAAGTGTATCCGTCGCGGCTGGTTTCGTGCCTTTGGTCTCCGATTTGATCGAGGAGCCGATGGTGGGCGGTTTCCTTCGCACTACTGTCGCAGCTGGAGGCCAGTTGCTGAAAGAGTCGAGTGCTGCTCTGCGGCTGCTGGGGTGCGCAGCCATGTCATCGTCATCGAACTCGGCGAGGTCGAGGAAGCGCGGCCGGATCTGCTGTTTGCGCAGCTCGCGCTCGTCCTGCGATGCCATCTTCGATGAGCGAGCCGGCTGTCTGTATCTATGTACGTAGCTCTGCCGTCAAGATCGTAGTGACAGTCAAGCGTCGAAGTGGAACAGCATCGTGAGCATGGCTTCTCGCTAGAAATTTCCAAGACAGCCTCGGAAGTCGGCAGTGCGGAAGGTGGAGCAAGACTCGGGAGAATTTTGAGACTTTAGCAATGTTAAGCCGCGACAAATCGGAACCGAAGGATGTGGCCGATGGGCGGCTGAGAAATCCAAGCGGTTTGTCGCGCTCGTCCGCCGTTGAAGGCCAACAAAGCACCGGCTGCAGCGTGCTGCCTCCAAGCAATCGCGATTCGAGACCATCGTAGATACACGTCCTCCATCTACCGCAACAGCTCTCCACTGACCGGAAGACCGCCATTCATACAACATCCAGCATGTCGCTTCTACGACAGTCGACACAGGCGCTGCGCGTTGCCGCCGCCACCTCCAACAGCGCACGATGGATCAGCACCTCGGCCGTGGTTCGCAACTCTACGCAGACCTCGCCCGCACCTGCCAAGGCCGCCAACGGCCAGAGCCGAGATGTCGCTGCCGAGCAGGTCGCACGACACGACCAGGCTGTGGCCGCAGACCTTGTCAGCAGTGCTCCCGGTACGTAGCCATCAGGATGCAGTGGCGACCCCGTGATCTCGAACGAGGCACATGGTTGGCCTACATGCTCAAACAGAAGAGATCCAATCGACTGACACTTGTGGTAATACGCCTCATACTCTGCTTCTCTGCCACTCCGAAACAACAGAGGAGCTCACACAGCGCACGGTCCGCATCTTCCGTCCCTCCAAGACCGCCAACTCGTCGGGCAAGGCCGGTACCAAGGTGTGGCGTGTCGACTTTGATATCCTCCAGGGCTCTGCACGATGGGAGAACCCTCTGATGGGCTGGGCATCTTCGTACGTACATGCAAAGCCGATCGCATTCCATTGCGCTAGAAGTTTTGTTGCTGACCATTCTCAACCTGTCCATTGACGTGCATATCCATCCCAACACAGAGGCGACTACATGCAGGGCACTTCGCTCAAGTTCCGCTCCAAGGAGGACGCGATTCACTTCTGCGAGAAGCAGGGCTGGGACTACCAGGTCCAGGAGCCCAAGATTGCTCGCATCCCGCCCAAGAGCTACGCCGCCAACTACAACTACATCCCGGGCAAGCTCAGAATCCACCACACCAAGTAGAGCACGGAGACGGTTCACTTTTCGCGTATGCTTTGCTGCTCAATGCTATCGGTTCTCCATATTGTGTCGATGACGGATGTTGAGGCCGCTTTTGCAACTGCCGCGTATCAACACTACGAGCGAAGAGGTGCAGCATCTGCTTATGATCCGTCTCGCTCATAGTCGCCTCGTTCACGCCATCTTATCACACACACCGCGAACGTCTGTTTCGACAATGGTTGCAAGGAAGAGACAAGTACAAAAAGATGGGCCGGGGCTGCAGAGTCACGACCAGGAGAAGGGATGCAATTCTCGAGGTCGAACCGCGATGCGGCTAGTCCATTCTCGCCTTGAGCGTCCTCTCGATGACCTTGTCAGGAGTACTGTGATGGGCAGACGCCAGTGTCGAGACATGATTTGGTAGGGTCAGCAATTGGTTCTGTAGAGCCTGGGTCTGCTTTGGAAAAGGGTGGAGGGGGAAGCTACTCACATAATGCGGACGACGGCGCCCCAACCTGATAATGCGTCGCGCTCGAGCGCTCCGAGCAGGATCTGCGATACGGTCTCAAAGAGCTCCTCGGGTCCCTGCGCAGTCCGAATACAAGCAAAGTAGCAACAAAAGCAGGTCAGAATGCGTCCACAGAAGCAATGATTCGCCGCACAAGAGGCGACTGCAGCACTCACCAGATCCGGTTCCCAGAGGCCTTCTGCCATGCCGAAGAGCTTGTCCGATGCTGTGCCGCTGACCACAAAGTCCTTTGCAAAGTTGAGGCATCCGATCACATCTGTTGCGGCGATGAATGGCTCGTCTTTCGAGTTGAGTCCAGCAATGACGGGCTCGATGAAGTAAGGTCCAAACCTGACGAGATGTGGACGATCATCACAGTCGATGTTGAAGGGAAAGAGAGCATTTTGTCAGCAAGAGCATCACATGACATACAGTGACAGCTCGTAATCGCATGCTTACCTTCTCTCGTAGAGTGTCGAGCTGACGAGGTTGGCAAAGATCTCGGGCTCGATTTCGCGCTCCTCCTTCATCTTGTACATGTTGACGCGGTAGCGGAAGCGTTCGCGCAGCGTCGAGACATCGGATGCGAGGCCGGGAAGGCCAATGTAGGTCTTCTCGGTCACGCGGAAGACCTTGTCGAAGTTGCAGGCGACCGTCATGGCCTGCTGACCGAGTCGCAGGTCCGAGGCGATCACGACGCAGTTCTTGCCTTTGGCGGCGACGACACTGCCGCCGTTATACTCCATGATACTCATCTTGGCCGATGTCTAGGCCGTGACTGGGGCGTCACGGGAGGTGTGAAAGCGAAGGGCCGCTTGCAAAGCGATGCGATAGATGCTGTCGCGCGTTCCTTTAGCGCAGCGCGAGGTGGTCCTTAGAACGGCGAGGATCTGCGTCGAGCCGGAGAGCAAGGTGAGCTGAATCGACTTGGGGAACAAGGACGTCGAAGGCGGGTGGAGAAGCAATGAAACAGGTGGAGGACGAGAAGGTTGAGCGTGGCAGCTTGCATGCAACACTGCGCCGGCCTCGAATCTCGAGGAGAGGGTCCTTGCGCGTCCGGGCGTGCGTATTCGCGGTTGCTCCACAGCGCCTCCAAGGTGATCGACCTCTGTGCGCCATCTTGCTCCACTTGGTGGATTTTTCGAGTTCTAAATTGTTTGTGACGAGACACCCTAACAAATACGATTTCACCGCCGACTTCCGAGCCTTCCAGCTCACTCAACTCAGCTGAGCGCAGCAGGCTTTTTCGGGAAGTGTTGATCTGAACGTGAATCTGCGCTTTCGCGCAATCAGAAATGAATCCGGCTACGTTCGGCAAATCTAGATGACTTCGCTCGCTCGCCACGCCTTCCTCCATCCCCTACATCTCTGCCATCGTCGTAGCAGAACATACGCCTCGAGCCGAGCCAGCACCCTCGCATCCGTTTCGTACGACTAGGCAGGTTCCCAACGCATCCGGCTAGTTCACCCGACCCCGCTGCTACCTCTCTCGCTTCGCAAGCAAGTTCGGCAAGATGAAGGAGGTGACGCGCAAGATGATGACGGACGTGGCACTCTTCGCCATGAGCCAGGTCGCCTTCTACTATGCCTTCAAATATGTCATGTCGTCGCTCGACCCAAATCGCCAGAAGCGACAAGATACGAAAAAGGTCGCCGATGCCAAGCTGGGCAGGCTCGGCCTGCGTGGCAAGGACCTGGAGCTGAACGAATACGAAGAGCAGATCTCTGCCGAACTCATCCTGCCAGAGGACATTCCCGTCGATTTTGCGTCGATCGGTGGACTGGATGGCATCATCTCGTCGCTGCAAGAGAGCGTCATTGCGCCATTGTGCTATCCTGAACTGTTCGCCAATGCGAGCGGGTTGCTGGGAGCGCCCAAGGGCGTGTTGCTCTACGGACCACCAGGAACGGGCAAGACGATGCTGGCCAAGGCGCTGGCCAAGGAGAGCGGAGCTACCTTTATCAACATGCACGTGTCCACCTTGACCAACAAGTGGTTCGGCGAGTCGAATAAGCTCGTAGCTGCACTGTTCAGCCTGGCGCGCAAGCTGCAGCCATCCATCATCTTTATCGACGAGATCGACAGCTTCCTTCGCGAGCGTGCAACAGGCGACCACGAGGTCACGGGCATGATGAAGGCCGAGTTCATGACGCTGTGGGATGGATTGACATCATCGACGGATCGAATCATGGTGCTCGGAGCCACGAATCGACCCAACGACATCGACTCGGCCATCCTGCGCAGACTGCCCAAGCGATATGCAGTGTCGCTGCCCAGTGCGGCGCAGCGCGAAAAGATCCTCTCCATCATGCTGTCAGCAACATTGCTGGATCCCAAGTTCAGCATGACCGAGCTCGTCAAGCGCACCGAAGGTTACAGCGGTAGCGACCTCAAGGAGCTTTGCCGAAATGCGGCCATGAGGCCCGTCCGCGAATTCTTGCGCAGCAAAGCAGGCCGCGAGTCGGTGGCCGAGCGACGACGTCTGGCGGCAGCTGGCGTGGGCAGCGGCGTGGGCAGCGGCGTGGACAACACACCAGTGGGCGCTCTGACGCCGTCGGAGGGAGAGGTGGTGGCAACGGCTGCGCCCGCTTCCAAGATCGAGTCGAGGCCACTGCGGAACTCGGACTTTTTTGTGATTGATTCGGCGGCGACGCCCGTCAACGGATCGAGATCCGGTCCGATGGCCGTGGACGAAGATCCGCTCGACTGATCGATCGCGGTTGGGATACACGCATGTGTCTGCTCGAGCCGGAACTGGAAGTTTTCGCCGCTGCAGCCTACCTGCAGGCTCCGACGCCTCGCCTTGTACTTTTTCGGTGGCATGAAAGACATTCATTTAGAGCTGTGCATGTGAGTCTGTGGTCCAAGCGCAAATGCAGTTTACACTATACTTCCTATTCTCGGCTCACCAGCCATTGTTGAGCCCATAGGCCCTGAACCAATGCACTACGATGCAGCCGCCTCGGCGCTTAACACGGCCTCGGCGCCGAGCTGCCGACCAGAAATGCTCTGATCTGCCATGGAATTGCCTTACAGCGGACATGACCGTCGGAACGAGGAACTCGCGGCGCAGACATGTGCCTGGACACCTCGGCGGCTTTGATGTCAAGCACGCGAACGAATCGTGCAAGGCTCATGGAAGCACGGTTGGCGCCTGGTGTGCAGACATTTCCCACACCATTGACTTCGGCTCGGAGAAGAATGGGCCCTTGAAGATGGAGAAGAACGGATCGGATGCGAACGGAGGGGGATCGCATCGTGTGCAAACGGCCGGGGTTTGAAAGCCACAAGTCAAGGCGCAGAGCAGTGGCGGCAACAACAACAAGTCGGAGAATGCCAAGGGCCAAGCGAAGGAAAAGATGCTCGGCTAGGCGAGATTTGGTGTTGCAGAAGAGCTCTACGCGATGTCGAGCCGAGTCCCACGACTAGACACGCTAGATGCTGCAGTGCCGACCTGAGCCAGCATGATTCGGGCATATTTCGGCGCCGATTCAGGGTGCCGGCTTTTCTTTGCGCGCCGCTCACCGAAACGCGAAGCTAGACACCACGCTAGAGCTGCTTGATGTCGGCCAGAAAGGCTCGTCTGGACGTGGCGTGGGCTGATGGCGGTGGCGGCGTTCGTGTGCTCGACGCCACCCATGCACGCTTCGCAGGCCTCGCAGGCTTCGAGTCTTAGTCACGCGCACATAGCCGGCGCCGGTCAACATGTCACACTGCCCAGCTCACTGCTGTGCGTGCGTGCAAGAGCTGCAACAGCGCCCACTCGCATGGACAAGACAGATGTCATCCTGGACGCGGTCAGCGTGCAGGTTCGCGACAGAACTGCATTCGAGGCCTAAGCCGAAGAAGCACCGTTGAAGGAAAGCAGGAGGAGCCGAATGCAAACCCTGAAATCTGGGCTGCCCAAGAAATTTGGCTCATCAGACAAGCTGTCAAGGTCTTGCGCGGTGTCAGACGTGCAATCTCCGCAGTCTCAGAGCTGTATGTCAGAGAAAGAACGCTGTAGGTTCATGCCTCCACGTCAGTCATGCAGGACGGCGACGTAAGATCAGGTGATGGTCGGCTGTCTGCACCTCTGTCTTCCTTGCCTTCTTGCCTTTTTGCAGCTCAGCCTGTCATGCTCCGCATTGACGCCGATCTCGCTCTTTCACTCTGTCACAAAATTTTGCCAGCAATGGATCACATCGGGCGCCCACGCCACTACAATGAGCAATCTTTGGCTGCGATGCCGAGCGAAGGATGGCCAGTGCTAGGATCGGCGGTCTTCCGTATCGATCAGCTCGTGTCGCTTCCTTCGATCCTGCAGAGCCTCGGTTTGGCCGACTCGCAGCAATTGACGGGCGCCAGTGTGGACAGCGAGCAGGGTGTCGGTAAAACAAGCAGCGGCCCCAGTGAACATGAACAAATAGACGCAAATCACCACCAAACCTGCGGATTGGCACCGACGGCGGGGATTTCCCCTGCTCGCTTGGCCACCGCGAATCAGTTGTGGGCACACTGCGAGCAAGCGTCTCGCTTAGCCGCCCCGATCTGCCACCATCGGTCAAGCCGACGGACGCTTCTAGGCCAAACCCATCCGCAACAATGGCAGCTGGTTCAGCTTGATCACCCAAGGTGTTGCCGTATCGCCGTGTTTACGAACAACGCACTCTTGTCTCGCGAGCTGCCGTGTTCTGGTAGTGGTGGGGGTATCCTGCACGCACGACCCTCAAGCAGCGGAAAGGCGACTCGAAATTTCGCCATGGCGGCGGCCTCGCTTGTGCCTTCATCAGTTGTTGGAGGATGTGCAGCTCGCTTAAAGCTCGTCTCCAGCTGCACTCCATTTCGCCGCCTCACCTTGCGCCTTCCGCCCAATCAACCAACGCGACCTTGCCCCGCTTTCCCCCTCTCTGCCTAACACCGCTGCATAGCGATGTCGGCAGCAAGCGACTTCGGACTCCCTTCAGAGCACATCGTCCGTCGGGCATGGGTCTCGCTCATGCACCTGTCACAAAATTCATTTTGCCTGTCGGTGCTGCACCCCCAGATTTCGCATCCCACTCGCTCTGCCTCCGCCTCTGCCTCTGCCTCTCCCACTGCACCGCGGCTCCCGCAGCAAGATGTCCTGACCCACCGTGACCTTGCGGGCCACTGCTTCCATCCTCGCTCGGCAACGAACGTTGCAGCTTCAATGCGTGCAACCGACCGCCCTTCCAACCCAAGCGTGGGTTCCGATCGGAGCAAGCTCGGCAGCCTCAGTCGAGCGGCTAGTGCCGAATGAAAGGCCGTGGCCCCCTCCGGACAGCTGCACCTCCCTCGCTACCTTGGCGCTCCCACTGTCCTGTCAGAAAATGTTTGTGCGCCGCTTCGGGATCTTGCCACTTCCACACCATCCCATCCTGAAGCAGCAGAAGGGGCGAGAGCTGACCCAGTGCGGCAAAGTCTATTCTTCGAGCATGCCAGTGCCTCGGCGGCTCTGACCAGAAGCAGCATCACACGTGGCTCGCACCCGCCCAACCCTTCATTCTCCCTTCATTCGCTTCCCAACCGTCTTTCATATATACGCATCCTCTCGCAAGGTTCCCGTCAAATCACAAGGCTGCCGCCATCCGTGATCCAGAAAGTGGTAACGCTCCTGCGTCCCGCCGTGCGACTCTCTTGCGACACGCAAACGCACACGCACACGAACTACCGCCGAGAGGACGACTGCCGTGCCATAATTCGACGCTCTCATCACCGCGGTTCATCGCAAGAGCCTCCTCGTCCATAAGGCCTTAACCCGCACCCCTCGCAAACTCAGCATGCACTAAGCCCGGACAGGCGCGTCTGCACATCATGTCATACGCGGCGCTCAACACGCAGTACAATCTGCCCGCCCCGCCTGCCCGGAGTGTCTTTTCGACCATCCGTCATGCCAGCGGTCGTGCTTGGTTCCCCGACTTCACCAACGAGTCCGATCCGGTCGCCGCATTGCAGGACTTTGTCCGTATCCTCTTTTATCCCGTCCTGCGCAACAGCACGTTTGTGCAACTCAAGATCCTTTCGGTGCTCGTCGCCATCATTGGCGTGTCGATCTTCCTCATCATCCTCCGTCGCCTCTATGAACGATCCTTCTGGCTCTTTCGTCTCGTTTCTCGCAGCAACGGCACGCTCATCGTGCCCAACGCCATCACCGCTTTCGTCGCCGTCGAGAGCGCCTTCGCCATTCTCTTGATTGCGTTGTAAGTATTGATAAAACTGAGACCGTGTGGCACACTGGCTAACAGCTCTCACCTCCTCGCTCGCCCTCTTTGTTTTACCGACGAAATCGCAGATGCTGGGAAGTGATCGCCTGGTTCCAGCACGGCCACTCGCCCAAATACATCATCCTTTGGATCGGATTGACCTGGCTTCCACTCATCCTCGGAGCGTGGTGCACAACCGTCGGCATCATCTACGCGCGTCCCGATGCGCTCAGCTTCGTGTCGCCCCAGCCGGGCAAGCCTAGCAGCTGGGCACTGCGACTCGGCATCACGCCCACCGTGGTCAACGTCTGCGTCTTTACGATTCCCGTCATTCAGACCGTCAGCGTCGTGATCCCAGCCGTGCTGGCACAGCGTCAGTTCAGCATGGCCTTCGAGCACTACCGCCGCTGGTCGGACGCGCTGCCGTCCGGCGCCACCCTCTCGCGCGAACTCCTGCTCGAGGCTCAGCAGATCTGGTTCAAGGTGCTTGACGCGGCCTACTACCTATCCATCTGTATGGCGGTGTGGGAAGCATGGGTATGCGGTCTGTTCATCTGCTATTGCTTGGCTGGTGGCTCGCTCATCGCCATGCTCCGCGATCAGCTCGAGACGCTCAAGTCGTTCAAGCAGAATCGCTCGTTTAGCGAGTCCTTTGCCATCCAGAAAAAGGGCAAGCCGACCCCGGTACGCCGCACAAGCGAAGTATATGCAGCCCCAGCCATGCTCCCGCAAGCCGTGGCCGCGGATGGCGATCTCGAAAAGCAGATGTTCGGCACCTCGGATACGGGCATGCTCTCCGTTCAAGCGCCACCTCGCTCGCTCTCAATCACTTCGAATGCGTCGGACAGCGCCACACTCGTATCGGGCGACACAGGCTTCAAGCGCTCGCCGAGCCTTACCGCTCCGAACGGCAAGCCGGCTCCGGGATCGCGCAGGGGCACGTCAGAATCCGTCGTCGCTGAAACGGCTGCTCAGACGGCTTCGATGTACTTCACGCGCGACGAGCTCGAGAACGAGGACGAACCGGCGCAAAGCTTCTTCCCGGCGGTGCGCCCGTCAGCGTTTGAGCGGCCGACCCAGGCACAAACCGCGGCAGGCAAGCAGAGTTCGCACAAGCGCTACCTGGAGAAGTTCTACTTGAACTTTGTCGTACAGTTCGCCGGGCTCATGATGTGCATCCTCTTCTTCGCCGTCTTCTGCGGAAAGCTCATCACGACCTGGTACTCGGCATGGGAGGCCAACGAGTTTGCAATGGCGCTTCAGACTGCGCTGCTCGTGGTTGCATGGGTGACGGTGGTGCTGGCGAGCATCATCATCTTTGCCATCCTTAGCCGTACGTACGAGCCCGTGCTCTCCAACTTTGGCGCGGTGACTACGAGCCGCAGCAGTGGCAGTCGACGCGCCAGCTTGGTTCGCGCAAACAATGCCGGCTCGGGCGGCGCTCGCAAACCCGGGCGACGTCTGAGCGAGGCCAAGTCCTGGGCGCTGTCGACGCTCTCGCAGCTGTCCAGCGGCGAAGATCGACGCAGCCAGGACATTGGCTTGGACCGCGTTCGTCATGGGCGCGGCAACAGCCGCGGCGGCTCCTTCTCGGGGCCCGGTCGATCGTCTCTTCACGGCTATTCCGAGCTCGACGGGGAGCACGTGTCTCCGCACGTCGAGCTGGATCCGCCCAGCCCCAAGAGTCAGCCTTTGACGCTGCGCAAGCCGACATCCAGCTCGACGCCGGACTTGCAAGCGGCGAAGCCTTCGTCGAGGCAGCCGCACGAGCCTCGCCGGCAGCGATCGTTCCGAAGCGCGAGCTCGTCCAGCAAGAGCACCAAGGCGAGCGGAGTGATGGTGGAGCAAACAGTCAGCACCATCATTGAAGACCCGGCAATAGAGGACTACTACCGGATCGAGCGACCAGCCCGTGCAGCACGCACTTCGCCGAGCAAGTCGGACCTGTCGGAGCAGGAGATTTACACACCGCACACACTCGATGGCGATCTGTCCACGCCGGGACGTTTCAACAGCCACTGGGCCGAAAGTCCAACCACTCCGGCGACGATCTGGACTCCTTCGACGCCAGCTTCCACCCGGCCGTTGATGGGCGCCGACGGCAAGTCACCGCAGCTGCCGGACACCGTCGACGCAGAGGGGCAGGAATGGGTCCTGCACTGCTCGCCTTCGGATGCCGCTCCGCGTCCGTCGCGCGCGCACCGACCCACGGCGGGTGACGACTCGGTTGGTCTCGGCATCGCAATGGCCTCCACGCCATGGACCGCGCCGTCGGTGTGGGACAGCGGCGAGCCTGATGCGGCCCTTGTTCAAGAGGATGCTGAGATGCGGCTGCGCATGGCCTCACGGCCTGCTACTGGCTCTTCTGCCAAGCGCTCTTGACTGCGATACCCCACAAAAACCCCATCGTTCCTAGATCAGATAGAATGAACATCAGATAGCAACAGGACAGCCGCTTCAGTAGGCGATCATGAATCCGTTTTGTATCTTCCGTTGTGAGGAATGATGCCGGGACTGTGCTGTCGAGGAGACGAAATCGAATTTTGAACGTGTTACACCGTAGGCTTCGACAAAATACGAAAAATCGAGGCGGTTTTGAAATGGACTTGTGATCGAATTACAGGTGGGAGCAAGTCTGCAAGGTGGCAGGTGTAGTCTCGATCCAGGCTGAATTTGGCGAGGGCCGTACGCCTCAACCTGCCAAGGGGGCGAAAAAATGAATTGGACAGCTGCAGGCGGGTGTGGCAGGGCTAGGGGCTGGGAGCAGCTGAGCTGCGTTTGTGTGTCGCAGTGGCAGCGGCTGCTCTGAGCGCGGCTTGGCTTGACTTAGCCAAGGGTGGCCTTTGCGCTGGAATCGACACACACACACCCGCTCGCCTCGCCGCGAGATTGTGGAATTCGCCCGCCCGTCCGCCCGTTGGCACGCGCGCAGCCCACGCCTCGGCGTCTCCAGACCACCTTCGCTGGGCGGTTCTCATCTTTCCTACTCCACACACCCATCACCCTTCTCCTACCGCATCCGCACCCTTGCTCTCGCCATCCGGCACCACCCCACTCGCACGCACTCACATTCGACAAGATGGATCCATCCAACATTAACACGGAGCTTTGCCCCGTCTACGCCCCCTTCTTCGGCGCTATGGTAAGTTGATTCGACAAAGACACCTTTCGCCCGAGCCTGCAACCCAGCACTTGGCCTGCCATCTATCAAACATGGACAGCGATGTTCCACATGGACGCAGATAAGGGTCTCTGCTTCGGTCGCACACGATCTGAACTCTGAGGAGAGAGTCGTCAGCAGATGCGATCGCAACCGCCGTGCACTCGAGAGGCCCAGTGTTCGCGGTCTACCTCAACAATGGGCGTGGCAGCACACGCTTTCAATCGCACCATCCAGTTGCTGACGTCCGCTCCATCACTTGTGCCCTACTCCGCGCCACACTCTCGGATTTGAACCTCACAGGGATGCACTGCTGCCATCGTCTTCACTTGTACGTATCCGAGCCCAACACTCGCCTTCTCCTCTTCGCAAATTTGTATGAATTGTAGACACTGACTTTGAAACTCCTGCCTCTCTCTCTCTCTGCGGCAATCTCGCTCCTACAGGTCTCGGTGCCTCGTATGGTACTTCGAAGTCGGGTGTCGGTATCTCGGCCATGGGTGTTCTGCGACCTGATCTGTTGATCAAGTGTGTGATTCCCGTCATCATGGCTGGTATCATTGCCATTTACGGTCTCGTGGTCAGTGTGCTCATTTCGGGCGACATCAAGACTCCCATGTCGCTGTACGCTGGATTCATCCAGCTCGGTGCCGGTCTCTCGGTCGGTCTCGCAGGCCTGGCCGCTGGTTTCGCCATCGGCATTGTCGGTGACGCTGGTGTTCGTGGTACCGCTCAGCAGCCCAGGCTGTTCATCGGAATGATCCTTATCCTCATTTTCGCCGAGGTTCTGGGTCTGTACGGTCTCATTGTTGCGCTCATCCTCAACACCCGCTCGCAAGACGACCCCCTCGGATGCATGCTCAAGTAAACAAAGAGCCACCAGCACCCAGCACCCAACGAGCACGGTCCCATCCTTTTGTGGCAAAGCGAGCGCATTGACTGTTGAAGGCGCCGACGCAATCGGATAGAATCGTGGTCGGATGGGTGCAATTACCACCTCAGTACCCCTTTGTATGGAGCACGGATTGGCCCTCAGCCCACCGTGATCTGGTCGGCTTCAACGCGAACGCCCGACTTGTTCACTCTCTATCACCTCTCACGCCCCTTGCCACCTGGCTTGGTCCCTGTTTCCCTCGCACCTCGACAAACAATATACACTGCATCTTGGCCTGACTTGACGGCGCTTGCACAGACAACGCTTGCTCCGCGTCAGGACGCATGCGATGGTTTTGCCAAAAACAATGCTGAGGCACGACGAGGGGTATATTGCAGCAGTCTGTGAGCGGGTCGTAATGCCGCAATGGAGGGAATCAATCGAAGCGGGCGCGCTTTTGCGGCGCTGGCTCGGGTCCCGACGTGGCGGGCGGTAGTTCGACATCGTCGAGCTCGGCACCGTCGTCGTCGGACTGCTCGCTGGCGGCGGGCGACGTCTTGGTGCCGTGGTTGCGCGCGGTGCCTGACGCCGGGTTGGCCGACGACGTGGGCGGGTCGGGGATGATGAAGCGGCCGTGGTGGCCGCGTCTCGGGTCGAAGCTGGGACGCGCGCGGCGCTGTGCCGACAGCGAAGACTGGAGGCCGTAGACTGTGGATTGCTGCTCGTTTCAACGCAGGGCGGCCAAATAAGGGTCAGAAGTCTGCCTAAAGCGATGTGAACAGGGTGCGGTGGAGTGCTTACGAGTCGGGTTGCCAGCACCGAGTACATGTCGGGCGCCTGGTAGATCGAGTCGTTCACAATATAGTATGCCGCCAAAGGTGTTGCTGTTGCGAAAACGGCGAGCATCAACAAGTGTCAGAACATCCGACTAGAAGGTCGGCATGACGCAAGACGGACTTACTTTCAGTGGGCGAGGTTCTCCACCTCTTCTGAATGACAAAACACAGCGGCGGTCTTGCGTGGACCAGAACGAACTCGAGCCCTGTGAAGCGCTTGAGTTCCTGCTCCTCCTGACGTGCGCCCATGCCACCGGTGAGGTTCTGGATGCCGTTGGCGATGTTCTGCATGCGGATCTGCTCGTTGTTGCTCCGTCGATCGAAGAACGGCGAGGTGGCAAAGTAGGCCATGACATTGTGCTCGCTCAGCGGATGAGCCGGATCGGACTTGGCTGGTTTGCCAGCATTGCCAGCGTCGGGAGCGACGAGGCCCTGCGCCTGGAGCTGCGAGAGGTAGGTGAGGAACTCGGGGTTCTTGAATTGGACGTGCAGCAGGTTCGGAGGCGCATCGGCGGGCGTCGCTGTGCCAGCCAGCGCTGGAGCGGCCATGTCGGTAGCAGCAGCAGCAGTGGAGCGCGGGCTGAAAGCAGCGAATCTAAACCGGCAAAGGTGATGACCGAAGAAAGTGTGATGTGGACAAGTGTCGAAGGTCGCTCCGGCTGGAGCAAGAGCCAAGGTGGCCGTGCGCCGAATCGGCCGTGCCGACAAAATGATTTTTCGGATGTGCCGTCCGAGGCGCCAGAATTTCCTCGGTCATGCGGCCGGAGATATCGAAGGCAGCAGCTCGCCACGACCGAAAGTGTTGCTTGACCGGCAGCAGAGGGACGCGTAGGTGCAGCTGCCGGAAGATCCTCGCAGTCATCACTGTGCGTCGAGACATGCAGCTCAGCACGAAATCCAAAACACACCTCGACCGACACGTTCCGGACTGCTTCCTCTCCATCATCTTGACTATCCTCTCCCCCGCAACCTCGCTCGACACCATGGCGTCCACATCCAATCTGCAGTCGCGTGCCAAGGGCATGCACTCGGAAGCGCTCGACAAGTACGACGACCTGCACGAGCCCATCCCCACCGAGGAGCAGGAGAAGCTGCTGCGCGAACTCAAGACGCAGAACGACAAGAGCAACTACTTCTACCGTGCGGCGATCCTCTTCATGGACCTGCTTGTCTTCATCGCCTACCTCACGCCCATCCCATCGTACATCGACGGCACGCATCCCGAAAACCACCTGACGCTCTTCCACCACGGCGTCCACGTCATCGGCACCGAAGACCACCTCACCTACCTCCCCGCGTTCCCCATCTACCTCTTCTTCTTCGCCTGCCAGGGCTACCTGCTCTTCCTCTCCGCCTTTGAGCTGCTCTCGCTCATGGGCCATGATGACCTGCTTGCGCGCCTCTCGGGCCGCTCCGCCGCAGCCTACCGCTCGCACCCCTTCGGCACGGCGCCAAGCTACCTCATCGGCTTCCTCTCCGAGCTGCGCTGGTCCACGGGCAACAAGGTCAACCTGCACGAACGCGCCGACAAGCCCGCCAAGATCGGCGGCGACTCCAAGGCGGTCCACGCGAGCCTCTCCAACCCGCGCCTCATGTACCTCTGGATGGTCTTCCTCGCCAGCCTCCCGCTGCCGCTCCTCATCTTTGGCGCCGGCAACTTCTCCAACGCCGGCTGGTTCAGCTTCACCCCGGCCGTCATCGGCCTCATGCTCGTCTCGGAAACCTCCATCCGCAGGTCCGAAAACCAACTCCTCGGTCTCGACGGCCTCAAGTACGACCACAAGTCGGCATAACCCCATCCAACCCCCACCAACGACCGTCACTCTCTTTGAAGCATTTCACGGAAACCACAGACTCGGCTTCATGCCCTCTGTACCCTCTCTGCCTTGTACACACACACTGCACATGCCATGCATCCATTTTCACGGGCCCTGCCATTCCTCAATTCGCCTGTGCCGACTCAGTACGGCGGTTGGTACGAGCCATAGCCGCCGTGTTGCTGCTGATACTGTCCCTGCTGGGGCGGCGGCGGCGGAGGCCTGTTCGCGTTCGGCGGCGGAGCATATCCGTGCTGCGGGGCACCGTAGCCCTGGTGCTGTGGCTGCGGCGGAGGCGGCTGCGCGTATCCCTGGCCGTGCTGCGCATAGCCCGCATTCTGGCCGCCGTACCCACCGTAGTGCGAGGGTGACTGCGGCGGAGGCGAAGCGTACTCCTGCTGGCCATATCCTCCGTATCCAGGCCCGCTCGGTGGCGCCTGTCCATACCCTCCATGTTGAGGCGGATGCTGTCCGTACGAGTGCTGCGCAGGCGGCGGCGGCGGCGGCGACGTGTACCTCGCCTGACTGGGTGATGTCGGCGCAGGGCTGAAGCTCGCCTGGAATTGCTGAGGCGGAGGCGGCAACCCGCCTGACGCGGCCCTCGGCGGCTGAGCATGCGGGTCACTGCCGTAGCCAAGCTGACCATACGGAACGCCTCGCTGTTGAGACACTGGCGGCGCAGGCGAAGCGCGCGTGTCGTTGAACGGTCCAGTCGAAAACATGGACTGGTAAGGGTCGTGAGCAGATGCGCCTCCCGCCGACGCTTGCTGATACGACTGCTGCTGCGGCAGAGGCGGCGGAGGTGGTCCGGGCGAGCGCACCTCCTGAGGACCCGGCGGGTAGCCGCTGCCATAGCTCGTCTGCCTGTGCGGAGGCGGGGGTGGCGGCGGGCCACCCGCACCTGACGGCTGACCCAAACCGCTCAGTCCCGCCATTGACGACGCCAGTCGATCCGCACCACCCGCACCGACCCTTGTGTCGGATCCCTTCTCCTCCCACTCGAGTTCCGACGCCAGCCGCGTCCTCTCCGTCCTGCGATCCGTGCAGAAGCGGTTGACTTTGCCCTTGGTTTCCCGCACAATCTCCTCGAGATCCGAGTAGAATTGCACGCCCTTGGCTACGCCCGCCCTGACCTGCGCATTCGAGTCCCTCGCCCTCCTCAGCCGTGCCACGAGCTGGTTGCGCGCCTTCTCCTTCTCGTCCCACCTCGCGCCCGCCGCCTTGGACGCCGGCAGCTCCGAAAGCTCCTTGAACGCTCCTTCGATCTCGCCCAGCAGCGCCTGCTGATGATGCAGGCTCACCGCGATCCGGTTCTGGTGCGGCTTGAACTTCTCCAGCTCCGCCGCAAAGATCGACGCGTCCACGTTCTGCGCACGACGGTTGAGCACGAGCACCTGCGAGATGTCGTCCGTCTGGATCTTCTCCTTCAGATCCGCCAGCACCTCGGAGCGTTCCTTCTTGATCTTGTTGAGCTTGGTGAGAGCCTCATCGATCTGGCCCAGTTTGGCCTTGACCGCTGCGACGTCGGACTCGGACGCCTTCTCCTCGTCGGCCGAAACGTCGATCAGCGAGGTCTGCGCGCCTGCACCGCCATACAGGCCCGTCTGGCCCGTCAGCGCGGCTGCAAAGGCGCCCTCGAGTGCATCGCGCCCAGATACCAGGAGCTGAATGTCGCTGCGAATCGAGCGCCACAGCTCGCCGATCTGCGCATCGTTCTGCGACGCCTGCTGCATGGCCTCCTTGTTCTCTCGGAGGTTCTGGCGCATGTCCTTGGTTTGCTTGAGAGAGGGCTCTTGGCTCCACTTGTGTCCGAAGCGTACGCGCTGCTTCTCGCATTCGCGGTTCTCGTTGTCAAGTTCAGCAAGCGCATCGTCGATCGACTTGGCGGCTTGCGTCTTGATGCTCTCGATGCGATTCAACGCCGAATCAATGCCAGCAGCACCGACTCCAAGTCCATCGGCACCACGCCCGCCGCCGCCCTCGGCTTCCTCGTTCGACCAGCGCATCACTTCGGCGCCAGGATCAGCGAGCGAGTCGAGCATAGCGCCGCTACCACTTCCCTGCGCGATGGCACGGTACTTTTTCAGGCTGCCTGGCAGGCCGAGGTATTCGAGCGTGGCCTGCAGTTCGCCCGTTGCGATGTCGTGGCGCTCCGACTCGGCTCGTGCGATCTTGGCCTTCTCCTCCGAGTACAGCGACGCCTTCTCGTGCACGCCCAGCGGCACAAGGTTCTGGAACAGATCGGGGCCGATGACGCGCTGTACCTCGGGAGCCGCAAAGATCTCCTGAATGGCGATCGGCGTCGCTGCCACAAGCTTGTCCACCGCAGGAAGCGACGACTCTGACGGCAGGATGTCGTGGTAAATCAGGTCGTTATCCTTGACGGCTGTTTCCTTGCGCTCGGCGCAGCGAGTGACCTGGGCGTTGACGATGGCGGTGAGCGCTGAGCCCGCGTCCGTGGGGAGCGACGGGCGATCGGCTGTGGCTGTAGCTGCGGCTGCGGCGCTGAATGTGGTGAGAAGGTTGCGCGCCTCTTTCGCTGCCGTCTCTGCCACAGTGAGACGCACAAGGCATGCGCCGTGCGATCCAGTTGCATCGTCCGCCAGCGCCTTGTAGTACTGCATGACCGAGGTGAAGTGCTTTGCTTTGACCTGGATGAGGTACGTCCAGGAGCGCTCGAAAATGCCCTTGGTGAGATGTTCGCGCGAGTCCTCAACGAGCGCCGTGTACGCTGTCGCCGTCTGACTTGCGAGCTTCGCAATGAGACCGGGCCCTTTCTTCTCCTCGATGGTCTTTTCCAAGAAGACCTCGGATGCCTGAGCGAGTGTGATGCCGACAAGGCACTTGACGACGTCTTTGCTCATGTCGGTACTGGGCGCATGGAGGAAGTTCTCGTTGATGTAGCTGAGCATGCCTGCCGCCTGGCGAAGTGCAGTGTAGGCACGCTTGAGGCCTTCGGCGTTGCCAGGCATGCGCGGCTGCGACGATGCGAGGGAAGAAAGCGTGGCGGCGATGTTGAAGATGATGCTGGCCTTTTCGTAAGCCAGGCTGGACTGCGAGATGGCCTTTTGTGTGAAGGCGTCCTTCCACGGGAACGGCACGCGCAGCTCAGGGAAGCGCAGCTCGAGCATCTCGAGCATGTGGAACCACTTGAAGAGCAGATCGCGCCCTGTTGCGTCCGAGGCGGCGCCCCTCACCGCATCTTGACGTGCGCGGTTAAGCTGCGAAGTCTGCTCGGCATACTTTTTCGGCTCCTCTCCGTAGCTGTTGGCGATGAGCGATCGAACCGCAGAGCCGAGATCCACCTCCTCGGTGGACTTGAGCGGGAAAAGCAAGAGAGGAGACTGGTGTGCGTCCGACATGATGGCTGACTGGTCGGTCTGCAACCGCTGTTTTCCTCGGAGATCAGCGAAAGAGCGACGTCAGATGACGAAGAAAGAAAGTGGATGGATGTGAGATGCGAACAGGCGAGGTTAGCGAGGCTGAGCTGACCGCGGCAGGAGGCCAACTGCGGAGCCTCAAAGGTGGAGTTGCGAAATTGGTCCGCTGCCACACAGCCCCTCGGACCTCCACGCGGACGACGGACCGTGCGCACGCCAGTCTGCCTCCGTGCCGACTTGCGGAGCGGCTCAATTTCCAACATCCCGCAGCGGCCAGGAACGGTGCCCTGACACTGCATCCTCGAGCTCCGTCTGTCCATCGACATTGATTAGGTGTCCACACGAATCTTTCGATCGCAATCACAAAAGGGCTTTCTTTGTGATAGAATCCGAATTGCAGCGATTTGGGTACGAACGTGGTCTATGCGGGCAATGGGGGTTCAAAGATTAAGACTTTACCGTGAGGAAGCTCAAGCCGCTGCCGATTGCCAATCCAACGCAAAGCCAGAAGGACAGCAGCGTAGCGGCGAGCGGGCCTTCGCTTGCTCCCTTGGAGTTGACGAGCTTGCTGCGGGATGGGCCCGAGATCATGATGCAGGTGCTCACGAGGCCGTTGGAGAAGCCAAGAAGGAGCATGAGCCCGAAGAAGGGAGCGTCGCTTGACTGGAGCAGCGCTGATAGCCAGCCGAGCTGCGCGTCTTGTTTCACGCGGCTGATCGGCCCTGTCCTCTGGCTGGTTGATACAACGTTGCACGCCATGAAAAGAGGGATGAACAGCGAGCGAAGCAGCGACAGCGAGAACAGCGCGCGTGCCTTGCGGATAAGTGCGCCGGGCACTACGCTCGGAAGCGTCCTGCCGAGCAGATCCGAGATGTTGAACAGCAGGAAGTGGAACGGCACGAACAGCTGTGGCGACGTGAGATCCACCGAGCTCGTAACAGGTCCCGATGAACCCGTGTAGACGCTCTGCACCGACGAGGTGAGCGCTGGAAAGAGGCTGAGCGTCACAACGAACACAAATGCGACTGCAGCACAGTCCCACTTGACCTTGGACTGGACAAGCGAGATGCGCAGCAACGACTCGCGCGTGGACGGCGCAAGTTGGTAAAATCCGGGCACCTTCTTCAGCCACGAGCTGTAGGCAGGGTGGGAGATGGAGCGCACCGAATGCCAGCTCTGCGTCATGAGATGCTGCGACCCACCCAGACGCTCGTCGTCGTCGTCGTGTCGCGAGTCTCCGTCGCGCTCGTCCTCGATCTTGTCGATGGTCGCCACCTGCTTGGCCATCACCTGCGCATACAACGGCGTCTGGGCGAGCCAGAGGAAGGCGCCAAGCACGCCGATCATGAGCAGCGTGTTCATGCCGAAAAAGATGGTCGCCGCTCGTGCGATGCTGCGAGCCGTGTCGCGCGCCGTCTGGTCGAACGCAGGAGTGCCTTGCTCGGGATTGGTCTGCTGCGACCATGCCGAGGCGAGGCCGAAGATGCTGATGCCGACGCCGACTACGCCCTGACCAGCAAGCATGGAACCCATGAAGGTGCCGCCTCCACCAAATGCCGTACTGAGCGAGACTACGCTGTTCTGTAGATAGGCGCAGGCGCTCGACAAGAGACCGCCGAGCAGCAGAGTAAAGTAAAAGTAGGTGTTGTCTGGCCCTGCGGCATCGGCAGTGGGAGGCTGGGGGCGCCATTTGAGGTCACCAAAGCGCGTGGAAAGCGCAAAGCAAAAGACGCAGAGGATGATGACGGCGGAGGAAAGGGCGATCCTGCGACGTGGGCTAGAGCGCTCAAAGCCGCCGGTGGCCGTGGCGTGGATGCCGACGAGGATGCTGATCACATTGTACGACACGGTGATCCAGCTGCTGAACGTGTTTGCGTAGGGCGTCTTTGCGAACGAAGAGCGAAAGTACTCTGCTGGCGTGATGAGCGAGTTGAAGGGGAGAAGGACACCCATACCGAGCAGGCCGAATGTGACGTAGACCAAGGTGCGCTGCCGATGCGACATCTGGTTCCAGGCGGGCGCACCCTCGACGCCCGTCTTGATCAAGGGCTCCGCGGGTCCATCCTCGTGTGCCGGAGTCAAAGGTGGCGAGGCGACGCTATCGTGAGACCGGGCGAGGAGGCCCTCCTCCTCTCCTCGGAGCGGTCGCATGGGAAGCGAGGTTATCGCTTTGGCAGCGTCGGTGGGGCTCTGCGCGGACTTGGCGCACGCCCGGGTGGGGTACGATGGCGAGAGTCGTTGGAGACTGAAGTGGGTGAATCTGTCCGGAAGGTAAGTTCGCTATTGAAGTGGCGATGCGTCTGGCAGGAAGGGGAGACGCGAGAACAGGAGGACTGGCTGGCAATCGATCCAGCACTTTTGTGTGTCCAGCTTGAGGGGCTGGCCGTCAGCACGGTGATTTGCGGCAGGGAGGTGGAGTACGGCTCTTGAGATGAGCTACTCCACAAAGAGGCGCGTCCAGCTTTACCCCTCTGCACCACCAATAGCCGGCCTCAGCCCCCGCTCGATGTCAGCAGCACACGCCGGCTGGACCCTGGCCGAGAATGCGACCAGATGAATCGGGCAAATTTCGCGACTCGACCACCGATTCGGATCGCCCCCCTGGATGAACTCTGCCGATGGCGCAGCCAATCCCGAAATGAGTTAGGCCATCTGAGCTTCGGCCTGGCGCAGGTCTTGAGCCGAGCTGAGGGGCAGCGTATGTGCCGAAGTCGGTTTACGGCGCCCGACGGAAAGCGTGCTTGGTGCAAATCCGAAAGATGCCTGAACGGCTACAGTACGCAGGGAGAGCGAGACATGTCTCTCGGGCAGCCCGTCGGGGCTGCACAGCCTAAGCACAGGCTGCCCGCAGAAAAAGCCTCGGCTTCTCCGCACATCACCCAAAGTTGCGCGTGGGGCTGCAGAGTGTGGGAAATCCAGTCTTCGCCTCGGCGTGCAGCCGACTGCTCGAAGCTCTGCGCAGCGTGAGGGTGTCGGTACGCTCTGGCTTGTTTTCTTTCGACTTGGCTGCAGATCACCGACACATGGCGCGGGCGTTTCGAGTCGGGACAGCGCAGTGGGGACCGTGATTAAGCGAAGCTACCACTGAATCCTCCATCCACTTCGGCACCCCCGAAGAGCGCGCCTGCGCAAGACTTGGTTGCTGCTGCTGTGGTCGCTCTGCCTTCTTCTGCTGCCACCACCACCCTTCTGCAAGGCCCGTCGCGCTCGCTCATTGTCAGCTTGCACTCCCACGAAAGCTTCGCAAGGGTTCTTTGCTGTCATCCGCACCTGCGTTGGAGCTCACGCACGGCGAGTCGCAGCTGCGTCCGACGCTTGCCTTGGATCGCACCGGCCTGAGCGCAGCAAGCCGTCCCGTCCTGGTCGACATGCGCCCTTGAAGACGCACTTGATCGCAACTTAGACTCAAGCTCGCCCTGCGCCTCCTTCCGCTGGCTCCGACCAAGACCGAGGCCGAGTCCTCGCACTGGACGTGCCAGCTTCACTCTGCTGCGCAGCTAGGAACAACACCACATCCATCCAGGCTGCCGGTCAGCCCTTGGACCACAACGACGCGCACAACATGAGCACCTCCGGCAACATCGCCGTCATCCCAGAGCGGCCCGCCGAGAAGGGCTACTGGAAGAACGACTGGCAAAATGTGGCCGACAAGCTGATGGATATGCTTCTCACCTTGCGCCAAGACACCGAAGCCGGCTGGGAGGATCGCGGCGCCTTCAACGGCTGCGAGATCGCAATCTACCCGCGCAAGCCCGACGAGCCCTTCTCGGTGATGCCCATGTTCCGCGGCAAGACGCATGCTGCAGGCCTCACTCCGCTCGAGGTCTTTACGGGCATCCGCATGACCGGCTTCCGCATGATGTGGGACACACGAGTGCAGTCGGCACACATCATGCGCTCCTTCTCGATGCACGAATTCCTCTTTTATCTCGTCTGGCGCGGCATCGGGCCTATCTACAAACCACGGGACATCTGCGGCATCCAGGCGCTTCGATGCTGGGATGCAGCCGGCAACTTGCAACGCACCCCGGACTTCACCACAACCAAGATGATCCTCGGTTACCAGAGTCTCGACGAGGTGCCGGGCATTCCGCCCCAGGTGGAGGGATGCGTGCGTGCACACGTCTTCAAGGCCGCCTTCTACCTCGAGAGCCGCGAGGGCGGTTGCGACATCACCTACATCGGCCACGTCGACCTTGCCGCTGCCATCCCCAACTACATTCTCTCCACCCTGCACAGCGAGTTGCCCAAGAGCACCGTGCGCCTGCGCGACATGCTCCTCACCTTTGGCGTGCCGCCAGTGCTCATCGACCGACAGGGCCGCATCGCGCTCCAGTACCTCTCGTGCAATCCCGAAACACGCCAGGTCTCGCTGCACGCCACCATCATGCAGGCCGGCAGCGTGCACCTCTACCTCGACTACAACAAGATGTTCACACAGGGAGTCGTCATCAGCAACGTTCTCGGCTCCGCAGCCGCCGCCATCTCGGTGCGCGAACACTTTGGCTCCGAAGACGGCTTGGAGCGCAGGATGCTCGCGCTCGATCTGCTGCCCGAGGGCGTCGGCGGCGAGTTCAGACTCATCATCGATGCGGCGGACAAGGAGGGGCCCGAGTCCGGGACCGGGCCAGGCTGGTGGTAGAGTGGCATCCACCCCAAGCTTGCTCAAGTCTCATGGCCATCATCTCTAGCCCATTGCTTCATACTAGTACAGGTACCGTAGGATCGCGTAATCAGATGACTTTTAATCACTCTCTTGACATGGCTGGTGCGATTGTGGCATTGAGTCAGAATACACGAGCAAAGAAGATCAGTTGCGACGTGCGCGGCGTTCCTTTCGCTTCTTGCCGATGACGTGGCCGTGAGCGTAGCCCTTGGGCTTGTTCTTGTCGGCCTCGATCTTGCGGGCTGCTTGCGCCTCCCTCTTTGCGAGTTCGGCGTGGACGGCGGCCTCGCGCTCCTCGGCCTCCATCCTCTCCTGTCTTCGCACGGCGGATTCCTTGGTCGCCTTGAGTTTGTCGGCGCGCTTCTTGGTGGTCACGACGTTTTCGATGGCAAACTCGATCATGAGCAGACCGCCACGCTCCTTGTCTCCCGAAGCACCGCCCTCTTCGAGCTCGCTGACCTTGGTGCGCAGACGCTGCTTGCGCGTGGTGAGCTCCTCGATCTCGGCACGAAGCGCATCCGCCTCTTCGCCCTTCTTCTCCTCGAGCGTCTTGGTCTTGGAGTGCACCTGCGTCGCGATGCGATCCACCTGCTGCTGCAGGTCGTCCTTCCACCACTCGCCGAAGAGCTTCGACACAGCTTTGCTCGCGTTCGCCCAGCGGATCACCTTGAGCGCATCGTTGAACGACTTCATCTCCAAGAATCCGTAACCCTTGGACTTGCCCAGACCCGTGAGCGCCTCGACTCGATCGTGCTGACGCACCACCTTGGACTGAACCACGGGCGTCGGCCTCTCGCCCGGCTTGCGCTTGCGGTTCTCGGCGGAAGCACTGAGGGTGCGATCGGCCTTCTCGTCGGCATCCAGATCCTCGCGCTCGCCCGCACGCACTTCGGATCCAAACGTCTTGATCGCATGGATCGCCAGACGCTTCAGCATGCGGTCCGACACAAAGAGCGGCAGCGAACGCACCGCCAGACGCGTCTTGCTCACAAAGAGCGACGGATTGGCGCCCATCTGCGCCTTGCGCACCTGGAACGACTGCAGCCTCTTCTCCACCTCGGACGGCGCGAGGCGTGCGGCAAAGTCCGAATTGGGGAACGGCACGCCCTCTCGGAGCAGCCACGTGTTGCGCTTGTCGCCCTTCTCGCGCTCCTTGCGTCCGCTCGTCTCGAGACGCGACGCCTCGTCGCGCGCTACGGCGGGGATGACGTTGAGCACGCGGCCATGCAGGTTGAGACTCGCCGTGAGCGGTGCAGCGGGATCGGCGGTGAGCACGGACGGCATGGCGAAGGGGTTCTTCTGGTTGGCGACGGAGCTCGACGAAGATCCCGAGACGCCCGACTCGCGCTCGATGATGCGCGCCTGTGCCAGCGCCGCATCAGCCGACTCGGCCTGCCAGAAGCACACGAAACCCGTGCCTTTGCTGCGATTGGTCGCCTTGTCCATGGTGATCTTGGCATAGCGCAGCGGGCCAAACGTGCGGAAGAGGTTGCGCAGCTCTTCTTCGGTGGCCTGGTACGGCAGATTTCGGACGAAAAGCGTGGTGCCCTCTTCGGGTGCTGGCAGTTTGAGTCGCTCTGCGGGCTCCTCGCTGGCATCACTGCCGGCATCGCTGGCGTCATCGGCATCGTCAGCATCGTCGTCGTTGACCTTGTCGTCTTGCTCGGGCTCGGACTCGTCGGCCTTGGCCTCCCAGTCCTTCTTGCTGAGCGCCCAGTCGACCGCGACGGTTCGCTCGGGTTGAGCGTTTGCGCGCACGTGGTCCAGCGCGGCCTTGGCAGCACGTCGACCACGGGAGCCAAGAGCAGACTTGTAGGCGGCACGCTCGGCGGCGCCGTGCTGGATCTTGCTGCCGTTGACTGCCTCGATGGCGCGCGCGGCGTCGTTGCGCGATACCATCCAGACGAAAGCAAAGCCACGACCCTTCTCGACGGCAGCTGACTTGGCTGCAGCAGGGACGGTAGCAGGCTTGGCAGAGGTGGACGCCTGCTTGTTGGTGTCTACATCAGCGTCGGCCTCAACCGCAGGAGCTTCGTCCTCGGAGTCAGACGAGGACTTGCTGTCATTTTGCTTTGCATCGTCGTCGTCCGCCTCGTCATCCTGCTCGCTGTCGCTTTCCGAGCCGTCCTCTGCATCCTCGTCACTTTCCTCCGCATCTTCGCCGTCGGAATCGCTGTCGCCCGACGAGTTAGAGTCGGCCGAGTCTTCCGAATCTTCTTGCTTGACGGAAGCTGTCTCCTTCTGTTTGCCGTTGGAATCCGGCTTGGCTTCGTCTGGCTGCTGCTTTGCCTTTACCTTGGGGATGGTGATCTCGTAGACGGGGCCAAAGGGGAGGAAGATGGAGCGGAGGTCGGCCTCGTTGACGTCGAAGGGGAGGTTGCGGATGATGAGCCTGCTGGACTTGTCGATCTCGGAGAGGAGGACGGGCATGGTGCCCTTTCCGCTGTTCTTCTCCACCTCCTGGCGCATCTTTTCACGCTTTGCGAGCGTCTCGGGACGCATGTGGGCGGCGATCCTGGCGGCGTTGTCTGCGCGCTTCTTGAGGATGGCGCTGATCTGGACGCCCTTGAAGACGTGGGCGTGGAGCTTTTCGACGGCGGTCATGGCGTGGTTGGGCGTGCGGAAGACGACGTGTGCGGCATCATTGGGGTTGGGCGAGGAAGGGTGAGGATAGATGACGGTTTCAACATCGCCGATCTTTCGCGCTCGCTTGTAGATCTGCTTGGAGTCGGGTACGGGCTTGCAGCCAGAGAGACCGGAAAGAATGACGGTGCGAACGGCGTGTGCATCCTTCTCTTGAAAGGCACCGGCCTGGCGTGCCGGCTTGCTCGATTCGGTGCGCGGGCGTTTGGAAGAGGATGGCGAGTCCTGGTCGGCCTTGACAGGGATGCGCTTGTTGCCGGTGGGATCCTTCTGGTCGGCAAAGGTGATGTGAATCTTTCTGCTACCACCGTCGAGCGACTTTTCCTGAAGCTGATCGAGTGCGGTCTGGGCGTCTTCGGGGATGGCAAAGGTGACGTATCCGACACCCTTGGACTTCTTTGTGGCCTGGTCTGTGACGACAAAGGCTCGCTTGAGCGGACCAATCTCACTGAAGAGCGTCTGGAGATCGGTTGTGGTGGCAGTGTAGGGCAATCTGGAAACGAAGAGGGTGGCGTTGGGCCTATCCTTGCCCTTATCCTTCGATTTGGTCGATGGAATAGCATCAGCAGCGGCGGCTGGGGCTGTCGCGGCAGTCGGCGCAGGAGCAGCGCCCTCTGCGGCGGGCTCGTCCTGCTCGAAGTACCTTTTAGGTGGCATCTCGGTGGTGATGAGAGGCGTGCGGATACCAATGCTGGTTGGAAGAGAAGCTAGTGAGAGGCTGAGCAGCAGGGTGGAGTGTTGGCACACTAACGGCGCAACGAAAAATCTTGCCCGCCACGGAGCTCAGCAAAAGGGTTCTCTGCTTCCCTTCCAACACTGACCTGCCCACGGCCAAAAAAAAAGTCTCGAAAACTTCGCGGGAGAAATTTCACAGCGTGTGCGGAGGGCGGCGGCCCTTGACCTTTTTGGTGTCGCGAGTTCCGAGAATGTGCTTCTTTCCGAAGAAGAATGTAGCAACTGAAGGTGTAACAGTCACAAAATTGCGCGATCGTCTGACGACGCCCCGGCCATTCGCAGTAGCCGTGCGCAGGGGCGCCTTCGCCTCAGCGTTCGGGCAAGAGCCGAGCTTGGTTGGTGTTGGTGTGGACTGGCGTGGCACTAACTTAGCGCACTTCTCGTGCGTTCGGCTCCCTGCTGCTTGACCACCACCACCATCTTCGACCTTAGTCAGAGCTTAGACCTTAGACCTGCACAATCGGGGCATGTTCCGACTGCCACGCAGCCTTGGCCTTCCACGTCTGCTCCGTGACCAGGCCCGCATCGCATCTCCGGACCGCTCCTCCATCGCGACAGTGGCAGCCCGCCCGTATCATCCGCGTTCATCTTACTTGAGCACTCCTGCCCTCCGCTCCTTTGCCACGACGCCGTCCTTTGCGCGTGCATCCACCATCTCGGACGGTACAGTCCCCGCCATGCCGTCTTCCCAGGCAATCCCCTCCGAGCCCTTCCCGCTCGCGGGTCTCTTGCCCAAGGACACCACAGAGGCCATCAACTTCCTCCGCAAGTATCCCCAATACGACGGCCGCAATGTCCGCGTCGCCGTCCTCGACACCGGCGTAGACCCCGCCGCCATCGGCCTCAACCACAAGGGCAAGGTCGTCGACGTGATCGACTGCACCGGTGCCGGTGACATCCCGCTCCAGCCTATTCAGCCCATCTCCTCTTCGGCCGGCGCACACGTCGACTTCAAGTCCCCCTTCACCGGCAGAACCATCCGCGTCTCTTCCGAGCTCACCAATCCCAAAGGCGAGTGGAAGATCGGCTTCAAGCGAGCTTACGACCTCTGGCCCGGCGAGCTTAAGAACCGTCGCTCCGCGGAACGACAGAAGGCCTTCCTCGTCTCCCACCAGGCCCTCCTCTGCCAGGCACAAGCAGACCTCAATGCTCTCGAAACTCCCGCAGCCTCGACATCACCAGCATCTGCTGATGCCTCGCCGTCATCCTCCGACAAGACCTCTCCCGCCGAGAACGTCAAATTGCAAAAGGACGAGCTCAAGGCCCGAGTCCAGACGCTCAAGGACCTCGCCGCTTCGTACAGTGATGACGGCCCCTTGATCGAGGTCATCGTCTTCCACAATGGCAAACACTGGTATGCTGTCGTCGGCGGTGGTGAGGGCGAAACGCACGACTCGGCTCGTGGCCAGCCAGAGGACTTGCTCAAGCCGCTCGACTCTCAAATCCTCGACCTCTCTGCCGTCGAGCCCATCACCGACTTCCGCATCGACCACCAATGGCAGTGCTTCGGTCAGCAGGACCTCCTCACCTACACCGTCAACATCGAGGACAACGGCAACCTCCTCAGCCTCGTCACCCTCGCCGGCAGCCACGGCACCCACGTCGCCGGCATCGTCGGTGCTCGTCACGACGAACAGCCCGAACTCAACGGCGTTGCTCCCGGCTGCGAGATCGTCAGCCTCAAGATCGGCGATGCCCGTCTCGGCAGCAAGGTCAGGCCATGCTTCGCTCCGCACAGGCTCTCATCGACACAAAGTGCGACATCGCCAACCTCAGTTACGGCGAAGACGGCGCATTCGGTGCCGAGGACAAGGGCGCCTTCGCCAAAGCTCTCCGCGACCTCGTCATCCGTCAGCGCGACATCCTTTTCGTCAGCAGCGCAGGCAACAACGGCCCTGCTCTCACCACCGTCGGCCAGCCCGGAGGCACAACCTCCTCCGTCCTCAGCGTCGGCGCCTACGTCAACGCCGGCGCCATGCAAAAGGCCGAGTATGCCCTCGTCGAAAAGGGCGTGCCGGACAGCGTCACCACATGGTGCAGCCGTGGTCCCACCTCGGACGGTGACCGCGGCGTGTCCATCTACGCCCCCGGCGCTGCCATCACTTCCATCCCTCGCTACTGCCTCCAGTCCTCCCAGCTCATGAATGGCACTTCCATGAGCTCGCCCAACGCCTGCGGTGCCATCGCTCTGCTCCTCTCCGGTCTCAAGGCCGAGAACATCCCCATCACCCCGGCGCGAGTCTTCAATGCCGTCCGCGTCACCGGCAAGGACGTCAACGATCCCCTCGGTGTGCCCTTCATCCGCGTCGATGCCGCTTGGGACTACCTCGTGCAGAACAAGGACCGCGTCGAGCAGGACGCCGAGTACCGTGTCGCTGTTACCCGCGCCGGCAAACCCCTCGGACGCATGGACAAGCGCGGCATCTACCTCCGCGAGAAGGACGAGACCTACAATGTACAGCAGACCAACATCACCGTTCGTCCCACCTTCAAGCAAGGCGAGACAGAGAAAGCCTTCAACCTCGAGCTGAGGTGCGCGCTCGCTGCCACGCAGCCCTGGATACAGGTACCCGAGTTCCTGCTGCTCGGTGGCAACGGACGCACGTTCGAAGTGCGCGTCGACCCCACCAACCTGCCACCCGGCCTCCACCATGCCTGGATCGAGGCCTACGACGCCGAAACACCGGGCCACAAGTTCTTCGATGTTCCCGTCACCGTCGCCAAGCCTGAGCTCTTCCCCTCGCCGACGGTCAAGTTCGAAACCGTCCGATTCGAGGCCGGAAAGATCGAGAGGCGTTTCGTGCATGTTCCCGAGGGTGCCACATGGGCTTCGCTCACGGTGCGCAGCTCCAACCACTCGTCGCCTGGTACCAGTGCGCGCTTCTGGCTGCACTGCGTCCAGCTCGAGCCTCTTCAGCGCTTGAGCGAGGTCGAGAAGGCCTTCGTGCTCGCGCTGCAGGAGAACGAGCCGGTCAACAAGAAGTTCAACGTCCGCGGAGGCATGACCATGGAGGTCTGCTCGGCGCAGTTCTGGTCCAACAAGTCGGCCTTCGACCTGGACTTGGATATCGAGTTCCACGGTGTCACTGCTGCACTCGTCCCCGCCAGCGGCCGACAGGAGCTTACGCTGATCGGCGGCCAGGGCCACGCCAAGATCGAGTGCCAGTCGACCGTCCGCATTGAGGACTTCAAGCCGAGTGTCACCTTTGACACGCGACGCACCTTCCACCGCCCCACCTCGTCAAAGATTCGCCCGCTCACCACGCCCAGGGATCTGCAGCCAAGCGGCAAGCACATGTTTGAGCTGGTCACCACCTACAACATCTCTGCCAAGGAAGACTCCAACAAGCTCAGCTACTCGTTCCCGGCGCTGGGCAACCACCTGTACGACTCGAGCGTACCGCTGCTCACACAGCTGTTCGACCTGCGCAAGAAGCGCGTGCACTTTGGCGACGTCTACAAGAAGGAGATCAATCTGCCCAAGGGTGACTATGTGCTGAAGGCACAGATCCTCAACGAAAACATGAAGGTGCTCGAGAGTCTGAAGCACGTTACGCTCATGATCGACCAGAAGCTCTCCAAGCCCGAGTCGGCAGCGCTCAAGCTCTACGACAACCACGTCGACCTGCACTCGGAGGCGGCGCCGGCCAAGTACAACGGCATCAAGCTGCACCCGGGCGAACGCATCGTGCTGACGCTCGACCTCAACCTCGAGGGCGAGGCGGTGCCCAAGGAGGCGCAACCGGGTGACGTGCTCGTCGGCTCCTTTGGCTTCGCTGCCGAGGGCAAGGGCCAGCTGCGCTACATTGTACCTCCGTCTGTCAAGAGCGACGAGAGCGACGATGCAGCGCCTGGTGGCAAGAACGAGAACGAGATCCCCGAGCTGCTCACCGCGACTGCAAAGAAGATCAAGGACCCCAAGGAGAAGCTCGAGTTCATGGACAAGCTTATTGCGGACTACCCCAAGTTCCTCGGAGCGCTTGTTGCCAAGCTCGAGGCTCTTGATGCGGATGACAAGGATGCTACCAAGCGTCAGCAGGTCATCAGCGCCGCTGATCAGGTGCTTGCACAGATCGACGAGACGCAAGTCAAGCTGTGGATGGCGACTCAGAAGCCGTCGGCCTCGGAGCAGACGGACGAGGAGAAGAAGGCGAACAAGGCCATGGAGGAAAAGAAGAAGGCACTCATCCTCGCGCTCAACCGCAAGGCACGTGTGCTGATGACCGAAGCGGAAGAATCCGCCGCGGCGCACAACCAGCTCGAAAAGGTCTGGAAGCAGTACCGCGAGTACTTTGCGCCCGACTCCAAGGCCAAGGAGTACGTCGAGCTGTACGTGCGCTGGTGCATACTGCACAACCGCCCCGCCCTCGCCCTCCAAGCCGCACAGAAACTCAAGAAGGAGCTGGGCGCAGGCACCCCCGACTCGATCAAAGAGGTCGAGAAGATCAAAGCGCTCGAGCTGCGTCTCGTCGGCAAGGACGGCCTCAACTGGCCCCTCTGGGCCGCCCACCTCGAGAGGGCAGAGAAGATCGCCGCTCCCGCCGACTACGCTCCTTTCTAAACACAAGCACCCAACTTTCAGGACCGACAGAGAAGATAAAAATGTCATTCAATGAACGATGAAGCAACACAGAGTGTGAGAGTGGGCTAGTCGTCTGTACCGACGGCAGCATCCTGCCTGATTTCGGGGAGATAGGAGTACTGGTCCTGGTTGCGCACGCTTTCTTCGATCGACTTGCGCGCATCCTTGACGGCGTCCTTCTGCTGGGGCGACTTGGCGCGTTCGAGCTGGTCGAGCTCGTTGCGCGCGATGCTGAGGTTCGACTCGTCGCGGAACGTCTCCAAGGCCCTGAGCGCGCCTCCGGACTCGATGCTGTGCTTGGCAAGCTCGGTGGCATGTTGGAGGGTATCCGCGTACGAGCCGACGTACAGAAGCGCTGCCGTCTGCAGCAGCGTGTAGTCCTTGACCGCCTGCAGTCGCACGCCGCGTGGGATCGAGGGCAGCGAGCGCACGTGCACGAGCGTCTCGGGTGCAAAGTCGAGGAACGCCGCAGGATCCAAGAGCACGCTCTGCGCCAGCGGCTCCGCCGGCAGCGTGGCCACATCCTTGGTCGAGAACATCTTGAGCACGATCGCCGCATTCTCGTCCGCCGAGTACGATCCGACGTGTTCGAGCGGATGGCTCGGAATGCCGAAATCGCTCGGATCAACGGCGAACTCGCTGATCTGGCCGTTGTTCAGCTCCCAGACGTCGGTCTTGCCTGCCGGGCTGATCTCGTCGAGTCCTTCCTGGCCACACACGATCCAGGCACGCTGCGTGCCGCGCTTGGCCAGCGCCTCGGCAAAGATGCGGCCGAGGTAGTAGCTGTGTACACCGAGGATGCAGCGCTCGGGCTTGGCCGGGTTGATGAGCGGACCCAGCACGTTGAAGATCGTGGGGAATCCAAGTGATCTTCGAATGGGACCGAGCGGAGCGAGCGCTGGATGGTAGAGCTGTGCAAAGAGGAAGGAGAACTTGGACTTGCGCAGGACCGAGGGTAGTTGCGAAGCTGGCAGCGAAAGAAGCGGAATGCCGAGCGACATGAGCAAGTCGGCCGAGCCCGAGGTGGATGAGGAGGCTTTGGCACCGTGCTTGCACACGCGCACGCCCTTGACACCCGCAGCGACCATGGCGGCGGTGGTGGAGACGTTGAAGGTGTCCTTGCCATCCCCTCCGGTGCCGACAAGATCAAGCGTGCCGCGGTACTCGATCGGTTTCGCTGTGGACGCCGCTGGCGCATACTCTTCGTTCTCCTTGTCGAGCGGCGGAACGTAGACGTCGAGGCAGCAGTCGAGGAAGATCTTGGCAGCAAGCGCGAATGTTTCTGCCTGGATGTCGAGGCGGCAGAACTTGAGACACGTCAAGGCCGAGCCGATCTGCGCATGGTTCTCGCGCGACGAGGTGAAGTTGGGGTCGGCTAGGTGCTGAAGAATGTGCTCGAGCTGGGTGTGCGAGATGGTAGAGGTGCCCGTGGGGTGATTTGGTTCACCGGATTGTGCGTTGACCGACGCCGCGAGCGAGAGAGCCTTAAGCAGCGGTCGGAACGTCTCTGCTGTGTGGTGCGAAGCCCCGTTTGCAGGCGTCGGTTTCGACATGGTGATGCGAATGTGAGTGGGGGAGCCTGAGAGTCGAAAAGGGGGGCGAGATATATCCTGCTGGATGCCAGGCCGGTCGGGTGGGCCAAAGTACGACGAGGGTATAGATGAAAAAGTGCGGCTCGCGGTGTGAATGAGCAGATGAAAGAGGTTGCCGCGGTGCGGTGTGAATGGTTGGAGCGAAAGAGTGGTGGGCACGGTCAGATGAAGCAGGGTGACGATGTGACAGCCTAGTTGGTCAATCCCGTCCAAACCGCGCCAATCTGCAGCAGCGGCCGTTCTTCTCAAAAAAAGACGGCTGCAGCGACACAGAGGGCGGAGATTGGGTGCCATCGCCGCGCTTTCGCACACGGCTAATTTCGCAGCCCTCTGACTCGGCTCACTCAATTCGCATATGACTCTGCCCACGCCCCACGCCCTGGCCAAGACGTGTGGGCAGCCTGCCTACCCGCTCTCCACACGACACCCGCCGCGGCAGCGTGCGGTGCCGCTATGCTGGACACAGTCCCACCGTCACGCTTTGATGATCATGTCTGGTCGGTGCGGTCTCTCAAGAGTCGGTAATCGTATAACAGTGCGGGATTTACGGCGCGAAAACCAGGTTGAAGTCAGTTTTGCGGAGAATGCAGATCTAGATTCGACAGTCAGATGCGGGCCAAACAGCAGCACGCCTTCCCAGCACGCTGCTTTACGCTGCTGGAGTGTGTGAAGACAGCTCATATCGGGTCTCGCACGATTGCGGCTGGGCTTTGACAGCAACTTTAAATGCGGCCAGCCTCCTTGAGCTTCGAGATGAGCTCGTCGACGTTCTCCACCTGTTGCAATGCAAGCATAGGATGACTCGTCAGCTCGTGTCATAAGAAAGCGCACACACGCCCATCGTGGCTTGCTACATACCTTGGCACCGCCCTCGCGCTTGGGTGGCTCGGCCACCTTGAGGATCTCCTGGCGAGGCTTGACCTGGTCCTCGAGGCCAAGGTCCTTGAGCGTCATCTTCTTGAAAGGCTTCTTCTTGGCCTTCATGATGTTGGGCAAAGAGGCGTATCGTGGCTCTGTCGCGTCACGATCGGATACAGTAAGTCGCCAGTGTCTATGAAGTACTTGTGCTGCGCACCGCTTTAAGATGCACTTACCGTTCAGTCGAAGGTCGGTGGTCATGACAAAGGGCAGCTTGGTCTTGACGATGCCGAGACCGCCGTCGATCTCGCGCGTGACCTGTGCCTCTGCGCCCTTCTCCGGCTTGCCCGAAAACTCGAGCTTGCTCGCGTATGTCGCTTGCGGCCAGTTGAGCAGACCAGCGAGCATCTGACCCGTCTGCGAGGCATCATCGTCGATCGCCTGCTTGCCCATGATGATGAGGCCGACCTCCTCCTCCTCGCCTGCCTTCTTGACGATCTCGTTCAGAATCTTGGACACGCCCAGGGGCTCGAGCGGCGCCGCACCCTTGTCGGGCACCTCGACGTGGATCGCATCGTCCGCACCCATAGCGAGCGCAGTTCGCAGAACATCAGCGGTCTTGGGCGGGCCAACCGAGACGACAGTCTGTAGCGCAACAACATGAGCAAAGGAGCACCTTCAGTATGAAAGATCAGAGAGCTATGGGAGCTATCTCGTCGAAGAAGCCACTTACGATCTTGGTGATGGCGTCCTTGTGCTTCTCGCGCAGGCGCACGGCCTCCTCGACTGCGATCTCGTCGAAGGGGTTCATGCTGAACTTGACGTTCTGGTCGACGCCCTTGCCGTCCGAGGCGACACGGATCTTGACGGCTATTTGTAGCCCAGAGCAAGAAGCAAAGTCGGCGATCGTCAACGTCTGTGAGCAACGCTTTGGGAGGTTCAAAGTCGACCGGCTGACGACCGGGTACAACACTCACCATAGTCGATGGTCCTCTTGATGGGCACGAGCACCCGGAGCTGGTTGACTAGAGATGCACGCATGATTGGAGTCTGTGGATGGAGTAGGGATGGAAGAAGTTCCGGTAGATTTGGGCGAGAGGAAGGATTCAAGCGCGCAGCTGGTCGGGAATGCCGCCTTGGACGAGAGCAGGCGATGCCGATTCCGGGGTGGAGCGACGCGGCTTTGACGAGCTCCCTTGCAACCCGCCGAGTCTTCGGGTGAGTCGGTTGTCGGGCTCTTACAAAAGCGACCAGCCGCGTGAAATCGCCTCAGCGGGTCAGTCGGGGCCAAAGCGGCTCTCAAGCCAACGCGCCGTAGCCGCCCGCCTGCCTACGGGCCGAGAGAATTTTGACTTGCTTTAACTTTTTGTCACCGCTCAAAACCCTAACAGTGGCCGATTTCGCCCGAGTTGCCCTCAAGCTCTTCCAGCGGTCAAAGGTGCAACCTCATCCGCCTCCCCTAACCTCTCTGCGCCTGCTTTCCCAGAGTCAATTGCGAGCGAGCTTCCGAGCGAGTATATGTACAAGAGGGTGCGTGTCGCACTTCTTTTAGACGAGGCCGTCGTAAAGCGAGAGCGCCTGAACGATGGTGGGGTCCTGCTTGCTTCCTTCCTGGAATTCCTCGAAAGAGACTGTGTGTGCGAAAAGATGAGATGCATTCGGGTCAGCCGCACTGAGCGCTGGTAGAAGGTGGAGCCTCGCAGAAATCAAGGGCGCGAGGGGGGAGCTCAAGCATGTTCTCCCGTTCCAATGAAGAAGGGCACTTTGAGCACTTACGCTGGGCGTTCTTGTCGCGATCCATCATGCGGAAGATCTTGTCCACCCTCTGTTTTCGCCAATCGTGGCGAGCGAAAGGAAAGCAAAAGAGATGCTGAGTATTCCGGTCTGAAACCATTGATCTTGCTAGCTTGCAAGCCACTCACCTTTTCGGGTGTGTCCTCGTCCTCTGGGAGCTTGACCATTTGGCCGGTCATCTTGTAGATGCTTCTAACGATAGCTGTTGCAAGCAGCAAAAGCAGGTGTGGCAGTGCAAGGTCGGAGTCAGCGAGGTGCTACGAGCGGTTGTCGTACGCACGAGCCTGAAGGGACTTACTGAGCATCTCTTCGTACGTGATGGTGCCGTCGCCATCAATGTCGTAGAGCTGGAAAGCCCATCGGAGCTTCTCGTCGAGTCTTCCTCGCGAAGTCACGCTGAGGGCACAGATGAACTCCTTGAAGTCGATCGTGCCGTTTTTGTTCTCGTCAAAGACATTGAACACGTATTCCGCAAATGTCGATGGATCGCCAAACGGGAAGAACTGCTTGTAGATGCGGCAGAACTCCTGCTTGTCGAGCATGCCAGACGGGCAGTCCTTAAGGAAGCCCTTGTACCATTGCTGCAGCTCCTTCCTGTCGACTGCGGTGATATTCAGAGCCGATGATCGCAGAGTATCGTTCGTATGGCATACATGTTTGGGGTCAGCTTTCGATCCGCGGTCTTGTTCGGCGTCCAAAGACACTGCTCGCCGACTTACAGTAGGTGTTCTTTTGCAGATCCGAGAGCTGCTCGGGCGACAGCTTGGACTGGTTCTTGCCCATGATGATTAGCGTTAATCGTCGTCGATGACAGTAGAGGTGGTGGAAAGGATGCTGATGAACGTCGTTGGGGTCGTGACATACGTTGCGGGAAGGGAAGGTGGATGTCGTTGCGGACACCGGCTCGCCAAACGGCAGAGCTCACTCGAAATGATGCGGGTCCATGCGCAGTCGCGAGTGGGCGAGTGAGTGAGCGAGCGAGCAGGCAGCCAGCGAGGAGAGGCTGGAAATTACGCACTTTGCAGGCTGTGTTCCGCACCACATCGTCATGGCCCACTCCACCCGTCGCGTGGGGCTGGACAGAGTGACTTCCCGCTGGTCGAAATTGGGGCAAGAAAAAAGGGTGCGGTTGGGCGCCGAGTCCGAGCAAAGCATGCACAGCCCGCATGAGCGACAAGCTGACGGGATCCTTGAGCCATCCTCCGCCAGCTTCCTCCTTCCTCAGCGTGGCACGGCCTCAAACCAATGCCTCGCACGAAATCTATTTTCGAGCCACGCCGTTGCTGTAGACAGGGCCGCCCAAGGCGGCGGCTCGAGTCTGACAGCTCGCAAGAGCGCGGCCCGATTCAAAAAAGCTTGGCATGCCAGTCTCATGAAGCGGAGTCTGCTCACACGTTTTGCCAAGCATTTCCCCTCCCTGCCTCGCTGAGGTGGCCACCAAGCTGCGACGCGCGCCTCGAGAACGTGGTACTCATGCGCTGTGTACTCGATGCTGTCCGCAATGGTGCCAAGCGAAAGACAGTGTGGAGAATCTTCTTTTAAACCGAGGCTGTGTATCTGAGGGTCCTCGGGTTTCAGAAGCGGCATCGAGACGGTTCTTGACCGTATGCCGATCTGGCATAACATTCCGCCGATCATGTGCAGTCGAAAGCTTTCTCGCTGTGCAATCTTGTGGGCTGAGGAGCTTGTACAGATCAGCCTCCGAAGAGATCGTCGAGCGAATCAGCTTCGATCGGGAAAAACGACGCCAATGTAAGCCGATCCCGATCGATGTGACTTTGTGGAGGTGTTGGTTGCGGAATTTTGGTGGGCCGCTGGTTGAATGCATGTGCGCTCTGCCCGCAAGGCTGAGTCGACCCTCTGGTGCCAGAACACTGCCGGTCTGCTAGGTATCTGCCTTTGCACCATCTTCCTGAGCGGCCCTTTGCTGCCTCTACTACAACCATTCATCGAATCTTCGCCTCGACCATCGTCCTGGCCCCCGGAGCGGTCATCGCACAACGGGGTTCGAGGTCAACTGGGTCAGAGGCTTGTCGCATCCCCCGCCACGTGGCGGGCTTCCAGCCGCTTGCCCCCGTTCTTGTGCTCGTCTTAATCGCTCTGATCACGAGCATCGTTGCCATAGCGTGCACTCCGCAAAGCAACCATCACCATGCCGAGCTCATCTGCATCTACACCAAGCTCGACGCAGCTCGAGCATCCGCTTCCGCGACCCACCGTGGTCGGTAGTTCCCGATCATCAAGCAGAGCATCGTCGAGGACCCGAAGCGTGTACTCGTCCGCGCCTCATAGCCGCTCAAACTCACCGGCGCTGCCACAAGATGGTGTAGGGCGCAGCCGCAGCAGGACCTCTTCTCGCCGATCATCTCTTGCACCCGGCCCGTCGAGGACGCGCAGCTCGACTTCTCCGCAACGCGTTCCCACCTGGGCAGTCGATCCCGACATTGTTGTCGAGATCAGCAGCGACAGCTCTGACGACGATGATGTCGTCCCGGTAGGGCCAGCGTTTGCTCCCCGTCCGCGATCCACGTCGCCGGCGAACGACTTTGTGGAGGTGTCAAGCATCAGACGTGCCCGAGCCGCAGCGCCGACAAGGCGCAGCGATCTATTCTCTCCTCCCGCAATGAACGGCCCGCCTGCTGAACCTGTTCTCATTAGCCACGTCCGATCCAGCAGGCACGTCGGCCTCAGCGTCAATCCCAGTACCGGCGATTTCCTCACCCGACCCATGCCGATTGTTCGATCCGATCGATCGACTTCGCAGTCGGACGCCGATGCCAGCTTCTCCGTCCTTTCGGCGCACGCGGCGCCTCAGCCCGCTCCTGCTGCGCCTCCCGCCAGAAGCGAGCATCCGATCACCGATATGCGACTGCGTTCATCCAACTTGGCCATGCCGACAAAGTCGCCACCGCGCTCCAAGCCACCGCCAATTGAGCATCCGCTGCTTTCAAAGTACACTTGCCCGATCTGCTTTGATGCGCCGACGAATTTGTCGGTCACGCCATGCGGCCACTTCTTTTGCGGAGAGTGCTTGTTTCAGGCCCTCAAGACACAAGCGGTGCAGCGAGGAGCTATGGAGGAAGAGCAGTCTTTCCTGCGATTCGGCGGACTGTTCGTACCGGATGCGTTCCCCATCGACCGCGAGGCCTATACCCAGGTGACAATGCCCTCTGGACGAAACGAAGGCGCAGTAGGCACTGCGAACGCTGGACATGGACGCGGCGGAGGCGGAGGGGGACGCGGCGGCGGCGCTTCTGGAGGCAGAGGACGATCCAAGCCGGATCCGCTTGCGGGCCAGTGCCCCGTGTGTCGCGCTAAGATCAAAGGAGGCTTCAACGGCCGGGAGAAGAGCGGAATCCTGGGGCTTCGGCTCATGATCGGAAAGCCCATCGACGATCCGAGGGAAGAGAGCGGCAAAATGAAGGGCGACTCTGCGCCAGGGAAGGATGCATCGGCGGACTCAAGCGAGACCGAGGACGAAGCAGCGTGGCTTTCGTCACGCGAGGTCACACATGCCTCCGACAATATCAAATCTGCAGAGCAGCAGCGGCTTCCACGCGGCGCAGGCTCAGGTCCGGCACTTGGCCGTGGCAAGCGTCGTCCGCAAAGATCGTCGACGAATGCATCGGCATCTTCCGATCGATCCACAGCGACAGCTGAAGGCAGTCGCGGCCGGTCGAGTAAGAGGCAACGGCACGCCTCGAGCAGCTCAGCAACAGCAACCGAATAGATAGCCGTCGCACTGGTCCCGAGATCTGGCGCTAGAGACAACAGAGCGGCTAGCGGACATCAGCAGCGGCGTGCTGTCAATGTGGCTGCGTTCCGCGAAGCATGGAGCTGGACTCGAGGCACGATGCCGGCCCCGATGCGAGCTTCATCGGCCAGCATTATCGGCCAGCTTGAAGACGGGTGCTGATCATGATGAATCTCATCGATAAAGAACGAAAGTCCGCTGCATCTGTGTTGCTCATACCGCTTGAAAAGGAAACTGGGATGGGGACGAGACCTGCCTCCTCTTGGTGCCCATCGGGCCGGGCTCCGGTTTGTATCCAGGGTGCGCTTGGCGTACGCATGTGAGCGGGTTATGCGCCCAGCCGTGGCAATATGTGGAATGGACAGAGCGACGGAGCGAAAGCCGGTGGACTGTGACGATCCCAACACGAATGGACCGCGGCGTTTGATGGCGGCGACAGGCTCCCAGCGAACCCTGGCATGCAAGGGACGGGTCGGAGGCTGGAGCTTGGAGAGGCTAGAAAATGTCTCACCCAGCTGTGCGTGAGGATGCTGCGTCGGTGAACCGCGTGCTGCCCTGCCTGCTCTGCGTGCGCGCTCTGCTGGCGAAGTCGGACCAGCAACAAATATTTGAAATCCAAGCAGAGCATAAAAATGTCTCTGGTGGCCAAAGACCTGCAAACAGAACGGAGGCAGTCAGCCGGTTTCAGAGCGATTGGCAGTTTCATGCCCTGCCCTTCAAAGCATTGACCTCGGCGGTGAGTTCATCTCTTGCTGAGTGATCGGGCCGTCACCTTTGATGGCACGCTACCCTTACTAGCATGGCCCTTGGGGGGTCTCGGTTGAACAAAAGTTCCGTGAGCCCAAGGGCGACTGTGATATTTTCTTCCTCCGACAGGAAGTGCGAAGCTCCGCCATGTCGAAACCGATAGCTGGGCGTCACCAACCTGTCTGAACGTGATGCACGTTGTGCATGCATCGCTCTACAAGGGTCAAAATAGTTAAGTTGCGGCAGGGCGAGGCTTGTGGACTCAGGGTCCCGGCCAAGCTGTCTGCACGGATTGGCAGCTGACATGCACCCAACCTGCATCGCCGATGGGCGGCCGTAGCGACAGGACTCCTCAGCACTTGCGCACGGTCCTCGCTCAGGCGCACTGGACTCCTGGGCTAGCTGTAGCGCCGATGCGGATAGCTCAGCACCTAGACTCGAGATCAGACCTCCGCAACAGCTCAGGCCCTTTGATCACGTACTGGCTTATTGCATCATGGACCAAGTCTGCCCAGGTCACTCAAGGCAAAGGAGAAGGGAGGAAAAGACGAAGTATCGGAAGAGCCGCGACTCGAGACGGGAGGAGCGGCTCAAAATCGCCGGTGTGAATTTGTGGCGCCTTCTCGGCAGCGCGTGCGGAAGCGGAAGCGCCCATGAAATCCGAGTGGAGCCTGCGCTTTCATGGCAAGAGCGAGGAGAAGAGAGAGAAAAAAAAAAGATGTCTCGGCCACGGCAATCTGGATGCGCTCTCGCGGCTCCGGTCCGCTTGGCATCACGCTCGAGCGACTGTTGTTCGCCCGCCCACCGATGCCAGAGCAACTCACTTTCATATCGAAGCGATGGCGAGAGCTCTTTTCCTTTGAACGCATCGACGTGTCGTGAAAACACATTTTCTGCCATGCTCTTAGAGCTCTCGCTTTGAGCGTCTGCACCCATGACAGCTCGTGGAAAGCTTCGTACGCTCGCAGTGTCGACACCGAGGGGGGTCAGTCATCTGAATCCTGTTGACGTCAAGCGCCATGCGGACGACCGGTATATCGCGGGTTGCGCAGATGGCTGAGGGCAGAGGCGAGACCGGAGCGACTCGAGAAACGTTCAGCCGAGCTTGCCGAGAAGCGAGCCAAGAGTGTTTGTTGACTGGCTTCTCCGACTGTCAAAATTCCAGGCAAGGGCCAGCGAGGTTGGCCGCTACACTGCTGCAGAGCCATGCAAAGCGTTCGCCGGCGGTGAGACATCTGGGCCCTTCGCCCTCCTGCCTGCCTGAGCCGCCTTTTTTCTTAGAAGAGAGAGAGCGTTCTGGATTTCAGCTGCACGCCCACGCGCGTCTTGCCTGCAAGTCGGTTCCTGCCGCCCTGCCTCTCTCGGGCAACCTTGTGAAGACGCAGGGCCCTTCCACTTGCGCCTCTGCCTGCATCTCTGCGCCAGTACCGCTGCGAGAGCAGCTCAAGCCCATGCCGCCCAAATAATGAAGGCCAGAGAGTTCAAACCCATTCGAACGATCTACCTCTCCCGCCCAGCCGTCGCGCTCAGCCGCTTCTTCGAGCCGCCGTCGGCTCTGCCTGGCCTCTCCCGGGTCTGGGCCTGTCCAGGTCTGCTCGGCCATGCACTGCGCCTCGCGCTCCCAAACGCTTCCGCACATCATCTGTTTTCGCCGGATTGAACACCTGCGCTCAATCAGCACATGGTGCCCTGTGTGTGTATGCAGTCATCATCAGGACGAGAGGTGTATTCTATTATAATAGGCCGAGAGAGACTCTGACCAGAGCGGCCAAAGCGATGCCGCGGTGTGAACCTTTTGCGCGATGCGAGTGGTTCGGATGCAAGGCGGTCTTGCCTCATAAGTGCGTCTGAGACATGGCAGCATGGAGCACGTTCGGCGCAGGCCCATTCATCACGCTCTCAAGCCGCTCCTCCTACGCTCGGCTACTCTCTTCGCCTCGCCCTCAGTGTGTCTCATCCTTCCGACAGCTTGGACCCTCTTGCCCGGCGTCACTCTGCCTCCGCAGCAGCAGTTGGCTCCAATCGGCTACTGCCCGACGGCCATTGTCTCGCGGAGCAATCATCCTGCGCCTACAAACAGGCTCACATCATCGGCCTCCGAGTCCTGTCTCACCGCAGCTTGCAACTACAAACAGACTCCTTCCAGACGAGCAAATCGCAATCCCTTGGCCTTGCCTCCCGTCAGGCCTAGCACTTGATCCTCGCTGCTCTGCCCAAGCCCTCGTCAGCCAAGCGTACGGGCTTATCGGCGTCCCCCTCCTGCCGTTTCTTCGTGGTCCTAGCAGGCTCATCCGCTCGGTCGTCCCCTTAGGCAGTAGCAGCTCAGCCGGAACGCCACGGCTCTAGGAAACAGCCGCCGCCAGACTCTACTTCGCACTGTCTTAGCCGCCGTCGGCCACAAACCCACCCTTCTCATCTGTCCAAACCTCATATACAACCCCCCCCCCCCCCCCACCACTTTTGACCTCACCTTGTTTTCGACTAGGACCACCCCGCTCCCCCCCCCCCCCCTCCCCTGATCCTTGCCTTGGACGCAGCCACACCAGTTGCCTTTATCGTTCCCAAGACTTTCCTGACTTCTCCTCCATCATCCTCTCCACCAACGAGCGTCATTGTCCGGACGCAAGTAGGACAACTACATCCACCTCGTCCCGTATCTGTCTCGACAGCCATCGCCTGCTTGCACCATGCACAGCTTTGGCTCATCCACCCTGTCGCTGCCGTCCGCCGCCGCTTCGGCGCGGGCCGAAAAGAAGTCGAAGCGCAACGTGCTACGTCGTCTCTCGCTCGGCAAGGCCCGTTTTTCGAGCGACTTGCCGAGCAGCTCCACAGCCAGTCTTGCCTCTCGATCCACCGTTACGCTCGCGGTCGACCCCGACGAGGAAGGTCCGAGCCGCCGCGCTTTTGACCTCTTCTCGACGCCGCTGCCACGTGAAGCAAGGGACACACGCTCAGCGCCCTCAACCCCGCGCGCGTCCAAAGCTCCCGCCTTTGGATCGCCCGGCCCTAGCTCCAAGGTCTCCTTCGACGAGAGGTCGATTCGTAGCGCTCCGCGTCCACGACAGTCGCTTGGAAGAAACTCAACCAATTCGCGCTTCGGCGGAAGTTCCGCCCCGCCAGTGCCTGAACTGCCCAAGCTCGTCGTGGTTTCGGACGAGGTGTTCGTCATCGCCGCACTACCCCGGACTAAGAATCTCCCCGAGTTGCCCGCTTCCCCACCGTTGCTCAGCTCCTCTTCTGGATCATGCCGCTCCACGGCAAGCTGGTTGAACAACCTACCGACTCCCTCCATCTCCGAGGAGGCGCCAGCGCTGCCGGAGCGATTGGAATCACCTCCCGCTCCAGACACCCTGGCCGCTACTAAGCGCTCGAGTCTCGACGAGATCGATGCACAGATGATCACCAACCTGTGCGAGATGTCCGTGCCTCCGCTCGAGGCTGTCAGCATGGCAAGGTGCAAGAGCTCCCAGGGTAGCTACCGTGCGCCGAGGATGCACGCGAGGAGCGCGAGTCAGCGTACAGCCCCGCAGGCGTCCGCCGAGACGCAGCAACGCGTCCGCTCGCATTCTCGCACTGGCTCCGTGCCTCGGTCACTCGGACCCCTCCCACCTCAACCTGCTCAACCGCCCACCGAAGAAGTTCTCCGCAAGACTGACCAGATCAAGAAGCGCTACAGCCGCCAGAGCACGCTCTCGCCTACGCCATCGCCCGTCCTGAGCGACTCGGCATTCTCCTCTCCGCGTTCCGCGCCTGCCACGCCCAAGCTTGATACCGTCGCTGCCTTGAAGAGCCTCGAAGCAGGACTGTCGCTCGACTCGAAGCTGGCACGTCGCAATCACAAGCGCTCCTCGTCTCGCACGGGAGGCGCCACCTGGGATGCCGCTTTCAAGAGCTCCACCGCCGTCAAGCTCACAGCCGGCCACTCTGCGGCTCGTGACGAGGCGACGACGGAGCTGGTCTCTCGCTTCTCAGAGGACTCGGACTCGGGCGATTCCAGCCGGTTGCGCGCTCTCTTGTCGCCCGTGCTCGACAGCGTAGCCAAGATGCCGCCGTTGTTCGGAATCTCGACCCCCTCGATGGATACGCACAGCTCGTTTGGAACGAGGTCGAACGTGGTGCTGGGCAACAAGTCGCCGGAGCTGCCCTCTCTGTGCATTTCCAGCTCCAGCTCCAGCTCCGGCTCGGATCACGACCACGCCGATCTTACGCCTGTCGTCAGCATTGAAGAGGACGACACCATCTTTGATTTGTCGCGCCCGAGCATGGACTACAACGCCGTCTACGCCCTTGCTCAGCAGTACGCCAAGACCTCCGCTCCCCAGCCGGTTCAGTTGCACGACATGGCTCGATCCAACAGCGGCAGAGTGCAGGCGCAGACCAAGCAAGCACGTCCCATCTACCTCAACACGCTCTGGTCCAAGGCCAGCAGAAACCTGCAAGACCCAGTCGACAGGTCATACCGCCTCCGAAAGTAAAATCCGCGCACATACCCTCCTCTTCGCACTCACATCCGCTCCGTATAATGCATGCAGCCAATATATCCCGTCGGTTTCCTACAATCTTGCCTCGCTGTTGAGTGTGTCGTGTGCGAGAATTTGATCTGCTCTCGGACTTTGCTTCATCGCCCTGCGGACTTTGCTTCATCGCCCTGCAATCACACGCGCCTCGCATGCCTCACACACGCGGCATGTGGGGACGAAAGCGCACGAGTTGCCTCATAGAGACATCTCGAGGCTGTTTTCATTTTGACGCTTGAGAATGAAGGCTGGATTCTTGTTTCACGACTGCTGCTGCTGTGGCTGCTGCTGCTGCTGTTGCTGGGATGCAGGCGAGGGCGACTGTTGCTGTTGCTGAGCGGCGGCCTGTGCTGCTGCTGCCGCCTGCTGGGCTGCTGCCTGTGCTGCCAATGCTTGCGCCTGGTTGGGCACCTTTTCCTCGAGCATCTCGTACATCAGATGGAAGTTCTTGGACACCTTCTCCCACAGCGCCGGGTCAAAGAAGACGTAGGTGCCGCGCTCGTACGTGGGCGTCTTCTGCGTAGGCTCGGTACCCTGCTCCTTGGTGAGCCACACGTGCAGCTCCTTGTGATACCTCCAGTTGCGCGCATACAGCTCCTGCGCCGCCACCTCCTGCAACACATCGCGCGGCGTCGAGTAGAAGATGAAGAAGAGCGTCTCGTCGGAAAACGACGCGATCTTGCTCTGCGCCGGCGGCGGAGGCTGCACGTTGTAGCACGACGGCAGCGTAAACTCGGGCTCGACGCGCGACGAGGCCAGCATGTTGTTTTCGGACCACGGCGTGATGAACGACGGATGCAGAGCGTCGGACGAGTTGAGGTTGAGTCCAAACGTTTGCAAGTCCATGCCCATCGACAGCATCGACAGATCCGGATCCGCCGACTTGATCAACGACAACAGGCCCAGCAGTCCGAATCGATCCGCAGGCGAAGTGAGGATCTGCTGCGCCGGTGTTTGCGCCATGGCGCCCGTCGGAGCCACGCCCATCGTGCTGTTGGATCCCGCGACGCCCTGCAAACCGTCGGCGCGAGCCACGCCGCTCTCGGTCAACGGCGAAGAAGCACCGAGGTTACTGGCCGCGTTACGCACGCTCGAGAGTGGCGAACGTGCCGACGAAGGTGACGACGATCGCTGGAGGCCATTGAGCTGGTTCGGCCCAGCTCCTGCGTTGCCGCCGAACACCGAGCCTGGCGGCGCCCATGTCTGTTGCTGCACCCCGAGCCCTGGCGCGGGCGGGCCTGCGCCGAGCTTGGTCGCGTAGTTCCGATCGGGCTCGCCGAATCCTCCTCTCGCTGCGGACAGCGAGGCGTCTGGCCGTGCTCCGCCGACCACCGATCCGAGGAGGCTCTGTCGGTGCTGTTCCCGCTGCTGATGTTGGTGCTGAAGCGCTGCTGCTGCCGAGACCTGTTCCGCTACGCCGTGTGGGAAGCCATCGTCTCCAGAGCGCCCTTCTGCCGTACCGGACTGGTTGAGGGCTGGAAAGTCGTCCTGGTTGAAGTTGCGCAAGGGAGCGCCGCTGCGCAGGTTCGAGCTCATGCCTGTCGTGCCTGCCTGGGTCGCATAGCTCGACAGCGGGTTGTTGAGACCACCGAGTCCTGGAGCGCCGCCTTGTTGTCCTTGGCCGCCCTGCTGGCCTGCGCCGAGTGCTGGGAAGTCGCTGAGGTTGAGTTCGCCGCCCTGCCCCTGACCCTGCGTTTGCCCACCGGACTGCCCTGACAGGCCTGCGAGCTGCGACGCGAGGCTTGCCGCGCCTGTGGAGTTATTCGAACCCGAGCCGCCGAATGGGAATCCACCTGCACCGCCTGCGCATCAAGGAAGCGTTTGCAAAACCAGGAAATGGTCAGTGATCCATGCTGATCCATGCGTGTGGGGAGTGGTGCGTGTATGTCTGAGAACGTACCTTGTTGAGACTGCGGCATGCCCATGAAGGAGCCCATCATGCGCGGGCCACCGCCCTGGAGATATGGATACATGGCGGCGTTCAGACCGGGAGCTGGACTACCACCTGCGGAACCTGGAGAGTTGGAATGCGGGAGCCTGTTTGCGAATGCGGAGAGTGGATGATTTGGCCTCTGATTTGCAGAGCCTGCGGTTGAGTGGTCGGATGAGAAAGATCGAAGGGGATGCGGGGGTCAGCACGGCAGCGTGGCAGCGTGGCTTGGGATCGGACCACGAGGCAACTTACCTGGTCTCTGCATGACCGAGCAGAAGTGGGAACAGCTGAGATGCAGCTAGAGTTCTGTTTCGGAGGACGAGATGCAAAAGTTCAGATGCGATGCGGTGTCAGCGGCGACTGTCCTCGTGACATGCGAAGGCGATTGGCCTAAGTCCGCGGCAAGAGGATGTTGAAGGCGCATAGGCAGAGCGCGCTCGTGACGGCTGATGCTGGGACCGCGATGGGCGAGACGAGACGTACAGCTTCTGTCGGAGCAAAGCTTGACGAGTGCAAAGTGACCGAAGGCAGGTGCGGATGTTGGATGTGGAGCGAGAAGGATGGAGGAGGCGGAACCCTTTGGGCTGAGTGTGCGGATGAGACGTGTCAGCGAAATCCGGATATGGTGAGCTGAGAGGAGCAGGCCCATGCCGCAGGATCCTCGCTCCTCGCTCCTCGCCCGCCGCGCGCCCGATTTGGCTGGCGGTGCGCCCGCCGCCAATAGAAACGCCCTGATGAAGCGCACTACAGATGGAAGCCCAGATTTTTCAAGTCGAGAGCGAGATGCACTTCAAATTGGCTATTGATCGAGCAGGCCACTACAAAAATGTTTTCGAGAGTGGCTGAATGTAACTGTCGGCCTAACAAAATTCAGGAAATTTTTGTGGGTTGGAAGGTCGACGTGTCTGTGAGGCGCTGCGTGAGTGGAGTGGGATCCACCGCCCTATCGGACGGTGCGTGGCGAGAGAGCGGGGACGGTTGAGCGCTGGAGCTGCCCGCTCAAAGCGCACGTTGAGTCGTGAGAGGCATCGACCCTGCACTGGAAATCAACACACTTGACTGCAGCAGTCACGCATCTCCGCGAAGAAGCGCCGCTCGGCTCTCCACCACCACCAACAAGCGCGGCACCACTCTACTGCTCGCACTTCTCCCGACTCGGCCTTGCCGACAGCATTGTCACTCAGGGCATCCTTCGACTCCGATTCGAGTGCGCACCGCTCCTTGTTGGACTGTAGCCTTTGCCCATCATGACCGACGGACCCTCCAAGGACGAGCTCGTCGAGATCTTCAAGTCGCTCAAGGCAACGCAGAAGGGCAACAAGGTACGTGCTTTCGTCCGTCAGCAACGCTCGAACGCTTCGATCCCGCCCGGCGATGCTGATCTGATCCCTCTCTTGTTCTCGTTCCGACTTTGCCTTCCCTCAGGTTTGCTTCGACTGTGGAGCAAAGAATCCAACATGGGCTTCTGCCACCTACGCCATCTATATCTGCCTCGACTGCTCCTCGGTACACCGTAACATGGGCGTGCACATCACCTTCGTCCGTTCCACCAACCTCGACTCGTGGCACTGGTCCCAGCTTCGCCTCATGAAGGTCGGAGGCAATGCTGCCGCCGCCGAGTTCTTCAACAAGAAGGGCGGCGCTCATCTTCTCGCCCCCTCCACAGAAGGCAAGGTCAAGTACACCTCATCCGTTGCATTGGCGTACAAGGACGAGCTGCAGAAGCGCGCCCTTCAGGATGCCGCTGGTCAGAGCCTCAACAGCCCCGTCTTTTTCCCCGGTCTCGCCGCTCCCGCCGCTGACAAGCCAGCTGTGGCTGCCAAGACCAACGCTGGCGGTGGAGACATGGACGACTTTTTCGACGAGTGGGACAAGCCGGCCGGTGCGGCCAAGGCGCCAGCAGCAAAGCCTGCGCCCGCCGTTGCCGCGCCCGTTGTTCGGGCCGCTCCAGCTCTTGCAGCTGCTCCCAAGACTGTAACCTCGGCCTCGCTCCGCGCCAGCAGCTCGGCCGCGCGCACCAAGACCCTCGGTGCCGTCAGCCGCACCTCATCCGCAAGCTCCACACCGGGCACCACCACACCCACGGGCAACGGCCCCACCTCGACCGCGCCTGCCGCAGCTGCACGACCGGCGCGCGTTGGCAAACTCGGCTTGGGCGCCAAGAAGGCCGGTGCACCCATCGACTTTGCTGCCGCAGAAAGGAAAGCTAAGGAGGAGGAGGCTGCACGTGCTGCCGAGGCAAAGGCTGCGGAAGAGGCCGAGGCCAAGGCCCGCGAATCACAGAAAGCCAGCGAGCAGCAGGCGGAGGCGGAACGCATTGCGCGAGAGGCAGTCAAGGCCGCCGTGGGCAAGGCCGGCACACCCGCCTCGCCCGCTTCCAAAGCAGGAGCATCCGGTGCGCGTTCCGCTGCCGCCTCGGCTCCGGACGCCTTTGCAGCTGCCAAGGCCAACGGCGACATGGATCGACTCGGCATGGGCTTTGGCCGTCTCGGCATGAAGGCCAACGCGCACCAGGCCAAGCTGGCGGCAGAGCGTGCGGCGGCTGCGGCCAACAATGCCACAGCCACCGACTCGGACGCGGGCGGCGACGAGCCGAGCTATGCGCGCAACAAATTTTCGAGCCAGAAGAGCATCTCGTCCGATCAGTACTTCCAGCGCGGCTCGTACGACCCGCAAGCTACCAGCGAGGCTCAACAACGTCTGCAGGGCTTCCAAGGCCAGACCTCGATCTCGTCCAACCAGTACTTTGGCCGCGATGAGGAGGAAGAGGCCGAACAGATGGCCGCTCAGAGCGGCGACTTTGGTGACATCGAAGCCACCGCGCGCGAGTACTACCAGCGCTTCATGGCAAATCCCGACGTGCAGTCGAGCATCGACAGCTTCCGCTCCGGCGCGCTCAAGCTCTCCCAGTACCTCGAGGACCTCAGCCGCAACGGCGCCTAGCTGATTCTTTCTATACTTTGCCCTCAGCAATCGATCCTTATGCGCTTTCAACCCAGACCAAGACGGCGAGCGCTCGAGAGTGCGAGACTGTGTGGCCGCACACAGATGGCATTTGCCGGGTGAATGCGCAGTTCAGACGTGCTGATGGGAATGCTTTTTGGGCGACGACAACTCATTTGAGCAGCTCGTTGAGCACCGTGTCGTCGTTGATGTTGCGGATGCTGTGCAGTGAAGGAGGGGACGTGGAACTCGGGTCAGTCCGCAGTCACGAGTGCATTAAAGCGATGGAGCTCGATGGACTTACTTTGCGCCGCGGTAGTTGAGCTTCTTGAGCACCTCGATGACTTTGCTGCTCTCGAAGCCCTATGGTTGATGCAAGGGTACGCAAGGTCGTCAGCGCGCCGGACCAGACAAGGCAAACAATTGAGGTTGGCCATCGAGACTCACCATGTTGACAAACTGATCAACGTGCTCCTTTTTGAGACCAGCAAGTAGGATGGGATCGGCCTTGTCGTCGGCTTGTGCTGTCTTGCCATTGGCGCCCGATGGCGGTTGCGCAGACTCGGAGCCGTTGGCGTAGATCTCGGTCCAGTACCTTGCGGTCTTTTCAAAGTCATCCTTGTCTCGTCGATAGTGTTTGGCGACCTCGGCATCCTGCGGATCGTTGGGTTCTGGCGAGCAGAGCAGCGAGCGGAGGGACATGAGCGTCGATTTGAGCGTGAGCACCGGCGACCACTGGTCCTTGAGGATGTCGAGGCAGATGGCGCCGGACTGCGACGAGATGTTTGGGTGGTAGACGCGCGTGATGAACTTCATCTTGATAGGCTGGAACGGGTAGCCTTCGGGAACAACAATGTCCTGAATACGATGTGAAAAACATTGACGGCGGGGTTTGTGAGCGTGAGCAACAAACCGGCTCTTTGTGTGCACGAGCCAGCCTGTAGCCTGTCGAATAGGATACTTACCACATCGAAGGTACCTTTCTCGTATGGAGAGTTCTCTGGCCCTGGGAAAGTGCCGACCAGGTGGAACGGCGAGTCTGAGACGGTAAGAGGTGGTGGCAGACACCAGCAGTCGTCAGTGCGGCTGTATGGGCAAAGGTTTCAACCATATGGCCGTGGTTAAGCAGACCTACCATCTATCAACGAGACCTGGATTCCTGACGCCTTGTCATTCTTGCAATCGTTGATCTCCTTGTTGATGCGTCTGAGGCGTGCGTCACCCATAGTTGCTGCTGAGGACGATAGGTGCTGCTGAGTCTCTGTCTCGTGGCGGGCGGACGGCGGAACGGTCGCGATGAGGGTCAGTTGTGAAGCCGCGAGGCGGGGTCGGTGTGCGTGATGAGTGGGGCAAGACAAAGGGATGGTTGAGGTGCGGTGTGCGGTGTTGCTCCGACTGATGAGGTTGTGATTAGCTACTTCCATGCGTGCGGCTGTGTGGCCGAGCAGCTCTAAAATCACTCTTTGCCGGTCACGCGCTTGGCCCATCTCCACATGAGCGGAGCTGCTGAGCAGTGGAGGCCGCAACTTCAAAGGAACGCCGCGGGTGGTGTGACTTTTTGGAAGAAGCTCGTCGGCCAATTTTGTTTCCAACCTCTTCGAAAAAAGCAAGGCTGGAAATCAGCAGAAAGAAAGAGGGTCGCGAAAAAGAGCCTCGCGGCTACGCATGGAGTCGGCAGCATCAGCTGAGCCGGCATCCATCGACAGCCCACCAACATCCTCATCGCCTGTTGCGGAATTCATACAAAGACGTGCTAGGCGTCTCGAGAAGGCTGCTGCGTCTCGCTCATAACATGCCGTTCGCGCAGCTGGTCATCGGCCCGCCCGGGTCGGGCAAGACGACGTACTGCTTTGGCCAGTACCAATTCCTGTCGCTCCTCTCGCGGCCTTGCAGCGTGATCAACCTCGATCCTGCCAACGACCGGCTTCCGTATCCATGTGCGGTGGACATCAACCGTCTCATCTCCGTGCGCGATGTGATGGCTGAACTGTCGCTCGGGCCGAATGCTGCCATGCTGTACTGCATCGAATACCTCGAGAAGAATGTGGATTGGCTCATCCAGGAGCTCAAGCGCGTCATGGACGAGCAACGTCAGGGCAAGACAGGCCAGATTGCGGGTCGTGGCGACCAGGAAACACCTATTGGACCTGTCAGTCCGGGCTTCGAGTATCTCATCTTTGACCTGCCCGGCCAGGTCGAGCTGTCCACCAACCATCCGGCGCTCAAGCGCATCCTCGCAACGCTTGAAAAGCAGCTCGGCTTGCGCTTCGTTGCGGTCCACCTCACAGATGCCACCCACATCACGGATGCCTCGCGATACGTGTCCATCCTCATTCTCGCGCTCCGAGCCATGCTGACGCTCGAGCTGCCTCACGTCAACGTGCTATCCAAGGTGGACCTGCTGGGCCAGTCGTTCATCTCGCGCTCCAAACGCTCTCTCGACCGCTATGGACCGGATAGCGACACCGATGCAGATGACGACGAAGACATGGAGGATGCCTCGGCGGACCAACCCGGTAATCGGGCAGAGATGGGTCTGCAGTCGGATCTCGCCTTCAATCTGGATTTCTACACGCAAGTACAGGACCTGTCGTACTTGCGCGATCTGCTCTCGCAACCTTCCGGTCCAGGATCCTCGCTTCGCAACGAGAAGTACGGCAAGCTCAACGAAGCGATTTGCGAGCTCGTCGAGGACTTTGGTCTGGTCTCTTTCGAGACGCTGGCCGTCGAGGACCGTCGATCCATGTTTCGGCTGTTGCAGGTGCTGGACAAGGCGGTGGGCTACATCTACGTCTCGGCATCCTCCAATGCCTACGACTACGGCGACGACGAGAACGAGGGCTTGTACGAGCCGGGACGCGCTTCTGCGACTGCCGGCGCTGCGCTTCGCGGCCAGATGGGAGCGGATGCGCATTCGCTGTTCAGCGTGGCGGATCGAGGCGACCCGCTCGGATGGGGCGATGCGTTGGAAGTGCAAGAGAGGTACATCGACCACCGCGAGCTGTACGAAGAGGCCGAGGCCGAGGAGAGAAAGCAGATGCACGAGAAGGAGTGGGAGCAAAAAGTCTGGTCCGAGGTGCGCAAGGCGACCGAAGAACAGAAGCAAAAGCAGAGCAAATAGGCTCTTGCTGCCCGAATAACGAAATCGTGGCCCAGGTTGGAGCCTCGGTCATCATGTACACTACCGCTTCGAGCATTACTGTAATACTAGCGCATCCTAATCTATCCTTTTAGCACCAGTCGTAACTAGTAAGCATCTGCATTGCATGAGCGAGCTGTAGGGTATAATCAAGCGATGCTGGACGAGGTGGATTGGGATCAGAGGCCGTGGGAGGAAAAGACGTTTTCCTTGTGTATGGAGTTGCCCTGCTTTGTTGTGAGGATGTCGTGGATCTCTTGTGGTGGGTCGAGGTCGAGATCCTTGGCACGCTGCCATCTTTCGAGGCGAGACAGTCCGATGCATGGACCAAAGTTGGGATCGAGATCGAACACGCGCAGCGTCTGTTGGATGCGGTCTTCGTGGTCAATGTGCACGGATTTGGACGGAGGCACATTCATGGCCCTCTTCGCCCTGCGCCACACGCCGTCCCAGCGCGGATCGTCGACATCGAGCTCCTCCCGTGCCGCATCCGCCTCATCTTTTACGGTACTATTGGTGGATTGCTTGACGAGAGGCGGCGAGGTGGATTTGACGGAAGTGCGGACCGTGGGCTTGAAGCCGGATTTCGGCTTGAGCTGATCCTTGGCCGCTGCCGAGAGGCTTGATTTGGGCTTGGATTGCGCCCGGAACGAGAGTGACTTTTGCGTTGAGGTCCTGGGCGCCATGTTGGATACGCAACGCGGACGATGCTTTGGGTGAATCGAAGGTGGTGAGGAAGAGGTGGCTTGCGACGATGGAATTGGCAGCTTGGTGTCGCGCGCATTGCGGAGAGGCCCGTCCAAGTGGAGGATGATCCAACATTTCGGTGAATCAGCCGCTAGCCCGATGCCCGTTGCTTGACAGTGTTACACCTTAGTAAGTAACAGTCTAAACGATATACCTCGGTCAACTTTAAACCGGATTCTCGGGCCAGAGGGAATTTTCGGGTCGGTACAACACCGCAAGCGCATCTGCAAGTCTGCGACGTGGCGTCAAGATCGATTCGCTTGCTGCACAGGAAGGCCGAGCCCGACATGTCGGATGCCAATCAGACGCTGCTTTCCAAGGCGCTGCGCTTCGAGACGCTGGGTAGGCGAGGCGGCACGGCCGCAAGGCAGTCGGAAAGCGATTTCGGCGATGCGCGCGCTTGCAAAGAAAGCGCCTCGACTTGTCGAGAGGTGCGGTGGAAGCGCAATCGCGCCAACGCGGATGAAGCGCCGATGCTCGGCTCTTGTGATTGTCGACTGCTGCGATCGTGCTTCTATTGTATGCCCAGCGTCGCTTGACGCGCTTCCGCAATGGACTGTGATTGGCCTGGTTCGGATGCGGTGCTCGCTGGCGCTGCCAGCATGCCACTGTCGTGCCATTGTCCGTGCAAGTGCGCCGATGCGAAGCGAAGTGCGCGGGTAGCTGTGCCCCATTGTTTCCATACGCAACTTGAACACGCTGCGGTATCATACAGTAGGATTGCGTGCATTTGTCTCGGAATTGTCAGGATGCCCACCGCCCGCCCACCAGCGGCGCCGTGCGAGATTGCGACCCCATGCGCCCATGCCGTCACCTTCAGCGGCAAGACCCGTGCGACCAAACCCACCGTGGAAAGAAAGGAAAGCCCAAACACAGCAACGCGCCAGATCGGCTTGCCATCCCGCTCATCTCATTTATCCCTCGAGCCGCTCGGAGATGAAACCGAGCGGGGCCAAGCGAGCAGCCAGCAGTGCACAGCGAAGATTTCACAAACCGACTCGAAGCGTTGGGCGGTTGAGCCTCCGAATTACACGGTCGACAAGACGCTTCGATTGTGCATGCATGAGTGTGTTTGTCTGGCCTGATTTTGGCGACCACCCTCTGGGAATTCCGCGCCGGAAAAAAAAAAAGTGGGGAATCGACCATGTATGTCTCTCTCACGGCGAGCCTCGTCTAGGTGCGATCAGAATGTCGAGAACGCAGCGCGAGGCCCTGTCTCAAATCAGCTGCTCCAACTCCAACTCCGGCTTCGCAGAGTGGAGGCAGCCCAGCTCCGAAGCGTGTGTCATCCAAGATCTCACGCCATGCATGCCATTTGAGCCTATGGTGCAGTATCGGCTTGACACCGACAGCTGAAGCGACCAACCGAGTGCGAATGTGTCCAGCTTCGGTGCCGGTGCCGACGTGCGGCTTGAGCCCTCTTATCTCCTTTGCGGCTGCAGCTTGCCCGCAAACGAGTCAATTTGGCGGCCGTGCTGCCAGATTCTTGTTGCCAAGACGAGCCGAGCGAGCGAAAGATTCCGCTGGTTGCGCGTGGCCAGCCGATGGAGGGGGGCGGCTTTTTTTTTGGTACAGATCCGCAGGTCTGCAGCCCCATGCAGCCTCACACAGCCGGCCTTCTCTGCGATTCCGTCGAGCCGCGCCTAACGCGGTGCCGAGCTGCCGGTCGCCTGGCCGCCTCGCTGCTGCTGCTGCTGTCTCCGCCTGGTAAGCCCCATTCACTACGATTGCACCACCCGAACCCGTCGCTGCCGACAGCCGACATTTCACAGGGGAAGCCCGGCACCGTCTTTCTCCCTCTCTCTCTTTGCATCCCTCGATTGTGAGGCGCCCCCCAAACGCCCCCTACCTCCGCCCCTACGTCCGTCTGTCGACGCACAACAACGCACGAACCCTAGTCCCGTCTTCCTGGATTCCATCGACCCGATCCGCCCCCAAAACGCCAAGCTCAGGTGCATCATCCATCCACTTCCCCTATGGCACCCCTCGCATCGGTTTCGCCTAATCCTTGTCTTGACCCGTCACCATCGACGTGACCCACGTAATCCCAGCTCGATCGCTAGCTTGGACTCCACCTCGCTGTAACCAGCATCAATATCGCTATCGACATTGTTCCAACAGTTTCGGTCAGAAAGGATCCCATAGCGACACTCGCATTCCCGCCAGCCAGCCCCGTTCCGCTTGCAGCCGTCCTTGAGGGTCAAGCGCTCGCCGACCCGCCTTACTCCGCTGGTCACACGCTACTGAGACAGCAGAGAAAGGTTATACACGCGCCGCCTCTGTTGCTTGCATAGCGCCGCTTCATCACATCCTCGTCCGCCCATCACCCTTCTTCGCCCTAGACGCATGCGCCTTCTCCCAGCTGTAGCATCCACCTGCTCTGCGGCGACACGTACCCCTGCGCAAATTCTTGCCTCGTTCACGTCCTCGCTAACCGCCACGTCGATTGCCACCCATGGACGGTGATCCCAACAGAGGGCTACCGCCTTCCAGAGATCGCTTGACCAATTCGTACGACCCTTACTATCGGAATGATGTGCCAGCCCGCCACGATCCACTCCGCTCGCGCCCACGTCCGGACGACGCACGGCGCTACCCGCGTCTCGATCCAGACCCGCCGCCCCAACACTCGCGTCCCCATGCTCCGTGGCAAGACCGCGATCCCAACCAAGCGCAGTTTGGCATGCGCGAGGCGCCGCCTCCCCGAGCACCCCTTCCGTATCATCGGCACGCCGATCCGATCGGCGCTCGATCCACGCCGTTTCCCCCGACGGATCTTCCTCGTTCCTCGCGCCCGATCCACGCCGACGACTACTACGCACCACATCCTTCCACCCGTCATCCGTTGCAGGAAGGCGCCGTCGCCTCACGCCTTCACACCCCTCGCTTGACTCGCCTGGAAGGCGAATCGCACCTCGACGATCCCCGCGCGAGCGGCGCTTTTGTGGCACCAGAGCCGCGCGACCTTCACCGGCCCTCGAGACCTTCGTCGGGAGATCCGAACTACGCCGACGCTCCGCTATACCCGGCAAGACCATCAGCTGCCCATTCGTCCGACTTCAGGACCGAAGCTCCGCTTGCCCGAGCTTCGTCCCCGGTCGCTTTGTCACTCAACTATCCAAGCGCACCTCCTCCGCCGCGCCGCATCAGCGATTCATCTGACGCACACATCGTCGACTCCTTAGATGCATCCTTTCACCGTGACAAGAGGGCCAGGCTCGAAGCCTTCTCCGACAGAGCTCCGACTAGCTCATCCATGTTGCAACCGCCTCCGCCTCAATACCGTACAGCTCCGTCCCGCCGCCCGATGCCATCCGCAGCGGAAGACTGGTCGGACAGTCTCGACCTTCGAGATCGCCGCCGCTCTCGCGATCCCATTGACACGCCTTACCATGGCGATCTGCCGCCGAGCAAAAGCGCTCGAGCCATCGACTGGGTCGATCCTGAAAAGGGACAGCTGAGTCGACGCACCTCCGGCGTCTCGTATCAGACTTTGGAATCGGGCCACGACCGCAGCGAGGCTTCCGCCTTCAATAGCCAATCGAGCAAGGTCAAGAGGCGCAAGCGAGCCGTGCTCAGCTGCACAGAGTGCAAGCAGCGCAAGATTAAATGTGACCGCAACGTGCCAAACTGCGGCAGCTGCGTTCGTCGTGGTGTCGCCCACCTCTGCCGCTGGGGCGACGAACGCGACTTTCTCCCGGCAGCTCCTGCCAGCAACATCACACCCTCCAACGCCGCACTCATGGCGAGGATTGCTCAGCTAGAATCGCAAATCCGCGTCTTGCAATCATCCTCGTCTTCTCCCTCGCCCGCCAACGACCACGCCCTATCGGAACGCAACACCGATCGCCACGCCTTGTACAAGCATGACCATGCTGCTACCTCCTCCGGAAGCCGCTCGTCTCGCTTCAGCGGCCCATCCAGCATCCAGAACCCGCCCAACTTCACCAGCCGCGAACGCAAGGCCTACATCGAGCACGCCCGCAGCGCTTCTGGCCCCACGTACGATACGTACGCTCGACACGGCGATGACGACGACATGGAAGAAGATGAGAGCGACCAAAGCGAGGACACGGACAGCGCAGAATCCGGAGCCGAGAACGCCGGCGACCTGCTCCAGGCCCTCGCACGCGGTACGTCGCTCAAAAGACGCCGCCGCGGCGTGCATTCCACTTCTAACGCCGGCGTGTCGTCTCTGCGAGGCGCTCCCGATGTCCAGGAGGTGCAACGAGATCCTTCGACTCGCAAGCAAGACGCAGGCTTCAGTCGTACCACCGATCACAGCAAGGAAGCGCATCAGGAGACGGTGCCTTCCTCAACCGGGCCCAGAAGGGCCTCGGATATGTCGGAAGAGAATCTGACTTCTGCAGCCACCTTCAACATGTTCGTCTCGGGCCTTGATGGCGAGGGTCAGAGCGACTTCAAGGCAGATCTTCTGGCCGCTTTGGAGCTGCTACCCTCACGGCCAAAGACCAAAGCGCTGATCGAGATCTACTTGCGAGAAGCTGAACCAATTGTGCAGTCCATCCACCAGCCTTCGCTACTGCGGCAGTACGATCAGCTCTGCACCACAGTCGATCATCTCAAGTCGGCCGACGACACGGGCGCAGCCCAAGTTTCGCTGCCAGATCTCCAGTTTGTGGCACTGATCCTGGCTATTTGCGAAGGCGCTTGCGAGTTCATGACGCCGCAAGAGGTCCTCGAGAGCGGAATCGGCAAATCCCGCAATTCGATCAACAGTCAGCTCGTCTTACTAGGTCGAACAAGCCTCGCCTTGCTGGGCAAAGCCAAGTTTGTGCGTTCGCCCAACATTTGGGGACTGCAGACCATCATCGCCTTGCGCCACTTTTGCTTCAACCGCGATCATCGTGAGGAGTATATCATCCTCTACACCATGGCCATCAAGGCGGCCGAGCTGCTTGGACTGCATCGCCTCGGCTCGGCTCTGGTGGACGAGGAGCGTTGGGAAGAGGAGAGCCAGTCAGCGATGAAGACGGATGGCGACTCGCGCGACCCCGCTTCAGCTCCGTCGCACAGGTGGAAAATGCTTACATCAACACGCATCCAGGACGGAGCCGAGACTGACTCGGAAGGAGAGGACCTCGATCCGGACCAGTCGCAGAGGCGGGATCTGAACGCCATGTGGCTTCCACGCGGCTCGAAGCGCAGAAACTGGGATATCGCCCAGGCCAAACGCTACAAAGACGGCAGCCGTGTTGATCGCGAAGTGGGACGCAAGGTGTGGTTCGCCTTCGCAACCATGGACTGGCATTGCGCCGCCCATTTCGACCGCTGCTATTCCTGCAAGGATGAGATGTTCTCGACTCAGAGCCCACAGAACATCGACGATGCCGACGTCACAGACAGCGAGTCTCTTGCGCTGAACCCTTTCAAGCCAATCAGCAATGTGCCGCGCCGCCACACCTCGCAGTTCCTCGAACGCATCCGCGCCGTGGACGTGCCTACGACCAACAGCTTCATCCCGATCCATATCGAAATTTGCCACACGGTACGCAGCATTGCGGACGCGCAAAACCTCGGCGATGAATCCTTTGAAACGGTGCTGGCAATCGAAGCACGCTTCCGCGAAATCTTACGGTCGCTGCCGCGCTTCTTCCGTCTCGATGGGCAGAGCGAATACGATCCAGAGGTGCACCGACACCATCGCGAAAGGCCCTACTTGTCGTTTCAGAGGGCGGTGATCCACGCTTATGTCCACCATCGGCTCCTCAAGCTGCATCGGCTCTACATGAGTCGCGGCTACTGGAACCCCAAGTACATCCACTCCACCCGGACGTGCATTGAGAGTGCGCGCGTGGTGATTGGCGTGCTGCGGGCGCTCGACCATGTGGGCTGCCGAGGGCAGCGCTACTGGATCTTCAAGTTCAACATCTTTCACGCCGTCTTGGCGCTGCAAGTTGACCTTTTGTACCTGGCACGGCTGCCAGTCAATCGAGAAATCCTCGTCAAGCGCGCCGACGTCGTGTCCGGCCTCAAGATGCTGCATGCGCGAACGGATGTAGAGGGTCGTAATCCGCTGCTTGCGTCGTCTCTCCAGGTCATCAAGGTGCTCAGCGAGGAGGAAAAGGCGCGACGAAACAAGAACGCGGCAGGCTCGGAAGCAGCAGCTGACTCCGAAGTGGCCGCCGCTGCGTCCAGCTCACCCGGCGACGGTTCGTCTTCGACCAGGAAGAGCAAATCGCGCGGCTGGACGGGAGCATCCGAATCAACAGGCGACCTGGCCGAGCATCTGGAGCGGCGGATCAAGGAGACCTGGTGCACGGTCGAGGTCGAGAGTCTTCGCGCACGCGCTGAAGCAAATAGCCATGTTGTAGCCGAGGCAAGTCCGAAGAACGCATTCAGCCGTCCGCTCGTTGCGATCTCGACGACACCTTCTACCGAAGACGGATCTTCGCTGCACACCGTCGAGTCGGACGCCAAGCTGGCTGAGCTGGATCCAGCTGCCGAACTTGCCGACACGCAGGATCAGACATTGCCAGGTCAGGAAAGGCGCGATTCGGAGCTCGAAGACTACCTCAAGCTGCTCTCGTCGTATCAGAATCCAGACGATGCTCCGGACGGCGCGCACTTCTTTGACGTTCTCGATGATCTTGTCTACCAGAAAGATCCCTCAGCTAAGCTGCCCACGACGCGCGATGCGGTTCAAACCTTGCCACTGCTGCGCACTCCCGATGACCTCGCTGTTGCCGGCGCCGGATTCGACGCCTTCACGGCAGCCTAAAGAGCACATACCCTTGTTATACATTAGTCTTCGAAAGCTCAAGGGTGACGGTGTCAAACCAATGTCCAACTCTGCCTCAACACGGAATCCAGTTTCGCGCTTGGACGTTTTGAGCAAAGACCCACGCGGGATGGTGGGAACAGAGATTTGATTTGCGGAAATAGAAGGAAGTGCGCCGATGTGAAAGTGCGCGAAGGAGAACAAAGTGCGGCACAGGGGAAGGGTTGATCGAGTTTGGAGCGTATCTGAGAAGCGGAATTGTGTGGCGATGCGGGAGAAACAGCTCGATGCCGCACTTGAGGCGACTCGAATGGCGCAACGCCATGAGACATTGTACCATTGAGCTGCGAGAGGTGGCCGGACTTAGCCGCCTGTCGAAAGATCGAGGAGAAGGTCAAGGCTTGGACATCCGCTAGACTGAAACGATAGCTGAAGACTTGCTAGCGCCCGGCAGAGACGAAACTCTCGGAGCAGGTTGCGGATGACAACCGTCAAGAGATGCTGAAGCCGCTGTTACCAAGCGTCTGGGTTAAAGTCTTCGGCCAGGTATTTGTAGCTCTCGTCATGGTCAATGCTGACGTAGGTAAGGTCGCCAATGTCTTTGTCGCCGAAGGTGGACTCATAAGCTGTTCGTCCCGTGGCGCCGTTTTTATTCCAGCCTGGTCCGGCCCTGCCGTCGGCAAAGCTTACCCTTGTATACATTAGTCTTCGAAAGCTCAAGAGTAATGTTGCCGAAGCAATGCTCAACTTTGGCTCAACACGGAATCGGTCTTGCGCTTGCACATTTTGAACGCACGTGATTGGGGGAAAACAGATTTGATTTGCGGAAGGAGAAGGAAGTGCGCCGATGTGAAAGTGCGCGAAGGAGAACAAAGTGCGGCACAGGGGAAGGGTTGGTCGAGTTTGGAGCGTATCTGAGAAGCGGAATTGTTTGGCGATGCGGCGGTCGAAAGGCACCTGTCACAATGACGCTGGTGCGGAAGTCCTTCTTGAGAGCGCAGACGACGATTGAGGCCAGTTCGGGATCGAGTCCCTTGTCAGCGTCAAGGACCGGTAAATAACACTAGCGTCCGATGCGCCTGACACTAAATGCTGGAGCGAAGTGGTCAACATCGCCGACTTCTTCTTTGAATTTGTCTTTGTCCTCAACGCTGTAGAGCTCCATGACGAGTCGAGCCGAGGGGTCTGGGAGAATCCCCATGTATTGGAATCGCTGGAGGCGCGGGTCGATCGAACGGCGGGCGTAAGTCTCCTCGAACTCGTCAGTGCGGATGCGTCTGCCGACATTGTACTGGTGCTGCGCAGGGGATTCCTGATTGAAGGGAATGTTGAAGAGACCCTCCAAGGTCGGGCTCGGGCCTGGGCCCACCTTCTCACAAGGCTGAAGCTTGTGGTACCGGATGATGGTGTGCATGCGAAAGCACCGTTCGATTGTGATCTCTTTGATGAAACGGTCCAGGTCGTCGACTTGATAGCGAGCCGATACGATAGAGGCGGGACCTTTGTCCATGTTGAAGCAACGGTGTCGCAGGCAGCGAGGGTCGGTCTGGAAGGCGACGAGGTGGTTCTCCAAGTCAGCGTGAGGGATGCGCCAGACGACGAGGACATTGCCCTGGGGTTCGATTTTCTGGCAGGCGGAGAAAGCCTTCCTCTTGTCTTCGATCCTAGCGCCATCAGTCTCTCCAAGGTGAGCCAAATCCATTTGGCCTGCAAAAGATGTATACATCCGGTAGTGGGATGAGCCGCGAATCTCTTCGACGAAGCTGTCGAGTTCTCCGTACGTAGCAACGTGGTAGGTTCCGGAGACGACATGAACAGAGTCTTCGCCCATGCCAAGGTAGTAGTGTCCTACCAGACGAGTGTCCGTTGCGAAGAAGGCGAAGAACTCGTCAAACGTGTCATCAGGAACATGCCAGGCAACGCAGATAGTGGGCTGCCGCTTTACAGGAGGAGATTCTTCCTGGCCGAGGCCGAACTGAGCTAAGAACCAAGACAACATCGTCGACGCTGAGAGGGTAGATGTGGGAAAGTGGAAGACGTGAGGTAGAGCATGTGTCTCTTTATAGCCAGCAGACGGGAGTCTCGACTAGCAAGCTTCGCAGCGGCAGCGTGGCAAAATGAAGTGTGCGGAACGACGCGGAACTGAGCTTGACTGAGCCGCAACTTCAGGTGACTCCTCCGTCAGGATACGGGGCGAGACTGCGCTTTGCGATTGCAGCGTGATCGTGAGCGGCCCAAGACGGTCGTTTCGAAGACCTTCGGCGGACTCTTGTGTCCACCCTCGGCTATTGCATCTGCAACAGCTCTACACGAGCCGAGGCTACTGGAACCCAAGTATATGCTCTCCACAAGGACGAGCATCGAGAGTGCCAAGATCTTGCAGACGTTGTTGGACTGCGCGGCCCAGAACGCGTCAGACGGCTCGTTCGGGTGCGGACCAGTGTGACAGTGTGATAGCTCGAGGAGCGCTGCGCAGCGAAAGCTTAGCCGTGTGCGGAAGAGCGCGGCATTGAGCTTATGCGCGAGGATGTGCGCGCTGTACGGGTCCCACCGAATATCATTCCGTCGTCACGCGGAGCCATTAGCAGCGGAAGTGTAGCCTCCGAGCTTGCGCAACCGAAATGGCTCAGTCGTGCTCGTTCGGGGTTTCTCATTGGTGGCCCGCTTTGCACTGGCCAGGTCGATGGCCCCACCAATGATCCAGCTCTCGTGCGCATCCTCGCAACGCTTGAGCGGAAGCTCATCCTCCGCATCATTGCGGCGTGCTTCGATGAAGCCTTGCGATACGTGTCCATCCTCATTCGAGCGCTTCAAACTAGGTTGGTGCTTTTGCTATCTCGCTCCAGGTTGAACTTCTGAAAGTTCTGCGCATCCCGCACCGCACAACACCGCTATTCACAGACGCTTTAAGAGTGAAGATTCCGAAGACAACCTTTTACATTCCTTTTTTTGTAGAGCCTTTGCGGAGCTTTCGTGGGAGTGCAAGCTGACAATGAGCGAGCGCGACGAGCCTTGGAGGAAGGGTGATGATGGCAGGAGAGGAAGGCAGAGCAACCGCAGCAGCATCAACCAAGTCTTGCTCAGACTCTCCGGAAGTCAACGGCGATCGCACAGAATTGAGCCCAAACCCAGCGACGAATCTGATCTTGAGGCTGATTTTACTTGGAGAGGTAGGTGTGGGTCTGAGTGAGGTCCACAGACTTTTCCTCCTCGTCGTCCACATTCTTGCTGTGAACGGGAAGCTGGGGCTGAGCGTCGGCGGTGGCAGCGGCGGCACGCTCGAACCTGGCGCCCTTCTTCTCGGGGCCCACGGAGGCGGTGAGTGCCAGGCCGATCGCAATGATGGCAGTGGCAATGGCCATGACCGGACCGTACGCCTCGACGATCTTGCCGTTGGGAGCGCGGATGAAGTTGTTTTCCGAGAGGTAGTTGATGAGCTGGGTCGAAGGCGACGAGATGGCGTTGCCGAGCTGGTAGGTCAGGCCAACGAAGATGGCACGGAATGCAGGCGGCGAGATCTCGGACAGGTAGATGGGAACCACACCCCACGCGCCCTGCACGCAAGCCTGAAAATGAAATGAAAATGAAGAAGAAGAAAATTAAAAAAAAGAACGTCAGGTGTCAGTTATGGGAACCTTCATCGAATCGACTGTCCTCCTCGTGCATCGTACTTACCTGAAGCAAAAAGCCGCCGGCTTCGAGACCAGACTCGGAAGTAGGAAGCACCCAAGCAGGGATGAGACAGCAGCATGCAATGCAGGCCAAGATCATCGCGCGTCGTCGTCCGATCCACTGCGACATGTAGCCCCAGATCGTTCCACCGACACAGGCGCCGGTCTTCATCAGAATCGATGCTCTTGATGCCGCAGTGTTGTTCAGCTGCTTGCCGGAAAGCATGAAAGTGGTGTAGCTGTCCTGACTCGTGTGGCTGAAGTAATTGAACCAGCTCATCAAAATGATGGCGAAGACACAGGTCTTCCACTCCTTCTTAAGCATCGCACCGAAAGATTTGCGGAAGTTCTTGGTGCCGGAGCCCTTGGACGCCTTTCGGGCCTCGATGAACTGCTTGGACTCGGGCCAGAGGAGCCTGAGGAAGCCTACAGCAAAGCTGAAGCCTGCTCCGACCCAAAACATGATCGGCCAGGTCGAAACCGCGCCGCCGACTCCGAGATTGACGCAGGCCGCCAAAACGTATCCAAAACTGTATCCTTGCTGGAAGATACCGCTGAAAAGACCTCTTGCTTCGGAATCAATGCTCTCCAGCGCCATGCTGGCAGCACCGCCGTACACACCCCCCATGCATAATCCAAAGATTGCACGGACGGCGAGGAACTGGTTGAAGGTGGTGCAGTAGATGGAAGCGACCTGAAGAGCACCGAGAGCCCACATGTTGAGAACGAGCGGATATTTGCGTCCAAAGTAGTCGGAGCACATGCCAAAAATGGCTGCGCCGACCGAACGGAGGAGTAGCGTGAGGGTGATGGCCTCGGTGACTCGGGTCTTGGAAACATCAAAGTGCTTCGAGAGCTTGGTGGTCTGGATCGAAAGGGCATGGAAGTCGAAGGCGTCTGCGGTCCAGGCCGAGAACCCGATTAGGTAGGCACCCCAGCCCGCCATGCCGAGCATACCCAGCAGGCGGAACGGGTTGGGAGGTCGCTGAGGCCTCTCCCAGGTGACTTCCTCTTCACCATTTTCGTCGATGGTGACCGAGCGAACCTTCCAGTGGAAGAGATCCGTAAAGTTTTGCACACCCTGTGCGAGGACACCCTTCTTGGCTTCAGTCATGGTGGAATCCAATGGTGGTAGATGGGGGTGGGCAGGAGAGACGGAGATACTGTGGAAAGCACTGACAAAGATTGGAGCAAGACGCTGCTCTTTAAGTAGGCACGATGCTTGCATGATTCGGTTGACCGGCTGAAAGAGCTGTGGGGCAACGGTACGGACGTTGACAACACCGACAGCTCACATTCCTACCAGTAGCGTGGCTCGGCGTGGGGGAGGGCGACGTTCCTGAAGCAGCGTTCCTGCCGTCAAGGCAGGTACTCGCCACTAGCCTGGTTGCGTGGGGGCTCCGACACGCGGACGACGAAAGGCGGTGCCCCGCGCAGGCCAGTGCGACGCTTTCGTATCTCTCCGTTGATGCTTCTTTTCTCAAAGGTGGCGCCTTCCGTCACTGCCAATACACACCCACCAATCATCTCTGCGGGTGATGCGGGGAATCGGTGAATTCCGGGATCGCCTTGGATGAATCTTGGTGGCCCTGCGCCAGCATCATCAACATGTATGCGACATTGTCCAAGGAAGGTCAAACGAACTACACCTGGATGACGGGCCACAACGTATTCATCGCCTGCACGAGCTACTTGAAATGGCCGCTGCCCTTGTATTCGGATGGGATGCCAAGAACTCGGATGCAGGGATGAACTTGATTGCACGGACACCCGAGGAGCTCGGTCTCGAGGGCAATGCCACCCAAATGGAATGAGGCTCGGTGGCAAAGGTCTGCAGGCCGGGCGTGCTGAGACGCACGGATATTTCTCCGCCAGGACGTGCGCGCAGGCGGTGTGGGTGCGGGTCGCACCCAGACAACAAAGACTGCCGTCGGGAACGAAGACAGACGAGGCAATCGAGCAGAGGCGGATGTATCCGCCGTTCCAGCGGAGCGGAGGCATGAATACGAGCATCAGCCACCTGGCAGCTGCCCCGCAGAAGCGCGGAGCGTCGAAACACCATGCGGAGCACGAAGAGAGAGTGGAGCTCCGAGCTCGCGGGGAATCCGCATTCCACGCGAGATGCCAAGAACAGTGGAGTGCATATTTCTCCTCGCGTGGGCGATGTCTGCATCTCTCCTGCGTCCGCCACTCACTCGCTCACCGTGCAATAGCTTCAAATTCGAGTTGACAGCTTTTGGCGGGTCTTCAATCAAAGCATCGCAATCGAGCGTCGGAATGCTGAACAATGCAACGGCGGAGAAATGCGCATACCGCCCGCCGCCCGCCGCTTCGTCTTTGTCCTGACCCACGGCGAGGCGCCTCGGCCGAGGTCATCGTACGACAGTTGGCGTAATCGGCGTACCGGCGAAATCCGCGCGAGGTCACCGCCTCGGAAGGATGCAGAGATGCAGAACGCCCGATCTCTCCCGCTCAAGCATCTGCACTTTGCGACGCTGACTCAATGCAGCGAGACCCGTGCGATTCGGATCAATACGGCCGAGCTCGGATGGCGGAAACTCATTTCATATACCTCCCGCTTTGAAACCATGCGTTCGCATCCTAAGGATGCCACGATCATTTGGGCGGAGTCGCGATGTGCTGAGGACACCGAATACGACTGCGGCACAGTGCCAACTGAACTTGGACTAAACGAGCGCGATGTGTAGCAGATGAGCGCGCGGGACCCTACGCTCGGCAGTGTCCGGCCGAGCAGATCCGAGAGGTTGAAAAGCAGGAAGTGGAACGGCACAAACAGCTGAGGCGACGGGAGATCCACCGCGCTCGAAGCAGGTGCCGACGAGCCCGTGTAAACGCTCTGCACCGACCAAGTGAGCGCGGGGAAGAGGCTGAGCGTCACGTCGAATACAAAGGCAACTGCAGCGCAGTCCCGCTTGACCTTGGACTGGACGAGCGAGATGCGTAGCAGCGACTCGCGCGTCGACGGCGCAAGTTGGTAGAATCCGGGCCCCTTTTTCAGTCACGAGCTCTAGGCAGGGTGGGAGATGGAGCGCACCGAATGCCAGCGTTGTGTCAGTTACTTCCGCATGCGCATCCTGCAGTCTGAGATCCAGTCGATTCTCTATCAGAACGCAGAGCTCCCGCGCCGGTTCGGTAGCTACGGGCATTGGAAGAACGACGTCCTGCAGAGGCTGCACGCATTGAGACGCTATGCGCCTTCCTCCAAGGCTGAGCTCGAGGCAAACGGTTGCGGCTGCACTGCCATCTTCCTAGAGCTCATGAACTCTCTCGATCGGTGGCCTGTGCGCAGATGCCTCCACGCAAGCTCATCGGACATCCTCTATTGTAGCTCGTGCTCATCGTGCCAGCAACCGTTGCACGCGATGCGAGCCCCTGTGCGCTTGCGGTTTCGGAGCGAATACTATAGCGGTCGAGGTAAAGACAAGACCTCACCCGTCGGAAACGCTGTTCGGACGAGTCTGGACCGAATGCTGCTGCAGACTTCATGCAGAAACTGTAGTGCAAGCCATTCGCAGGGAACAGGGTGGCCATCGGTCAATAACACGCCTGGCTGCATGGAGATCTCGAGGCGAGAGTGGCCATGGCCAATCGGAAAGCTCCGTTTGACACTCAGCCTCATCTGGCCATTCCGCCTTTTCAATGTCCGCCCCCGTTCTACGCCGTCCTTGCCGCTGCAGGCTTTCCCCACAGATTCCATATGCAACGACATCTATCCGAGCTCGCATCCACCTTCAATGTGGGGGTGGGCATCGCCAGATTGGCGCCCCCGGCCTTGGCGTGCAACGTTGCTCGGCTAAACCGCACAAAACTGGCCGCGATCCCGTCCATCTCCGAAGTCTGCTCAATTTTTGACTTCCAACGCGGCTCCCCCAACCTGGCTCTTTCCGAACGATATCCTCCGAATCCACATTAGCTACCGCGATCCGATCTCAGCTTCACTACGATTCCAGCTACACTTGCCACAATTCACTGCATCACATTGCTAGCTCGCAAGGCATCAGAAGCCCATGTGCGAATCGAGGAAACGGTGATCGAACTCGGTCGCGGCCATGTTGCCGGTTGCAGGATTGCCAGCGGACGCAGCATTAGCAGCGCCAGTGGACTGCACTTCGCCCCGCATGCTGGTGAAACCGCGCTGCTGCGCATCTGTCACCGTTTCTGCAAATGTGTTGTACGCGGTAGGGGCCGCTATGCGGTATCCGAACCCCAGAGCCTCCCAATCCGAATCGAATGCTTCGCCTTGGCCCATGCCTTCTGCCATACGATGCTCGACGTTGATACCTGGTCCCGCGCCCGCTGAGAAGCCCCATTTGCTTGCATCCGTGCCTTCAATGCTGCCACCGACCGAGTCGTAGAAGCTGAGCGCTTCACCCTGCACGTAGTGCTGCGCACTTGGCTCCCGTCCCCCGGCGGCTCCGTGCAGCGTCGGTGCTGGACCCAAGGCGCTGTGCTGCATCGCCGGCGTGCTGGTCTCCCATCCGCGTTGGTCACCCGAGGGGCCAGCAGACAGACCTGCTTCCCGGAACAGCGCGTCGAGCTCCATCGCGGACGTCGCCATAAGCGACGAGATGTCAAAGTTGGACGGGCTGTCCGGAAACATGACTCTAGGGCTCGTTCCGGGCCCCGCCTCGTACCATGCATGGCTCGTACTCGACGCGTCGGTAATGCCACCACCCGTGTCGAGCCCGCGGCTTGGCGTGGCGCCACTGCTGCTGGCATACGGATCATGCAATGTCGCCGAGCGGTCGTGTCCAAGCTCGGCTGCCGGCCAAGAAGCAGTGGACTGTTGCGGCGGAGAGCGTGCCGCGCCTGGGCGCTGATTCCAGCGTGGCGCGTGCGCCGATGCCTCTGCCGGAGGCTGGGCCGGTCCAGAGTCACTCGTTCTGTCCAGGGTCGGCTGGCGCCAGTCCCGGTCCTGCGCATACAAAGACCAAGGGGCCGGCGAGGTGCCTTGAGCATGACGTTGCGGGGAAGCGGAAGCATGCAGCGAGTTGCTTTCTCGCCCTGGAGATGGAGGATGAGGCTTCTTGATCGTGTTTGCGCCAGACTTGCTCCGCTGAGTGCTACGGTCAGCAGGTCGGTCGTGCGGATTCTTCATACGCGACCCGCCATCAATTGCAGCTGGCGCCGCGCGGTCGATCTTCTCCACTACCACCGAGGTGGCATAGAACATTGTACGCAAGCATTTGCGGCACTTTTCGGCCGTCGCCCACTGGAGCGAAGAGAGGACCTTGTCGCAAGCAGCGGCGAAGTGGTGGATCTCGTCCACCTTGTTGCGAAAGCCAAGCGTGACACTGGACCGGAACGAGGCCGGATCGGTGGCGCTAATCTGCCAAATCGCGTACAGATAGCTCGTGCAGGCGATGAATACGTTGTGRCCSGTCATCCAGGTGTAGTTCRTTTGACCTTCCTTGGACARYGTCGCATACATGTTGATGATGCTGCGGCTGCACTCTTCGACGCTTGCAAGATCCTTGCGAGACGCGTTTGGGAATCGTGGACTAAGCCCATACACCATCAGCAGCGTCTGCTGGTAGTTGAGCTCGAGGAAGATGGGATTGTAGCCGCAACCGTTCGCCTCGAGCTCAGCCTTGGAAGAAGGCGCATAGAGTCTCCATGCGTGCAGCCTCTGCAGGACGTCGTTCTTCCAGTGTCCGTAGCTACTGAAGCGGCGAGGCAGCTCTGCGTTCTGGTAGAGGATCGATTGGATCTCGGACTGCAGAATGCGCATGCGGAAGAACGACAAAGACACCCATCGGCTTGCGTCCTTTGGCTTGGGCAGCGACACGGGCGCGACTTGTCGATTCGAGTCGTGCTGCTCGCTTGTGCTGGATTGCAGCGCTGCCAGAGTAGAGGCAGCTTCTCGACGGGCGATCTCGATCGAAGAGTCTCCATCGTTCTCGGCCGAGCCTGCTTGTCGCACGTCCGAGTCTTGATGCTCGATCGCGACTTGGATCATGTCCCCAGCGCTGTCGACCCATGGCAGGTTGACCTTGATGTCTGAGTCAGCGATGCCAAAGGGCCGGCCGAGGTGGACACAGACCTGACGATCCAGTGCGTACGAGCACCAGAAAAGCCGGCGCTTCTTCTCCGCCAGCGTCTCACCCACAACTTGCGAGGCGCTCGCTGAAGCTTCGAGCACGCCTGGCGTTTCCGTATAAAGTCCGATGCCCGTGGTGAGCCGCAAAGCTACGCCGAGGCAGTACCACACGCCTGGCTTCATGGGCCGCATGATCGAGTAGAGAGCCGTGAGCAACAGGCACTGGAGCTGTTCGAGAGCATCTCGGCCCATGATGGCGCCGACGTTGCCCTCCTGGTTGGGCGTGGCCAAGCGTCTGGGGTCGAGGAAGCGCATGGCGGCTTCGTGATGATTTTCGGCACTCCAGCTGGAGCGCGTCCAGCCCATTGCAGCCGCGATGGCAAACACCAGGTGGAAGAGGTGGCCATCGGCTGGCTGCAGCTCTATCGCAAGCTTGTCATCGTCATCCTCCTGCGTGCCGCGTTCGTGGGCCGACAGCTTTGCTCTAGCGCGCTCGAGACCGAGCTTGCAAGCTTTCTCGAATCGCGTCATGAATGAAGATCGATCGAGGATGGGCAGTTGAGGATTGACGCGCTCGAAGTAGGCATCGATGAGCTTCCTGGCTATCGACAAGGGCGGGAAGGGAGCTGGAAGTGGCGACGGCTTGAGAGCTTGTTCAGGAGCAGGGACCGTGATATCAGCCGTTTCGGTGGCGGTGGCGTACTGCATCGGATCACCGTCGTCGAAGGGCGAGTTCTTCTTGGTGTCGGAAGGGGTGGCAGATCCGCTCTGCGGCGAGCCCAGTCTGGCTTCGGCCTTGGCGCCACCGTCTTGCGCCTCGCGCGATTCGCTGAGGAGCTTGGCTGGATCTTGGGATGAGAGAGTCGTTGCCCTTCGATTGAGCTCGTCTCCCAGGCGCTGCGTTCCGGACCTGCGGACCCGTGCGGCGGATCCAGGATCGCGAACATGGAGCCCTGCCTGTGCAGATTGCTGGATGGCCTGACACAGCAAACGCGCTGGCGAAAGACCACTGGCGTGCGAGTTGAGACGACCCATTGAGGGCCGTGCTCCGCTTGTCGTATGGCCGTCTGCATCGGACGGCAACACTTCCACGCCCGCGGGACCGAGCACGAGGCCGGGCAAGAATGGACGGGCCGGATCTGGCTTTCTGTCGCTTTCGGGGGAGGCTGCCAAGCGCTTGAGAGGGCGCGCGTCAGGAGAGGTAGACTTGTCGGATGCTACGAGTGGGAACTCGTCCTCGACGTGTTGCAGTGGGCGCTTCATGCCGAGTGCGCCAGGTTCGAGGGGTCCAGACGATGGGCGTTCGGCGAGAAGGCGCTCGAGCTCTGCATTCTGTGCGCGCAGTTGCGTGATCTGGTGCTCGAGATCAACGATGTAGCTGCGACTGACTTCGCGACCGGTGGCGGAGTCGATGCCTACGCAGGGCTCGCCAGCCTTGACACAGGATCCGCAAGCGGGAAAGGCCTGGTCGCACTTGATCTTCTTGGAGCGGCATCTCTTGCAGACGAGAACCGCGCGAGCCAGCGGCTTGACACCGTTCGCATCGGTAAGATCGGCTGCCGAGGGCGAAGTCTGCATCTTTTCCGCCTTTCGCTTAGATGGCTTTGATGATGGGACGCTTGCTGCCGCGGTGGCATCGGTGGTGGTCCGGGACGATTCGCCGTTGGCGTGGGAATCTGAGGCAGCCATGGCGTAATCGAAAGCGGTGCTCGGACCCGGGTAGGCGTGAGACGTCGATTTTAGGTGGTGGCACGTGCAAAGGGGTGGCGAAGGCGAGTGTGAGTGTGGCGCAGCCCCGCTATGATGTTGTGTCAAAGAAGGGGCGGGCGATTGATATTTGAGCGTCACGGTGCGAGCCTCATTCCGCAACGAGGCGTCGGAGACGAGCGGTGTACGAGCCAGACGGGATCAGCGAGTGGAGCAGCGTCGGTGCGGGCGAGAGCGAGGGTGAGGGCGGATGAGGATGAAGTGCGCGAATCGCAATGCAGGATGCGCGGTTGCAGCAAGAGGATGAAGCGATGTGCTGCGCCGGCTGGCACGGGACAAGCCACACTGGCGAGGCTTCGGCTGCCGACCTCGAAGTACAGATGAGCTCAGAAAAGCCGAAAGCTTGATGTTGGTGTTGAACGTTGTCGCCCCTCTTCCTCGCGCGACTTGACTACGAAGCCGGTGCAAAGCAAGGCGGATCCGGATGTTCGGCTGCAGTCCAACTGAGAACAGCGCGGTGTGTGACGAGCCTTGGCTGGGTCGACGACTCGTGACGAGAAGCAAGTAGGGTTGCGGTCGAACGCGACGCATTCGATGACGGCGACGTGCGATGCAGAAGGCTGATGAACACGGAAGTTGTTACGATAAGGTCACGACGTCTCATAACAACAAAGTTTCCGGGGATGTCGGCAGACCCTTGCATCCTTCGGCCCTCAGCTCAATCCACGGCTTTGATGCTCCTCCGAGTTGCCGCGCGCGATCTCGTTGCATGGTATTCAGAGACGATGTAACACTAATTTTGTCGGCGCACGATGCAACTTTCGACTGAGCACAAGCCAGCACCACACCGCCCATTCGCACCGCCACACGCAGGCAGCTCAATCCCGTTTCACGGATAACCGTATGCTCACTGGCTAAGTTGCATCGCGGTCTCGACCTTACCGTCCCACCATCTGCACTCTGGTTGAAGGTTCAGAGCAACTTGGGTCTTGCATAGTTCCAACCTGCCAACGTCGTCGAAACCGACAACCACTGCGCGTCTCCAGCACTCCCCCTCTCTCGACCTGCCGGAAGGACAGTTGTGGCGATCATGTCGGAACCTCTGCAGAAGGGCGAGATCGACCTCAAGTCGCTCGAGAATGCTCTGAGCGATGGCGAAGCGGCCTCCGAACTGCCCGCTGAGACTCTACAGAAGAACTCCGACACATTGGCTCAGCCCGCTGCCGATACTCGAGCCTCGTCGACTCCGTCTGCACCAACTCCTAATGCCCATAAAGCCTCTTCGCCCGCAACGCTCTCGCCGTCTTCAACCCGAGCCATGTCTCCCGTCCAAGCGCCAGCTCGGACCACGTCGGCCGACATGCCGCCGGCGGTAGCTGAGCTCAAGGCCATGTTCCCCGACCTCGACACCGACACGATCGCTGCCGTCCTATCCTCTCGCGGCGGCGACCAAGAGGCGGCTGTCAATGCTCTGCTCCAGATGTCCGATCCCAGCTTCAAGCCCTCGACCACCGAGACACGCACGGATTCCGATGCTCTGCTCGCACAGACGATCGCCATGGAGGAGGAGCAGAGGCACCACGAGCTGCTAGCACGCCAGCAGCAGCAGCGCATCAGCCAGACTGCGGGCCGGGGCGGCGGCGGTGCTGGATCGTTCTTCGGCGGCCTGCTTGGCTCCGACTCAAGAGAGGCATCCGCACCATCGACGCCGTCGTACGATCCCAACGCGTTGACCTACCAGCCGCGTGTCAGGAGGGCTGGAGGCCCAGCTCCCGCGAGAACGGCATATGCACCACCGAATCATCCTCCGGCCTCGACTCCCTCGTATACGGATGGCGAGAGCGTGATTCCAGGAATGCCTGGTGCCAAGGAAGCCAAGCAGTGGCAGGAAGAGATCAATCGGATGGCAGAGACTGGCCTGGCTCGTGCAGCCTCGACCTTTTCGTCGTTGCGCGAGAAGGCTAGTGCGGCCTTCAACAATCCGCAGGACGGTAGCGCGCAAGGCAGCCAGGCAGGAGCAGCGCCTGGTGGTAGCGGCGGCACCGGAGCGGGTCTCGCTCAAGCTTTCCAGAACCTTAGGGCAGGTGCAGGCAGAGGAGGCGGAGGCGCGTCGCAAGAGAATGCCACATCGACACCCCCTGCACCCGCGCGTGCGGGCTTCACCTCGCCACGCTCGCCTCACGCCAGCGAATACGACCAGGATCCATCGCCAGTTTCGGACAACGAGCTGGCCAAGATCATCTCCCGAGGCGGAGGTGCAGGCGCTGCAGGCGGGGCCAGCGACAAATCAGCAGCCGGCAAGGCACGGGCCCTTGCCGAACGCTACGGACTGGGCATCAAAGGTGCCGGTCGAGGCGGAGCTTCCACCACACAGGCCGCAGGCACAGGCGCTTCGTCCTCTGAGGCTGAGTTCGCAGGCTGGGACCAGGCAGGCCGCACACCCATCTCGATCAAGGATAACACTGTCAGCGCAACATCGGCCGAGCCGAAGAGCAAGGACTCGGTCGCGCTCATGGACTCGGCGCAAGGTCGTGGTCTCACGACCCCGCGTCCCGCCGACGCGTCCGTTCCCGCAGCAGCCACTGGTGCCGCAGTGGGTGCAGTAGCCGCCACCGCAGCAGGTGCCACCACCCTGAGCAGCGCACGCACCCACGACGACCACGATGACGCAAATGACTCGGACGACCTCGAATACGTCAGCAACCCCTTCGAGGACGAAGACTAGCTTCCCACCACATTTCGAACTGCAATGCAAAGTCTCAAGCACACATGACGTGGATGATGCAGCATTGCATTCGCGTGCCGAAAAAGAGTGGACTGAATAGCTAGAGGTGACCAGAGAACGATGACGAAACAGCAAAAGGACTGAGGTGACTGCGGTGACAATAAAGATGCAAAAGATACGAGACAGTAGGGGAGTGGAAGGTGGCCGGAAGAGCGCCGAAACAGAGCAAAAGGGTGTGGGTGAGAGATGGATGTGCGTGGGGGTATCGAAGGAGGTGGGTGGGCGGAGTGAAGTTCAGATGAGGCGGCCGTGTGGATCCGTGCGCCAAACCTTGAGGCCAGCCGAGTCGTCGGTGGACACGATGATCCGCGACTGCGATGCCGGCGCGCCGCCCACACTGTAAGTGAGCGGATCTTGGGCGCGGGCGAGCAGCTCAGAGGTAGCTGCGGGTGCAAACACGGCGCAGCGGATGCTCCCCGAAGTTGCCGCACTCCACGAGCGCCACGTCGAGTTGTCGCCCGCATCGGGTGCGCCTTTGACCGCCTTGATCGACTTGTTCCGCTTCATGCCCAGAAGCGATGCCGGCAGCAGCGAGGCGAGCAGGGTGGCATTGGTAGCCAGGCTCCACACATGAATTGAAGCGTCCTCGCTACCAGAGACGAGGAACTGCGAGTCAGATGATGCTGTGGCACGAATCTGGCTGCTGCGGTTCAGGTAGCTCGTCGACTTGAAGCGCGAGATGAGCCGGCGCGCGCCGATCGAGTAGATGCGCACGCGCGAGTCGTTTGACGTGACCGTCATAAACTCGCCCTTGGACGCCGGATTTGTCGCCTTGCTGTCCTGAGCGCCGTCGGCTCCGTTCCCACTCATGGAGTCGGACAACTTGATCGGCTGGATGCTGGTGATCTTGCTTGCCTGCGTGTTCTTGCTGGCAGCCAGCGACTTGACCGAGACCGTGTTGAGCAGGCTGAGCGTGTCCGAGCACGCAAATGTAAGCAATGATCCGGCGTGCGTGCCGACACATACCGCCTCACCACTCGACGAGAAAGCGACGGCAGTGATGACGCCGGGCACGTCGTGGATCGCCTGCACACGACGTGCGCCGATGTTCCACAGCCGCAACTTGCCGTCCAGTCCTCCGGTGGCAAAGAAGCGGTCATCGCGCGGATGGAAGTCGACCGACGAGACAATGGCCGCCGTGGAAAAGGTGCACAGGCACTCGGCTCGGTTCGGATGCCAAAGCTTGGCGGTCTTGTCGCTGCTGCAGCTCAGCAGGAAGTTGTTCTTGCTCCAGGACAGGTCCATCACATCGCCGGCATGGCCGGCAAAGACGCGCACGGGTGTCGACTTGAAGACGGGAGCAAACTCTGGGGTTGCAGCGCTGGCGTCGCTCTTTGGCTGGGCTCGACTTGACGGGTTACCATTCTGCGAGCATGCGGACGAAAGCTTCCTGTGACAGATGTCTTCCTGGCGCGATAGCTGCGCGAGCTCAATCTCTTCGGAACGCTCGGCCGGCGAGCTGAGCACCTCGTAGACACGGATACGTTGGTCAGAGCCCGCCGCGGCCAGATACCGGCCGTCCAGAGAGAATTGAAGCGCATAAAACTTTCGCGTCGGAGCCTTGACCTTCTTCGTTTTAGCCTCCTCGGGCACTTCGAGGTCGCCAAAGGCGCTGACAGCGGACGGCGTGGGAGACTTGGGCATCTGGCCGTCAGCTACGTCGATGGAATCTGTGTTGGCGGATGAGGCTGTAGTGCCAGACGAGGCGGAGGTAATGTAGCTGCTGGTGCTGAGCTGACGAGCGACCTTGCGGCCATGCGGATAATATTCGTCTTGGTCTTGCTGATCGCTGATCTGCGCCTGCATCGGAGCCGCCTGGGAGGCACTGCGACGGGGGTGAGGAGCCAGCATTTCTGAAGACAGACGGACGGCAGCAGCTCGCGGCGAGGTGGAACGACGAGGTGCCCAGCTCCGTCGCCTGGGCGTGCTGTCCTGGCCCGGCTTAGCGATGAACTCGTTTTGGGCACACGATGGGCTCAGAGACTCGGAACCACGGCCGTTGGCCATGCCTCCGAGCAGGCTAGGTGCAACCGCTGAATAAAGACCCTGAGCGAGGAATACCTTGTCGAAGTCGAGCTCTTTGCTACTTTTAGACTTGGAGCGGAGCTTTGTCTTGACCGCCTTGGGGATGGGGAGGCTGCTGTAGGAGCATTCAAGGTCGGGCTCGGATGCACGAGCCGAAAGCACCGATCGGATGCTCTCCTGGCTGCGTGTTTTCTTGACGTTGGGTCGCGAGCTGCTGCTGCATGATGCGGAGGAGATGCTGCTGAAGGTGGCGGAGCGATTGGGTTGAGGAGGCCCGTGAAGGAGCTCTGACCAAGCGGCGAACTGCGAGGGTGGTGTAAGGATGGAAGCATCGTGGGGTTGCGCCTGATCCATGGAGGTGGAAGAAGGAGTGCTGTTGGCGGAGTCCTTGGATGCGCTGGAGGCGGACCCTGCGAAGAGGCCGCCACGAAGACGCCAGACCGAGCCGGATTTTGGCGTGGACATGGATGGTGGCTCGGCCGGCGCGTGAGCTGTGAGAGCCGGCATGGATGAGGCTGATGAAGTGGGTGCGTTTGATGGTAAGCTGAGCTCCGGAGTATCAGCGGCTCGATCCTCTAGCAATGACTCGGTGTTCCAAGTATGTGCCAAGGAGGCTCGCTCTTGGATGTGGTGCTTGTCGAGATCAATGTCGGCATGAGACGACTGCTGGGAGCCGCCCTTGTGATGGTCGACGAGCAGGCTGTCTGGAGTCCTGCGGCCCCACAGCGAAAAGCGGGGCAAGCGGAAGCCTCTATTGCTGACGGCGGTGTGGCTGGATCGAGGCGTGGAAGGATCTTGGCGTACGTCGGAGGAGGCGTAAGAGGAGGTGGACGAGGACGAATACGACGGCGAGATGGTGGGCCTAGGCGGAGAGGAGGCGGTGGGACTGTCGAGGGCGGTAGCAACGGTGGGGAAGAGGATCTGTGGTGGAGCCGGCTCGTCGTTGTGTGCTAGAGGTAAGTGGTTATATTGAAGGCCACGCGGCGAAGGAGAGGAGGCGACTGCCGCGGAGGCGTGAGCCACGAACGTCGTCATGATGGTGGGCAGGTTCAGTCGTGGCTGGCAGCCTTGTCCGCTGGCATGCTGAAGATTCCGACCGGCGGATGCAAACCTCCGTGTGCTGTAACGGGTGGATGTAGGACAGAAAGGAAGGCGAGGCTCTTTGGCAGAAGGCCAAACAAACCGGGGCCGTTGGTGAAGAGGTCCGAGCTACGCTGATGCGCCGGCTTGGGAGAGGCGGTGAAGGGCCGTGTGAGATGCTCGCAGCCAACTTGGCAGAGGAAGCGAAGGCGAAGGATGCAGAGGGCAGGACTGCAGTCACAGGCGATGACACGAGGCAGAGAAGCACGATCAGCACTGCATGTGTTGGCGGCGCAGCGTTCCAACGCCCACGGAGATGAGGTCCGGACAAAGCGAATCCACCTCTAGAGCCGAGGGAGGGAGGGCGGGCAAGCAAGACACGCAAAAAAAGAGGGCGGACATGGGCTGACTCACATGTGGTCGCTGGATGTGAATGTGTGACAGCGGCCTAGAGGCTGTACATGCGTGACAAGCTTCCTTGCACACCGGGCACACGGCTCGCGCCACGGGCCATGTTGTCTTGGACGAGCGACGAGCGGTCGGCAGTTGACCACCGCATCATGCAGGGCGCGGTACCAGCCGAGCTAGGCACCGCGTCTCGCTCGGAAGGGGCTGTGATGGGCTGGGCTGGGTTTGGCTTGGCTTGTCAGGGCGCATTACAGTCCAGACGCTCGGCTGTTGCTTAGCGCAGCGGCAAGCTCGCCCCGGGTGCGGGTGCGGGTGCGGGTGCTTCAGCCCGTCCCGGAGCCTGGGAGCCACACAAGCCCCTCCGCCGTGGAAAAAAATAAAAATAAAAATAAAAACAAAAACAAAAAGAGCTCCGTGTCGGAAAGTAGCCGCCCAACCCAGCTGAGAGAGAGGGTCTCAGCTGATTTGCATGCTCGTGCCACAGTCGTCAGATTTGCTACCGCTCGGAAAGGAAAGATTTGAGGTGCGCAAAGCATCGCGCTGGTTTGGCTTTAGCTCTTGCTCCGGTAACTTATGAGGAAACATCTGCTCCGGAACGGTTGCGCCAGCTGCTGCTGCTGCATACTGTATCGCCGCCGGAGAAAAGCATCCGGTTCATGTGCACCCGCTTCTGCACCCACCAGCCAACCAGCAACCAGCGTCACGGTGTTGGTGAGTCCCAGGACATCGGACTCGCCACGGGATGTGCAGCCTTCAACGCTGAGTCAGTGCTTGGTCGGATTGCTGGGCCCTTGCATCGCAACAACTCCGGATGGCAAGGCCCAAGAGGAGCTTCGAGCAGGAGCCGCGGAAGGCCCGAGTGCACAGCCGGAACGCGATTCCCGTGGAGTTGGCCACTTTTTTTCTTTCTTTTTTGGCGGCGGTATTTTCTGGAGCGGGCAGCCAATACACGCTTTCTCCGCGGCTGACATCCTACCAAAAAATGCCTCGGCGCCGCGACCCCACCGTCTCCGCTCACTGCCTGCCAGTCTCGGTAGCACAATCACCATCGAGCTCAGCGTGGCAGCCCATGCGGATGGCCGTACCTGCGGGCTGTTGGATCGGCTCGTGCAGCATGAACGGCAGCTACAGCCATGTGAACTTGCTCGTTCGTGCGTGGCTTTAGAGTTGACACGCCTGGCATGCCGAGTCGACGCCATGAGAGCTGGTGTCCTTGACTCGAAGTTCGCCGCCTCTAGCTCAGTCTGAGCAACCTTGACTGGCTTCTGGGCACGCCGACGACCGAAGTCATGTACGGCCGTGACTTTGACTTCTCACGCTCGCTGAGTCCGAGGAGATGCCGCTGCTGCTGCTGCAGCTGCGCTTCTTGCTCCTTGATCCCACCGAACCGATTTTCGTTTGCTCCGGCCGGACCTTTTTCTCCGCATGCACTGGCAAATGAGGTCCGTTGAGTGCAGTGAATTTAGCGTGCAGAGAGGTCTCGCAAATTCTTCAACCTTTGCTCATGGCCCTACACATGCCATTCCTGTCCCTGACTCGGGAAGACAGGCGCGAGCGGCCACCGTGCCGCTGTCCCAAGTGGTTCCCACAACTTGTTGCACACCGACCACAATTTGTTTGCAGCATGTGGTCAGGATGGACTCACTTTCATGCGGCGCTGGACCCTGTCAAAGCGCGCTGCGACAGAGTTTGCAGAGTCGCGCGTTGCTCGACGCGATAGGCTCTCTCGGTAGATCTAATGCATACAGCTGCAGGTTCGAAACGACTCGAACCGCTTCACACCTCAGACACCCAACTCGCCTCCGACTTCGCCGTAGTCAGACAATCCACCTTCATATTCGACCGCTGCGCCCAATCAATATGCAGGGGAAAAAAGTGGCGACAAGGAAGGTGGCGAGAAGAGGGGTGAGAAAGTGGTGGCGACCTCTCGCGCCAGCCTCACGATCGCATCGCGGGCTCGGGATCGACGGGAAGCGGGCAAGGCGAACCGATCGCACTGTTCAGGACCACGCTTTCATGCAGAATCGTCGGTGCGGATGGGCAGCCTTGCCCGATTCAATCCGGAGATCATCCCGATCTCATCGGGGGCAAGGTCCAGAGCCACGGCAAACGCCTTCAACATGGACTTGACATACGCGCCAGAATGAGGGACGATGGACTTGGCAGACGTCCAAAGATCCGAGCTCACTCTATAGTGGCAGCATTGAGCGCCGAGTTGGATACCGCTTCTTTGCCATGACGTCTTTCGGCGTGTAAGCGTGGCAGGCCTGAGTGGCTGCACAGCACGTCGTTAAATATCGACGCGACCGGCTGCATGAGCAAAAGCACAAAGGGCCGCGACGGTCCCTTTGTTCGATTCACCAACTCCCTTTGCACAACTTCATCCAAGGCTGAGCGCGACGATGGCTATCATCGAATTGACAAAGGGACTCTCGCCCTTTGTTCCTGAACTGGAGCTTAAGGCCTGAATAACGCTTGGATGGAGGAAGGCATATAAGTACGCTTGCTGAGCCAGGCACACGAGAATCACAATGCTCGTCTCCACCTATTCATCAACCACAAGCAACTCACGGCGCCAAACACATAGCGAGTAGCAGTCTTTGACAGACACGTCCTTGTACGAGATAGGGAACCATACTCAGGCCGCCACACCAGCTGGTCTGCATCATCAGACTGCCAAGATGACCAAGCCGAAGCTGCCCATCGTCCTCTTCATCGGTCTCAATGCGCTTCGACTCCTTTCACTCGTTGTGATCATCCTCGTCTTCACCACGCTCATCATGGGTCTCGTGGAGGACATTCGCGACTACCACGATCCGGCGAACATGGACGAGGCACAAGCAGACGATTGCGCATATGTTCCGGGCACCTCTATCCCCATGCAGACTTGGGGCATCTTTTGGGTCGAAGTGCATCGCTCGCTCCTGCTCATCGGCACTGTGGCGCTCCTCCTGGCCGAGCTGAGCTGGCTCAGCATTTCAAAGCTCGAGCGAGCCGCACAGCTGTGGTTCCCCGTACTCAGCCGCGAGCGCGGACTCGCTGCACTCGGAAGTGTGCAGATCGTGGTGGCCACTTCGCTGCTCAGCCACTACCTCGACGAGTTCCCTCTGGTGGTGAGCTGGATGCTTTTCGTCATTGGCATGTGCTATCTCTGCCTCGGCATCGCGTTTCACTCGAGCTCGCTCAAAGACGCCCGAAGCTGCTTCTCACAAAGGCGTAGCGAGTTCGGCAAGGAGTCAGGGCACAGCTTCGCCTCTCGATCTGCGCTTAAAGAGTTGAAGGTCGGAGGCGTCACGCACACCGGTTCAGAGGCTTCGATGACCTTTCGAAATCTCTTCAGCCGGAAAGGAGGACAGGGAAAGAGACGGGTGGCGCCAGTGTCGATCCACGAATCGTTCCCATCGCTGGAAGCCAAGTCGCATCGCGATGTGCTGACGGACCGAGCACGTCGTGCGGAGCATCGGCGCAAGACTTCGAGTGTCGCCGTGGACATGTCGACGCTTCAGGCAGACAACTCCTCGATCACTCGCGACTTTGTGTGGGACGTTGGCACAGGAATCGTGCACGAGCGCAGTCGAGAACATGGACATAGCAGGTCGCAGTCCCAGACTACCAGTGACACGAGACGAGACAGCCGATTTAGCGAACAGTCGTTCAGTGCAGCCAGCATTGCCAGCAGCACGCAGGTTCGCATCGGTGGTTATACCTCGCGAGAAGCGGCGCGGGCCCGCGAGCGAGCCAAGCAGAGGCGCGCGGGCAACCTCGCTGGTTCAAGCGATGAGCGAGCTCATCCCCCTCCAGCCAGGAGCACGGGTCAGAGCTCCAAGACGGCCATCAAGCTCAAAAGCGCAAAACGCCGGAGCTTGGCATTCGTCAATGGCGCTCGTCATCGACTGAGTGCAGGGACGGCATCGGCACTTGCGGCTCGACGACGCGCTTCATCGCAAATGCGTCGAAGTATTCCCAACGCAGATTCTGACATCGTGATCGAGTATATTGATGATGCCAACACCGCGCCTCCAGTCCCTCCGCTTCCTGCGTACCACCAGGTCTCGGGAGTCACCGAGCCCGTCGCGCTTCCTGTAGCCTCTCGCTTTGCACGCACCCATGTTGTCTAAGCAATGAAGGAGCGATGGCAGAATGTAACGTATCACACTGTATTCCCAAATCTAGCGAGGCTTGAAGCGATCTTGACCAAAGATGTTCGTAAAAACAAGGGGTCGTCCGTATGAGGCAAAAAAAAAAACGAATTGGTGACAAGAGTGGGATTCGAACCCACGCCCGAAGACAACGGTTTGAAATCTCAGAGAATCCTGAACGTTGCGCCTTAACCACTCGGCCATCTTGCCAACATAACATCCGAGGTACTACATTGTCAATATAGATGATTAAAGCAAGATTCCTCGAGCTGCAAGCCTAAACGGAAACAGCAAGGCATTGGTCACCAGCCGAAAAGGTCGAATGGCGAGCTTTCCAGTGCGTTCCAGTGCCGGTCTTCGTGGCGAGGCAATTCGTTGTATGGCTGCGATGGGGGGCGAACGCAGCTGCCAGCGCGAAGGCAAAGGGCCTTGGCTGAAATGCAGCTGTGAGCAACGGAAGCAACCGAGGCAACCGAGGCGGCAGATCAGCCAGTGGAGCCTGGCACTGGACGCGCTAACGAAGCGATCTGCAGAAACGTGCATGAACGGCTGCCAACGAGTCGGCTCAAAGGAAGGGGGAAAGGCGCCGGAGCAGCGCACATTTTGATGCCCCGCAGCTCGACACTCGACGCGCTCGCGTCCAGCCGTCGAGCTGCGTGCCCAGCTTCTCGACACTGAAACCGCAAACCCTGATACGAGGCTATTTCACCCGCGCGAAGAGAGCTTCCGAAGCTCGGTGGCTCCGACAGGCGTGTCACAACACACACGCACACGACTTGGCCGAGCCCGAGTGTCGAGCCTCGTTTGCTGATCCGAAGATGTCGCATGCTCGAGCTTGGACCTGCGCTGAGCAGCGCTAGGCGAGTTGCAGGTGCAAAGAACCGTGCAGCGAGTGGCTCGGCTAACTTGGCGTGCGCAGGTCCCTGCCAGCCGTGAGCACTTTGACGATCTTTTAGACGCTTGGCATGCAGCTCCAGGACGCGCCAACCACGCCACCGCCGCGTTGCCAACCCTGCAGCTGCCGAGGCAGACAAGCGTCAGTACTGTAGCATCCCTCGCTGCCCTCTCTTCCGAGCGCCTAGCCGAAAGAGATTTTTACAGGCCGGCCAGCCGGTTCCCCCTTTCCCATCCAGACAGCCGCCGCAAAGCCCGCCGAGCTCAACCTGCCGTCCGTGGGTCGGCACTTGACGTCTTCTCCTTCCTCTTTACCATCACCCGCTCCGTCACCTATCTCATTCCACTCCACGGCGCAGAAGATGCGCCTCTTTGTCCTGGCGACATCACCTATCTCTCATTGAATCACATCACCATCCACCACCCCATCCAGATTCCAGTCCCGGACCCGCTCCGAGTTTCAGCCTATACCCTACGCAACTGCGACCCAGCTCCTCATTGGAAAACGTTCATTCTTCACTCTACGAACCCCTGATACCCTTCTCTGCCCGGCTACCTCTTCGACTTCTGCCTGGGCGCTTCAGGAACACGCCTCGACACTACTCTCCCTTCGTCGCATCCAGGATCTTCAGTTCGACATACCTCGACCTCGATTCACCATGGTTGGCTTCTTGCGTTCGTCAGCCGCACTGGCCGTTATGCTCCTCACTCTTGCAACATCTGACGCGCTGGCCGCACCGTTGCGAGTGTCACTCTCCAACAACCCCACAACATGTCAGCCGATGACCGTCACCTGGGACGCCTCGGCAGGAACGGCGCCGTGGACAGTTACCGTTGCCCCTCTCGGACACGTGCCAGTCTCTGTGTCAATACCCGCCAACTACATGTCCGGCAACTCTTGGCACTGGAAGTGGGACGTTCCCGGCTACACCGCCGCCGTTTCTCAGGTCATTGTCGCTGTGTCGGACAGCACAGGTCGCGTCAGCGGTACCTCTGCCCTCTCGACGCTTTCAAAAGCAGGCTCCTGCTCTGCGCCTGCCGAACATCTCGACTTTATCTGGTATCCTCCATCTTCCAGTCCAAAGCAGTGCGATGACTGGCGCATCACGGTTCAAGAAGACCGCGGCAATCTCGGCCTCAAGATGCCTGTCGAGCTGCTCATCCTGCCCGAGAACGACGTTCCCACCCTGCTGCGCATCAACGATCAGAGACATAGCAGCGTCGACTGGACCGTCAACTACCCTCGCGGCACCAACTTTGCCATCGCCTCATTCGACGCCGGCACCTCGGGCACTGGCGGCGTAGGCGGCTCAGCATACACAGTTGGTCGCGGCAGAGCCGCGTCATGCATCGGCTCGGCCCAAAAAGAGGCCGTCGCAGGCCTCCCGGCAGCCTCGAGCACCGCCTCGCCAGTGTCTCCCACCTCGTCCACCGCCTCGCGCATGGCCACCTCGCGCGTGGCGGCTAGCGCGACGGCCACGAATGCCAAGGCAGCTCCAACACCTACGGCTGCTGCAAAGACAGATGCGGCTGCTGCCAAGTCGAGCAGCTCAAGCGGCGTCATCGGCGGCGCTGTGGGCGGCGTTCTTGGTGCTTTCGCCATCGTCGGCCTGGTGATCTTCTTCTACCGAAGACAGCGGAACAGCAAAGGCCCAGACGAGTACGGCGTCTACGCCAACAACGAGAAGCGATCATTCTTCGGTGGCTTTGGATCCGGCCGCTCGGCCGACCGCTACGGATATAGCAGTCGTGGTGCGGATGGCGCGCGGATCGGCGCGTCCACGGACCAGCAGGGTGGCATTTCTCCGTTCGTCACCGGCCGTGCTTCGCCCTGGCGCTGGTCAGCGCGGCCTGTTGGTCTTGCCGACAACCAAGACATGGCACAGGTAGATGGCGACCGGAGGGCCATCCTGGCGCGCATCAACGATGGAGCGAGCTCGGTTGGGCATTCGAGTTCTGTGAGTCTGCACCGCGGCAGCGACTCAATCGGCGGCTCGGGCGGCATCACAGGACTCAAGGGCGCTCCCAGTGTGCATTCGGTTGTGCCGGACGATGCGCTCTTCCCGCCGCCGATGCCGATCAACCGCGCCATGATGCCAGGCCAGGCCGCATTCAACGGGTATCCTCCAGCCTCAATGGGACCCGGCGTCGGCGTCGGCGTAGGCGTCGGTGCAGGTGTGGGAGCGGGGATGGGCGCTATCGGGATGAAGCAGGCGTGGAATCGGGATCGCTCCGACTCTGGCAGTTCGCAGCGTGATCCCTTCCGCAACCCGCCATTGGGCCCGACCACGCCCCCCAAGGAGCTTGTTGCACCTGCAGAATACTCGCAGCAGCATGTGCAGGATGCCGGCTGGTCGCGCCAGCATCCTGCGTCGCGCGATTCCATGGCTGCCATCGCCGGACTCCCGCTCTCGCCCTCGTCGACGTACACCGCTGGCGGACCGACGCGATCGCGCGACCTCACTGGCATGGCTCCTGCAAGTTCGTTCGCGCCTCCTGAGCGCATCCCGGAACAAGACCTGTCGACCATGCGCATTCCACCACCCGCACCCATCTCGACGTCGCTCTTCGATCCCTACGCCCACGCCTCGCGGCTCTACTCGCAGGACGACGTCGCGCACATCTCGGCCGCGCTCGCCCGCGACAACGCCGCCACCCCGAACTCGCTCAACTCGAACGCCAGCGCGCCCAGATACGTCGACCCAAAGGAGTCGGCCGCGCGCTTCAGAACGCTCGACGCCCAGCTCCTCGACGAACGCAAAAAGGTCGTCTCCAACATCTACGACGACGACCAGGACTCTGACGACGAGGGCGGCCTCCCGTACATGTCGTGACATCGTTCGCTGATCATTGGTATGCTGAATTCACTTCAATGCCTGCATGCTGTAATGGTGCCTATGGTTTTACAGTGCGAATCGGACCGCTGTGTGCAAGTGATGATCCATGCCAAGGTGTTGTTGTTGTCTTGTGCGAGCCAGGCGCGCCTAATTGGCAATGGCTACATGGTAGTCCGAGAGGCCGATGAGAGAGCCTGTGTGCGGGATGACGTTGGCGTCCGCATCAGCGATGACGACCAGGCGTTTCTGCATGGCTTGCTGGAGGTAGTCGGTGAATCCGGTCGATCCGAGCGACTGGTAAAAGGCGCCGAGGCCCGTGGAAGCTGGGATGCGCTTTCCGAGTTCGCTCGAGAGCTTGGTCTTGGAGACGCCGGATGATGACGAGGGGGCGAGCGCGGCGAGGCTATCGAGGAGCGGGCGGAAGCGCGTGGCGTCGTCAGCGGGGACGGGTCCGGAAGCAGTGGCGCCCTCGGATGATGTGGAGCGCTGCAGCGACGCCAGCACCTGGCTGGTCTCCTTGCGGATGGCGTCGAGCTCGTGTGCAGGCCGCGGCTCGTCGCTGTCGCTCGTGCCCGCCGTCTTGTCTTTATTCTTGCCGACTGCAAACAGCTTGACCTTGATGCGATCGCGTGAGTCGTCTTCGTCGGTCTCGTCGGTCTCGCCATCCGTGACCTGCGTCTGGGAACCAGGCTTGACCAACCGCGGGTGCAGCCGCACGTGTCGCACGCCCGGCTTGAAACCAGACTCGGTGGTGACGATCTTGGCAGCCACCGCGGCCTCGAGGTAGTCCTGGAACTCTTCCGCCGTCTTGGCACGCAGACCAGGCACCACCACAGAGGTGCGCTGCGTGCCGACGATCGAATGGCAGAAGTAGTCGGTCGAGTAGTTGCGCCCCTCAGTCATCTGCTCGTGCAGCAGATTAGCCAGAGGCGCAAAGATGAGCGGGATCTCGTGTCCGTTCATGATGGCCTTGCGTTTCGGGCGGCCGGCGCCCTTGAGCGGAGAGTCCGCTTTGGACGTCGACTTGGATGGTGCAAGGTTCATGATACTGCGTTTCACCGCCGACATCTTTTTGTCGACGGAGGGACTGGGTGTGACAGCGGTGTCCGGAATGCGGGCGGCACCCGGCATGATCTGGCCCGTTTGCACACTGAAATATCTGGGGTTGAGCTCGACGACGAGCACGCCCTCCTGGTCCGACGTGGCAGGACGAGCGACGCCTGCCTTTTCGGCTGCAGCAATGTACTCTCTCCAGCCCGGAACACCGGCCAGAGAGTAGGCGTCTACGATTCCCTGGCGCGCCATGGAGGAGAGCTGCATACCGACGAACGAGCACAGCGGCTTCGAGTTGCCCTGCGCCTTCTGCTCCTTGCAGATCTCGATCAGCGGCAGAAATGGCTTGGCCCTGGGAGGGATATCGGAAGTAGAGCTAGAGGGTGTCGAGTACAGGGTTGGTCTCTGCCGACTTGGCGTTGCACCAGCCGACCCCGAAGAAGTGCTTTGCATCATGGGGAGCGAAGTCGCAGCGGCACGAGCCGTGTCCTGTAGAGCCACCCATTCGTAGCCAGCCTGGCCGGAGGAGCCGAGTGTCACGATGCCGGCGGCTTCTGCGACCGCCGCGTATTCGCCCCACTTTGCCGCGCCGGCTCGCACAAAGATGCCGCGGTCCATGCTGACCAAGCGCGTCGCAACCATGGAGCGCAGGGGTTTCGGATTGCCCTCCTTCTTCATCTGCTCCAACAGTCGGATGAGAGGGTCGAAAAGCTGTAATGTGCGGTTGGACGGGCGTCGATCTTGGTGCTTCAAGGCACCGGGCGGTTTGCCGTGTGACAATGAACCATTGGCGTGCGTCTGAGAGCTGGAATTTGCACCAGTGCCGCTGTTTGCTTGCTTGGAGGGCGTGTGAGGACCATTGTTGGTGTAATTGATGTAGGGTTTGCCATCCTTGTTYGTTTGTACGCCAAGAACATCCTGACGCCAGGACATGACGATGTTGGCGGAAGCTTCCAAGATCGGAACGGCACCGATGGGTGGGGTGACGAGAACGACGTTGTATCCACGGTTGCGGAGGACGCCAAGCGGGTACGCAAAGTCACGGTCTCCCGAAATGAGGACGACCGTAGCGGGGGCGGGTTGGTCGATGGCGTAGGCGAGCAGATCGGTGATCATCATCTTGTCCGCGACATCCTTCCTGCCGCTCTTTGGCGTGTCGATGAGACTGACGCCGCAGCCCTGTAACTCGCTTCGGAGCTGGACCTGTGCAGCGTTGGGAGCCTGTGTTTCTGACGATAGCTCGAGGTAGGCTTTGAAGCTGACGATGGGGCCGATCTCGAGGTTCTGCATGGCGGTACGGACAGCAAGGGCGACGGATCGACCCGACGAACCAGTGGGCGGAGCGCAGTTGTCGACGTCCCAGAAGATGGCGAGCGGCTCTACATCGTCTTTGAAGCGGTCGCGCCTTGACTTGCCGGAGCTAGTCGAGGCCGGTGGTGGGGAGGACTCGCGCTGTCTTGAATCTGCATCTTGCGGAGGCTTGTCCTGAGTAGGAGACCGAGAGAAAAGCTGGGTGGCGACGAGGACGGAGCCTGTGCCGAGACCTACGAGCGCTAGCCAGCGTACCGCCGGATGCTGGACGTACTGAGCAAGGGTGCCCAGCGAAGCCGATGCGGCTGCGTCTTGACGACTGGCCGCCATGGATCGCCCGGAAAGCCTCGTGAGCTAGAGGATCTGATTGATCCGGAGAGATGAGGTAACGTCCACGATTAGCATGCAGAGGACGGCGTCAAGCAGTACAGAAGCTGAGACCAGGAAAGGCTGAGAGCCTGATGAGGAAGGGTCGAAGCCGGGACGTCTGCAGTCGTTGAGAAGAAAGGGCATTTATGGAGCTGAGTCTGGTGGCTTGATTGGCCTTCCGACACGCGGAGGCTGACCTGACCTGACCGGACCTGAGCTGCGCAAAGCACAGGGCCATCCAACAGCAGGAATGCATCGCGCGAATAAGCTTCGAGCCATTGCGCCTCCACATTTTCCCTCCGGCGCCGTGGCCCACGCCCTTTTCTTTTGAATGTTTGATTTGGGGCCATTCGAGCGGCATGCCGAACAGCACGCTCGGAAGGGCACTTCGGCGAGGTCGGGTGAGCCGACACGCTTCCATCACGAGCTTGGCTGGGCAAGAGCAGTGCAGTGCAAAAGCAAGGCCTGAGTAGAGAGAAGCGCGGTGACTGAGCTTGGTGTTGGATTGAGTGCGGATTGCGCCGTCGCTGCTGAATTACAGTACGCTCGGCTTCGGAAGAAAGCCGAAAATGCCAACACGAAGAAGACCTTCCTCGCATTGCAGCCGCCCTCGTTTCTTGCGACGATGTCATCGAGGCTCGCCACCATGAACCAGCTATATCATTATCCGCAGACGAACGAGGAGCTGATTCGGCACTACAAGCTCGAGCCGCATCCCGAAAGCGGTTACTATGCTGTCACCTGGGTTCCAACCCAGATGATCCGCTCGCCTTTCGCGAACAACGAGGAACGCAGCATTGGGACGTGCATCTACTACTTGCTCTGCCACAAGACTGCTGGCTGTCCCGACAAGCCAACGATCGCACTTACAGCTAGTACAGCCGGTAGCGAGATCGATCCGTTCAAGTCGTGGTCGAGCGATGTGGGCGTGTTGCATCTCAACAAGTCGTCCACGATGCACCTCCACCATGCCGGTCGCACCAAGTACACCTTGATTTCGGCAAAAGCACCCCTGGGCGAAGGGCTTGTGGATGAGAACGGCGATCCGCTCACGAAGACCGTGATCATGGGCGATGACATCGCCAATGGCGAGGTGCGACAACTTCTCGTCGAAGGCGGCTGGTGGAAGGTCAGCGAGATCCCAGAAGCCGACCGTGCTGCAGCGCACGATGGCACAGCCGATCCCACAAGAGTGGGTGCCCTCATCTCCGAGGTCGTCACGCCAGGCTTCCACTGGGACGAACATACCTATCTGAACCACGCCAAGCTGCGCGAGCTCGTTGCCGACAGCCCGCGTGCCGAAGAGCTGTTCGCCAAGTACAAGCCGTACGTCAAGGAGCTATGAGATGTACACTCTCACCTGCAACACACACCCGGATCAGACGCAATGACATGGGCATGAGTGATGATAGGATACAATACATATGATCGACGATTGTGCCAAGGCTATGTTGGGCGAGACCGATCGAAACGCATGCAAGCATGCTTACTTTTCGGATTTGTAGCTGCGCACGGGGAAGAGTCTATCGAAGTTGCGACGGTCGAGGAACCACGGATCCTTGGGATGGAGTTGCTGTCGCGCAGTGAGTTCCGCATCGCTGAGAGCATGGCCTCCAGCAACCTTGGACCAGTCGGTATCGCCTCGAAGGCCGAGCCGGAAGCGCGACCAGTACTGCCTGTACAGGTTTTTCGCCTTGGTATCGAACATCGGTGTCGGGGACGCCTCGAGCTGGTATCCGAACGACGCATCCTCGCCGAGCAAGATGGACGAGGGCACCTTTTGTCGCTTACCCGAAGTCGCAGAGACGACGCGGATGCCCTTGCCTTGAGCGTACTGTTCAATCTCCACCGCCGAGGTCCTGTCTCGGCGATAGAGGGCACTGAGGGTGTGAAGCCGTTCGCAAGGATCCTTGGGGTTGAGCGGGGCGCTTTTCTTTGAACGCATCGAGGTGGGCAAGAAGCTGTGAAACGGCCTGGCGGCGGTGCGAATACCGACCTGGCGGATCGCAGGATACAGCGTGACGCGCGTGGCGAGCCTCGTAGGCGTCCAGAAGAAGAACATTCCGAGCGCCCCGGCCGTGAGGCCGATACCGCCGCCGGTCGCATATCTGAGCATCGGCGGCGCCAGCTTGGTGTTTTCCACGTCGCGCGAGAACAGAGGCCAGCTGAGATGCTGCGTCAACAGATAGCCCTGGTAGGATCCAGCTCCGGTGAAGACCGATCCGATGAAATAGTAAATCGCCTTCCTCATGCCCGGCGGGCCTCGGAAGATGACCCGTGGCGCCGAAGCCATCTTTTCAATCGATCTTCGGTTCTGCTGATCCTGCTACTTGCTGTGGTCCTCTCCTCAATCGTCACCGCCGTAGCTGCGAGTGCTGTTCGTGATCTGTCCCGCGTTGGTGTGCTTCAGAGGGTTGGCAACAGACGAAGTGGCTGTTCGAGCTCTGCACCCTAAGCTCAACCTTCTCGAACGGTGACTTTTTCCAAAGAGGTCCTCTTCCGATTCCCGAATTCCTCAATGTTTCCATGTCTTACAGTATATATGCGCATTGTGCTCACCCTCTGTCGTACCGTGGCCCTATAGCTCAGCGGTAGAGCGTCGGCTTCCAGTCGCTCTATTACAGGAAATTTCCGAAGGTCATCCGTTCAAATCGGGTTGGGGTCATACCTTCCTTTTTCTTTTTTTTTTTTTCTTTTTTTTTCTCGCTTTCCATGTCTTCAATCTAGAAGCGCAGTGCATACTTTCAGCCTAGGAAATGGTACAGATTCGAGAGGCGGTAGTGGGTCGGAAGACGTCCAGATGATGACTTGACTCTTGTTCTGTGAAAATAATGATGATCTACCTTTCTGAGACGAGCAACGACACCTGAAACCCACGGCGACTTGATGGCTGCGGCAGGCTGCAATCGAAAGGCGTCCATCGCGAATGCGGTTCGGCACGTTGACCTCGCTTTGACGCAAGTCGCATCCATCTGGTTCGATAACTTAGGTCCTGTTTGACGAACCGATGTGAGCTAGATAGCGTGTCGGATTCTACGCCATCCTATGCTAGATTTCGTCACATCGGGTAAGGCAGCTCTCACTTATCGCGGCTGCACAGCCGCGCGTGCGCACAGGCGAGAATTGGCGGAGAGACCTGCCCGTGCATTTCACGGCGTCTGTGGGAATGTGGAGGTTGCGCAGCGGTTCCTCGGCTGGGTGTCTGGATTTCGGTCATCGCGCACCTGGAGGGCACGGTCTCGGCCTCCTATCCGAATCGACCTCTGTCCCGGCAATGCCCCTCGCCCAAGTTCTACGACGGCCCAAAAGAGGGAAAGGGATGGCCTGTCAACTCTGACGCTGCATCTCGCCGGCGGCGTGGCACGAGCCATCCGCGGCACCTCCAGATTCCCCGAGGACGTGTATATAAACCAGAGCCGAAGCCAAAACACTGTGCCGGTCATCATCCATCTCCCGTCACACATCAACAATCTAGTAACAATGTCCGCCCCTGAACAGAACGCTCCCGCTGCCCCTCAGCAGGACGGCCTTGACAAGGCTGTCCAGTGGGGCACCAAGAAGGCCGGCCACGAGCAGAACGCCAGCACCACCGAGAAGATTTCGGACGGCATCCGATCTGGCTTGTAAGCGTTCATGCTGTCTGAGCACCACGAGTTCCTTTCATCACTGCTGACCACTTAACTCTTTCATTGTCCGTTGTTCGGCCCCTCACAGCAAGAAGCTCACTGGCAAGGACGTGCCCATCAAGGACAAGCAGTAATTGCCTCGTCCCGCCACGTTCCACCATGATATCCACGGTTCCGCTCTATACCAGTCAATGTGAACAGCGCGTCGACCTTTTCTTACTCCACAGTCGCGTGCAAGTCTGTCGGTCTTTGTTTGTTGCGCTTCAGCACCGCATGTGTCCCTCCTCAGCAGCATGATTTTTCCTGGCGGACGAAAATCATGCTGCTGAGCTGAGCGAGAGGCGTTCACGATGCTCGAGTTTCGACGAAGATGGAAGAGGTTGAGGGTACTTGACATTGATCGTTGAGAAGTGACTTGCGGAGGCGCGAGAGGGTGCAACGTTGAGTGCCCTTCGTCAGTCGGCATACACTGCAGCTGATGTTGCAGCTGATGGGTTGCTCTTGAGCAACGTCTTGTGGCGCTGGGGAAAGGCTGGATCAGTGCGAGGCAGCCACCATGAAGGCATTTCCTTGGAGACTTCCTGCAGCCAAGCGACGATTTTAGCTCTCTCTTCCCTCTTAGACGGACGTCCTTGGAATGAAGCTTGTCTTGGATACGGTGCGACTCGAAGGAGGTTGGAGCAGGCACTCTCGCTGCTCGTGACGTAGTCGTAAAAGTATCCGCTGCTGCCTGGGCGGTCCGAAACGAGGCTCTCTTGATCGTCGTATGTACGCAAGTCGATCAGCAGCTCAAGACGTGGTGGCGAAGCTAGCGTCTCTTCGGGAGAGAGCCCGTCGAAACGTTTGCGGCCTCTCTTTGCCTCGCGTGCACGTGCGGAATGCTCGACGTTGGCATCCATGATTCCGAAGGTCCTGCCTCTGCAGTCGAATTCGGCTCTTGACTTGTTGCAGATAGCGTGCTTTCCATCCTCCTGATGTGGCAGCCAGGCTCTTCGAGACCTCGATTTGTCTTGCTGTGGAGTGACAAGTATTCCGGGACGAAGCTCGGGAAACAAGAGAGCTAGGACGGCGAGGACAGCAAGAAGAGCACCGATGTGGCTGCAAATGATCCATAGGAGGATGCCGAGCAAGCAGATGTTGGTGGTCAGAAGCACCTCATGCTGCTTCAGTTTCTCCATGATGGCGAAGGCGCTTGTGGATGGCTGGACTTGGAGAAATGCATCGGTAAGTGGTCTCGATGGATGTAGAGGAAGAGAGGATAGCTCTCTACGCAAAGATTCCCAGTCCAGTCGGACGGATCAAGGCGGAACGGTCCAAGTGCTTGAAAGATAGAGTTTCATGTTCCCTTTGACCCTCCCCACCAGGAGTCACGGCTGGAACGCTGACGAGAGGGCAGGCCCGTGGAAGTTCACATTGACGCATTTAAGGTTTGCTGCAGGTGCGCTTCCGCCATTGCATGTGGTCTCAAGCCTGAAAGAAGCAAACGTGCTTGGCAATGTCAGTCTGCTGTTCGTCTGAAAGCATTGTCAGCTCAGTTCAAGCGTCAACATGGGGACGCTGGCGCAAAGTTGCGACACTTGCAATTTGTTAGAGCTGCCAAGCATCACAACTCCGCATATTTTCGAGGCTCAGTTCTTTGGGGCGGCGCGACGTTCCGACCAACACCTCCACGCTGCTCTCGAAAAATCACGGGATCACAGCAGCGCAGAGCTCCACACCACCGCACGGCACAATCGCACAGGCAGGGTCCATCGCGCCCACCTCGCTTTAGTCATTCAGGCGCGCTCTGGCTACGTGCTTTTCATACAGAGCACCATCAACATCGCCATTGCCTTCCCAACAGCGTGCTTGCTGCCCGCCCTGGACTCAGCAAAGAGCCCATCGCTGAGGAGACCGCACACCGCGACATCGCAACACCAAGCTGATTGATCTCCAGTGCCGACGTCGACCATAGTCATGTCGGCGTCTTCCACCCAACCTGCTGGCGCTCCGCCGGCGCATCCGCTTCGCCCTTACTATCAGGCGCCCGAGGATTCCGTCTTCATCGCCACCGCTCCTCGCTTCAACATGACGGGCACACCAGGCGCCGCATCGCGAACCGCGTCAGGTGCCTCCAACGCCACTTCCAACCCGGCGCTACATGGCTCAGCAGCGGCGCGCTCGGGCTCGAACCGCTACATGTCCGCCCAAGACGCAAAGCCCTATGTCGCCACTACCACGAGTGGCAGCTTTGGCGAAGCCGATGCCGGCGTCTCGGACATCTTCCGTGCACTTCTCGTCAGTGGTGCGCTCCAATACACAAGCACCTGCCTGGCCATGCCGTTCGAAGTCGGCAAGCTCCTCTTGCAGGTACAGTGGGTGCCCAGAGACGACGTCTGGCTGCAGGTCACGCAGCAGGCTGCTCTAGCGCAGAGACGCCCCGCCATCAAGCCACAGGCCGCAGACCCCGCACGAGAGTTGCGCGACGAAGCACAGGTGGATGACTGGGAGCAGGAAGTGGCGCCAGAGGCGAATGAATGGGACCGAGATAGCGACATCCACGACGAGGATATGGAGGACGATGTTCTCGAAGGGGATCTCTCGGACGAAGACGACGCCGATGCCTACTTCCGCGATGTGGCTTCCCGACCCGCGCGCGCCGACACTTCCCTCTACTCTGGCCGCAAGAAGAGGCGCGTGGTCGACGCTTCCGGCTACGTCATGCGCAAGAGCGTCCACGACCAAGTCGCACGCCCCGAGTTTGTCATGCCCGTCGTGGTGCGGGGCGGCGTGTGGGAGATGATGAAGGCCGTCGGTCGTGGCAAGGAGGGCTGGCTCGGTCTGTGGAAGGGCTCGCTCACCTCGTTTGTGCTGGAGGTGACGTCGTCGACGATCCAGCCGCTCGTCTCGTCCATCCTTTCGCTCTTCGCGCCATCTGCCCTCTCACCCCTGCCGCTGGCGTATGCGCCGTATCCTTACAAGACGCTGGGATTGCTCTTGTCTTCGCATCTCATCACCGGCATTCTCGTCTCGCCGATCGACTTGGTTCGGACCAGGCTCATCGCCCAGAGCACGCTCCCAGCACACCGCAAGTACAGCGGCCCCTACGACGCGCTCCAGAAGACGCTGCGCGAGGAAGGAGGCTGGAAGACGGCATACCTCCACCCGAATCTGCTCATCCCAACCATCCTCGACTTTACGCTGCGTCCGCTGCTCTCGCTCGGTGCACCTCTGCTCATCGAGCACACGCTGCGCCTCGAGCCCAACACGCATCCCATCAGCTACGCCGTCGCCGAGCTCGCCATCTCCACAGCGTCGCTGTGCATCACGCTGCCCATCGAGACGGTGCGTAGGAGGCTGCAGCTCCAGATGCGCAAGCCCTATGGCGCCAAGGACGCAGAGGCTTCTAGCGCCGCCTCGACGCGTAAGATCACCAGCGCCACGCTGCAGCAGCAATCGTCGACGGCAGCATCGCACGGAGGCATTGCGCTCACTACGGGCAACGTCAGTGTCCGCGGTCTGCGCACGTGCGTCGAAACGCGGCCCCTTCCGTACGTCGGCGTGGTGGAGGCCATCTACCGCATCGTGACGGAAGAGACTGTGGCCACGCACATGCGGTCCGCCAAGCCCGATCAGACTTCTGCATCGGCAAACAACGCGACGGACGGCAGCGCATCCGATGCCGAAGCCGCTTCGGGCTCAAATGCAATGGCTCAGTCGGCCATTCTGGCCGCAAAGACCGGCCATTCATCGCTTGGCGGTCTCCGATCTCTCTACCGCGGCTTCAGCATGGCGTTCAGTGCCAACCTCGTCGTCTTCATGCTCACCATCGTCAGCGGCGAGAGGGCGGGTCCCGCAGGGTGGGCCGAGATTTAATTTGTTGATGAACCACGTCGGATCATCCTCTTCGCTCGTCCGCCTTATTGCGTATGATCACTTCGAAGCTCGATGTACAATGCAGTCCTTTATTTACGGGCGCCGTGAATGTCTGATGCGAGCTGTAGGCGAATTCAACGAGGCCGTCTCGGGGGCGACTGGCTGCGTCCGGTCGGCAAGCTATGCGGTGAAAAGACCGGTGACTCCACCCGAAAAAGTGGCACACGCGGCGCTACTTCATTTGCACGGATGAAGCTGGTGGGCGGTTGTTCATGTTGGCGCCCTCGAAGCTCGGAGTGGCGACGCGGCGAAGTCCGATGAGACGGGAGCTTTGATGGTGGGCTTGCGGAGCCGCGGCGTAAAAGAACAGGTCATCATGCGAGACGGGATTGGTTGTTCGTCGACTTCCTTGTTGCAGCATCATCAAGGACCACAGCTGGCTGTGTCTCGTTCAAAAGCAACCTCGTCGCCACTTTCCCTGTTTATCTGGCCGGTCCGAGCGCATGCCTCTCACATTTATGCTCACGATGAAGCTCTTCGTTGTGCCGGTCACGGTGGTTTTGGCGTGCCTCTGCAACGCGGCAGCGTACAAGCATGACGCAGAAGATGGGCAGGCGGAGATTGGAGCGTACCATATCCAGCCTGGTCGGTGTGCCGGCGTAGAGCAGCGTCTAGGCCACACAAAGTACAGCCAGTACTACCACTGGAGTCCTTTCCACACGTCGTTCACCGAGCTGGGCTATGGCAACGATGTGGAGCAGATGGACTCGACGGCGCTGTGCGCCAACAATCCCGCGCTGACCCAAGGATACGGCGGTGGGTTCGACAAGATGCGCATCTACCTCGTCTACGGACGCTGTGTGTACGGGACACAAGACATGAAGGTCATGTGCGGAACCATCACCGAACAAGGTCGCCCTTCGCACAACATCCTCAACGTCGTTCAAGCCTCGTGCCCCGCCGGGACGCGGTGCAAGAATCTGTGCGCAACAATGCAGGATCCCTCGCTCACGAGCAAGTTTGCGGTCAAGCAGGTACAGCTCGCTCAGTGCATGCCCATCCCTCAGTGGAAGAAGCTTACCGAGATGTACAGGCCAAAAGCTTCTCCCGTGCCGGCCGCATATCAGGTAGCAGCTGCAGGAAGTCAAAAAATCGATCCCAAGGTCGTGGATAAAGCCCCTGCTGGAAACCCCACCGTGGACCCGGTGCACGTCGACAAGGACGGTACGATTCCTGGACGCGTCGTTTCGCCCTCAACTCCTCCCACCGACGACATTGATGCAGACCTTCTGAAAGCGGCCAACGAACGAGAAGCATACTCTGGCGAGAGGCTCGTCACGAAGCAGCCTGACGTTGAAAAGCCCGTTCCCGCGCAGCCAGCAAAGGGAGACTCCTCCGACCTTCCCATTGGCGGTCCTCAATTCGTCCCCGCTGCCAAGGCTCCTGAAGCGCAGACGAACGGCCACAAATTGGAACACCAGCAAGCTCCGACCAGGATGGGCTTCCGCAAGCGTTCCTTGTCTGGCGCGCTCAACGCCTGAAGTCCGCAACGGTAGCAGGCTACTCTCGTGCGTTCCGCTTCGGCCAACTTTCACTCTCATCAGTCCCTCTCTCACTGTGACCATTCTGATGTGTCTTGCACTCATTCTTTGAACTCATCACGCGTTTGAGCTTGTCAGTCGCTCCCGTTTTGTGACCAAGTGTGTACCGCTGAATAGCGGAGTGCCCTCGTCTTTCACTGCATAAGCTTCGTTGCGGACCGCTGTGTGACGAACGAGAAACGCGAGCTTAAATTGACTTCGTTCCCACGCATCCGCCGCGACTAGACCGCTTCGACTTCAAGCTCGTCTGCAACCAGCGCGAGGGCCTCTGCAGCCAGCTCGCTCGGGTCCGCCTTGTCGCGCTTCGTGCTTTTCGCTCCGAGCACGTCGCGTGTAGTTCCAACGACGCCGAGCTGCAGCCCTGCATCAGTAAAAGTCTTTGCCAGTGCCTCCGTGTCCGCCACGACGCTTTCGAGCTGCGACGTGCCGATGCTGGCGTGCACTTTCGAGGCCGTCGAAACGGACACGAGCGCAAGCAGCAGCCGGAAGGCTGAGAACAAGTGTGCACGCTCCGATGAATGCCACGCGCGCGCCCTGGTTTCGGTCTGCAAGGTGTCAGGAAGAAGATGCAGCTCGATGTACCGCAGAAGGATATGGTTGATCTCCTCCTGGCGCACTCTGGGCATGGGCACAGCGCCGCGGATCTGCAGATCGCGCGCATAAGAGCACAAAACTTGCTCGCACCGCGGGACCAGATGCTTCAGGAGGCCCGTCGCGAGTCTGCGATGTGCCTCCGATTGGCCGCGGCCCTCGGAGCATCCGAGGAAGAGTAGGTCCAAGCACCAGTAGCCAAAGCGCTCGTTGACCACTTCAGTCACGTCATCGACACGTCCGCCCTGCCCCTCTAGCGGCGCCTCCTCCTCGAAGCTGTACAGCTTCGAGCCGAGCGTCAGAGCACGGCCGATCCGATCGATAAGATGGTCCGGCACCTCGCTCTCGCCCAAGTAGGGCAGGACAAAGGTCTCGACCGTGCCGAGAAGGAACAGCCCAAAGCGCTCGTCACGATTCCGCACATCCCTGGGCAGCTGCATCGCACCGCTCGAGTCTGCCGAGATCGCTGCCTCGATGCCGTCGATCATCTTGCTCCAGAGTCGTTCCACGACCTCGCGCTCGAGCTCGCCCTTGCGTGCGCGGACGTTCAGCTTGGGACAGCAGCGCGACAAGATGCGACAGAACGTCAGCAGTGCGAGCTGCCACATGGGCTGCGTCTCGTCCTTGCGCCCCGCCGCTGCACCTGTACCAGGACTGTCGGGACAGTCGTACTTGAGCTTGATTGGGATCACGAGCGCCGAAATCAGGCTTTCGAACGCGCCGCCCGTGTAGATCGCCACATCGTCCTCGTGTGACACAAACACGCCGAAAGCTTCGGTGATGCTCGTCCGGGAGAGAGCGACGAACGTCGGCCCACTCTTGGTTTGGTCTCCGCCTGCCTGACCGCCAGCATGTGCAAGACAGATACACTCGGACAGGTCCGACAGGATGAGTGCCGGAACATCCTTGACGCCTGCGACCGACCTTGCGGTAGCTCGTGCGGCCTCTTGCACGGTGGTCAGGCTCGACCGGTCCGACATGTTGTCCGGGCTCTGCGCGTACGACACGCACCCTTTGAGGCTGGCCAGGAGCGTCTCGACCTCCTTGTAATCGAAGTGGTCTTCCAGCACGCGGTAGATCGGCGGGAACGCCTGGATGTACGCCAAGAGATTCTTCTGGGTGAAGCGAACCTGCTTGTCCTTGCCGTCCTCGCTCAAGCTTGAGTCGGTGACTTTTGACTCCTGACCGCGGATATGCCGTCCGATCGTGACCCAGTTGTTCCAGGCTTGTCGCCAGGCGCGCTGTCCAATCTCGCGATCCGCCTCGCCAATCTGCTCTCCGTCCTGCACCGGTGCTGAAAGAATGGACGTGAAGCACTTGATCGCCGCCTGCGACAGATCTGCCGGCCCCTCCACGAAGGTGTTCAGAGTCAATTCGAGCAAACGCGCCCAGATCCCTTCAAAGTTGGGGCTGTGGATGAGCTTGGATGCCAAATACGCCCGCACGACTTCGCCAAACTGGGTGAGCGCCAGGCACTGTGACTCCTGCCACTGCTTGAGCTCACTCGGCTGGACGCCCATGAGCTGTGCCTTTCGATCTTGATCTGCGAGTCCCTCGGCCGTTCCGACCTCCAAGTCGGACGCCGAAGCTCGCAGCAGTTTGATGAGCGGCAAGATGACGGTCTCGACAATCTCTTGCCATGCTGTCGACTCGAGCATGTCGCCGTACTGCTGCAGAACGCGGAAAAGGTTCGAGATGGCGCCGTTGCGTACTTCGGATCTGGTGCTCTGCGAAATCGACAGCAGACACTGCAGCATGAACAGCCAGAGCGGCTGCGCCTCAGCATCGACTTTGGCGTCCTTGGCAGATGCAGCCGCTGCTTTGGCTCGCGCCGCCATCTCGGCAGTCACACCCCACAGACAGCCATTGGCTGTGAGTGCGACGTTGACGTCGAAGTCTTGGCTGCCAAAATCATTGAGACAGCTACAGCATCTCTGGATTTGCTGCAGGTCCAAGGCAGACAAAAAGTCCGAGCACACGAGCTGCAGACACGAGAAGCCAGCCTTGACAAGCGCCAGCTGTGCCCGTTGTGCAGCCGGTGACGTCTCCGAAACACCCTCGGCGCTCCTCTTGTCGCTCTTGCACGTCGCCGAGCAGACTTCGAACACCAGCTCCCAGCCGCACGTGAGCGAATGCCCAAAAGTCTCCATGACCTTATTCAGGTTCTCAACCGAGGTGGTTCGAACCTCGAGGTCGACCAACGACGATCTTCGTCCCTCGAGAATGCCGGCGCTCGAGATGATGCGCAGTGCCTGTTCCTGTAGACGCAGCTTGTCTGCGCGGCCTGACAGCTCTGCTGCCTCGTACATGGTTCCAAAGGCGAGCTTGTTGGCCGCCTGCGATGCCTGCGAGCGCCATACAGGCGAGAGAGCGGCACTGGAGAGCGTTTTGGTCAAATGGCTCGCGACGAGCTCCCAGCCCTGCTCCGACGGAAGCGAGCACAGACGCTTCGTGTTCAGCGCAGTTACTGAATCCAGGCAGCTGATCGGGTAGAAGGCCGAGGCGCTCTCGTTCTTGCTGATCGAAGCACGACCTCGGAAGCCAGACGCACGGGGTGAACCGGCTTCGCTTTCCGCTGCAGACGTCCCCGCAGCGTGGGTGGACTGCTGCATCATGTCGTCGCTCAGGCGACAAAGCGAGGAGATGAAGTCGAGGAATGCCTTGTCTTCGAGTGCAGCGCTGTTGTCAAAGATGTTCTGGATCTGCGCCTGGAGACGGTCTGGCTGCAGGTCTGCCAGATTGAGAAGCTGAAGCTGGCTGCGACCTGAGCGTGTATCGAGCGAGGTCATGGAGCTGTGCGTTAATGTCGATAGCGTGGCTCGACCGCTGCGGCTGACATCGCCATCATCCTCTTCTCCATCATCACTGACTGGCACGGATGGATACCGCGAGCTTAACAGCGCGTGCGCGCCACACAATCCGCTGAGAACGGGGTACCAGAAAGCGCCCAACGAGCCAGAGAGGTAGTGTGCAACTTGCAAGAAGGCTCGCAAGCAGGCCAAGCTGCGAGTCGACACTGCTTGCAGATTCGAATCGCTCGCCATCGCATTCAAGACGGCTGATGGGGAAGAGGCGTTCCATCTTGGCACGGCAAATGTGACTGCTCTCGTGAGCAACATGTCGCGTTCCTGTACAAGATCCAGGGCGCCAGTGACGTTGGTGAGGTTGCGGAAAGCGAGCAGCGTCTCTTCGAAGATGCTGTCGGTGCATTTGATGCGCAGGTATCGCGTCAGCACGTCACTGAGCGGCAGCGCCGAGCACCTGAGCATAGCTTTCGTCAGGCGCAATCCGTCTCTTTCGGGGGCATTGGCGAGTGTGTCGACGTCGGCATCATGCATAGCTGGAGGTGCGGGAGCCGCATTGCTCTTGCGCGAGTTGACGAACTTGGAATAGAGCGGGAGGGCATAGGCTGCCATGGACTGAGTGAGCAAATGGCACGACTGAAGAGCCAAGAGCTGCATGTAGGTCTTTGGGAGGGCGGCTGAGGCAACCGAGGGAGCTTCGACCTTGTCGAGCTGGTCGATAATCTGCACGGTAGGAGAGCTGGCTGACGAAAGCGATTCGGTGCCTTTGGAGCCTGTAAGCTGGGACATGGCAGCGCTAGCCACGCCAGCCGCGGCCTCGTAGAGACCGCTGAAGCTTCTATCGGTACTTGGACGGACGCGGCTCCGGCGTGGGCTATCTGGTGCTTCATCCGCACCCACAGTGTCTTGCATAGTGGGCTCGATCGCAAAGACTTTCTCGCTCTGCACCAGCACGCTCTGCAACGTATCTACCAGCTTGGCGAAGACAGGTGCGGAGCCGCGTGAGCCATCACTGCCGTCGGCAGCAGCATCGCTCGAGTCGTACCAGAGCCAGAGGTTGCGGAGGAAGACGACATCGGAGCAGAGGCTGCGCACCACCTCTAGCGCCAGGACCTGTTGCCACAGCGTGGGCTGAGAGCCTCCGTGAGCTGCAACCTCGTGTGCGGAGGGATTGACGGTACGCAGGAGGATGGAGAGCAAGATCTCGACCTCCAAGACGAGATCGGAGCTGAATTGACGGAGCAGGAGGAAGAGCAGCCGCATGAGACGCAGATGGATGGGGAATGCAGGGGGCTCGCTGAGGCTCTTGATGAGGAGTGGGCAGACTTTGGAACGGAGGAGGAAGAGAAGCTCCGGGTGCGAGACATGCTGTCCGTGGGTTGTGCCGAGGGAGGAGAAGAGACGCTGGTGGTTGGAGAGGACGCTTTCGATGAGCTCGAGAGAGAAAGTCTTGGAGAGCGCATGGAGGGAGAGGAAGGAAGCGGGCTCAGCGTTTGCGAGCGAGCAGAGGTCGGAGAAGACGAGGTAGGCGTCGCGTGAGGAAGGGAAGAGGGTGACGGGACCGTCGGGGAGGTCCGCACTCATGGCGGCCAAGGGAGCTGATGCGGCAGCCTCCTCTCCGCCGCCTTTGATGCCGTCGAGCACAGCATCTTCATCCTTGACCTTGTCGAATACGGCCATGACGCTCTGTCGCAGAGTTGCAGCTGCAGTGGAGCTGACGACGGCGACCTTGCTGCCCTCGTGAAGCTTGAAGCCAAGCATGAGGGTGTCGGAGAGGTCGGCATTGTGGATGTTGGGATAGGTCGTGAGCAAGGCGGAAGCGATCTGGAGGATCTTGAGCTGCACATCGACGTCGCTCTTTGAGGACGGAGTAAGGAGCTTGTTGAGGGCGGATATGACGGTAGGTATCGCGTCATCGGGCAAGAGTTTCTGCAGGAGGATGCGTTGGAGCAGCGCCATGGCGAGCGAGATGACCTTTGACAGCTTTGTTTCGCAGCTGAGCAGGACCGGCCGCAACAAGAGATGATCGGACGGCAGGCCGCCGAGGGTTCGTGACGAGCTGAGGAAGGCATCGGGCTCGGCCTTGATTCGAGCCAGTGCAGCATCGGCGGCTTGCTTGATCTCGGGATGCTTGCGCCTGGCCTCTACGCCAAGCGAAGTGAGCTCCGAGGTAAGCAGTTGAGCCATTGCGACGGCTATCCAAGCTTGGAGCTACCCAACGCGAGTCCGTTCCGCGACGGAAGGGTGGAGGAGGCCGCCGATTGATGAGGGGCGGATCGATGCGGAGCTGTCGCCTGCGTTGAGGTTCGTGCGGAGAGGAGACGACGGTGAGCTTCTTGAAGCACGCACGGTCTGCAACACTCCTCTCGTTCAAGAAGGTGTTGGTCTCCACCTCTGGACCCAGCAGCTTTGGCTCGAGACTTCCTTGAAAGCACGGATGCGCGGCCTAACAAGCGCGAAGGCAGCCCAAATTAGCACTCGACCGTGGGAGCATATGCCCCTAACAGCTAGGAGGCTTGGTTGATCTCGCTCCTGTGCAACGGTTGCTAGCGAGCTCGATTAGAGGACAGAGACTACTCTTCGCCGGATGGTCACTGGGCGATACTTTGTGCATCGTCTCCGCAGCGAGCAGAAAGCGTAGGCAGCATCAGATGTTCAAGGCATGCAATGCAGCCCACGCCTCCGCGGCGCCCCGGCAGGGAGAGAGGGTGCAGCGGATGAGCAGCAGGTGCTCAAAGGGGTGCACGCGCATCGCAGAGAAATGTAACACTGCTCTGCTGCGCGCTCGCGCTGGGCTGCCGAGGGTGAGGCAGGGTTCAAAGAGAGGAGGCCCTCGCTCTCTCCACTCGGCACCCTCTCTCCCTTGGCCTGCTTTGTGACGGATTGGATTTTTGATGGATTTCTAGGACCGCTTTCGATTCTGAATGCCAAAAGTCGAGCAACGCAGCTCCTCACACCCGCACATCCGCACATCCGCACGCCCACCGCCGATGGCTCTTGCTCACCTTCGCATCTTGGCCAACTGCTCGAGCCGCGTCCCGTCAAGCTTGCTATCTCCTCACCGTCACCTTCATCGGCTCTCCCCCGAAGCAATTCGCTATCACACCTGTCCTGACCAGCTGCTGCTTCCACACATTCAAATACCCACAGCCAGCCAGATTCGCCGCGACTGGATCCTACACTTCGACCTGCCCGCTGCCACACTTCATTAATCCCAGCCAAGCACACGGCGGCAGTCACGCACCCACACACACCTGCAGACACAGCCTCGAGACATCGAATCCACGGATGGCCCGCCTGGCGTAGCATGCTCAAGGTGTAGCGACGCTCGTCTCTGCTGCTCTGCAAGGAGCTCAACCGCACCTCGTCCACGCCTTCATCGACGTCTCCTTCCGAACTAGCCGGCATGACATCCGCAGCCGACTCGCTCGCAGATGCGCGTCCGCCATCCATCCACGATGCAAAGTACGACGACTCCCTGAAGCCTCCGCAGAACGCTCTGATGGCAGCCGTCCAGCTCAAGCCATCCCACCCACGAAGTCGCTCCGGCTCCGACTCGAGCCACCCATCGTCCGACTTTGACCACGAGCGTCCCTCCCAGGATGACGACGACATCGACAATACCCCAGCCACCTCCTATGGTGGCTTTCTCTCCACACGCAGCGACATCTCAGCCGGTCCCAAATCCGACTCCAGCCACCTCTCCCACATCGGCTTCCTCAACAGCGCACATTCCGTCGCCGCTTCCGACGACGAATTGAACAGGATGGACGAAGTGCGCAAGGAAGTAGAGGCGCTCTTTGAAAAGTTCCTCCCCGACTTTCAGGTCCACCAGGACGACGACCAGTCCTCACAGCACGACCAAGACGCAGAGCCCACGCTGCTCAGCCGCAACCTCCCCGCCATCCTCTCCGAGTTCGAGAGGCAGAGAGACCATCCGCTCATCGACCCCAAGGTTTACAGCCAGCTGCAGGTCTTTGCCGACGAGAATCCCGAGGTGCCCATCTCGTCCAACATGCTCGTCAACCTCATCCATGCCTTGGAGTCGAGCGCACAGTCGGTCGCATCCGAGGAGATGGATCCCAGGACACCATCCCTCATGGAGCGCCACACTTCCCATAGCACCGGCAACGACTCTACACCCATAGCCGCATCAGACAAGGCTGAAGACTTGTATCTTCAGGAGTACCTGATTTCCGACGCCGACACTAGCCGCGAATCGTCGAGGGAGATGAGTGCAGAAGCCACCGTCATCCTCAACCTCAAGGAGGACTTGCGCATGGAGCGCGAGAGGAACGACGCGCTGCAACAGACGCTCTCCGACAAGGAGAGGCGCGTCAACACGTTGGAGCACAAGCTCACCACTGCGCAGGAGCAGTACGAGGAGATGATGCTTGAAGAGCAGGCCAAGCTCGACGAGCTCCACAAGCAGATCCAAACGCTACGTCGCGATGAGAAGGAGCTCCGCACAAGGCACCACGAGCTGCAGGAACAGAACAATGCCTTCGAAGCTCAGCTGACCGCGCTCAATGCCCAAATCGAAGCTTCGGAAAAGGCCAATATCAAGGTGCGCCGAGATCTCGAGGAAGAGTCGAGCCAGCTCATCAAGGCCAAGGCCGATCTCGACCGCAGAGCTAAAGAAGCCAAGGAGCTCTCCGAGTACCTCGTCGAATGCGAACAGGCCAAGGACATCGCCGAAAACGCGCAACACCAGCTGCGCCAGGAGCTCGACAAATCCCGAGCCGAGACAGCCAAGCTGCAACCGTACAAGGAGGAAGCAGAGGAGTCCAGAACCACCGTCGACAAACTCGAGATGGAGCTCGACGAGATGCGCCGCCTCACCAGCCTGCACAGCAAAGAATCTTCGGCGCTGCAACACAGCAATCCAGGCACTATGACCCGACGCCTGGGCAACGAGCTTGCTCGGAGCATGGACCTGGATGGACACAGCTCCAGCGACGACACGCAGGTGGAGGACAAGGATGCCGACTCGAGCAACGTCGACGACTTCATCGAGACCGTCATCCAGCGACGTCGCAGGAGGGTGGGCAAAGCTCGCAAGTCTGTCGAAATGGTCACACAAGCCACCCAGACCGACCTCAAAGCCGAGCCAAGCGTCGCGACACCCGCATCAGAAGGCGTTGTGGACGTCACTGTCTCTTTGCCAGATGTCGCCACGGAGACAACCAAAAAGCTTTCCACGCGCACTTCGTTGCATCACCTTGTCGCGGCGGTGCAGGCGAGGAGCACTCTGGTCGCCATCGTTGTTCTCATCATCGGCTTGAGCATCGGCTTGATGCTCAATACGTCTCGCGACCTCTACCACATCAACGACTTTGCTCTGGATGCGGACGAATACCGCAAGCTCAACCACCCTCCAGATCTGCACCAGCACTACTACTACGACAGCCGCTATCCGAACGCCAGGGTCGGTCCGAATCTTTTGGACGATTACGTGGCGCCGGTGGTGGATTTTGCGCTGTCCCTCCTCGGTCTCGGCAATCCAGCACGCTCCATGCCCGGCGGCGTTGTATACTAGTGGGCGTCCAACCCCACCAGCCTTGCTATCTCTCAAGAAACCGTCCTCCTCGACTCGAATGGCTGTCTCTAGTCCTGTATTAGCACCCTTCTTCCCTTCACATTCGCTTATTGAATCGCGCCTGCTAGCGCCTATACCACGGCGCTGCTTTTTCGGAAGCGGCGTCACTTTCCCCCGCTCATTTGCGCACCGGGCGCGGATCGAGCCTCTCGCGCGATGCTTCCATGCTCCATCTCGACGAATCGGATCAGGCTCGATACCGACACCCAAACCCCACGATCTTTCTAGACCATGTAACACATTCTTTTTCAGGTATCGCTACGAATGATGCAGTCGTTGTAGCGTGCGTTGCGAGCAGGGTATCATTGCGCTGGGTATAAGACTTTGGAGGGTAGCGGTCTATGAGGTTCGCTGTTTGTGGTTGCAGAGCGTGCATTCCGGTTTGCGTTTCAGCTTGCTACGTGCTGCTGAAGTTTGCTTTCGCGCCGAGACGAGGTTGATTCCCGGAACGAGCGGAAGTGCGCAGTTCGTGCAACGTGGGTTGTGTCGGTGGTAGAAATCGGGCACAATCCGAGCATCTTTACGCCGCTTCTTCGTCTCACCTTCATCCCTAGGTGTTGGCTCGATGTCCTCGGCCCAGAGTGACCGACGGTAGGCGACGGGCTGCAGCTTCTGCGCCGTCCACATGGCATCTGCGGCCTTGACGTGCTCGCGTGCGAGGCCGAGAAAACGCCGTGAATGAAGTGCCGCGAGCCGGGGAAGAATCGCGCTGGCTATCCGGGACATCTGTTCCTGGTGCACTGCTTGTAAAGCATTCTGCTCCGGGATGGAAAGGGCCGTCGAGGAGGACGCTGGGGAAGAGCTTCGTGAGGACGTTTGCGACGCGGCTACAGCGTTCTTGAACTGCAACGAACAGGGCAGGCTTGCTGTTAGTCCACACTCTCACCGAGACAAAGAAAGGCTAGGCACAATGCTTACTTTGGAAATCTTTGTCTTTGATGACATGACTCTGGCCAAAGATAGGACGATGTGGTGAGAACGTCTTGGAGAAGGAAGGTGAGAGCAGGAGGACCAGCTTTTGACTTTTTTGGAAGTTGCCGGGACTCGGCGAAAGAGCTGAAATCTCCACATAGGCGCACGAATCCGCACGAGAAGGTCGCCGCGGGTGAGGTGGAACCCTGGCTCTCGCTCTCTCGCTGCTCTCTCGCTCGGGCCGCGCGCTGCAGCTGCTGCACTCTGTGAACCAACCTGCCTAGAAAGGGTACAGCAGACCAACACTTTCGACTCACCACCGTCACATTCTCATCCGTTGCTCGTTGCATCACATCTCGTTTCAAACTTCATCTCGACGCTGGCGTCGAGCTTCGAGATCGGTGGACTTCTTGCTTCGCCCTCCATGGCCAAATTCGACGTTTGCGCCTGAGCTAGGCACCTCGTCCCCCAACCTCATCCCTCACAGGAGTGCACGGCTCCGCCACAAGCACCAGTCATGCCGCCCAACCCCTACATGCCGTGGCTCACCAGGCCACGCATGTACGCCTACGGCATCATCTCCACGCTCGTCGCTGTCGGCACCGTCGGCACCGCCTTCTCGGAGCGCAGCAACTTCTATGCCGCCGTCGTGTTTCTCGGGCGCTCCAACGGCTGCATGCTCGTGCTGCTGAACTTTCTACTCGTCATCGCACTCATCGCAGGCCGCATACTGCAGCTCATGTACTTTGGCCAGCTGCGCAGGTCCGAAGTCGAGCTCATCGGCGAGAGGTCGTGGTACAGCCTCGTGGGCACGCTGCTCGCCGTCTCCATCTTCCGTGACGACTTCAGCGTATCGTTCGTCATCCTCTTTGGCGTGCTCCTCTTCCTCAAGATCTTCCACTGGCTCTCGGCAGAACGTGTCGCATCCATCATGCAGAGTCCCAGCGTACCGCGCATCTTCCACATGAGGATGGTGAGCATCCTCACCACGCTGCTCTTGGCCGACCTGCTCCTCGTCGCATTCTCGCTCCAGATGCTCATCGTTAAGAAGATCAAGATCGGCATGATGGTGCTCTTCACCTCGGAGTTCATCATCCTCACCGCACTGCTCTTCAACACCATCGCGCAGTACATTCTCAACTGCATCGACATGGCGCGCGAAGAGCCGTGGGAGGCCAAGTCGCTCTACGTGCTGTACGTCGACCTCGCCCACGACGTCGTCCGGCTCGGCACGCACACCTACTTCTTCATCCTTCTCACCCGCTTATACGGCATCCCGCTCTCGCTCATCCACGACCTCTATTCCGCCGGCAGAAGCTGCACTACCAAGGTCAAGGCGCTCTTCCGCTACCGTCAGGCGCTCAAAAAGATGGAGACAAAGTATCCCAATGCCAGCCCTGCGGATCTGCAAGCCACCGACGGCACCTGCATCATTTGCAGGGAAGATATGGTCGCAGCTGAGCCGAGCGAGGCGGCACCGCCCAACGCCTCTGCAGCAGTGACCAATGTGACGCCCAAGAAGCTCTCATGCGGACACATCTTCCACTTCCGCTGCCTGCGATCATGGCTCGAGCGCCAGCAGAGCTGCCCTACGTGTCGCCGCATGATTCTCGACGACGAACCAGAACCCGCCGCAACTCAAGCACAGCAGCAACCTCCGCCGCTACAGGGTGCAGCAAGAGCGCCGGACGACAACGATTCAGGCTTGGAACCATCGGATCGCGCAACGAATCGCGCCGGACCATCGGGTGCAGGGGTTGCATCAACCGCAGCTCCCGGTCAACGCACCGCGGCAGAGGAGGAATACGACACACGGCTGCAGGGCTTTCTGCAGCGGCTGCAGAGCGACTTGCGCAAGGTGCGCGACGAGGGCAACCTGTCTGCACAGCGCGCGTCGAACCGTGCTGCCAGCCGCAGTGGACGTTCGACGCCGCGCACGGCAGCTTGGTCACCGGACGCAGTGTTTGGTGGCAGCACCAGTGCTGGGGTTGGAATCGCAAGGCACGTTCCGGCTGTGTCGAGCTTGGCGCAGGCCGACGAGGGGCTGGGTGGGCTGTGGATGCCGCCCCCGCCATCCACGCTGTACCGCACAGGTAGGCGTCCGGTTCTGCCCACCCGGACGAAGGTTGCCGAAGCCGAAGCAGCGCAAGAAGACAGCAAGGGCAAGGGGAAGGAACGGCAGCCCGAACCTGACGCCATCGTGGAGGACGATGCCGCCGAAGATCCGATCGATCCAAGGGAAGCGATTCGCCAAGCCACACTGCGACGTTTTGGCCAGTCCGCCACCGCCACCTCGACGTCTGCGACTGTCACTGCCACGGGGTCCAGCGAGAACACAGCTGCATCAACGGCGACGGCAGGGATGGAGCGCAGCCCGCTGGCAATGATCCCGCTATTCGATCCACGCGCGATAGCCGACTACGACGCAGCGCACGCCTCGAGTCTGCCACACCCGCTCGTCGTCCATCCTCACACCGCTGGGCCAGCGAGCACTTTGGCTGGTGGTAGCGATGCTGTGGTCGGTGCAGGCACCGCGGTGCAGGACCAGATCGCCGCTCTGCGCGCCATCCAGGCCCGCATCGACAGCGTCATCGCCGACCTCGCACGCATCGCTCCTTCCACGCTCTCACCCAACAACGCAGATGAATCGTCTCCGTCACCATCACATCCCCGTAACCCAACTTCACAATCAGCACATTCGCATCTTCCGTTTCCAGATGGCATTCGAGTGCGGTTCGGATTGCGACCGAGCCTCACGCATGGGTGGGGGTGATAAAAATACAGAAAAGGTGAATCGCAATGGTGCGGAGCGGGCTCATGCAACCAGCCCACTGTCCGTGTGTACATGACTGTGCGGCATGTTTGTGCGCTTGTCCGTGTGCACAAAATGCAGTTGATTGCGTTGGAGCGTGGATAGAGGGCGCATCAATCAAGGTCCATCGGTGAGGTGTGCGACGATGCTACCGCCGCTGCGCCCATGCCCAATCCGAGGCCACCACCATCACCCTCGTTGCGGCCGGCGACTTCTTCAGCTGCGGCAACCTCGAACTCGCCCTTGCCTGTGATCTCTGCCAGCTCTCCTACGACCTCGGCCGTAGGCGTCATGAAGCGGCTCGACTTGGGACTCTGGTTGCGCGCGTCGGGCGAGTGGGCGCCCGTCGATCTGGGTGAGTTGGGACCACTCTTGGCTTCCTTGGCTCGCTGAGCCGCAAGCTTGACGAGGCTGCCCTTGTACGGGATCTGACCGGCCGCCATCTCGGGCGCCTTGCGTGCTCGGCCCGAGGTGCGTCGTTGTTGCGAGTCGGCCGCTTCCGCCGCCGCAGCTGCAACGTCTTTGCCTTCAGGCGGCAACACGCCCATTTCCGCGTCTTGCACGCTGCCCTGCTCCGTCAAAGCTGCGATCGGCGTCTCCTCGGACTTCGGTTGCTCCGACTCAGCTGCATCGCCAATCGCATCGGCACCATCTGCGAGAGGATTCGGAACATCCGTGGCCGGGCCCTCGTCGCCTGGTCGCCCCGCAGAGACGGCTTCCAGCTTCGCCTTTACCATCGTAGAACGTTCCGTGCTTGTGCTTTCGGGCCTGAGCGCTTGACTCTGATCCATCGCAGGCTGGTGGAGGCTCGGCTCTAAGGGTGATGCGTCCATGCGATCCGGCAACGGCTTCAGGGAACCATGAGCGGCGGCGCTCTCCTGCAACTTGTTCACTGCCGCAAGCGCCGCAGTCAGGGGCGATGCGCCGTCCTTTGCCGGCTCGGTTCGCGGCGCCACAGTCGCCATTGGGCTGCCGTTGAGACTCGTCGGAGGTCGACCAAGCGGGCTTCCGTTGGGACCAAGGGGCCGGCTCATCGACGTCTTGCCGCTGCCCCAACGGAGGTTCTTGCGCATGGGTTGGCCGGTGGCGCCGCGCGGAGGGCCCGCAAGCGGTGAATTGGATCGCGCCGCAACAGTTGCGAGGTCGGGTCGGATCAAGCCTGGTGGGCGGAACAGCGGTGCGGATGGAAGGAGCGGCCCTTTCGTGTCGACCAGGTGACTGGCGTCTGTTCCGCCATTCGACTGCAGCGCCTTGCTGATGGCTGAGAACATGTACGGTCGCATTGGAACGTCGGTCTCGTCTTCGTCTGCGTCGCTGTTGTCTTGGCTGGTCTCTTTAGAGCCCTCTTCAGTGTCTTCAGAGACAGCGATGGACCGCGATCGCCGGCTCCTCTCCCTACCGCTGCCGTCGTCATCGCCGTTGACCGCATCTGGACGCGACGAGGCTCGAGACTTCTTGACTTCTGGAGTGCGACTGCGACTCGATTCGGATGGGTGCCTCGGACGCTTGGAAGGCACCGTCTGGATGAGCACCGTCTGCGGTTCTCTCTGCGCTTGTCGACGGTTCCTGGTGCCCCCGACACCGGCAGACCAGAAGAGCGCCAGGTTGGATTCGGACGTGCGCTCGACACCTGATGTCGCAAGACCGGGCATATTGCCTGCTGAACTTTTGGGCGCCTGCGAGAGTGCGGGCGATGGGTTCGCGGCGATTGCAGCGCTTTGGACGCTTGGAGCGGGTGCAACAACACCGGTCGTCACTGGTTGATCTGGTGCCGCAGCCTGAGCTTCCGCTCTCGTTCGAAGCTGCGCTAAGGAAGCATCGTTCATGCTCGATGTCTTGCGATGCTTGGATGCTGTCGGCGGCACTGATCGCGGAGGAGTCGGGGTGATACCTGTGTCCTCTGCGTCGGGCGCCGACTCGGCCACCAGGCGCCGCTTCGGCTTCGGCACACCATGTTCGTCTGTGCTGGTTTCGCGGAAGCTCGAACGCCTATCAGATGGCTTGGTCTGGATATCCTGCGATGCACGGCGAGCGGAGAGCAGGGTGGGGCCCGGCTTTGAGGCCGCCTTTCGCCGTGCTCTGCGATCGCCTTCGGCAGCGCCCCAGTATTGGGCCAACACGTCTGTCTTGGCGTTCTTGCCGAGCATCTTCGGCCCGGGCGGACCGGGGCTGGTGCTGGAGGAGGACCGGTCGATCTGACCAGATTGAGAACGGCCAGCGACGCCAGCGGGCCGCGGACCGGTGTCCTCGTCATCGTCCTCGTCAACGTCTTCCATCTTGACAGCGTCGCCGCGATCGGACTCGGGCTCGGGCGTGAGATCGGAGCCATCAGAGTCCAATCCGTATAGATCTTCCTGCTTGCTCGCCACTTTGGCAGTGCCGGCGGGAAGACTAGTAGCCTTGGTGACGGTTGGTTTCGGAGACGCAAGCGAGCGTGCCACGCTAGCTTCGTCTTGCCGTTCTTGCACAACACTGCTATTCGCAGACGCCTTTGCTGGCCGATTCGAAGTTTTCGAAGGAGGTTTTGTAGCGGGTGAGGATGTACTTGCTGCCCCGCTGCTCGCGACAGTCTTTGGAGCTCGCTGCTTCTTCTGCGACTTTGGCGTGGCGTTGGCCTTGAGATCGGTGGGTGTCTGAGAGCGCTCCTTGCCATTCCTGGCCGGTGAGGAAGAGGCGGCAAAGTGATCGGAAATCATCTCGGCACTCGATTTGCGCTTGACGCCCGCCTTTCGCGCCAAGGCGCCCTCGGTCGGCACGCGGCCTGGCCAGTCGGCCTTGAAGATCTTGTAGTGACGTTCGCATCGCGGGCACTCGTCCGGAGTCCACCACTTCTCCGGCGCCCAGAATGTCGCGCCGCAGGTGAGACATCGACACTTGGGGCCTGCGCCTTCGGCCCATGGATCGGAACGGTCGTCTGAAGGCCCATGCTCGGCAAGCTTGAGATCGGCCAGATAGTCGCGCTTGGACTTTTTGTCCTTGGCCACCTCATCGCCTAGAACGGTAGTGAGAGAGGGCGTCAAAGACGGTGTCGGTGAGGGAGAAGGGAGTGCTGAGGATGTGCCAGTCGGTCGACTTGACCGCCGCGATTGTCGCCGTCCATTTGCCTCATTCGGTGTGCCGTTGGACGAAGGTCCATCCTCCGATTTGACTTCCACGCCATCAGCTCCTTTCGTCAGCGCGTCCTCTGCTGGGGCTGACGGGTCCGAGAAGGCACCCGTACCGCGGGCCTCGCAGGTGGCGCACATGCATTCCGCATTGGCCCACTCGAAGTAGTTTTCGCCGTAGAAGGTGGTGATCTCCTCGTTGCGGTGGATGGGCCGGATGACCTTGAAGACCATGGTGGAGCCCATGCGGTAGAACTCGGTGTTGGGATTGCAGTCGTGGTTGACGAACCTTGCTGGGCCGAGCAGAAGCTGACTGCATCCCTTGCGCGCTGACCTGATGACGGAGAAGTCGCGGCCGGGACCCAGGACGCCCTTGTATTCGGAGTCTTTGCGTATTTCGCGCGAGGCGGTGGCTTCCTCGCGTAGCGCGTCGTCTTCGCTTTTGGTGAGGTCTTTTAAGCCACCCTTGCAGTGGTTGATGAGCTCACCCGGTTTGAAGGTGCGCATGGCGAGGACGGAAAGGTCGGCTTTTTCGGAGGCAGCGGGCGCAGCACCGATGCTGGTTGCGGCACGATCGAGGGACGAACGCCCCTTGGATCTGGACTTGCCTCTGTCATCCGCGGCCGGGTCCTTGGAGGCGGGCGCGGGGATGCCGTCCTCGAGCTTGACGGCGGACGTGGATGCGACGGCGTCTGCGCCATGCGCCTTTCCGGCCTTTTGCATCATGACGCGCTTGTATCGGGTGGTCAAGGCGAATTCGACGCCACTCTCGGGCAGGTAACTCTCGAGGTAGCGGCGTGCGTGCGCCTGGAAGCTGGCGATCTGGCGTTGTGTTTTGTTGGTGAGGTACTTTTGGACGATGCCGAGCTTGCTGAGGTCGTCGATGGCGGCCGAGATGTCCTTCTCGACGACGACACGCTTTCTGACGATGAGGCTGACAGCATTACGGTCGAATCGGTGGCCTCTGTAGTTGGGATTCATCTTGTGCGTGGAGATGGCGGGCTCGAATTCGAGGTTGTCGACGAGGACATCCGAGAGGATGTCGTCGTCGGCGGAGAGGTCCTCCATGATGACGAGCGCAACGGCAGCCGTGCCGCGCGGGCTGTGGCGCGAGCCGAGCCGAGACGAAGGGAGAAACGCTTCAGCCGAGGTGACGCGTCACGCGGGGGCGAGGGATGCTAAAGGGGAGCGGAGGTGGTGGGAGGTGGCGATGGCAAAGCATGAAGAGCTTGGCGAGCGGGGCCGTGAGTCGAGCGAATGCCGGGGACAGGGATGCAGAGTGCGGGTGGAGACACCCGTATGTTCGGGATATAACGAGTCTAGGCGTGGACCGAGGTTGCGTGCATCGGGATTGGCAAAGTAGATCGAGGACGGCAGAGAGTCGGCGTGTGTAGCTCGACTCGGGAACGAAGCCTTGAGCAGAGATTCGTGATGCCTGTCGCGATGGCGGAAGGCGCGAGCGGAGGTGCCCGGAGCGCTGCGGATGCGATAAAGAGATCAGCAAGGCTTGAGGCGAGGGCAGGCGGACACCGTGTCCGACGTTACGCCTTGAGGATGGATGCCAACCGCTTGTGCGAGAAGAAAGCGGAGCCGGCCGGTTGACGGGTGGATGCGCGGGCGGAGGGATGGAGAAGGAGCACGTTGAAGGAAGGCTGGCGCAACTAGCCGCGTTTATAAAGGGGATGCGAGCGACGGGGTGGAGCTGCAGCCGGGCGGCCGATGCGAATTGGACGAATCGGAAACGACAGCAGCCGCGATGGCTCTGGGCGGGCGGAGGCGGCGGCGGCGAGCTGGGGGTGGGCCATTTTGGGTGGGGGAGGAGGGACGGACACGGCCCAGCTACAGCTACAGCCAAAGCCAGGCAGAGGAGCGAGCGCGTCTGCGCGACTGAAACCCGATGATGGGGTGGATGGCGATTTGGGCCGAGAAGCCAAAGGGGCGACCGGCTTCCAAGTGCTGTCGGAGCTGCAGCTGCACCACCGAAGGACGCGCATCGCTTGCAGACCAACTCGACTTGAGGAGCAGCTTGGCGAGAGGCGGACGGACTGGTTTCGAGGCGATGGATCTGGATGCAGCTGAGCTGCTGCTGCAGTTGCAGCTGCAAACTGTGCTCTTCGCAGCTGCTTGGGGGCGCGATTCGCGAGCGACAGTCGCCAGGCGCCTCGAGCGCCACGTCCCCGGCGTGCTGGCGTGTGCGGAGGGATGCGCCCTTGCCGCCCTCGCAGATCTGGCAGTGGAAATCGACGAGTGATTTTCAGAGCAGAAGCACAAGCACGCTGAGGCCATGCTTCTGTGGCTCGCTCGCCTCGCCAGACGAGCATTCTGGCCGCCTTGGCTCGGTCCACTGCCACGAGCTTACACAGCTGCAGGTGAATGGATTCGGAGCAGCCGCGTCTACGAATAGGCACCACCACGGGGCAGCAGCACCACCACCTTTTGGCTCACGCCTCCCTTGGTGAACGTGTGACTGTGACTGTTTCGGCCTGCATTCGACCGAATCGCAAAGTCAAATCTGCTCGAAATTTCAGCGGGAAGTCAGCATACGCAGCAGACTCTGTGACTGCAACAACAGCAAGTCACACCTCAGTCTCAACTCGCCGACCAAACTTGGGCTGCTTGTGAACGAGAGAGCGGAACCTGTATTGCTTCCGAAATATTCAAGCAGCTGAGCGGTGGAGCACGGCCGATCCAAGTCGATCCTTTCGACGGGCTCGCAGTCGCACAATTCGGCCTTTGCGGGTAGCAGACCTCTTGAGGCCGTTGAGAAGAAGCGTCGACTGCAACTGTACGCGGCTATCGGCGATTTCGTGCCTCTTGCCGGTCATGCCAGCCCTCAAGCTCAGCTCAGCTCAGCTCAGCTCGGAAAATGCCGATGAGCCTGACGAGCAACTTTGACGCTGCGAGGCTACGACTCCCGCAAGCTGCTTTGGCCTACTTTCGCCGGCCTGACGTGGCCATCGGAAATTCCGGTGCCAATCGCAGGTGTGGTACCGAAGCTTGGACCCTTGAGGGCAATGCCAAAATCAGCAAATGCGTGGCTGCGTCACCGCCCTCTGAGCCGTACGAAAAGACCGCCCCTGGTGTTAGCAGTCACGAGCATCGATCCTCCGCCGTCTTCGGGCTTCGTATGCTCGGAACTGCGGCGCGTGGGCGGTCGAGCGACACGGTACATGGAGCGCAGGCGGGACCATGCATCTCTTGCTCAAATCATGCGGCTAGGCGTGCATTGGCCCGTGCTCGGCAGGGCGAGCCAACCAAGGGTACGGTAGGACCCTGAGTGGGCACAGCAAGCTGCAATTTCTGAGCGCACAAAAACGGCCCCGAAAAAGGCGCAACAGAAAGCGGTCTCTTTTGTTCACCCCTGGTTACGGTCACAGGACTGCATCGCAGACAGAACAGCATTAGATGAAAGCAGATCATCTGCGCTGGAGCAACTGAGATGTGCTCCGTCGCGGACAAAGCAGCTGCGCACGACCAGGCGATACAGTGGCCGCACGGACGCCCCTCCATGAACTGAAAAGGAGTGATTGAAGCCTCGGGCCCACCGTTGAACTTGCAAGGCGCAAGCCTTCATGCGCCTCGTCTGACCCAGCCAGTCTAGACGAGCTTGTGCTCTTCATGCCAAGACACGGCACTCGGACGGTCGGGCAAGGTCCGCTACGTTCCAAGTCGCCTGTCACGCACGCGCTGAGGCGGGACAATGCTCGCCTATATCACCGGGTCGTGCCGCAGTGCGGGCGGCCAACTTTGCCAAAAAGGGCTCAGCTCCACTTTCGATTTTGGCTCCTTTCCCGCTTTCCACATCGCCTTCCGCTCTCTCGCGCACCCGCCACTTTCAACCGACCCTGCGTATCAGCTCCGTTACCCTTGCAGCCTGTCAAAAATCTCGGCGTCACCATACCATACCAAACCAGACCACACACATACATCAAAGCTGCAACCCTTCGTTCCAAGCACATCGCTTTACCCTTACCGCTCGTCGTTCCCTCCCAACTCTCCCCTCCGGCCTTAAAGTCCAAGTGCATCTGATCTCGAAGCCGTCCGCGCTTACTGCCCCGCTCCATTCAACGCTACCGAGCGCATTGTGGCTGTCTGCTAGACCAAGCTCAAAGGCTCGCCGAGGTTCCTCCAACTTGATCGACCGGCTTCGGAACATGCCGCTGGACAAAAGATTGGTTGACACCTCCCCTACGTTACATAACCGATCCATACTCGTCCCCTTGCCGCACCCCTTCGCTGCATGAACGGACTCGTGCTGCCAACCGGCTCCAGGCAGCCTCTTCGAGGCGACGCCTCCCTCTCCATCTCGCCGCCAGCGCAGCTCAAGCAAGAAGGCTCTCCGCTTCGCCCCGTCGTCAAATCCGAAGCCTCATCGCCTGTCTCTCCTGCGCTGGCCTCGTCCGATTTTCGGGCCACAGCCGACGATGCTCATCGACGCTTGCCGGCGCCTCAGTCGCGCGGCCCTGCGAACCCTTTGACGACACGATGGACCGCACACCAGCCGAGCTCCGCCCCGAGCACAGCAGCTGCACTTGCATTTATCCCAAAAACCGCACGCAACTCTGCCTCTGTGCAGAAACCCATCCACCAATGCTCCGAGTTTGAGCTCGAGCAGAGGCTCGATCGCAACCAGCGCATCCTCTCCGCTCTCGAAACCACCCAGAGTCCCACCAAGGAGCGATTATCCGTAGAGGCCGAAGCCATCCGAGATGCCATCCGTTCGCTTCGCGCCATGCGAGACGTCAACGAAGCCATCTCCTCGGTTCAGCTCAATGACCCGTCCAAGCAGGCCGACTTAGAGTCCGCTCTGCTCGGTCTTTCGGTCAAGGAGGAGAGCCATCTCGGAACTAGCCCGCCGGCGGAGGCGTTTGGCTGGACTCGCGACACGCTCGCGGTCAAGAAGCGGCTGGCGCAGACATCAGGCGCGTTTCTGCCCGGTCGAAAGGTGCAAGCCATGGGCTTCGAACAGTCGCTTGCCATTCAGTCGGCAGCATTGCTTGCAGAGCGCGAGCGAGAACGCAGGATGGACGAGCTGCGCGCCAAGCCGATGCCTGCATCACGCGAGAAATCCTCGTTGGGTGTTCCCAGCGGCGCCGCGCACAGACTCGGCCGCAAATCCATCTCTTCTTGCTCTGGGTCGATGCGCAAGCACTCCATGTCGGGCTCGGCATCGCCACCCAAGGCTCTGCGCGCTGGCGGGCCATTCGCGCGCCACGCCGATACGGCTGAACTCGAGGCCAGCGAGAGCGATACCGAAGACGTAGAACTCTACGGTGCAAACGACGACGATGACGACGCAGAAGAAGACCCTCATCCCGGCCCACGCCACGAGGACGAGGGGTTCACCTTCGGCCGCATCGAGGAAGAGTATCCATAGCTCCGCCCAGCGTCTTCGCTATGCACAGGCGGGACCACTCGTTCCATCAACATCCCTTGTCGTCTGCATGCCTCACCACCTGTCTGCCTCACTGCACCGCATCTCCTCACGCATAGCATCTGCCGCAAATTTGTACTGTATCGCCGCTTCTCCTGCCTGTCAGTCGTCTTCCCTGCGCGACGCGATGAGACTGAGCCACATCTAGCCAGTGCGCCCGACATGTGCAATGGTTGGAGCATCTATTTCGCTGTGATTGAAGGGTGGTGGATTGAAAATGAGCCGATTCCTGGTGATTAGTAGGGACGGGCAGCGGCCTGGCAGGCCTTGAGCTGCTCGAGGTAGTACGAGCAAGAGTTCATGTCGTTTGCTGTTCATTCAAGGGAGCGAGGTCAGTGTCATTTTTATGCCAAGTAAGCCGAATCAGACGTGGGTGTTGGGACTTACTGCTCTCGAGGCACTTGATGAAGTCCTTGCTCTGCGATTCGCAGCTTGCGCCGATGTTCTGCTGCTGCGAAGCGTAGGCGCCCTGGTCGTAAGCCTGGGGAGCGGGCTGCTGAGCCTGCTCAGCCGGGGCGGAGCTGGAGCCACCGAAGAGCATGTTGGAGAGACCGTGGCCGACGGTGGAGCCGACGGCGACACCAGCGGCGGTGGAAGCCATCTGGCCGAAAAGACCGGGGCTGCGCTGCTGCTGCATGGCGGGAGGCTGCTGCGAGTAGGCCTGGGGCGGTGCCTGCTGGTGCTGCTGGGGAGCGGCCATGGTGTGCGCACCTCGCGAGCCCGAGGGCGCAGAGGGCGCAGAGCGACCAGCTGCAGGACGAGAGCCACCGGATCGGCTAGAGCGAGGCATGTTGACGATAGGAGTGCAAAGACAAAGTTGGTAAGGGTGGTATTGGTGGTTTGAAAGCGAGGAGCAACGGTGTGGCCAGAGGAAGTCTGGCTCAGCCGAACGCAACTCGGGGGGCAAAGCCGGCCGGGCAAAAACGTGCCGTTGGGCCAATCCTCAGCTGAGCCTTCCAAGCCACTCTTTGACCGCCTCCAAGACCCTTTTCCACCGCTCTCCACGTTCCGTATTCGAATCGCCACACCGCGCGAAGGAGTTTGCCCGATTTGTCCGATGCACCATTTTCAAAGTGGAGCGCGCCTCGATCACAGCTCAGCGCCGCGACAGCCTGCCCATCCGCTCTCTGCTTCTCGAGCCGCTGAGCGCTGTGTTGCTCCACTTGCGCGTCTCGGATTTCCAGCTTTGGCCACGCACACACCCAACCACGACATCGAGCACGTCCTCACCATCTCCTTCCTGTCTCCACATCCAACGGTACCGACGGCTCTTATACCTCTGCACTCGTCACCAGGTCGCTACACTTGATCATCTGGAGACTGTTCATCGCCCATTTATCCACGACGCTCTTGAGCACCAATCGAGCTGAAACAACCTTCAATCAGTTCACGATCCATCTCTCCATCAATCGCAGCTGATTCCGAGAACAACGCTCAGCTGATTCCGAGAACAACGCTCAGCAATCCGACAAGGACTCCATAAAACACGATGGAGGAGCTTGGAATCGCCTCGTTGAGGCGCACAGAACCCACGCTGGAGGATGCGGCAGCGGAGAAGGCTGCGATCCACCAGGAGATGGCCGCCGAGGAGGACACGTATCTGCGCTACAAGAAGTTGCAACAGCACCTCGAGTTCCTCAACACCATGGAAGAGTACGTCAAGGACGAGCAGCGCAACTTGAAACGCGAGCTTGTCCGTGCACAGGAGGAGGTGAAGCGCATCCAGTCCGTCCCTCTTGTCATCGGCCAATTCCTCGAACCCATCGACCAGCACACCGGCATCGTTGGCTCCACCACCGGATCCAACTACGTCGTCCGCATTCTCTCCACCATCGACCGCGAGCTGCTCAAGGCGAGCTCGAGTGTGGCGCTTCATCGCCACTCGAATGCGCTCGTCGACGTCTTGCCACCAGAGGCTGACTCGTCCATCGCCATGCTCGGCCAGGACGAGAAGCCCACAGAGACGTACGCGGATATCGGCGGCATGGACATTCAGAAGCAGGAGATCCGCGAGGCGGTCGAGCTGCCGCTCGTGCAGTTTGACCTGTACCGTCAGATCGGTATCGACCCACCACGCGGCGTGCTGCTGTACGGTCCTCCAGGAACGGGCAAGACGATGCTGGTAAAGGCAGTGGCCAACGCCACTACGGCGAGCTTCATCCGCGTGGTCGGCTCCGAGTTTGTGCAAAAGTACCTCGGCGAAGGTCCAAGGATGGTGCGAGACGTGTTCCGTCTGGCGCGCGAGAATGCGCCCGCGATCATCTTTATCGACGAGATCGACGCGATTGCCACCAAGCGTTTCGATGCACAGACGGGTGCGGATCGCGAGGTGCAGCGTATCCTGCTCGAGCTGCTCAACCAGATGGACGGCTTCGACCAGGGCAGCAACGTCAAGGTCATCATGGCCACCAACCGTGCCGACACGCTCGACCCCGCGCTGTTGCGACCCGGTCGTTTGGATCGAAAGATCGAGTTCCCCACGCCCTCGCGACGAGAGAAGCGTCTTATCTTCCAAACAATCTGCGGCAAGATGAACCTCAGCCCCGAGGTGGACCTGGAGGACTACGTCGGAAGGCCCGACAAGCTCTCGAGTGCCGAGATTGCGAGTATCTGCCAGGCTGCAGGTCTGCAGGCGGTGCGCAAGAACCGATACGTCATCATGCCCGAGGACTTCGAGGAGGCCTGGAAGCAGATTGTCAAGAAGCCAGACGACTCCAAGATGGAGTTCTACCAGTGATCTCTGTGCTACATCCGGCTCAGTACATGCAATGCAACCTTTGTCTCAATGGTGCGGCTTGATGCTCTGTGTTTCGTTTTCGTTCTCTGCCTGAGAACTGATATTCGTGGGACGCATCTAGCGCAAGGGCGGCGCAGAGTGCTCCAGCTGTATGAGTTCGATGTGCAGCTGTAGAAGAGCATCTTCAGCCGAAGACTGGTGAGCATGTTGAGCTTTGAGGTCAGCTGTAAGAGGGGCCACAGTGCACGGGTTCTGATTGGGTCGCGACGGGCAGCTGCGCGAAATGAAAAATTGGTCACCGAGCGCGGCGCTCTGTTTGTCCAGCTTTCATCCCGAAGCTCCTTGCTTTCGCACCACATCCATCTCGAACCATTGCAACTCTTCTGTCAAGCTGCGCAACACTGTGCGATCAACACTGCGGTTCCTGAGTTACCAGTCACCAGCATCCTCGACTCGTTCCCGCTCTGCCCCGGTTCCTCCGCAGTCGACGGCCCCCCCCGCCAGATTCCTTCCCATATCCCTACCTCTCCCTCCCGCTCGCTGCCTTCTGCCCGGTCTCTCTGCCTCTGTGTCCGTGTGAAGGACTGTGCCTGCCGTGTTACTGCTCCGCCTTGCCTCCTCGATCGGCCTTACTGTTCCGTGAACTCTCATCCGCATCTTATAAAATTTACCGCTCGGTGCTGCTCACGCCGGGTGGTTTACGGAAAGGTGCTAGAAGGATACCTGCCTACTCTACGGGGCGGCGGGCGAATCCCATGCTTACTCACGGCGAAGGCCCCCTTTGTGGGCTTCGTGGCCTTCATCGTCCAAGCACCGAGTCTACTTTCACTTTCACTCTGGGTACATTTTCTTCCCTGCAATGCGATTTGCTTTGTTAATAGTAACAGATGGACCGTGGTGACGACTGCGATGTACGATGCACTGCTCGACCAGTAGCAACGCGGAGAGCGTGGCATTCGTTCAATTTGATGGATAGACGTAAGCTGGATGAAGCTAGGGTGGACTTTGGAGAGGGTCGAGAAGAAATCCGTCGGATGCAGATCTGGCTCCGGCCAACTGAGAATTCGGACATCGGGCGATGTTATCTGACCGAGTCATGCGAGGCTGGGATTGGACGTGTCTAATCGTGAAATCACACGGGGCCGGCTGAGTTGCCGGCATCTTTATGCGGGTCTTCGCGAAGATCTTCCCCGGGGCTTGCTGGACGCACAGCACGCACCTGCTTCTCCACACCCACCTTCCCCGTCTCCTTCTCTCTCTCCACCATACTTCCCCCCAACACTTAAGGTCACAAAGATTTACACACGATGCCGGCATATACACTAGCGGTGATTGGGTGCGGCACGATGGGTGTCGCCATCCTCTCGGGCGTGCTGGATTCGCAACGGTCGCAGCAGGCGCTTGCCTCGATGGCCTCATCCGTCTCCTCGCTCCACGACTCGACTGCCGGCGACGACCTGACCGAGCTTCCCACACGCTACATCGCCACTGTCAACCGTCTCGAATCGGTGCGAAGGTTGAAGAAGGTGTTTGCCGACTACCCGGACATTGCGATTCACGCAGGCAAGAACGTGCAGGCGGCGCAGGAGGCAGATGTGATCCTGCTTGGATGCAAGCCGCAGATGGTACAGGACATCATCGCCGAGCCCGGCATGCGTGAGGCACTTGACGGCAAGCTGGTCATCTCGATTTGCGCTGGCTTGCGCATCTCGCAGATGGTCGAATGGGTGACTCCCGCCACCAAGGTGGTGAGGGCCATGCCAAACACCCCCTGCAAGATCCGCGAGGGCATGACGATCCTCACCCCGCTGCCATCGTCGTTGCCAAATGCAGAGCTGGATCGCAACATTCTGCTGTCCATCTTCAGCGCTGTGGGCAGGTGCAGGTTCCTGGACGAGAAGCACTTTGATGCATGCACGGCGCTTGCCGGGTCCGGACCTGCGTTTGCCTGCGTGTTCCTCGAAGCCATGGCTGATGGCGGAGTGATGATGGGGTTGCCACGACAGGAGGCGCTCGAGCTGGCCGCTCAGACCATGCAGGGCGCAGCGCGCATGGTGATGCAGAGCGGCATGCATCCGGCGGCGATCAAGGATTCCGTCACCACCCCAGGAGGCTGCACAATCGCCGGCCTGCTCAATCTTGAGGACGGCAAGGTCCGAAGTACGGTCGCGCGCACCATCCAGGCTGCAGCCGAACACGCAAGCGGCCTAGGCCAGGCAAAAAAGTAGAACCGCATCTCCGTCTCTTCACGCGCAATACACAGTCCATCGCACACTCTTTAACCCACGACTTCCGAGCTGGCTCACTCGGAGAATTTCCTGATTGCTCCATCTTCCATTTACACTGTATGGGAATGCGACTCTATGTCTAGGAGGCAGGCGACTAGGCCTTGCAGATGAGGCCGTCTTCGTCGAGGACGGCGAGCTGGGCGCCGAGGCACCAGCCTAATTCGGTGCCGCCGAGTTTCTTGGCGACGCTGATCTCGCGGCTCTGCTCGAGCTCGTAGCCGAGGCTGAGGAGGCCGTGCATGAAGCTGAGGTCGAGGCACGTCTCGGGTCGGTCCTCGAGCTCTTCGATCGCGCGAGCACCGAAGCCCTGCGTGCTGGTGCGCGTATACGCACACGCGCGCTGCGCCACGGCCTCGAGTTCGCCGATCTTGAACTTGGGCGCGAGCCCCAGCGGTTCCAGACGGTCGTAGAAGTACGAGAGCGCGATGATCGGCGCGGTCTTGAAGGTCTCCATCATCGACGGCTGGTAGACGCCCGCAAACGAGCATGGCTTGGAGGAGCACACGGCATCTTTGTCCATCATCACCTCGACGAGCCGACGACATGCGGCAAAACCGCCGTCTGTACCGACCATGGTCACGTTGGCCTGCGTGCGCTGCCCCGGCTGCGAGATGAGCACCGCCTTGGTGCGGCCATTGGTGAAGCACGGCGAAGGGATGCGCGTGTTGTCAGGCTTGAGCGTCGACCACTCGAACGCACCCTGTGCACCGTCGTGCGCCGAGCCGGTGAGCACGGCGTTCGGATGCGCCAGGCTGTACGTGAACGCGGCGAGCGAATTGATCGACATGCGCGCCTGCATCAGACCGTACCCAAGGTACGAGTTCTGGTAGAGCGTGTACGGCTTGGTGCCAAACGCGTTGAGCTGGTACACATGCTCGCCGGGCTGCATCCCTTGCAGCGCCGAGGTGAAGCTGGGCTCAAACACGATCTGTGTCGAGCCGCCGCCAAGGTCCATGACCGCCGCAGTCTCCAACTTGTCGGCGGACGACGAGCCGATGCGGTTGAGCAGATAGTTGACCGTGATCCATGCGAAGACGCCCTCGTCCTTGCCGTCCATGATCTCGACACCCTTCGAGGCTTTGGTGCCGTCGGCGTTACGACCGTCGGCGATGGGGAAGGGGTATTCGAACTCGAGCATGTGTCGAACCGCCTTGAGCACGTCCTCGGCTTGCTTGCCGGGAAGGAGACGCAAGCCTGCAGTGGCCTTGACCGCCACGGGGGTGCATTTGCGCAGGTTGGCGGGGACGCGCTGGAGCGCCGACTTGAGCAGCGGTCGCAGAGAGTCGGCGGCAGCTGCTGGGTTGGTGCCGTAATTGCTCAAGCCGCCTTTGAGCATCTCAAAGTACTCGTCCTCGAGCTCTGGCGATTCGGAGCAGTAGTTGAAGCGATAGACGTGAATGCGGCTGCCTGTGCTACCGGCGTCGATCATGAGGGCATACTGGACCAATGGTCTGGGGCGGCCCTTGTGATCGACTGGCCTTGGCCCTGTGCCGTCACATCGGGTGGTCTTGGAAGGATCTGGGTGGAGAGCGGGCTTCTGGCGCACGGTGTCGGCCTCGGTGCCCGACACGGGAGCAGCTGCGGGAGTCGATGCTGGCGTTGGCGCTACAGGGAAGCCAACGGCATTATTGCTGTCCTGGGTCGGTTGCGCCTTCCAGGGCGCATGTTGGTAAGCTGACCCGACCTGGCCAGCCTTGTCCTTGGCGTAACCGACGACGGCGTCGCGTGAGTCGCGCCTGCCGAAAAGAACCAACAATCCCACAAAGCCACAGAGGATGAGCGCGAGACGCCTTGATCCGAGCGGCATCCTTCTCGGTGAGCACGAGCGCGATGGGGCGCCTGCCGGACCGGCTGAGGCCGAGTGTGGGGGATAGCCGAGGTGATCGTCGGCTTCGGAGGTGAGGCCGTTGGGTGCCAAGAGCAGAGCGCCCGTCTCTGAGTTGTCGAGGTCGACCGAGGAGCGAGAGATGGACTTGGCTCGATAGTGCTTCTTGCCCGAGGACGGCGGATCACGGCGGGCGGCGGCAGAGTCGGAATAGGACATGGAAGGAACGTGACGAAGCGGACTGTCGTATGCAAGCAGGCTAGCCGTCAGCTGCTGCCACCCTCCACAAGCTGCTCTTTGTGTACGGCTCGGATGCAGTACAGCAGGAGGAGCGATGCGATGAGACGACGAGTGGTGGTGAAGAGGAGCGTCTCGCGCAATGGTTTCTTCCTGAGTCAAGCTCCGGCCTGCCTCGGCCGCCTCGGACAAGGGACGATTCGTGCAGCTCCAGCTGGCGTTCTCCCGAATTTTGGAAGTCCGGACCGACAACGGTAGCTGTAATTTAGGCGCGTGGCGGCTCGTTCCTGGCCTCGTCTTTGCCTGCAGCCAATTGCACCTTTCGCAACATTCTGACTCTCGGCACTTGCTCGGCTTTACTGTTCTGCCTTGTGCCTTGGAGCTCTCATAGCGACACACATTGCCAAAAGAGCATCTCTGATGACAGTGACCAAGAGTCTGAAGAAAAATGAGAACAAGTGTTAGGCTTCAAGGTTGAGACAATTACTGGAAAAATTCTACGGATCCCTGTCCGTGCACGCAGACGGCTGACCGGAGCGAGAGAGGGTCCTACGGCATTTTTTTGAGAAAGCTGATTGGGCTCATTTTTTCCTCCACGGGATGACACTCGATTTCTGGCTCAGCAAAAGAGGCACGTCAGTTGCGTTGTGGAGAGCACCTGCTCATCAGCCGGAATCGAGTTGGGCCGGCTGCTTCGACCGTGCAGCCGCCGAGGTGGCCGCGCATCATCATGTCATGAGATATCGCCGAGCAGGCTCACTACCGTGTTCCCAACTGCCATCTCCTCTCCCTGGATATCCCAAGCCCTGTGCCCTGGTCGGGTTGACGTGGAACCTGGGTCGGCGTATCGCTTCGGTCGATCTCACCTTGTCAGCCATCGATAATCATGTCGGCTTCACACCAGCAGACCGCGTCGGATCACCCGCGCCACCATCTGCAACACTCGCAGTCGGACCCCATCCGAACCTCCAACTCCAGCACTGACGCAACCCACCAGCCGAGCCTGCTCAATCCAGGCATGGCCACCAACCCATCCGCCGGATTGACGCTACTCGAGCCGCCACAACCATGCACCTCCAGGCCGTCGTCCAGCATCTTCCAAGACACAACTGACTCTCCCGCCTCGAGCCTCTCCAGCCAGAATGTGAATGCTACGGAACCCCTCAACAAGACACACGCAAAGGTTCACGACATGTCTTCCTTACCGCACGCGCACGCATCCGATCAGTCGACCACATCGTTGAACTCTCCCTGCTTCGTTCACTCCTATCTCGACCGCGGCGTCGCCCTCGGCGAGAGCCTCAAGAAGCAACGCAGGCAGCTCAATCGCCAACGAGCACACCGTCCCAAGCCCAGCCGTCAGCTCTCTCAGAGCGAAACGACTCCTGCAGACGACGAGGCTTCTTCCCAGGCGAAGCGCGACACGGAGCCTTCCAGTGACTCTCGGGCCACCAACGCACCGTCACTCACGGATGAAGACACCCACTCGAGTTCAGATGCGACGTCGACATACGCAGCACGAAGCGCAGATCGCACATCGGCACGTGTCCGCATTCGCACCAGCTCCGACGATGACGACGGCGACGACGACGATGATGGCGATGCCGACAACATTGCGCACCAGCCTTCCTCCGATCGCAGCTCCTCTTACGGATCCTCGTACTCCTACTCGTCTGACGAGGAGGACTCGGACAAGGTTCGCTCGCTCACCCGCCAGCTCGCAGAGACCGCCGTGGGTGTACGCGAGATGAGCAAGCAGCTCGGCCGCGCCAGGGTCAAGTCGACCATCCAGTCGGTCATGATCATCACCAAGGCTAGAGACAATCACCTCATCAAACTCACGCGCGAGCTTGCCATTTGGCTCATGGCCACTCCTCGCAACGGCAAGGATACAGGACTCACCGTCTACGTCGACTCGCAACTCCGACAGTCCAAGCGCTTCGACGCAGAGGGCATCCGCAGGGACTATCCGCACCTGTTCGATCAGAGGCCACCGAGGCGCACGCCCAGCCTCTCCTCCTCCGTCTCGTCAACCTCGGGCCACGACAGCAACGGATCCTCCAACAGGGGAGAAGGCGGGAATCAGCTCCGCTTCTGGAACGCCGACATGTGCTCGCGTTCGCCTCACCTTTTCGACTTTGTGGTGACACTCGGCGGTGATGGCACGGTGCTGTTCTGCTCCTGGCTCTTCCAGCGCATCGTGCCGCCCGTGCTGCCTTTTGCGCTCGGCTCGCTCGGATTCCTGACCAACTTCGACTTCAAGGCATACAAGGACGTCATGAAGTCGGCCTTGGACGACGGCATCCGTGTCAACCTTCGCATGCGTTTCACTGCGACCGTGTACCGCGCCACCCTGCCCACTTCCAGTTCGGCGGACCGTCATCGCAGACAGGCGATCAAGTCCGGCAAAACGGGCGAGATCATCCTGAATTCGGTCAAGAATTGTGGGTGGGATGCGATCGAGTCGCCCAATCCGGACTCGCATCAGCCCCACTCAGCCTCACGCCAAGACGAAGAGGTGGTGCTGCCGTCAATGGACAAGAGAAGTAGAAAGAAGGGCAAAGGCGGCAAAAAGTGTCGCGACAAGGAGATCATGTGCTTCAGCACCCGGCCTGTCGAGACATTCGAGGTGCTCAATGACCTGGTCGTCGACCGAGGACCGAGTCCGTACGTCAGCTTGCTCGAGGTGTTTGGCGACGAGCACCACATGACGACCGCTCAGGCGGACGGTCTGTGCATCTCCACTCCCACAGGCTCGACGGCCTATTCGCTCTCGGCAGGTGGCAGTCTGGTCCACCCCGAGATCCCGGCGATCCTGATCACGCCCATCTGCCCGCACACGCTCTCCTTCCGACCGATGTTGCTGCCTGACAGCATGGAGCTGCGTATCGCAGTGCCGTACAACTCGCGAAGCACCGCGTGGGCCAGTTTCGATGGCAGAGGCCGCGTGGAGCTCAAGCAAGGCGACCACATCAAGGTGACCGCGAGTCGCTATCCCTTCCCTACCGTCTGCGCCGAGAATCAATCGACCGACTGGTTCCAAAGCATCTCGCGCACACTCAAGTGGAACGAGCGCCAAAGGCAGAAGTCTTTCGTCGTCGTGGAGGAGGGCGCAGACCCCGACTCGAGCAGCGGCGACAAGGGCAAGGGCACAGCGACTGGCGCTTCTCCTAGCAAGATGTTCGCGAAGCATGGCCGCAACGGCGACAACGACAGCAGCGACGATGACGACGAAGATGACGATGGGGAAGACGACAATGCCGGAAAGGACGACGACGAGGACGCAGAAAAGTTCGACATCGACGACACCAGCACCACCGTCACACGCAGCAACAGTCCCAACTCTCACCACGGCGACGGCCACGTGCGCAGGCGTTCGGGACAGAGCACACCACGTCACACAAACGGCAACTCGCGACGCAGCAGCGGGCCGTCGCTGCTGAGCACCTCGCTGCCGCGTCTGACATCCATCACCAGCGCGTTTGGACCCAAGTCGAGCGAAGGTCATGGCCAAGGCCAGGGCAATGCGGGCACCTCATCTGCCGCATCGTCGAATCCAGGCTCGTTACTCAACAGTCCGGACCGCTTCGGCCTCCAGGGCCCGCCGCTTCCCCCCAAGGCGATCAGCGAGCGACACCTACTCAGCGCCGACTTCCGTCTTGACGGTGGCCGAGCTCTGTCGCCAGCATCCGGCAGCGGCGCAGCGACGTCGACGTCGCCGCCTTCATCTTCGACGTCGAAGCCATCCGCATCGGCCGCATCCTCGGCCACAGGGGACCAAGTGTCGTTCACGACGCCGCGTGCTTCGCGCACCCGCAAGAGCGAAACACGCAAGAGCTCAATGTCCAAGCCCATGACACCTTCTTCGGCTCTCGCCCGAGATCGCACGCCCAAGGGGCTGCGCGGCGACTCGACGCGCAGGGACAGCAACCAGCGCGCTTCGGAGCCCGGCTCTGCCGATCCGGAGCGCTCAAGCCAGGCTTCTGGCGGAACCGCACTCGTCGTGTATGGCGAAGATGAGAGCGACTCGGACTCGACCACTGGAGCAGGCCACTAGAGGCGTGTATTTGCCGCTTTCAACCACGAGCCCGCGTGCAGATCATCCCGGAATGCCCGTTTAGCACCGCTACATTGCGTCGGGAATGGCATGCTCTTTGGAGACCGGCTCGATGTGAGGTCAGAGGCAGTGATCGGAAGGGAGGATGAATTGGTCAAGGGCTACACCACGGGCTTAGCTCGGTCGACTCGGGAAAGCTGCAGCCGCGTCGCGACGTCCCGTGGCATAGATGAACCGGTCCAGGGCGGAATTCCGTCGGGCGCCAATGCATAGATTGCTGTCCTGAGCTTGATCGTATTTGCACATCACCGGTGGACTATAAACACAGCCTGGGTTGCGCCAACTAGTCGTAGTCGTCCGAGGGCCGCTTTGCACCCTGCGACTGCAGCCAGACCCATGGCGGAGCGCCGTACAGGATGTGGAGAGTGAAGTGGCGCGCCCGTCGAAATTACGCCCTCGAGACGGCCCAGCCAAGACGCGCGCAAGAGCAACCCTCAACAATGCGCAGCGGCAACAGCGTGGCCAGCGTGGAAAAGTAAGGCGAAATCAAGGGGCTACTGTATGGCGGTGGCAAGTCCACGCGCTACCCACGCCCACGCCATGGATGGGATCATGCATCTCGTTGTCGCCTCACCCGACCTTTGCTCCCCAGCCGAGCGGTCCAGAACAGCTCCCAAGCAGTGCTCAGCGCCTTTCTCTACAGCGTGACCACCGTGGGCTGGTTGTCGTTATCCGGCTCGCAGATTTCATACGCGTGCGCTCGGGAGGGCCGGATTTTTGTTTGTGCGCTGTGCAGCTGGACCCTGGCTGGGCAGATCTGTCACCCGGGACCTTCGGGGATTCGCTCTCCGCCCAACGCGGGCTTTACAATGAGCGCAGCGCAGCGGAGCCTGGCTTGGCGCTACTCTCCGAGTGTGCCGCTCTTGTCGTCCCTTCGGCGTAGCCGTTGCCCTGGCAGTGGTGCCTTACGGCGTATCCGATCACCGTGCCGCTGGACCGGCCCTCGCTTCGATCCGGCCAGCCTGTTGCGAGGTAGGCGACACGCACGTCGAACCCTGTCACTCTTTGCCGACAACGGGCCATTTGGACCGATAGCGCCACGAACCCGGGAGATCGTTGCCAGCCGCCCGGTCCTTGTCAAAACCGTCGCCGGACTGCTTGCTTTGCGATCGGAGCCGACCAGGCTGACAGTCGTCGAGATACTGCCAACAACCTCGACTAGGCCATTTGCCGGCCTGACCACAGGAGCGCTGTCTAGCCGAGTCGCACCGGGAAGGGCGAGCCGCCGCGACCCCAAAAGGGAGATTTTCCGCCAGTTGCGCTCTTCAACGCACGGAAGCAGCGTTCCATATCGCCTCTGGCCTTCGCTGATGGAGGAGGCTTCCGAAAGCGAGCCGACCCTGCATACTGTGTCATTGTCAGCGACGTGTTCGCATCGTCGTCATAAGGCGTTCATGCCTGCTCTCTGTCGTACCCACTCTGGAACGAGCATCAGGTTCGAGGTGAAAGAGGTACGGAATTCACCATCCGCATCCATGCTTGATCCTGCAGTAAATTATGCTGAACGCGAGTTGCCGCGACGTGGCCACATTCCGTCGTCCCCAGCCAAAGTCGGCGGCCTCGCATCCACACGCAGGAGATTTTTGATTTTGATCTTTTGGTTTTCGAAAATCGCTGTCCAAGGGCGGAGACCAAAGAGGATCAAAAAAGAACAAAGCAGCGGAGGAGCGGCAAAGGCACTTGTGAGACAGCGACCGCCTCGCGAGCTGTCATGGACTGGAATTCCAGGCTCCGCCCCGAGACTGACGTGCTGCAGCCTGCTGGCCGCAGCAAGCTACGCGTCGCTTTCAGTCTCAGTTTGGCCTTGCTCCATCGCCCAACTCGGTCAACGCTACCGGATGAAGATCATTGCTGCCTTCATCGTCGTTGCAGATCATGGACCATTCGAAAGAAAACGTGGGGTCTGCGCTCGGAACGTTCGATTCGCTATCAGTTCTGCTAAACGTGCCAAAGCGAGTCTCGGGTCCTGACGATCCGGATCGTCGTCGTGCGGCCCCATTTATCCTCGATGATGCCTCCGTGCGACGGCAAAGAGGCTCGACGCACAGCCCGTCTCCATGACCGCTTCTTTTCTCGGAATGGACCAGGATGCACTAGCGTGTCTCTCGCAGCAGGAGCACGAAAGGCGCTGTCTGCCAAGTTTGTACTGGGCACTGCAGCACAGCCATCGGGTACATGGCGAGTCGAGACACGGGGAGACCAGGGCGACCTGTGCTTTGAAGGCAGGCTTGCTGGTCTAGCCGCCAGCAGACGCATCTAGCTCAGAGGGAGGTGACCTTAGCGTCAGGCAGCTTGTCTCGCAGTCTAGAATCCGCAGTCGTGCGCCCACGGTGGGATGTGCTGCTGCTTGACTGCTTAGCTGCTTGACTGCTTGACTGCTGGACTGCTGGACTGCTTGGCTGCTTGGCTGCTATTTCATCGAGGCCGCTCGTGGTTTCAGCCAGGGCTCTCGACGCCTCTGTCTCGGGCAGTGTCTCTGGCTGTGACCACTGTCTCTGATCCGTCGCACCCGATCCAAAGCAGCTGGGCCGCCCATCGCCCCAATGTGGGGAAGTGCCCATTGCAGACCCAAGGCAGAGCATCGCTGAGCCATGTTCGGCATTACCTGAATCTCTCAGACGGATTGCCGCTTGTGATCTCGACTTCGATGCCAGGCATGCGGGGCAGCTGTGATGAGCAGACCTGTGGGGCGGCTTGCCAATCCAGGCGATCAAACCTGCGGTATCAGGCCGCAGAAGCGCAATCGCGGGCCGGCATCCGCAGAAACGCACACGGCGCTCGAGCGATTCGACTCGAAGACCGCTGCATTGCATCGTAAATCGGGCTTGGAAGCTGGCTTGGTATTCATGTCCCCTTTCATCCCCGCGTGAAGGCACCGCCGATTGTCCGGCGGATGATGATTGGTCTGCAGTCCAGCATGTGGAGACGCTCGAGAAGCGGCCATCGGCACTACGTAGATTGCTTCTATTTGTTGGCAACCGACGCAGCGTGGTGCGAGCGTGGGACTCGTACACCACAGCCGGCTTCGCTTGCACGGTGATGCCCATCTCGGCTGGCTCCTGGCTCCGCAGGGCAAGTGCTTCAGCTTCGGCGTCTAAAGCGTGGACGACCACGCTCCAACTTTAGCGAGCCCGCTGATAAAATGCTGGCAGCACATTCTTGACCCTCATCCGTCATTCGGCTGCGATCGTCATCGTCATGGATCACGCCCTGATCGCCACATGTCTTTGCGCCGCCTCTTGACCGGTCAAAGGCAGGCGAGCAAACGAGTTCGATGGCAGTTGTCACTTTCACTGGCTGAGTTGGGAATTTGAGAAATTTTGTTTAGTGGCCGGGAAGCTGGCACCGGTTTCCAGCCAGTTCGCTCTCAGCTGTGGTGTTGCATCTCCTTTTTTGCTCCGATGCTGGCGATTTCTTTTTTGTTTGGACTCGTCCGTCGGCTGGCGCAGCGAAAGGCAGGAATGTCGCGCGGTCGGAAATAGCAGCAGAAGGGACGCGGCGCGGTGCGGTGCGGTGCGGCGAGGCGAGGCAGACGCATGACTGCGCCTTGCATCGAGGAGGCGAAGCCCAGCAGGCGACGCCAGCCCGCACGTCAGCAGCCCGCGTTCGTCAGCCCAGCGCGTCTTGCGCCCTGGCTCGGCCTGGCCTGGCCTGCTGCCTGATAGCTCCTGGCGCGCTGGACCTGCAGCCGCGTCCCGCGCGCCAACGCCGCTGCAACCATCGTGGGACACGCAGCTCAAGGATTTGCACCTCGCCGCTTTCTGCACACTCCGAACCCTGTTCTGCCTGATTTGCCTGGCAACCCGCCTGCCCGCCTCGTACCGCTCGATGGATCGACGAGGGCTTGGAAATCCGAGACCTGCAGACCAGCCACCTCGGTGCGCACATGTAGCCGCCCCACACACCTCGCAGCGCAATCTTTTTTACTGTGGATATCCTCGAATCCAGTCTCTCCTCACGCTGCACCCACTCGTACAGTATGCTGTTCGTTGAGTCTACAAAGAAGCTCGGGCTTGGAATAACGGAAGAGTCCACGCCCGCCACACGGAAAGCCTATGTGCGATAGGTGCACCTGCTGCGCGTCCCTCGTGCTCAAGCAGACAGGACGAGGCGAGGCGGTGCAGAGAAGCGGCAGCATCGGCATACGTTTTGAATTCCCACATGCTGGACCTTGCGGCTGACCTGGCCTCTCTCATGACGGGGTCTAGGCATGCTGCTCTTTTCTTTTCTTTTTCTCTTTTTTTTTTCTTCTCTCTTAATTGTATTTTCGGGACGGCGGCGCGATAACTTACAAGAAAGCGAGCAGCGCGGGCGCGCGAGGGCCAGGGCCAGAGGGCGTGATGCGAGCCACTGCCAGCAGCTCAAAATGGCTCAGCCAAAACCCAAACGGCGAGTGCCAAAATTGAGGCACGACCAGGCCAATTACGTCCTCCCGCGCTGCGGGTGTGCATCGTGGGTGACCGTTGTGCGCTGCTGCTGCTGCTGCTGCTGCTGTTCCTCCAGCATTGCTGACCGGGACCCTCTCACCGTGCAGATCACATTCGCCGCCTCGCCAACTCCACCGCCTACGTGGTTCGGCTCCTCCATCTCCATCATTTCTCCCTGTTTCACCACCGCTACACCTTCACCTCTCGTCCTGGCTCCACTCGCCCTCAGCGCGTATCGCAGGCACGCTCACTGGGTGCTTGCCGTCCCGAGTTCCTTGGTGGACACGCTACGCTCACACGCACTTCATCTCGCCCATCACCAACTTATGATACCGATCGTCTCACCATCCGAAGCAACCGGAACTGTCTCTTTTGCTCGCCGTTACGCCTAACACGCCCCGGCCCGCCTTCATTTCACCTTTCATCCCGTCGACATCGTCTAATTATACAATCAGCCTCTGCTTGCCCCACGCCCACAAACAGTCACCCCACATCGCCTAGTGGCGCCGCCTTTCATCCGCTCTCGCCCCGACAGCCCGACTTGGCGCTTAGCACCGTCCCACATTTGGCTCAGACGACCAGCACAGCCTTGCATCTCGCACCACTCGCTCGTTCACCCCGCCTATTCGGCATCTGCATCTCTCCTGCATCGTCCGTCCAATTCGTCACGCCTCAGCCAACTCTTCTCCACCACTCGGGACAACTCCTCCTTATCAGCACTCTTCTTTTTGGAAGCGTCGCTCGGCATCACCGACGAGAGAGTCGCCTGACAGCCACTCGGTGCCTTTGCCTCACGCCAGACCTCGTCCATCGCATCGAGCGCAGCGTGCCAAGCCGCAGTGAAGCGTCTTCCAGAGCCAATGTCATCCTGCACCAGCAGCGACAATTGATCTGCCAACCTCTCGTCCGTATCCTCCAGCACTCGGTGGTTTGAAGTCACTATCACCGCCGCCGCACCAATCGGACGCCATATTCCCTCCCTTTGCATCCGAATACCCGCCACACGAGCTGTTTGGTTGCGTCTCCCATCGCATCTTTCCATCACTAGCGTTTCCGAGACAATCAAGGAGCCGCTTCTTGTCATCTCAATCGCGCTCGCCTACCGTCTTGCTTGCTGAGCCAGAGGGGCTGGCCAGCGTCGCCCTGCACCATTCTGTCGACGTACAGAGCCATGGGGCCGAGCGGCGCGAGAACGGGGATCCCGTTCCCCGGTGCCGCAAGCGCCAGCGGCACCACTTCATCGTCCAGGGACAGATCCGTCCCGCGCTCGGCCGCAGACTCGGCATCCGAGTCTGGTGAGGCCATCGACAACCGAGACATGGAAGTCGATACCGAACCGTCTGCCAAGCGCTCCAACCCGGCGGGCGCGGAAGCGTCCACCAGCCTTCCCAGCATCAAGAATCTCTTCGGCATTGAGCGTGCAGAGCCGCTGGCATCAGTTCGACGATCCGATGGACTCTCCGAAGATGGCCATTCGCTCGGCACCGCAACACCCAGTTCGCCAGCAGGAGTTCCCCAAGCAGCCTCTTCGCAGTCGCTGGATCAACGCGGCTCGCGCGGCCATGCCAGCACCAACAGCTTCTCCGAATTTCAGTCCGGCCTCTCACACAGCTCCAGCTCATCGTCGCTCGGGCCGATCCGCACCAGGCACTCTTCCAACACTGGGGCTGGGTCTTACGGACGCAGTGGTCCGCTTGTGCCCAGCACACCTCCTCGTCATCCCGGCTCCTCAACACATCCATTCAGTCCCGAAGATGGCGGATCACGCCGACGAGTCGATTCACGGTCGCGTCAGGCACAAGCGCTCAAAGGCCTCATCCTTTCTCCACCCTCGCGCCGAGTCCCACTGGATGGCGAAGGCCCAAGTTCCGACATGTCTGCGCCAGCGCAACGGCGCAGCGGCCATCGTCCCGCATCATCCTCTTCGGGCTCACTCTCCACCTTGTTCTCGCACATCTCGACCGCTTCGGACCCTTCGCCCATGCTGCCGCCTGGCTACGTGCCTTCGGCACAAACGTCGGAGGAGAGTGTGCCTCACGAGGGCTGGGGCGCGGCGAGCGCACGGTCCGAGACCACCAGCCCCCGCACCAGCTGGCACAGTCGTTCCTCCACACTCGAGTCAGGCGAGGCCGCCTACAAGATGATGGGTAACCGACCGTCGGGCTCGCTCTTGCCGCCTTTCCGCGAAGCCCACGGCCAACAGGGCGAGTCTTCGCGCTTCTCGCCTGAACAGCACTTCTCCAGCCTGTCGCGTCACCGATCGCTGCGCACGCCAGGAAGCTCCGCCGATCTGCCCGGACCGCCGCATCAGCCGCCGCACCGACCGCGCGCGCGCACCCTCACGCACACCGACCGACCGATTGCGCCGCTCCCGAATTCGGACGACCCGGCACGCAGGCAAAGGCTCGAGGCGGCGTCCGAGCTGCTGCGCATGGGCCAACAGCGCGGAGACGACCCTGCCAACGCGCCAGGCGGGCGAATGTATTCGCACAAGCACAGCCTCTCGATGCAGGAGCGTGCGCCGCTGCCGATGGAGCTCTACGAAAATCCAAGCGTGACGCGTGGCCATCGGCCCAAGTCTCACTCAATGTCGGGGCAGGAGCCCTACGATCCCGAGATGCAGGCGCACTATGGCCCGCCGGGAATGTCGGCGCCTGGCATGGGCGCGCCGCCTTTCGAGCGAGGCGGCCCACCGCCGGGTTCGGGCGCGTTCGACTCGTTCCATCCAAGGCGAGGCCGTGGCGCTGGTGAGGAGGCACCACGTCCAGGCGGTGCCGGTTGGGTCTTTCCGCGTCGTCCGATGCCGTCGGAAGCCGAGGCGCAGCGCAGTGCTTTCCAGCAGCAGATGATGCGCGGCCAAAGCCTGGCTAGCGTGCCGGACGGCATCATCTCTGCGCAGCATGGCGGCGCATTCGGCGGCGTGCGGGCGGCGCCGAGCACGACGGGAACCATCGCGTCGGGCCAGGCCAAGTACGAGTGTGCGTGGTGCGGCAAGCGCTTCTCGAGACCGTCGAGCCTCAAGATCCACCATCACTCGCACACGGGTGAAAAGCCGTTCGTTTGCAACGAGCCGGGCTGTGGCCGCTCGTTCAGCGTGCAGTCGAATCTGCGGCGTCACCAGAAATGCCACGCGCCCGGCGGCGACCAGTCCGAGATGGACGCTTCGCGACAACAGCAAGGACCGATGCACGGTCGTGGTGATGAAGCATTCTGGGCGCGCGGTCCTCCCCCGCCGGCAGCCTCGGGCTCGAGGATGAGCCCGATTGGCGGCGGCAACGCTGGTTGGCATCCCATGTACGGCCCGGGACCCGCTCACGGCCACGGCCCGCCTCCGCCGCAATCGCTGCCGCACGGACATCCCTACGGCGGTGGCCACCCGCCTCCGGGTGCACCGGGCGGACCGATGCCGATGCCGATGGCGATGCAAATGCCTATGCACATGCAGATGCAAGTGAAGGATCATCCGCCGCTTTCGCGATCGGCGTACGAACCGGGATCGCGCAGCATGAACACTTGGACCGAGCTGCGGCGCGAGATGGGCCCGCCCGGATACATGCGCGAGTACGATCGTGGAGCGGGCCCCGAGGCGTACGACGTGGCACGGTCGCCGCGTCGATTCACACAGATGCAGGATCGCCGGCTGTCGGAGTCCGAGGAGGAAGAAGAAGAAGAGGAAGAAGAGGACGGGCTGCGGTACGAGCAGGAGAGCGTGGGAAGTCGAAGGAGCGCCAACATGGAACCTTTCGATTCGCGACTGCATCGCGCCGAACATTCACCGACGAAGGAATCAGCATCGGCCGGGGGCTCGAGCGAAGAGGAAGGCGACACCACCGTGACCATGAAGAGCGGCCCGCGAGCAAGGAGCGCCACCACCACGAGCACGACGTCGGGACTGCGCGTTGGCTTCAACTCGCTGCTCAACCCGGAGGAAAGGAGAGCCGACGGCCGGGTCAAGGAGGAGGGATAAAGTGATCGAAGCTCGGCTCGACGAAGCAGCCATCTTGCTCACGCCATCCTTCCCACCCTCAGTGCAACGGAAACGGAAAGCTTGCAACACACGCACAAGCCAATCGCTTCTGCACCACAATTCTTTCGTGCGGCGCTCGAGTGGCAGGCGCCACTTTCTGTGTACGAAACAGTCGATCGAGCATTCGAGCTGTTTGACCATCGTCTCCTGTGCGAGACTGTGTGAGAAGAGGTTGTGTGGTTGCGATCAAGGCACTGCGATTCTGAGCGTGATGTTGTTGCTCTCTGTATGCGCTGTGCTTGGCAGCGTCCATCGCTGTGAGGCTGTGGATCTGCAGGCTGTGAATCGGAATCTCGTTGGGAAGCTCACGTCTCAGAGGAGGAACGCGTGGCTGACGGGGCGGAGGTGCGGTGCGGAGGCGAAAATTAAGGGTTGCGAGGCGCGTCGGCTTCTTCCAGCGCTTCGGCAGCTTCCGAAGCTCACAGCCCAGCTGGACCCGCGCCAGCAAATCGACGCAAGCAAAGCCAAAAAGTGCGCCGCACATGCATGCTTTGCACGCGTGCGCAAATCCACACATTTGACCCTCATCACCTTTGGTCAAGCCCACAACTGCTGCTTCTGCACAGGCTTGCAGCCATTGTTCCTGCTGCGCTCTCCTCCGCAAATCTGCTCGACTTGACTGGACAGCGCCCGCACCACCTTCGCTGCACTCTGGCGTGTGGGAAAGCGCACGCATGTCGGCCGCCACCCACATTCTGACGGGCGACAACGCCTCGTCGCAGCGCACTTCATTCTCGAGCGACCATTCCGAGATCCCATCCTATCCACGCTCCCACAAACACGCTTCGCCTTCCGACGATCCCATCCCACTGCCCGATCCCCGGCTCGACGCTCCTCAACCCACCGCCATCCCATCAGCTCCTCGCGACCGTGACGCCCCGCCTCCCTTGCGTGGCGACCTTCCGGCAACCAGGCCAGACGCACGTCATCTTCAACCAAGACCCGACACCGCGAGCACCACCGCATCCTTCGCCTCGGCCAGTGCGGACATCCCCGGTCGACCCTCGATCGCAAGCGTCAACAGCTCCCGCCACACCTCGCCCCGAAAGCCGCACGCACGCATCGGCCGCAGCTTCGAAGCGCTCCTCGCTTCCGACGAGACGTACGTCTTTAAAGAGACCGCAAAGGTCGCCCTGGGTCCCGAGGATAGTCCGCGCGCAAGCTCCAGCCGCATTCCATCCTCGAATTCACTCGACGCTTCGTCGGGCTCCAAGCGCGTCATCGTCGAGCGCAGGAGGGAGAGCTTCTCGTCATCTCTGCTCAGCACCGATCTCGACGACGTGCACGAGGAGATGACCGACGTCACACCTCGGCCACCTGATGCCGACGTCTTTGGTTCTCCCCAGCAGCAGCAGCCCATGCCTTCGACTTCCTCTGCGACTCTCCTGCGCTCTGCGTCCGGCGGTGTCAGGGTCGACCAAGCCCGTGTGCCCGCCTCGCCCGACCGCACCACCTCTCTTGGGCGACGCGCTACCGCCAGCCCCTCTCAGCCCGCCAAATCCCGCACGTCCACCGCCATGGCGACTCAGCACAATTTCATGCTTCCTCCCGCCGCCCCTGCGTCGCCCAATGCGACCATGCGCGCGCGCTCCCGAGCTTCAAGCAGCCTTGGGCTGGAGCAGGAGATCCACGCAGCAACGACCGACGCCGATGCCGAACGAGCCTCGTCCATGGGCTCGTTCCGACAACGCATGAAAAAGACGAGCGGCTTCCTGCGCAAGCTGCGCAAGGACGGCAGCCAGCCTCGCCGCGACCGGGACGCTCCACAGCCCAACGGCGCCGGCTCTTCAAGCGGCGCCTACTCGACCGGCTCCAATCCGTCAGCCACTTCGCTCGGTCGCCGCGAGAGCAAAGCCAGTGTGCACAGTCAAGGCGGCTCCTCGACTGCCGGCAGCACATCGCATTCCACCAGCCACAAGCACACCACCCACTTTGCTTCCACAGATGGCGTCGCCGTGCCCGACATCCCAGAACGCTTCATTCAGTCCTCGGCCAGCTCCAACTCGCACATGTCGACGATTCCTAGCCACGCCACAATGTCGGCGCAGGATCACGGTCGTACGTTGGCCGCCGACGCCCAGGAGCTCGCATCGCCGAGCAAGTCCGGTTTGCGTGTACCGTCGGCACCGGCGACCATGACCGAGTGGTCACCGACCTCCAAGGTCGCGCTCCCGCAGCGCTCCAGCTCGCAGGGCCACGAGCGCAACAAGTCGCTGGCATCCAGCGACTCCACTGGCGCAATCCGCTTGGCCGTCCAGCAGCTCGAGTCGCAGATGGAAGACGCTCTCAAGGAGGCGCCGCAGCAAGTCCCGCACGCAGCGAACAAGCAGCCGCAAACACAATCAAAGAAGCAATGGGGCCCATCGCCCCAGCTTCCCGACCTCGACATCCAGCGATACAAGCAAAGATCGGGCAGCTTCCTCGAGGAGGACGATCTCGTCTCCGTGGATACCAATGCATCCGCGGCGGTGGCATCAGCGAATCACTCGACCTCCAGTCACAAGACTTCCACCCCCACCGATGCTCGCTCTCCTGCAGCTCGCAACGGAGGTCTGCCAGTTACCACGACCGGCCTCGGCATCTCCGCAGGAGCATCCACCGAAGAGGCGGTCGTTTCATCGGCACCCGTGCAGAATACCAACGGCGTCTCTGTCGAATCGAAAGCATCGAGCAAACAGCCCATCGAGAACGAGACAACCAAACGTGCGGACAGGCCCAAGCCTCTTCCGCCGGTGGCATCACCGCGAGTCGTCGATGCTCCGAGCCCTACCAACGGCGCCGACTCTCCACGCGAGCCTACCCACTCGGCCCGCAGCAGCGTGCGCAACTCGATCGACCCCAACGCCGAAGCGCAATTGCGTCGTCGCACCATGGATTCGGGTGCCAGCCTCGTGAGCGCCCGCTCCTTCGAGACAGCGGCCGAGACTTCGGCTCTGGACAGTGCAGACACCAAGGTGACGTCTCTCAGCCAAGCATCGCATGAACAGCAAGCTTCGGGCGAGAGTGCCCGCGTCAACGACACTCCAACCCAGCAGCCACTTGCATCAGCGACAGCGGGCTCGCTAGACGGCACCCAGCCGAAACAGAGTCACCTCGATCATTCTTCACGAGAGATTAGCAACGGCAGCGACTTGGAGGACGATGATGCCAACGAGCTGAGTATCCGTCTGGTGACCAAGCGGTCCGATCTCAGCAATGTCGATCTCCCGAGTCCACAAGAGATGGGTCATACCGCGATCATCACAGCACCCGCTTCGCCCGAATTGGACGCTTCCGCGCTGCCCAAGGTCGTCGAGCTCTCCCAGACCTCTTTCCTAAGACCGGGGCGCAACGGTAGCATGAGCCGCGGGCACTCGGCGTCCTCAGGATCCGTTCGAGCCGGCCCAGGGCTGCTCTCCACTCCATCGATGCGACGCAGCGCCTCGCCTTCCTCGTCGCCCACGTCTGCGAGGACGAGCTTCGACGCACCGTCTTCGCGTATGGCCAAGGACGAGATGGCCGCGCCCCCATCCGTGGCTGCATCTGCGCACGAACTCGCCACTAAGTGCTGGGAGGAGGACGCGAGCTTCCTCAAGCGCGAAAAGATCGCAGAGTGGCTCGGTGGCTTGGGCTTGATCAACCGCGCCGCGCGCACTTTCTACTTTGCCAACTTTGACTTTGGCACGCTGCGGCTCGACGTTGCCTTTCGTCGGCTCTGCGACAAGCTCTTCCTGCGGGCCGAGACGCAGCAGATCGATCGCATCCTCGCGGCGTTCTCGCAGCGCTACTTCGAGTGCAACCCGGACTCGATCTTTGGCAGCTCGGACGTGATCCATTCGGTCGTGTTTAGCATTTTGCTGCTCAACACGGATCTGCACATTGCAGAGCTGCAGGAGAGGATGACGCGACAGCAATTTGTGCGCAACACGCTCAGTGCGATTGCAGAGAGCAGCTCGGACGCACCCGTCTCGTCCGGCATGGACGACAGCAGGAGCAGCTTCAGTACGGCTCACGTCGACATGACGCGCAGCGCCGACGCTGCCGCACAGTCGACCACGCCGGCTCAGCGCAGGAATAGCATCAGCAGCTATCTCGGTAGCCGCTCCAAGCAGAGCCTGGCTCACCTCGAGGCATCGTCGGACAGCCAGCCGCAGGAGAGCTCGCGTCCGGGCACTGCCATGAGCGGTGCCAAAGGAAAGGAGGCAGAAATCGAGGCCATGCTGCGCGACATTTATGCTGCGGTCAAGTCGGATCGCATCCTGCTTCCCAGTCCCGAGGGCGGCTCGGGCACACTGGCCACCGGTCGGACATCGGGCACCTTCAGCCCCATGGGCGGTAGCCGCAGAAAGACGGGCAAAGGCAACGACAGGATGACTGCGCTCAAGCGCGGCTCCATCCGCGGCATCCAGGGCTTGCTGGGCGGCATGAACTCGAACAATTCGTTCCTGGATCCCGCTGTGAGCCCGAACCCTTCGCGCTCGTCGGTCGACTCATGGGGCCGCCCCTCGGCGACGTTTGCCTCGGGCGTGGATCGCGACCGCCTGCTGTCGCCCGCGCTTAGCGTCACGCCGGGCTTTGCCAGCACGCTCTCGCACACCATCATCAAGGAGTCGATGGAGGAAGATGCAGCCGGCGGAGCTGCAAACGCCTCGTCGACTGCCGAGAATGCGATCGACGAAGAGGACGACGACGACAAGCTCGCGCTCGCCGGTCCGCCATGGGCCAAGGAAGGCTCGCTCACGCGCAAGCACTACTGGGAGAGCACGGGCAAGCGTGCCAAGGACAAGAACTGGACCGAGCTGTTTGTAGTAGTGTCCAAGGGCACGCTCTCGATGTTCCGCTTCGACACTGGCGGCTCCTCGGCCTCGGCAAGCACAGCGTCCAAGGCCAAGGGCCGCGCATCGGTGGCCGCTGCTGTAGGCGGCGACGGTGGTTCATCGGCGGTGCTGGGTGGCGGCAACTGGCTGTCGAACGCGACGTGTCTGGGCGAGATCGCGCTGGCGCACTCGCTGGCCAACGCGCTTCCGCCGCCCGGCTACAACCGCGCGCGTCCGCACGTGTTTGCACTCACGCTGCCCGGCGGCAAGGTGTACTTCTTCCAGACGGGTCACGAGGAGCTGGTCAACGAGTGGGTGAGCACGTGCAACTACTGGGCGGCACGCCAGTCCAAGGAGCCGCTCGCGGGTGGCGTGAGCAACATGGAGTACGGCTGGAACAAGGTGCTTCCGCAGCTGGACGACGACGAGTACGAAGAGCTCGACAACGGTGGTGCCTCGACATTCGGCAGTCAGAGTCAGCTGGGTGAGGGCGACGCACGCAGTGTTCGAAGCGGCAAGGGTGGGGTGCGCGGCAAGGTTGGGTTGCGCACATTTGGGTCGTCGTCGGTGTCGCCTTCGCCCGCGACGTCGATTAGCACCTCGTCCAATGCTGGATACCTATCCAACGAGCGCGTGTTTGTCAACGAATGGCGGGCGCCTCAATTGCCGACAGTAGCATCTACGCTGAGCGAAGAGCGTCAGCTCGCGCGTTTGGAAAAGCAGGTGGAGCGGTTGGAAGCCGAACTGACGCTGCACAATGAGCTGCGTCAGCCCATGCTGAGCCTCTACTCGCCCAAGGGCACCAACCACGCCAAGGCGCTCGCCAACTGGGAGCGCAAGAGCAACCATCTGCTGCAGGAGCTCGTCAAGTACCACAGCTACACCGAGGCGCTGCGCAAGAGCGCCGATCTCAAGGCAGAGCGCACCGCCCGCCGAGAAGTAGAGGGCATGATCCAACAGGGCGACGACGCGCTCGCCGAACTCAGCATCGCCTAGCCTAGTCGGGTCACTGCACGCCCTGTTTGCTCAATCTCGCAAAGGTTCCCTTGCAATCAAGGGTTTCAAGGGCCGTGACGTGCATCTGGTGATTGTCGCAGTGTGATTGTGATTGCCAGGAGTGTCTGTGTGTGACTGCGTGAGTGCAAGCGTTTCAGATGGTGGCGTCGTCGGTGACCAAACCGATGCGTGCGCGCCAGAGCTCTTCCTTGAGCTTGGTGAGTTCGGTCCACATCTTGTCCTCCCACTCCATGGCGTCGAGGCGGTCGAGGAAGAGCGCCGTGTTGGCGGGCGTGGCGGGGCGCAGAGGTGCGGATGCAGATGCGCTCGAGCTGCGTTGAGGTGGCACAGCAAGCGCGCCCGCGCGAGGATGGCGGCGTGGGGGGACAGCAGGTGCGGGCGACACGGAGCCCGTGCCGCGCGCTACCGAGCGTGGAGGCAGCGGCGGCGCAGGGGCAGCAGCTGCGTCCGATCCTTCGGCAGCACCAGCCGCAGCATTGCTCGCATCAGCGGTCGCTGTCGGGTCCGATTCACCCGCTGGCTCCGTAGCCGCAGTCTCTGCCTTGGTCGCGCCGTCCGTAGCATCATCTTCCTTCTGCTCGTCTTCTGGCGCGTCCGGTGCTTTGGGCTCGGTCGGCGAGGATGGAGCGTCGGCAAAGTCATCGTCGTCGTGCTTGGTGGCTGCCTCTGCGGGCGTCTCGTCTGTCTCCTCGTTGTCTTCCTTGTCCTTCGCCTCTGACGTCTCTGTGTCCTCGGCAGCCGGTGCGGCTTTGCTCTCCACATCCGCCGCCTCTTTGTTCCCAGAAGCAGTGTCAGAAGCGTCGGAAGCACCTGAGCCTTCCTGCACGCTCTCCTTGACCTTTTCTGCCTCGGTCTCGTCGTCGGATTCCGCCTCCTTGTCGGCATCGCCGTCATCCTTGTTCTCTGACTGAGCAGCAGCCGGCTCTTCCGGAGCGGGCGCGGCCTCTTCCTCTTTTTCCGCAGCAGCGACGGCCTTCTCGAGTGTCTCGACCTGTTCGCTCTTGGGCGCGTCGAGCGGCTTGGCCAGCTCCAGGGACGGCGTGCTGGCGGCGAGCGGATGAGGCTCGTCATTCATGAATTTGCCTTCCAAGACCACCGAGCGCTCGAGGTTGCGCACAAATCCCCAGAACTGGCACGCGGCGCGAAGACGCATGAGGCAGTGGTGCGGACACAGGAGGTAGCGGGTGGGCGCGCTCTCGCTCAATCGGAAAATGTGCGTGGGCACCGGCAGGTTGGGCGAGACCAACGCTTCGACAGGCACGTCGACGTGTGCATCCGTGGCCTCGGTCGAGGCGGTCGCGGTCGCGGTCGCCTCTGTGTCCGTGGCTTTGTTGGTGCCGGACGATCGCCTGAATGAGCTGAACAAGCCTCCCCTGGAAGGCTTGGGCGTGATGGTGGCCGAGTTGGATCCACTGCTGGCGGAGCTTCCAGTGATTGAGCCGAGCGAGCTCGCGGCTGAGCTGGCCCAGCTGGAAGTTGCGGTGGCGATGCTGCTGGGTACGAGGGAAGTTTTGCCACCCTGTTCGGAGGACATGGCGGTAGCTGCCACACCGCCTGGCAGAGGCACGTTGACGACCGGGATGCCACACATGGCGCAAGCTGCGGGAGGCAGGTGGGCATTCTCTCGGCGGATGCGATCCTCGTCGAGGGTGGTGCTTCCGGAAAAGATGGGTTCGATGACGAGGTTGCCATCGAGAATCGCCGTGTTGGCCTGACGCCTGCTGAGCCAGTTGAGCCCCGGCGCGAAGTCGAGACGGAGGCACGGTTCTACATCCTCTTCCTGGGAGCGCTTGATGAAGGGCAAGGACAATTGATTTGGCAGCGATACCAGGTTGTCAACGTTGGACGGTAAAGTAGGATAGTCACGGTGTCGGCTGACGCCTGCGATGGCGAATGGCGAGCTGGAATAGAGACCGCCGCCAATGCCTTGGCTGTAGGCGGATGAAGCAGTCGCGATAGAGTTGGTCGTCGTCGATACAGCGCTAGACGCTTGCTGAGGCGCTGGCGAAGCGGTGCGTGGGGTAGGGGTGCCGGTGAGCGAGTCACGAGCGCCGTGCGGGAGTGGATAGTTGTAGAAAGGAGCCAGCTGTTTTCGCAATTTGCGCAGATGGGCGATGAACGAACGGAACTCCTGGTAGGGGACGATGTTGATGATGAGACGAGCTTGGGCTGGAAGGTCGGCAGCGGGTTTGTGCTTGAGCTCACGCACAGCGGTCCTCTGGGAGATGGATCGAGCGAGGGAGGAGGTGTTGAGGCGATGGAAGCTGACGGCGTCGCTTTCGAGGGAAGCGATGGATGCAGTGTCGGCGGTGATCTTCTTGGAGGCTGGATCGGCTTGCAGCTTTTCGACCTGGCGCTGCAGATCGGCAAGCACCTTCTGTTGCTCGAGCATGATGCCCTCGGTATCTTTGAGCCGCTCCTCCATGTTGCGGCTCTTTTCTTCGGCTCTGGCACGCGACAGGCGCTCGACGGCGACCATCTTGTTGGCTTCGCTAAAGAGACTCGAGCTGAGCTCGTCGAGCTCGGCCTCGATCTTGCTCTTGTCACTCTCTGCCTTGCCGCGTTGGGCGGTCTCTTCGATGACACGGTCCATCATCCTCTGCATCTCGCTGCTGACGTGAGCCTTTTCGACGAGGAGGCCAGTGTTGAGGGCGTCGAGGTGCTCTGCGCGCTCCTTTTCGAGCTCCTTGATCTTTGCCGACATGGTGCGGATGGTCTCTTGGGCGTCCGAGTAGTCGTCCTCGAGGTCGGCGATGCGATTGAAGGATTTGACGAGCTTCTCGTTGAGACCGGTCACCTGGTTGGTGAGGTCGGAGACTTGAGCCTGCAGCTCCTGTGTTGTTGGTAGTGGTTGCGCTTCTGGGATGGCATGCTGCTCTGTGGTCATGGAACGGGTGGGTGCTCGAGGACTGTTGATCGAGTCGCTCTGACTGAAGATGGCAGAAGCAGCGGAGGCCCTTTTGAGGTCGGATTGGCCGGCATCGCTGGGGAGATGGAAGGCGGAAGTGCGCTTTGCAGCTGCATCGGACGATGAATCGGTGCCCAGCACCTGGTCTGGGTCGGCTTCATCGGCGAGGATGGAGTCGGGATCCATCCTCTTCAACTTGGTGTCCGATTCGGGAGCTTCGGGCTGCGCGGACTTGGGGTCGTCCTGGCGCACCGCATCGGATTCAGGAGCTGCCGACATGGCTGTGTCGGCTTGGTGTGCTCGGGGCCAGTCTGGAAGCGAAAGGAGAGGCGGGTGGATGTGCGCTTCAGCAGCGTGGCGACCGGCGCCAATGCGAGACGTGGGATGTGGGATGCAAGCGTTGATGTTGTGACTGAGGGAAACCAGGGTATGCTGTGCGTGATGGAATTCGTGCAAGTGAAACGGTGCTCGAGCGTATTTGAGAAGAGCGGATCTGAGACTCGCTTGTGAGGTGAGACGCTCCACGTCCACACGTTCCCCCCCGCGCAGTCAGTCCCACCGCGGTCACCACTTTGGCCCCCACTCGCGCCAAAATGTTGAATACGCACGAACCCACTTAGTATCAGTCAAACCCCTCCATTCGCGCCTGGGCCGATGACAGCGCAAAAGCATGTTCCTGAGCTGGGCTGCATTCGCATTGTGAGCATCGGATGAAGCTTGGCTGTGAACGTCGGAAGCGCCGCAAGAGAGTTGTAACCAGCCCAGTCGAATCGGCCCACGCCGAAGCCATTTGTGATGCCACAAGCAGCTATTTCACACTGATCAGCACAGTGATAGCACACACACGCTCGGAGCAGCGACTCGTGACCGTTTGCAATACGCTCGGCTTTCCCGTGAGATCACATGTCGCTGTTGTCTGTCCTTCGCAGGGCGAGGAGTCGATAGAAGGAGGGCAAGTCTGATTTTCCAAGGCGATTCAGATGGCAGCGAAGGTACGCACGCGTGCACTTGCAAATTGGCTGCAGCAGAAGCAGCTCGAGCCATCCCCGCTTGCACCCACGTCAGCCACGCACGCAGGCTCTCGGCGGCGTGTGCGCGTGCTTCGACGTGTGCTTGTGTGCCTTTCGAGTGAAAGCCTTCGTGGAGCGCCTGCACGCGCCACCTCGCCCGACCAGCCAGCTCAGGGCGCAATCGCCGCACCTTGCATTTTAGCGACCTTCTCAGCCTGAGACCTTCCCCACGAAGCCGCCTAGCCTCCGATCAAGCATCGTGTCCGCAACACCACCATACGTTCACATCTACCCCAACCTTTCCGAACGCGAGCCACTGCACTGCACCGCAGCGTTAAGCATTCCACACTGGTCAGGGACCGCGCGGGCAGTACCACCAGAAAGTCGTGTCTCGCGCTGGCCGCGGCATCTCGTCTCCTCGCACCACCACCCTCCGCCAATCCACAGCCATGTAAGTACATACAGACCGAATCTCGTTTGGCCCTGTCGCTAGAGGCATGCCTTGGCTCACCCGTTCTCCGTTTCCATCCTCCCTCTCTCGCCAGGTCAAGCGACAGGTCTCAGCCTCTGCCAAAGGCTGGCGCAAGCCTCTCCGAGCGCATCGCCGCTCTCCAGCGCAAGACGTCCAACCCGGCCCGTTCCAACAACCTCTCACTACCTGCGTCCGCATCAGCTACCACCTCCGGACGTCTAAGCCCAGGCGAAAGCCCTTCCCGATCCCCTTCGGGCAGTGCTTCGGCCGCCAACGCGGTACGCGACCGCATCGCAAAGTTCCAATCCAGCGATGAGAAGCCCGTCATGCCCAGGAGCTCCTTCGGGTCGCCAGCACCGAATCCAGAGATCCGCAGTGCGCGGCGTCAGTTCCCAGGCTCCGTCGCCGGCAAGGGCACGGGCGCTTGGGGTGAGGGTGTGCTGCGGCCACAGATGACAGGCGGTGTCTGGCTCGGTGCTGGCGCTGGTGGCGGATGGGGCGACCCAGCCTCAGCCAGCCTGCGCCCGCAAATGACTGGCGGTGCGTTTCTCGGCAGTGGTGCGCCGCGATCAACCAGCTACGGCGCTGCGCGTCTCCAACGAGGCGTCTCCGACAACATCGTCCACGGAACCGGCAGGGATGCATTCGCCGAACTCGATGATGACCTCGTCTTGACCGGCCGAAATCGCCCCGAGGACAAAACAGCATCACAAACACATGAAGTTTTCGCAGGTGCCGTCGCCGCATCCGAACAGTCCGACAACTTGCCAAAGCTCCCAGACACCCCAACTACCGAGATCGACCTGCAAAAGATCCACTCCGACCAGCGCCTTCCAGAGCAGCCGCCAGTGGCCGCGATCCCAGAATTCCCCGAGGCCCCTTCCGCGACACCCACACCTTCGACCAAGCTCAACGGCGCCTTGGAAGCCACAGATGCCACTCCCGACACTTCGATCGAGATCGGCATCCACGGACGTTCCGCCGACGATGTCGAACGCATCCGACAACGCGCGCACGACCTCGAACTCTCTGACAAGGCGCAAACCCCCGATCAAGATCCTTGGGTCGCTCCCGCCCCTTCCGACCTCGCTGGCCAGGTGCCCAAGCCCATAGACACGAGCGAGATCCTCGCTGCCCAAACCCAGCCGTCCAAGACCGATATACCGGAACCGTGGGTCCAGGGTCACGGCGTGCCCGACGTGGATCGCGATCTCGAAGCTGCCAGACTCACATCATCGAACGGGAGCAAGCTTCCCCCCGCGGACTACGCTGCTTCCGGAACGCTGCCCGAGCGTGCTCAAGTGGAAAGGACCGACTCGGGCCGCGTCGACCCGCTCGATCCGGCAGCACATCAAGTGCGAGGGCCAGGGCTTCTTGTCCCCCGCGATGAGGTAGCGGAAGCCAAAGATCTTGGGCCTGAGGCGGTCAAAGCACCCCTAGTTCACGATGTACCTTCGTTCGAGGTGGGTGCATTGCCGTCTCACTCTAGCTCCAGCACACCTGTGGATTTCGCAAGATCACCCTCCAACGGAACACTCACACCTTCAAGCTCCTCCAACACCGTCAGTGCGGTCGAGCGCGCTCGGCAGGCAGTCGCCATGGGCCGCACCAAGAGCCAGTCGCAGCGTCTGCGCCGTCCGCCCCCAGGCACAGTGCTCTCCGCTGCCGATTTAGACGCCAGCGATGACGAATACGAGCCTGGATGGGCAAGCGTCACCAGCGTCATGTCATCCTCACGCTCCTAGCCTCGCTCCATTTCAAAGTCATTGCCAACTCAATCCGCAAAAGCGTCACCCGTCATGCGCCACTCCCTCGTCGTTCGGTGCATTCGTCATTCTGCAATCCGGAGTGTCATGCGAGATGGAATTGGCCAGAAAACAGATTGAGAAGCATTCACGATGACGGTCCCAGAATACCTAGACGAGAGCATATGTGTGTGTACTGTAGACCTTGACAAAGCAGAGCGAGGGTCGCTGACCGAGGAGAGGGGAGGCAAGCTATAAGCGGCTGGTGAGGTCGTGGGCGTCAATGCCTTCGTAAGCGATCGAATAGACGGCCTTGAAGAGCGGGTAATCGTCCACCTTGCCGCGGGCGGCGAGGAGTTCGTGCACCTCGCGCGCCGTTTCGGTGCCCTGAAGCTTCTGCCCGTTGAGCAGCTCCTTTTCGAGCTGGTCAAACGGCTTGCCCGTCTTGACGAAGGCCTCGGCGCACTTGCGGTTGCGGCCGCCGAGACACGTGGTGATCAGGTCCGCCACGCCAGCCGACGTCTCGGTGAACGTCTCGGGCTTGACGCCGTCGAAGAACTCTTCGCTGAAGCGCTTCATCTCCATCAGGCCGATGCGCATCACCGCCGCCTTGGCGTTGTCGCCCCAGCCCAGGCCGTCGGTGAAACCGGCCGCAATGGCGACGACGTTCTTGAGCGCACCGCACAGGCTCACTCCCGCCACATCCTCGATGATGCCCACCTTGAACGTGGGCGTGTCGAAGAGCTTGAAGAAGAGCTCGGCGTTCTCGCGGCCCTTGGCATCGGCACGGTGTCCGATCGTGGTTTCCGAAAACTTGTCCTGCGCCACCTCGTTGGCGATGTTGGCACCGGACAGCGCCGAGCACGAGATGCCGAGCGCCTCCTGAATCACATCGGCAAAGATCGAGATCTTGCCGTCCTTCACCTCGACGCCCTTGATCATCGAGATGGCGTGCGCGTTCGGATCCACCTTGCCCTTCAGCTGCTTGCACACCGAGCGGATGAACTGGTGCGGCAGCACAAACACAAGCATCGTGGCGTCCTTAACCGCATCCACGGGCGACGGATTCGCCACCACGTTGTCTGGCAATTGGCATCCCGGCAGGTACTTGGGATTCTCGTGCGTCTCGTTGATGACCTGCGACAGCGGCTTGCCCTTGTAGTCCTCCTCGAAGACGTACATCTGCACCTCGTGCTCAAAGATGTCCGAGTGTCGCTGTGTGTTTTGGCCTGCGATGCGCGCTATCGCCGAGCCCCAGTTGCCCGAGCCGACGATGGCCACCTTGTGCTTCTTTTGCGATCCCGACGCCGCAGCTGATGAGGACGAGGACGACATATTGAACGATCGGACCGTGTACCGTTGCGGCAAGGTGAGAGTTTGACGAATCGAAGGTGCAGCGATCGCCTGAGAGCGAGGCAGGTGGGAGCTCGAGACGTTGAACCGTGCCAGTCGAGCCGGACCGGGGAGGATGGATCTGAATAACGACGTAATGGTGGAGGATGGGCGACGTAGCTCTCTCTTCTAAGTGCCGACGAGACCGGTTGCTTTGCTTCGTCGCAGAGTTGCGATGATGGTGTCGCAGTGGTGACGATGATGGACCGATGGCAGATGGAAGATGTGAAGGTGGGCGAGTGAGCAACGCAGATCGGAGAGGCTTGATCTTTTGGGCAGCGATATGCAGTCGGCCCAGGCGCAGCAGGCAGCAGCGCGCGACCCTCGGAAGAACTGTCGCGGGCAGAGGGCTGTATGAACTGCGAGTGGGGCGAGGTGGGGCCCAAATTTTGAAAAAGTTGGGCCGCAGCTGGTCGGTCGGGATCGAGCGTGCGCCGAAGCAGCTGAAACGAGTCCAGGCAAAGCTCCAGCGCAGTGCAGCCCCCGCCCAGACCGGGACATCCGGAAGAGGCAGGCCAGAATCCGAGCCTCTCGCCAGATCTAGGCGTCCACCAAAGTGGAGGGTTCAGCACGCTTTCCGAGCAAGCTATGGGGTCCCGTGATGCGCCCCTTCGCCTCGCCCTGCGGTTGCCTCGAAAATGTGCCCTCGAAAATGTGCACGGAGCGCCCTCACGCGCGAAAATCGCATCGATAGGAGCCAACGACTTTTCAAAGATTGCATCAGGAGAGCCAAGAGCCCCATCTTGGGATTGGTCGGGCTGCCAGCATATCGGCAGGTGCAGTTCATGCTCGCTACCCGCCCGTCACCCGAGATTGCGCTCCGGGTCGGAGAGGCCTATCGCAGTGCAAAGAGGGCATATCCGCGACGTCTCTGCAGCAGACGCAGCTGGGCGCCGGGCGGACCGAAAATCCTCGAATTCGACCGGCGTCACGAAGGGCGATACGCGCTTTCGGAGGAGGCCGGCGCCGAAAACTTGGTCTTGCCGGTGGCTGGTCGCAAAAGATTCGCGTGGTAGACCCTAGTTCGCTTTGGTTCTGACCGGCTTCGGATGTCAACGACATGGTCGTGCGTCCGGCATCTGCAATCAAAACGCCGGATACTTCTTGACGTCAGGTACATCCTAGTTGTGAAAGAGGCCGGCCAAGCACACACTTTCCTTCCGGTCGGCAAGCTGCCGTTCCGAACCAGCGGCAAATTCCACTCCTCACACCCGAGCTACTTCGTTAGCCGCTCACTCTAGCCGCTTCTACGGTAGCTCCTCTTCTTGCTCATTTTAGCGTGAACGAAAACATGGTGTCAGACGAGCAAACGAGAAGCGTCTGCGAACGTAAACCTGCATTACACTGAATCGGACGAGTCTGCCTCTCAGTCGTCCTGAGGCGGCTTGACCGCGATCGCCAACGAGTGCTGCCCCGCGGTGGAAGCGGCCATGATGCGCCAAGCGCCCGGCTGACCAGGCATTGCGATGGCCGTGGGCGTATCCTTGCTCTGGTCACCTCCGACGTCGTCGGCTGGGTGGCCGAGAGCATCGTCCGAAGTGGTACCCCACGAGTAGAGAGTGCCGTCCGCTGCCAAGGCCAGAGTGAAGCGCATTCCGGCGCTCAGCGCCACGATCTTGGTCTTTCCATCCTTGGTCTTGGACGACTCAGGAGCCCACGAGGGCGGCGCTGGGAACGGCACCAGCGTAGGCTCGCGCACCACCACGGGGTTGGACGAGGTGGCACCCTTGAGAGCCGCATGATCCGCAGGCAGGCCGAGCTTGCCCTCGTCGCTGTCACCGCAGATGTACACCTCGCCATTTGAAAGCAGGAAGGCGGTGTGGAAGTTGCCTCCAACGATCTGCACCACCTCGGCGCCGTTGTGACGCACGGGGCTCAGCGCAGCGATGGCGTGTGGCGTGGCGACCTTGGCCGCCTTGAGCCCTGTGCCTGTCTGGCCCTTGGTGTTGAGACCCCAGCCGACGACCTTGCCGCTCTTCTCCACTGCAAAGCCGTTGGTGAGGCCACAGAAGATGCGCTTGCACTCGGCAAGACCCGTGATGGGCGTGGGCGTGAGGTCGCAGTCCTTGGGCGCCTCGCCCTTGAACTTCTGCGACACCCTTCGCGGATTCGAGCTGCGTCCGAGCTGATAGCAGGTGTTGGTGCCCCACGAGTATACTTTTCCGACCAGGGTGAGCGCGAGGAAGTGGTTCTCGCCCGCCGCCACAGCAGCAAAGTGCTCGTTCTCGATGCCAGGCAGTGCAATAGGGTACCACTGCTCGCGGTTGTAGCCCGGCGCATCCGTGTCGGCGAAGCAGACGCGGCCCTCTCCGTCCTTGAAGTAGCCCCAGGAGCGCAGACGGCCTTGGTCATCCAGAGCTGCGCCGGCAGCGTCGGCGGAAGCAATGCGTGTGGCGCGGTACTTTTCGACGGCGCCCTCCTTGCCATCGATGGGGTTGATGCCGCGACCGCTGGGCGAGATGCCCTCGACGGGGGCAAAGTTGAAGTACGACTCTTCAGCGTCGCCCGCTGCCCCGCGGTGCTTGCGTCCGAGCGTGCCGTAGTCTTCTGCGCCGGAGGTGAGGATGCGGCCCAAGCCGTCGATCATGACCGAGTGCATACCTCCGCCGACAATGACTTGGATGCCGCCCTCGCCCAGGTCGCCATCGTCGATCTGCATCGAGATCTCCTTGTTGCCGAAGGGCTTGGGCTTGTTGAGTTTGTTGGGCTTGTCGTCTTCGGGCGGGCCGACACCGAACTGGCCTGCATCGCCGGATCCCCAGACGAAGAGCTTGCGTGGAAGCACGGCACCCTTGCCACTGGTGGACGAGGTGCCCGTGCTGACCTCGACGGCGACTCCCTGTGTGATGTCATCGGCGTGCACAGGCTGAATGGGCCTTGGCACCGAGTTGATGGGGCCGGCAGGGGTAGGCGCTCGGCGAGTGCGCTTGGTGGGTCGAGCGGTGCCGTCGGCCATTTCGACATCGCCAATGGGCTCGGTGGAGGCAGCACGTGCCTTGGCAGAGCGCTTCTTCACGTCGGGCAGCGGTGCGGCGGTGTCCTGCTCCTCATCAAGCTCGTCCTCCTCCTCTTCGACTTCTTTGGCCCTCTTCTGACCACGCTTGGCGCTGTCGTCGGCTGTGCTCGCAGCCTTGGATGGCTTGGCAGCGCTTGCTTTTGCGCTTGCGACTCCATTTGCAAGCGGCTTCTTGGCCTTGGAGGCAGGCTTGGTTGCCGGCTTTGCCGTCTTAGCGGTCGCTGCTTCCCGAGATGATCCACGAATTTCGCAATGACGGGTCAGCCTCGATCGTAGCAGCACCGCAGCAGGGATTCGCAACTGAACTCACCTTTGGGCGCCATCTTGTCCGGATCGTCTAAGCAAATGATGTTGCCAAGATGGATGATGGTAGAAAGGCGTGTTGCAGCCTCGTCGGGGCCCGATGTGCTGAGACTGAAACCCGGCCGCAGCTTCAACTTCTTCGCAGGAAGACGGAATTCTGGAAAGCGCAGGCGTGCAGAAAAATTTACGCGGCTGGCTGTTTGATCGTACGCTCTGGATTTGCGGGTCCAAGCGCAAACGGCTTTCTTTTTCCTCCACACGTGATGGCCTCTGCTCAACACGCGCTGCTGCTTCTGTTGATTTGGCTCTCCCGTGTCACTCTTGGCCGGCTTGCAGCTGACAGGGCAGAGCCGGCGACTGGCTGGCTCGGCTCGACTGTGACAGCCACAGCACAGGGCGGTCTAGATCCTGCAAGCATGCTATTTGCGGGCATACCTCGGCAACTGGTGCTGCCTCACTAAACATCAAAGCAGCACATGGCACAGCCTGGTGCGTCCAAGAGAGCTTGTGGCTTGTTGTAGATCTGTCGCGGCTTCGCTTCTTAACACCATCTCGACTTACACACACACACACTCATCAGTCTTTGGCCAACCATGACGTACAAGCCTCATCGACGCATCCCAGACAAGGACCGGGTTCTTGCTGGCTACAAGGTGAGTCTTCGACGTCTTCCGAGAGCTCCTTGCCGTCGACGCGTGTCAAGAGATTGGGCAGAATTGGCTGACACTGTTGCCCCTTTGTCAACACAACGCTCAACACAGGCCGCTCTCAATAACCCGGCCACGACGAGTGAGGCCCGGTCCTATGCCCGCAAGCAACTGCTTAAGGTAAGTCTTCTTGAGGCGCTGTCCAGGGTCGAATGGCGAGGTTTGGGACTCAACTCGATGTCAATTTTTGGCACCTTTTTTTTCCGTGATTTACTGCTCGACTTTTCCTTGCGCACCAAAATCCAACAGCGCGGGCACATTAAAGACGCCTTCTTTTCCACCAGCCTCAACACCCGCATGAGAAGGATGCTCGGTCTGAGGGCCAAGAGGAGGCATTGAACAGCCGCATCTCGACATCAATCACATCGATACCCCCATCTGAACCAATAAGCGAGGACTTTGTGACTTGCCAAGTCGCCAGCTTGAGTTCCTGTGAGAGGTTTGGGTTGAAAGGGCTCAGGAAAGTGAGAGTGGAGGGAAGCGCGGGGTTTATGCACGCCTCTGCCGAAAGTCGCCTAGCCAGGGTCCGTGCGGGGTGGGACAGTGCGCGCTGTGCTGTGCTGTGCTGTGCTGCCTAGGTCAACGTGCTGGCTGCAACCCTGCATCGACGGGCTCGGCTGCCCCGCACCAACGCCGGACGCTGCCCCACCGGCCTTGCAAGAGTACAAAGTGTGCTGGAGAGACGCCGCTCCCACCCTCCTCCCACTCCATCACGATTGCTACATAAAACCGTTCAAGCGCTGCGCCTGTCGAGCCCTGGACTTCCAAAGACGGCACCATGTGTCAACACGATGCACCACGAGGTTCTTCCAAGACGCACGACTATCCCACGTATGCGTCGGAAGAGTCTCGTCCCGTCCGCTCTGGCCTCATCCGTTCCGTCCACGAGCGTCGCCTAGACGAGTTCGTGGGCGGCCAGTTCGGCGACTACAACCTCGCCTCCGTCCTCTTCGAGGCGCGCACCGACGAAGAAAAGTACGTCTCCATCCAGAGCTGGACACCCAAGCCAGGCTCCAAGCCGTCCTTCGACGAGGCCAAGCGCCAGTCGTATGTCAAGGCAAAGAAAGGCATCAAATTCGGCCCTTCTTGGACAAACCACTGGCTCAAGCTCAAGCTCAACGTCCCAAAAGACTGGGTGCACAAGGAATGGCTCCAGCTCGAGTTCGATCCCGGATGCGAGGCCATGATCTTCACCGAGGCCGGCATGCCGCTCCAGGGCATCACGGGTGGCTTCGAGGACAATCGCCGCGTCGACTTCCCGCTCAAGCAAGAGTACCGCAACGGCGTTACCTTCTACATCGAGATCACCGCCAACGGCATGTTCGGCCTTCCTTCCGATGGCACCGGCGATCCCGATCCCAATCGCTACTTTGAGCTTCAGTCGTGCGACATTGTCGTCAAGCGTGCAGAGGCATGGAAGCTCCTGTGGGACTTTGACTTGCTCAAAGGCTGCGTCAAGAACCTCTCCAAGGACACCGAGCTGCAGAACCGCGCTCTCTGGGTCGCCAACCAGATCCAAAACACCTTCCGCAAGGCTGATCTCGACAGCATCCTCCGATGCCGTAAGCTCGCCCAGGAGATCCTCGGCAAAGACTGGGAGGATCACGTCGACTCGATCTACGACCAGGACGTCGTCAAAGGTCGCGAAGACGTGCGCATCTGGTCCTTGGGCCACACCCACATCGACAGCGCCTGGCTCTGGCCCTACTCGGCCACACAGCAAAAGGTAGCGCGCTCGTGGTCGACGCAGATCGACCTCATGGACCGCTTCCCAGAGCATCGCTTCACCGCATCCACCGCCCAGCAGTACCAGTGGCTCGAGACTCTCTACCCCGACCTCTTCAAGAAGGTCAAGGGCTACGTGGAGGACGGCCGCTTCCAGCCCATCGGCGGCTCGTGGGTCGAGTGTGACGCCAATATGCCCTCCGGTGAGGCCTTTGCTCGTCAATTCCTCTACGGTCAGAGGTACTTCCTCTCCCGCTTCGGCAAGCGCTGCGACATCTTCTGGCTGCCCGACACCTTTGGCTACAACGCCCAGATCCCCCAGCTAGCCCGTCAGTCCGGCTGCGACTACTTTTTCACCCAGAAGCTCAGCTGGAACAACATCAACCGCTTCCCGCACAACACCGTCATGTGGGTCGGCCTGGACGGTACGCAGATCATCGTTCACATGACTCCGGTCAATAACTACGACTCCAAGTGCTCGGTCGAGGAGATCGTGCGCGGCGTCAAGAACAATCAGGACCTGTGGGTTCAGCCGCATGCCCTGATGCTGTACGGCTTCGGCGATGGTGGCGGTGGTCCGACTGAAGTCATGCTGGAGCGCCTGCGACGCGCCCGTGCTGCCAACAACAACGGCTTCAAAGACATGCCCCGTGTCCACGTCGGCCGCTCCGCCAAGGACTTCTTCGAGCACGTTCGAGAGACTACAGATAACGGCCGTCGCCTCGCGACCTGGTCCGGCGAGATCTATCTCGAGTTCCATCGCGGCGTGTACACGTCTCATGGCTCCATCAAACAGTGGAATCGCCGCTTCGAGGCGTTCATGCAGAAGCTCGAGTGGATCGCCACGCTCGCCTCGATCAAGGCTACCGACTACAAGTATCCCAAGGAAGAGATTGATGCGATCTGGGAGCCTCTCCTGCTCAACCAGTTCCACGACTGCTTGCCCGGCAGTGCGATCCGCAAGGTGTACGATGATCTCGAAGAGATGTACGCCGACATGGCGGTCAAAGGCAAGAAGCTGTGGCGCAAGGCTCTCAACGCTCTTGGCGTTGGAGAGGAGGCGGTAGGAGCGAGCGCCAAGGGCTACACCGCCATCAACACGCTCGATGTGCCGCGTCGAGAGCTTGTCGAGGTGCGGCTGTCCGACAACATGGCACGCGCCGAGGCGATCGCGCTGTCGCACCAGTCGATGCAGCTTTGCAACGCTGGTCAGAGCGCCTTACTCCTGCTCGAAGATGCCTCCGGTCGGGGTCAAGCTCTTGTCCAGGACAAGCAGTCTATTGTTCTGGCCCAAGGTCAGGCGGTTCGAGCTGAGCAGCTGGAGCACAATTCATTCCTGCTTCAGAGCGCGGCCATCGCCGTCAAAGTGTCCAAGGGCCGCATCACGTCGATTTACGATCGTCTTGCCGATCGCGAGCTCATCGAAACTGGACGCACCGCCGGTCTCGCCATTGCCGAAGACTATCCGCCTCAGTTTGACAACTGGGAGACGGAGCTCTACTCGCTCGACACCACCGAGGGTATCCCCTTCACCAACGTCCGCATCGCCGAGGCTGGTCCCTGGCGTGCAAGCCTGGCGCTCGAGGCCAAATTTGGCCAGAGCACGGTGCGCATGAGCATCGTGCTCGACGCGCTTCCCGCCACGCCGCTGCTTGGCGAGAAGGAGTCGCGTCCGCTGCTGCGCTTCGACACGCAGATCGACTGGTGGGAGAAGCATCGCTTCCTGCGCTTCGAGGTGCCAACGCGTCTGCGCTCCGACACCGCCAGCTTCGAGACGCAGTTCGGCATCACCAAGCGTCCCACCACGCGCAACACGAGCTGGGAGGCGGCCAAATTCGAGGTCTGCGGCCACAGGTTCGCCGATCTCTCCGAGGAGGACTATGGTCTCAGCATCCTGACCGAGTCCAAGTATGGCTACAGCGTCGAGGGCGGCCTGATGAGGCTGTCGCTTCTGAAGGCCGGCACGTACCCCGATGCGCACGAGGACGAGGGTCTGCATCAGTTCGCCTTTGCGCTCTACCCGCACGTCGGCGGCGTGGGTAAGGGCAAGGTGGTCCAGGTCGCGCGCGTGTTCAACGCACGCTTTGACGTCGATTACGGCCGCCAGTCGAATGTCGACATCGCGACGCTGGAGCGAGGCACGGGCACGGCGTCGTCGGATCTGCAGATGCCCATCGAGCTCGTCGACGGCACGCAAGCCGGCGTGGTCATCGACACGATCAAGCGCGCCGAGGACGACTTTGAGTACTACGGCCAGAAGCCCAAGGACTCCAAGTCGTTCGGCATCGTCGTCAGGCTGTACGAGTCTCTGGGCGCTCATGCAAAACCGACGATCAAGATCTCGGCCCCCGTAAAGGCGACGGCGCTCACCAACCTGCTCGAGGACGTGGACGAAAAGTCGTCCGAAGAGCTTGCTTTCAACACGTATGCCGACGAGAAGGATCACACGTACGTCCAGCTCGACTTCCGTCCGTTCGAGATCAAGACGCTCAAGATCTCGCTCTAGTTCATGTGCATGTGTAGAGGTTTCCTGCTCCCGAATCGTAGTGTCTGTCGAATTTGTCCTGCTTCCGCTGCCCTTCGGTACACTGTGTGATGCTCGTGATTCGGACATGTCACTGTGATGAGCAAAGGCTCGAGTTCGTGCTGCGGGCTGAGAACGCGACTCAACCTCGAATCTGAGTCTCTTTCCTCAATGCGCCACACGAACGATCCAGGAAGCCAAGATGAGATGAGCGAAAGAGCTTGCTCGATGTTGCAAAGAAAAACGAGTGAGAATAACGAGTGATGCCCAAGAGGGCTAGATACGGAAAGGTTATATGGAGACGAATAGCAAAACACGAGTAAAGACCGGCGTGATGGCGGCGCACAAGGTCTTGAGCTTAAGCACATTCAAAGGCACCTGCGTCGTTGGTGTCGCCGCCCTTGCCCTTGAGACGGGCGGCAGTGGGCCAGGGGCAGAGAGGGCGCGTCAGACGGACGCCGTTGCTGTACGGAGTGTCATCGGAGAACTTTTGCGGAGCGGTACCTTCCTTGGTCTTGTATGCAGCGCCGATGAGCGCGTTGGGCGCCACGCCCTTTTCGACCCACTCGGTGAGCGCAAGGAACATGTCGTGCGTGGCGTCGTATCGAAGCGGTCGATTACCAGCCCCTTCTTGTCCCGCACCACCAAAGTTGAAGCAGCCGTTGCCGCCTCGGCAGTGCAGCATACCAGGGATGAGATACAGCTTATACGCCGACCTGGCCTTGTCACCGACCTTCTCAAGGACCTGATCGTAGTAGCGACGCGACGCCATGGGCGGAACCAGCGAGTCTTCCAAGCCGTGGTAGTGCAGCAGCTTTCCACCGGCGTTGAAGAATCCGCTGAGATCAGTGTCGAAAGTGATCGTTCCACCAGGGTTGAGCTGCTGGCCTTTCTTGATCACCTCGGGAGTCACCTTCTCGGTGGCGTTGAACTTGGCTTTCGCATCCTTCTCGCCCAGAACCTCGAACTGGAACCAGCTGACGGGAGACGAGCCAAACTTGCCCGTGACGGCGTTGATGTACTGCCATCCATACACACTGGAAGGAAGCACTCCTTCGCTGATCAGCTCGTTGTCGATCGTGTACGGCTTGAAAATGTTCGCCAGAGTCTCGAGCTGAGGATCAGTAAGGCACTTGGGGGCAGGACCTTTTTCGGCGTCCTTGTCCTTCTTGTCCTTGCCCTTGGCGTCGGCACCTTTGGCATCCTTGCCGTTCGGCTCGGCGGGAGTCGCGCTAGCGTCGTCCTTCTTCGTGGCCTCCAGCCCGGGGGCAGCTACTGGATCCGTGCTAGTAGTGTCTCTGCGTGCAAGAAGCACCTTGGGTTTCTCCTTGGCCGGGACCTCGGCCGGCTTCGAGTCCTTGCTGTCAGCAGCGGGAGCCTTCGAATCCTGACCGGCGGCGGCACCAGCAGGCTCCGGCGCCTTGTCCGCGTCATCGTAGGGCTTGATCCCAAGCTTGGAGCATCCGATCAGGGCAGCAAAGTCTGGCTTGCAAATATCAGCTTTGGAGATGACGTTGTCTTCCACGCCGTCCGCGCTGTCGCAGGTCTTGAGCACCGCACTGTTAATGAGGGGATACGCCTCGGTAGGAATGTAGCCCTCGCTCTTGTTGTTTGCGAGGAACGAGTTGACGTGGATCTGGTAGGCTTTGAGGTTGTTGAAGTCGAAGGCGGGGCTGCCTGCAATGATGCCATCAAAGTCCTTGGGGTACCTCTGAGCCGAGGCCATGGCAGCTCGTCCGCCCGTGCTGCAGCCTTTGAAGTAGGTGTAGAACACCTGCTTCTTGGCGTCGATCGTTGCAACGGAAGAGTTGGGAGAAGAGGTGCGGTGAGGCTGGGCATCATAGAAGATGCGGACAGCCTGCTGGGCGACGCGCGAGGTGAAGTGAACTGCACTGTGGCCATAGTCGGTCCAAGCCTCTGGGTTGGCAGGCAGCCAGGTGATACCATCCTGAGCGCCAAAATGACCCATGTTGGTGCCAGCCACGGCAGCATGGTATCGGGACATGGTCTGCTTCATCTCGGGGTACGCAACGGCGCCGCGGAGGCCGCCTCCGACGGAGAAGACGAGTCGCTTGCTCCAGCCGCTGGTCGAGACACACTTGAAGGTCTTGGCGACATCGGCGACGTCGACGCCATCGATGGAGGTGCATGCTTCCGGAGCGGGGGCATCCTTGCCGGCGGGAGTGTCAGCAACCGGCATCCAGACTTCGAATTGGGACTTGCTGGTTTCGGATGTGCGAACGGTACCGCCGACACGGCAGAACGAAGGCAGTCCGCCGTCCTTGGCGTAGGTAGACTTGCTCTGTTCGCCGTAGCCGTCGTCGGCGATGACTGCGTCCTTGTCCCAGCCACCAGATCCTGAGATCGCACCATCGCGATCGTCCTTGGGCCCGAAGGCAGAGGCAGGAATGGCAGCGTAGAGCTGTTCAGCGGAAGGGTTGGCGCCAGTGGGATAAAATTCCGAGTAGAGGTCGGCGATCTCGATTGCTTTGCCTTCAGTGGCCACGCCGGCAGCGAGGACCTTTTTGAGGATGTCGGGGAGGACTTTGCAGCTCTGAGCCTCGAGCGAGATCTCGGAAGGTATAGGGCTCGAGGCCGACTGGACAGTGCCAGTGGCGACCAAAGTCGCCGTGAGAGCGAGCGCTGCCAGGCCGGTAGCTGTTCTCATTCTGCTGCGGTCTGAACGAACGGAAAAAGGAATGGAAGGGAGAAAGGGTAACCAGAGCATGTGCAAACGTGGAGGGAAAAAGAAGGAAAGTGGAGAGAGTGATGATGGGCAGGACCTTTCGGGGGGTCTCCGCATCCGGGTTTTATGGACATTGGTTGGGATGCTCGGAGCGGCATTCGTAATGAGGGCCGAAGTTGAGCATGCGGTGGGGCTCGACAGGACTTTGCACAGAGATATGGCGCAAGCTACCGCTCTGCTCCCTGCATGATCTGCAATGGGGATGATGGGCCCACCAGCGGGATCAACGGCATTGTAACCTGAATTGCGGCAGGGATGGTGGGTCAGCGCGTCTCTTGTGGCTTTGGCATAGCGTGAACGTACGAGGTTCATTCTACCGCTTATATACCAAAATGACCGCGACTGTGCCAAGATTCAGTTGATCGAGCCATCAAGCTTCAAGAGCGAGCCGGGCTGGCTCACCATGCTGGAAGCTAGAAGCGGCGCGGGAGAAAACGGCCCCGGTGAGACGTGGTGGCCGAGAGGTAGAACGTTTGGCAGGAATAATCTTGCGACGATCCGTCTCTCCCACCCAGAGCCACCGAGCTATATTGTCGATGAAAGGCGAAAACGGAGGGGAGTGGCGTAGCGACAAGGACCGCTCATTCGCTTGACATGTTGATGAGCGCATGTCGACCCCACTTTGCGCCAGTTGGCTTGTTGCGCATATCTTTATTTGGTACGCACTCATGAAGGGAAGCCAGGGCGGGTCGACGTGGCCAACTGCTCTTGCCATCGATGAAGAGCGCACTTTGATGATTTTGTGAGACGAGTCGCCAAGCGTGCGACGGGCTTCACCACGTCCGACTCCCGTCCGATGCGGGCGGAATGAAAGGCGTGGAGGCTCGGGCTTGGTCGTAGCATCTTTGATAGACCTGTCTACCACCCAGAGCCATGTGGCAGTAGTTGAGGCAACGTTGGCGAGTGGTCGCCGTCATATTCAAAGCTGATATGATATCGCCGATCTCTGAACGAGGGAGGTTGCTGCTGTAGGCGAGGCCTGTGACAGGTGAAGCGCATGCAGCCAGTCCGACAGGCATGAGTGTCTCCAAGGAGAGGGGGAAAATACGAAAATAAAAATGAAAAATAAAAGAGAGTCTGCTTGGCCTCCCCAACATTCACGCCGCCGCCCTGACGGATGGTTGTGGTGTGCGGTTGGAACGAGAGCGTCACGTGGTGCGTGCCAACAAGACGGCTGAAGGAGGCCACCACCTTGGAAGCGAGCCCGATTGTCGTGCGCACTCTGCGGGGCCACAGTACGCCAAGTGCTGTCAGATGGTGTCGTTGGTGTCGTGAGCTGCGGCCCATACTGTCGTCTTCTTGGTGATCGTGTTCAAGCTTCTACTGTATCAATCGCAGCGCCAATTGCAGATGCCGAGTGTGACCATTCCGGAGAATGCAGGTCTCGCCTCGGCGTCAGGTGGTCATTGGTGACGCTGATTGTGGGGACACAGAGGTGCAAAACTGTACTGTAGCTGGCAGTCGAGGAGATGCTCTTGTGGCCATCATGCAGCCCAAATGTAAGTTTGGTGTCAGCCGCCGCGCGGTGCTCGGGCCATCCTGAATTCGAGCCAGAAAGGCGAGAGTCGAGCGAGCTCCTTGCTGCTGGTTGGTCGTTTGGGCGGGGTTGTGGGGGCTCAGCCGCAGAAACAAGACGCGGAGCACCAAAAGAGGGCCAGTGCTCTCTCTCTCCCTCTGCCAGGGACGAGCTTGTTTTGAGACGCGTTCTAGCCCTCCGCTGCGTTGGAAATCTGCCAACTTGTGTGGCAGCAGAGGCTGAGCTGTCGCCTGTGGCCTTGGGATGTGGCTCGTTTTGTTGAGATGCAGCTGGCGCTCGGTTCAACGCTTTTTCATTACACCCGAGCTGCACCCATTTGAAATCGCCTCTTCAAAAGTGCAAGTGAGCGTCGAGGAGCAATTTTCGAGTCTGCTCACGAGCTCCAGCCCAGTGTAAAAATCCTCCGTGCCACAAGGGGCTCCAATCAAAAATCAGACGCGAGCCAGCCCAGAGAGAAAGAGAGCAGAGCGTACGAGCTGCGAGTCGCGAGTCGAGTCGAGTCGAATCGACGTGAGGCAGGCAGAGCCAGGGCCAACGGCACGGGGGCGAGGTCAGGCGGAGGCTGAGGCGAAAGCAAAATGGAGGCAGCGAGCCAGTCAAGCMAGCCAGCCAGTCAAGCAGCCAAGCAGCCAGGCAGGCCCGTTCGGTGGGCCGCTCATCTGCTCGTCTGCCCTGTCCAGCCATTGGTCGGTTGCAGCAGAGCTCCACTTTGCGCGTTCTACGCTCCGCGTCCGTTCACCGCCCATCGCCATTGCCATCGTCACTCCCCTTCATCCGCTCCATCACCATCCCGCGACCGCTACTACCGTCCACAAACAGTACAGCGGAACGATACTTCTCGATCGCCTTCCACAAACCTCCAGCATCTCTCTCCTAGGACCATCGTCCCTGCTGCGCTGCACCGCTCTGCCATCCTCGGCCTTGCATCAATCTGCTCAGCATCCCTCGTCCCGCCCGGCTCCAACGCATAGCATTTCGCGAGAATCGCCCCTGCGACTGCCGCATCATCCTCGGACGACCAACACGCTCTGCGTCTTCGGATTAGCCGCGTCTCAGCACTTGTCCCGCGCAGCCACGGCATCATCGGTACGCGTCAGACCACCGTCCCCATACCCGCTTGCACCACCCTCGAGCAAGCGCTAGCATCAACACTTTGGATCGAAGAGCGTCCCAGCTGGCCCTTCCTCCACCATGTCCAACGCGCCGCTCAACGGCGTCAAGCTCAACCGTGCGTATCCCTCCTCTCTCTCTCGTCGAGCTCAGCCACGTCACGTCCGCCACCCTCAGCTCCTCTCGTCTTGCATCTCGCAGCACATCTCCAGTCGTGCGACGAGATCCTCACGGCATTGCGCCTTACCACTCGCGTCCGTCGAGGAACGGCTGCGTCCGTCGCTTTGCCTCGCACCTCGACACTCTCCGGCTTTGCTCTTCGCGTCCTCGTTCCTTCAGCTGACAATATTCTTTCTCCTTGTGCTCCCCAAAAATGCCTGCCCGCTATCCTCGATCCGTGTCTCTGGATTCGCAGCGCTCGATGACCCCAACAAGGTGATCAAGGTCCTTGCCTCGGACGGCAAGACCGCCGAGCAGCGAGAAATCGCCTACACCAACTGCAAGGTCATCGGCAACGGCAGCTTCGGTGTCGTCTTCCAGGCAAAACTCGTGTCGCCCTCCGGCTCCGACGCCACCGAAGGCTCCAGCAAAGACAGCGACGAAGTCGCCATCAAGAAGGTCCTCCAGGACAAGCGCTTCAAGAACCGCGAGCTTCAGATCATGCGTATCGTCAAGCACCCCAACGTCGTCGACCTCAAGGCCTTCTTTTACTCGAACGGCGACAAGAAGGACGAGGTCTTCCTCAACCTCGTCCTCGAGTACGTCCCAGAGACCGTCTACCGCGCCTCGCGCCACTACGCCAAGCTCAAGCAGACCATGCCCATGCTCCTCATCAAGCTCTACATGTACCAGTTGCTACGAAGTCTCGCCTACATCCACTCCATCGGCATCTGCCATCGCGACATCAAGCCGCAGAACCTGCTGCTCGACCCCTCATCCGGCATCCTCAAGCTCTGCGACTTTGGCTCCGCCAAGATCCTCATCGCCGGCGAGCCCAACGTCAGCTACATCTGCTCCAGGTACTACCGAGCTCCCGAGCTCATCTTTGGCGCCACCAACTACACCACCAACATCGACATCTGGTCCACAGGCTGCGTCATGGCCGAGCTCATGCAGGGGCAACCGCTCTTCCCCGGCGAGAGCGGCATCGACCAGCTCGTCGAGATTATCAAGGTGCTCGGCACGCCCTCGCGCGAGCAGATCAAGACCATGAACCCCAACTACATGGAGCACAAGTTCCCCCAGATCCGACCGCATCCCTTCTCCAAGGTCTTCCGTCCGCGCACGCCGCCCGACGCCATCGACCTCATCTCGCGACTGCTCGAGTACACGCCCAGCGCGCGTCTCACCGCCGTCGAGGCGCTCTGCCACCCCTTCTTCGACGAGCTCCGCACGGGCGAGATCCGCATGCCCAACGGCCGCGAGGTGCCCGCGCTCTTCAACTGGACCAAGGAGGAGCTCTCCATCCGACCCGACCTCATCTCGCGGCTCGTGCCCCAACACGCCGAGGCCGAGCTCCTCTCGCGCGGCATCGATGTGCACAACTTCCAGCCCGTCCCGCTCGAGTCGCTCAAGGTCACCCTCGACTAAGTACCGGGTGTCCGGCCGGCAGCGGCACCGATCGGAGTCGAAGAAAATCAGGGCAGATCGCGGTGTCGTGCCGACACAGTGGGCCAAGCTTGCGGGGATTTTCTTTTCGGATGGCGTCGCGGTTGAGGGACCTTGGGGTTGGAAGCTGTGGTCGAGTCACGGTCACGGCCATCCTCGAGTCCTTCGACGCAGACGCTATCTGTGGGGGATGATCTTGCCGCACAGATGGTCTGCAGCCACGATCTCTTTCTCCGCATCAAGAGGACGGCAAGGGGAACGCGGCACTTCTTGAACGGAGGAGATCCACCATACCATTCGCCTCCGATCGAGCGTGTGCTGCTGTCGTTCTCACCACTGGAAGGAATCCGTTACCACCAAAACCGAGACTTGATCCGCATCCACCCTCTTTCCCGCGCGACTTGGCTTGCGCCGTCGTCGCAACCTTCATCCTTGGTCAACCTCATCCATTATCAGCCCCAACATGTACATATGATCCGTAGCAATCCCCCTTTCCTTTGCCTCTGCAGTCTTTCTCCGAGCCAGGCGCGACATTGCAACCCCCCGCAACCCATGTCTTTCTTCATGTCGCTCGCTGTCCTCTCCCCATCTTCACTTGCTCTCTCCCCTTTTTCAAGAATGTCTTTTTTTTTGTGCTGTAGCTCGTAGGCTCTCATCCGCACGTATGCCAAAGTCGTTGGTCTTTTCTTGCGCTGGCGTCTGTGTGATTCAAGCGGTTGGTGGAGCTGCCGGACTGACTGCCAGTGGGTATACATGGAGTGAGGGACATCAGGTGAAAGCAGCGACGCTGTCCGGGTGGTACGGATGTTTGACGAGATCTTGGAAAAGGTCTGCGGGGATGTCGCGGGCTAGGGTGACGGTGACATTGATGATCTTGCGTGCGTCGAGCGGGGGAAGGTTGCGAAGGAGCTTCATGGGGCTGGCGGATTCGAGCAGGTCGGCACGCATGATGTGCAGCTGTGCAACGATGCATAGCACGTTGAAATGCACACCAAAGGCAAGCAGAAAGTCCCACAATTGCAGCACCTCGGGAAGAGGCGGCGTGCATGCACACAGCGTCATCACCGACGGAAAAGCGTAGATCTCTGCCGACAGATTCTTGCCGCGCAAGTGATGGTATAGCGGCGCATCCAGCAACTCTAGACACCGGTCCAATAGCTGCCCAAATCAGAAAACGGCAAAGTCAAAAGCGTCAGTATACACCGCGAGCACATCGAGCTTGCAAGGACGAAGGGCGGCTTACCTGAAGTCCACGATGGACGCCAGAGAGGGTTGGTTGGACATAAAGCGGGCAACAGTATTCGATGAAGCGACTGAAGCATCGGAATGCCTCGACCTCGCTCTCGAGCGTGTACAGGAACGGTGCAGCGAGCACGTTCATGCCCTGCACGTAGCTGAACTCGTACACGTCTGCGTCTGCATCGGCCTCATCGGCGCTGTCGTCGGAGCGATTGTGCTTCCACACAAACGCGTCGAGCAGCCGGATGAGCTTCTCTTCCTTGACGCGTTCCTTGAAACCCTGGTCGGTGGCGAGCGTGCGGAAGGTGTCGTTGCGGATCTTGTCGTGCGATGGCGACTTGCCCTTGGCTACGAGCGAGAGGTATTCGGCCACGTCCAGATCGCGGATATCCAGCAGCAGCTTCCACACCACACTGCGGTACGTCGTGCCCGTCGGCGTCAGCACCGAGTCCGGCGGCAGAGGGGTGGTGACGATCTTGTGACGAATGCGCGAGACAGGGTCAGTCGGAGACGACGGCGGCGACGATGCAGCCGCATCCGAGGCGTCCAGAAGCCGGCGTGAAGCCTGCGTACGTCCGCCTCGACCTCGTGGTGGCCCCCCGCGTCCGCGCACTTGCTGCTGACGAATCGATACGGACGATTCGGTTGTGTTGGCGCGCTTGATGCTCGCGCGAGTGGCCGCAGAAGACGATGGACCGGCGTTGGACTGCATAGGAGCGAAGAGCGTCTTCCACTCTCGAGCGCTCGTGCCAGCCACATCTTCCTGATCGCTCCGACTTAGCCCACTGTCCAGTGTGTTCGGCGCCGAGAACGGCGACCTGTCCGCCTCGGTCATGTCGATGATTGCGGGTACAGAGCGTTCAGTGCGGATACCGTGGTTGGAGGTGCGGAGTCAACGCATCCAGAGCGCGCAATGCACCCCCGCTGGACCCTGAACACGCGCCGTCCCCGATCCGCCTCAAACCAACACCCACGCCTATTTCATGCGCCTCAACGCGCGGCTCACAGACTTCACTCCATTCAGCATTTTCGATCCCTTCTTCGCTGTCGTCGCTCCAACAAAGGGGACCACCGTAGCTCCGCTGCAGGGATGCGAGTCATGGACGTGCTGGTATTGTTCAGTAAGAGCTGAGTAAAAGTACAATGAGATGCGGGATGCAAACGGGAATACGGCCGTGTCGACTGACTGGCATGGACTGAGAAGTTGTCCGCTGAGCTTGCACGAACAAAGCTACGGACGAATCTAATGGTATCAGCGAGGATGCGGGTCGAGGTGCTGCTGGAGGGTTTACACAAAGACCGCCCATGCCGAGAACTTGCTGCCGGGTTCTTTGGAGCACTTCTGGCCGCAGCCCTGGACAGGGCATTCGAAGCGCTTGGGCTTCTTTGGCTTCTTGGGAGTGGTTGGCTTGGCGGCGGCTGTGCTGGCTCGAGTCCGCGCGGATGTTCTGGCCGACTTGGATCGGGGCTCATCCTCTGGAGGGTCAACTGCCTTGGCCTTGCCCTTTCCGCGGACGTCCCCGCCGTCGCCGCCATCTGCAGACTCTTTCTCGATCCCACTGAGGCGATCGATGCATCGGCCGTCAATAACATGACCGCAAGGCAGCACCCAGATCCTTTGATCCTCGTTAGCCCCCGTCACCAGCGCATGACGACAGCCTGCGCAGATCGGTGTAGTATCGGGTAAGGGTCCGGTGACGATCGCCTTGTCGTCAAAGTACGTGTCGAGGTCGACGGGCGGCTCGATGATCGAATGCGAGAAGCCGGGCTGCACTTCATGCGGATGAGTCCAAGTGGGTTCGTACTTCTGCGGCACCTTGCGTTCCGTGCTCTGCGGGTGCGAAGCAGGGCCGCTTGAATGGAGGCCTCGCAGTAGGGAGCCAATCATCTCCATGCCGCCAAAGGTGAGGGATGTGAAATCCCAATCTCCACCCAGCCGGGAGACAAGATTTGCGGTGTTGGCACCGAACCCAGAGGTTCTCCTCGCTGTGGTAGTGCTGGTCGACGGGATCGCTGCGCGTTGCTGTGGTAGGAGCGGATGGCGCGCCGTCGGTGAGGAGCCGAGGATGCCAAAGCCTTGCGGGATGCGCGAGCTGTGAGAGTGAGGTCCTCTGCCTATCCCGTCGTGGAAGCGGAGGGATGAGGCTGATGTCGACGGCGGTGGACGACTCGAAGAGGCTGGCGTGCCGGTCGATAGGGAGCGGAAGAGTGGGACGTTGGTTCGCGCTTGCTCGGACTGGCCTACGATGGTGAAGCTGCGGTCTTCAGCGTCGGACTCGTCATCGCTAGCGACGACGATGGGTTCAGGGCGGGGACGGGACGAGCCAGGAACGATACGCTCGCGAACCCGTGCTGCGCTGCTCGTGCTGCTTGATGAGGCAGATGGGCCCGGGTTTGCAGGAATGGTGGAATGTGGACGGCTGTCGGGCCAGTGAGACCAGTCGAAGATGTGAGTGCCGGTCGAGGTTGATGTAGGTCTTAAGGAGTTTGTTATGGGCCTTGAGGTTGGTGTAGGTCTCAGGCGCAAGGGTGCCGGTGGCGACTCTTCGGTCAGGTCGATGACGGTGCCAGAGGACCGACTCATGGTGGATATGGAAGGCGGAAGCGGGATCCGTCGCAGTGGTGAGTGGCAAGTGGGAGAGTGGGGAAGTGGTCGTAGCGCCCAAATGCGCGTTCATGCACTGTATGCGGGAGCTTGTGCGGAAGGCGCTGAGCTTGAATGCGAGAACTGAGCCCGCTCTGTTGCGGAAGTGCGTCTATGCAGACTTTGTGCGCGGCCCGTGATGATGATGCTCGGACGTCGAAAACGGGCGCGCGTCTGCGCTTCTGCCGAAGGCGAACGGAGGCTTTCAAGTGAACAGCTCGGCGGGCCTTTTCGCCCGGTCAGTCCCCGCGATCTACGCTGTGGATGAACGCTTCAGGTTCTTGAAGCTGTGATGCGTTGATGCGGATCTTGAGCGTTGGTGTGGCTCTGCTTCATTGCCGTGAAGCACCGCTTTGATGTTGGTTTGCTGGGACAGGCGAGCCGCGTCTTGTTCGGTCCAGGCTGATGGATTCGGCGGTCGACGGAAGCGGAGTGATGCAGAGTTCGGATATGCAGTGCGCGGATGATGGTGATTCGGGATGAAGATGCGGGAGAGCTGTTCAACTTAGTTGATGGCGAGTGCGAGTGATGGTCAACTTATCGGACTGCGTCAAGTGGGGCTCGGAATGAGGTTGCTTGGTTGTGTGGCGCTGATGTGGTCGAAATTTCGGCTTTGGAACGGCAGTCTTGCCTGGCTGGGTTTGTGTGGCCTGCAAGCTCAGCGGCTTTCGTAGCTCCTGGCGCTGACCAGAATGCAGCGCTGCGCTGCGCTGCACGCCAACCACGCAAGCCAGAGTGGAGTGAGCGGTGTTGCTTGAGCCCGGTTCGGTTCTCGGCGAACAATCCTGCATCAAAAAGCTCACCCGGATGACGTTAGATTTTTGCGCATGTCTCGAGTGTTAAGTTCCAGTGACGATCATCCTCACACGTACGAGTCTGGTCTCGAGTCCTGATCACGCGCCTGGCGGGTCGAGGAATTTTCGAGACTGCGGTTCTGCTGTGGGTCTTTTTTTTCTATTTTTCGAAAAAGACAAATTCAGGCTGGAAAGAAGAGACGCGGAAGAATTTTTTGCTTCAGCGCGGGCCCTTTCTTCCAGTCGGCTGCCTGCGCAAGAAACACAAAAGGCGGACGGCTGCGAGGCTGCGCGCTCCTCTTCCAATCCACCACCCTGTCCACCCTCGCTATCCCCCTTCTTTTCCCCCATCATCGACCGCTTGTTTCTTGTTACGAGCGAGTCGATCCACAGACCAAAGTGTAAGTTTCTACAAGCCCTCTCTTCGCTTCACTCTCCAGTGATGACTTTTTACTCCTTTCCCCGGCCTATACGACCATGCCGAGACGATAAGGAAGCTCGTTTCGCAGCGAGCATCTATACATTCTTTGTGCATGCCAGCACACTTCTGTCTGATGGATCGTCCTTGCACTCAGCTGTCGTGGCTCACAGCCGTGTTCGGCTTGCTGTGACGACAGTTGCAGGGCGAGGACTCTTCGACGCGACCTTGACCAAGACCATGCAACGATGAACATCGCGTGCTGACCAGCTCTGTTTTCATCATTGTCTCTTGGACGCTCATAGTCAATCCTTTCCAGATCGAATCTTTGTCCGTGTCCCACGCACTCCCTCCCCGCGTGTAAACGTAAGTACAATCACGACCGACATCATGCACAAGCTCCAGCGTCGATGGATCGATACGAGGTGGCGGGATCGAGGCAGTTCAACGACGAATTAGCAGCCAAGCCCTCCGAAGATGATAATCCTGGTATCCAACCAAATTCGCAGTTTCCACTCTAGAACCCTAGCATCCCCTCGGGGGTGGAGCATTTTGGCTCTCCTTGCGAGAGATTCACATGGGATTGCGGCCATCCTCTTCGGAGGAGGTCCACGGCACGAACCCTCCATCGTTTCACTTTGGAGAGCCGGTGTGGCCAGTGCCGCTTTCTCGAATCGTTTGCATCGTCTGGATCGCAGCCGGCTCTGGTTTGATGAGGGTTTGCAGACCTTCCTTGGAAGTCTGAGGGGTATCTTGCTTGGCATCCTCTTTTCGCGTCCATCTCGCATCGTCCATCGATCTGGCTGTCGGTACCAGCTGCAACAAAAGCGTACAGCATGCTGATCCTGATTCCTACTCTTTGAACTTTGCGCCGACGCAACTTTGGGTTTCCACCGCAAACAGCCCTTTCTGTACTGTAGATTCACCGCAAGGCGCACCTGTTCTGGATCTCTCCTGCACGGTGCGTACCGAAATTCCGATCCCCTTATGTTGTTGCTTGATCCTCTTCCGGCCAGCTTTGATGCCCTGCTCTCTACACGGAAGCATCTTCCTACACGCTCCTTGACCGGAGAGACGACGTCGGCGAACAGCAAGATGAGCTACTCAAGTATAAACCGATGTGCATTAGGAAGAGCCGTCGTGAGCGGGCGGTCTGCGTGCTCCTTGCCGTCTCACGAGGACAAGCGGACGGAGACGATTTTGCCTGTCGTTGGCTGGCTTCGTGCAGAAGATTCTTTTGCGCTTGAGGCCGCCGGCGTTGGGCTTCGTCGCTGGAGCTTGTCCAGAGGTCCTGGCTGATGTCGGGCGAGTCCTATGCGCATCCCTCGCTCGAGCGTCTCCGCGGTTGATGGGGCTCCTCTGGAGACTCTCCTGCTTGGCAGCTGCTCACATGGGCTGAGGTTGATTCGAGCTTGGAACCTCGCATCTGGCTGCGATAGGCAAGTTTGAGTGCCGCGCTTCGCAAGGTCGAAAGAATGGTTTCCTGAAATGTCGCCGACGTCGAGCTCTGGTCGAAAGCGCAAGGGAGCAGGGTCGGAAGATGATCGAGCATACCACCTCTTTTCAAGTCGGGACCTTGTGCTGACTATTGATTCCCGCCTCGAACCATCCTCGAACAGACAATGTCTTTCCTCGCACGCAACACGTTTACGCAGGCCAGGTCGGGTCTCTCTCGACAGGCAGCCTCTACCTCTGCGTGGGGCATTCGCCACGAATCCTCATCGGCGGCTGCCAAGGCCACCGTGGCTTCCGGTTCTTCGTCGAGCGAGAGTGCACCGGCGACGCACTACCGAATCACGCTTCGACGCTCGGGCATCGGCATGCCCGACAAGATCAACCGCACGCTGCAGGGACTCGGGCTCAAGAAGCGTCTGCAGTCGGTGTACCGACCGATCGGAGCAGACATGGCGGGTGCCATCCTGGCGGTCAAGGAGCTCGTGCACGTCGAGAACGTGCGACGCCTGGAGGAGGCGGATCAGATGCTGCTCAGCGATGAGGAGGCCGTGTGGCTCAACGAAGCGGGCGAGATCGTCGACCCCGGCAAAGCGGCCAAGAAGGCGCCTCGTGGCTACAAGGTGGTCGGCAACGTCGTGAGCGAGCTGCGCGACCAGCAGATCAAGAACGGCTCGTCGGCATAGATGATTGCCACGACGACGACGTCGACCTCCACGTTCTCGCCCTTCCTTCTCCCGCGACGAATTGCTCTCGCACTGTATTACTAGTCTGCTTCCTTTGCTCTCTTTTTCATCTATTGAAAAGCATACCCTTCAGATCCTCTTTGACAGAGCTGCGACCGCTGCCATTGTGAAAGGAAAGAGCAAGGATGCAGGTTTGTGACTTTCGGAAGCAGTGGACTCGTCACGAGCGGAAGCAGGCGTCGCGTGACCAAGCCAGTGCACGGAAGCATGAGATCACACAATCCCTTCATCACACTGTCACATGAAAGTGATTCTCTCGCTTGCGGCTGGCCAGATTGCAGCGGGTATCAGATCGTCAAGTCAAGCCAGCGCTGCACGCTTGATCTGCGCTGGAAGCGGGCTGAGTCACCCTTTGCGGAAGCATTAGGCTAGCAGCCCTCGTGGCCATGACTGAGAGTGGCCGGGAGGGATCGGAGCTCGGGTGCAAATGACACGATCCGCTCGAGGTCCGCACACTCGTTTCGCAACACAGTCCGACTGCACGCCAAGTTGCATCTGGCACAGGTCTCTTCTGCTACTATAAATTACATGCAGATCGACCGGTGAAAATCACGGCGTTTGACTTTACACGAAAGTATGCCATGGCAACAGGAGATTGCAGGGCGCGATGAGGCGGCGGGTGCGATTGCTGCATCAAAAGTGTGATAAGGCGAGGACGAGGGCGGGGCAAGCGGGGTGCCAGATCGAGCGTCGAGTAATGAGCCTTGGCCTGGGGCGGATGATGCAAAGTGAGGACCCTGTTGGGCGGCCAAGAGAAAAGTCGCACCGATGGACGTGGATCTCGCCATTCGATCCGCTCGCGTCAGGCTGTCCGGGAGGCGATAGCGAGACGGATCGCCTGACGTGGACCTGCGAGGCTGCTCGACATGCGGCGAGGCTCGGCAAGCGCGCCCACGGTCCACGAGCAAGGGTTTAGTGGAGCAAGCGAGGCGTAGTCGCGCGCGTCAGAGCCAGTATCTTGTGACTAGGACTAAGGCACTGCTGTAAGCTTGTTTTGGCGATCGCTTTCGAGTCAATGGCCACTCTAAAGGCTTCAGTTGGAACCAGACCGCTTCACACGCTGCACCCCATCAAAGCAATGCGAGGTGGCCGGCACAGCATGGTCGGGAGGGGCCCGCTGAAAGGGCGACAGGCACTGAACTCAAAAACCACTGCGGAGCCTCTGCCGTGGCGGCAGCGCCGATGAAAGCCTTCATCCCGGTGCAGAAGCGACTCGGCTGCAGCCACAACTTTGGTAGAGGCCCCGGTCTAGCCGGCCACTTTTTTGACCCCAGAGCCTACATCTCTCCACTTTTTTTTGGCCTATTTTTTTTTTGGAGTCTCGCGATTTCATGCTGCCATGCGCGATTGAGCTTGAGTAGGCTCAGGAGCGGTCGCGCTTGGCTGGGCGTCCATAACGTGATAGCGGGACCAAGCCGGTTATCGCACCGAGACAACCGCTCATCCGCCGCCCGCCGCCCGCAGTCTGCCGACCGCTGGGGTTGCCCGTGGCGGCCCGAGTCATCGCGTGTGTTTTGCGTGAGTTGCGAGATCCCCCCGCCTTTTGTGACTAGGATCGCGCGCGGATACGCCAGCGCTGAGGCAGCAGAGCAAGGCGCAGTCATTCGTGATTGCCCCCCTCGCTCGGATCGCACCCACAGCAGCACGCCCGCAGCGAGGCAGCAGCCCACACGCATCAAACTCCGGCGAGCACGACAGACCGCGTCAGTTCGCGACAAGGATCCGCGTCACAACTAGCAGCTCGCCGCTGCTCAACGCTTTGTGGGTGCGTGGGTGCGGGCTGCATTGAGTCAGACTGCAGCCAGCTGCACACGCGTGGCTGCATCGCATCGCCTTGGACCCTGTAGACATAGATAGGCCTGCCTCCCTCATCCTGATCGCCCCCTCCTTATCCCCATCTCCTCCTGCCTTCCACCATCATCCCATTCGCAACAACCGCACCTAGGCTCTTCTCCAACCTCCATCACCACCCGCAACCCTTGTTTGCCAGTGATCCGCCCCCATCAGCCCAGCTTGCGTATCCAGCCTTACCGCCAACCATCCCTGCCACTATGCTCGCCTAAGCCAGCTGATAGGCCTACTATCGCGACCTCCGCGATCTCTTGATCCCCTTTGCTGTCCCCTCTCTATCCGCTTGACTCCGGCTTCTTAGCTGGAACCGTCTCGTTACGATCCGCCTCCTCATCATGGATGCCGGTCCTCTCCATCGCCCTCTGGGAGATTAAGCGCCCCACCCTCGCGGGCTTCTCGTCCGACTAGCAACAACTCGACAATCCACTCCACCCATCGTCTCATTGACCTGACAATCCCTGCACCCATACCTCTGCTTTCCTGGCCCCCGCCCTCGTTATCGTTCGACCCCATAACGCATCCTATCACGATGAACCGTCAGCCAGATAGCGTTCTGCCCGGGCTCGGCAGCCCCGGCAGCCTCAAGGCTGTCTTCGGCAGCTCTTATGCTCGAGACTCGGATCTCGTGGACGACTTTGTCGACGAGATCCTGCCCGACTTCATGCAGACTTCCATCTCGGCATCCATCGCCGCATCCGGACGCCGCTCCCGCCTGGATGAATCCGCAGGAGAGGGCCTCCGCAGGAACGTTCTACTGCGCAACGCCATGCTCTCCAGCCTTGAGCGAGAGCGCCGCCAAACAGAAGTAGAGCTGCGAGACCCCAACGTCCCTACATCTCTGGCTTCAAAGGAGACTTCTGCGGATGATGCCGTTGCCAGCACCCTTATGGACGAGGAAGCTCAGTTCTTTGAAGATCTGCTCAGCGAGCTCACCGGCTCCGACAGCATAGTTCCATTCAACTCTGTCCTCGAGCTTCCAGCATCCCATAGCGACGCACCTAGCCTGGCTCCACGGGAAACCGCTGTAGCCATCAAGGAAGAAGACGAGGAGGAAGAAGACTTCATCGAGCTCGAGGCGGAAACAGAAGTCCAATTCGCCTCGTCTCCCACGAGTCTTACGGCGGATCGAGGGTCTCTCAGCCTGGACCTGCCTGTTCGGACGCTCAATGACTCTTGCTCAAGTGCATGCTCAGCGTTGGCTGCTGGCTCAGACTCTGGCTTTGCAGAACAGACTTCGCGCCCGCCGTCCGTCGCCAGCTGCTACACTGGCTATCCTCACGTCTGCCCGTATCCTGCCATCTCTGGATGCAGCGCTGCCTCGTCGGAGGAGCTGCCTGCTTTAATTGATGACGACAGCGACCTCGAAGAGGATGAAGACGAGGTGGGCGAGAGGGACTCTCCCGCGCTCGATGTTGGTGTCGATGCCGACGCAGCCGTTGTAGCCGCCGTCGAGGCCGACGCGTCACGGTCACGGCCTCTGTCGCCAATCCTCTCGCCTGTCCACTCGGTCTTCCTGGATTGTACGAGCTTGCGCGATCAGCTTTCGCCAGAGTCATCGCGGCCGACTTCGCCGATCTCTAGCGCATCGTCGAAGGGCGACGGCGAAGGGCCGAGCCCGCTGCTGATTGCGTCGGAGCTGGGCGCACTCCCGTCGCTCGCCGAGCTGTCGCTGCAGCCTCACATTCTGGGCCGGCCGCCTCGCACGCTCACATCGGCGTGGTTCGAGACCAAGGCAGAAGCAACAGGCAGTGCAAGCACGAGCGCCGAACGCATGCGCTGGACCTCGGCGCCCGCCACCCATCTTCGGTCGCCACCGACCGCGCCGGACCTTGTTCCCAATAGACTGGGGCTTGCCCCGCACCGCAACATCGCGCCGTTCCAGCCGCCGCACACCGACGCCAATGACACCTCGATCGTGGTTCATTGGTCGCGATAACCCCCCTCTTCCCTTGTTGATACCACTCGTCCCCTCTGCACTGTTGCCGCCTTGTTTGCATTGTTCTCACCTCGCAGTCTTGTTCTTCCGCATCGTATGGTTCCCCCTCGCAGTCCTTTGTTTCACCAGCACATACTCTTAGGTCGCGGTTTTAGTTCACTGTGTAATGTATTTTTGCGCTTGAACGATGGCCTGCAGGCGCGAATGCGATTGGGCTGACGGAGGCGTTAAGCAATGTCGTTGAGCTGGATCTCGGTGTCGAGGAAGGTGTAGTCGGCGTCGACTTCCTGGAGCCAATCGTCGTCGTCCTGCAAGTTGGCTGTGGGATCCGCGTCGTCGTCATCGTCGTCGGTAGGTGACGGGAGGTCGGGTTGGTGGAGATGGAATCGGGCGTGTGGGTTGAGGGTGGGATGTTTGGGTGCAGACGAGGTTGGGTGGAAGATGTTATCCAGCAGACGTTTGTTTGTGTCTTTGGAGGAAGGGAGGTGGACGGGTGAGAGGTGGAGACCTGCAAGGGCGGTGTTTGGTTCTGGTTCCGGCGTGGATGCAGTGACCAAAGCCGAGGTTGTTTGGAGCGTGTTGAACATTGCGTATGCGTCATCGTCGTCCTCGCCAAGCTGGGGTGCAGGCTGCGTGCATCGACCGTACAGCCGGTACGGTTGGATCGAGATCTTCCTACCCCCGCTGCTACTCTTGCGGGGGGAGGCGTCGTCGTCGGATAACTCCACCTCGCGTGTTTGTCGCCACCCGACACCGCCAGCCGGACTACTGCTCGCAACTTGCTTGCGCGAAGAGGGGCGCGGGACGCTGCTGGGAAGCGTGATTTCCGTGTGTGGCGATGACTCGCCCCTACGCACAGGGCTCGACGATGCACCGAGGTCGTCGTCGCAATCGCTCGAGGGCAGGATGGGCGCCGATCGCGTCTTGGGCTTCTTGGACGCAGCGGGAGAGAGCTCGCGAAGTCGACGACGACGCTGAACTTCGGCGCCGAATATTCCGCCTGCTGGACCGGCATCGTGCATCACCGCGTCCTCGTCTGCATCTCCCGTGCAACCACTGGTCGATGGTGCGAGGATGTCGACGGGTGCGTGGCTGGAGGGCGAGGCGAACAGCGGGCGGAAACCGGGCTTGCCGCTTCCCCTGCGTGCCACAGCCTTGACGGGCGAAGCGTCCAACACATCTTCATCATCGGACATCTGTGCCGGCACGACTGTGCGCAATGGAAATGCCGAGGCTGGAGCAGGCATGGTCGGAGGCTTGCGCTGCGTTGCCAACCCGAATGCGGCGAGTCCGCGCTGTGCTGGTCGTGGATCCGTCCCCGCGCGCCCACCTGCCCGCGCCGGGGTGGGCGGCACATCTTCCCCCCTCAACCTCTTGCGTGCCTTTGTGCGCGGCGTGTAGGCGACCAGGGCGTTCCTCAGCGCCGCATCGCCGTCGGTGCGTACAGGCTTGGTGGGCGTGAGTCGCGATGCAGCCGCTACCGCCGTGCGCAGCTTACTTGGCGAGGCCGTCACGTACTGCTGCTGCTGCGAGGCTACGCGGAGCGACGATTTGGACGGCGTAAAGGCGTGCGCGCGCTGCGACGCCGTCAGCAGCGGCGACCGCTTCGGCGTCATCTCGACATCCACCACCGATCCAGCAGGACTCGCCGGTACGGATGCGGCGGCGCGTCGAGACGGCGTCGCGAACGGGTTCTGCCGAGGAAGGTTCTCCTTCTGGCTGGGCGACGAGCGCTTCGTCGGTGTGCGGAACGGATTCTTGGATGGCGACGCGCCCGCCTGCGCCGTGACTCTACGCTTCGACGGTGTCCTGACCACATTGTCATCGAGCGTGTTCTTGGAGCTGGTCGCTTTGGTACTCGATGGCTCCGATCGCTTGCTGGACCGCGGTTTGGCGGTGGTATCGCCGCCTACGGCCTGCCAGGTCTCGTAGGTGCCCGAGATGCTGTCATCGGCAAGGATGTCGCGCTTGGTGGGGTCGCGACCATGGCGCTGCTTGAAGGCGCGCTGCCATATCTTGAGCTCGCGCCGCAGGATGTGCTCCATCGTCTGCGGCTGCGTGCAAGCGTGATGTGAGGCCAAGCGCGGCTGATGTGGGTGATGATGGGTCGAGAAGAACAGCAGGACAGCAGATGTTGGCAGGACGGGCGTGCCAAGTGGAGCGGCGGAGTTGCCAATCACCAAATTTACGCGTCGCGCGTCACGAGGCAGCGCGGCGTTTCGGCGCAATTTGTTAGATCGGAAAAGGATGGGGGGTTGGCCAGGGCTGCCATCGGAAGCTGGCATTCCACCGACTGGAAAGGTAGGATCGCCACCCGGCCAAGGAGAAGAAGGTCATGGGCTATGTGACCGAGGAACGACATCGTCATTGCACCCATTCGGCGAGCGTTTGTCCTGCGGCGACAAGATCTGGCAGCCTCGGAGTTTAGGGCGGTGCGGTACATAAGCGCGACTCCGCGTTTTTGGCGAGCTAGAAAAGCAGCCTTTGGACCCTGCGCATGTCATGGACGGCAAAGGGCCGTGTCGGTAGGGATGGTTGCTCAGCTTTCGCTCGAGGCGAGATCCTGTCGACCTCGGCACAGTCTCCTTGCTCTACTTGCCCGCGCAGTTGCGCACGGGATATATAGACGTGTCTCACACCCTCCGACTCGGCTCTCGACAGCTTGCTGATCTCCACCCATCATCCGCTCGCGTGTGGTGATCGTGAACGAGCAGCAAACATGGCCATGCCACACGAGTGGCACGCGGGCGAGCTGTACATCCAGTCGCAGCTCGGGCACAAGGATGCCGTCGCGGGCGCGCACCCGACCTTCAAGCCGCAGCTGACCGTTCAGCACCAGCAGTTCCACGCGCAGCTCAACATCCTCCCCGTCTGCACGCTCGACGCGCGCGGTCGACCGTGGGGATCGTTCTTCGCAGCCAAAGATGGCCAGCACGGCTTCATCTCCTCGCCCTCCTTGACCACGCTCATTGCAAGCCAGATGAAGCTGCACGAGCACCATCCGGTGGAGATGGCATTGACCGAGGGCGCAAAGTTCGGCATGACAAAGCTCGTCACCAACGACGATGGCGACTACCAGGGCCCGGCGCTCAAACTCATCGCCGGCGTTGGTGTCATGTTTGAGAACAGGCGCAGGAACAAGCTCGCAGGATTCATCAATGAGCGCAACACAGGGTCCAAAGAGGACCGCACGATCCAGGTCGAAGTCATGGAGAGCCTGGGTAACTGCCCCAAGTACATCAACACCCGCAGCCTGGTGCCCAACCCGAACCACAACCCCACGATGCTCCACAGGAATCTGGACCTTGTGCCTGGCCAGCTGCTTCCCGAGGAGACGCTGAAGCACGTTGCTCAGGCGGACGCAGTGTTTCTCGCGACGCGCTACACGAGTCCCGTGCAGACCATCTTCAAGTCGCATCTGGGCATCAACATTCGTGGCGGCAAGCCGGGCTTTGTTCGCATCACCGCCGAAAAGGTCACGCGCCGTAGCGGAGAGACCGAGCTGCGCCAGGTGGCGTACCTGCCGGACTACTCGGGCAACCGCTTCATGAGCTCGCTCGGCAATGTGCACTCGGACAAGGTCGCCGGGATCACCATCCCGCTCATGCGCAAAGGTCAGCCCATCGACGTCGTCTACCTCACCGGCGATGCAGAAGTGCTGATTGGAGAGCGGTCCACGTCCATCTTCCCTGGTGTCCGAACGTGTGTTCGCATCGAGCTGACCGGGTTTATGCACGTGCAAGACGCTGTGCCGCTGATGCCGGGCGAGTTCGACCCTTCGCAGGGCGTCGAAGACTTTGAGCCCAAAGGCGACGACGGCATCGGATGGAGTCCGTACAATCCGCCCATACGTCGGCTTCGATCCGAGTTGACATCTGCACCCGACGCCGACTCCGACCAGCAATCAGCCGGGAACCAAGCGAACATAGTCGCGTTCGAGCAACATACTCCGGACCTCGCTACGATCACCTTCAGGCTATCGCAGCCGGTCAGGTACCGCGCCGGGCAGCACATCATCCTCGACTGTGGCTCGCTGCTTGATGCCGAGGTGAAGGAGTACAAGCACATGTCGGACAAATATGGGGGAGAGCAAGAGCTCAACGACACGGGCATGCGGACGTGGACCATCAGCTCGGCACCGTCGTCTCCGGGTAGCCCGCAGGACACGGTGAGCGTCACGATGCGTAAGATCGACAGAGGATTGGTCACGCCCAAGATGCTCGCAGTCGCAAAGCAGGTAAGCGCGGGCGAGACGGTTGGAGAGCTGCCTGTGCTCGGACTTGGCGGCGACTTTGTTCTTCCGACGCAGCTCGAAGCGCAGACCAAGCTTTTGTGGATCGCATCGGGAGTGGGCATCACACCTTTCCTCTCGTTCCTTGCATCGCTGCGCGCTTCGACCGAGAGCGTCCGCATTGACGTGACTATGATCCTCGCCATGCGCAGGGCAGAAGCTGCCGCCATGCTCGGCCTGGTTCGCCAAGCGGTGGAATCGAACTCTTCGTCCTTGAATGGGACGCTGAGCCTGCACGTCGTCTCCGCTGGCGTGCAAGACTTGGATCTCGGTGCTGGCACGACAATCGGCGGCTTACAAGTTGGCGTCACAAAGCACAGCCAGCGACTTGATCCCGAGCTCTTGCTGTCCATCAGCAGCACCGAGTCCGAGAGTGCGGGCAAACCGGAAGCATGGGTGTGCGGTCCTGCGTCGCTCGAGACTGTGGTGATGCAGACGTTGCAAGACGCAGGCTGGCCCGCTGAAAAGCTGCATCGCGAGTCGTTCTCCTTCTAGCCAGCGTGCAATTATGGTCTCTTTCAACGTGTTCCTGACATGCTTGTTCTCTGACGGGAAGGAACAAAAGCCGGTAGGATGGTCCAAAGCCAGGGTCTGTCTCGTGCTCGCAAAGTCGCCATGTGCAGCGGGCTGGGTTCGGCTGGGAAATCACAATTTCTTCCACCCTGACAAGTCACAATTCTTGCTAGTCAGGATGCAACGCACATGCAAGCCAGCGGACGCGACCAATCTGTCGCACCCGCTGGCGGCTAAGCGGGCTCTAGGCATTGGGCTCTCGGCGACTCACGTGCAGGGTAGAGTTGTCCGCGCTGCATCAGTGAAAGGTCGGCGAAGATGCGGATATCACATCGGTCCACCCGCCTGCACTGCGGACTGTTCGGGCGCTGATCCTCCGTGGTTTGCGAGGAGGCCTGTTCGCAGTGGCTGGCGCTGGGGCCGCTGACAGCTGTCACGCTGCCAACGAGAAGAGGTGGAGGAAGGCGACTTTGCATGAAATCGTGCAAGCAGGGAGGTGCTGATCGAGGCCTTGTACATGATCATCCGAGAGCATCGATCGGACCCTCAAAAACGTGGCTGGCCCGAGCCCATGTGCATGTCATCTTGCTCCATATCGTATCTCATGCCGCCTCATCCACATTGACATACAGAAGCCGGGAGCTTGGGTCGGGCCGATGTGTTGGTCTCGGCGCAGCGCGGGATTGAGCTGTCGCGACCCAAGGATGCACGAATCACAAGTCGAGTGCCTAGGCCGCGCCGCTTGCAGGCGGAAAGACCTTCTCCGCGCCAAGGCGGCGGAAGCAGCAGCGGCGGCAGCAGCGGCGACGACGTGGCGCTGGAAATCGAAATCTCGAGCGAGGATGGGCGTCGAGCAAAGATCGCACGATGGCGCCGATCTGCGGAAAATTGCTCGGAGATACTGCTCTGGCGAGGCTGCCAGTTGCGGCCGGCTGGAGAGATTCGAAAATTTGTGTTCAAACCCCTTGCCCCTGCTTCTGTGGGCTCACCCGGGCTTGAGCGAGGATTTCGTGCGATTTTGCAGGCTCCTACTCGGCCATTGCACGCTGCTACGCTTCTTGGCCTGCAGCCGCGCCCAAGGCCTCGGTGCCTGTCGAAGCTCCGTATTGGCCTGCGGCTGTCTCTGTGTTGGGTTTGTAGCCGGCACGTTTCGGATAAATGAATGGGTTCGAGATGAGGTCCCAGGTGGCAGTGACGGCGCTGTCTTGTACTAACTTACCGATAGCCAGACTCGAGCGGCTTGGTCAGGTCACGGACACCCGTGGCCTGGGTGGGCTGAATGTGTTGCTGTGCTGCGCTGTGCGTGCGGATGCGGCTCGGTGGGTGTGATGCTGCCGAATTGGGGCTGGGCTGGCCACACACGCGGACTGGCGCGCCTGCCAGCGGCTCAAGAGAAGCCAGCGAGAGGGCGCGGCCCTGGCGAGGGGAATATTGGCAATTCGACTTTGACACGCACCCGCAGCGCCAGCCAAGTCAAGTTAACTCATCGCTGCCCGCCCGCGCCCGTCTCGGATTGGCGAGCTCGGCGTGCAGCGTCTGTTGCTGGCCTCTCTGCCCGTTTGCCTCGCTGCGCTGCCCTGCCCTGCTTTTGCCCTGCGCTGCCCACCGCGGCCTTTTCGTCAGCCCAGCCAGACACCCACACACGCTCCGCCTGGCGCTCGCTAGCTAGCACACCGCCCGCAGCCCATCACCCTCCCTTTCCGATTCACCACTTCCTCTCTCTCTCGTCACCATCCGCGCCGTTCCCACCCAAATCCTCCGTTTGGGCAATTCGGCTGAGTCGACGACATCCTAGCCAGCATCCTCTTCGTCTTCCGCTCCGCTACACCAGCATCCGCACGCACCATCCAACGTCGCTCTCCATCTCTCTTTCACTCTTCGAAGCAACTCGTCTCGCTTCGCTACCAATCCTCACCGCATCCAACCCGTCGCACACTGCACGCGCTCCGCTGCCTCACCACATTGACGCCAGCCTTGTTCGTCATTGCAACCCGACTTCGCATCACTACGGCAGCTTGACCACTCATCTCGCTACCCATCTGGTCTGCAGGCGTAGTCCCATCGCCGCACCTCTCCTAACCTCCTCCGCGCCCACCACCACCACCCGCAACCGCCACCATGGATCTTCGTGTCGGCGGCAAGTACCGCATCGGTAAGAAGATCGGTTCGGGTTCCTTCGGTGACATTTACCTCGGCATCAACATCATCTCCGGTGAAGAGGTCGCCATCAAGCTTGAGTCCATCAAGGCCAAGCACCCGCAGCTCGAGTATGAGGCCAAGGTCTACAAGACCCTCGCAGGCGGTGTCGGCGTCCCCTTCGTCCGCTGGTACGGCCAGGAGTGCGACTACAACGCCATGGTCATCGACCTCCTCGGCCCTTCCCTCGAGGACCTCTTCAACTTCTGCAACCGAAAGTTCTCCCTCAAGACCGTCCTTCTCCTCGCTGATCAGATGGTACGTATGCTCCGTCCAACTTCCGCACCCTCGAGTCAACTCAGCTTTGCAATGCAGCAGCCTAGCTGCCGCGTCGATCACTCTCCCCTCCTTCCCGCATCGCCCTCGCTCACAATTGGCAGAAAGACTGACCTTCTGACTCTCTTCCCTTGTAACCTTCTCAACCCTTGCAGATCTCGCGAATCGAGTACATCCACTCGCGAAACTTCATTCACCGCGACATCAAGCCCGACAACTTCCTCATGGGCATCGGCAAGCGCGGCAACCAGGTCAACGTCATCGACTTTGGTCTCGCCAAAAAGTACCGCGACCCCAAGACTCACCTTCACATCCCCTACAGAGAGAACAAGAACCTCACCGGTACCGCCCGCTACACCTCGATCAACACCCACCTCGGCGTCGAGCAGTCGCGACGTGACGACCTCGAGTCCTTGGGCTACGTCCTCATGTACTTCCTCCGCGGCTCGCTCCCGTGGCAGGGTCTCAAGGCCGCCACCAAGAAGCAGAAGTACGACCGCATCATGGAGAAGAAGATGACCACCCCCACCGAGCTCCTCTGCCGCGGCTTCCCCTCGGAGATGGCCATCTACCTCAACTGCTGCCGCTCGCTCCGCTTCGACGACAAGCCCGACTACTCGTACCTCCGCAAGCTCTTCCGCGACCTCTTCGTCCGCGAGGGTTTCCAGTACGACTACGTCTTTGACTGGTCCATCCAGCAGCGCTCCGAGGACGCAAAGGTCGAGCCCTACGTCAAGCAGCAGGCTGCCGTCCAGCAGCAGGCCGCCGCACAGCTCCCCCGCCGCAAGGTCCTGCCTCAGGAGGGTGACGACGCCGTCAACAACGGCATGGACACCACCCGCGCTGCCCACGGCACCGCACGTCCCGCCGACAAGGCCTACATGGCTCAGAACCTCGCCGGCTCCTCTCGCCCTCTCAAGCGCGAGGACCAGCCCTACTACTGAGCAGCTCGCAACGGGCTGCGGCGTCGGATCTCCTCGCTCGCTTCCTCCACGCCTCCACCAGTCGTGCTCTGTCTTTTAGTAGGCACCACGACTGGTGAGTGCGTGGACCTGCATATCCAATGCATGTCGCACGACAGGCTTCAGGATCCATCGAGCACATGACATCTGGCGGTCCATGGCCCCGCACACGACCTTGCTCTCCCTCAACCCCACACGCTCTTTACGACATATGAATGGATCTCGACTTCCCTTGCGGCACGGACGGTCGCGCAATGCTTGGTTTTTGATCATGGCTCATGCCCACGCAACGGCATGGGCGGTTTCCCTCACACGACTTCCTCGCGGATATGCGAGAGGGCTTCGGAGGAATAAAAGAGACAGGTGTCTCAATCATGATCATCTCAACACAACCAAGCAGCAAGCAGGTTTCGCACGGCTGCCAACGGAAAGCGCACGCGTGTCGTCGCTTCCCGCAGCAGCACTCTCGGCTCGATCCTGCTTGTCTAGGCGCGACGTCTCGCAATGCCGTCTCCCCCCAACGATCCACATTCAGTCAAGAGCTTCCATCCACACTTGTTCTCCGTCATCAGCACTAGGTTTTCCTCTTTTCCAATCCTCTCTCGCACATCGCCGTCACCTGTTCCTCCGCTCATGCTGCAGGGATAAGTGCGGCGTGAAGCGACTCCAGCTCCGCACGGTCGGTCTGCCTTGCAGCCTGCCTGCAGCGCTGCGGCTGGCAGCATCCAAGCTCCAACTGCACCCACGGTCTTTACTCGGTACTTATGCATTCCCCCTTCTCCCCCACGTTTTTCCCCCACTCATGTTGTCCAGTTTCCCTCATCGTGCATTTGACGTGGCACGCTCTTCGCACTGCGATGAGCGACCATGCCATGCGCATCCACCCCACTCCTCTGTCGTCAGCTGTGTTGTCGTCAATCACCATCATGCCCGTACGAAGCGCCAAAGTTTGTGAGTCTGTGAGAGAAACTCCGAAACGAGGGCGGGCCGTGCTTGCCAAGGAGGGTCGACGCGCTTTGACTTCGTTGCCAACAGTGCATCGGCCGTGCACCACCGAAAAAGATGAGCTTTGTGGTTTCCTACAGAGACTCTAACCCTTGACACAGAGGCCGATCCAGAATCGTGGAATGATCTGTGCTGTAAGCTGGGCAAGCTACACGACTGCAGGTGTGCCTATTACGGCCGTGGAAGGTGAGCGAAAGGATGACGCCGTGCGTACCGGTGCTCGATCTCGGTCGTAGCACAGGTGTGCTTCACCTTGGGTCGAGCGTGACCGATCGCCAGACCAACATCATGTGTTGCAACACCGTGTGCCCTGGCCTTTGGCCCGCACAGCAACGCTTCCGATCCCCCACACTCACGCCAGCTCACTCTTGTCCGGGCACAATTGAAGCGGCATGCATCTGCATCACCGCACCACTACCTTTGGCAAAACGCATTCTGAAAAACGACGCTGTAAATTGCATGCAATGAACGACTAGGACCGGATGCCGGCGCGGTGGATGGCCCACTCCTTCTCGACGAGGTGGGTGACCTTTTCGACCGTGTCCATGAGCTTGCTCATGTCGGCCGACCACGCGTTGAGCACGTCGGCATTGGTGCGTCTCTTTTCAAACGTCACCAGACCACGCGGACGGTCCATCTTGGCCCACACGGTGCCGCCGCTGACGAGGTCGGCGAGCGCCTGTTCGGACTGGTCGGGCGAGAGGTCGAGCAGCTGCGCGAGGCGCGCGAGCGTGATGCGCGTGTAGTAGCGCGAAATGACGCGGATGTTGTGCTCCACCACGCGCTTGTGCAGCTGCTCCCATCGGTGGTTGCCATCGCGCACCGTCGCCGCCCCTGCACCCGCGTTCGACTTGGCCGCCGGAGTCGCGGCGTTGAATGTCGCCGTCTCGCGCAGCATGGGCCCGTACAGCGTCTCGATCCCAGGCCACCGCATCAGCTCGGGCGTCGTGAAGCACTTGAGCAGGTTCTTGTGCTCCGGAACCTGGTCCAGATCCTCCATCGCCTCGATGCGCGCCATGAGATCGCTCTGCTCGTTGTCGTACTTGGCCAGCGCAAGGAAGACGACCACGTTGCGCAGCGTCTCCTTGCGCCGCGCATCGTCCTCCTGCACCGACGGCGTCGCAAGCACCTCGCGGTAGTACTTGCAGATGTCCAGGAACTTGTCCTCGCACAGCGCATACTCGATCATCATGCCGTAGTAGCGCAGCTTGAGGTCGGCGTGCTTGGCATTGTCAAACAGCTTGGTGTTGATCTTCTTGGCCACAATCGCCATCTTGGCCAGATCGCTGCGCTCGTAGTTGAGCCGCATCTGCTCGAGGATGAACTCGACCTTTTCGCGGCGGTCCATGCTGCCAAACGTCTCGACCGCCAGCTCCTGCAGCGCATCCGCCGCCTCGGACACCTTGCCCTTGGTGTAGAGCATCTTGGACAGCAGCAGCGTGATGCGTGCGCGCTCCACCTCGACAAAGATCTTGCCCTCCGTCACGGTGCGCAGCAGCTCTACGATCTTCATGCGCGTCTCCTCGGTGACGCCCGTGTCGCCTATGCGCTTGGCGGCATCCATGAGTTCGAGCACCTTGGCGTTCTGCGCGCCCACCTTTTCGCGCTCGCGCTCCTCCTGCGCCTCCTGGCGCCTGCGCGCCTCGACGGCCTCCTTGGACTCCTTCTTGCCCTCCTCCTTCTCCTTCTTTGCCGCCTTCTCCTGCTCCTTCTTCGCCTTTTCTGCTGCGAGGTCCTTCATCTCCTCGTCCTTGACCTCCTGCTCCCTCCTGCGCTCCTCCTCGGGGTCGACGGCGGGGTAGACAAAGCACATGACGAGCTGCACCATGCGCGTCGTGGCCATCTTGAGCTGGCCGTGCTTCTTGGACAGGCTCGTGACGGTCTCGGCAAGCAGGTCCCAGTTGGTCTGTTGTGGGCTCGGCGTGTTGCGCACCAGCAGACACGCGAGCAGCAGCAGCCGCGTTGTCGAGTTGAGGTCCGCCGCATTGCGCGCCTTCTTCTCGAGTGCAAACACCTTTTCAAGCGCAGCGCTGAGCTGGTTCGACGCCGCCAACGACTGCGCCTCGGGGATCAGCGTCTCGACATCCGCGCTAAAGTCCGCCTCCTGCTTCTTCTCCGCGGCCGACATGCTTCCCTGGTCGTATCGATGATCCTCGGCGTGGTGTGACTGTAGATGTGTTGGCAGGAAACTGTGCGTGGTGGTTGAATGGACACGCAAAGGGCCAAGGTTGTGGTGGTGTGAGCAGGTGTTGGTTTGGAGATCGCGTCCAAGTGCTCGCTCCACTCTGCTCACCAACCGGGCTTGTGCGGCGCGGCCCTCGAGCCCAATTGCCAAAAGTGGAGAAGGCGGCGTGGCCTTCGATCACAATTTCCCACCTCGCTGGCCTGCCGCCCAAGCCTGAGTCCAAGTGACCTCAGGACGCGTCTCTCACCAGTGCCAAGCGCTTAGTCAGCATGTGCAAATCCAACCTCCCTCCCTCAACCCCATCGGCACACCAGCCCAACCTTTCGTAGTATCATAGTTGCATTGCTATGGAAGGAGAAGTACACGCACCAAACGAGCCACACCTCGCTCTAGTCGTCTTCGGTCGCGTGGTAGCCCGCCCTGCGCATCGCACCGAGCACGCGGCGTGCCTGGGTGAGCTCCTTCTCGAGCTTGAGCACCTCGACCTGCTGCTCCATCTCCTTGACCTTAAACTCGTGCACGGCCATCTGCGAGTAGTCAAAGTCGGCTGCACCGTTGCTCTGCCTGTCGGTGATGGTCTTGACCTGCTTGACGAGCGCACGGCACGCGTCCGTGACCGCCTTGGCCGCCCGCTCGAGCCGGTCCTGCGTCTTGGACATGAACTCGGCCTTGACACGCGACGCGGCCACCACCTGCGCCGTCGCAGCCGACACCTCGTTGGATGCGACAATGAGCTGCTCGAGCGAGTGCGTGCCCATGATGACGCCGTCGGCCGCCTCGATGAGCATGGTCGTCGCAAACGCCACCGCACGTGCCGCCGAGATGAGGCCCTCGGTCCAGCGGTTGTTCTTCTTGTAGAATTGCTGGTTGGTCGACGAGCCTCGTCCCTTGGCCACGATCTCCTGCTGCGACTCGGTCGCCGCCTTGATGAGGCCGGCGATCGCGCGTGTGATGGCGAGCGAAGCCTCGAGGATGGCGTCGTGCACCTGCAGATCCACCGCCGAGTACTTGTTGTGGTCCCTCGGCCTCGACAGCAGCGCCTGCAGCTTGGCCGTCGCAGCATCGATGGCGCTCGCAGCATTCATCATCTCGCGCTCCACAATGTCGCCAATGTCGCCGTTGGCGTTGGCAAGCATGGTGTTGCCCGCTTTGACCATGGTCTCGACCACGCTGTTGAGGTTGCCAAACGCGGCGCGCGCCTCCATGTTCTGGCGTGCCACCACATCGCGGCGCTGGGCAGGTGCGACGCCGGCCAGACGGTACGACTGCAGGTTGCTGAAGAATCGCAGCAGCACGTTGCCCGTCTCGCGACCGGTGCCGATGAGCTTGTCGGCAGCATCGTCGTTCTGCGCCAACCTTGTGATGCCCTTGGTGCTGGTGAGCGTGTCGCTGATGGTCTGGGCGAGCTGATTGGCGCGTTTGATGACCTCGACGTGCTCGCCGCCCACCTCGCCGGAGAGGTAGAGCGAAAAGACGGTGGCAAACTCGTTGGTGGAGGTGGTGCCCTTTTCGATCATCGAGAGCACGTACTCGGGCGTGGCGGTGGTGTTGCCCGAGGCCGAGGGCGACTCGAGCTCGTAGAGCGCATCGTCCACCTTGTCGACGCACGCCTGGAGGATGGAGTCGATGATGGCGTTGAGCTTCTTGGAGTTGTCGAGGATGAGCGTGTCGATCTGTGCATTGACCGCCTGGTCGCTCTCGCCCTGGTTGAGCTGCATGTCGGTGAGCTGCTTGATGGTGGCGTCCATACCCTCCTGCATGATGGCGAGCTCGGCATCCTTCTCGTCGCGGATGCGTGCCAGCTCGGCGTCGCGAGCGTCGAGCTCCATGCGCTTCTCGCGCAGCGAGTCCTCGAGCTCGGCGATCTGGCGGTTGAGCGTGGACATCATGCCCGAGAGCTCGGAGCTCTTGGCGCGCGTCGCATCCTCTGCACGCTCGTTGGCAAACATGAGGTCGCGCTTGAGTCGGTCGAACTCCTCCTTCTGACTGGCCTTGATGCGGTCGAGGTCGAAGCGGGCGCGGTCGCGCTCGCGGATCATGTCGGCGAGTTCGAGGTTCTTGGCCTTGACGTCGCGCTCCATACGCTCCATCTTGTCGACGGCCTCCTGCGCGCTTCCAGCCTTGATCTGCATCTGCTTGTACTTGCCGAGCATCTCGAGATGCTCGGTACGCAGCTGAGAGTAGAGCTTGGCGAGCGCCTCGTACTTGTTGCGCCAGAGAGTGACCTGATCCTGGAGCTGCTTGATGAGGTCGTCCTTGCCCTGCATCTGGGCGCCAAAGTTCTGGCCGATGTTGGCGAGCTCGGTTTCGAGCGCCTTTACACGACGGTCGTACTGCTCGAGCATGAGCTGGTCGCGCTCGTACTGTCCGCGCATGGCTAAGACCTCGCGCTCGAGCTCGGCGAGACGACCGCCCTGCATCTGGTCCATCTGTGCACGCATGAGCTGCTCTTGTGCGAGGCGCTGCTGTTCGGCCTGCTGACGCTGCTGTTCCTCAAAGTCGCGCTGCTGCTTTGCGGCGAGGTCGGCTTGTCGTTGCCTCTCTGCTTCCTCCTGCGCCTTGAGTGAGGCCTGCTTGTCTTCGTACTGCTTGAGCAAGCGCGCCTGCTCGTCGATCTCTGCCTGGGATGGACCGGGGTCCGGCGTTGGCGCCTTGGGCGTCTGTCGAGGCGGGAGGTAGGGACCCTCTTCGGGGAGTTCAAAGAGGTTGGGGGGCTCGTGGTTGAGCTTGGGGACGTTGATGAGGGAGGTGAGGTATTTGAGGTTGGCGCATTCGTAGTAGAACTTGCGGAGTGAATGGTGCTGCGAGTCGTAGCGCTCGCGAAGGGGTTGAAGAGCGTCGCTGGCGTCGGTGCGACGGTGCATGGCGCGAAGCATGGAGGTGAGGAATTTGTAGATGCCGTAGCTCTCCTTGACGAGGGGGACGAGAGCGGAGATGCGGCACTCGTTGTTGGCGGAGCCGCGGAAGTGGGCAAAGACGAGCTTCTGGAACTGGTCGATCTGGTCCTGGAGGTTCATGAGGTCCATGATGGTCTCGTAGCCTTCGTCGGGGTTGTCGATGTTCTTGAGGGAGATGTACTCTTCGTATTCGAAGAGGCCGTTGAACTCCTTGTGGTGGCGGTGGAAGCGGAGCTTGGCGAGGATGAAGTTGACGTAGGCGCGGATGAGGGCTCCGTAGCCGCGCATGCTGTCGGCGCCGACGGTGCGGGCGCAAGTCTCGAACCATCCGATCTGAGCCTGGGCCTCCTTGAGCACGACTTGGTGACCCTCCTGGAGGACCTTGTGGACGAGGATAAGCGCCTTGAAGGTCTGCACCTCATCGCTGAGGATGGGCTGGACGCGGAGGCCGGTCCAGATGGATTGGGAGGTGCGGTAGTCCCAGGTGTAGACGATGCACTTGCGGACGTGCTTCTGCTTGGGAGCGGTCTCTTCGGTGCTGGTGGCCTTCTTGATGTGGATCGAGAGCTCGGACTCGGCCTTGTCGCGGTCGACGGGCCGCGTGGGCATGTGGTCGTCGAAGCGCGCCATGGTAGCGTGTGCTCAGCGGCGATTCCGAGCTTTGTTGTGGGTATGGAGGAGGTGGTTGCAGAGTCGGAAGGGCCGAAGAGATGGATGGATGGATCGAAGGAGAGCGGGGCTGATCCGATCGATGGGAGCAAGAAGAGTAAGCGGACGGACGGAAGGTAGCCGATCTTGAGGCAAGGCGAAGGCGTGTGTGCAGCTCAAGTGGAGACGGCGCTGCAAGCCGGGCGGCGGTCCGCACAGCCAAGGAAGGAAAGGGTCAACGGCTCAGCGTCGGTCGACAGGACGGGCAAGCGAGCCAGACCCACGGAGCAGGGGCCATCACCTGAGGGCACACGCGCACAGAGTCGCCTCCGATTCCCAGGGCCGGGCTCAGAGTGGGGACCAGGCCATCGCAGCCAGCAGCCGCACCACGCGGCAATTCGAGAGCCTCCAGCCGTGTGTCTGTCTCGTCTGTGGCCGCGGAACTTGAAATTCGGCGGTCATCTCGCGGCCAGTTCGGGGCTGTGCGCTGCTTGGCTTTGAGGCTGAGTAGAGGTGGAGTTGGAGGCGGCGAAATTCGATTTGTTAGAGCGCGCCTGCTGTTGGATCCATTTTTTGGTCGCGGCCGTTCAACTCTACGCGTCTTTGCTCTGTCGTGCCTGACCTGGCTCTGCCGCGGGGCGAAGGATTTTGAGCGATTTCAAGGCGGTGCAGTGCAGCCAGGCGCGCCCACCGCTCTCATGCAGCTGCACAGCATTTCAGCCAGGCGACGGCACGCGCCCCGTCGTGCCTGTTCTTCGCCCTCTGGCTCTCGCTGAAATTCATATGGGCCATTTGGCTTAAGTTGGGTGTGTGGAGTTGAGTGTGTGCGGTGGCCCCTATCCTGCTGCCCTGGCCATGATGCTCTCTCTGCTCGCGCGCAAAAGTGAGATTTCTCGGCAGCCTCGCCAAGACCCGTGCAGGCTGTCAATTTTGTGCACAACGGCAGCCGTGCATCATCTCGAGCCACCGCTCCAAACCCTGCTTGCTGCACGCCCGTCCTTCGCACCCCACATACGCCCACACCCACCGTTGGCGACTGCATAGTCGCCGCCTCATTCCTTCCTCTTGGCCACCATCCCAAAGCTTGGCATCATCCGTCGGCCCAAAGCTTCCAACGTCGCTCGCCACTCCGAGACGTCCCGCCCGCAATACAAGGCCACCAAGGTGTTCCTTTGCAACCTCGACGGCTTCAATACGCGCAACAAGCAGCTTTGGATCTCGCCTAACGGACAGACGCCGCCACCATGATCCGCCCGGCTACGCCAGGAACACTCCTGACGCTGGTCGCCGCCATCCTGCTCGGCCTCGTCACCATCTCCACTCCCATCATCAAGTCCATCTACTTCCTGGAAGCCACGATCGGTGGTCGCGGCTCCCAGAATGGTCAGGTCGCTCGTTTCGGCACGCTTGGCTACTGCATCGGCGACACCTGCAGCAACTCCATGCTCGGCTATTCGTTCGATCCCAACCAGCTCCTCGGTATTGAAGTCATCTCGGGCAGATACACCACCGCCGTCATCAAGGGCCTCACCTACACTCTCATCCTCCATCCCATCGCCCTCGCCTTTGCTGCCGTTTCGGTGCTGCTCGGCCTCATCTCACACTGCCGCGAGCTCTCCACCAACTGCTTCGGCACCTTTGTCACCGGCATCGGCGCTTTCATTACCCTCGTCGCCTTTGGCCTCGACCTCGCCCTCTTCATCATTGCAAAGAAGCGCATCAACTCGATCAACGGCGCCTCCGCAGAGCTTGGCATGGCCATCTGGATGACCTTGGCAGCCTGGATCCTCATGTTCCTCGCAGGATGCGCCTTCAGCTGCGGCATCTGCAGCAGGAGGAAGCGCAACCGCGTCAAGGACTCGCACCTGCCTCCCGACACCTACGGAGCCAGACCCGCCGCTCCCATGCAGGACCGCTACGCCGAGCAGATGCGCATGGATGCGCTCGACGCCGAAGCGGACAGGAAGCGCAGGCAGGCGACGCTCGACAGGAACCGACGCGACGATCTGCCCAAGTTTGCCGAGTACGAGACCGAGCACGAGGTGCCGCTCAAGAACGATTACGACGACGGCGCCTACCACAACGGAGCCAGCCAGCACCAACCCGGCCTCGCCTACTCGACCAACAGCAACATCGCTCGTGCCGGTGCCGCGGGCGCCGGTCTAGCCGCCAGTGGCTCCGTCATCAACGGCGTCGGCCAGGGCTACGGTAGGAGGCAGGCGCAGGCAAGTCGCACCGAGGACTTTTCGAGCTCCCCACCCATGCTCAACAACTCGGCTGGTTACGGTGCACACAACCTTCAGGCGCAGAGGCAAGCTTCGATCACGTCGCCCACTCACACCGAACCCACCTACGTGCCTGGTGTCGGCCCTCAGCCGTACCGCGACGGCCTCGACAGCCAAGGCCATGGCTCATCGCTCACACCGGCGCCCCGCTCGTATTCACAGATCGCATCTCCGCCGCCCACCAACGACTATGCCCAGCAGAGCCAGTACCCTTCGCAACACCAGCAGCAGCCGCAGTACGACTCGTACGGCAATATGGTCCCCTCAGCCATGCCCGTGCCGGGTGGCAGCCAGTTCAGCCAATCAGGTGCACGCCGTCAGCCCACGGGCGAGTACGGCCACCCCACGGAATATTCAGGCGCCACCTTTGGGCCTTCATCTGGCTTCCATGACAGTGGGTCTCGCATGCGCGGGCCACGGGACCTGCCTTCCATCCCGCAACACGAGACAGCCGAGCCGCAGGAGATCGTTTATGATAATACGGGATCGGCGGCGGATCGGCGTCAGGGTACGGTCGACGATGGATTTGGGCTGGCGTCGAATGCGCACGGCTCGCACCAGCAGCACGAACAGGCCGGGTACGACAACTATGCATCGTCGGCCTACGACCACCAGTCGCAGTCGCAGCAGTATCACTCGTACCATCCCTCGTCGGCGGGTGCGAACGACGGTGCAGCGAGAGAAGGCACCTCAGCTGCCCAGTACGGAGATGGAAGTCAGTACCACGACTACCAGAGCAGCGTTGGTCCGCCGGGCTATGAAAGCGTCGCAGGTGGGTCGGCGGCGTATCAGCACAACCACTACCCGCGCGAAAAGTCGTAGCCATCCTCACACTTGTATATGCAACAGCCAACGAACAATGTAATTCTTTCCCCCCGTGTAAAGCAAGCCTGAACGGGGATGGAAACGATCGATTCGAGCCGAGTGATATGCAATTACCATGAGCCAGGAGAGGCGGGAAGGGGGGAAAACTAGAGCTCGTCATCATCGGCGTCAAAGAGGGGTGCACGTTCCTCCTCTCCTATCCTGATCCTATCCCTAGCCATTGCACCTTCGTCTTCGAGGTCGAGGTCGAGCGAGTAGGGTCTGTTTCCGATCTCGATGCGCGTAGGTCTACTCGTAACGTTGCTTCCAGACCTCCTTACGATGGAGACCAGCCTGAGGGCCTGTACGACGTTTCGCCCAATGAGCAGGATGGAATCCAACAGCTCTTCGCCCTTTCCTGACCTGCCTCCTCTTCGTTCACCGTCGTCGTCGGGGTACGACGGTGTGCGGCGGAAGGGCGAGCACTCGTGGTGGAAGAAGATCACCAGCAGCGTGATCGCGCACAGCAATACGAGGCCGAGATCCACCACATTGTACGTGCTCTTCCAGAATTGCTTGCCGAACGCCACGAGTCTAATGCCGACTTCGGCGATGAGGAGCAGATTGATCGCGAGCTCGAGGCCGTAGAAGAGCGTGCCGGGACAGTCGGAGGTGAGGCTGATGATGACGGTGAGCAGCGAGGCAAGTGCCATGCCGGCGTAGAACCACAGGTACGCACTCGAGTGCACAAACCGATTCGCGACGCCCTTGAGGATCTCATCGCGCGACAAAAAGTAGTGCGACCTCGACGGTGCGGGTGCTGCGTCGTCGGACGCTACGCGCGCGTACGGATTCGAGCCAAACGCGTTCGAATCATACACGGTGCCCACGCCAATCGATACCTCGCGTGGTGCGCCTGCACCATTGACACCAGCGCTAGCTGGGGCTGTTGGAGCAGCCATGTCTGCAAGACGCTTTGCCCAGCGCTGCGTCGAGACGGAAAAGACGTTCTTGGTGTGTGCGGGTGCAGCAGCTGTGCGACGTACAGGCCCCGCTGGAATCGAGCTCGCCTGTGCGTACGGAGCGCCACCGGATGCAACGATCGGATCAGCAATATGCGCCCTCTGCCGGGTTTTGTAGGTGCTGGTCGACGATGAAGGTGTGGACAGCGACGCGGGGAGGTCGTTGTAGCCGTTGTAGTGCGGGGTGGGGAGCGGCGGCCCAGCTTGCGCAGCTGCAGCCGGGTTGAGGTCGGCTATCTTGGAGAGACGCTGTCAAGGGTGATTATGCGGCGCCCCTTTTGCCGGATGAATGCATGAACAGACGGAAGAGCGAGCGATGGTTGGGATGGATGGTGGAAGGCGAGGGGCGAAAGGCAGGCTCGAGTGGCTCAGGCACACGGGCAGGTGTGGCCCGCTGGACCCCGAGCCGACCACCGCCCGGCGTGGAGGTGTCGGGCGAGTTGCTGAATGTAAGATCGGCGTAGCTACCACATTTCGGCATCAAAAAAGGCGATCACAAGAGGGAAGCTGCCTGGCGGCTGCTGCCGCTGCTGCGCTGAGAAGCCGGATCTTCTTGGAAATTGGAAGATCCACAACGGCGCCGAGCACCCAATCCAACCGAATCCAACTCGGCCCGTGTCCAAATCTCCGATGGGATTCCAAGCTTCCTTCCTCTCTCTCCATCTCCACACCAACACCCTCTTCGCTCCTTCCAGCGTCTCTCTCTTCCCTAGTCCATCCGCCTACCATGCCGCCGAAGCGAGCAGCGCTTCCCACCAAGGAGCGCGCCCTCTTCCAGCGGCTCATCCAGGAGTACGAGACGAAAAAGTACAAGCTCGGCCTCAAGACCGCAGACACCATCCTCAAAAAGTTCCCAGAACATGGCGAGACCGTAGCCATGAAGGGCCTCCTCCTCGGCTCCACCAACCGCCGCGAGGAGGGCATCGAGCTCGCAAAAAAGGGCGTCCGATTCGACCTCACCTCGTTCATCTGCTGGCACGCTCTCGGCATCTTGCACCGCCAGGACAAAAACTTCGAAGAGGCCCTCAAGTGCTACACTCAGGCACTCCGCATCGAGGGCGGCGGCAACATCAACCTCCTCCGCGAATCGGCCTTCCTCCAGCTCCAGCTCCGAAACTACCCGCCCATGGTCGAGAACCGCCTCACGCTGCTACGCATGCAGCCTCACCTCCGCATCAACTGGATCGGCCTCGCCGTCGCACACCACCTCGCAGGCTCGCTCGATGCCGCAGTGCGCGTGCTCGAGGGCTACGAGAACGTCATGCGCGACATCCCCGACAGGAACTACGAGCACGGCGAGGTGCTCCTCTACCACGCCAGCATCCTCGAGGAGCAGGCCAAGTTCCAGGAGTCGCTCGATCTCATCGAGGCCAGCTCGCCGCGCATCGTCGATCTCAAGGGCAAGATGGAGGCCAAGGCACGCTGCCACGCCGGGCTGGGCGAGAAGGACGCCGCCGAGTCGATCTGGAGGCAGCTCATCGCTTCCAACCCAGAGAACAAGCGATACTTTGCTGGGCTGCTGAGCTTGCTTGGCATCACGACCGAGACAGCAGACCAGGCGCAAGCCGTCGAGGTCTTCCGCGGCCTGCAGGCGGACCACCCCAAGTCGACGGCCGCCAAACGTCTGGCGCTCATCTACGCCTCGGGCGACGAGTTCGCCACGCAGGCGACGGCGTATGTCAAGTCGGCGCTCGTCAAGGGCGTCCCCTCGCTCTTCTCGGACCTCAAGTCGCTCTACCAGGACTCGGCCAAGCAGGCTGCGCTCGAGCAGATTGTCGAGACGCTGCGTCTCGAGTGGGCGCCCGCGTCCAGCGCGCCCGCCGACGGCACCGAGCCGCCCACATCCTATCTTTGGGCGCTCTACTACCTCGCGCAGCACTACTCGCTCACGGGCGACTCGGCGCGCGCGCTGCACTACATCGACTCGGCCATCGCGCACTCGTCGACGCTACCCGAGCTGCACATGGTGCGCGCACGCGTGCTCAAGCGCGCCGGCGACCTGCTCGGTGCCTCGGCCGCCATGACCGACGCACGCTTGCTCGACGGCCAGGACCGCTTCCTCAACTCCAAGGCGGCTAAGTACCTGCTGCGCACCAACGACACCGTCGAGGCCGAGCGCATCGTCGGTCTTTTCACGAAGCCCGATGCGCCCAGCCCCACGTACGACCTCAACGAGATGCAGGCGCTGTGGTACCTCGCCGAGGAAGCCGAGGCCTTCCTGCGCACAGGCAACCTCGCTATGGCGCTCAAGCGGCTCGGCCAGCTCGAACGCACGTTCCAGGAATTCTGGGACGACCAGCTCGACTTCCACTCGTACTGCATGCGCAAGATGACGCTGCGCTCGTACGTGAACCTGGTGCGCTTTGAGGACGGCTTGCGCTCGCACCCTGCGTTTGTTCGCGCGGCATCGGTGGCGCTGGGCATCTACACGACGCTGTACGACAAGCCGGACACACCGGCGTTTGTCGAGACCAAGACGGACGAAGAAGACCCCGCGCTCGCGGGCTTGAGCGAGGCCGAGAAGAAGAAGGCGATCAAGAAGGCGAGGCAGGCGGAAGCCAAGCGTGCCGCCAAGGCGGAGCAGGAAGCGGCGGACAAGAAGAAGAAGGCCGAAGAAGCCGCGGCGAACGGCGAGGTGGTCGACGATGATGGACCCAAGCCCGATCCGGATCCGAAGGGGCTGGACCTGTTTAAGAGCGTGCACGAGGCGCCGTTGGAACAGGCAGCCAAGTGGCTGCGATTCTTGCAAGCCAATGCGGCCAGCAGCGAAGAGACCTGGATGGGGGCGTTTGAGGTGGCGATCCGACAGAAGAACTGGTTGCTGGCGACACGTGCGCTGGTTGCGCTGCACAAGCTGCACCCTGCGCACCCGGAGCTCGTCCACATGGTGGTGCGTCTCAAGACGCGATTGCCCGACCTTTCCGCTGCGCCGAAGCCGATTGGAAGTGTTATTGCCTCTGCACTGGAGACGATCGTGCCGGCGGACAAGCCAGCGTCGGTTGTGTTTACGGAAGCGCTGCAGTCGGGGAGCGCCACGCCGGAGGAAGTGTTGGGTAACGCACGTGCAGCGCTGGCGCTCGACCGCACAGACGAGGCAGTCCAGATCCTCCTCTCCCTCCCCAAGACCATCTCGCCAGCCACGCAGCCCCGTGCACTCAACCGTGCACTGAAGACCACCACGGTGGCTAGAGATCTGCTCGCGACAATTGCTCCTAACAGCACGGCAGAATTTGACGCCGCGGCAGGGAAGACCTTCCCCCTGGCCAATGCCTTCATGTCCACGTCCCAGCTCGAAGAACGTCAGAAGACCACCAAGGTAGCGCAACAGGCTTGGTCGAGCGCGCCGGTAGAGGAAGAGGCAAACGGTCACCAGCCCCTTCTGTAAACTCACGTCACTGCATACACATTTTTAGCCCCCCATTGCGCGCAGGCTGTGATCTGAGAACAGGTATCTTGGTCATTGCGAGCGACGGAAGCGGAACAAAGCGAGACTAAGCACATCGAAGAAACACTGCTGAAACTACACGGCACTGGAGCGGGAATGAGAACGGAAAGCCGGTCGAACGTAGCGGGACTGGGGACTTGCGAGCAGACGGACCAGCCTATGCTGCGCGAAACATTTGCGGGGAGAGGTCGAAGTTGAGGTAGAACTCGGCGGGTTGCTGCTGCGCAACCTGCGCTCCAGCACCCACCTCGGCGGCGGCATTGGGAGCAGGGACGGCAGGCTGGACGAACGAGCTGAGCAAGTCGTCGAGGTCGGCCATCTCGACTTCAAAGTCGAGGAACGCGTTGGCGTTGGCGATGGGTGTCGTGCTGGCAGCCGGGATGGGTTGCTGCGGCGAGGTCTGCTGGTACGGCGCGTATGAGGGCGGTGCGGGAGCGTGCGTGGCGGGTTCGAAGAAGTGATGGAGGATCGGCTCGTCGTTGGAGCCCGAGAGCACGTTGTTGCCGCCCATATTGCCGTTGTACACAGCACAAGCCTGCGTGGTCCAGGGTGCTGTAGTCGCAGCTGCGGAGTGGATGGATGGCGAGGTGGCGGCTGCTTCGTTGCCGAACTGCATCACACCGGGTGCGGTCTGAGGCTGTGCAGCTGCAGTCGCTTGCTGAGGTAGCACGTTGTCGCTCGGAGTAGTGCTGACGCCGGGCTCGTCGTCGTCGACCCATCCGTCGTCATCCGTCGCGCCCTGCATCACCGACCCCCACGAGCTGTCGGACACGCTCCTGTCCGCGAGCGAGCTAAAGTTCATCTCGAGGACCCTCTGAACGCTCTCGCACAGGTCCTTGCCCATCGCATCGGCATCAAACTGCAGACCGCCAAAGTCCATCTCGTGCTGCATCGCCTTGCGGGCAAATTGCAGCTTCTGCGCCCCGCCATACACGCCGCCATTCGCCACATCGCTGCTAAAGGGCGAACGGTCCTCGGCGCGGTGGTACGGCACGAGCGATGGCGTCGCCATGGTGACGGCGGGCATGTCCTGCTTGGCGCGCGCATCGTACTTGAGCGGATTGAGCAGCCTGAACACATTGTGCGCCTTGCCCGGGCTGTCGAAGCAGTCGCTCGGGCTGCTGGATACCGACGACGACGACGTCGATCGCGACGATGGCGAGCTCCATGCGATGAACGAAGCGGTGTGTGCGCTCGATGAAGTCGAGGCGTCGCTAAGGCCAGAGTGCGCGCGTGGAAGACGCGGCTTCTTGAGAAAACCCTCATCGCTGTCCGAGTCCGAGCTGGACGAAGACGCGACGCCCAGCGCGCCGTACGACTTGCGTTTCTTCTCGTTGAGCGTGAAGTCGCGAGGGGGTGAGAAGCAGTCGTTGGGCGATTGGGCCCGTGCGGTGACTCGAGCGTGGGAGTTTTTGGCAGCCTTGGCGCCTTTCCTCCCCTTGCGGTTGCGCCGGTTTTGGAACTAGGACAAAGGGAAAGCAGAACAAAGGGGAATTTTGGAATCGTCAGCTCGCGCTCCTGCCGATCTGCATCGAATGTGCCGCTGCTGGCGTCTTTTCCGTGGCTCAGCTTGATGTTGGAGCTCATGCCAGTGTAATCCCATGCAGGTGATCACATGGCGATCGCCTTAGTATTGTAGTCCTTCATCGCCATTGGGCCGGGTTCGCGCGTGCAGCGGTGGCGCGAAACATCGAGACGCGTCGATAGAAAAGAAGAAACTCACCCAGATGGTCACTTGCTTGGGCTGGAGGCCGGTGACTTCGGCCAGTCGATACTTTTCCGCTTGCGTGATGTTGGGCGTGTGCTGGAAGGCTTGCTCCAGGATGCGCACCGCGTCCGAGTCATGTCCACGATTGGCCTTGCTGTCTCTATTTGAATAATCCTTCCATCGAAGCCCGTCATTAATTGCTGCGTTGGCGTGAAATGATCTTCCATCCTGACGGCAATGTGAGTCCAGCACGGTGAGAACGGTTTCCCACACCTGTTGGCAATGGAACTCAAACCTGTGCTGTAGTGAGGTTTTGAAAGCTTCGAAGAAGGATCCATCTGTCTCCCCCATGTGCCGGAGACCGGTAACAGCATCAGAGTATCTCGTGTGGTACGCTCTACCCAGGCTGCAGATGTGCTCGTGATAAACGAGGGACAGAGCAGTCTTACGGTCGTCGGCAAGATTGTATGCCGAAAGGCTAGCCAGGCACTGCTCTTTGTATGGCATGGGCAGTTCAAGTTGAATCGATACTCCGCTTGCTTCCTGCACCACCGGGACCGAAGCCTTCGGCAAGCCCTTCTCGAGCTGCGCTACCAGTTGCTGAACCTGTTCTAGGAAATCGGTGTCGTGCATGCTGAAATAAGTCAAAGGTGAAAGAGGATGACGGTGAGAGAGAAAGGAGAGGCAAAGTCAAGAGCGCGGTACGCACTTCAATTTCGCGGTCTCATGCCGTGACTTGAAATTTCCGAGGAGCTCCAGGCGGATTTTTTCCACTCCAGTTCCGTCAGAACTTCGCTTCTCACCACATCTACTGACATGGACTTCACCGACACAAGATGACGAACTCTACAACTATGACCTTCTCGGATCTTCTGACGGCTCTGCAAGAGGTTGAAGAGGGACTTTTAGCTGAAGATGACGAGCTTGTCTCATCGGCGCAGAAATTGGCTCTACTGCCGAAAGTAATCAGCAAGAGCAGAGAGCAAGGGCTATTGACGGAAGATCTGGTCTATCGCTTGCATCAAGCTGCCCATAGGATACGAGTCGTTTCGAAGACCAGGCTCAACATAGAAGAGGTATATTCCAAGCTCGAGTGCGATTTTAAGGAGGAGACTATTAGCATCAAAAAGAAGGAATACGAGACTTCCGATCAAGCCAAGCCTTCGGACCTCAGCGAGAGCCTGCCATCGTACAACATGCGCAAGCACTTCCTCGAGCATCTCGACAATCCATATCCCTCGCAAGGAGACAAGGAGTCTCTCGTCGAAGCCACCAACGCTTCCGCCGCTCAGCGCAAGAAGTCCGAGGAACGAGGCAGCGATCTGCAAATTAACCAGCTGACGCTCTGGTTCATCAACGCGCGCCGACGCTCTGGCTGGTCCAGCATCCTTCGCAAGTTCGCCCGCAACGATCGCCAACGCATGAGTCTGCTGATGCAGACCAAGATGGACGCCTGCAACATGGGCTCCCCCCACGAACGATCGCCCGCAATCCTTGTTCACAGCGTGGACGACGTGCTTCGCGACAATCTCGGACGGCTCACCAACGCGGACAAGAAGGAGTTCGAGGACGACTGGACGAGCATGATCAGCTGGCTCAAGTACGGCGTCAAGGAGAAGGTCGGCGACTGGGTGTACGACATCGTCGCCAACAGCAAGAAGCCTCTCAAGGCCGGACAGCCCCGCACAGTTACGACGGCAGCCAACCGCACTCCGGTTCGCAAGACGACAGCATCTTCGAGGCCAAAGCGGGCCACTCGCAGGATCAGCAAGACGCCTTCAGTGGACAGCGATATTTCGTCGGAGCACGAATCGACTCCCGAGCTCAGCATGTGCTCGACGGCGGACACGAGCTTCAGCTCCTTTGGCAGCAACATTTCGCTCTTGCAGTACGATCCATTCTGGGCGTCACACGAGGCGCTACTCAGCCCGACACTCCAAGCAGCTGCGACTAGGAAGGTCAAAGCGCTCCCCAAGCGTTCTCAGAAGGCAGACTCCGCAGGTACGTACCGCACCGCCTTTCGGGAAATCTGGCCGCACGCAGCGTTCTGACCGTTTTCCCCTTTGATTTTCTTTTGCCACAGACGAAGGCGGATCTCTTGCACTGGCGATGCTGCCCAACAGACTCTCGTCCGCATCTGCGGAAAGCGCTCTTCGCCACACCAGCTACCTTCCACACACGTTTCCAGGCGCACAGACCACTGGCGTTCCGACACAGCTCTACCCGCCATACGATGCGCTCGGACGCGCGCCGATGCCTACCATCCGACGGGAGTCGCTCGCCAGCAACAGCCTTTCTGCCGCCTTTGGCTGAGCCCGCACTGTACATTCTCTCTAGCCTCTTTGTCTGGAAATCCTAGCGCCTCTGTTCTTGTTCATCACAATGAGATTGTGCGGGAGTGGCTGAGTCGGAGAGTGCACTTCCGCACTTGAACTTCATGCTCGGCGGGGAGAGAACAAAGGGGACGGCCATGCTCGGGCCTCCTAGTTTGAGGCACTTCCCTTTGTTCCTAGATTTGGTGCGGCTGCACGGGTAACGCTAGCGTCTCAGGGCTGCGGGCAGAGCTGCGAAATGAGCAAAGTGGGTTCGTGCTGGTCCCCTTTAATCTCGCGCCTCAATCTGCACACCGTCGCATCCGACCCTGAACTCAGGCCTCTTCCGCTTCTGCAAACGAAGTGCGGAGGAACAAAGGGAAAGCGGAAGCGGCTCGGCGTTTCAGCTGCACAGATGGGGTCTTCTGCAGCACCTGGACCAGTCTGCGTGTCAACTGTGCGTCGGAAAGTCCCTTTGTCTGGTCCCCTTTGTCTTCCAACCACCGTGAGAACGCTTTCCGCATCACGTGAACCTTGTTCACCATCTCCGCGCCATCACGGAGAGAGCAGACGCGTTTGAACCTCAACCGGCTCAAGATTGCCGCCGCTCTGCACCCGACAACAAAGGGAAGATGTGATTTGGGACGCGGCGCTTTTGGATTAGGGTGTGACAGCTTCGGCTGCATGGCTCTGCGTCGGAGTCTAGGACGACCTCTTGCAGCACTCGGGCGAGACGCGATTTCGTCGGCACTCGGAACTTTTTTGGCTTGGAGCTTTTTCCCTCGGCCTTCCAAAATTTCACTCCACCATCCACTGCTAACCCTTCCCTTTGTTCTTTCGCCACGTCACAAAGGCAACGCTAAACCTCGACGCTTTGACCCACAGCCATGTCTTCGTTGCGGCAAAGTCCGCTGCCTACGCTGCAGGCGCTCAGCGCATCATTCACCGAGCTTTCGACGATTCTTCAGCCGCTACTGGCGCACAATTACGAGGCAATCAACACTGCGCTTCAGGCCAACAGCTCCGCGAGCGCCTCGACACAGCCAGACGCGGCGGAAAAGGGAGAGGATGAACTGCACGGGAGACTAGATGCTGCACGCATGCAGGTGTCGGTGGCGTACGTGCTCATGGACCTCGTGTGGATCTTGCTCAAGACAAAGGGCGTCGACCCGACGAATCATCCCGTCATGCAGGAGCTCGAGCGCGTAAAGAGCTACTTTGGCAAGATCAAGCGCGTGCAGGACGACGAGAAGGAGCCCAAGAATGAGCAGAAGGGGTCGAGGGTCGACAAGAGCGCGGCGGGAAGGTTCATCAGGGCCGCACTGGCGGGTGAGCCAGGGTCAACGCCCGGAAAGCATACGAAGTTCGACGATGATGCATCCCCTGCCAAGCCCGAAAAGAAGCAGGAAACGAAGGAGGCAGAGACTGGAAGTGCAGCAGAGGAGGTGAAGACGACGCCAGCGGGCAAGAAGAAGCGCCCGGCCATGGACCCCTTCGAGGGCTACGACAAGCCCAAGACTCCCAAGTCCGCAACGAAAGATACGGACAGCGCATCTTCATCGCCGGCCAAKAAGAAGAAGAAAAAGTCGGCCAAGTAGATCTCACTTCCTCAGCATCGTCCCGACCTCACTTGTATTTGTACGCATCTCAATCGCATCATCTAGCATCGCTTCTTTCAGTCGGGATGGCCACCTGAGATACACGTGAAGATTGGCATTGCGTGAGAGACCTATGCTCGGACAGGCGAGTACCCGTTGCGTGCGACGCTCCTTCGTCGGGGCTCGGCTTCACCGCCCAGCAGAGCCTCTTCGATATCATCCACGTCGTCGTTCCTCCTCGCCGCGTCGTCGCCGTCGTACCTCCTGCCCGTTACAGGGGTGCTGTTGGAGTACAGATCGACCCTGTTGCTCCTCGTCTCGAACTCCTTCGCATACGGCAGTAGCGCTCCTCCATTCCCGCTGTACTCCTGCTCGTACCCTCCGTACTTGACCCTGACCGCGTGGTTATCTGCCTCGAACACATCGTGCCTAACCACGCCGCGGAGCCCAGTAAGGATGCGGCAGATTTCGGCGCGACTGCGTTCGGGTTCCTGTGCCTCTTCGAGGGCAAAGTCGTCTTCGTCGCTCTCGTAGCACGCATCGCCCACGCCGCGCTGGGCACGTTCCAGGATGCGCGCCCATGCCTGCTGTGGCAGCGACTCCGTGTTGCGATGCTGCGGAGGCACGCTCAGGTCGAGATCCCACAGCGCAGGTCGGATCCGGTCCGAAATCGCCACGTTGGCATTGAGGTACGGATCGGACGTGAGCGGGTTCGCTGACGTAGCAATCGCAGTACTACCAGCCTCGGCGTCCGAGATCGAATCGTCAAAATCGATGGGACTCGCCATGCGGGATCGCTTGGAGACATCACCAGCGGCACCGCCGTGTCGACGCTTAAGACGAGAAGTGTCGGCATCGCCCGACGAGGCGCGATCAGTAGCTGCCGACGCAGCCCCACCGATGCGATGTCCCTTCTTGGCGCCACCGGCCGATGGAGCGGGTGAGCCTGTCGAGGCGGCGTTCTTGGCCGCTTCCTCTTCCTGGAACTTGGACAGGAAAGCCGCGCGTTCCGACTGCATCTGCTTGCCCCACTTGATCTCGTCTTCGGTATTGACATTCTCCAGCGCCGCCTCCTCGGGTGTCACCGTCTGCAGCGTCGGCACAAGCAGTCGGTGCAGATATACAGGCGGCTCCTTGTTATCCTCGCCACCCTCGTCGCCGTTCTCCTTCTTGACCTTGTCGTCCGCTGCGCCATCGACCTCCTGCGCCTGCTTCCACTTCTTCCACGCCGGATTCGCGATGCCCTTCCACGGCTGGTTGGCGCGCTTCTTGCGCTCTTCGTCCGTGAGCAGATTCGCGTACGCATCCGCCGCGTCCTTGGCGGCGGTGAGCGAGGTTTCGTCGTCGAATGGATTGGGCAGCTCGCCCGGCGGCCGCGTCGCGGGGCCCTCGAGGTAGTGGTACAGAAGCCAGAGGAACGCCTCTGCGCGCTGCTTGGAGGGCAGCGGGTGGTCGGCGTGCGGATAGAAGAGCGAGTGCGAGTCGTGCGGCACGGGGAAGTGCATGTCCGTCAGCTCGTTGGCGTGCAGCGAGAGCAAAAAGATGAGCGTGACCACACTCGTGGGTGGCACGGTGCCGGCACGGAAGCGCTTGATGACCTCCTTAAAGTCCGACGGCGCCTCCTCGCTGAGCGCGTTGGGCTTCTGCGCCTTGACGGGCTGGCCTGCCGACGGGCCTGCGGTGGGAGGCGCAGGTCGCTCGGTATCAATGAGCACGCCCTTGAGGAGCGACTTCATGCGCGGTGCATCCTGCATGTTGCGCCTCGTATTCTCGTTGTTCTGCAGCGACGGAAGCGGGTGGTAGGAGCGCAGGACGGTCTTCATCTCTGGATAGAAGGCGAGCGTGGTGTTGATGCGGCCGACATTGACTAGCAGACAGACCTTGGCGAAGTCCTCGGCGTACTCCTCGTCAGCGAGGATCTTGTCGCGCATCGACTTGGTGCACTTGCTGCTGTTGAGCAACGACTCGATGTAGAGCTCCTTGAACGTGAGCTTGGCGGCGCCTGGCTGTGGGAACTCGTTTTCATCCAGTGGCTCGTTCGGATCGCCAAGATCCTCGTCGTCATCGCCCTCATCGGCCTTGGGCTCAGCGGCATCTTCCTCGTTGCCCGCATCGGCGAGTTCGTCCTTCTCCTCGTTGTTTGCATCTGCGTCGTCGTTGGCATTGTCGCCTGCGGTCTCGGCGGCAGCAGCGGCAGCGGCCTTGCGTTCGAGCTTGCGCTTGCGATCGAGCCTCTTCTTCCAGAGCAAATAGCGCTGTCTCTTCTCCTGCCACTTGTTGTACTCTTCCTCCGTCTCGCCGCTGCGCCTCACGCAGCCTGCCGACATGCCAAAAGGATAGACTGGTGCAGGCACACCCGCCGAACCTGCTCCGCTCGTTAAAGCGGTGGAGCGATCGCCAGGTCGGGGATTAGTGAAGACTCTCCTAGTATCGGAGAAGAGGTAGCAGAGAAGCGCATGCTGGACTTCGACGCGTCCGAGCGGGTCTCCGTCGTAGCGCTTGACGGGAAGGTTGCGTGGAAGATTGGATGCGTTGGATCTGACGATCTGCAGGACGGGAGGCTGCGACGGCTGCTCCTTGGCGGGAGAGCCGTCCGCATCGACACGCGGATCGTCGGCCATAGCGAGCGGGTGCTGGTGGGTGGGATAGCGGCGACGGATGGAGGATCGTTGAGAAGGATTCGGTCTGCCGAAGCTGCCTCGACTTTGCTGCGGACAGCAGACCCTGACGGCGCATCTCTTCGCGCCGCCTGCTCGAGCCACGACGCCAACGCCAAAGGCTCGGATGTCGGGTCTCACGCGTTGTTCGAGGTCTAACATCTTTTGAATTTTGGAATGCGAGGAAGGATGTGGAGCCGATCCAGTGAATTTCGTGTGACTTTGAGGAAGAAAGTCAAGGCCCCGATCAGGCTGAGTTGCATGTTCGTGTGACGTCGGACAGTGCATGCTCTTCTGATCCCATCTTCCAGTACACCATCTAGCACCATCGACCAAGCACTGACCCGCGCCTTCGAAGCGCAGACTTGGTCACGATGGGAAAGAAGAGACCCACGCTCAAGGGCACCGTCCAGCGTGGATATGCCACCACCTCGACCCCCAAAAAGGTGCAGGACCCTCCACCGGCAGCTGCCAAGAAGCCCGTCGCCAGCGCTGCGAAGGCTGCCTCGGCCGCCGCAGCCGACTACGAAAAGGCCAACGATCAGAGCCTGGCCGACAATCTTTCCGGATCGAATGCACCGGCTGACGACGGCAAGCGCGCCGAAACCGACTTCTACGACCCCGAAAAGGAGGAGGAGCAGGCTCTCCAGAACCTCGTCGAAAAGCTCCAGGATCGAGTCGAGAAGGAGGTGTCACGACAGCACAAGGCCATCGAGTATGACCGTCGCTTTGCAAAGACGCTGCCCAACTTTGAGATGGAGCCCGAGCTCCGCGATCAAGTGCTCCAGATCGCCGCCGAGCTTCAAAAGCCGTCGACCAGCTCCCAGGCTCGAGCAGAGGGCGATGCAACAGCAGATGCTTCCACGGGCTCAGCAAGTGCAGTTGACCCGGCAGCGACACCGGCTTCCACCGCTTCGGGCGCAACTACCGTCTCTGGCAGCGCCACCCCGGTCAGTGTTGGCTCGTCGCACACCTCGCTGGCCATGGCCACTTTGACCAAAGATCTTCAGAAGCTTTCGGTCGGCAACGCCAGCTCGTCGTCGAGCAGCGCTTCATCGTCCAATGCATGGGCCGAATCTCAAGATAAAGTCATGACAAGAGCATTGACCACCTATCAGCTCCTCCTCAAGCTCGGCTTCACCTCGGCCCAAGCCGAGGACGCGCTCGCCAACGCCGCGACTCCTGACGTAGAAGAGTGTCTGTCGCATCTCTACCAATCGCTAGACGAGGAGTCGCTCGAAGACGCTATCCGTGCAGGAGAAGGAAAGGCAGCCAAGAAGCGCCGCGGCAAAGACTCGCCCGGTACGGCTGACGACAAGGCCGACGACGGCGACGACGAGGAGTACGATGATAGCAGGCCACCACTCGATGCAGGCTACGATTTCCATCGCTCCGAGGCCCTCGGCAAGAACGACTTTGCTCGCTCGGAACAGACACCTGCGGTAAAGATCGTGCCGGGCGCGGCTCTTCCGTCCGATGCCACATCCAAATCCTCGCCTGCCGCGTCAGCCAAGCCCGCTGCCGCAGCCACGACAACCAAGGTCGACCCTGAGAAGCTCGCTGCGTTGAAAAAGGCCTGCGAGCGTCTCGTCTTGCAGCTCAGCGACGACCTCGAATCAGATCAGATCGACACGCTCGAAAAGCCGACGGCCACATGGTCGCTCTTGCGAGCCATGCAAATCCGAATCGACCAAGAAAAGTCGAAATGGAAGAAGGAGCTCGGCAAGGATGGCGACGTACACATGAAGCAGGAGGAAGCCAGGCTCGAACGCGTCCTCGGCCGCACAAAGGACTTTATGCGCGAGTGCGAACGTGGCGCCTACTTCGACCAAAAGACCGCCACGGACGGCTTCCGCCAAGTGCTCAGGCAGCGCGAGGAGATCGAGAAGCAGCTCAAGGCTGCCGAGGAGCAAGAGGAACAAAAGCGCCAGCAGCGGCGCCGCGAAATCGAGGCAGCCGCCGGTCTCGAGTCATCCAGCCCAGCAGGTGACGCAGCCGCAGGATCTGGCGCTGAGAAGCCAAAAGTGCCCGAGGCCGCTGAAGAGAAGGACCCAGAGAAGAAGCCCGACTCCCAGGGCGAAGACAAGCAAAAGGACGACGCCAAGTCCGAGGCCGGCTCCGACGACGAGGGCGGCTTCTTTGGCGATTTACTCAACGAAGGTCCGGTCGAAGACAAGGACGCCGACACTGGTGTCATCATCACCATGCGTGATCTGCCGCCGCGAGCCAAGAGCGGTGGAGGCGGCAAGACACCGCGCGTGATGCTTTCCGATGCACTCAAGCGTGCCGACGCCTACTCGACCTACAAATTCACTGCCATCCCGTCTGGCGGTCGTCTTCATCGCAGCAAGCTCACTATCCGATGGAACGGAGGAAAGGTGGTCCCCAACAAGAACCCGATCACCTCTGGCAGCCCGACGTACGTCGACGAGTACACGCTCACCACCGTCGGCTGTGCCACCCAGCTGCAGGCCGATGACTTTGTCGCCACCGTCGCCCTCTTCTGCATCGACCGCGACAAGTCTGTTCAGCGTGCTTTACCGCCCGGCTACCGCGAGTGGTGGGAGGAGCTCACCGCCCTGCAAAAGGACGAGCGGGACCGCAAGAGTCGAACGCGATTCCAGCGTGTTCGAGATGTCGTCCGCGTCCGGATGGACGAGGCAAGTGCCGCCAAAAAGGCCAAGGCCAAACTCCCTGTCAACGGCAACACGGCTGCAACAGAGCAGACCGAGCTCGGCGAGCTGTCTTCGTCTTCCGCACCACAGCCGTCCGAGGCCAGGGCCAAGGAGATCGCCGACTACTTTTCCAACCGCGTCGCGTCGCCATCGTACCAAAAGATGCTCCCTGGCCGCCAGGGTCTGCCCATCGCCAACCATCGCCAAGAGATCCTCGAACTGGTCGAGAACAATCAGATCTTTGTACTCAGCGGTGAGACGGGATGCGGCAAGTCGACGCAGGTGCCCGCCTACATCCTGGAGCACTGCATGTCACAGGGTCGCAACTGCAAGATCTACGTCACAGAGCCAAGGCGTATCTCGGCCATCTCGCTGGCAGAACGCGTCAGCGAAGAGCTTGGCGAGCCGCGCAAGAGCGTTGGCAGCAACGACAGCCTGGTCGGCTACGCAATTCGTCTCGAAAGCAACGTCGGAAAGAACGCGCGTTTGGTCTACGCCACGACCGGTATCGTCCTCCGCATGCTCGAAGGCACCGCGTTCAACGAAATTACGCACGTCATCATCGACGAAGTGCACGAGCGATCGATCGAGTCGGACTTCCTCCTCATCATCCTCAAGACACTCATCTCGCACCGCAAGGACCTCAAGGTGATTCTCATGTCGGCCACGGTGGACGCAGAGCGCATCAGCAAGTACTGCGGTGGCTGCCCCACCATCGCTGTGCCAGGCCGCACCTTCCCGGTCAACGTCCACTATCTCGAGGACGCTGTCGAGATGAGCGACTACATTATCGAAGACGACTCGCCTTATGCGTTCCGGCCCAAGCGCGGCTACCGTCAAGGCGATGGAAGCGCACGCAAGCAGAACGCGCCGGGCAACAAGAGCAAGCTGCAGCTGCTCGCCCAAGCGCCTGCCCAAGAAGAAGAAGAAGACCCCGCTCTGCTCGATGATGATGACGAGGACCCCGAGGGTCGTGGCTCAAGCACGGGCGGTCTTGGCAAGGCGTATCGAAGCAAGACGATCGACACGCTGGGCCGAATGAACGAGTACGTGATCAACCACGATCTGATCATCAAGATCCTCGAGCGCGTGTGTCTCGAGAAGGATCTGGAGCCGTACAGCGCGGCCACGCTCATCTTTATGCCAGGTCTCGCCGAGATCCGCAAGTGCCACGACATGCTGGTGGATCACCCGACGTTTGGTGGCCCGGGCTTCCAGCTGTTCCCTCTGCATTCGACCATCTCGTCCGAGAACCAGGGTGCGGTTTTCAACGTGCCCCCTGCAGGCGTGCGCAAGATTGTCATAGCGACCAACATCGCCGAGACGGGTATTACGATTCCGGACATCACATGTGTGATCGACTCGGGCAAGCACCGCGAGATGCGCTACGACGAGAAGCGGCAGATCTCGCGGCTGGTCGAGTGCTTTATTGCGCGGAGCAACGCCAAGCAGCGACGCGGACGTGCGGGACGTGTGCAGGAAGGTATCTGCTTCCACCTCTTCACCAAGTATCGCCACGACTCGTACCTGGACGAGCACCCGCTGCCGGAGATGCTGCGTCTGTCGCTGCAGGATCTGGCGCTCAAGCTCAAGATCATGAAGATCAAGATCGGCGACTCGATCGAGAATGCGCTGTCGCAGGCGCTGGACCCGCCGAGCGCGGCCAACGTGCAGCGCGCCATCGCGGCGCTGGTGGAGGTCAAGGCGCTCACGTCGGGCGAGGAGATCACGCACCTGGGGCGGCACCTGTCCAAGATGCCGCTGGACGTGCACATGGGCAAGTTCCTGCTGGTGGCGACGCTGTTCAAGTGTCTGGATCCGGCGCTGACGATCGCGGCGGCGCTCAACTCCAAGTCGCCGTTCATGACGCCGTTCGGCAAGGAGCTCGAGGCGGATCGCGCCAAGCAGAGCTTCAAGCTGGGCGACTCGGACTTTCTCACGATCGCCAACGCCTTCAACGGCTTCCGGCGCTCGACGGTGCAGAACCACCACCGCACGTTCTGCAACCGCAGCTTCCTGAGCATCCAGAACTTGCTGCAGATCGAAGAGCTGCGCCAGCAGTACTTTTCGTACCTCATCGATGCCGGCTTTGTCACTGTCGACGATGCGTTCCGCCAGGAGCTCAATCGGCTGCGCTACCGCAGTGGCGGGGCGAACTATGGCAAGCCCAAGTTCATGAGTATTCCGGCGGATCTCGATGTGAACTCGTCGAGTCTGTCAATGATTCATGCGACGTTGGCGGCGGGGTTGTATCCGAAGCTGCTGCATATCGATGCCAAGACGTTCCAGCTCAAGACGATCGGGAACAATCAGCCGACGTCGATCCATCCGTCGTCGGTGAATTTCCGGGTCAAGATGAGCGAGTTGGTGCGGGGGGCTAGCAGCTACATGCTGTACTACACCATGATGCAGAGCAAGAAGCTGTATGCATGGGAGACGGGGCTTATGGACGATAAGGCGGTGTACATGCTGTGTGGCGATGGCGAGTTTAGACTTGCATCCAACAGTCTGTACATTGACCGGCAGAGGGTGCGGATTGCAAGTGCGGATCCCAAGACGCTTGTGGCACTCAAGACGCTGCGCGAAGGATTGGGTAGGCTGATGAAGGCGAGCTTTAGGAATCCGGGCAAGGAGTGGACCGAGGCTCAGCAAAAGCTGTTTGAGCTCGCGTGCAAGGTGCTCGGCGTAGGCGCCAACGAAAAGGACCTTGCCCTACTGCAGTAGATCTTTGCGCGCATCCATGAATAGAAATGCCATTACTCGACAAGATCAAGAGTCTCAAGGGTCTTTGTGTGGGCAAACTGTATGAAAGCGTGAATCGGGGGGATAGGGGAAGATGCGCGCCGGTTATGCCGAATGTAGATCAGCTGGAAGGACGTCTGCTGGAAGGCTGTCGAATGTGTTGGTGGAAGCTGTCTTGCGGAAGCGCCAGGGGCAAAGGCCGAAACGTGCTTGCGTTCTTCCCGTTCGGTGTGAGGTTGTTTGACGTTTGCCCATGCCGAGGTGTGGCAGCGGCGTGGCAGTTTTTTCATACGAGTTCCTGCATCTCGAGGCTGGAATTAGCCAAGTGTCGCGCCAAGGGCAGTTCTATTCTCGGTGACGTGCAGCTGTGTACCGGCGTGCAGATTTTCACGTGCAGCGTGCCGCTCTGGGGAGTCACCGGTAAGCTACATCTCGTCGCCTTTCTTCTAACCTCCTCCGCCCACGTTGCAAAGCCTTGATCGCAAAAGGAGTTTACTAAGGCTTCATGATGGTAGCCCAGATGCCGAGGCTCTGCCAAACAATGATCGCCAACTGTACCGCATCGGATCGACCCTTTCAGCGGGATTGTTCGGCATGCCAAAGACCCGGCGTGCGCATCAAGGATGTTGCTAGGGCTGTTGGACGCCATTGACGACGAGCGGCAGAATGATGAGCGGCTGCAGCAGGCGCCCCGAATGATGTGAGATGGCGTCTTGCTGCTGCTGCGCTTCTTCGCGGCTGAAAGCGGGGGCGGGTTGACGTGAGAAATTTCCAGCCTTCTCTGGGCAAAGCCGACTGACTGCCCACGCGTAATTGCGTCATATCAGCACTCGAATCTACACTGCGCGCTCGCCAGCCCGCACGGACACGGACTCTTCGCACCAACTCCGATGAATGCATTCTACAGACGAGGCTCAGTCCCAACAGCCCCCAAAGCAGCGCACCGAGCGAACGCGGTTRAAAGCCTGGACCCGCCCCGCCGCTCGCCTGTCAATCTGCCAACACAGCCCATCAATCCGCCACTCGGAAAGATACTTATATCTCTCGCACACCAACCTTCGCAACACACGCCCGCCACGCCCACCACGCACGAAACTTCATATCGAAATATCCGCACCCACTTCGATACCACAACATCACAACAATGTCGCAGATCCCCGGTACCAACAAGACCACCTCGGACGTGTCCAAGGACGCCCAGAACGTCGCCAACGATGCCTCCAAGCAGGCCCAGCAGATCGGCAACGATGTGTCGAACAAGGCTAGCGACCTCGCCAACCAGGCTCAGCAGCAGGGCGACTCGCTGCTGAAGCAGGCCACCGACCTTGCCTCCAGTAAGTCCGAGCCTCCACTTGCTCCATTGATCCCAGTTGAACAGTAGCTGACCTTGTGTTCTCCTTCCTTTCTCCTCTCAGACACCATTGCCTACGTTCAGCAGACCGCCGGCGACCTTCTCGGCGCAGGCAAGGCGAACGCCCAGAACGCAGCTGACCAGACCAAGTCTGCTGCCGACGACGCCGCCAAGGAAGCATCCAAGACCACCGACCAGGCTGCCAAGCAGGGCGAGCAGTCGGCCGAGGAGGCCAAGCAGACCCTCATCGGCCTCACCAACCAGGCGCGTGACCTTGCCTCGCACACGCTCGACTCGGCCAACCAGTACATCAAGCCCGCCGAGCAGAACGCGCAGGGTCTCGTCAACCAGGCGCGCGCCACCGCCGCCAACCTCGTCGACAACGTCAGCCACCTCATCGCTGCCGGCCAGACCAAGGCTGGCGAGGTCGCCGACGACGCCTCCAAGAAGGCCGGCGAGGCTCAGGCCTCCGCCTCCCAGTTCGCCAGCGATGCCGCCGACGCCGCCAGCAAGAAGGCGGGCGAGGCCCAGAAGGCCGGCGAGAACGCGGGTCAGCAGGCCAGCCAGGCGCTCAGCGACGCTGCCGCCCAGGCCAAGGGCGCCGTCCAGGGCGTCACCGGCAAGTAAATGCGATGTCCTGTAATCCTCGACTCGTGTCCAAGTGTTCCTGTTTCACTAGGTAGCAATATACCCTTGCAAAACCCATGAATCTTCGCAAGCGAAGTGTGCCTCATGACACGAAGATTGAGACGGTGGTTTGGGCGGTGAGATGCGAGATTGATGGGCACGCGCACGGTGCACGGTGCAGCCTTCTCTCGGATGTGTGGAGGTGGAGCCTGCTTTCTTTTTAGAGCTTGGACCCGCGAAGCAACTTTTTCTTCGCGAGCATTCAATCCTTCTTCCACACCGTCGGTTGTCTGCATCACCATCATTCGGACAGCAGCTGAAAGCACCATGGCATACGCCAATGCGCACCGTCTGCCGCTGCCGTCAGACGTGCCTTCTGGCGCATCTACCTCGCGCAGCAGCACAACGCTCGATGTGGACGCCGCCAGGCTCACGCCCGCGTTCGAGGCGTATAAGCTCGCCGCTGATGCTGGGCCGACCTCTCCCTCGTCACGGGCGTACGCGCTTCCGAGCCGTCCTCCACAGCTGACCGAGCTGTACCAGCCGCCAGTGGGGGAAGACCGGCGCGAAGGCAGTCTTACCTTCACAGGGCTCGGGTACAAGGAGACCAAGGAACGCGCCGTGCACCAGCTTCTCATCCCGACCGCGGGGCAGCGCGAGCAGGACGACCCAATAGCGGGATACATCGACGCGAATCGGTTCGTGGTACTGCTCACGTACGATTCGGAAATCGACAAGGTTACAGGTCATCCAGTGTGTCGACTCGAACAATCGCAGGGATTGCCGTCTCTGGCGTCGATCGCGCCGACCACCTGGTTGGCTTGCGATGGCGAGAACCTCGTGCTGATCAGGCTGCAAAAGGTCACGCTCAGAGACAGGGGCGCGGTCAGATGGAGTAGCGCGAGTACGGAGTCGTGGAAGATCCCACCGATCGAGGAACAGGCAGGGACGACGATCAAGGCGCACACGCACGTCGGCGGCGCAATCCGCGTGCTCCTGCAGACCACAAAGACCGTCAGCAAGGCGGGAAAGACCGGAGCAAACGATGGGCTGCAGGGCCTGGGCTTCGCTCGCAGCGACGAAAAGCCCAAGACGGATACGCGCGACCAAGGGTCCAAGCACGCCCGCACCGTGTTCGAGGTTCGGCTCGTCGAGATCAACGACAGCCTCGAGCGGTCGGATGAAACGAGCGGGATCGAGAGAACGGCAAAAGTGCTTGAAAGCGTACAGGGTGACGAACCGCTGCTCAGCGCGCAGCTGGATGTGGACGAGTGGATTCTCGGTGCAGAAGCACCCTTTGCTGCTGTCGCTGCCTCGGGATCGCAGCCAGCCGTCGTGTCCAAACCCACGTTCCAGCCGCAGACATCTACAACGCCGGTCCCAGCGGCGGCATCTCAAGGTCGGCGACCCGGTCCGCACTTTAGCTGGGCACAGACTGGCGACACCGTGACGATCGCATTTGCGCTACCGGCGTGGATGACGTCCTCGCAAATCCGCGGCCACTTTTCGCCAAGCGCGCTCAGTCTCTCGTTCACCCAGGAAGCGCTTACGCTCCTCACAGCCTCATCTTCGGCGCAGATCACCGAGATCGGCGGCAGTGCCGCAGCTGAGGAAGCGGAGGTGGACGACCTGACGCGCGCGGCGCGCATGATCGCTTCGGGCCGGTACGTGTCACGCTCGACGTGGGGCGAGATCGACGCGACCGGCAGCGTGTGGACGCTCGAACGGGCCGCCGGAGCGAGCCTGCTGACGCTGCATCTCGAGAAGAAGCACGAGGGCACGCGCTGGATGCAGGTGTTTGCGGACCGCACACGCGCCCCCGCCCGCAATCATGGACGACTCGCACAGACCCAGCTCAGCTTCCAGCAAGCTAGGACGCAGCTCGAACGCACCGCGGCGGGACTGAATGTCGACGAGCAAGGCGAGGATGAAGAGGGAGAGGATGCAGAGGATAACGAGGACGATGTGCCCGAGACCATGGATCCGTCCGAACTGGTCACCATGCTCGAGGGTATGCAGAAGTACACGGTCGACGAAGACACGCCTGGGCTTGGGCAGGACCGTTCGGGGCTCGCGCTGGACCAGCCGAGCCTGCTCAAAGACAGTCTGGAGGAGGAAGACGCCAATGTCGGAGTCGACTTTGTCGTCACCTCCGTCACACTGTCCTCTTCGGGCTTGACGGTTCGGCATTCGAACCTGGGTGAGATGAAGCTGCTCGCTACGCGTCTCGAGTCGGACCGAGAGGACGATGGTCTTGTTGCGGTCAAGCACGAGCTGGATGGGGCGATCTTTGCGAGGCAAGCAATTAAGGCTTGGAAGCACGTGGCGACCATGCCGGCTCTGGCGTTTGTGCTTGCGTCGAAGCGCGATGCGCAGCGTGTGCACATTCATGCGCGCCGTACGAGCGGCTCGGTAGGGTCGGACGAGTACGTGGCGCTGGCGTTCGAGAGCGCACCACGAGTCACCGGATCGGGCGCTGGCTCCGGCAGCACAGTGGGGTCGGGTGCGGGCAATCTGTTCGTGTACTACACGCCGGCGTCGGCTGGCGATAAGCATGCTGCTTCGCGAGTCGTGCGTCTGGGAGCGATCGTCGACCAGAGCTCCTCCGAGGCAGAGGCCGCAGATGAAGGTCATGACACCGCCAGTGGGGCTCTACTCGGCGTGTGCAGCGTCCGGCTTCCTGCACCTGCTCCCCAAGAGGAAGACGGTGTCGAGCAAGACACGCTCCTCTGCCTGTGCGAGAACCGCCTGCTCCTCCTACGAGGCGTGCTCTAGCGTTCGTATGCCTCGTCATCCGCAATCACACTCGTTCTCGAGTTTCTGCTGTCTCTTTCATCTGCAAGCCCCGTTCGTGGTCGTGATGAGGCGGCTTTCGGCGTCGGTGTTGCTCTCAAAATTAATTTGATTTTTTGCCATTTCTTTTTCCTTTTTTCTGCCTTTTTCGTGCAAGTGCGGGCTCGTGCGGGCGCAAATGCAGGGTCTTGTGATTTGGATGGCAGCGGGCGATTGCGACGGATTGGCCACCACCTCGTGGCCCTGCATGATCCTTCAGCGAACTGCACTTCTGTCGGCACAGGCGGCGCCGACAGGTCACGAGACCGTCTTCCTTTGCGCATGCCAATCAAGCCTCGAGCCGGTCAAGGATCACTTGACCTGATGCCGCACCGGCGCTGGCGCTGATAACGAGGCGTTCATGAGGCGTGGGCCAAGGAAAGTGCCGTGCGCAATTCCGGCTGACTCAGCGAAGAAGCGAGAGGATCGGATCGATCCCGCAAACATAAAGGCCTCGGCGGCAACAGCCGTGCTGCGCACGTCGAATTCGGCGGGAATTGCCAAAAAAGAAAAGAAAAGGCCCACGGCGACATGATGAGGGGCATGAAATGCGCGAAAGGAAGGGATCGGCGCATGCGCACACACACGCACCAGATCAAGTCACATCGAGCCTCGGAACTTCCGCCTACCGCGAGCAGCAGGGCGCTGCATTCGATGCACACACTGAAGGCGCGATAAGGCAGGAGAGGGGCCGAGTTCTCGCGGGGTCAACTCACCTTGACCAAACGAGGAGCGAGCGTGATGCAGGGCGCTGCGGAGGACAGGCAGGAAAGCGTGGAGGCTTCAGGGTCCAGAGAGAGCGAGCCCTACGCGCATCTGCGCTTCCGGCTCAGCAGCGCGCGTCAGAGTCGGGTGGAGGAAGGAAGAAGCCCGCCAACTGTTGGTCTTCCGCTGCCAACTCACTCCGACGCGCAGCGGGTTACGCCAGTCGAACCAGCCACCTCAGCCTTGCTCTCAACCCACCACCTTGCCATCATCCCACCTTCCTCACCTGTCTTGATCGCGCACTCACCCTTCTCTCAGTCACGTCGCGACTGCAATCCGCACCGGCAGATCGATGCAATCGGGCTAAAGCCGCTGCAAACATGTCCAGCTGATCACGAGGTTCGGATCACCCGGCCGCAGAATCTCTTCCGCTCGCGCAATCGGATCTTTTGTTATCACCTAGATGTCCGTACTCGGAACGACGCCGACCGCAATCGCAACCACCATGGACGAAGTACAGCACACCATGGCCGAGCCACATCACACGTCAGATACGCTCGAGGAGATCGACGACCCTTCCGATCTCCTCTCCAGGCCGCTCGAGCCCATCCCGCTCGTCCCGCAACCATCTGAACACAACGCTGCGCCCGTTCAATCTCCGCAGAGGAGACAGCTGCCTCCCGGCTTCGGCACAAGTGCGTCTACCCCCAGCTCTGTTTCTAATTCCATGGGTGTGTTCAGCTCTCGCCCGGCGATATGGAATCCAAGTAGCAGTCGTGTCCAACCCGCGGCTTCGCATCCCCCACCACTGCCGCAGCAGCAGCATCAGGCTGCGGCACATAACAGCCTCGTCATCGACGGTAGTGGAGCGCGTGTACCCACGCAATTCCTCGACTCGAGCGGAGGCTTCTCAAGGCCCAAGCCCCCGCACGGTCCCAGCGGCTCGGCTGGCCTTCCACCCGCATCAGCTCCACACGCTGCTTCGCCCGCTTCCATCGCCATCCCAGACGCTTATCCGCAATCCGGAGCATCAAGCTCAATGCCCATCCAGCAACGGCGCGCAAAGCCACCCATGGCAGCAGCAAACGCTACACCCATTGACCTAACGCTGAGCAGCGACGAAGAAGACGATGTCGACGATCGCAAGCCCGCCGCTTCCAGCTCGAATGGCAGAGCCGCTGCCCACGGCAACTTGTCCTTGCCCGGCGCAACCAACGGCCATGCAAGCACAGGGTCTGCACCTACGTCCTCTTCCTCCACCGGCGCCAGAGCAGTCGTGCCTATCGACGATGACGACGACGACGACGACGAGATCACCCTTGTTTCTCACAAGCGGCCCGATCCAGAGGAGTTCGAGATCGACCACGTCAAGTCCAACGCCATCGTCTGCGCCGGCCTCATCAATGCCGTCGTCCTCTGCATGCACGGCATCCCGCCGTCTCTCACCTACAACGGCTCAATCGATCAGGAGCCTCCAGAGGATCCCAATCTCAGCCGCGACAACTGGCCCACTGCCACGCACTTCTGGACTCAGAAGGGCTACAGGCCGCTTGTGCTCGCCATCTCCACTCCAACCAACATGCTGCCGTCCACCCGCACGCTCCCAGGCGGCTGGTCTTACACCGCCGTGCCGCAAGCACGTCCCGAAATCAGCGTCAGCGTCATCGTCCCGCCGCGCACCGCCTATCCCAGTCTGTCCCTCCAAGACGCCCTCGCACGCGGGCACGCGATCGAGCCGTCGTTCGGCGCGCTCGCAGAAAAGTACGTCACAGCCCTCGAGCCGCTGCTTCGCCAGAACAAGGTCCGCTGTGAGACGCGCTGCCGCATGGTGCCCGTAGGCCGTGCCCAGAACTTCCTCCACTATCTCGAGATCCTCGTCTTCACCAGGAGGCCAGACCTGGGACTCGTCTCGGACCAGCTGTCCGCACACGGCATTCAGCTCGAGCATCCTCCTTCCTACCACCCAGAGGATTACCCAACCGAGCCGCAGTATACCAACCCGCACAACCCGCCCGCAGGTGGAATGCGCAACGACCCTGGCATCTACAACGGCATCTACCGAGGTGCGGGCATCGGCACCAGCGTCCAAAACCGCGAGCTCACAGAGAAGGAGAAGATGGCACAGGTCGATGCGATCTACAGCAGCATCCGCAGTGGTGAAGAGCTGGCAGCCGTCGAGCCCTCGCAGTTCATCTCCACACGCCTCTTACAGCATCAGAAGCAAGCGCTCGGCTTCTTGCTCAACCGCGAGAAGGACCGTCGCTGGCCCGAACTTCTGATCGATCGGGACGAAGCTGCGCCTGAAGCGGCGAAAACAGAACCAAAGGAAGAGAAGCCGACGCTGGATGTCAAGGGGAAGAAGTCGAGTCCGGGCTCGAGCGCTTCCTCCAAGAAAGACCGAGCCAAGAAGCAGGAGGACGCGGACGACGACTCGATCTCGTTGTGGAAGGTGCGGAAAGGCATCAACGGCAATGTGCGCGCCTGGCGAAATCTCATCACCAACAGAGAGACGCTCACGCAGCCCCGCATCTGTCGTGGTGCCATCCTTGCCGATGACATGGGTCTCGGCAAGACCATCACGACGCTCGCTCTCATCGCTCATACGCTGTCGGAAGCCAAAGCATTCGGGTCCGCCAAAGTGCAACGCGACCCAGGCGCCGAGCTGCAAGTTGCCATGCAGCTGCGTGATACCTCGAACGGCAAATCCTCCCCAGGCAAGGTTCTCAACGGGGTCAAAGCAGAGACTGCGAGCGGCAGCAACGTCAAAACGGAAAAGTGGAAGCGTCGAGCCAGCGACTCGTCTTTCGAGGACGATGAGTTGAGCTACAGCGATTCAGACGAGGACAGCGACACGAGCGGATCCATGTCGATGGCCGTCCACGACGCTCCGCCAGCTGCCAAGGCATCCGCCTCCAAGCCCAAACCCAAAGCCCGCAAATCAAAGAAGAACAAGGCTGACCCGGAGACATTGCGCCGCCAGCATCTCGAGTGTCGCAGCCGCGCCACCCTCATCGTCTGCCCGCTATCGGTTATCTCGAACTGGGAGGAGCAATTCAAGGAGCACTGGGCAAGACGCAAGCGGCCATCCATCTATATCTACCACGGTCCATCGCGTGCTACCAACGTCAGGTATATCGCCAACAACGACATTGTGCTCACGACCTACTCCACGCTCGGGTCCGAATTCGCCAACCAGACCACCTGGGTCACAGACGACAGCAAGGCCGACGGCAAGAAGCGCGGTGGATCCTCCGACGACGACAATCATGCCGACGATGACGATATCTTGATGGTCAACGGCAACGGCATCCCCTTGCAAGACGAGGCGGGCAAGAAAGGCAAGAAGCGCAGGCGCAAGCCAGCAAAGGAAGCCTATAACCCGCTCCAGCGTATCGAGTGGTTCCGCGTCGTACTGGATGAGGCGCACCAGATCAAGGGCGCCTTGACGTGGCAGTCGAAAGCCGCGTGCAACCTGACGGCGCAGCGCAGGCTCTGCCTTACAGGCACGCCGATCCAGAACTCTATCGACGATCTCTTCGCCCTCGTCAAGTTCCTGCGTTTGGATCCTTTCACGGAACGCGCCATGTGGACCGAGTTCTGCGGCCACCGCGAGTCGGTCGGGCTGAAATCCAAGAAGGACGATGAGCCGATCGACTCGGCCAATCTTGGCCACGTGCAGATCTTGATGAAGTTCTTGGCGCTGCGAAGGCAGAAAACCACCAAGACCGCCGACGGCAAGCCCTTGCTCGCGCTGCCACCAAAGCTCAGCAAGACCGAGTACCTTGACTTCGAGGAAGCCGAGAAGGCGCGCTACCAGGCGCTGCACAACCTGTACCGCGAGGACTTCGAAGAGATGATGGCAAAAGATACAGTCAACAACAACTATGCCACCATCTTGACGGAGATCCTGAATCTGCGAATGACTTGCGACCACCCGTTTTTGGTGGACGCCAGCAAGGACGCGCGGCGTAGGGCGGCGGGTGCGGACCTGTCCGAGGCGATCAAGCAGGATGGACTCAGCCGCGAAAGGGCCGCCATCCTCTTTCTTCTGTTCCGCGACAGCGAAATGGCGTACTGCTCCGAATGCCAGTCGCACTTGTCGCCGGGCACCGACCGCGACAGAGCAGGCGACGATGCACAGGATCTGGCCGACGCGCTCGACGTGGCAGCCGCAGATGGCAGAGGCTCGACCAAGCGCGCCAGGACCGCCGCTGCCTCCGAGTCGACATCCGCAAGCATTTCGAGAAACGGACTGGAGACGCCTGCCGAAGGAGCCGCCCGGCCCGTGCTGACGCGATGCCAGCACCTGTTCTGTGCGCCGTGCTTCCGACGCCTGATCGGCTATCCGTGGCCGGATGTGAGCGCCTCGGACGTGGGCCACTGTCCGACGTGCAACTATTCCCTCAAACTCGCGATCGATGCGGTGGAGCTGCATCCGTCGGACTTTGTCGATATCTACGACGACCAGGGCGAGCTCGCTGCTGACGGCGAGCGCTTCTCTGACGATGAAGGCGTCTCGAGCAAAGGCAAGGCGAAATCGGGCAAGGAGGAGGCGGACGATTTCTTTGACTGGGGCAGCGGTGATGAAGGACAGCCGTCGAAGACAAAGGCGCAGCGCAAGAATGGTGCGACCACTTCGGATCCCTCGACCCTCCAACGCGGCGACTTGTCGCTCGAGGGAAGGAAGGATGTGTCGACCAAGATCCGCGCGCTCATCACCGACCTGCTGCCCTTCTCCAAGTGCAATCCGCACTCGGCGCTGTACGATCCGATGGCACCGCGGCTTGTGCATGTTGATCCGACCACGTCGGATGAGGCGGTGGTGCGCGCAGCCGAGGAGCCAGTGGTGGTGGTGCAGCGGCCTCCTCTGGGCGTGAAGGGCGAGGGGCTGCTGGGCAAGCTCGACCACACGATGGATGCGATCGAGTCGTACGAGCCCGTCAAGAGCGTCGTGTTCTCGCAGTGGACCAAGATGCTGGACCGCATCCAGAAATCGATGTCGATCACGGGCATCCGCATGGCGCGGCTCGACGGCTCCATGAAGCGTGCCGACCGCTCGGCGGCGCTGGAAGCGTTCAAGACGGACCCGAGCATCGAGGTGCTGCTCGTGTCGCTGCGCGCCGGTGGCACGGGTCTGAACCTGGTATCGGCGTGCCGCGCGTACCTAATGGATCCGTACTGGAACCCGGCGGTGGAGAACCAGGGCCTGGACCGCGTGCACCGCATGGGCCAAACGCGGCCGGTGATCACGACCAAGTACGTCATGCGCCACAGCATCGAGGAGAACATGCTGCGGCTGCAGAAGCGCAAGATGATGCTCGCCGAGGCGGCGGGCAACAAGCGCCAGATCGGCGCGGGGGCGGGCGGCAGCGCCCAGGCGCGGCGCGACGAGAGGCGCGAGGAGCTCAAGATTCTGTTTGGCACGTCCAAGGGCGGCGTGGATTTGTAGCGCACGTTGCGGAAATGCGATGCTGCTGCTTTCTCGGGGTGATGGTGTGTGCGCTGCTGTTGGTGTGGGATGTCGAGTTGTGTGCATCTGCGAGGCACCCACATTGGTGCGAGCGTCATCGCTCTGACGGTGGCCTTTCTGCGTGGCTTGCTCTCTTTGTCGTGTTCCAGTCTGCACGTGAACGAGTGTCTGTTGGCGTTGTGGTGTGAAGCGTGAAGATCGTGTGTACCTTCAGCTGGGCGGCAAGTGTGGCTTGGGTTTGCGTCTGCCGATGGTCACCGTTGGCTCAAAGCGGGAGAGCATCCGACGCTTCGTGTTGCTTGTCACAATCTGCACAATGCAGTCAAGCACAAGCGGGGCATTACACATCTTTATATTACTTCTAGCAGGCATCTACTCGGACCAGTTGATGGCCGTTCTTGTCTGCATCTACTCCTGGGCGAACCAGGGATGGAGGAACCTCAAGTTCTGCTTTGCCTTGTCCGTGACGACGCTGGATTTGGTCATGATGCTCCACTTCATCGAGTCCTTGATCGCCTTGACGGCCTCGCCATCCTCACCCACCCGTGGGTAAATAGCGTCGAGCAAGGTGGTGGTGACCTTGTTGCTAGCCTCTACGTTGGCCTTTAAGCTCTCCATGACCTCTGCGACATTAACAGCCGCGGAAGCTGGGCGCCAAGCGTCGTAATCGGTAGCGGTTGCAATGAGGACGTAGCTAATCTCTGCCTCACGGGCGAGTTTGGCTTCGGGCAAGACGGACATGTTGATAATATCGCCTCCCCAAGCGCGGTACATCAAACTCTCCGCGCGCGTACTAAACTGCGGTCCCTCCATGCATACCACCGTCTTGCCCTCATGAACGCTGACGTCCTTATTGTGTTCCGCAAGGGTTTGTTTGACCACCTGGGCGACGTGAGGACGAAGGATCTCGCAGAACGGATCGCCAAACCCTGCGTGTGCGACGACATTCTCCTCGTCTCCAAACCCAAAGAAGCTCGCACGACGCACACCCTTGGTGCGGTCGATGATCTGGCTTGGAATGACAAAGTCCTTGGGCGCAATCTCCTCGCGCAAACTACCCACCGCCGAAAAAGCCAGAATCGCACGAACCCCGAGATGCTTCAGCGCCGCAATGTTGGCGAGGTTGGGCACGTTGCTCGGCAGAATAGCATGATCGCGTCCATGCCTAGCGAGGAATGCAACATGGTTACCCGCAGCAGTCTTGGCGATGGTAATGGGCGAGGAGGGTGCGCCCCAGGGTGTGGAGATGTTGACCTCGGCAACGGGGGCGATGCTGTCAAGACGGTACAGACCCGACCCGCCGATAACACCAAGCAAGGGTGTAGGGCCAGTCCAGGCGTCGAGTACGGGTACAGACATCGTGCGAAGTCGTGGATAGAGTAGGGAGGTGGTGGTGGAGAATCGATGTGCAAGCATGCAAGAAGAATGGTCGTACAGGAATATGTGCGCGGACCATTTCTCGCACGCCATTTTTTTGCGGCACGTGCAGAAATCCCAGGTTCCGATTGCCGACCACACGTGCAGAAGCTCCGCGGAGAGTCCTCACCACACTCTCACCGCTCCGAAGAACGTCGATACACAACGCCATCCTGCAGACGGAAGGGTCGAATTAGGGTGAATGCAATGGGGTATTGGGATTGAAGTGTGCTACCGAGATGCCTGATCACTCTTCGCCGTCGTCGTCGTCTTCCTCGTCTCGATCGTCCTCGTCGTCATCGTCCTCCTCGGCAGCGTCTTCAACAGCGAGCGCACTGAACAGCGACGCTGTCGAGCCTCCGAGTCCTGCCTGCTCTTCCTCGTCATCTTGATCGTCATCGTCGGTGTCGTTGTCTTCGGGTGCGCCGAAATCGAACCTGACCTTGCGCGCCATGTCGGCGTCTTCGCTACTATCACCCTCATCCTGCTCGTCGTCCTTGGGTTCGTCCTCTTCGTCGTCCGGATTGGGAGCTGTGAGCAGGTCTTCGGCGCCCTTAACCTTTTCCTCTGTGTCTCGAATCCAGATTCCATCTGCGCCCTCCTCCTTCTCGCCTTCGCCCAAGGGCGGTCTGAAGGCCCACTTGATGCGACCCTCGGCAACAGCGCGCATGACCAAATTGCCCGCGCGGTTCACATCCCACCGATTCGCCTTGGCCGTCTTGTACCCATACCTCCTCGCCACGGCCTCGAGCACCTTGACGCCCGTCCACTCCTCTTCCTCCTCTGACTCCGGCATGTCTTCGTCGTAGGGATAGTCGAGTTGGAGCACGCGCTCGAGCGGGATGTGTTCGGCGACGAAGCGGATGCACGACGAAATGGCCTGCACCTGCGAGATGGCCAGCACAGCACCCATGACCTGCATCTCCATCCCAATCAGGCTCGGAAACACCAGCCCGGGCGAGTCGCACAGTCGGATCTGACCGCGATGGCTCTCTTCGCCCAACCCGCGTGGCGTTGAAGAGGGGGTGGTGGTAAGGGGCACGAGAAAGTGCGTCTGGAAGTGTTTGGTTTTGCCTGGCGTCTTGGAGGCACGCACGACTTTGGCACCGAATAGCGCATTGAGCAGACTCGATTTGCCCACGTTCGGCTGCCCGATCAGACCGATGGTCAGGTAGGGGAGCGGCTGTCGACCTGTCTTGTCCTTCGACTGGGCGGCGTCATCGCGGCTGGGCGGTGCTTCGACTTGCTCGGTCGATTCCGAGTCGTCGACGTGGTCGTCAGGGCCGAAGCCTTCGGTGTGGAGCTGCACTCGTCGCTCTACGCCTTCCCAGTCTGTATCCGTGGCGCACGGCGGCACCCACTGCTTTTTCTTCGCTTCGTCCTCCAGCACTGCTTTTGGCGGCGTGATCAGCTCCGCATGTGCCGTCCTGAGCGCTTCGAACAAGGCCTTTCTCGACCCGGGCGACAGATAGGGCGCAAACCTCGTCCTGGCACCCTGGCCCTCCATCCTCTCGAGCTTGGCGTAGCTCTCGGTGGCCACCACCTGCCACCTGGGAAACCTCTGCTTGAGATACGTCTGCCATGCGTCGACGATGCGCCTGGGCACGATGTCGGCCTTGGTGAGCACGATGACGACCTTGAGGCGCATGTAGCGTTCGAGGAAGCCGACGAGGCTCGGCGGGAGGTGGAGGAGCGGACACCGCGCGTCGGCAAGCACACACACGAGATCACTGCGCTCGCATACGCGCCAGAGCTGGCGGTAGACTTCGATGTTGCGCTCGTACAGGCTGCCGATCACCGAGGTCCCGGGCGCCGGGCGGTGGTCGAGCAGCTTGGTGATGGTATCGGCCGACGCTATGGACGCGACCATGCGGCTGCCACCCATGGAGGGTGCGGTGGTGAAGGCGGCTTTGTCCTGCGAGCGCGTGTGCGATTCGAGGCCGGCAAAGAGCGGCGACGAGGTGAAGAAGGCGCGCTCCACCACGGCGTCGGTCTTGTGGAGCCACTGGCGGAACACCTCGGCTTCCTGCGAGAGCACGGTCTTGGTGTCCATGTCTGCGCGCCATTTGGGACGCTTTGGAAGCCGAAGCTCGCCGGTCTCCTCGATGCCGTCGACGCTGTCCTCGTCTGGGGCAGCGTCCTCGTGGTCGGAGAGTTCATCAGAATCAGCTTGCTTGGACGCGGTGTCGAGCCAGCCGGCGAGCGGGTGCGACTCGCGGACATGCTGTTCGGACTGCTGCTGATCTAGGATGCGCTGGTGGTTCTCTGCGCGAGCGCGGCCGAAGCGCGAGTAGTCAAAGTGGATGAGGCTGGCGGGGACGGGGCGGTGGAGGTGGGCGTAAGAGGCGAGGATGTTGAGGCGCTCGAGCACTGGCGGCGAGAGCTTGGAGAAGGCTGATTCTTCCAGCTGGACGGTGCGTCTGCGCGACTCGAAAGCCGCCTGCTGCTCGGGAGGCAGGAGACTGGAGCGGCCCAGCCTGCCTCCTGCTGCTGCTGCGCCGCCTCCACGGCCACGACCTCGCCCACGACCCCTACCTCCTCGTCCACCGCGTCCGCCTCGCGCATTCGCTGAATCGGCATCGGCGTCACCGCCTCTACGCAGCTTCGCCTTCTGCGCCTTGGACGGCTTCTTGACCATGCTGTAGCTGCGTTTTGTGTTGGTAGGGACGCTGATGGTGCTGATGATGGATGTGACATTCTTTGCTGTCCAAGAAAACTTCCGACCAACACCTCCACTTCGGGTCGCAAACTTTAACAATGTTCGATCGCAGTAACGTGACATTTCTGAGCCGAAAAATTCGTAGGGTGGCTCGACCGCCTGCGAGCTGCTGCCTCCATGCTGCGGAGAAGGGGCGGAGAAGGGGGGCAAATTGCGAGGCAAAGCAGCTCTGCACACGCGACTCGAAAAAAAAAGGGCTCGGCTGCTCCACATCCCGCGGCTCAGCGCCCGAGCTGTTTTTCAGCCTTGTTTGAGGAGGGCTCTCCTGCGAGCTGAAAGGCATAAGTAGTAAAGCCGGACGAGGCGTTCCTGTCCGGGTTCCGCTAATTGTTGCCCGCCGCGCACAGACGCGTTTCTGCTCTCTGCTCGCTGCTCCTCCCTCCACCATCCTCGAGCTCTCTCAACACCGGCCGCATCCATCCATCTACACACATCGATACACGGTCTAAGCAGCGACACTGAAGGCCTTCACTGTCAGCACTGAGCTCGAGCTACCCTGGTCTCTGGCAGCAGCAGCAGCAGCTCGACAGCAGACGAGACGCGTCTTGCCTTCCTTCGACTCCGCACTCCGGTCCCATGTGCCGCCCATCCACGAGCTGCTCCCCTCCGCGCCAGGCGCCATCCCCTCGCCTTCGGCATTGACCGCATACTCGATCCATACTCCGCTTTCAACCACTCACCATGTCGCAATCCGACCAAGAATGCAAGCATCCGGTGCAGCTCTTTGGCATGTGCGCCGTGTGCGGCAAGCCCGTCGATGCAGACTCGGACCAGTCGGCCTCGCTCTCCGTCATGCACTCCAACGCTAGCGTCAAAGTGTCAGCGGAAGAGGCTCAGCGCCTCGACTCCGAGTCCACCAGCCATCTGCTTTCGCAGCGCAAGCTCGCGCTCATCGTCGACCTCGATCAGACCGTCATCCACGCCACCGTAGACCCCACCGTCGGAGAGTGGATGCGCGACGACACAAATCCAAATTACGACGCGCTCAAGTCCGTCGGCAAGTTCAGACTCGGCATCGACGGCGAAGAGATCAAGGACGACGACGATCCCACCGCACCCAAGGATGCCGCCGCCGCACTCAGGGCTTCCAGAGCCTGCTGGTACTACGTAAAACCGCGTCCCGGCGTGCCGGCCATCCTCAAGCAGCTCTCGCAAAAGTACCAGCTCCACGTCTACACCATGGGCACACGATCGTACGCCAACTGCGTGTGCAAACTCATCGACCCGGACGCCTCCATCTTTGGCAACCGCATCCTCTCCAGAGACGAAAACGGCAGCCTCATCCGCAAGAGCCTATCCCGCCTCTTCCCCGTAGATCACAGCATGGTCGTCATCATCGACGACAGGGAGGACGTGTGGAGCAACAGCCCCAACCTCCTCCCCGTCCTCCCCTACGAGTTCTTTGTCGGCATCGGCGACATCAACGCGACCTTCCTTCCCAAATTACCCCCGCCGCCTGGAGGTGCCCCAGCTGCCGCGTCCCCTTCCACCTCTGCCACCAAGCTCGACGACGCCGCCACCGGGGCTGTCGCAGACGCTGCAGCAGCCGACACGGCGGACGCTTCCAGCACCGGCACCAGTACAAACGGCACCACCGAGTCCATGGTGGAAGAGGCGGTGCAGAAGGCACAGGCCGAGGGGCGCACCGAGGAGGAGCTCAAAGAAGTGCGCAAAGCAGCCGTACAGTTTATCGCGCAGACCGAAAAGCTGCAGAGCAAGCTCGCCGAACAGCGCGACGCCAGGCCGCTCGCAAAGATGCAGGAGGCGCTCGACGAGAAGCTCGGCACGCGCTCTTCGCGGTCCGGCACCTCGACTCCCAACGGCCACGCGGATTCCACCCCCCCTCGCTCGGCTGACCCGGACAGCAGCAGCAGCGGCAGTGGCAGCAGCAGTAGTGACGCGGCCGGCGATGGTTCCACCACCACGCCGCCGAGCAGCCCGCCAGCGCAGCAGCAGGACAGGCCAGCCGACGGTGGGCCACGGCTGCCGCCGCTTCCTCCGCCGCCGCCACCTCCGCCGCCGCAGTCGCACGCGGTGCTCGTCGACAACGACACCGAGCTCACGCGCGTCCAGAGCATCCTCGACGAGCTGCATGCGCAGTGGTATGCGCGGTACGATGCGATGCAGTCGCACGCCGCTGGCGCATCGGATGCGGTGGTGCACAAGCCGTCGGTGGTGGACCTGATGGGTGCCAAGAAGGCGCAGGTGCTGAAGGGCTGCGTGATTGTGTTTTCCAGCATGATCCCCGTCGGGCATGATGCGGCCAAGTCGGAGCTGTGGGCGACGGCGCGCGCGTTTGGCGCCACGCCCGCAGCGGAGATCGAGCCGGGCGTCACGACGCACGTTGTCTCGGCGCGCATGGGTACGGCCAAGGTGCATCAGGCGGTGAAGCTCGTCCAGCAGCAGCGCGAGCGCGGAAGCAACCAGCTCAAGCTCGTCTGGCCGTCGTGGTTCGAGGTGTCGACGTCGCGTTGGGCGCGTCAGGACGAAGAGCTGTACCGTCTCCCGCTCGTCGACAGCGGCTTTGCTCCACCCCCCGTCCCCGAGCCGGCGAATGGCGGAGCGGTCGTGGAGAAGCCGCAGGAAAAGGAGGAGGAGGGCGAGACGCTGTTCGAGAACGAGCTCAACGATATGGACTGGGGCGCTGCCGCTGACGAGGTGGACGCCTACCTTGACTCGGCGACGACGGCCAGCAACACCTCGTCGCCCTCGCCGTCGATACTTGCGGTGGACCTGAGCGAGGTGGAGCCCATTGCAGAGTCGAACAAACGTGCACGCGAGGAAGAGGCAGAAGAGGGCCAGAACAAACGCCATGCGCCAATACACGACAACAACGACGATGACGATGAAGAGGATGCCGACTCGTTCCTCGACGACCTCGCCGAAGAGCTCGACGGACAGCTGGACGACGAGTAGCGGTTCTGGATGCAATGTGTACTTTTATCGAGCTCTCACGGTCACGTAACAGTCTGTTGGATGAGTGCGGGGGTCAATGCGGGGTTTCGGATTGGAGCGATGCGTGGTACAAGCACAAAACGAAGCCAGTTCGAGAGAGGCAAAAGCGAGACGATGGATCCATTACTAGATGTTAAGGTTTTGCGAAAAGAGGGAGCAACTAGGAAGCGGCGGCTACAGCCATCTGGTTCAAGCCTTGGTAAATGAGCGCGAAGCTGTCGAGGTTGTTTGCGGTCTCGGGCGTTGATTCTGGCTGGCTTGCCGAGCTGGACGCGCTCGCACTCGACGATGCCGAGGAGCTTTGGCTGCTTGCCGAGCTTGCCGAGCTGGAGGCGGCACTCGAGCTTGAAGGCTGAGCTGATCTTTGTGCGGACGACGAGCTGGTAGTAGTAGGCGGGGCCCAAGTCCAGGTAGGTTGTTGCCACGTCGTTGTCGGAGTGGGACGCTGTCTTGAGCTTGTGCTAGTCCATTGGTTGTTGTTGTTGWTGTTATCCGATCCATCAGCGGCGGTCCAGGACATTTGGAAGACGCCGAGGTTGGTGCTTGCAAAAGCCTTGAACAGACCCTCGCTCATATCGAGTCCACCGTACGGACAGCTGGGGCATGCGTCTTGGACGGTCGCATACTGGGTGTTTCCATTGTACGTAATGGCAATCGTCTTGCCACACCACGAAGATCGCTGACCGAGGTTGCCATACTGCGCCGCGTTGAGGGCGACGATAAAGTCGGAGCCAGAGTTGTAGTTGCCACACGCACCCAGACCTGCGGCATAGTACGTCGCACGACCACTGTACGTCGGTCCACGCTTGGTGAGATCGGACGGGCCGGCGTTGTGGTGCGACGCGCGACGAGAGTGCTTGGGACTACGAACGTAGTGCGAGTCATCCGCCTGCGTCGCAACCAGCCCGGACGCAACAAGAAGCGCAACACAAAGCGCCTTGGTGGAGGAAAGTGTCATGCTGGCAAGGTTGTGGGTAATGGCACAGCTATTTCAGCGCGCGCGTTCCAAGTCGTCGATGTAAGGAGGTGGTGGTGGTGAGAGAGACGAGATGGATGATGTGGTAGGGATGGAGGATACAATTCGTCAAAGCGGAGAGGGCTGGGCGTCGATCCAAAGCATATACGGTGCGCCCCCGGGCGTTAATTTGCTCGCTTTACCACGGCTCCAACACTGTGTGGGGGAGAGAGAGGGGAGGTTTGCTGATCGACGCTGTCTCTCGTCGATCGCGGCTCATGGACTGTTTCGGCAGCTGTGCTCGCAAAGAAGAGGGGACACACAAACGATCAAGCAGGGCTTCTGCTGTTCAGGAACAACACGACCTCGCTTGTTGAGCCAAAGGGGAGGAGGAGAGGACCGATGGAAGAAGCCAACGGCAGTGCGGAGTTTCAAGGCGAGCGGCCAACAACACCGTGCAGATCCCCAATCCAACATCCACTCGTTTCACATCCGACGCGCACCGCGCCTCTGTGCATCTCTTCACTCCATCTCCAGCAATAATGCGGCAGTGCAAGGATCGAACCGCTTTCATACGGTTCAGCCGATTAGCAAATCCCGGGCGATCGTCCAGGCATGATGAAAGCGAGACAGAGGAAACAAAGGGGCCAGGTGCGGGACGAGAGAGCCTGCGATGTTGATCAGGCAGAGTTGTTTTAGGTTCATGCAGCCTCGAGCTCGGTTGCAGCGCCCCGCGCAGATGGGCTGGGAAAAAAGAAGGGATCCACATGTTCTTTTTCCTTTTTCCAGCCACCGACTCAACCAGTCCGCCGCGGAAATGCACGCATCCCCGATTTCACCGCAGCGCTTCGTACGAGAAGGCCCCTGAACAACACCACACGCGCTTGCCACTTTGGTGTTGGAGTGTTGGTCTTCCGCCCTCTTGCCTACGTCACCTGTCTTTCTGCACAGAACATTGCGCTTCCGACTCCGTCCATCGTAGCCCTCGTGACGTAGTTGGTACCTGCAAAGCCAGGTTCCAGCTCGGCAACCCGGGCAATGGAGAAGCCCAGCTGCATGCTCGTTGGTGCACGATGGCGCGCAGATGGTTCAATGTAGGCAGGTCACAAACAAGTGGCAGTCCCATCCAACGCGATGCCTCGTCGAACGGCTGTGACGCGCGTGCCTGGTGGCTGCAGTACCGAGCTGTCAGCTGACCTGTCGTGCAGAGACGCTTTGCGTCGAGAACAGATGCGACTTCTCTCGCATGTACCGCACATCGTCGTGCGCTTTCGTGCATTTCCTCGCGCTCCTAACGACCGAGATGGGCGAGCCGATCATCGTTCCGATGGCCCGAAAGCTTCATCGGGGTGAGTGGATTTTGTGCGCCTTAATTTTCGCCTTCCTTTCCACAAATCCATTTCGAAGGCGGCTGCAAAACACAAAGTTCGAGCCGGGAAAATGGAGCGAGACCCCTACGCTCGGCCTAACAGTCACCTTCATCGTCAAAATGTGAGAGCGACAGACGCAACAAACGCGGACCGGAAAAATCATGCAGACACGCATCGCTCAGGGTCCACGCGCGCTGCTCCACTCTGCCAAATTCCAGTCAACCCTGCAACGCCTCGCACAGTTGCCACGGCTGCAGCAGCCCCTGCTTGTGCCCGGACCCTGCTGTGGCACCTCTCCAAGCCGCCTCTTCACCACCCCTCTTTCTTCCACCACCACAGCAGTCACTCCCTCTCGCCACCGCACCTGCTTCAATCAAGTCACCAGCAGGACAATGCCGATCCTCACCACATCCACTAGCACATAGAGTAGGGCTCGCGTCGCATCAGCAATGACCAGCGTCGTAGACCACAGCACTCCCTCCGCACCGGCGTCGACGTCGGCGTCAGCTGCGGGCGAGGGCTTCACCTCCTTTGGCTTCCTAGACGATACGCACGATGCGCACGAATCCTCATTCGGGCTCGGCACGCTCTTCAGCCGCGTCAAGTCCGCCCTCGCTGCCGGCCTCACCCTCGATCCAGACTCGGCCTACAGCGCAGCCCACGAACACACCGATGCTGCATCTACATCACGCCACAGCTCCGGCTCATACTCGGCAAAGTCCACCAATACAAGGCCGCAACCATTACCGCCAACAGCGTCCACCACACAATCCACGCATCCACTCGCGTCCGACGCTTACAATGCTTCTCGATCAGCAGGTCCGTCGTCGAACATGCTCGCGTCTATGCCACTTCACAGAAAGCCATCCATGGCAAGGCCGACGCGCGGGCTGAGCAACATTGAAGAGTATCCAGAGCACGGACAGGTCAGAAATCGCACCATCTCGCCCTCGCGCAGCTCCGACCTCAACGACGCGGCCAGACCCTACCGAGACATACTCAGCTCAGGTCGCTCGGGCCACGCACGCATCGCCGGGCTTCGCGATCCCTCCACCTCAGCATCCTCATCGATATCTCGCATATCCAGCAGCACAGCCGCTCCACCGCGCGCTTCAAAAAGCCGTGGCCTGCCACTCACCCTCAGAAGCGTCGCTCCCGCTCCCGCAGTCACCTTCACCTCGCCCGCCACCGCCATCAACGCCCGCTCCCTCCTACCCGGCCTCGCCGGAAGCTACACCGACGATCGCGAGTCCGTCGCTGCCGATGACGGAGACATGGACCCCGACTCGTCTCGCGATACGCTCTCCATCCTGCGCGCCGGCGGCATCGACGGTACCATCGACCGCTCCCATCTAGCAAAGCACGGCTGGTCCGCCATCCCAGGCTTCCCTCTCTCCAAAGACATCCTTGCCGATGACTCCAAGTCGATCCGCAGCAGCTCCACCCGCCTCCATAGAAGCGACACCATCGAGGACCAGCTCTCCAGTCGCTCCGCCGCGCAGATCGGCCTCCAGACCAGCGCAGACGCCATCGTCCGCCGCATGAGGGGCGAAGGCCTCAGCCGCAAGTTCTGGATGGCCGACGAAAACGCAAAAGAGTGTCGCGAATGCCTCTCCATCTTCACCCCCTTTCGCCGCAAGCATCACTGCCGCATCTGCGGCCAGATCTTCTGCGGCAGGTGTGCCGCACACATCATCAAGGGCCGGCGCTTCAACTTTGACGGCATGATCCGCGTCTGCAACTTCTGCAAGCGCATGCTCGAGGAGTACGACCGCCACGAGCGCGAGAGCCAGCATCACAACAGGCTCAACACCGTCGCCCAGCGCGCCAGCAAGAATCCAAACCGCATACAGCCGGACAAGGACATGATCTCCGCCCCGCTCGAGGCCCAGATCCGCAGCCCGCAGGCTCAGTTCGCTGCAAATCATCTCTTTGCTAGTGCATCCGCAGTGCCGTCGGCTTTTGGCGCAAGCTTAAGCGCCAGTATGTCGGCGCCGTTCGGTTTCACCGATGCAGACTCGGTCGTTGGCGACGCGAACGACACCTCAGCGCGCGACACCAACGACGCCGCGGCCGAGCAAGCGCGCAAACGCAAGGCCGACACCGGCCTCGTTGCGCCGTTTCGCAAGGGGATGGACGAAGAGGAGCTCGCACCCGCACGGCCTGACTCCGACGACGAACAAGTGGCGGCCAACCTGCAGCAGAATGGAAGCGCCATCGGCTCCTCACACCACACGCCGGCCCCGGGTAGCCCGGCTACGGCTGCTGCAGCGTCGCCTTCGCAAGCCAGCCTTGCTGCTCGCAACGGTGCACCAGCCTCAGGCAAGGCCAAGAGCGGTGCGGCGAGTATCGCCTTCCCGTCCTCCTCAACCCCCGGCAAGGAGTTCCCTTCGGCCATCCAGTCGACGTCCGACTATCAGCGTCTGCGCCTCGTCAGCGAGACCGCCAGGCCTGTCAACCGCTCACGCATGCGCTCGTTGCGCACCATCGCCGCGCTCGACCCCACTCAAGCCAGCGCTCTCATCAGGTCCCACTTCCATGGCAACGGCCGAACCGAGTCGCCTGTTCCTCCTCTCCTTCATCACGCCCAAGAAGATGCAGATGGCGCTGCAGATTCCACCGAGCCGCCCGAATTCTACCGCGACCTCCGCATCTGCTCGGAAGGCATCACGCCTGCACTGCTCGAGGCGTCCATCACCCACCGCGCGCTCGACCACCTGCGCAAGATGATGGAACAGACGCTCACCCAGTCCGGCATCCACAATGTGCGCAAGTGGTGCGATGTGCTCTTGCCCTTTGTGCTCACTACGATCTCGCGCGTCAAGCCCGATGCGCGCGAGGACCAGAGCCGCGACATCCGCGAGTTTGTCAAGATCAAGCGCATCCCCGGCGGCAAGCCCGACGATTCCGAGTACGTCGACGGATACGTCTGCACCAAGCACGTGGCCACCAAGCGCATGGCGTCGTTGATCCCGCTCACCAATGCGCGCATCATCGTGATCCGCTTCCCGCTCGACTACCACCGCGGGCCCAACCAGTTCATGTCGCTCGAGCCGCTCATGGCGCAGGAGCACGAATTCATCCGCATCCTCGTCGCGCGCATCATCGCGCTCCGCCCGCAGATCGTCGTGGTCGAGAAGACGGTCTCGCGCACCGCGCTCGAGCTGCTCGAGAAGGAAGGCATCGTCGTCGTCTGGAGCGTCAAGGCCGACGCCATCCGCGCCATCAGTCGCTGCACCCAGGCCGATGTCATTACCTCCATCGACAGGCTGGCGCTTGATCCGCGAGTCGGAAGGTGTCGCTACTTTAACGTCGAGACCTTCCAGCACGCCTCGTGGCCCGGATGGAGGAAGAGCTTCATGCGCTTCGAGGGAACGCCCAAACAGCTCGGCTGCACCATCGTCCTGCGCGGCGCCGATGCCGTCAAGCTCAGCCGCGTCAAAAAGATCCTCGCCATGATGATCTTTGTCGCCTACAACCTCCGGCTCGAAGGCTACGTCATGGCGGACGAAGGTGCTGCCATGGAGACGATCTACTCGGACAGCGCGCTCATCAACGGCTCCCATCCGTGTGGATCCGTCGAGGCCGGCACGTCGGACAGCGCGGCGGATGAGCTTCAGCGTCTGATCAAGACGACCGAGATCGAGCTAGGTGACCATGCCTCGTCCCAGCTCGTCCGAATCAGTGACGACAAGGCGTTTGTCCTGCGAGCGCGCGCACGCATCCTGGCGGCGCTGAGCATCTACGAGACGACGCTCATCACGTCGAGCGTTTGCATCCAGATCCCAGCGCCGCATCCGATCCTGCAGATGAAGCGCGTCAATGACCGACTGATGCAGCTGCTGGCTCAACAGGAGGCCGACGAACTCCAGAGGATCCTCAAGGACGAAGGCAGGCTGCAGGACAGAGCGGCGACACCGCCGGCTTCTATCACTGAGCTTCCAGAGAGTAATGACGATGGGAAGGAGGCCGGCCAGGATGTTACTCCTACCTTGGAGAAACCGTCGGCAGTCATGGATGACGACAAGGCAAGTCTAGCCACCGCGGTGCAAGGCTCGGCAAGCCCCGCTGGCCAGTCGTCGGCCGGGGACGTCACGCCAAAGTACGAGACTGCGGGCCCTCGCGTCCACGACACGATCGTCGAGGAAGGCGAAGAGAACGGCTCGGATGCATCCGCCGCTTCGGACCGCGGCACAACACCGCAGCCCGCGGCGGCAGAAGAGCTGCAGCCTCACGTAGAGGCAGACGCGAACGAGAAGCAGCCAGACCACGGACGTGATGGTAGCGATGCCACTGTGGTGATCGCCACCGCTAGTCCGCTTGTCAGCGGTCCCAACACCACCACGCCTACGCCGCGACCATCCTCGCCGGTGCAGACCAGGATGAAGGATGCAAGAGCTGCAACGACCGGCTCGAGTGCGCTGGATGGACCGCTAGAACTCGATGCTGCCGACATGGTCAAATCCAACTCTGCGCCAGTCTCCGAGGTGCCAACACGCACCGTCTCACCTGGACCGAGCTCGATCCTTTCGGGAGTCACGCAGAGCTCCGGCATGACAGTGGCACCGGGCACTGCGTCGATGCTCAATGCCACCAAGCTCGAACCGGCACCGCCATTCGATCTGTTCTCGCTGCTCAAGGCGCCCTCGCAGATCGCCAAGGAGTCCGAGTTCGCCATTACCGTCGACAAGCACCGTGCCGCTCTCAAGGAGTGGGGTGGATATCTCGACGTGCAGCCCGAGTCGGTGTCGCCGTTCAACCACAAGCGCATCGAGATCATCGTCACGCGTCACTGCACGCTGACGCCGCGTCCGTGTGAAGGGCCGAACCTCGCCTCGATCGAGTTCTACGGCGAGCACGACGAGACGCTGGGCGAGCACATCGAGCGGCTGGCTGCCAACAGCGCACGCGGCTGCGCCACAAAGGGATGCGGCAAGAACAACGTGCTGCACTACAACACGTTTGTGCACAATCGCATCCGCATCCAGGTCGTGCTCGAGCGATTCGTGTGTCCACTGCCGAACGAGGAGAACCGGCTGCTCAGCTGGAGCTACTGCAAGGTGTGCGAGAACGCCACGCCCGTCGCGCTCGTCACCGCCGAAACGTGGAGCTTCAGCTTTGCAAAGTACCTCGAGCTCTACTTCTACCGGCACGATCACTGCAAGACGCAGCTGTGCGAGCACGACTTCTACCGCGACCAGGTGCGCTACTTTGCGTACCAGAACATGGCGGTGCGCTTCCACTCGGAGGAGATCGACGACCTGTTCGAGGTGACCATGCCCCACTTCCGGCTCTTTATCGATCCCGAGGTGCAGTGCAACATCAAGAACGAAGAGACGGCGGCGTTTGTGCGCAAGAACCAGGCGTACTGGGACAGCGTCATGGCGCGCATCCGTGCGCTCGGCAACGACGCCTGCTCCGACGCCGCGGGCATCAATCGCGACAAGAACCGCGCGATCATCGTCGACATGATGCGCCGCTGCGAGACGGATCGCCGCGAGGTCGAGGCGCTCGTCGCAGAGCTGTACGAGTTCAGCCCGGCGACCGACGTGCTCTGCCTCAACCAGGCGCGCAGGATGCTGCAGGAGAAGGTGGTCAAGTGGGACGTCGACTTTATCGAGTTCGAGAAGAACTGCATCCCGTCCGAGAAAGATATCCGCCGCATCACCTCGAACCATCTCAAGCGCCTCTTCTCGGAGAAGGACCCGGCCGACGCGACGAGGTCCGACACGGCTTCCAGCACGCTCCCGCCCGCTGCCGAGATTGACGAGAGCTCCACGGATGCCGCGGACGGCAAGGTCAAAGGGCGTGGTGGGGATCCACACAAGGTCGCAGCAGGCGAGGCGATCACGCGCAGCGCAAGCACCCAGACAGCGACCGAGGCACTCGCTCTGGCCGGCGCAGACATGTCTGTCGTGCCGATGCTCTCCGACCTGGTCACGCAGACCGTCCAGACGCCCATCAGCGAGCTGCCGCCGCCAGTGCTTGCGCCTACAGCCCGGCCCGCGGCGGTAAAGCTCGCAGCCACCGGTGCCGGTGCGGATGCGGTCGCGCGCTCCCAGACTGTTCCGACGCAGCTCAACAAGGCGGGCCGCGCAGATGCGTCCAAGTACCGCGACGGCAACTTTGACGACGAGACGGACGCAGCTGATCTGTCGCCCGTCGAGGTGCGGCCAATGATCAGTCGTAGAGCGCTATCTAACCCGCCGGCCACTGCGCCTGCGTCTCCGACGTACGCATTCAGCCCGTCGAGGGGCGCATACGATCCGGTCGGCTTTCCGCGGGCAGAAGAGAGCTCGTGTACCGAGAGCGAGCTTGTGGGGTCGGTCAGCGGGCTCGTGCGGCGCTTCGACAGTCCGAGGCGCAGCGTCACGGGCTTGCCAGGCGCACAGGCCACAGCTGCACCGGGCGGGTCCGGTACCGCTTCGCCGCGTGTGGGGCCGAACGGCTCGATCCGGCGCCCCAGCCTACGTCGCGGCAAGACGGAGGAGCCCATGTCGACGCACGCCAAGGATGTCGCCAGGAACCGCAAGCCTTCCGGCGCGCAGAACGGCGAGTCGGACTCGAACGTCAACTCGCCCACGCCGACGTCGGCGGCTAGCGGGCGCACCAGTCGCCTGCCGCGCGCCAAGCGAACCGAAAGCTCGACGTCCGTCTCGACGATCGGGCGCAGAAGCGGCTCGGCTACGCCGAACAAGACTGCGCAGGCGCCTCCGCCGTCGAGCTACCGTCCACCGAAGTCCGAGGGCCTCAAGGCGGGCCCACGCGCCATCATCGGGCGGTCGGGCGCGTCAGCTGCAGCAGCCGCACTGGCTGCCGCCACGTCGGCTGCGTCTGGACCGGCCAATATGCGCAGCCAGAGCGGGGCGTACCAGTCGGACGGCGCGAGCAGCATCCGCGCAGGCGCAGCGGGGGGCAGCCGCGTGCCCGTGGCAAGGAGGAGCGAACACGGCCCGGGCACGCGCAGCCGCGTGTCGACGATCGCCAAGCACTTTGACCGCATCAGCAAGGAGGCGGAGCGCGAGCGCGAGCGGCAGCACAGGATGCTGCTGGCGCAGAGGGCGAAGCGCGCGCGTCCCGTGGCGATGACGCGGGCGAGGGTCGAGGTGTTCAGCAGCGTGCGCGAGGCGGTGCGCGATGACGAGAGCGAGGCCGAATCGGCAGCGGAGAACGAGGATGACGATGGCGCGTCGGCTGCTGACAACGAGGACGAAGACGACGAGGATGATGACTCGGACGAAGACCTCGCCGCCCAGCCGACGAGATATGCAGACAAGCGCATGCTTGCGACGGCGGACGGGCGCGCACAGCAGGGCCAGGCGCTCGCCAAGCCGCGCAAGTCCGCAACGAAGCAGGATGGCCTCGCGTCTGCTGTACATGGAGCTGGGGATGCGACCAAGAAGACGGCAGCCATGCAGAAGGGCACGGACGTCGATCCAGCCGAGGAAGATGAGCGCGATCGGACGATCAAGGGCGGACACGGAGCCGCCATTCCGTCCAGCGGCGATGGATCCAGCGCAGTGCCGTCCTCAGCCAATGCCGCAGCAGGTGCGAGCTCGTCGGTGGCAGACGATGCCTGCACGATCGCGAGCGAAGAGACTGGGCGCGCGACCAACGTGTCGCCGCCGGCGCCCGCGAGCGAGCTCGAGTCGGACGCGCAGTCGATTGCGGCGTCGTCGGTGGCGACGACGAGCCACACGCAGCTGACGCTGCCGTCGTATCTGCGGAGCGGCTTTGCGTCGGACTCGGACTCGATGCCGAGCCTGGAGCGCAGCTTCCTCAAGACGCTCTCTGGCTTCTGGGCGTTCCGCACGGGCGAGATGGTGCCGCTCGAGTATCCCATGCTGAATTCGGAGCACGTGTTTGCGGACTCGGACGTCATCTTCCGCGAGGACGAGCCGACGTCGATCGTGGCGTTTACGCTGAGCTCGATGCAGTACAAGGAGCGGCTGCGCGGCATGCGCAGCGAGGCGCCGTGGATCCAGGAGAAGGACGAGGCGTTCATGCCGGGCAATGCGAGCGTGGCGGGCTCGGTGGACGGATGGGACCTGGTCGACGTCGAAGCCAACGAGCTCGAGGGCACGCTCAAGAAGGAGGGGCGGCATTTCAGGTGCGAGTTCGAGTCGGGCACTACGCGGTTGTGGTGCAAGATCCTGTTTGCGGAGCAGTTCGATGCGCTGCGCCGCATGTGCGGATGCGACGTGAGCGTGGTCGAGTCGCTCTCGCGCTGCTTCAAGTGGGACTCTTCGGGCGGCAAGTCCGGGTCGGCCTTCCTCAAGACGCGCGATCATCGGCTGGTGGTCAAGCAGCTGTCGAGGTTCGAGATGGACGCCTTCTCCAAGTTCGCGCCGCAGTACTTTGCGTACATGTCGCAGTGCCTCTCGCGGGGGCGACGTACTGCGCTGGCCAAGATCTTTGGCTGCTTCCGCATCGGCTTCCGCAATCCTCAGACGGGCAAGAGTCTGAAGCTGGACTGCTTTGTGATGGAGAACTTGTTCTACGGGCTCGAGGGAATTCGGTCGTACGATCTCAAGGGGAGCACGCGCAACCGGTACGTCCAGGAGACGGGCAAGCAGAGCGAGGTGCTGCTCGACGAGAATCTGGTGGAGACGAACCAGCTCACGCCCATGTTTATCCGCGAGCACTCGAAGAAGCTGCTGCGTGCGAGCCTGTACAACGACTCGCTCTTCCTGGCGGACATGAACGTGATGGACTACTCGCTCATGGTGGGCGTCGACCGCGCGAGCAAGCAGCTCGTGGTGGGCATCATCGACTTTGTGCGCACCTACACCTGGGACAAGCGCGTCGAGAGCTTTGTCAAGGAGACGGCGCTGCTGGGAGGCGCGGGCAAGGGCGAGCCGACGATCATCACGCCGCCGGACTACCGCACGCGCTTCTTGACGTTTATCGACCGTGCGCTGCTGCTCATGCCGGACCACTGGGTCGAGGACTGGGCGCTGTAGCGCGATGCCAATGTCAGATGTCTGTTCCGCACAAGCAGGGCTGTGAGAAGGCGTCTTGAGGCCTGTCATCAGCACGACGCGTGGCTGGAACCGGTTTTATTGTGTGAGATCGCAACTCTTGTCGAAAAGAAAAGAGGCCGGCGCCGCGCCTTCGATCGCACACGAGAAGAAAAATGCGCTCGCGTCGGACTGCGACTCTTTTTCGAAGCTGCAAGAAGAACTTGGATTTTGCCATGAGCGCTGGGCGCGCGCGTGCTGAGCCGTGGTGATGCGCCGCACTCTCCACCGCCTCAAGTCGCGCGAAAGAAGCAGCAGCAGCAGCAGCAGCAGCCGCAGAGCCCGAGCAGAGAGAGAGAGCTCAAAGACCAACACACACACGCACCAGCCAAAGCCGCACCGAACCACCATCCAAGGCGTCCATCTCGACCGTCTTTGCGTCACCCAGCCAGCACACCCGCTCTCAGCAGCGTTATCAACAACCAACACTCACAGCTGCACTTCCGACTCCGTGGACTCTCCCCTTCAGACGCCCCGCACACCACACACACACACACACAGCTACGTCAGCATGGCGGGTCGACTCGGGGGCATGATGCCCAATGCGCCCATCATCCTGCTGCGCGAAGACACGGATGTGTCGCAGGGTACGTCGCAGCTGCTGCACAACATCGGCGCGTGCACGTCGATCGTATCGTGCGTCGCCTCGACGCTCGGCCCGCGCGGCATGGACAAGCTGATCGTCAACGAGCGCGGGCAGGCGACCATCTCCAACGACGGCGCCACGATCCTCAAGCTGCTCGACATCGTGCACCCGGCTGCCAAGACGCTCGTCGACATTGCACGCGCCCAGGACGCCGAGGTGGGCGACGGAACCACCTCGGTGGTGCTGCTCGCCGGCGAGATGCTCAAGGAGGCCAAGCCGTTTATCGAGGAGGGCGTCGCACCGCACGTCATCATTAAGGGCTACCGCAAGGCGGTGCAGCTCGCGGTGGAGCGCATCAACGAGATTGCCGTCACCATCGACAAGTCCGACAAGCAGGCGTTCTACGACCTGCTGCTCAAGTGCGCCGGCACCAGCATGTCGTCCAAGCTCATCGTCTCGCAGCGTCCCTTCTTCAGCAAGATGGTCGTCGACGCCGTCATGGCGCTCGACCAGGACGACCTCGACCAGAGCCTCATCGGCATGAAGAAGGTGCCCGGCGGCGGCATGCAGGATTCGCTGCTCGTGCACGGCGTCGCATTCAAAAAGACGTTCGCCTACGCCGGCTTCGAACAGCAGCCCAAGAGCTTCACCAACCCCAAGGTGCTCTGCCTCAACGTCGAGCTCGAGCTCAAGGCGGAGAAGGACAATGCCGAGGTGCGCATCAACGAGGTCGCCGAGTACCAGGCGGTGGTGGATGCCGAGTGGCAGATCATCTTCAACAAGCTCGAGGCGATCGTCAAGACGGGCGCCAAGGTGGTGCTTTCCAAGCTGCCCATTGGCGATTTGGCGACGCAGTACTTTGCGGACCGCGACATCTTCTGTGCGGGGCGTGTTCCGGCGGACGACATGAAGCGCGTGGTGCAGGCGGTGGGCGGATCGGTGCAGAGCACGTGTTCGGACATTGGCGACAAGCACCTGGGCACGTGTGGCCGCTTCGAGGAGCGCCAGATCGGCGGCGAACGCTTCAACATCTTTGAGGAGTGTCCGCAGGCCAAGACGTGCACGCTTGTGCTGCGCGGAGGTGCCGAGCAGTTCATTGCCGAGGTGGAGCGTTCGCTGCACGACGCCATCATGATCGTGCGCCGCGCGATCAAGAACAGCCACGTCGTCGCCGGCGGTGGCGCCACCGAGATGGAGCTATCCAAGTACCTGCGCGACTACTCGCGCACCATCCAGGGCAAGCAGCAGCTCGTGATTGGTGCGTTTGCAAAGGCGCTCGAATGCATCCCGCGCCAGCTCGCCGACAATGCCGGCTTCGACGCCACCGACCTGCTCAACCGCCTCAGGATGAAGCACGCCCAGGGCGCACAGTGGGAGGGCATCGACATTGATGCAGAGGACACCGCCGACCTCATGGAAAAGTTCGTGTGGGAACCCAGCCTGGTTAGGATCAACGCGCTCCAGTCCGCCGCCGAAGCCGCGTGTCTGATCCTCAGCGTCGACGAGACCATCCGCAACCAGGCGAGCGAAAAGGCCCAGCCGGGCCCAAAGGCGCCCCCCGGAACCATGCAGAAGGCGCTCCGTGGCCGTGTCCCGCGCCGCTAGATCCAGTCCATGCACAACCAAACGCTCACAGAAAAATGTACTTTTACATTCCGTCCATTGTCCATTGCATTCCGGGATGAATCCTCAACTCCACCGCCATGTCTGGTGGAACGCGGCAAAGCGCGCATCCATGCTTTGGCGCAGCTGATCGTCTTTGCGCATGAGTTGGTTCATCGCCTCGTTGGTAGAATTGTGCGCAGATGGTGTGAGGAAGGTCGCTTGCAGAGTGCGGCGGGCCAAGTGGAAAGCCTGCTCTTCGTCGAGCGCAAACGTCTGCATCACGAGGCGGAACTCGTTCGACAACGGACTGTTGAACACGCCACTGTCGTCGGTCGAGATGCAGCACACCGTGCGCTCCTCTTGCTCTGCATGCGAATCGACGTGTGTGTAGTGGTCGCGGAAATGGTGTCGTTCCAGACTCGGCGTCGAGTTGGACAGCAAGTTGCTCGTCAAACACAGCTCGATAGGCACACCGGACTGCTTGAGCAGTGCAAGGTTGGGCGCGCTGACAAAGCAGCAGTGGCCAAATCGGTCCGGGTGGAAAGCGAGCATGGCCGCCATCTCGTCGTCGCGCCCGCGCACCTCGCCGGCATGCAGCGTGATCTTGAGCCCGTGCAGACGAGCCCGCTGCAGCGCAGGTTCGAATGCCGCCCATTCGCCTTTGGTCGGGTCGCCAGAGAGGTCCATGCCGACGACGCCGCGGGTCTGAAAGCGCAGCGCAAGGTCGACGATCGCCTCGGCGTCCGAGGCCGTGTGCTTCGCACGGTCGATCGAAAGGATCAGACGCAAACCCGCTTTATCACCCTCTTGTTTGGAGTCATATCGCGCAAAGCCTCGGAGTACGGCCTCGACATACTCATCCAAAGTACCGGCATTCTGTGCGGCCAACGAGGCAGGTAGAGCGCGGGGCGTGGTGCGGATCTCCGCATAGACCACACCGTCGTCGTCGAGGTCGAGGGCGAGTTCGTACGCCAGTCGCTCGATGTCTTCGAGTGTCGTGACGCACGCGTGGATCACGCGAAACACATCAAACGCCTCGCTGAGCGTCTGGGGCGTGGGCGAGTCCAGCATGGCTGCGGCCGCATCGATGCCCCTGGCGGCCGCGAGCTCGCAGAGCGTGCTCCGCCGGATCGAGCCGTTGAGATGCGCGTGCAGCTCAATCTTGGGCAGCCGATGCACAAACTCATCCCGCCGTGCGACCTTCCCTGTCGAAGCTACCGCCATCGCTGCCGGTTCGAGTCGCCCAGTGGATCGTGTGATGGAGGTACAAGGCTCGAGCCCACCCGCGATCACCCGAGTGACAAGCGAACTTGAAGCTGCGGTAACGATTTCTGGAACCGGATCCGATGCCGTCGCCCTTGCCACGCGGATCTTTACCACAAGCCTTTGCATCAGGATATACTCAAAGCGGTCGGCAGCACATCTCGAGCTAAGATCAACGCTCGTCCCACTCGCACAAGTCGACAGTCGGTGATGAAACGCCGAAAGACCCGAGATGCCGGTCGATCGGGCCATCATTGGAGCCCATTCCCGATCCCCTTGATCGGGCGTGTACCACGCCAATCGGTGTGAACTGTGACGGCATTCTTCGTTCAACGGAGAGGGCGGAGGTCGACGAGTGCGAGCAACAATCGCCGTCATTCGTCGAGTAAGGGTTCTGCCGAAACCGCTCGTCACGTTGCTCGGCGAGGCACGGCAAACGCACGTCGAACGTACGGCAAATCTTGTCGGAGATTTTCGGTTAGGGCCAGGAGCGAGCTTGCCCATGTGTGAGCTGCTGGTGACGTCGACGTTCATCTGCGAATGTTGACGATTGCGGCTCGTTGATTGGTGTAGCTCAAAGCACGCAAGTTTCGCAAACGACGTCCTACACCCTTGGCAAATTCGTCGGCGAGTTTTGCCGGGCCTCCTGCGAGTGCCGAGCCGTTTCGCCACATGGCTTCAGCCGTCATGCTCAAAGCTATGATCGTGCCAGAGGCATTCGGAGAGGTTGAGGTCATGTCACGGCGAGCAATGCCGTTCCCCTCAAAAGATCAAGGAGATGTCAGAGTCGATCGCTTCGTTCGCGCGAAGGGCCTTGCTGCGGATGCAGAGAAGCGGCCGGCGCAGTCTCGGTGGTTTCGGGCTGGGCTGTCCATTTTGCGAAAAGAATCCTTTTCTTGGCGTCTGAGCAGTGTCGCTGTCGGAGCTGCACGATTTGAGCTCTAAAGTCGCTCTTGAGTGGGACCCTGCGCCTGCGTTATCGCAGACGTTCCGCATCACCGCGACTGCGAGCGGGTCGGCTCCGCCCCCTCCTATTCTCCCCTTAGCCTTGTCGTTGGACCATTCGACTTTGGTGGACAGAGCTTGCTGGCTTGTATGACAACCTCCACAAGAATACAAGAGGACCAAGAGCGAGGGCGAGGCTTGTAGCGGGCCGTGCCGTTGCGCAAGATGGCAACTGGCCAAGAAGATCGCGCGCGAGCCGGCAGTCGGCTCTCTCGCACACGATCCTCTGAAAAAGACAAAAAAAGGGTCTCGAAAAATCGAACTGCTGCTCAGAGCAGGTGGGCGGCAACCGACTCTGACAGGGGACATGCGTGGGTGGCCCGACCGTAAGTTGACTTCAGGGTTCAGTAATCGGAGCTGCCGCCAGGTGCATGCATACACGCCAGCCGAGCAGTGACAGCGCCAGTGTGGGAGCCGGTTCGGTCAACCGTGACCCTGTCCCTGTCACTCACCCAACACCTCTAGCCGCATTGCCTCGGCTTCTTGTAGGTGGGAGGCTGCTTGAGGTGGGGCGAGGATTCAGAGACTTCGCATTCACAGCCCACCAACGAACGACAGCTCGCCAGCGTTGAGGGGCACCTGACAACGGCCCACGATAAGAAAAACAAGGCGGCTCGACCGCCGAAATGAAAATGGCATCACAGGCCTTTCGTGAGCGTTTGTTCCCTCGTACTCTTTTGGTCGCCTGTGTTGACTGGCATGCTTGCGGCTCCCACTGAATTAGATGGAGAAAGCGCGAGAGACCAAGAAGAAAGCTTGCGAAGAAAGACGGACGACCTACGCCCAACTCCGACGTGGGGGCGAGGGGCGGACTTCGACCAAAAGGCCGGTCGGGAGCAGCTCCACCGCAAGGCGGGTAGGCTTGGCATTTCCAAACTCTCACCAAAAAAACGCCTCGCCCGCCCGAGCCCACGCCGTCCGTGGTGCCAGGCCTGCCTGGCCTCATTCGAGATAGACTTGGCGTTCCCATCTCCCCCCACTTCACCGTCGGCCAAGCCGTCGCCCTTCTCATGGCATGCATCTACATCACCAAAGCGGGGCACCACGTTGTGCTTTGCAATCGACGCTTGAATGCACTCCAGTGTGTCGTGGGAGTGTGCGTGCTCGAGCGCAAAGTGGAGGAGTAGGCAGCGGCTGTGTGAGTCGGCTGACCGCATGACTGACAGCTCGAGCGCAACTAGCCGCACGGCGGGAGCCGATAGGCGAGCATCACGATTGGCACCTCCCGTGGCCAGAGTCGAGGGCCTCTCCCGCTCCCTCTATCCATGCCCGGCTGTCTTGCCTGAGGCTTTCATACTCCCTCGAGAAGAATAGCCGCTCCTCTGCCTGCTCAGACGAGCTAGGATGCCCTTCGTCTGGACCCTGGGCCGCCTTCCTCCTCCTGTGTCCTTGCCTCCTGCTCTGCCTCTGCCTCTGCCCATGCCCACGCCCCTGCTCTCTGTTCCCACCCACGGTTGATTCGGCTCGCCTGCGGCCAGCATCTTGCCTGTCTCTCACTCAAGCTTAACCTTGTTGGGCCGGCCCTCCGTGTGCTGTTCCTTGCCATCCCACCATCACCCCAGCCCCTTCCGACATCCTATCCTACGTAGGTCTGCGCGAAGCAGCTCTCGACGTCGTCGGCATTTCCGAAGCAAGCATCTGCCCTCACACGCTCTTCGCATCAAGTGAGCCCGTTCTTCCCACACGCCTCCTCAGCAGCCCGACAGCAATCAACGGCACGCAGCACAAAACCTCCACTGAAAAGATGGACAAGGGCAAGCAAAAGGCACGTGACCCCGAGCTGCCGGTGGACGCAGCTCCTCCTCAAACCGCTGCAGACCTTGACGTCCCAAGCAGCTCACGCATTCCTGAGGCTATGGACATCCCGAACAGGCCAGCCGCCTCTGGATCGCGTCATGGTGCCAACCATATGCGGGGCGAAAGTCCATCGGTCTTTAAGGATACGGCTGGCAGTCCAAGTCGTCGCCCGACTCATACTAGAGCCATGTCATCGCTCGGCTCTGCCAACATGTTTGACTTCTTCGGCCCCAGTTCCATCGCCTCGGACGCTACAGCTGCCACCAGCTTCCAGTTTGGCTCTCCCGGTGCGAGCCCCAAGCCAGTCTCAACGCTCGAGGCGGCCTCCCCGCACATTGCGTCGCAGCAGCGCGACTCGCTCGAAGACACTGTGGAGACCCGACCTGCTCAACGAAGCGCACTACAGCCGGCCTCCGCAGATGCGCTGGAGCATGCGGCTGCTTCCGAAGAGGAACGCCAAGGGCCGCAGGAGCCCGCACTCGGAGCTCCGGGTGCCCCCATGCTTCCGCTCTACCCAGACGAGACTCTGCCAGACTACGAGGAAGCTCCGGAGTACACTCCACCCCTCTCTCAGCCCTCGAGCAGCAGCAACCGCTCCAAGACGTCGGCATTTCGAACAGCCGCTGCAAATCGGTTCCTCTCCAGCCGCATTGCCAAGAAGCTCAACTTACCTCCGGCTCTCCAAAGCCGACTTCAAGGCACTCAGACACCGGATGCCCACTCCTCATCGCAGCATTATCCTCCATTCTCATCAGCCGCCCGCTTCGACAACAGGGCGCCTTTCGCGAGAAGCGACAGTGCACCGAACCTTGCTCGCATTGGACATGCAAGCTCTCGCACGCCCATCGAAGTGCGTAGCTATGCAGCAACGTCTTACATGGACGGGGCCAGAATGGGTCCAGCTCCGCGTCGACCCAGACTCGCATCGTCACGCCCTGCGACTGCCCACACCAGCCCAAGTCGATCTGAAACCCCCGACGCGAACCCTGCCAGACCCGCTACGAGCGCAGGCACCGTGCCTACTCGAAGGCAGCCTACCGCATCGCCCCTTCTGCGGACTGCAGTGTCCTCTGCGGTGCCATCCCGCAGAAACAGCGGCGAAGCGCGGCCGTCGAGTCGAGCCACAGTAAGCTCGGCTCCCAACGGTGGACTCTTTACATGCGGATACTCTGCTACTCGCAGCGGGGCCACAACGCCCACTCGGCCCGGCTCCTCACGCAAGGCTCGAAGTCGCAAAGTCAGCCTGCGCAGCCTGGGCGACCTCTTTTCTGTCAATCGCGAGCGAGACCTTCCAACGGCCGCATCAGATCTGCATGGAGAGCGAGAGCGAACTCGAGAGGATGTGCCATCGACGACGCTCTTGCGAGAAGTGGTCTCGCCAGTCTCTTCCGAGACTCTCATTTCTGCTCGAGTCCATTCAAGCTCGCTGGTGCGCCCAACCTTGATGGCGACGACCCGTAGCAGCGCCCAGGCCAGCATCGACGCGGCCGAGTCTGGAAGCCCGGTCCTCATCTTGCCACATCAGAGCAGACCAGACGCACTGCAAAAGCTCCCCCGCGAGGTCGTCCTTACCATCTTCAAAAGCCTTGTGGATCTCCACGTCGAGGAGCACAAGAATGCGATGCAGAGCGGGCTTTGGCGAGGCAAGCAGACGAGTGAGACACGTTGGGTTGGTGCAGAGGCCGCTGTCCGGGAGCTCGCCCGCCTCAGCCGCGTGTCTCGGTCGTGGCAAAGTTATGTTCTGGACGGCCAGCTCTGGCAGAGTCTGGCCTTTTCGAACTATCCAGACATGGCGGAGGAAGCTATGATCAGCATCGCCAACGCTGTAGGGCCCTTCGTCCGGCGTCTCGACTTGCACGGGCTGGCAGGACTCCGCTCGAGCGTGCTTCTGGCGCTATCCAAGGCACAACGTGCTCGATCCTCGACCGGCAGCGAGCTCGAGCTCGGCGTTTCATCTTCCGAGATGTCAGCCAAAACTTGCCAGCTCGAGGAGCTGGACCTGGAAGGGTGTCGACAAATCTCAACCAGTGCGCTCAACATCGTCCTTTCACGTTCGCCGCGGCTGAAGATTTGCAGGCTGGCGAATCTGCCTTGCGTCGACAACACGACATTGTGCACGTTGGCGGCGTGCGCACCCAAGCTGGAAGTGCTCGACGTCAGCCGTTGTGCAAATGTGGACGGGGAGGGCATCCGAGCCTTCTCTGCCATCCAGGAAAGCGAGCTGAATAACTCTGCTCTGCTCAAGGAGCGCAATGTCGGGTCTAAGTTCCGCGAGCTGCATGCCGCTGGCGTGGCCGGCTTTGACAGCGCGACCTTGGCTCAGCTCGGCCGGCACTGGCCCAACCTTGAAGTGCTGGATGTCAGCTATTGCAGCGATGTCAATGACGCTGCCGTTGCCGCCCTTGTCAGCTCCGAGGGTGACCTGGTGAGCGAGAAGGGCAACTTTGCCACTCTCACGCCACGCCAGGCTGGGAGCCAAGGAGACGACGAGGTTGCTCGTAGGACCTTCCCGTACCTGAGACGGCTCAATTTGTCGTCCTGCCGCGCCTTGACTGACCGAGCTTGCGTCTCGCTCTCGCACGCGGTCCCCAGGCTGGAGGTGCTAGAGCTTTCCAATATCGGACCGGCTCTCAAGGATGCCGGCCTAGTCAAGCTCCTGGCCACGGTGCCGCAGCTACAGAAGCTTGACTTGGAGAGGGCCACTCAGATTACGGATGCGGTGCTGTCCGCTCTGACGCCTCCGGAATCTCACGCCGAGGCTTTCGGTTTGGCTGTACCCGATCGAGACACCTTGATGAACGGCGTAAGGCCACGCGGCTCACTGCTGCACCTGGCGCGCCGATCTGCAAGCCGTCGCAGGCAAGCCAACTTGTCGTCCGCGGAAACGCAAGATGATTCGCCCCCTGGCTATAGCGAAGAGGCTGTGGCGGCACTGATCCCGGCAACGGGAATGCGTCTGACGCATCTCATCCTGTCATCGGCCAACCGGCTCACGCCCGAGGCGCTGCTGCTCCTCGTCAGCCGATGTCCATTCCTGGTGCATCTCGAAGTCGACGACACGCATGCCGACAACGAAGTGGCGATGCAGTTTGTACAGCTTGCGCGCTACCGCAAGGTGCAGAATGCTTACCTTTGCCTGGTCGATTGCAGGTCTTTCTCTCGCGATACATATTCGCACCTGAACAGCGCAGATGGAGCTGATGGAGGCGTCCGACCGCGCCGAGGCTCTCGCGGCTATCCCTTCAGGCACTTTTGCTACGACGACGCGGAACCTACCGGGGACTGTGCAGCAGCACACACGAGCTCTTCTGAGGCTTCCGCCGCAGCGGCCGCTACCTCGTCTCATCACCGAGAAAGCATCGCTGATCGCTCATCACGCGCTTCGCTGGACGGTCGCGAGCGTGACCGCGGATACGACGAATGCAACGTGGCCAAACCAGTCGTCAAGAGCTTCTGGGGATGGCAGCTCGTAGACGCAAGGATGAAGCAACGGCGAAGGGCGGATCAGCGCGCGGCGGCTCACCGGCGCCATGGCGGGCGCACCAAGATGGGCAGCGTCGTGGCGATGGCTCTGGGGCTGCCCGTGCCTGGACTGATCGGCACTGACGAGACAACCACTACGCGACATCCATCGCTGCTGATCGGAACTCTGAGCGGCGCCGGGCCGAGGTGGACTCGCATGCTGGCGACGCCCGAGCGAGGAAGCGATGACGAAGGTGCGGCTCATCCAATTCAGGACGACGATGACGACACGGATGACCCACGTGGGTGCACCGTCATGTGATGTGCTTGATGCATGCACCCACGGCATTCTCTCAGAAAGTATGAATGTCTCAACATCGTCGGGAGCGAGAAGCAGATGATGGAGTCAGATGGCAATGCACAGGAAATTTCGGAGCATTTTGTTAGACTCTGGCCGAAGTCGAGTGCTCTCTGAGCTCAAGCCCCAGCGAAGTGGAGGCTGATGTCGTGTGTAAAACTCGGCCGCGGGGAAAGGGCCAAGCGGCTCACTTCGTAGCGTGTGGCCCGAGCGAGCACTAGCAGACACGCTGAAGTGCCTGCTAAGTGCTTTCCGGCTCGAAGCTCCTCGTCTTCTCATCACCACAACCACGCGGCTCATGATTCGTGTTGGCCGCTTGCTCACCACGCGCTTCTCCACCACCTCTACCGTATCTTGCTCTCCGCTACGAGCTGGATTTGCCACGTCCGCCATCATCAAGATGAAGGTCCATCCGGTTCCTGTTCGTGACGACAACTACGCGTACATTGTGCAGTCCTCCGTGGACGGCAAAGCGGTCTTTGTCGACCCGTACGATGTTCCCACCGTCCACAAAGCAGCCTCGTCCCTTGGCATTTCGGATGACAACATCGTAGGCCTTCTCACGACGCACCACCACCACGACCACTCTGGCGGCAATGAGAAGTTCGCATCGACCTTCCCGAACCGTCCGATCTTTGGCGGCTCTAACCAGATCCCCGCGCTCACGAATCAGGTCAAAGACTCTCAGAAGCTCAACGACCTTCTGCAGGGTGTTGAGATCACGTGCCTTGCAACGCCGTGTCATACTCAGGACCACATCTGCTACCATCTCAGCGACGGCGGTGAGAATGGGGTGATGACGGGCGATACGCTATTCATCTCTGGTAGCGGAAGGTTCTTCGAAGGTCAACCCCACGAAATGCTTGCTGCGATGGATAAACTCTCCGCCCTCCCCGACAACACCATCGTCTACTGTGGCCACGAATACACAAAGGCCAACGTAGCATTCTCTGCTGCTGTTCTGGATAAGGACGACCTGAAAAAAGTCGTCGACCAACTCAAAGCTGATTCGAATGCTGTCACAACCGGCGTGTATTCGATTGCCGACGAGCGCAGACATAACCCCTTCATGCGATGCCGCGACCCCGCCGTCAAAACCAAGCTCACAAAGTACGCTGAGGGCAAAAACCTCGACGACCCTGCTACAGTCATGGGCCTCCTCCGCCAACTCAAGAACGACGGAACCCTCAAGGCTAACATTTGACATCCACACTGCACAGCCCAATGCACACTTTCCCATCAGATGCGTCAGGACGCTGTCATTCGTGAGTTGATGCGAGCGGCAAGGTGCGGATGCCCAGCAGACGGTAGAGTGTGAAGTTGCGACGCAGAAATAGCGGCGCATGCGTGCGCACCGGCGCAGCGCGCACCTCGTCCAGCGGCAGCATAGCAACCCCATCGTTCGACTCCATCTTTACCTCCGCAACCATCTCCGTGGCATCGTCGTGTTCGAGCTTGACGCGCGCCGTGCTCGAGCCGGCTGTGCTGCGGGTGCGTGCCCAGTGGCTCCACAGCCTGCGTGCGTCGAGCGAAGCCGGTCGCAGCGCACGGTGCAGATGGCGCTCGAGCTTGGCCGCACGCAGCTTGCGGTTAAGGTACGTGGTGCGGTGCGCGTGTGGCGCCGTGCGCGCCTTGGTGGCCGTCGAGGCGAGGTATCGACGCAGGCGGCGGATGCAGATGCGCAGCACGGCGGTGCGCGTCGCTGCGTGCGCCTGCTTCCGCAGCCCAACGTATTCGCGTCGGCGGTGGCGCGGAAACAGCCCGGCCTGATCCGCCTGCGATGTACAGCTGAGCGCATCGTCCGCGTCCGCCGCCACACCGTGCCCGCCCGGCTCGCCACCAAGCGTGTGCAGCCGCGCAGCGATCGAGTTGCTCCATCGTGCCCAGGCGCGTGTGTCGAGTGCGGCCGCGGGCTTGCTGTCGCCAGCCGAGTGCGCCACCGCCAGCTGCGCCAGCCACACCAGCCGCCGCGACGCGTGGATAAAGAGCGTGTGCGTCTCGCGGTTCTGCGGCACACCCGCGTGCTCGCGCAGCGGCAGGCAGCCGTCGAACTTGGCCGGCACGGCGGTAGCCTTCGGCGGCGCCGGGCTATGTGAGCGAGACTCTGGTTCAGCTGGGGTAAGCACCGTGCCCGGCTGAAGACTAGCCTTTGTGCGGCCAGGTGGCCGGCCGCGCCGTTTGGGAATCGGCATGCCGCTGTCATCCAGCTCGGTCTTCAGCGTCTTGTTCTTGACAGCGGCAGTCTTGGCGGGTAGACGCGGGGTGCTGCGCAGCTGCTCACTTGCGTGTGACTGGAGCAGGGGAGGTCGAGGCGCCGCGACGGGACCAGGGGGCTTGGAAGCGCTTGCTCGTGGTGGTTGGGTTGGACCCGGTGCGACCGCAGCTGACCAGCTCTCCGACGACGGCGGCATCATGCCAGCCGGGATCGGCTGTGGATGAGACGCAAAGAACTGCGGCTGTGAGAAGGTGACTGAGGCGCTGAAGCCGGGATAGGCGATGGCGGAGACTGGGCCGGGGGGCATCATGGGCTGCGTCCATGCCACCGTCGGGTTGGGCAGCGCCGTGACGCCGGGTGCGACGACGGGAGTCGACACATGGAACGGTGCATGGCTCTGGGTATAGGGATAGTACGCCATGCTTGCTGGCGGCGCATATGCGCCATAGGGTGTGGATGCGGTGGTCGGTATCGATGCAGGGACGTGAGGGACGGCGTGGCGGTGTTGTTCGGTGGTGTATGGTCGTGCGCGGCCCTTGCCTTTCGCTGCGGCTGACGCAGAGGGTTGTGCAGCATGTTCCGACCGAGAGGCGGAAGATGCCGCGTGCTCGCGCTTCGCTGGATGAGAATGCACATGCGCTTGGTCCTTGGCTGGGAGAAGCGTTCGGCCGGCGGACGCTTTGCGTTGAGACGCGAGCGCCAGGACATGCTGCCTCGCGTGGCCCGAAGGTCGTGCAGCTCCCCTTACCTCCTTGGATAGGTGGGATCGAGATGGCTGTTGAGACGGCTGTGGCCGTGCATCGCGCTTGATTGATGAGGTGCTCGGACCCTGCTGCTCTGCCACTGACGAAGAAGAGGTCGAGAAGAGGCGCTGGTACGCCTGCTCGAACTCGAGATCGACGTCTCTCCGGCTCATCGCGGTACGTTCGAGGGTGCGCTGTTGGAGGTATCGTGCGTCATGCCGACTCGAGCCCGCTATTGAGCGATACCGTGCATTCTCAGTTCAGTCCCATGGACGTCGGATGGTAGTAAGCAGCGGGTGCTGGAGGTCGTGGCTCAGCTAGGATGTATGCAAAGAAGCTCAGGGTCCACCGCTCCTCCTTTCGCAGCCTTGGTGAGGGCATGCATGGTTCCGCCTGTAAAATCACACTTTCGCAAAATCACATCTCGCCCAGGCAGCGACGCGACCTTCTCGGCGAGCCCGATTGTCTCGTTCCTGGTGACTTCTGTAGGCGCGACGCGTACCCGCCGCCTCGCTCTTCCCATCGCACCTCACATCCTCGTCTGTTCACACGTTCTAATCTCACTACTCAACATCCCAAAGTCAAGACAAACAAGCGCAATTTGGAGGCATGATAGTGTTATGAGAAATTGCTGCGGACTCTTTGCGAGCCTTCTGATGCTGCGATATGGTGTGGTGATTCTTTTTTGGAGAAACAGGTGGGGGTGGAGAAGGGAGACAAGACAGGCCAACGGCAGCCGTGCTGTGGACGTCAAACATGAATTGCAGGGGGAGGAATGAGATGCGGAGACGAGCCTCGTCTTTCGACGAGATACTTCGTCCTTGGTCGTCGGTATGGGCGTACCAATCGACCTTTTCGATCGTGGATCACCCATCCGATGATGCAGGACAGGAGAGGCAAAAGGGGAAAAGGGGGAGAAGATACTGATGAAAGAATGTCGGAGCTCCACGGATCAACAAGCCGCTCGACACCTTGCACCAGCAGATGGGGAGAATCGTGCAGCTAGCCCGCGAATCTTTGGCACCGCTTGAAGAAAAAGTACAAGAGGGAACCCGAAATGGTAGCGGCCGCACAAAGAGACGCGCGCAGCTGTTGTGCCCACTCGCCTGCGGCAGCCACCCTCGAGCCTGGACCCGAGAGCATGGCGACTGCCGACGACGCATGCGCACGACGAACCAACAACCGCTTTAACGGTTGGAGCGGGCAACACGCTCCATCTCGTCACGCTTCTTGATGGCGTACGAGTTGGACGAACCCTTGGCGGCGTTGATCAGCTCGTCGGCGAGGCACTCGGCGATCGACTTGACGTTGCGGAAGGCCGACTCGCGGGTACCGGTGGTGAGCAGGGTGATGGCGGTGTTGACACGGCGGAGAGGCGACACGTCGACGGCCTGGCGACGGACGGTACCAGCCGAGCCGATACGGGTCGAGTCCTCACGGGGACCAGTGTTGATGATGGCGTCGACGAGGATCTGGATGGGGTTGGCGTCGGTGAGCAGGTTGATGATCTCAAAGGCGTGGGCGACGATGCGGACGGCCATGAGCTTCTTGCCGTTGTTGCGGCCGTGCATCATGAGCGAGTTGACCAGGCGCTCGACGATGGGGGTCTGGGCCTTCTTGAAGGCCTTCTTCTGGTAGCGGCCAGCGGTGTGGGGGGTGTAGACGGCATTGCGGAGGGCAATGTAGTCGGTCAGGGAGATGTCCTTGACCTCGACCTCCTGGGGGCTGTAGTGTGGAAAATGCAGCGAATGCGGGAGCGAGGGTCAGTATTTTGTATCCAAGACGGCTTCGAACCGAGATGCAGCAGAAAGACGAGAGTGCGCTGGATTCCACGTTTCGACATCCTGATCCACACTCCGAGTTGCTGCGGGTGGGATGACTTCCTCCGTTGGCGTCCATCATGTCTGGCGAGCTGATTGTTTGTCCCGCTCTGCATCCGCGAATCCTGATCGCCTCTGATCCACCCGTCTCGGTGCAATCGCGAGACATGCCCTGGCATTCCACCGCCTTCTGACTTCCATCCGGTGTGCTGCTGCGTCTTTCTGCGTTGTGCGATATGCTGGTGATGGTACTTACTCCCACTTGCCGAAGAGGCGAACACCACCAACCTGGGGGGCGGCGACGGCAGCGACGTCCTCTGTAAGATGCGATGACGGGTTCATCAGGAAAAGGTAAAGTCAGTATTACGGTTCCTTGCGTAAGGTTGAGAGATGTTGGACGGCGATGGCAGCTTCCTTTCGGCAGTAGGCGAGACGTCGGTTCAAAGTCACGAGAGAGCATGCTGTTGGCGAGCGTTGATAGTCGAGAGCAAGTCGAGTCGAGGATTGGACATCATCATCGAAGCGACTATGAATGTGCACATCCACACCGTTGCAGAGTAGTGCATTGCCTGCACGAAGACGACTTCGTCGATGGCATCGAGCCCACCACCGTCCACAAAGAGGTCTGGCGTACAAAGTGCTGTCCTCTTCCATGCCTGGTCCTCCTGATCTAGGCATGCGTTGCCGGAATTGCTATGCCGAGTGCCATGCTGATCCCATCCATCGAGCTGTGCACGTCGCGATGTCGCCCGTGCTTGCCCTGTTCTCCGCCCAATCACTGCTGCTGTATGCCATGCTGCTGATGTGTGCTCTTCGATGTCTCTCGTGTCGTCGTCGTGTCGATGCCGATTGCCGGAAGAAAGCTGCGCGTCGCTGTATCGTCCAGGCTCGTCGTCGAGCCCCAGCGAAACTCACTAGGAATTCCGACCTTGGCAGCCATGTTGGGCGATATGTGTGTCGATATGTCTTTTGTCCACGAACGGGAACAAAAAGTCAAGAAGGGTGATGAGGGTCTTGAAGAGGTGGTTGGTGGGAGTGCAGCAATCGTCATCTCCAAGACGCTTCCTAGCAACTGCCACCGCTCTCGCGCCTTGGGCCGCGCGCCAACTGGCCACCCGCACGCTGTGTGCGGCTCCGCATGGACTGCCTCTCGCCAACCGGACCTCGGAAGCTGCCTCTCGCGGGAGCTTCCCCTGGCCTCTCTCCCTCGACCCCAGCCTGGCTTGGCTGCTCAATCTAAGCGCTGCCTTCTCGCCGTTGCCTGGCGGCCAATCTCAAGCTTGAGGGAGCAGCTTGCGTCCGATTTCAATCTCGAGAGCAGTCCTCTCGTCAGACGCTGCAGATGCGCCTACGATTTCAAATTTCTGCACGAGGTCGAATCGAACTAACCTGTCGCCTGTGGATCGAATTCAATTCGACTTCTGGGCTCCACTTTTTGGCTCAGTCATATCACGTGCTGCCTGCAGAAGCTCGGCCGAGCTTTGACCCTGGGCGAAAACCCGTCGAAATCGATCGGATCTTTAGAGCCTCGCCGATGGCCCCCGATCCGAATCGCCTTCACAACTCGGCCGCCACGTGTGACGCAGGCTGCAGCTCCGTGCGTCTCATCGAACTGATGCCAGGCGCTTATCGACGGTTCCTGATGACCGCTCCCACCATCCTCGCTGGTAACACCCGCTCAATGATCACACCGCAGTCATTGCTCGAAGACATATGGTATACAGCCGAGTGCTTCCAGAGATTCAAATAATTGTACATGCCAAATGACAGCGATCGGCGTGGCTTGGCCCGCAAGTGAAGAGTGGTGAAAGGGGAGGGGGACGAGCCGAGATGCAGCTCGTACTTCATAAATACAAGGGACGGGTGACTTTGAACCTCGCAGCGCGTTGAGGCCATGCGGTGAAGCTTGTGTCGTGTGCTTCGATCGGCCCATCATCGAGGCTGAGAGTGCGACAATCTCAGACACCGCCCCTGGCCTGCTTCTTGGGCGGCTTTTCGGCAGCAGTGCTCGCCTCCGACTTGGCTTCGGCCGGCGGTGGCGCCTTGAAGGTGGCCGTCGACTTGACCGCATCCAGATCCGCCAGGTTGAGCACCGTCAGCTTTCGGTCCGCCTGGGAGATCGCAAGTTGGTGACGCTTGGCCAGCCTCAGCGGCTGGTCGGCCGCACCCTCCTCCTTCTCTCCTTCCTCCTGCTTGGTCTCGACCGTGTCGTGCAGATCCTTCCATGCAATGTCAAAGATAGCGCCGCCACCCACATATTGCTGAACCAGAGCGCCGTTGTCAACGCGCGAGATGACCACCTTCTTGTCGATGCCTCCTGTAGCCAGGTAACGTGCGCACGGACTGAAGCGCAGCGTGTATACGTTGTCTTCGTGCGCATCGATCACGCGCAGGCACTCGCCAGTGTCGGCGTTCCAAAGTCTGGCTGTCCAGTCAAACGAACTGGTGGCAAGCATGCGTGGCTGGTCCGGGTTTGCCGAGCCAGGGCCAGTGGGGCACCAGGCAAGCGCATAGAGCTCCTTAGTGTGGCCGGACAGCGTGAGCCGCAGACCCTTGTTGGGACCTTTTGCGGTGGTGGCGATGAGGGCGGAAGAAGTCGTGTGGTTGGCGGCCGAGCCCGCGTGACCGTTGCTACCCGGTGCTGGCGACGAAGCTTCCTTGTTGGATGCAGCAGGCGCGGCCCCGGAAGCAGCGTTACCGCTGGCGGTCCCCGGCGTTGCACGGTCCTTCTCTCGGTCACGATCACCGGAGCCATCTTCGTTGGGGCGCGGTGTAGGCTCTTCGTCCACATCCATGCCGTCCAGGTGCGCGCTGCCGCCCCGGCGCTGCGAAGCTCGCTTGCGCAAATTGTCTCCACCAGCGCTCACGGTCGAAGCGGCGCCACCTGCATTGGTGCCGATGTCGAGCGCCCAGATCTTGGCGGTCATGTCGTCCGAAACCGAGGCAAGCAGCGTCTGCGAAGGGTCAAAGCGAATCGCGTTGACCTCGTCGGTGTGGCCCTTGAACGTCTTGACCGGCTTGGGCTCGCCGAGCTTGCACAACGTGATGCTGTTGTCCGCCGAGCAGGACGCAAAGTAGGTGTCGGCTACCGACGGGCTCAGTCCGTGCGGCATGGGAGGCGGCACATCCGACGACGTCTTGGGCTTGAGCGAGCCATCTGCCGTGGACAGCCACTCGACGTCCAGGACGCTGTCACTGTGCAAGGGGAAGGTGTGTCGAGGCTTGCCGCTGTTCAGATCCCAGACGATGATGGTACCGTCGGCGCTGCCCGTGAGCAACATGTTGCCTTTGCGATTCCAGCGCACGCTGATCACAGGTCCCTGGTGCATGGACATGACGAGATGCAGGTCGCCCTGGGGCGTCCACAGGCGCACGATGCCGTCGTACGAGCCCGACGCGAGGAGAGTGCCGTCTGGGTTCCAGTCGAGCGTCGAGATGTCCTTGCTCTGGGTTGCGGGCAAGTGTTTGCAGATGGTGGGTGCTTCCGGCGATTCTCCGGCCTGTTCTGGCACCTCCCAGATGCGAACGGTCGCGTCACCGCCTCCGGACGCCAGCATGTTGGGTACAGTCGGGTTCCAGGCAGAGATGAAGACTTCGCCGGTATGCCCTGACAGTGTGGTGATCTGTGCATCTTCGACAAAATTGTCTCCCTTGGGCTGCGGTATCGGTGCTTTGGGGTCCTTGCTGCGCGACGAACCTTCCTTGTCGGTGCGCTTTTTGCTTCCTTCGCCGTTTTCGCCTGCTGCTGACTTTCCGCCCTTCTTCTTCTTCCCGCTGCTGGCCTCCCTGTCCTTGCTGCGTTGCTCTTGCACCGCCGCCTTCTTCTCTGCGACAGGCGATGCGGACCGCGACGATGCGTCGCCGTTTCGTCGATCCTTGTGTGACGATGCGTGCTCACCATCAACACGCAAGGCGTCCGAGTCCTGCTTGGCGCTCGCCTCGCTGGTCCGGAGGCGCTTGTCCTCGCGGTCGGCTTCGGAGCTGACGGATGCGGAAGCCTTGCGCTTGGCATCCTTGGGTTTCAAGGCGGACGATGCATTGTCTTCCTCGGCGACATCCTCGATCTTCTTCTTGGAAGAGGAGGCGACTCTAGACGAGCGGTCCGAGTCGTCCGCACTGCGTATCGAGGACGTCGTGGATGCCTTGGCGAGATGCACGCCGTTGGCGGTGGCCGCAGGCGCTGGCGTCTGCGTTGCCGCTTCCTTGTGGTCGGAGCGAGGCTGAAGGGCTGCGAACGGATCCGGTTCGGGCGAGAGGCGTGTGGCGGGTGCTGGGGGAGGCGTTGGACGAGGATTGCCGTCGCACACGTGTGGTGGCCCAATGAGATGGAAGGCTGCCGAGCAAGGCTTCTCGGAGCCATCGTCGGCGACGTGCGCCTCTACGGAAGCATAGAGGAGACCCTTTTGGAGGAAGCGCACGAGCTGACCAGGTTCTACGATGGCCTCCTTGGAGAGTGGAGTGTCGTCGAGACGCGACTCGTGCCGCAACGAGAAGGAAGCATGGTGGAAGCCGGACTCTTTGAGATAGTGGTAGACGAGCAGATTCACCTCTTCCGAGGTGCAGAGAGGGGCCATGCTGGAGTGGACACCCTACAAGCGCGAGACTGTGCTAATCGCGAACGGGCCAACGGCCAACGGCCCTCGTGGATAATGGGTATTGAGCTGGCCAGAGATGGGCTAATTTTTGGCGAAGCGATGTAGTCGTGTGGACCGTCTTTTCGCTCGACAAGTGCCTGTGCTGCTAGGCGCACGGATGCTGGTGCAAGGGTTCGCGGATGGTGAAGTTTGCGCGAATGTGTAGAGGGTCTATCGCTGGTCGAACCGAAGATCGTGCTGAGCTCAGTCTGATGCGTCGCGTCGCGAGCAGGAGATGCTGCGAACGAAAGATGATGCTGCGTGTGAAGGAATTGAGTACGGCGTGTGCAGCGGATGCATCGGCACGCACTTGTGTACGGCGAGATCTTCAACGGATTGATGCGAAGCTGCCGGAGTCGAGACTGCGTCGAAGCTGCCGGAACCGCTACACTCGTCGACGGACCAGACTTGGCGATCAAGTTCGTCTCGTGGAGGTGGCTAAGGCGAGTCAGATGTGTGCCAGATTCGCGAGCACAGCGTCGGAGATCGAGAGAGGATGGACGACAGCCGACGTGGGTGGTGTTTCGGTGACCGCCTGGATGGATGGATGGATCTCGCAAGGCACAAATACAGCGCAACTGGGCGGATGGATGGCGGAGACGGCTATCGCGATGATGCAAGCAGGCGATGACGGCCACTGAATGCGACGACGAGAGCGCGGGGGTGTAAGATGTAGAGCAGGATAGTAGCTGACGAAGCTATGCGACTGTCAAGTGGGAAAGGATGGAGGTTGCGAGATGGCAGCGATGGTGGACGTAGTAGTAGGAACCGGACACGGCACGACACGACCAGCGGAAACGACGGGAGCGTAGTGGGCGTGTGAGACGAATGGTGTTGAAGGCAGCACCGATAGCGAGGGCGCGACGTGGCGCGGGTGGATGGATGAAGTGAATGTGCGGTCGGAACGGCGGATGGAGGGTGGATGGAAGGGAGGATGGCGATGAAGGTGAAATGGGATGCCCCAAAGGCGCTGCTGGGCGAAAGGGAGAGAGAGAGGCTGCGATGGCCTCTTGAAACCTCGAATCGCCAGGCCCACCTTTGCTCGCTTTGCTTGCTTGCTTGCTAGCTACGCTCTGGCAGTCGCTGAAGCTGCTGGCGACCGGTCCAGACATGAGGCAGCAGACACCAGCAGACTGCAGACAGCAGCAGCACACGGCCGACCAAATTCGGCGCCGCCAATCCTGGCTGGCTGGCTCTCTCTCTGGCTGGCTGGCTCTCGCGGACGAGCCGACGCGGTCGGCCCAGCCAAAAATGGCCTCTGGCTCAGTCCCAAACGCGCCCGCGAGTCGTCCGCCGCGAGTCGCCCGCCGCGGTGGGGCCTCGCTTGAGTCACTCGTGAGCTGCGCGCGATATTCAACTCATTTTGGCCCGACACTGGCCCAGTGCCTCGACCGCACATCGAGATCAATTCCGTTTATTCTTTTTAATCCTTTTCTGATCTCAGCGGCACGACGAGGCTGCAGTGCAGCATCGGGCGGCGATTCCGCGTCGAGGCCGCATCGAGGCAGACATCCGCTTCAGAGCGTTCGGTCTCACACGGCTCGGGGCAGAAGGCCGTGATCGAGGTGTCCAGAATTGCAGCCAGCTCTGACATGAATCCATTGCCTTTGCTACCGTATAGACCGTCGTGTATGATACAGAGCGAGCAAGATACTTGAGGCTTACTTCACTCGCGCGTCTTCTGCTTCTTGTCCTTCTGCTGCGACTTGCTGCCGTTGGTGCGCTTGTCTCCGGCCTGAGTTTCGTCATCGCTACCTTCGGCTTCCTCCTCCTCCTCCTCGTCGTCTTCGCCAGCGTCGTCGGTGTACTCGGCATCATCTTCGTCCTCTTCGTCCTCCTCGTCGTCATCGTCATCGTCATCCTCCTCCTCATCATTGCTGTCCTTCTTCTGAGTCTTCTTTCCGTTCGCTTTCTTGGCTGCCTGCTGGGTCTTTGCCTGCTTCTTCTGATTGCCGTTGCTCTTCGATTTGGTGTCTTTGCTGGACTCCTCCTCTTCCTCCTCATCATCGTCATCGTCGTCCTGGCTGGCCTCATCATTGCCGTTGGACACCTTCTTGCGCTGCTGCTTGGCCTTGTCGGTGTTGGGCACGAATTGCTTGCCTTGCTTGCTCTGCTTCTGCTTCTTGTCGTCGGTCTCCTTCTTCTCCTTCTCCGACATGTTCTCCCACGCCTTCTTGGGCAAGTATCGCTTCTGCGTTCCGTCCGACTGCTTGGCATTGCCAGAGCCGTCTTTGGTCTGCCACTCTTCCTCGCCCCACTTGTCGAGGTTCTTCTGCGATTCGTCCTTGTTGCCGTCGTCAGTGTAGCCGCCTCCGCGCTTCTTGTACTCGGACGCCATGAACTGCGCCTTGCGTGCAGACCATTGGCCGGGCGCTCCACCTTTGTCCGACTGCTTGATCTCTTCCTTCACCTCCTCGCGAAGCTACGGCCGAGTGATGGATGGTCAGAAACGGATGCAAGTGAGCGTATGAGTGAGGAACTGCTTACCTTGGGATCGGTGTACTTGTCGCTGGACGGCATTGTTGCTGGGATCTATGAATGATGCGTTGATTCGGGGTCTTCGAAATTTGGGGAAAGGACTGCATCAACGCTCAGAGGCATGGGCTTATATGATGATGGAGCCCGGCTCAGATGACAGAAGCAGGTGACAGGAAGAGCGGTGAAAGGCGGGGACCGGTGCTGGAATGATCCACGACTCGCAGGCGTTAGATAAGATCTGATTCATGCTTCTCCGTCGAGGCCGCCTGCGTCCATCATTCTAGATTGTCCTCACGCCGACCAGCCAGCAGGCAAGCTTACGATCAATCGGCCACAGCAAGCGAAGCATGTGCGGTGTGTTTGTGTGGAGTCTGATTCATCTCTGAGACCCTGAAATGCCTTGTCTGACGCGCCGTCTCCACATCGTATTCCGGGACCCTCTTGCGTCACACTCTCCCCCTGCTCCACTTCGGCCCTTTGCTCGTACGAACCAAATCACTGACGCTGCCGTTCCCTTGCAAGGTCACATCACCGCAAGCGAACCCGGATCCGGACACCGATCCCCCGACCCAGCTCGCTGCCAACACACGATCGTCGATCCACTCGCCGATCCCGGACCGATCTACAGCATTCGCTTCCGACCTTCTGGCTCCTACTTTCCACGTCCATCTGCGCCGTCAAGTGCCATATCAGCGGTGCGACAGTCCGGCGTTTCGACAACGGTGACCTTGGTGAACGTGTAGATTTCTGCCACAAGCTAGAAGGGTGGGGAATCGCGATTTTGTACAGACGGAGAAGAAGTGAAGAGAAACGTCGAGGTTCCACCCTTGGGATCAGAGCAAGAGCGTAGGATCCGACGACAGGAACGAGTCGCTACCGACAGTCCAGCGATGCGGCTCGTAGTGCGGGAGTTTTGGGTGTTCAAGCTTAGAGCATGAAGCTGAGCGGGTTCTCGAGGGCGTCCTTGAAGGCCTTCATCCACTTGGCGGCGGTGGCGCCGTCGACAGTGCGGTGGTCTGCCGAGATGGTGGCCTGCATGACCATGGCCTTGCGGAAGCCCTGCTCGCTCTCGGCGTCGGGGATGAGGCGTGCCTCGGTGCCGCCAATGGCAAGGATGCAGCTCTGGGGCGGGTTGATGATGGCGGTGAAGTGGGTGATGCCAAACATGCCCATGTTGGAGATGGTGAACGAGCCGCCCTGGTACTCCTGCGGCGAGAGCTTGCCAGCGCGCGCCTTGGCAGCCAGCTGCTTGGTAGCCGCCGAGATGGTGGCGAGACCCGAGCCGCCGACGTCCTTGACGATGGGCGTGATGAGGCCGGTGGGAGTGGACACGGCGATCGAGATGTCGGCCTTGTTGTGCTGGCGGATAAAGTCGCCGTACCAGGCCGAGTTGACGTCGGGCACCTCCTTGAGCGCCACGGCGGCGGCCTTGGTGATAAAGTCGCCCACGCTGAGCTTGGCCGCCTTGGCCTTCTCGACGTCCTTGCCAGCCTTCTCGGCAGCCGCCTTGTTGAACACCTCGCGCAGCTTGAGCACCTTGTCCATCTCGACGTCGATGCTGACGTAGTAGTGGGGCACGGTCGACTTGGACTCGGTGAGGCGCGCAGCGATGGTGCGGCGCATGTTGGACACGGGCACGTCGGTGTAGTCGCCCTCGCCCGAGGCAGGGGCAGGAGCAGCGGCGGCGGCAGGCTTGGAAGCAGCGGCCGACGGTGCGGGCGCAGCAGCCGCCGCCTCGGGCTTGTAGTTCTCGACGTCAGCCTTGATGATGCGGCCGTCGGGGCCGGTGCCCTTGATCTTGTTGAGCGCGATGCCCTTGTCCTGTGCCAACCTGCGGGCGACGGGCGTAGCGAAGATGCGGTCGCCAGAGCTCTGCGAGCCGCTGAACGAGGAAGAGGACGAGGAAGAAGAGGAGGACGAGGAGGCGGCGGGGGCGGACTCCTGCTTGGGCTGCTCGGCAGGCTTGGACTCCTCCTTGGGCTCCTCCTTGGCAGCGGGCTTGGCGTCACCGCTCTCGGAAGCGGCCTTGGAGGCGAAGGCGTCGGCACCGGCGAGGTCGTCACCCTCCTCGGCCATGATGGCGATGAGCGAGTTGACCTGAACCGCCTTCGCGCCGTCGCCGACGAGAATCTTGGCGAGGACACCGTCGTCCTGGGCCTCGACGTCCATGGTGGCCTTGTCGGTCTCGATCTCGAGCAGAACGTCACCGGCGGAGAAGGCCTCACCGGGCTGCTTCTTCCAGGCGGCGATACCACCCTCGGTCATGGTGGGCGACATGGCGGGCATGTTGAACTTGGAGAACTCGAGCGCACGGCGCGACGAGTGGAAGGAGCGCTGCGAGAGCGTCGCCGAGGACGACGACGAGGCGGCGGCGACCGCCTTGGAGAGGCCGGATCGCTGAAGGGCTCGGAGTGCCTGCATCTTCGAATTCGTGCTGTGGCTGTGAGCGAGGACGCCGTCGACGAGAGTAGTTGAGGAAGAGGGTAGATGGAGCGGAGGTGATCGTGACAAGAGGAGAGGAGAGGATATGGGGAAGGGCCGACCAGGCGCGCGGATGCGAAAATCCAAACGAAGCGCACCGATTGACGGGATTGAGAGTGCACGGCTGCTGCTTTGCGCTGCGCTGACGAGGTTTTGGATGGTGAGCGTGGGCGGCCCAGACGAAGAAGTGCAAAAATCGTCGCGAGGCTGCAGCACAGCGTAGGGGTTCACTGCCGAGCCACTCAGAATGCGCCGCGCCGCCCTGGCTGGCAACACGCGAAGATTGCGTTGGGGAGACGCTGCTCCCGACCCTTTTTTTGTTTTTATTTTTCTTCTCTTGCGCTGTGCAGGTCCTGATCCTTTGATCAGGTGGCAGTCTGAAGTGGTCTTTCTGTCGGCTCATGCTGTTCTGAAGGATGTAGTGTTTCGATATGTGCTCTCATCCTCGACAACAAGGCCGAGGGGTGCAAAGTGGGACGCTGGTCATCGCCGCTTCTTTCCAGAGGCATGGAAAAGGCAGCATCGATCGGACACGGAAAGAGGCGGAAGCGAGACTCCGACCCTGGATTTCCTCTTTTTTTTTTGGCCGTTGATGTATCCGCCCAAAAAAATCAGAAAAGCCCACATGGCCGACACCGCTGCTGCCGTGGTCGAGCTTACTGAAGTTTCGGAGCTTTGCTTTCAAGATCTCTTTGAAGCCTTTGCTGCGTTGGCAACGCACCTCTCGCGAAGCACACAGGTCGGTGCTCGACCGACTGGGCAGCTTGCAATATGGTCGGCAGCTCCGAGTGCGATTTGGCCGCGGAAGAGCCGATTCGGCTGTCGGGCGCACGGTTCTATCGATAAGCTGGCAGAGCTGCACCTGGACGCTGCCCGGTCGGCGGTCGGTTGTGTAAGTTGCATGCACGTCCACCTCCGTCGGTCAAATTCGCGGCTGCAAACATCCTCCCACCGCGTCTGCTCCGCCGTCACGGCCTCTTCCCAACATTTCCGTCCAAGCCTCCCGCTCGCCGCCGCCGTGTTGTTAGGTTGATGGCCCACATAGAGGCAGCACCGTCATCGGCCCCACCTCCTCGGGCCTCGCATGCGGTTGGCGCTTGCAACAGCCTCGGTCGACCCTGCATCGATCCCGTCAATGCCGATCCGGCACAAGCGCCCGAGCAAGATGTGGAGTAGTGGGCGGTGCACGGATGTGAGTCCAAGCTTCCAGGTTTGGGGATTGACATGGGCTCGGACGTTTCCGATGGCTCCCTCCGCTGTTGCCTGACAAGCCTTCCCGTCAGAAGAACAGGGTCCGGCTTCATCCTCAATCGCCACCACGATCATCCTCCCGTCTCAGTATCCTCACGATGTCATGCTCTCCACCATCTCGACTTGGACCGCGGCCTCATGATCCACGCAGCAAAACAAGAACAGACATACACAGTCGATGCATTTCTAAGGTAAGACATTTTGCGACTTGGCTTCAGCACAGCCGACTAGCTTAGCTGGTGACCTTGTGGAGCGACTCGGCGAGGTGCTTGACGTTGTGGTTGGTGATGCCGGCGACCGAGATACGGCCGTCGCCCGTCAGGTAGACGTGGTGCTCGTTGACGAGCTTGGCGACCTGCTCTGGCGAGATGCCGAGGAAGGCAAACATGCCGATCTGATTGGTGATGTGGTCCCAGTTGAGCTTCGAGTTGAGGTCCTCGACGAGCAGGTTCTTGAGCGTGGAGCGCATGCCGTTGATGCGGTCCGCCATGCCCTTGACCTCGCCCAGCCACTGCTGGTACAGCTGCTGGTCAGCCAGGATGGTGCCTGCGATCTTGGCGCCGTGCATGGGCGGGTTCGAGTAGAGCGGGCGCACGATGATCTTGATCTGGCTGTCCACGCGCGCGCGCTCGTCGGGGTCGGCGCACACGACGCTGAACGCACCCACGCGCTCGCCGTAGAGACCCATGTTCTTGGCAAACGACTGCGAGAGCGCGATCTGGTGGCCCTCGCTGACAAAGTGGCGCACGGCAAAGGCGTCCTTGTCGGTGTCACCGCTGGCGAAGCCCTGGTAGGCCATGTCGAAGAAGGGGAAGTGGCCCTTCTCCTTGACGACGTTGCTGATCTCCTTCCACTGCTCAACGGTGGGGTCGACACCGGTGGGGTTGTGCGCGCACGCGTGCAGCAGCACGATCGAGCCGGCAGGCGCCGCCTTGATGTCGTCGATCATGCCCTTGAAGTCGAGACCGACGGTCTTCTTGTCGTAGTAGCGGTACTGCTTGACCTCGAGGCCGCTGTCGCGGAAGATGGGCGTGTGGTTGCCCCACGACGGCGTGGGCAGGTAGATCGACTTGGCCTCGGGGTAGTGGCGCTGCAGGAAGGCGCCGCCGATGCGGAGCGCACCGGTACCCGAGATGGACTGGGTGATGGCGATGCGGTTCTCCTTGACGGGTGCGCTGTCCTTGCCGTACGCGAGGATGGCGGCGTTCTTGGTGAAGTCGGCGAGACCGGTGATGGGCAGGTACTCCTTGTCGCCCTTGGAGGTGATGACGAGCTCCTCGGCCTGACGCACCGAAGGAAGCACGTATGGCTTGCCGTTCTCGTCACGGTAGGCGCCGACGCCGAGGTTGATCTTGCGAGGATCCTGGTCGCGCTTGAAGGCCTCGGTGACACCGAGAATGGCGTCGGGCGGGCCGGCCTTGACGTGCGCCCAGGTGCTCTTGTACTGGCGCACGGCGGGCAGCGAGACGAAGCCGAGGCGCGAAGCCTGCGACGCTCGCACGGCAGTTCGGATGGTGGCAGGAGCAAGCATGGTTCTCACACGCAATATCAAGTCGCGATGCAAAAGAAGGATAAGGATGAAAGGTTGAGGAGAAGGAGGAAGGGGAAAGGGTGTAAGGGAACGACCGAGATGAGCGGCTGAGACTAGCGCACGGCGCAGCGCAGCGTGAATGCGACCACGGCGAGCAGATCGCCGAGTCGCTGGAAGAATCGCGAGCTTCGGAGCCCCTCTGTGTCGAGCGCCCTCGACCCAGTCACACAAAATGACCCACAGTCTGTGAGTCTGGGGGAAGCGTGGCTCTGCAGTGCGCGCAGGCTGACTGGCTGGCCTTTGCGCGGGGAACCAGCCGAAAAAAGCAGGGCAGCCAGGCGCAGCGAGTGTGACTCTCCCGCAAGCGTCACTGGCGGGCCCTGCCGTGCTGCCGGAATCGGACCGCAACCACCGCCACCACGGCGCACGCTTCTGACTCAACTTCGTGAAAAATCGGAAATCTGCCGCTTTCGAGATCTCCCGACCGGGCACGGCTCCGCTACTTTCCGGCCTAACATTGTAAATTTGGCGGCGGCTCGGAAGTCGGCGCATATGAAGAAGATCCGCCTTTTGCCAGAGCCACAAGATTTGTCGAGGCGAGCTGGAGTGGAGAATTTCTGCACTTTTTTGGCGGGACAAGAGAGGCAACTTTCGAAGAACAACTTTACATCAACCTTTGCTGGTCAACCATACCTATATTCACCACGTACGAGCTCATCAGCAGCAGGGAACGCTGGTTGCGACGGCAGTAGCAACGAACCATGGTGGCTCGCTCCTGTGCGAAACGCGCCCATCAGCTGGCTGCGACGCTTCTTCACAAAGGGGTCGGTCCATCACGGCTGTCAACTGCTTCCACATGCCCCTGCCACCTTCACACCAGCAGCAGCCTTTCCTCAGGAGCTTCACGCATCGTCGCCACATCAACCTCTTCACAGTCGCTTCCGTCTCTACGAGCAACGCGCCGCTTCACCACCTCTGCCGCAGCCCAGGCCACGAATCGACCCAACAAGTCGAGTCGACCGCGCAGTGTAGAGCTTCTTACAGAGGATGTGTCGGATGTTGAGCCGACATTGGAGTATCTCGACTCGCTCAAGCCGCGGATACGATGGCCGCGCAAGGATCGGCGTCCATCGCGGAATGCGGTGAATCCGTTCGCCAAACCTTCGGCCGAGGTCAACCCGGAGGACAAGCTGTGGGAGCGCACGCAGGCACGCATCAATGCCTCCTTCACGCGCGACCAGCTCGCGCTGCTTGGGCGCGCGGCCAAGCTGCCCGGCAGCTACAGCGCCAAGGTGCGCAAGGACGATCTAGTGCGTCGCATCATGGTGCATCGTTTCGGCATGCTCGATGCCAAGGAACGCGCCGACCGCGAAAGGCAGGAGGAGCTGCAGAGGCGCTCGGTGCGCATCGGCTTCCGTCCCGCCGAGCTGTATCTTCTGCTCGCGAGGGGATCGGATAAGGTGCGTCAAGAAGCATCCAGAGCACACGTGACGATTCTGCTCCAGTCGGCAGCCGAGAACGACAGCGCCCAGGATCAGCTGGGCTTCTGGATCCGCGGCAAGGACGAAGGCATCGCACGCATGAGCAAGTGGATCGAGGATTTCAAGCACTCGATGCACACCAGGGAGGAGGAGCTCACGCTCTTTGCACCATCTGACGCACCTGCTGCCGATGCATCAGCCGCACAGGCCTTCCCGCCCGAGCTGGTGCGCTTCATCCTGCAGCTCTCGACGTGCTTTATCGAAGCGGGACCGCTGTCGGATGGAAAGGCGAAGCTGTCGCTGACGTACCTGCACGAGCGCGATGCACAGAAGGCGGTGCTGCTGCTGCGACAGTACCAGGATGCGGCGGCGGAGGCGACACAGCGCATCGGTGCGGTCGCGTACCGCGGCTCGGATGTCTCTGGACAGGAGTACGCCATGCTGCCATTCACGCCCAACGAGCCGACGTCATGGATCAAGCAGGCCGACGATGCGCTGTACGGCACCTCGTCCGACCTCTCGTTCCGCGTGACGCACGTACTCGAGCTCAATGCGCTCTCCATCTTCCCCGTCTCCAAGTTGTCCGACATGGCGCTATCGGGCTGGGCGACTCAGGGCGAGATGGACATGTCCGACCCCTTCGGTGCGCTGTACGAGGCAGCCTCGCTAGCCGCCAGCGAGGCGAGCGAAGGACGACAGGTCGAGTACAGTGCATCGCTCGGTCATCTGCTGTACAGCAGCGATGCGCTGACGCTGGCCGACGAGCAGGTGGGCGAGGACGAGCTGGTGGCCAAGCTGCAGGACCCGCTCATGGCGCCGCGTCCGGGCTCGTGGCCGCTCGAGAGCTTTTTGGAGTGGACGCGCGAGTTCCGCGCGCGCTTTGGCAAGGAGGCATCGCGCTTCGTGCCCGCCACGCTGTTCCGGTCGCAGAAGAACGTCTCGTTCGACATCTGGCTCGAACGACAGGGCTACACACTTGCGCCCGACGCTCCGCGCGTGGGATCCGAAAAGGTGGTGCTCGTCTACCGCCCGGCCGAGGCGGGCTATGCTGCACCGCTGAACAAGCTCGAGCTGACCCTCGCGAGGAAGCAGGATGCCGACGCGGGCGGCGCATGGCTGGTCGAGACGGCACAGTGGGTGGCGAGTGCACAGAGCGATGTGCTGGTGCCGGAACGATCGGCGGATCTGCGACTGGGAGCAAGGATTCTACACCCAGTCGACGAACACGCTCGCACGGGTGTCGAGCAGGCGCTGACGGGATACCTCAGCCCGCCTCGAGACCGCGCCGAGGAGACGGACACCAGAGCTGAGGCTGAAGCGCGTCCAGCAGCCGCAAGTCTCGCAACCGACACGGGGGCTTTGCCGCCATTGACGCTCCAGCTCGACGGTGCAGCATGGGCGCTCGAAAGTGCCACGCGACACACGATGCAGCAGTACCACTACCGCTCATCCAGCACCATGTCCGATGCATCTCCCGCGGCCGAAGACTCCGACACTGCTTCAAGCGCAGAAACGGACGCAGAGCAGGCTGGCGAAACCAAGCCCGAGCAAGCGGTGTCGCAGGTGCTGCTGCGCGAGATCTCGCAGGATCTAGTCACGTCCACCACGACCGAATCGCTGCGTCTGGTCTGGCGTCTGGCCTCGTCCACCCATGCACTGGCATGGCAAAGCGTCGTACAACCCATCTCAGCGCTGCTCGACCGTCACGACATGTCGATCCGCTAAACATGCAATGCTCATCTTTCACAAATCGCGCACGAAAGAACAGCCAGGGTGGTTGAATGTTTCTATTGCTGCAGGGGGTGTCAGGATTGATTTTGACGTTCGAGGTCCTGAAGGTGTTCGTTGGCACCTGCGCCATGTCCGACGCCGATGGTCGACTGGGCCTGCCACAGATCCCAGTACAGGCCCTGGGTTTGCATGAGCTGGTCGTGCGTGCCCACTTCGGCCACGCCGCCGCCCTGGAGCACCACAATGTAGTCCGAGTCGGAAATCGTGCGCAGCCTGTGTGCGACAAAGATGGCGGTGCGCTTCTGGGCGAGCAGCGTAGCATTGATGTTGCGCATGAGCTCGGTCTCGGTGTACGAATCGAGCGCCGAAGTTGCCTCGTCGAAGAAGAGGATGCTCGGGTTCTTGAGTAGCAGCCTTGCGACTGCAAGCCTCTGCTTTTCTCCGCCCGAAATCATGAGCCCGCGCTCGCCCACCTTGGTCGCATAACCCTCGGGCAGATTCTTGACGATCTGATCCACCTTGGCCGCCTTGGCTGCGCGCTCGACATCCTCGTCACTCGCGTCCAGCCGACCGTACCGGATGTTGTGGCGAATATCGTCGTTGAACAGCGGCGTATCCTGCGGCACTACGCCAATGTGCCTGCGCAGCGACTCGAGCGACACCTTGGTGATGTCCTGCCCGTCAATGTAGATCTTGCCCGACTGCGGCTCGTAGAACCTAAACAGCAACCTGAAGATCGTGCTCTTTCCGCATCCCGACGGACCCACAAACGCAGTCTTGAGCCCTGCAGGAACGGTGAACGAGATGTTGCTAAAGATCGGTCGGTCCGGATGGTATCCGAACGTGACGTTTTCGAATCTGATCTCGCCGCCCTTGACCTGGAGCGGCGGCGCATCCGCCTGCTCCTTGACGGCCACATTGACGTTTTCGAGGTTGAACATGGTCTCCATATCGATCAGACTCTGCCTGAGCTCGCGATAGACGGTGCCCAAAAAGTTGAGCGGGAGCGAGAGCTGGAAGACGAGCTGATTGACCATGACCAAGTCACCCACGGTCATGGTGCCCTGCGTCACGCCCTGCGCAGCCAGCAGCATCATGACGGTCAAGCTCGTGCTGAAGATGGCGTTCTGGCCCGAATTGAGCGCGGCCAGCGACGTGGCCACCTTGATGGACGACTTTTCGTAGTCGGCGAGCGCGGCGTCGTACTTTGCGATCTCGTGCTTCTCATTGTTGAAGTATTTGACCGCCTCGTAGTTGAGCAGACTGTCGACGGAGGTGGTGGCGGCGCGATTGTCGGCCGCATTGGCCTCCTTCCTGAAGCGCGTGCGCCAGCTCGTCGTGCGGATGGTGAACCAGGCATAGGCAGCCATGGTAACCGCGGTGACGGCGGCAAAGCTCGGTCCGCACTTGTACGAAAGGATACCGCACACCATCGAGATCTCGAGTGCGGTGGGCACGATGTGGAAGACGATGCTGGTGAGCAGGAACGAGATACCCTTGGTGCCGCGGTCGATGGCGCGCGTGAGACCGCCGGTCTGGCGCGTCAGATGCCAGCCGAGGTCGAGCGCGAGCAGGTGGGTGAAGACCGACTTTGCAACGCGGCGGATGGACCTCTGTGCGACGTTGGCAAACACGGCATTGCGCAGCTCCGAGAAGGCGGCGGCGCCGACACGTGCGAGGCCGTAGCCGAGAACCGCGCTGCCTGCGACGACCCAGACGGTGTTGGGGTTGGTCATGTCGAGAGGAGCATTGACGAAGTCGTTGAGGCGGTCGACGATGGCCTTGAAGAAGAAGGGCACCTGAACGTTGAGCAGCTTGCCGCCGACGAGGAGTGCGAGCGCGAGGACAACCCGCTGCTTTGTGCCAAAGTCGCCCTTGGGCCAGACGTACTGGATGAGCTTCTTGATGATGGCCCAGTCGACCATGCGCTGCTCCTTGACCGACTTGGCGCGGCCGGCGTTGAGGTTGAGCGGATCATCGCCGTCGGTTTCTTTCTTTTTTGGCGAAGCTGGAGGCTGAGCTGTGCCAGGCGCTGCTGTTGCTGTGGACGCTGCGACGTTGGCCGTGGAGCCGGTCGCTGCTTTGGTCGTCTGGGACGAGTTGGAAGGGTCGCTGGCCTCGCTGCCCGCTGCCATGTGACGATAGAACCTAAGCTGTGCTACATGCGACGCGTCATGACGACGGCCCAGGCCGGTGCACGGACGGATCGAGCTCGCCGAAGCGATCGAGGAGAAGGCGCGCGGCTGGATGAGCGCCGAAAGGTTGCGAGAGACAGAGGTGGACGGCAAGCGCATGTGCGCCGATGGAAGAGGGAGCCGCCGGATGGCGACCCTCATTATGAACGAAGCAGCCGAGCGAGGCGGGCCGAGGAGAAGGGCTGACGGACAAGCTTGTGGTAGGAAGCTTAGGCGGAGTGATGGAAGGGAGTGCGGGCGAGGATGAAGATCCCAAAGTGGAGCGAGCGCACGTCCGCCTTCCGGCGATTGGACGTGAGTGCGGCGGCCCAGCACGCAAGACGCGCTTCCGCGATTTCATCAGCCCGCGGTGAGCAGCGGCGCGCTGACATGTGGAGAAAGCGAGCCTTGGTCTTGAGAAGAAGGTCGAGCTAAAGCCGGCTCGAGCACGTCAGATTCGGCGCGGCGCTATCGGGCGGGTTTTGCGTGGGTACCTCAGAGGTCAGGAACGATTTTTTGCGCAGGATAGCATTTGTGCCGGTGTAACATGTCGAAATTCTGCAAAAAACCAAAATCGACGGCTGTCAAAGGTTCGGCGTTTTCTGCATCCAAAGTGACCGCGTTCGGTGGCTGAGTTTGGATAGCACGCACTGTGCAGTGCAGCATAGCATAGCACCGCACAGCAGAAGCACAGCACGGCACAACGCCGCACCGCGTGGATGGTCTCGGAGAGCGGGATCCTCTCTCCGGCCCGCCCGGATCGCCGCTGTCAAGGTTTCGCGCATGGCCAAGATACTGCACTGCAGCCCCCAAACTTGGTCGTGCATGTGCTCGCCATCTTGGCCGTGCAAGACCGTGCAAGGCGGTCTCCTGCCAAGCCACTCGGCAAACTTCACACAAGCTGGCCCTGAACGCCCTTGTTTTTTGTGTGCATTGCTTCCTCTGCCCCCCTGTATGCAGTGCGACCGTGTGGATCGCCTTTGCAGAACGCGCTATCTCGGCACCATCAATCAGTCATGGAAGCGCGGGAGTTTGGCTAGTATGACACCGCCAAGAGCCAAGATTTGGTCAACGGCTGCTGTATCTGCTTGGCTGCAGAATGCGTGCGTGACACATGGTCCGGAGCGCACCCTTCTGCTCTGCTGCCCGCTTCGACGTGGTCGACCGTAACAGCTGCCGCTAGCCGCACCAAGCACATGCCTGCACCCGAAGCCACCATGCGTCTCCGCTCCCGCGCAGATATCGGAGCTCCGCTGCACACAATGCCCTCCTCGAATGATCCACAGAACTTGCCGATCCCAGCTTCTTGGTTCGTTCGGTCCCATGTCCGGACTGGTAAGCACTCACCTCTCTCCGCTCCATCATCTGGCAAAACACGCGGCGGCGTCTGTCAAGCATCTTGCACCGTAACTGTATCGCTCGGCTTTGAGTGCCCTTCCGATCGACGTTGATCCCATTTAGGCCGGCTTGGCTCTCAGCTCCGCAATCGTCATACACTACTTTCTCCTTACGAGCCAGCGGCGTTCTTTCTCTCCACATCTTGCACCGCTAAACGTCCCTATCGCTCGCCCACCGCAAGCCGATAGCTCGGCCTTTCTCTCCTTCACACGTCCGCGTATTGCGAAACGGCAACACCCTTCGACAGCTCTGCCGCCGGCGTCGACCTTCACCAACACCGCTCCGTTGCTCTGAAAAACTCTCCACCGCAGCGTCCCGGCGCTATAAGTATCGCAGCTTGTACCGGCGGTGCGCCGCTTCGCATGCCGTCTTGAACCACCCTCGACAATCTCGCTGGGACCAGCGGTTTCGGACGACATGCGTTGCCTCGCCCAGCTGCTCCTCCTGCTGGTAGCAACAACCATCTCCTTGACCACAACCGCACACGCTTGGGACTGGCTTCCTGCCACCGACAACAATCGCACGCTCGATACCACTTTTGTCGTCAAGGCGGCGCCACCCTCGTCCTATACTGGCCCCATCCTCACAACGGCACAGCAGCAGGGCCTCAACGCAACCGACTTTTACTTGTACAACTACATCACCACCGGCTACAATGCCACCAAGATTCAGCGCGCCGTCATCATGCTTCACGGCCTTGGTCGCGATGCATGGTCCTACTTCGACCAGACCCACGTGGCCTTGCTCAATGCAACCTCGCGCAAGGAACGCACCACCCACCAATCGCGTCTGCGCGCCGACGAGGTCGTCATCATGGCTCCCATCTTCTTGAACCAGGACGACCCAGGGTGCTATCCGGTAGATGCCAACAAGCAGCCCAACTCGACCGCGCTCGTGTGGAACGACAGCGACTGGGCCGAAGGTGCCGACTCGATCTATCCTTCCACCGTCAATGATGCCCAGGGCATTCCCTTTGCTGCACCGGGCGTGTCGTCGTTCGAAGCGCTCGATATGGCCGTGGGACGATTCGCCAACAAGACGCTCTTCCCAAACCTCAACACGATCATTGTCGCAGGCCACAGTCTGGGCGCGCAGATGGTGCAGAGGTATGCACTGATTGGTGCAGTGCCCTCGGGCACGGTGCCTGTGCACTTTGTCGTGGCCAACCCGGGCTCGTATGCCTATCTGACAGAGTGGAGACCGCGCCCGTACGACAAGTGCGCCGACACGTTCAACGACTGGAAGTTTGGCCTCAATGCATACTCGCAGTCGTATCTGTCCGACTTTATCACCGACTCTCTCGACACCACCAACGATGTGGAGAGTGTGGTGCAGAGGTATCGTCGACGTGTGGTGTCGTATCTGTTTGGCTTGGCCGATCATGGTAAAGGCGATACGAGGTGCGAAGCGCGTGCCCAGGGCACTACGCATTTGGGACGAGGCAGAAACTTTGTCAAGCATCTTACCGATATGGATGGGGGATTTCCAGCCGCTCATACGGTCAACTACATCCCGAATGTCTCGCATGATGGGCTGGGCATGTTTACGAGCCAAGCGGGTCTGGAGAGGTTGTTCTTTATCAACTTGAATGGTACAGAGACCCCAACGGCTGTGGGCGACGATGATCAGAGCGCCGCCAACTGGCAACAGGCCAAGAAGAGCGCTCAGCATAGTGCGTCTAGCGCTGCGACGGTGCGAGCGAGGATGGTGGGCGTAGGGGTGGTGGCGGTGGTAGTGGCGATGCTGTTGGTGTAGGTGTATGGACATTTGTAATATAGAGCGCGACTGCGCATTGCATTGGATTGCTTGGATCAGGGATCGTGTGTGGTAAGGGATGAGCAATGTGCAATGGTTGGGTAGAGGGGAACGGTGCGAAGGAAAGAGCAACGTGCTGTGTTTGCGTAGGGTGGACGCTGTGTGACAGTAGGGAAGAGCAGGCCGCGCATGCCATGCTTGCATAGAGTCGACGGTGTGGGGCCACCAGCAAATCGAAGCTGCTTTGGATAGAGGTGAGTGTTTTGGCAGAGGCAAGAGCAAGTGGCACATGCCACCAGGCTTGGCGGTGTGTGGCAGAGGGAATGAGCAAATCGCAACCGCTCTGTTTCGATTTAGTTGACAGTGTGTAGCAGAGGGGAAGAGCTACTCGCACACGCAATGTTCGGGCAGAGTCGAGACGGTGTGGCAATTGGGAAGAGAAAGTTGCACAGACAATGGTTCAAGAGGTTTGACGGTGACAAGGCGGAGAGCAGCAAGCAATGTTCGACTAGAGTGGACAGTGTGGGAAGAGCAGCTCGCCCACGCAGTGTTTTAGCATAGTACGACAGTTTGAAAAGAAATGGGCAAAGCTCACTCGACAGAGTTCGCCCGACAGAGTTGTCTCGATGGAGTTGTTTGGGCAGAGTTGTTTCGATAGAGTTGTCTCATTCTGGCTGTCTCTACAAAGTTAGTTCGGGAGAGTTGATGGTGCGTGCCAAACGGGAAGACCAATCGCTGGTGGACGAGTTGCAGGTCCGGTGCCTGCGAATGAGTACAGTAGCACAACATACTTCCACAGCCGGTCGGGAGTTGGTTTGGCGGGTATGATACCGGTCTAAAACAATCGAAAGCACGCGGAGTTGCTTGGGTGCAACTGCGAACAAAGCTGGGTGACAGCAGAGGCAAGCTCGATCTGGTGCAGCTGTAATGCATGGTTGTGAGTTGCGAAAGTGGTCTGCTGCGATCTACGAAAGCAAACGCAACCGCGGGGGGGGGGGGGGGGGGGGGCCGGCACACAAAAATAATAAGGGCAGCCGGTGTGTGGGGGGGGGGCCTCTAGGCCATCGTCAGCACGCATCATAAGATTAATATCACGATACTAGTCACGAAAAGCATTGGTATTATCATAAAACGCCTCTAATCAATTTTCAGCCAACGTGATTGTGTCTAAAAAGATAAACAAACCATCAGCTTGAACCTGATGAATGGGTATCATCAAACGGCGTCTAGACATATGAAGGCAGCCGCATGTTGTGCGAGGTGGACCCTAGCTCATGTACCGATCCGCGGTGCAGTGTTGGACTGCCGCCGTGCACCTCCACCTCCACCGATTGTACCACCTCGCCTTTTGCCGGTGCACCACCATGCGTGCGCTCCGCTCTCATCGGGCTGCTTGAGCTCATGTCGAGCGTGCCATCCGCGCCAGCGCCGACAGTGCGGTACCAGGATCACATTGGCAGCCTGTCGCGCACCGACAGTCGGGCGGCGCGCGTGCTCTCGCAGTCCACGCGCGTCCACGTACTGCGCGATAAGCTCGATGACGCCGCCGCGACGCGGCTCGAGCTCACGGCGCAAAGCCTGGGTGCGCAGATCACCACCTCGCCCAGCGCAGCCAACGTGGTCGTCACGACGCTGCGTGCACCCAAGCGCATCCGCAAGCATTTCCAAGACGACGACTTGAACGTCTTCCCTGCGCCCGATCCGGTTCCAGAGGCTGTGATCGAGGTGGTGGATGCCCCACTGGGACAGGGAAAAGACTGGCGTCGCTTCGTCGTCACGCCGCAATGGATACAGGCGGTCAAGGATGAAGGAACGCTGGTAGATCCGGATAGATACCCCGCCATACCACACAGACCTACACATGAGGCAGATAGAAAGAGGAAACGAGGCCCGGAATCACCCCCACCCCCMCCCGCAGCTGCGACATCAAGAGCGGAAGAGATGCTGGTGTACAAGCCACTGGAAGTACCCGAGGGAGTTCCGGCCTGGTCGAACACCCGGTATGCGTGTCGACGACCTTCACCGCTCAAGTGCACCAATCAGATGCTGGTGGAGCAGCTCGAGCTGATCCGCAACGAACGCCGGCTCACGGGCGACACGTATGCGGAGATGGCCTACATGCGTGCGATCTCGGCGCTCAAAGCGTACCCGTTCCACATCCCGGACTCTGTCACGGACGCCGACTTTTCCGCCGAGCTTAGGGATCTGCGCCTGGCGGAAGTGGAGAAGCTCAAGGGCGTGGGCAAGAAGGTCTTTTCGCTCGTTCGACAGTTCTACCACTCGACGTCGACTCGAGAGGCAAGGATTGTCGAGGCCAAGGTGATTCAGCGCGACCGGGCGGTGTTTGTGATGAACGCCTTTGCGGAGCTGTACGGTATTGGGCCGATTGGAGCACGCGAGGCGTACAATGCCGGCGCACGGTCGTTTCGCGATGTGCTGGAGCGGAAAAAGTCGTTGGCGACGCATCTGTCCGCCAAAGAGTCGGTTCGGATCCTGGCAGATCTCAGACAGCCCATCGGACGGGGAGAATGCGAGAGCATTGCAGAGGAGATCATGCGTCTTCTCACCCAGCTCATGCACGGTGCAGAGGTGAGGTGGCAGATCTGTGGTGGGTATAGACGCGGCAAACCACGCACGTACGATCTCGACATCATCATCGGGCACACGCTCACCGCCTCGCGCGCGCTCCACGTGCAGCTGCTCGACGACATGAAGAAGAGGGGACTCATCACGCATATCGTCAACATCTCTACTCCGCATCCGAACCTCGAGGCCGATCCGGATCCTTCCAATCCACCACCCGTGCATATCGACATTGCCAATATCGTCGTTCTCCCCCCTGCCCGAGGTGCAGAAAGGCCTCTGCATAGGAGGATCGATCTGGTCTTTTGCCCGCTCCAAGTGTATGGCGCCACCGTGCTCGGCTGGACGGGAAGCTTGACGTTCGAAAGAGACCTCCGCCTCTGGGCCCGCACCAAGGGGTTCAACTTTTCGTTCGACGGCGTGACCAATCTGGCTGAAAACACGCTTGTCCCAACCGCCACGGAAAGGGACGTGTTCGAACTGCTCCAGCTGCCCTACATGCCACCGGAGTGGCGCAATTGCGACGCCTAACACCCACCCGACACGAATGTGCTATAAGTTATCTGCTTAACCTGGCGACTTTTGCTGGAAAATGTCATTGCTTATTCTGTCTTTGCCTCCTGCTCTAGGACACCAAGATGAATAGGAGGAAAAACACGATGAGCACACCAAAGATCTTGAGCATGAGCCAGCGATTGCTCGACACCGACGCATAGTACCTGAGCAGTTCGCGCTGTGCACCGCCTACGTTGTCGACGACGTCCATGACGTTGTCATCGATGCGCTGCACCGTTTCGCGCTGCTCGGCCACCATGTGGGCGAGCTGCGAAAAGATCTGGCCGAGCTCGCTGATGGTAGACTCGATCGACTCGATGGCGGTGCTGCGCTGCTGCATGTAGCTGTTCTGCTGGTTGTCCATGAGCTGCATCTGCATAAACTGCTCGCCGCCCGCCGCGTTCGTGCCGTTGCCCATGTCGAGCGCCAGAAAGTCGCCGTCCGATCCGGGAGCCACCTTCGACTTGCCCTTGGGATCGTAGCCGTCCGAGGAGGCCGAGTGCTGCAGCGCCGGGTTGAGCGGTGAGGGTGCCGCGCGGTGCGCCATGGCCGAGGCCGTGCGTGTGGGGTTGTACAGCGGTGAATCTGGGCCCGGCGGAGCAAGGTTGGGTTTGCCGCGCGAACGAAGAACTGCAGTCCAAGGTCAGCCACACTGCGTCAACAAAGAAGAGGAGAAGGGAGAGTGTACGCACCTGAGTTTTCGGCTGGTGGCATGCCGGCGGCCGAGTTGGAGTACATGAACTGCTCGGAGCGGTCCTTGGAGGCCTTCATGTTCTGGGTGCGCACCTCGAGGATGTCCTGGAACGAGGTGGTGGCGCCTGCGAGCTTGCTCTGGAGCAGCGTGACGACGTTGCCGCGGTGCTCTTCTGCGCGGTCGGTGGGCTTGCCGGAGCGGTTGGCCTTGTTGAATGCCTGCAGATCCGCGAGCTGCTTGTTGATCGCTGCAATGTCGTGCTTGATGATGTACGTCAGCTCCGAGATCTCCACAGGTCGATCGTCGAAGAGCGTCTTGCGTCGCGCCACTGTCAGTCAAAGTCAAGAGCGAAAGGGGTAAAGGTCAGTGTCGTCTCAAGGGGCGGCGGAGGTTGGGTCTCGAGGGGAAACGCACATTGCGCTAGGCGTTGCAGCTTGGCTGTGGTGGAAGCGATGTCTTTGCCGATCGCCTGGGCTCTGCGAGCGAATTCGCCCTTTGATGAGGACGCCTGTGCATTGTTGAGCAGCTTTTGTTTTGCTGGTGGCTGGGAGGATCTCGATGCGATGGACTCGACGAGGCCGTGGAACTCGGATGTGCGGTCCTTGACCGAGTGGCCGTAGTACGAGGTGGGTGTGTAGGACATGGCTGCCGAGGCGCGACTGAATGCTCTTTTCGTGTGAGCTATGCTACAGTGCTGATGGTGGAGAGGCAGCGAGGAGCCTAGGAGCGACGGTGACGGTGGCGTTGTCAGTGACGTGGAGAGAGCGGGATGGCCGTGGGGTGGAGTGTGAGTGAGAGTGTGAGAGAGTGCGGAGCGGACGTGCACGTCCACATGCGAGTCCCGAGGCGGAGCATTATTGTGAATTCCCGGTATTTCTGGCGCAAATTCAAAATTCCCACAGCTCATCGCAGCCTCAAAGCTGTCGAAATTGGCGGCCCTTTGCGAGGTGGAGGAAGCCAACACTTTCCGCACTCATTTTACCATTTCGCCTTTCCTACATCTTCTTCACTCCTTCCCTTCGGCCCACACCCGCTACTGCTGCCGCCGCCGCCGCCGCCGCCGCTCGTGATCGATGGCATTGCATCCAGCGCCGCCCGCTCAGGGTGGATCCGACGATCCACGCGTCTTTCTCGACCGTTTATCGGGCAACTGGCGTTACGAAGACGACCAAGGCGACGAGTGGGAATGGCAACCCTTCGTCCAGCTCGCCCGACCCGCTGTGGATCAGGGCGAGGTGGAAGACGATGCGCCGTCCACCAACACTGCTCCCACCGCATCCACATCCACCCAGCCCACAGGGCACTGGGTCAAGGTGCTCGACGACGACCTCGTCCGGGCGCAGCAGGCGGCCTACTCGGTGGACGGCGTGGACGAGTCGCAGCCCGCACAGCCGGTGCTGCGCCGCACAAAGAAGCGCGCCGCCTCGCCATCCGATCCAAATTCTTCCAGCTCGACGAGCGCCCTGCCGCCATCCAAGCGTCCCAAGCCAATCACATCGCTCTACGTCTCGGGGCTGCCGCTCGATGCTACGGCCGACGAGATTGCACGTGTCTTTTCGCGCTACGGCGTGCTGCTCGAAGACGACCAGGGCAAGCCGAGGGTCAAGATGTACCACGACGACAAGACGGGCATGTTCAGGGGCGAGGCGCTCGTCGTCTACTTCAAGCCAGAAAGCGTCGAGCTGGCGATCAACATGCTTGACGAAACCAACATGCGCGCAGCCATTGGTCAAACGTCTTCCAGTGGGCCCATGATGCGAGTCCAGCGCGCTCAGTTTCCAACCGAAACTCCATCCGAGACAAAGTCAAAACCGTCCGCAGATGCGTCCACCAAAAGCGCACCAAACGGGCCATCTGGGTCGGAAAAGACCGAGGCGGGCAAAGGCGCGCAGAGTGCGGGACAGCGACGTAATCTCAGCGAGCAAGACCGCAAGAAGATTGCCAAGCGAGTAGCGCGGCTCGAAAACAAGCTGTCGGACTGGCGCGATGATTCCGAAGACTCGGACGATGCACATCCGTCCACCACCACCGCATCCAACACCAACTCGAGTTCCGACGCTGGGCGCATCGTGGTGCTCACCAAGATGTTTACGCTCTTTGAGCTCGAGCAGGACCCGACCCTTCTGCTCGACCTCAAGGACGACGTGCGGGAAGAGTGCACCGACAAAATCGGTGGCGTCACCAATGTCGTTCTATGGGATTTGGAGCCTGAAGGCATCATGACCGTTCGCTTCAGCAGCCCCGACCAGGCCCAAAAGTGCGTTCAGATGATGGATGGCAGATTCTTCGCCCAACGTCGCATCAACGCCTTCATCCTCAACGGCAAACCGCGATTCCGCAAATCATCAAGTCATGACGACGAAGACGACAATCTCGCCAACCACAACTTCGCCCAGTGGCTCGAGAAATCCACCTAACCCTCCTCTCTGCCATTCACACATGATACCACTGCAATTTGAGACCTCGTCGTTGCCACACCTGCGCATCTATCCAGAATCTGATTATCGCTTAAAACGAAAGACAAGGCAAGACAGAGGGCACGGAGAGAGAGAGAGAGAGTACAAGTCGAGAATTGAGGAGAAAAAAGTGTCCGTTGGCAAGATCTTGGGGGGGGGGGGGGGAGGTCAAACACCTGACCTTAGCGGGTGTACATGGGTTCGTCGCCATCCAGCTCCCTGAAGGCGGGATCGTCGAGCATGTCATCGTCGTCGTTGACGCCCATCCTGCTCATGCCCAGACTGGCACCCGCGAGCCCTACGCCGCCCGAGCCCCTGCGGCCGCCAAAGCTGCCGGCCACACTGCCCTCGTACGTGCCGCTGTAGCTGAAGCCGCGGAACTTGTCCTGCACACTGCGCGTGAGCAGTGCATCGTCATCCTCGGCCTCGCGCGCCTTGTTGATCGCCATCCCCTTGCCATTGGCATCCTTCTCCGACAGCAGATCGCCGTTCTGCAGCGCCTTGGCCGCCCCGGTCGACGAACCCTCAAACCCAGGGATCACCGCCACATCCTTCAGATCCGTCTCGGTAAACTCGGGGTCAAAGTTGGCCACGCTCTCGTCCGACTCGACGAGCGGCTTGAACGGCGGCGTGAGCTGCTTCTTGGCGAGCGCGTCGAAATCAATGTCCTTGAAGAACGGGTGTTCCTTGAGATCCTGCGCGTCGCGCTGCGCACCCAGCCGATGGCGCGGATTGCGATTGAGCAAACCCTTGACAAATTGCTTGCCGTCGTCGCCGATGGCGCCGCGCGGGAACTTGATCTTGCCGAAGCAGATGTTGCGGTACATCTGCTGCGTATCCTCCGCATAGAACGGCGACCAGCCACAGCACATCTCGAACAGCAGCACACCGAGCGACCAAAAGTCCACCAGCTTCGAGTAGCCCGACTCGTCCAGCAGCACCTCGGGCGCCAGATACTCGGTGGTGCCGCAAAAGGTGTTGGTCAGCTGACCCGCTCCCAGATCCGGCTTGCTCAGGCCAAAGTCGCACAGCGCCACGTGGCCCGTGGCGTCGAGCAGGATGTTCTCGGGCTTGAGGTCGCGGTAGACAATGTCGTACTTGTGCAGATGCTCGAGCGCCAGCACGAGCTCGGCGATGTAGAAGCGCGCACGCTCCTCGGTGAAGCGGCCCTCGCGCTGAAGATGCCAGAAGAGCTCGCCGCCCGACTTGTAGTCGGTGACAAAGTAGAGCTCGGTGGCGCTCTGGAACGAGAACTTGAGCCCCACGAGGAAGGGGCAGTCGAGCGACTTTTCGAGAATCTTGCGTTCGCCCATGGTGTGCGTGACCTCCTTCTTGAGTGCGATCTCGCGCTTGGAGAGCACCTTCATGGCGTAGATTCGCTTGGTGTCCTTCTTGCGCACCTGGAAGACGCGTCCGAACGTGCCGCGTCCGATGAGCTTGAGATATTCAAAGTCGTGCGGCGTGAGCTTCTTGGCAGGCATGCGCTCGTACGAGATCTGCACGCGGATCTCGCCGCGTCGATTCTCCATGCCCTCGTCGTCGTCGCGCGACGAGAGCGGATACCATTGGTCGCTCATCATCTTGTGCACGAGCTTGGGCTTGATCTCGCGCATGCCGAGGAAGCCCTCGTCCTCCGAGTGACGGTCGTACACGCTGATGTAGATGGGCTGCGAGTCCTGCGTGACGTCAAAGGTCACCTCGTGCTTCCACACCGGGTTGTGGTTGTGGCCCGTCCCTGCGAGCGCGTCGGCGGGGGTGACGGTCTTGGCGCGGCTGCGACCCGCCTCGCCCGCCTCGGAACGCGGCTGGGCGACGCCCTTGGCCTCTTCGCCAAACTCGTCGATGGGCTCGCGGCCGATGAACTCGTTCTTGTCGAACTGCACCACGGCGTACGGCCGCGCGGCGGGGCTGCTCACGGCCAAGTTGCGACCGGCGACGATCTTGATGGTGAGATGACCTCGCGGGGCGGCGGTGTTGCGCGTCCTGCTGCTGCCGGTGCCTGATGGCGTGTTGGCTCCGCTCTGTGGCTGGTCAACATTGGATGTCGATGCGGATGCCGCCGGGGCTGCGTCCGACATGGGTGTAGCTGGAGCGTCGGCGACGGGCGCATTTGGTTGGGCGGAGGGTTGAGCGGCGAGGCTGGGCTCGTTTCTTTGCTTTTGGGGCGGCAACTTCATGGTGAAATCGGGATCACCAAGCGAGATCGAGGTGGTGGGGATGGCCGAGTGCGAGGTGATGCCGCCGGGCGTCCTCATGCCGGGTGTCTGATCACCAGGAAGGTGGGTGCCGAGGATGGACGAGTTTAGTGAGGAGCGCGAAGACTGCTTGGTCATTGCCGGGGGCTGCATGCTGTCAAATGGGTTGCGCTCGGCGGCACCATTGGAGTGCGAGCTGGACGCCTTGGGCGTGGTCTGAGAGCGTGATTAAGAGAGGAGAGCAGAGTCAGTTCAAGCTGAGGCGCAGAGCAGGCGCGGACGAGCAGCGCAACCTACCTGGTCTGCTGGACCGGACGGCCAGAGGCCGCGCAGCATGTTGGATGCCATGACGGAGATTGGCTGCCAATCTTTCCTTCTAAGGTGCGGGGAAGCGGAGACGAGGACTCGAGACGAAGCACTGCGCCGATGCTAGCGCAGAATACCAAGGTGAAGCAGCGGATGAAGAGCGCCTTAAGCTGTCTATCCTGGGGCAGTCGACGGGTCTGCGTCGATTCGGCGGTCCCGATGAGCACCGGTGGCAGCGAGGCAACGAGGTGACTCGGCGACACGATTCCAGGGAGAACCAGCGCGTCGGGCCGACTCCGAGCAAGAACGAGGCGGTCGGAGCGTGGGAGTGCGTGGCGCGTGGCTCGTGGCTGGTGATGATGGTCGGAACGCTTCCGTTCTCGTCGAGCTGGGCTGGCGGGATGATGGACGTGCAGAGCTGAGCCGGGCCAAGTAAAGGGCAGCCGATGCGGAGAGCAACACCAGGCGACGCAAAGGCCCAAAAAAACGGCGTGCCGCGCTGGATGCAGCAGCAGACACAGAGAGGCAGAGAGCGAACGCCCAGCCAAAATAAAACTGCAACCCGTACGGAGCATCGCCGGCTGCAGCTGCACAGTGCCAAGTCCGCCGCGCCCAAGCTGTGCCCCTTCCGTCATGAGTGACTGGGCTCATCGCCAGAAATTCATTGTTTCTCTTTCCTTTCCTTTTTTCACTGCTCTCCTGTCTGCCAGCAGGTCTTACAGTACATGCCGGTATGGCAGACGCGCTTCATTTTGCCCGGCCCTGCTGCTTTTTCCTTTCTTTCGGATGACCCGCGGCTAGGTTGGCGGGAGAGAGACGCCGCCGACGGGAAAAGGGAGTGCGGGAATTGCGCACCGAGTCTGCTCTTCGAGCCCGCTGCTGCAGGTGCGGCACGAAGGACCGAAAGCGAGCCAGACCACGAGCAGCTGCTAGCAGAGTAGGCGTGCATATGGCATGAGCTGCAGCCAGCAAGCAACTATGCGTTGAGCAGAGCCCAAAGCAGCAGCATAAGTTGGATACGACTTCGCCCACCCATGATCACCGTTGGGGCTTGCACGCATTGCGGAACGGCCGATGGTCGCTGCCGGCTGCCGGGTGAAAATGTCCGATTCGGTGTGGCCGCCTCCCCAGCTTCGACTGCACAAAAGTCCCCGTGACGCAGCGGGTGGAGAGCATCCCCCGCAGCGCTCGAGCCTCATGGGCCTGAACGGGCTCAATCCTCCTTGATCAACGGCTTCAAGGCGCTGCCGGCCTGAGCCAAGCTGCTGGGGCCAAGGCAGACCCTTTGCGCCGGCCGGCCAATATTAGGCGAGCGCAACAGAGCTCGCACAGACCATGTCTCTCGCCGCCCCCCTCGAGCCTCGTGCGCCCTGCCCGATGCACCCTTGCCACTAACCAGCTGTCCGAGCGAGCCTGCAACGGCCAAGGTCGTACGATGTCGCAGCCTGTGTGAGAAGCCGTCTCAATGGACTCGGCCTCGGGCATCATGGAGCTACCGGTATCGTTTCAACCCACCAAGTTGCCGTGCAAACGCATGCTTTGTGGGTGAACGAATAAATGAAGTTGAGAAAAAGAATTCCAGAAAAATGGCTCCAAAAATCCAGCGACTAGTTCTCTCCAGATCCTGACTCACCCAACGCAGGCTCAACGCGCAGACAGCGGCGCGGCCTCTATCGTCGCTTTATTCCCGCGGCGCTGCGCGTTTGCTTGCGGTGGGTCGGACTAGCGCAGCGCAGCGAAAGGGCCCAAAGCTTTTGGGAAAGGTCGCATGCGTGGCTGGTGCGTCGTCGCGCGCCTGAGGGCTCGACCCGATGCAGTATGCGCACCGAATGCAAGACCATCGCCATCTTTCCGTCTCGTCACCATTCATTATACCTTAGCCTTTGCTATCGCTCCTACTGTCTGTACAGCGTGGCAATCGCAACATCTGTTCATTCATCTACGTCGAGTATCCCTCTCCTTCAGCCTTCAGCCTCCTGCCTTACCCAGCCTCTCGCGGACCACTTTGCATTCCAGCATACAGCCTTGACTCCAGCTGATTGTCGTTCCCTTTGTCAGAGCGCTCTCTGATTCTCGGATCCTTCCACCTCATCACCCACGGACCTCGAACATCGTAGGCTCGCTCAATCAGCTCCTTTCTCTGAAGACGCATCGTCGCCCACTCGCAAAAACATCGGGAAGCAAGATACTCTGGACCCGTCTTGGAAGGACTACCGCTTACAGAGTGCATCATCGAGGAATTCCGTTGGTGATTTTGCAAGCCAGACCCATCAACCCGTGATCATCAGCCATGGCAGCGCGCTCCGTGCCCGGTGCGGGTGACAAGCCCCAGCGTCGTGTTGTGCCCGGTGCCCCTCCACCTGCTCCGTCCAAGGCCGGCAAGAAAGGAAAAGCCTCGTCCAAGGCTGCTGCCGACGTCAAAGTACCCGATGCCACATCAGCTGCACTCCTCGAACAGGCGCCCGCAAATCCAAACCAGGTCGCCAACGGCCTCAAAGTGACGAGTCAGGATTTGGCCGAGCAGGCAGAGACGCAGGCTGCCGTCGCTGCCGTCGAAGCGGTCCAGTCCTCCGCTGCTCCTGTCGTCGATGCTCCCTCCACACCTGCCCAGAAAGTCATCAGCGATCGCATCAACGAGCTCTCGGCCAAAAGCAAGAATGCCACCATCACCGTCGCTATCGACGAACTCAAGAGCCTTCTGAGCAAGGTACAGGTCGCCGAGGCGGATTCGGCTCCTTCTTCGTCCAAAGCCGGCACCGAGTCCGAGGGCAAGGCACGTCTGGTGCTGCTGCTGCAGTTCCTTCACCTCTTCAACCTCTTCCATCCGAACCCGGCAGGCCCACCCTCGTTTGCGCCCCAGCGCACCATGCCGCCTGCACTCGAGATGTCGACCGGACAGCAGGTGGCGGCCGTTGCAAAGATCTACGACCAGCTCGCAAATGGACCTCTGGAAGGCGGAGGAGGCGATGCGCTCCAGACCCTGGCCAGCATCGAGCGCGGATCCAAGGACGAAGTGCTGCCAGACGTCAGCTTCGACACGATCAGGTCCATGATCCTCAAGCTCACCGCGCCACCCACTGCCAATGCCGATGCCGATGCTGCGCAAGCTGCGCCGACAGGGCTCGACGGACCCTCCAAGGGCTTCGTGCCGCTCGGCAAGGCGTCGTCCCCCGCGTCGCCCGTGTCGTTCATGCAAGCGAGCGAGATCCTGGATCAGTCCGGCGCCGAGCCCGAAGGTGGCCAGCCATCGGCCGTGCCTGCTGAGGGCGCGGAGGAGAGCCGCAAAGGAGAGAAGGGAGGAGCTGGCGTTGTCATTGGCGATGCGGCTGCGACATCGGGCAAGGCAGACGGAACAGCTGCTTCGGCGGTCAAGGAGCCCGTCAACACCACCGTCGTTGCCGAGCCCAAGCTCAACTGGGCGGCGCTGGCCGAGGAGGACGATGGAGATCTTGGCGAGGCTCCCGTGTGGGAGCCATTGCCGTCGTCGACCACATCGGCGCTCGTCACGCCGGCACCAGGCACCCCTTCGGGCGGCGACGCAGCGGCCGCCCCAGCGCCTGCGGCGCAGGAGTCAGGCGAATCGACCAGCTCGCCAAGGACCAAGAAGCCCAAGAGCAACGGCGGCGCCAAGGGCGGCGCGGGCGGTGCGGGCGTTGCGGGACGTGCGGGTAACGGTGCCTCAGGTGCGAACGGCAAGCCGACGCCGCAGAAGCCCAAGCCACAGCCCAAGGTGGACGAGGACGGATTCATCTTGCAGGAGAGCAAGCGCACAAAGTACTTGCAGCAGAAGCAGCAGCAGCAGCAGCGCGGCGGCGGTGGCGGCGGTAGGGGCGCAAGGGGTGGGGCGAGTGCAGGCCGTGGTGGCAGAAGCAACACTGGCGCGCGCGGTAAGGGTTCTTCGGCACCCAGCACACAGTAAGCTCATGTGCATGCAGTAATTGGCACACACCAGTCCTGTCCTTTTTTGTGCAACGTGTCGCGACGATGGAATGGAGGGAGCCTGTGAGATTGCATTGGATACGAAGAGGGAGGGGGATGGCTACCACTTTTTGGCTTCCATTCCGTCAGGCGGGTGTGCAGCGACGTGGTCGGTAGCGACCTTGGACCAGTCGGTGGAGAGGGTGGTGCCACCGCTTTCCTGGTAGGATTTGATCATTGCCTTGCGCGTGTTGTCGTCGGCGTCTGCGTAGAGTTTCTGGAAGAAGGCGTTGATGTCTGCCTCGGCAGGTGCGGCATCGCCGTCGTCCGCATCAGGATCGAACGAGTCCCACTTGGATCGTACTCGAGGGGCAGCCGATTTACCTGTCTGTGCGGCTTGCGGTGGTTGTGGCGCTGGTGTTGTTGACGTGACCTGTGGTGTTGGTGCAGAGTGGCCCGAAGCGGCGTGGAGCTGGTTCCATCGCACGCCTGGTTGCGCCTTGTGCAACACCACCTCGATCTTGGTCGACAGCAGCTTGTACGACGATGTGGCCGGGTCGACCGAGGAGAACAGCGGATCGAGATGCAGAGCAAACTTCGAGCCCGCAGAGGTGGTCGATGCGACAGAGAGAGATCGTGGCGCAATGTCGACCGAGGTCTGGTCCGCGAGCGCCGCCTTGATGAACACCGATACGGTGACGGCAGTGTCGGTCTGGTAAAAGTCGAAGCGCGGGATGGCTGCGTCCGATGCTCCAGCAGAAGAGGTGCTCGCTGTTGCCATGTTGGATGTTGCTTGTGGCTAGAGGCCCACGAGGCTCAAGATGCTGGTGGTGATGGTGGTCAAAGAGCATCTGCAGTGGAGGTAGCGACAGGCGAAAGTGCTAGAAATGCGCCGCTGCCAAGGCAGGGCCTTTTTGGGAAAAATCAAACATTTAACCGCATTTTTTATCAGATGCGTCGAGCTGTGCGGAGACCAACACCTCGCGCTCGGCCGCGTTGGTCCGAGCTCGTTCCGGACCCTTTTCTTGCGTCCAACCTCCATCGCCCGCATCTGCACGGTCCATCACCCTCGCCACGGATCGACTCGATGAGCCCGCCAAGGATACCTCGATCGCCCAGCATGGCGGCGGAGGTCATTCCTCCAGCGCTCGCCGGCCCCACCGAGCACGGCAACAGCTCCAAGGAGGCTACGACGACCACGCTCGGACTGCTCAAGAGCGAGTGGGAGCTGCTCACGCTGAGCACGGCGGTCAAGCTGCTCCTCTTCCCCACGTACCACTCTACGGACTTTGAGGTGCATCGCAACTGGCTCGCCATTACGCGCTCGCTGCCCATGCGCGAGTGGTACTTTGAAGCCACCTCGCAGTGGACGCTCGACTATCCGCCCTTCTTTGCGTACTTTTCGTGGATCCTGGCGCAGCCTGCGGCGCTGGTCGACCCGCTCATCGTGAGCCTGCACGAGGGGCTCGAGTACTCCGCCTGGTCCTGCAAGGCATACATGCGCGCCACGGTCATCGCCACCGAGCTCGTGCTCGCAGCAGCACTGCTTGCGCATGCAAGGATCGGCACGCAGCGCACCATGAAGATCGGCTACACGGATTCGACGACGGCGGGCCCAAGCACGTCGTACATCCTGGCAGCCAGCCTGCTCATGCATCCGGGACTGATCATCATTGACCACATCCACTTTCAGTACAACGGCTTCCTGTTCGGTGTGCTGGCGTGGTCGCTGTGGGCGGCGCGCGAAGACCACCCGCTGGTGTGCGCATTTCTGTTCAGCTCGCTGCTCAACCTCAAGCACATCTACGTCTACGTCGCGCCGCCGTTTCTGGTGTTTCTGCTGCGCTCGTATGTGGTGCCTGTCGGCACGCGCGCCAGCGACGTCGGGCGCTGCGTCGAGAGGCTCATCACCGTCGGCGTGGTCACGCTCATCCCGTTCGTGCTCAGCTTCGCCCCGCTCGCGCTGGATGGGCTTCGGCACGAAGCTGGCCCACTCGGCGTGCTGACACAGATGGTGAAAAGGCTGTTCCCGTTCAGCCGCGGTCTGATCCATGCCTACTGGGCACCCAACGCTTGGGCGCTATGGACGTTCGCGGACCGTGTGCTGGTCAAGCTCCTCCCACGTGTGCCTGCGCTGCGCATGTTTGTACCGGCAGGTATGCTGGCGCGCTTCGATGCGTCGGCCGGCTCGGGATTCGCGTCGGCCTCGCGCGGACTGGTGGAGAACATCTCGTTCGGAATCATGCCGGACATCAGTCCATCCATGTGCTTTGCGCTCACGCTGACGTGCATGTGCGTGTACATGGTCAAGCTGTGGCAGACGCCGACGTACCGCTCGTTCCTGGCTGCCGTCAGCCTGTGTGGCTTTGCATCGTTCCTATTCGGTTGGCACGTGCATGAAAAGGCCATCATGCTCCCGCTCATCCCCTACACGCTGCTCGCCGCGGTCGACTATGCACACTTCCGCACATTTGTGCTGCTCAGTGCAGCGGGCATCGTCTCGCTCTTCCCGCTGCTGTTCACGCCGCAAGAGGCGCCGATCAAGATCGCGTATTCGATCGTGTGGGCGCTGCTCGTGCTGGGCCCGCTGCAGAAGCGCGTCTTCCGACCCGTGCAGTCGAATCTCGGCCTTGTGGTGCATCGGCTCGAGTCGCTGTATCTGTGGGGATTCGTGGCGCTTCAGGCGTACGTCTCGATCGTGCATCCGATCATCTTTGCGCAGGTAGGACACAGTGTTGTGCTGGATTTGCAGCCGGTGCTAAGTTCGCCGGCGAACGCGACGCTGGAAACCGTAGGCGCCTCGCTTTCGGCGTCCGATGCCATTCCACTGCCTCCAGCGACAGCGATACCCGACAGCGCTGCTGTGCAGACTGAGGCCGACCTGCCGCTTCCTGCGGCAACACCGGATGCGGGTGCGGGTGCGCATGGCGTAGATGACTTCGTCGCTGTCGACACGGCCGAGTTCGACGTGGCGCCTCCTACTTCCGATTCGATATCGAGGCGACTGCTGTCGACACCCACAGCTCCCGACACGGCCTCAACAGCGCCGAGCCAAGATCAGGCCGAAGCAACCCTCACGACTAGCAAAGCGCAAAGGTTCACGCCATCCGAGTCGTCGTCGTCGATGGAGTTCCTACCGCTCATGATGGTCAGCGTGTACTGCAGCTTGGGCGTCATCTGGGCATGGATGCGCGCCTCGGCCGTCTATCTCCTCAGCGAGGCCTAACACACTTCAGCATAAATTTTGTGAAAGCAGGAATGCAATGCCCCCAACTACACCGGTTGAAAGCCCATGGATCTCGCTATGAACTTTGTGACTGGTGAACTTCGTCTGCAGAGTAATGCTGTCTGATGGCAGGCCTTGATGCGCTGTTGCGACGTTGTCTGGCGCCGTCGAGGCTTGCAGCGTGGTGGGGACGGGAGTGAAAGGCTAGAGCCACGTTGTGTTGCGTGGGGCCAAGCGAGCGGCGGCGCCCGGACCAACACGCAGCTCATTTCACGCTCCCCCCAACCAACGCTCGGAGGGGCGCGGTGGGTGGAGCGAGAAAAAAAGTCCAAAAAAAAAGGGCCGAAATCCAATCGGCAGGCACATCGGACATCCAGCCATGGCAGGTTGGGGGTTGGAGCCGGGCAGAAATCGGCCTTTTCACAGCCCTTTGGATTCAGGTCTGGGAAGCGGCGGTGGCTTGCCGAGGCGAGTTGGGGAGGGGAGCGACTGCTCGGGTGGTGCCCATCAATCATCGCGGCGAGATTCCGTGATTTTTATGGGCTCGGCTGCCATTTCTGACTGAGCCCGCAATCTCCCTTCGCATCACATCGCATCGCATCGCATCGCACTGACCTTCCTGGACTTTTTGCCTGGCCCCTCCGCCGCGCTCGCACCGCATTCTGTCCCTCGCTCTCCCTCTCCCTCTCTCTCTCTCTCTCACACGCACGATTCCGTGAACCCTAGATCCTTCCTTCCTACCTGCTCTCCACCTCCCTCTCACCATCCTCAGCAGGTGCAGCATCGTCGCAGCTGCATACTCTACCACTCTAGACTGATTTCGGCAGCGGCAGGTCCGACCCCCATATCCATGGACCACTCCATCGTCTTGAACACTCTGTCGATCTAGTGCCGCCATCTGTCGACCCTGCGACCTTCTGCATCTCCACCACACACACGACGGATTGCCATCGCATCATCGCCCTCCACCAGTGCCGGTATCTCAATCTTCACTCGGACGACAACGATCCTCAGTCACTGCCGGCTCCACGCTCTTCCAGATGCTCGCTGAAGGGAAGGCGTAGAACACGCATCCTACCACCCTCAAAGCACGTCCTGTGGCCGAGTCCCCCTATAACCTCCAAGTAGCGCGCCCTGCGCTTGCCGTCAACCAGCCTCTGTGTCGCCAAGAGCAGAACCTCAGTACACACGGCAGCGTCAACCTCCGCCTACGTCAGCCCCTCCGACCCTTTCACGACCATCGCTCTAGTATCGCATACTCGTCCTCGTCCGTCTGCCCTACAGGAACTCCGCGGTCATCATGTCGAAACTGGAACAGCCCGCCTGGTCGGAAGCATCGATCCCCAGCCACGGCAGCCCCTCGAGCCTCTGGAATGGCCGTCCTCCATCCACCATGGACGGCGATGCCGTTACCACCGCTTCCACCTCCAACGTCAGCACTCCCAGCCGAGGCCTGAACTCCCTCGATGCCAAGGACATTGCGGCAAATGCGCCCGTGTTCACACCGTCCCCACTGCTCCCGCACGACGGATCCGCCTGGTCCATGCCAAGGACCGGCTCGCTCACATGGGCAAACGACCTCGCACCAAGGCCCGCCGCACCCGCTGAGCTCGTCGCCGATGCGGCTGGCTCGAGTCCGAGCGCCATCAAGCGTCTTGCCAAGCAGGAGCGATCCGAAACCATGCTTGCCCAGCCCCCTTCTGCCGCAGCCAAACAGGCGCAGCCCGCTTCATCAACAGCAGCTGACGCTGACGCCTCTTCGCCCAATCAGTCCTCCAGCCGCATCGCAAAACCGGCCGCACCCGTCCCCAAGCGCGCCCCCATACGCTCAGCCACCCTCGACCCGAGTCAACTGGCCGGCAACAGGCGATCCAGCAGCGATGATCTCGACGATGCCGCTGCGGAAGACCAGGAGCTCGTGGCCGAGATGGACTCGCTCAGCATTGTAACCAACGAGGCTGCACCCGACGCAGGCCCAGCGCCACCGCAGCACGACCTCGCTTCTTCCGGCTACCACTCGCCTCCGGCTTTTGTGGGAGTGGGGCATGCACATCGCGCTTCGGGCTCCTTCCCACCGCCTCCCTTCGGCCCTGGTGAAGGGTTCATGCATCCCTCTTCGTATTTGCCGGGCAGCGGGGCACGCTCTCCCGATGTCTACGCGCACGGCTACGCCGGCATGGGCCACATGTTGCCGGGTATGGCGCCCATCGACATGTCTGGCTACGAGTCGTACCGCACCACGCCCGATCCGTATGCGCCCACCATGCCCGGCCGAGCCATCTTTGCGTCGCCAGGCTCGCAGGGTTCCACACCGCAGAGTCCGTCGTTCGGGCCCGCGCCGCTCGGGCCGCACATCAACCCGATGCGCAACGGCGAGGCACTCTTCTATCCCGGCGTCATCCCAGGATTCGGTCCACCACCGCCCATGGCGGGAGGCATGGCATCGCCAGTGCGCCACGTAGGACCACCTGGACCTTCGCATTTCGGTTTTGCCGACGCGCGCGCTGCTCAGCTCGGCCAGTCGCCAATGATCGCCCCGGGCATGCCCATGCCGATGGGTGGCATGATGCCGCCAACCAGCCCGCCCATGCCACCCAGCGGGCCGGACAGCCGGCAGTCGCCAAACCTGGCGCAGGCTTCGCCCTACTCGCCCGTTGACCACCGCAGAATGGGCTCGGCAGGGTCCGAGCCCTTTGGTCCTCCGCTCCTGGCCATGTCGCCTCGCCCTCCATTTGCGATGACGGGCCAGGCGGGGCCGTTTGTGCCGGGTCAGCCGGGCATGCATGGCGTGATCGGCGGTGCGCCGATGCACGGTTCGGTGATGGCGTGGAACGGCCGCTTCGACCACCGTCGCATGCCGACGGGCCCGGGCGGCATGATGGGCCCCGTGGGCGCGTTCGGAGGCAGCCCGGTGGACATGCATTTCGCACGCAACGGGCCGGGTTTCTACGGTGCGCCCTACGCGCCTGGCGTCGGCGGCGGCGGTGGAGGAGGTGCAGGCGGAGCAGCGACGCAGACGCGAAGTGCACTCTTGGAAGAGTTCCGCAGCCGGCACTCGAAGAATCGCAAGTTTGAGCTGGCCGACATCTACGGCAGCGTGGTGGAGTTCAGCGGCGACCAGCACGGCAGCCGGTTCATCCAGGAGAAGCTGGACAGCGCGAGCGCCGAGGAGAAGAAGACGCTGTTCGACGAGGTGCTGCCGCACGCGCGCCACCTCATGACGGATGTGTTTGGCAACTACGTTATCCAGAAGATGCTCGAGCACGGCGACGACGAGCAGCGGGCGGTGCTGGCGCGCGAGATGGAGGGCAACGTGCTTGCGCTCTCGCTCGGCACGTACGGCTGCCGGGTGGTGCAGAAGGCTTTCGACTACATTGCGCCCGAGCAGCGCGAGAAGCTAGCCAAGGAGCTCGACGGCCACATTATGCAGTGCGTGCGCGACCAGAACGCGAACCACGTGGTGCAGAAGGTGATCGAGCGCGTGGATGCGGGCGAGGTGGGCTTCATCCCCGAGGCGTTTGTGGGCCACGTGGCTGGGCTGGCGAGCCACTGCTACTCGTGCCGGGTGCTGCAGCGTGCGTTTGAGCACTGCACCGAGGCGCAGGCGCGGCCGCTGCTCGACGAGCTGCACCACGAAGCGTATGCGCTCATGCAGCACCAGTACGGCAACTACGTCATCCAGTGGGTGCTGCAGCGCGGCCAGCCGCACGACCGCGCGCAGGTCATCGCCAAGATCCGCGGCAACGTGCTCACGCTCAGCAGGCACAAGTTTGCGTCCAACGTGATCGAGGAGGTCATCCGCACGTCGTCCGCCGCGGACCTCGAAGCGCTGGTCGACGAGATCCTCACGCCCAAGGCTGTGCCGTCGGCAGGTGCGGATGGCGACGCAGCGCAGCAGACGACCAAGATCGCACCCGCGGTGTTGATGATGAAGGACCAATTTGCCAACTACGTGCTGCAGCGCTTTTTGGAGAAGGCGGATGCGGCGCAGCGTGCGCGGCTCGTCGAGGCGGTGCAGCCGAGCCTGCTCAGTGCAAGGCGGCTGTCGAGCGCGCACCAGACCAAACACCTCGTCGCCATCGAGAGGCTCATCGAGTCGCTGGCCGAGCAGACTGCCACGGCGGAAACAGCGACCGCGCCGTAACCTGGACACACACACACACACACACACACACACACACACACACGCACATGCACGCATACACCAGTAATAGAGGCTATCGTTTTATTATATCCACATTCCACCTGCATACGCCAAAGGGGGACGGGATCTAATCTTCATCCACCCACTCTTCGTTTGGCGGATTCTGGAGCATGGGGCCTTTGCCGGAGCCGGCGAGAGGAGGCGGGAGGGCGAGGCGGGCGCTTCCGGGGAAGGGAGCGAGCTTCGAGTTGGAGTCGAGGCTGTAATTGGCGCGCGTGCGTCTTCTGCCCACCGAGTGGTGGGCTGGGATCCTTGTGCGCACCACGGGCTGCTGTGGTTGGGCAGGAGCAGGCTTGAAGGCGTACGGTGTATAGTACGCGAGGGTGGAGAGCAGGCCATATGCTCCCCCGCTGGAGGGTGGACGTTCCAGTGCGCGTAGTGCGCTGACGGCTACTGCGGAGCCGGAGGCGGTGGATAGCGATGTAGCTGCAGTAGACACCGAGGGTGGGGGGCTGATCGAATGGACCGAAACGACGCTATGCGTAGTAGTTCGTACCTGTGCCGTGGAGCGCGACACCGAGATCGCACGTGCGTCTTTTGTCACCGATACCTTTCTGCTCCTCTCCCCACCGGTGCGTATACCGAGCTCAGCATACCTGCCGGTAGCTGGTTGGCGCACCGAGCTGCGCGTGCTGTTTATGCTGTCCGTGGCCGAATCGCGCGGCGTCGGCGGTTCCGACCGCTCACTCGGCGTACTAAGCCCATCCAACTGCAGACCCAAACTCTCCCTCGCCCCCGGTGCCAGACTGAGAGCCAAGGCATCCGATCCAGCAAGAAGCATGGCACTCACGCGGCGCGCCTGCTCCTTCACCTGCACCTCGTCCGGCATATACGGCAGCGACTCGGCCAGCGCATCCGCCAACAGCGCCACCAGATTCGCGCCCGCATCCACGCTCGCCACCTTCGGCAGCGCAGCAGGCGGCGATCGCGGCGAAAAGCCAGACGACCGTTGTCGCCGCTCCATCTCGGCATACAGCGCCGAAGAGAGCCGGCGCATCTTGCTGTCCAATTCGGGCGCCTTGGCACTTCCGCGCGTCGACCCCTCACTGCGCTGCCTCCTCGTCTCGACATGCGCGGCAAAGTACTCGTTCGACAACAGCCGCGACCGCTTCTGCGCCGGACTCATGGCCAACTCTGACCTAGCTGGCGACCCCACCGCGCGCAGAGTCACATCGCCCTCGTCATCGTCGTTGAGCACCTCCTGCTGCTCCCCCGCCGCCAAGTTCAGCGTGGCGCGCTTAAAGTCCTTGGCGGCGAGGCCGTAGAGCGGGTGGTCCCTGCCCTTGGACAGGTAGTCGCCGCGACCGGACTCTTCGAACTCGTCCGCCACCGAGCCGGGCACAGTCTCGGTGCCCTCGGACGGCGTCATGCCCACCAGGCGCCTGCGCACGCGTCCCGGCGACAGCGGCGCCGACGAAGTCAGCGACGACACCGAGCACGACATGGCCTCGTCCACCCCGAGCTCCGAGTCGGTGCTCGTGTCCATGCCCGGCGACGCCGCCGGCGAGCTCCCCACGCCGCCCCTGCGCGCCAGTCGCGGGAACGAAGGTGGCGCTAGACTCTGCAGGTCGAGCAGCATCGCTGGACGCGCCAACGGACTGCCCGGGCTCGTGGGCTTGTTCGGCGAGCCCGGAAACGACGGCGCGGTGCGGTCGAGCACAGGCGTACCAGGCAGAGACGACGTACGAGGCGGCAAGGGACTCTTTGGCTGCGGCGACGCACCTGGTCCAGTGATGCCACTCGAGCTCACTGGGCCCGGCGCGATGTTCTCCTTGCCACTCGTTGCCTGTATGGCTGCTTCAGCGGGAGCGTCAATGGACTCAACCGCTGGAACCGCTTCGGGCACGTCCGACAGTCGCAATGACGGCGAGGCCTCCACATCGCCTGCTGGCGGCGCGGGGCGCGAGCGGCCGAGGCATCCTTCGCCGACCATGGCCGGCAGCGTGCGATGCCTGTACCAGGTGGCACCGCCCTGACCGAGCTGTTCCGACGCCGCCGCCTCGTTCGAGGGCCCCGGGTAGTAGTCTCTGTACAGCGCGGGCGACACGGGCATGGTCTTGGCCACCTTGGCCACCGACGCGATGCTGCGAGGCACGAGCGTAGACGCGACCATCTTGATCACAGATGCCGGCACCCATGCTGCCATCTCGCCGAGGTCCGAGACCTGGGTGATCCTCACCGCGGGTCCGCGCGCATCGCGGATGGGCGCAGGCGCCGCGTGCGCCTCGGCCGTATCCGAGGCATCTCGCACATGCCTGCTGCCCGAACTGCTGCCCGAGTTCGACCTGCCTCTGCGACCGAGTGCGAGCAGACCCTTGCGCAGATGCGAGCCCCTGGCGGATGTAGCCGACGAGGGGCTTTTGCCCAGCTCGGACGGGTGAGCGGCGTACGAGTCCGGCACGCCGTCGTCACCGAGATCCTCTACCATGAATCCACCGGTACGCAGCTCGAAGCGCGTGTACCCCTTGCGCGGCGGTAGGCTTGGGTCGACGATGCTCTGCGAGGTGGATACGAGTCGGAGCGGCGCCGCCCCTGCTTCAGAACGCGGCTTGGAGGGCAGACGAGCATCGACGCTGAGCAGGACCATGTCGCGCGCCTTGGCGACCATAAAGATGCTGCCGAAGCGCAGCAGCTCGACGCGTGCGGCTACAGCCTGTGCAGTCTCGCTGGACGCTGATGCGGCGTCGGCGTCTGGCGACGAGGGGCGCGGTTCGCGCGCCAGCCATCTTTTGACCGCACCTTCCTCGACGGTGTTGTCCCAGAGCTTGCGGTTCTCTGCGCTGGCCATGAGCGACCAGAACTGGCGCGCGGTGATGCCGGGCAGCACCGACTGCACGCTGAAGAGGTAGCGGTTGGGGTCGGGATGCGCGCGCACGGTGATGGAGGATGCAAAGCCGCCCGGCGTGGTGGCGGGCGCGGTGGTGGTATAGAGCACGTTCCATTCGGGTATCGGCGTCTCTGGTTCGGACGGTGTGGACGGTTCGGCTGCGTTGGTGGGGGTGCGGGAGGCAGGCGGAAGCAGACTCGCAGAGTCTGGGTCGGCGTAGGCGAGGAATTGGTGGAGCACATCGAGCGACTGCTGCGTAAGGTTGGCTGCCGAGCTGGCTGAGGCATCCGGTGCATCTTTGCTGGAAGTTGCAGTCTGGTGTGTTGGAGGTAGTTGCGGTTTTGGCAGTGGCGGAGGCATGGCTAGCGCCGCAGCACTGGGCTTGGTGGATCTCAGGAATGCCGGCATGATGCGATGCGAACGGCAAAAGAGCGAGGGCCGGCCGGTCAAGGGTACATGTCCGAGCCCACGCCTGTTGCTCTAAAGGCTAGGACGAAGCATGGAAGGGTGTTGTAGGGAAGTTCGGACGGACGCGAATGCGGTGATGGCCGGCTGAGGAGGGAGGGCGGCCCAGGAACGAGAGCATATCGGGCCTGGTTGTTGGACAACGCTGCACGCTGCGTAGTCTCCAAAAAGGGGTCAACAGCGTTCGGCCTGGCGGGGGCGAGCGGCCGTGTTTGTCTCGGCCAGCAGCAGAGTCGGAAATTGGCTCTCTCAGGGTCCTCTCTCTGTCGTGGCTGGCTGTGCGTCCAAAAGCACCTGCGTGGTGACACGCGCAACACGCGTGCCCTCTCCGCCGCCTCTCCGCCGCCTCCACGCTGTTGATGCAGTGCCCAAGCGCCGCGCCACTCAATTTTCGACGCGGCGTCGGGATTCGGAAGTCGGAAGCTGGCACAGCCCTTCGAGAAGCTCCCTGCGTGTCTGAACGCCCGAGGCCGTTGGTGTTTGAGAAGAACAGGCTCGAGCCCTCTCCTCCCTTCCCGCCACTCGACCCCCTTTTGAATCTTTGCCCATCATGCAGGCCGAGGTGGATGCTACACAGGACACCGAGTTCCACGACGCCCTGCGCGCACATGGCATCATCCCGCCCAAACCACCCTCGCGCTCGCCCTCGCCCGAGCTTCCCACCGCCTCGGAGCTGCGCAGCCAGGCGCTCAAACAGGCGACGGTCTCTGACCTCGATCTCGAGCTTGAAGGTGCGCTGGACGATGAAGAGGAACGGCTGCTCGACAAGATCCGTCGCCAGCGCATGGCGCAGCTGCGTGCCGAAACCACCAAGGCGCGTTTTGGGCGCGTCTACCCCATCAGCCGACCGGACTACACGCGCGAAGTGACGGAAGCCAGCAAGATCCACCCCGACACCGAGACCGAGTCTGCGCCTGCACAGCCTGCCGAGGGGACGGATAAGCAGCGTCAGGGCGGTACGGGTGTGGTGTGTTTCCTGTACAAGGACGGCATCGACACGTGCCGACTGCTCGCCGGCTACCTCGACACGCTCGCGGCAAAGTATCCCGCAACCAAGTTTGTCAGCATCGTGGGGGATCAGTGCATCCCCAACTATCCGGACCGCAACCTGCCCACGCTGCTCATTTACCGAAATGGCGAGCTGCATCGCCAGATCGTCGGCCTGCGTCCCGAGATCGGCCTCGACGGCATGAAGACCAAGTGCGAGGATATCGAGTTGCTCCTCACGGCAGTGGGGGCCATCGAGCGCTCGAGCGTGCCCGGTGCACCCACAAACGCGGGCAACGCAAGACCAGATACAATCGACGAGCAAGACGAGGACGAGGAGGATGGAGAGCACAGGAAGCGCGGCATCCGAGATGGCGGTAAGCCAAAGACGCAAGAGGAGCTCGATGACGAGCTCGATTGGGACCTGTAGTCGCCGCGATGTACCATCATTCCGACCAAGATGTAAAAAGCAACGGCAGGAGTTGCACATTTTTGTGGGTGCCGAATGTGCTGCCTGTGGTGAGGGTTGTGTGGGAGAGGGAGGGCGTGTGAATGGATCGGTTGCTGAAGGTGCACAACAAGATCGCAGCTCTGGCACGTGTCTGTCATGAATGGTCTGGTGCGCTTAACCGCCGGTCAGAGCACGTTTCAAACGACCATGGCTTTCGGCGCTGCGACGCTGCGAATTGCACCGATTCCACGCGCTCGCCGCCGGGAGAGGAATTGGATTCTTCTCGCATCTTTTGCTCTCCGCATTCCAATCCCACCGCAACCGTGCACCAACCTCCACCTGCGCTTTGCCTTTGCACTATCATCTGCTCTTGCGCACCACCTCACCTTTGGCAAAAATGACGACGCCTGACCGCTTAGGAGCACCTGAAGACCTGGGAGTAATCGAGCTCTTCGGCACGTCCTCCTCCACCTTTACACGATCCATTGCACTTGGCCTGCACGAGCTGGGGATCCCGTACATCTCCATTGAACGTGCTGCGCATTCGGTCGACATCAAGTCTCGTAACCCCTACGGCACGGTACCCATCCTAGTCCACCGTCCCGACGGACTCTACACCCAGCCCTCGGATATCGTGACGCTGTATGAGCCGAGTGCGATTCGTCGATACATCGACGAGTTCCTGGCACCCATCGTTCACACCAAAGGTAGCGTCAAACACCTCACCCCACCTCTTACCGTCCAGGCGGGGATTAACCATGCCAAAACCGTCATCGAAAGGGCGACCCTCGATGGAAAAGTAGCCAGCTTCATTCAGACACTCTATCCAGCTGTCGAAGGAGGCGTGGTTAAACCGGCGGTGCAGATGAAGAAAAATGGCGCTGATAGAGAGTCCATCCTCGTAGCACTCCAACCGGGACTCGACAGAGTTCATCAACTCTTGGAAATCATCGAACATCAAATGGAATCTTGGGATCAAGGAATTGTGACGTGGGCAGATCTGTTTCTGTATCCCATCGCAGATGATCTGAGGAACTCGCCAGCGGCAGACCTCGTGGCGGGCAACAGCCCTGCTTTCCCAAAAATCGCAACATGGATCACAACCATGGACGCCCGTCCAAGCGTCCACGCCATCAGGTCGTAGCCCCTCATCCAAGCGTAAATTCCACACTGCAAGTCTTGCACGAGAATGCCTGGCCAAGATGCAAGTGAGAATGCTGCTGCGTGCGTGCGTGACATGAGATGCGAAAATCAAGATGCTGTAAAGGGTCTATCGGCAACTAAGTTAGGAGGCCGAGTTGGAGCTCGAGGCGGCCGCATCCGTGGCTGTGTGTGATGGCGCGGCGTCAAAGTCCGGCATGGGCTCGAGCGGTGCATATCCCATCTTGCGCGCCCTGCGTTCTTGCGCCGCCACCGCCTTGTGCGCGCCCTCGGCGGGCTGCCACTCCATCTCGGCATACCGCGGATAGAGCAGCTGCGTCGTAATATCGCCCCACCTCTTGAGCTGCTCGACCCTATACGCGCCCGTGCCATTGCGCTGCACATCGTACCGATTCAGCAGCTCCACGATGAGCTTGCGCATAAAGTCGACAAACACCACGTCCACCACCTCGTCGTCCGACTCGGGCATCGGCTCCGGATTCGACGCCACGTACTCGGGCTGGTCCGGGAAGAACGGCAGCGGCGAGTGCACCGTATCGTCGCCCGCACCCGCACACTGGTCCACAGTCCGATACCCCAACGACGGCTTGTCGAGCGAGTCGTACTTGTGGAAGAACTTGAGCAGCGCCTCGTCCTCCTCGGCCTCGAGCTGCTCCACGCTCTTCGCCGTGACATTGCCCTGCTCGTCGACGTGCTGCCGATCCGCCTGCACCGCCTGCACCGCCTTCTCCGCCTGCTCCGCCTTCTCCGCCTGCAGGAACTTGAACCACTGCGACTTTTGCCAGCGCACGAAAATGTCTTCGACAAACCCGCTGCCGTAGCGCAGCAGCGCATCGCCGTCCGAATACTGCGTGCCGCCCTGCATCACCTCGACCACCGCCCCCTGCTTGAACGTCAGCAGGCCGTGCAGCAGATGCTTGGCAACGCCCCACGGCACATCCGCCATGTACAGGAAGCGGTCCTTGAACGGCGACACGATGTACTGGTCGTTGCGCGTAAACGGGCCCGAATACACGTCGAAGCGCTGCGAGCCGCTGTTGATCAGCACCAGACTCTTGCGGTCCTGCCGTGCCTTTTCCGACGGCCGCACCACCTTGGGCAGCACCTCGTCCGCCAGGAGACTGAGCAGACTCGAGCTGTCGCCGTACGGGACGCGGTCGAGGTAGTAGTCCTGCGGAACGACGCCGTGCAGCCGCGAGAGGCCCCACGCCTCGGAGATGGCGTCCATGATGAAGCGGATGAAGCTGCCCTTCTTGGTGGCGAGCTCGCGCGGGCTCTTGAGTCCGAGGTGGTGCGCAAAGTTGCGCGGATTGGAATCGATGTAGCGACGGGTGAACTTGACTTTGCCCTTGTTGCCGGCGCGCTTGCGTTTCTGGAGGTCGCGCATGCCCATGAAGCCGACGGTCTCCATGTAGCGGCCGCTCTCGAGCGCCATGGTCTGGCTGTCGAGCATGCGGCAGTCGCGCACGTGCGTGTGGCCGCCGAGGATGCTGATGGGCGTGTCGGGGAAGCGCGATCGGATCTTGGCGTGCACGGCATCCCAGCCCGCGTCGCCCGAGACGGGCATGTGGCCGAGGACGATAAACGCATCCACCCCCCACTTTTCCGCGCGGTCGAGGCTGTGGTTGAACCAGTCTTCCTCCACCATCTCCTGCGGCGGCTGCACCTGGATCCCCTTGGCCGCGAGCTTGAAGTCGAACAGGATGCCGTATGACATGATCTTGAATCCTTGCACGGGCGTGACGAGCGTGTTGAAGAGCGAGCCGATGGGCGCGTAGGTGGCATTGGCGGCGTCCGGGCCGGGCAGAGCGATCTTGACGTTGCTGGTCATGTAGCGCCCGCCCCACTGCGGCACAAAGTTCTGGTAGACGTCCTGAGCGACGCGAAAGTCGTAGAGCTCATGATTGCCGATCGTGAGGAGGTCGTAGTCGACCATGGAGAAGATCTGGTTGCTGACGTGGCCGTCAACCGCCTCCTTGCCGCCGGGCTCGTCCTTATTGTATGGCGGGAAGCCGTCGGCGAGACCGGTGCCATCGTGCAGATCGCCGACGTCGAGGAGCAAGAGGTCGCGGCCTTCGGAATGCGCTTTGGTACGCATCTTTGTCGCAAAGGAGGCCCAGTGACCCCAGTCGCCCGAGTAATTTGGCTCGGGAGGGGATAACTTGGGGTGGCCCGCCATATGGCCGTGTACGTCCGTGGTGACGAGGAGATTCAGATCGCCGAGCTCGAGCTCGCGCAGCTTATCGTCGGATCTGGGCATACGGCCACGCTCGCGGCTCCAGCGCTGGAAGCCTTCGACCTCGGCGCGGTAGTTTGCAAGCGAGTTGGCATCGGAGTCGACATGGTGGTTGAAGATGAGCTTGCTCGACAGCGGCTCGACTGGCGGACTTGCTACTGTTGCCGAAACGGCGGCGAGGGCGACAAGAGCGGCGCATAGCAGACTAGAGAAGGTGCAGGCCGATGTTCGAGACGGTGGCGGCGGGGCCACGGTGGCGGTCACCATCGGGAAGCTGCCAGGCGAATGTGCCGCTGAGAAAGTTGGCGTGATGCAGCTGCCACGCTCACCGCCTTCACTGATCTTGGCTCAGGGCGACATGTTCCCGGACGAGCGCAGCGCTTCGAAACGGCGGGAGGTTGGCAGCGCGATGATCGCTGAGAATGTGATGGTGAGTGACAGAGGAACAAAAGCTCCGATTTCATGTGGTGGGGACGGAGGGGCGCCGAATTGTGACGGCACGCTTTCCTCGGCAGGACCGAGTGCGGAAGTGCCGTGGGCAGACGCTTTTTTTCCCCCAACAGAAGTCCAGCCGCGTGATGAGGTGGAGGGCAGAGGCTCGATTCATGCACGAGCCGACGGACGCGCCGATGCTCAACATCCTGCCGAGCGCACTGATCCGACTCGACTCGACTCGACTGTGACGACGAAACGATCAGCTCCAACACAGCGCCGCCTGCTTTCATGTGAGCACAATCGAAAGGCACAGGCGGCCCTAGTGACAATCAAGATGCGGAATGGTATAGTATTAGTTTACAGAGCCGGGCGATGTTACGGGGCGACTTCCTCTGCAGAGCGTGGCAAGGACAGTGGGGTGTCAGAGGAAGAAAGGAGCAGAGGCGGATGATAGCCAGATCGACATCGATAGGGATTCGGTTGCGCGTGCTCTTATGAAGTTGCGGCGAGGGAAGAACCCGAGGCGGCTTTGGTCGACGACTTGCCTGGTGCCTTGTTGAGCTTCTTTTTCTTCTTCATCATGGCCGAGGCAACCGCCGAGCGTACATTCTCGACAATCTCGCGGCTCTGCTCGATGTACTCCGAGTCTTCGATGCGTTCCTTGCGCTTGCTGCCCGTCGCCGCTGCGCTTTGAGGCGCCGGACGACGGCTCGGTCCCGCCTCGGGACTGACGCTGCGATCGTCAAAGTCCTCGCCAGCATCCATCATCTTGTCTGCAGCCTCGGCAAGATCCCGTTCGCTTCGAGGCGCGCGTCCGAGCATCCTCTCCAGCTTGGCGTACTTCTTCTTTTGCGCCTCGTCCATCTGGCGCTTGCGTTCCGACTCGCCCTCGAGGTACTCGGCGAGCTTCTTGGCCTCTTTTAGAACACCGAGACGGCGGCCGTTGAGATCGCGACACGCATCGTTGTTCGTGTTGCGTGCATTCGCCGACATCTTGCCACCCTGCGATCGCAGCATCGATCCGAATCCTCCCTTGCCGCCACGCAGCAGCGCTCGCACTTGCAACACTACGGGGAAGCCTTCCTCCCCCGTCGCCAGGCTGCACAAGCTCGATGAGGGCGCGAGTCGGCGTCCATGGTGGGTGGCGGCGAATGTTGTGGTAGAGTCGTGGCTAAGCGCCTCTTCGAAGCCCTGCAGAACGTCAGACGCAAGGGCATTGGATGGCAGCGAGAGGCTGAGGTGCCTCGGGAAGGGCTCGAACGATTCGACGAGCACCGAGATCATGGTTCACACTTTGTTGGAAGGATGCAAGAGAGGAAGATCGGGAGTGTTGGTGGTTGCTGCGCCTTCCTAAGAGTTCCGTCCGAGATGAAGTGGGCGGTGGCGACGAAGATGGTGGTGGGAGATCAGGCCGAGTCGAGACGAGCTGAGCCCGATTTGCTCGAATTTCCTCCTCCGCGCCGCGCCCAAAGCCGCCGAATTTTAGCGCCGCCCAACTGAGCGGCGCGACTCCTAAAGCCGATGCAGGGTCTCCGCGTCCAACTGAAAAGCTCATCTGTTGTTGTTTGCTCCACTACGAGGGTCCACAGCGTTGGCTCAAGCTTCTTCCTTCAACATCAACCCACCATAGGCGACAGTCGCTTGACACTCCTCGTCACTTCTGATCTTGTGCGGTCGCATCGAATCACAATGTCCACGCTCCGGCCATGACGCTTCTCGGCCCGCCTCTTCCCAAACACTGCATCGTCGCAGAGCCATGACCAACTCGCACGGATACGTGCTCGAGTATCCTCGTATTCGAGTCGACCACTTTGATCAGGCGCCCGTGCCACTTCCCGCATCCCTACTTGCCCATCGTCGCTCCGTAGTCGGCCATGGCGCCGTCCACTCTCGACAACACAGCGAGAGCCTGCAATTCGAGCCCGCACAGACGCACTTCGACAAACCGCTGCTCTATCTCCTGACCCACATACACACGGACCACCTCAAAGGACTCGACAGACCCGGCATCACCGCCCCCATCTACTGCAGTGCAACCACGAAACAGCTGCTGCTCCGATATGAACGCCAAAAGACCAGGATCGAAAAGGACCGCGATGCGCAGGCTGGAAAGACCCTCAGCGTGGTTCGGCCCTACGCCCACCTTCGCGTGACGACAGATCACGCTGCTGCCAGGTCCAAGCTTTCTGGATACCACGCTAGCAGCCTTGATCTACTGCATCCTCTGCCATACAATGTGCCCACCAAGGTCCCTTACACACCAACTTCCACAGTGACGCTCACCTTGATCGAGAGCAACCACATGTTCGGCGGCACCATGTTCCTGATACAAGGATCAAATGGCGCAGTGTTGCACACCGGAGACATGCGGGCAGAGCCTTGGTGGTGCGAAGCCCTCACCCGCAATCCGATGCTCTCTCCTTATCTCTTCTGGCCAACCGCAGGCGCCGAAGTGGGCTCCAACGACCACCCAACGACTGAGCAGTGGGCCGAGCAGATCGAATCTTTCGATAGCTCCACCACCTCATCTCATCAAGGCAGCGAAATCTTCTCGCAATCCCAAAACGAGTCGCAGACTGCTTTTGGCACCCGGCATCATACTGGCAACGCATCAGGCCCCAATACTTCGACTCGTGGAGCACGCAGGTCTGCATTACGCCTGCGAAACATCTACATCGACACCGAGCTCCTTCTGTGCAACCAACACGTGCCGACGAAGCAACAAGCCTGCCTCGACATGGTCGCACTTATGCGCATGTATCCCGCCAACACACACTTCTTTCTCAATTGCTGGACATGGGGCTACGAAGACATGCTGGTAGTCACCGCCAAAGCCTTTGGCTGCAAGATCCATGTCGACCGCTTCAAGTACCTCATGTACAAAGCTGCCCGCAACGAAGCGCCCTTCCTCGCCGACATCGTCACGCAGGATCATACCAAGACCCGCTTTCATGCTTGCGAGAAACGCGAACCCTGCGTCTCGGTCAGGTCACTCGCCTCTCGCTATGCCAACGACACCAGTGCTGCCTTGGCTAAACAGGTCGTGGCTGCACATTCGCAGATGGACAGCAGCAGCCCCGATCCGCGGCAAAGGTGGGGACCAGTGCGCTCGCAGCCGGAGCCCCTGTTTGTCTATGTCAATCCGGGTCAAGTGAGCGCAGATCAGTGGCAGAGCATGTTCGAGGATACAAAGCAAAGGCTTCAAGCTGCGCAGAGGCACGAGACCGCATGGCCCGAGGCACTAATCGTGCCCATCGAGCGCCATTCGACTCTGCCCGAACTGCAAAACTTCGTCGGACTCTTTCGGCCTAAGACCGTCTCGCCCAATACGATTCTCGATCCAAAGGGCGGCCTCGACTACTACCTGCTTCATCACCTGTTTGGCCACGTGCTTGGAGGCGCACATGACCGCCAGCAGCTCGCTGATCAGGGTCTGCTCATGCTTGGCGACAAGACATGGAGCTTCTACGAGGCTCAGCTTGCCCGCGCGAGAGAAGAGGCCCTGGCTCAACGCAACGCTGGCGCTGACTCGACAGAGGCCGTCCGCGCAGCGAGTGTCAGTCTGAGGGATGGGCAGGCAGACGGCGTCGGCGAGAGCATCGACGCGAACCAGCTCGAAAGGCTATCTAGACTGCGAGGGATCAGTTTCAAGGGGTTGATGATGCAGAATATGGCGGGCAACCTAGCTGCCATGCTCGAGATCGAGCGCTGGCGCAAAGCCGCGGGCATCCACGAGCCGCCAGACGAGCTCGAGAGCGTGCTTCAACAATCTTCGGGCGACGTCGCTGACAGAACCAATGCCAGCTGGTCGAGTAGGGGCTACGACGCCGATCACAGCCAGCTTGGCGAGACGCAGGCAATTCCGAAAGGCGTGTCGCTACGTCTGCACAAGGAGACGACCGGTACTCACCAGAACAAGCCGAGCCCTGCGCCCGAGCCAGCTTCGATACACAGTGAGCCGATCGACTCGGCACGGGAAGTGGACAGGCATTCTCGTATCCCACCCATTCCCGATCTTGGCGAGGCGAGTGTCCCGGCCAACCGCGCTGATGCGATGGGTGCATCTGCCAACGCTCCATTGGAGTCTCAAGTGTCGCAGAGCTCGGTCGGCGAACCCGTTACTGAGCTCACTGAAGACCTGGCAAGTCGGTACCTCAACGTGTTGATCCACCACTTCAACGTGCCGTTTGACCGGTCGACTCCTGCCAACGCCACGCACATCCAGCTGTGGGGTTTGGTTCGCACCAAGCTGCCCGCTGACGCGCAAAAGGTCGAGGAGCACTGGTTTCGCGAGACGGGAATGCTGCCTCCGCTGTGGAGCCCCGACGTCCACGCCCCAAGCCAGCAGCTGCAGCCGACTGCGCAACGAGGTCGAGGAGCGACAAATGAAGCACAGAGCACCGACGGAGGCAACGCATTTGCGGACGTGCTCGCGTCGTTCGTCGACATGCTCGCCGCGGCATCTACCCAAGAAACCCCGGCAGCCCCGACGCATGGCGACCGCGCGGTTGCGCTGCAACTCATCTTGCGGCTCTTCGCCAAGCTCGGCTTCCACGACCGTGTGCTGGCGGAGTCGTACGAGTCGTCACACCGCCATACGCACTCTCACAGCCACACGAGCTGTGCTGCCGGCAGCATGCAAGCATGGCAAGCGATTGCTGTGCCACTCACCGGCCTTGCCCACCAGCTCGCCGACGGCCTTCAAGTCGTCCCTGCGCTTCTTTCAGATGGGAGCTGCGGTCGAGGAAGCGAGATGCATTTGCTGGGTCTTCAGGTGGCCGGGGTGCTGCTGTCGTACCGGCCGCTCAACGCGGTTGTGTCAACGCCGGCCATGCAGGCGCTGCTCGAATCGGTCATTAGCATCGTCGAGGCGGCGCCGAGCGATTGGGACGGAGCAGAGGGGGACGCGAAAAGGGTCGTTGCGCTCGCATGTGGCGTGCTGCGAGCAGAGGAGATCGACGAGCGCGTACTCGCCAAGTACGATGCCAGACTGGTGCAGCTCGCCAGGGATCCTGATGGGCCGTTGAGGTCTCTCGACGGTCTGCTGGATACCCAGAGCGGAGCATCTGCAACGCAGTCGTCGATCCAGCATACTGAGGCACAAGAAGGCGAGCAGGTGAGCGTGGACGTAGAGGAAAGCATGCCTGTGCGTGCGCCGCGAGCAGCAGCTGCATCCCCAAAGCCAGCACCCCCAAAGCCAGCACCCCCAAAGCCAGCACCCCCAAAGCCAGCACCCCCAAAGCCTGCACCCCCAAAGCCGGTATCGATGCAGTGCTCGCAAGAGGCAGTGGGGGGAACCGACTCGATTGTAGAAGCGACGTCCGAGGACCCGATCGAGTCGGTCGAGTCCAACCGCCTCCAGGCATCGCAGGCGTCCGAGTCCGCCACGCAAGAGGAAGATTCCACCCAGTCCGAATCGGCACTCTCCTACAACCCCGTCCGAAAGCTCGTGCCGCCTCGCTCCATCGACCGCACTGCATCGCTCCCTAGTCTCCACGTTTCGGCCGATCTCTCGCGCTCCACACGCAAGCGCAAACCAGCAGATCCCGATCGAGACATCCTACCACCCCGTCGCTACCACCGCTAGAAATTGACGTCTTTATTACTTTCCTGTGATGCTGCTTTTGGTGATGTGGGTGATGTGGCTAAAGAATGGAGCGGCAGAGCGGGCATGTGCTGGCACCCGAGGTTGAGATCCATTTGAACAGACAGCCGGCGTGGAACTTGTTCTTGCACGTCTTGCACGGTTTCGTCGGCAGGCTTCTGTCCATGGGCGAGATGATCGAGTAGCAGATGGCGCATTCGTCCAGGCCCTGGAACTGCACCTCGGCATTGCGCTTGAACAGGCTGAGCGCATCAAAGATCAGACCGTTCTGGCCCGTGATGAGTTGCTGGACGGCAAGGAGCCACGAACGCCACTTGGCCTCGGTGATACCCACGCGCTGGATGTCGCGGATCTCGACGCCGTGGAGCGGGAAATCGGCAGGGATCTTGACACCAATCTCCATGGGATGCTCGTCCACCACGTACGTCGCAATTACCTCGTTGGTCGAGAGGATCTTGATCGACAGTGCCTCGTCCTGCAGCTTGGCCAAAGCTTCGGGCTCGCGCAGGTGCGACAGCTCGCGGTTCGCAATCACGGGCGAACAGTGTCGTGTGGTGAAGCTGGCGATCTGCATCGAGTGCTGCCGGTCCTTGATGTTGACCCACCAGCTGCGCACCGTGGTGGGCACGTGGATGAGCGCACGCAGATACACGTGCGCCGCAAGCACCTGCAGCACCGTCAGCGACGACTCGGCATCCATCTCGTCCAGGAACACCTCTTCCAGCACAAACCGGCTCGGATCAAATGGTCGTCGACTCTCGTCCGCCAACCCCACCAGTGCGAAGACCGTGGGCAGTAGAGAGTCCACCAGCAACTGACGCGACTCGATCTCGCCCAGGAACGTCGACTTGACCGACAGCGACGCGTTCTCAAAGTGCTCGAACACCGCGATCCACGAGAGGAAGTAGCCAAACGCCGTGCGCCTCGCCGCATCTTCCTCGACGAGCAAGTTGAGCTGCGAGCTGAGGCTGTCGCCCACGTTGGCCACGAGTGCCGCGGGCAGCTTGAGCTTTTGCTGGCCCTCTTCGGTCGCCAGCGCCTCGCGGTCCACGGCCGACTCGACCACGAGCTCCTTTACGTGCTCGCGCACCGCGGCGGTGAGCAGGCGGAAGCTGAGCACCTGCACCTCGTGCGACGCACTCTGCACCATCAGCTTGCACAGCGCCGGCGCGGTCTCGTGCAACTTGAACGGCGCCTCGGACGTTTCGCGGATGAGCTCGACCACCAGATCGATGCACGCCTGCTTGGGCGCCGACACCGCGTGCTGCTGCGCAAGCGACAGGAACAGCTCGCGCACCAGCTCGATGCACCCTGCACTGCGCTCCTTCCAGTACTCGCGCAGGTTCGCATTGCGCGACGCCAGATCGCGCATCACATCGAGCAGCTGCAGCGTATGGTACAGCTGCGCCACCGTCTCGTCCTGCTCGAGCGAGCAGAACTCCAAGTTGGTCTCGAGCACGTCGAATACAAAGTCAATGTGGCTGCCCTGCACGTCTTGCACCACCGGCAGCACGTGCACAAACAGCTCGGCCAGCCGCGTCGACGCCTCCTCCTCCGGCTCCGAGTCGGCATCCTCCGAGGTATACCACTTCTGCAGATCCTTGAGCAGGAAGATCGCTCGTTGCTGCGGGATGATCGACAGTTCCGAGTTCACGGGCGGTGCCAGCGCCACCAGCGCTTGCAGCGAGCGCAGCATGCGATCCGGCGCCGAACCCGACAGCTTGGCTGCTGCCCCGTTCCGCAGGCGGTCGTAGCCGGGAGCCGAGCCCGCGATCGACTTGGCGGCATGGAAAACGGCCGTCGTCATCGCCGGCATGCGGTCCTGAACAGCGTCGCCCAGCTTGAGCCAGCGGTCGGCACCGGCTTCAGTGACGGTGCCGAAACTGAACACGGCGTTGAGCAGGCGGTGGAAGATACGCGCGAGGAAAGCACTCGGCGCTTCCAGGCCAGCGGCGGTCTGCCACAGCTTGGAGAGAACGTGACCGATGCCGTCCTTTTCCACGTCGACGATGCTGGAGCGCTGCAGTGAGGCAACTATGTCGTTGTGCCAGTTTTGGGTCACAGTGTCGCTCAGCGACGAGACCAGAGCCGTGACGACGGTGACTGCGTTCTGCAGCCACGCGCGGTGGGCCGTCGGAGCAGCTGCTGACTCGAGCGCATGCTTCGAGGCACCAGGGAGCAGCAGGTCATCTTCGATCAAGATCGAGAGCATGACGACGAGCGGCAGCAGATCAAGATGGCGGCGAGCGTTCGCTCGATCCCTTTCAGTCATGAGGAGCGCCGCCAAGCCCACGCGAGCAAAGATGCCCAGGCCCTGCTGGTCGAACAGCCGATCGAATGCGGTGCTGGCCGAGTCGGAGACCGCATGTTGCGGAACCAGTGGGTCGAAGACGAGCAAGGCAGGATGTGTGCGCTGCTTGCAAGCCTTGGCCATCATCTCGGCGAGCTCCTTGGGCTCGGGTAGCACGGCGACGTCGTAGTCTGCTGCAGCGACGATTCGGACGACTGGCACCTGGATGTCGAGCAGATGCTCCTGCAGACTGGCGAGCGCTTCCTCGCGCATCTGCTTCTGCAGCTCCGGCGAGGCGTTCTGGGTGATTTGCTGGTGCAGGTCTCGCGCCTTGCGCCACACCCCGCTGAATGCGCGCTCCTTGTCCGTCCACTCCTGCTCGAAAAGTTCGCCATCGTCTTTGTCTGCGGAATGAAGCGCAAACAGATCCGACAAGGCCGCAATGACGCCTTTCGACGCGGCACGAGAAAGCAACAGCTGCGCGACGTCCTCCTTCGGCTGCGCTTGCCTCCAAGCATCCAGACAGTCGAGCAAATCTTCGACGACAATAACCGCCCTCTGCTGGCGCACGGCAACATCCGCGTTCACCTGGGCTCGCTCCAGCAGGGTCCACCTGAGCTGTTCAATGGTGGACGTCACCATGGACAGCATCGACTGGCTCGAAGCCTGGTTGACGAAGGGGCTCGGCTGGGCGAGGATGGCTGCGACAACCTTCTTCAGACGGTGACGCAACTCGTCGGGCAGGCCCGAGCCATCACAGAGCGAGATGATGAGCTCCATGACGAGGTCTTCAATACCGGCTTCTGGCGAAGGGACGGGAAGCTGCGCTCCCGAGCTTGGGTCGGCTTCGATCGACTTGCCAACAGCGGCAGAAGCCGCGACCAGCTCGGTCATGGCGTCGACCTGGTCCGACAGCTCGCTCAGAGCGGCCACGGAAGACAGCGTCTCGGTCCAGATGGATGCACGCGTCTGCTCGCCCTTGCAGAGCGGCAGGTATGCTGCGAGGAACGTGGCCGCTGGAGCAGGTGCCACGCTCTTGATCGTCGTCAGCTGTGGAATCGACACGCCGGCAATCTGTGCCAGCTGCTCCGACGCGGACGAGTCAAGCGCGTCGGGAAAGCTGACCACTGCCCGTAGCAAGAGACACAGGAACTCGGTCAACAGCGTTGCTCGCGCTCGCTTGAGATCGTGCGGCATGTTGGCGTCAGCGGCGATGCCGGCCAACGATGACGAAGCAAGCTTCGCGAACGAGCCCAAGCTGGAGGCAGAGGCGCGTCGAAGTTCACCACCCGTGGACTGGGCGTCGGCAGGGGCAAGAGCAGCGTAGAACGACGTGGCCCGCTCCAACGAGGTGAGCAGACGTGCCTGCGCAGGTGGCGATACATCTGCGGGTGCCTGCGACAGCGCCTGAACGATGGAAGCGACATCCGACTGCGCATCCTCGAGGAACGATCCGAGCAGCTGCAGGTCCGGGGCCGCAGAGGCGAGTCGTCGCACCTGCACTGCTAGGTCCGAAACGATGCGCGTGGAACCGATGCTCTTGATGCGCTGCGCCCTAGCGTCCTCGTCGCCCTCATCAGCATCTATTGCAACGCCAAGCGCGGAGAGCAAACTCTTCTTGGGAAGCAAGAGCTCGTTCCAGGCAGCTCCGAAGTGGGTGCGTACGAGCTCCTTTGCCGAAGTCGCGGCGTCCTTGTCTGCGGCAGAATCTTGTCGTGCCATACGCTGTGAAAGGAATGCGACGCATTCGACGAAAGAAGCGAGGAAGGCGCGGCAGCCTGTGGGGTCGAAGTCGAGAGCTCTGCTGTACAGCGCGGAGAAGAATTGCGTGAGAAGGTCTGAAGCGGCATCCAAGTCGTCGTAGGGAAGAACTTGAGCTGGGATCGTCGAGATGAAAACAATCACTGCCGGGTAGCCCAACGCTGGTGCGCCGCCGCAGGCGGACTGCAGCCATTGCAGGAACGAGGTGTAGGCACGAGGTACGGGGCGCGAGGTAGAGACGCCGTTGCCCTTGCCATCCTCACCGCCAGCATCGGCATCGCTGTTGGTCTCGTCGGCATCTTCGTCGTCGTCCTCATCGCTGTCGTCCTCGTCGCTTTCGGACTCTTCCTTGTGTGGGTTCGAGTTCTGTGGGCTGCCGCCTTTTTGAGCGGCGCCGGCCGTACCAATGAGCCACAGCTCGGGCCTCTTCTTCAGCAAGGGCAGAGCCGCCTCGAGCATGGTCCTCTGAACGGCATTGTCTCGCTCCTGCCAGATGGACGTCAATGCCACCGGACCAATGGTCTGCAGATGCTTATCGACAGTGTCGGGAATCGAGTCGAAGAGGGCACGGAGCAGAGTCCATGCGCGCAGACGAACTGCAGGCGAATCGAATCCAAACGAGGTAACCTGAGGTTGTGCCTCTGACCGCGAGGCTGCAGAGGAAGCCAGGTTTTGCGGCGAAAGAGAAGCCCAGACGAGTCGAGAGGATAGCACGTCGTCCAGCGCCTCGATGACATCTTGCCCGGGCTTCTGCCTTACGATTGCAGTAAGCACGGCGAGGGCACCGGCCACTAGCCTCTTGTCGAGCGCGGCTGTGTCTTCTTCGACATTGCTGTCGTCGCGATTCTTGGCATCGCGCTCCACACCTGCACCCAGCTGGGGTGTGGCTTGACCGGACGAGGTTCGGGACATGGACGGGTCCGACGCTGCAACGGCGTGGGCTGCCGTCATGGAAAGGGCGTAGGACGGCGACGAAGACAGCAGGATTGTGCGGAGATGCGCCAGGAGCGTTTCGCTGTGCTCGTTCAGGTCCAATTTGAGCGCTTCTGGAGCACCAGCCGATGCTTCACTTGCGACGACGTCTTTCCAGGTGCAGGTGTCGAGCCATGCTGCCCGGCCCAGACGCTCGATCGATCGGTCCGTGTCGTGGCAAAGAATGGCCCAGGGACCAAGCATCGCCTCGATGTATTGCGGCGACTCGAGCAGCTCTGATCGCGTAGAAGTCGTATCATCGGAAGATGTGTCAGAGCCCTTTGCGAGCAGCAAGGTCTGGATCTGCATTGTGAGCAGACGAAGACGACGGGTTGGCGATAAAGCGAGACGAGGGAACAGATGGACCCAGCTAGGCAACATCATGACAAGTGCTTCCCTCTTCTCCTCGGACGTCAAGCGGGATGCTTCGTTCGCCTCGGAATCGGCGGCGGGCGCGGATATTTCGAAGGCGTCCTCTACCCAGGCCAGAAGGCCTTCGAGCGCACGGCAACGTGTAATGACATCCTTCTTGGAGGCTTTGCGCAGCAGAACGACGAGGTCGGCCGGAAGCAACGAAGCCAGGCCCATCGAGTCGAGCGGGTCCGGAAGCGGTTGTGGAGGCTTGGGCGGGGGGATGTACTGCTTCTTCTTGTCAGCCTTGCCCTTCTTGCCGCCCTTGCCGTCCTTCTTGGACTTGTCCTTCTTCTGGCCTCTTTGCAAGCCGTGTTGCTTTTGCTTTTCCATGGCCTCGGCGAGTTCGGGATGCAGGAGATTACCGTCATCGTCGCGCTCGTAGGCTTTCTTGTTGGCCGCCTTTGCAGCCTGCTTCTTGCGTGTTGCTGAAGAGGCCGACGACTTGCCCTTGGGAGCTCCTTTCGCCATGATGGGCGAGGTTCCTTGACCGAATGAACGAGTTCGGTTTACTCGAACGTGCTGGGCAAGCTGGCGGACGATCGAGCGCTCGTGTGCGACGGAGGCGGGAGGATAGGGCACCGAGGGAAGGATCGTTCGTTCTTCTCGACGCTGCTTGCCAACGCCGTGTGACGTTGCTGTCGTCCGCACTTGCCCTGACCCGCGCCTGACGAACTGTGACTTCCCGAAGAAAAAGGTGGAGGGCTGACTGCGCTGAACTGAGCCTGCAGCTCCCGATTTCGCGCCCCCGCGCAGCCCGATGGCGATATTTTCAAGAGCCATCCACGACCGGACTGAGCCTTGGAAGCATCGCGCAGTGACTGTCTCCATCCTCTTGCCTCACCACCATCACATCGCCAAACTATCTTGGCACATTCGCTCCTTTCTTCTGGTGCTGCTAGCGCATATTAGGAAAGGCGTGGATGCGCGAGTGCCTGTTCCGTTGAGCATCACAGGCATCCGTGGTTGTGCTCCTTGAGACGACGAGCTTCGATCATGTCCGTGTCTGCTGCCGACGCCGGTGCCAAGGCACCCGACGTGCCAATGGAGGCTGTCCCTGCCCTCGACACGGCCAACGGCACATCCTCCGACTCGGCTGCAGCTGCGGCCGCCCCTCGTAGAGGAACTCGCGCTCGTAAGCCTACTTCCAAAGCTGCTGGCGTGGATGCGGCCGAGGCTGCAGCGGTACAAGAAGCGCAACAATCCTCCACGCGGAGCGCCAAGAAGCGCAAGGCAGATGAGCTCGCAGCAGACACCGCTGCAGATCCTGACTCCATCAACAACGAAGTCGCCCAAGTCTTCGAAGGCGCCTCGGGCCATGCCTCGGACGCTGACAACGATGAAGACGACAAGCAGTACTGCATCTGCCGAGGCAAAGACGACGGCACTTTTATGATCTCGTGCGAGCGCTGTCAAGAATGGTGAGTGCGACATTCTGCCGACACTACGGCCAAGCCGCACGATTATGAGCTGACCAACTTGACGATCAACATTCCTCCCTCTCCAGGTTCCACACCAAATGCATCGGCATCACACAGAAGGCCGCCAAGAAGCTGGACGAGTACGTCTGCGAATCGTGCTCCAAAGCAGACATCAAAAAGGCTTCCGGTAAGTGCCGTCACGCCATTGATAGAGCAAGAACCAGTTCGATCCCTGAGCCAGACCACTGACCCACAATGCATCACCATCCCACAGCTAAACCCTCGAAGCGGTACAAGTCTTCAGCAAAGAAGAAAGCGACTTCATCTCAAGAACCGCAAGACGACGAAATGGAATCAGATGATGCGCAGAACGAAGACGAAGCCAGTGACGGTGACGAGTACATCGGCGAGCATGGCGAGAACGCCTCCGACGCTGAAGGCGCTCCCAAAGAAGATGCATCGTCATCGGCCAAGCCGGCACGCACAAGGCGCCTCCAAAAGTTGGGCGGTGATGCTTCTCAGGCGATGAATGAGCTGCCTGACTCATCCAGCAGCGACACCGATATCCGAAGCAAGCCATCTCAAGGCGCGAGAAGACCCAGTGGTGCGGCCAAGTCGGCCTCTGGCGCTGGTCCCAAAAAAGGCGGTCCGCGTAGACCCACCGGCCCCACCGATGCAAGCACGGAAGACGCCAGATCCCGAGCGCGCAAGGTGCTCGCCACGGCCTTGGAGAAGATCTTTGCCACCCATGGCCCCGAATCCGCCTCCGAAGAAGAGGAAGAGACTGACGCACAGCGAGGCGAAGCGTACGCTGCGCTACTCGAGGCCGAGCTGTTCGATGCGACTGCCGACGCGTACGGCTCGATCCGCGTGGTGGCTAGCCGATACAAGGATCGCTTCCGCACGTTTCTTTTTAGTCTAAAGGATGCAAAGAATACGACGCTGCATTCTCGGATTGCATCGGGCGAGCTCGCGGCTGCTGAGCTAGCCAGGATGTCCAACGAAGAGCTCGCCAACGACGCCATCCGCCAGGCGACTGAGAAGGCGCGCCTCGACGCGCTGCATCGCAGTACGCTCCGCGCAGAAGAGGCCGGACCCATGCGCAAGATCACGCACAAGGGCGAGGTTGAGATTGAGAGCGACGCGCTGCTGGCGCGCGACCAGCCGGACAAGTTCCAAATTGACGTCGATCGCAAGACCGACGCCCATCAACGCATCTCTGAAAGCGAACCCGCCATCCCCACGCAAGGACCGGCTTCCCCAGGATCTGATTCGGTCAAGGAATCTGAAGAAGGACTCGAGGAGACAGGCGCGACGACCCCCGACCGCACGGTTACACGCAACTCGGCGCCAGCACCCAATGTAGCGCAGGGCTCGCCTACAAGGCTCAACTTTGGCGATGTCTGGGCTCGGAGCGCAGACAGCAAGACGCAAGATGACGATCCGAACGACCACGAACCGACCGAATCCTACGGCTTTGATGTGGGCTCGCCCCACGACGAAGCGTACGGACACGACGCGGGTGTGGAAACGGAGGGCGCCGCAACGAGCGGTGCCGACGACTTTATCGACTCCTTCCTGGATGGCAAGGACGATCACGACGCAGAAGAGACCTCGACCTCGAAAGACGCCACGCAAGCCGCCGCAAGATCAACCACGCCTGAATCCGAACCCAGCGGACTTGCTCGACATCGCTTCCGGACGGTCATTTGGAACGGCCTCATGGACCTGCCGGATATCTTTGCGTTCAAAGGGCACGTCAAGCAAGTGGCCGGACGCAGCATCGCGCAGGCGCCTCGGCTGTGGACCAAATTCCTGCCCGACCGACCGCTGCTCATTGCCGGTCGGCTTCCTACCAAGGCTGCTGTCGACTACCTGCTGCAAGTGGCCAACGCTGCGCGAACCGAGATTCTGGCATTCGCCCTGGAGCCCGGCGCGATCAAGGACGGAGCGACGCAAGCGACTGAATCAGATCGGACCAGCTTTGACGGCATCCTCAAGCACTTTCAAGACGCCGACCGTTGGGGAGCGTTGCACGTGTCTTCGAGCGTCAAGGGTAGTCTGATCAAGGACTTTTATGTTGCGCCGCTGCGGAAGGAAGACGAGGTGCCGCTGTGGCTCGACATGGCCGAGTCGGATTGCCTGGGCACGGACTGGCATGCGAAGCGCGACCGCGACATGCTGATCCTCGTTGCTGTCGTCATCCGCGACTCGCTGCAGGCGGAGCTGGTCAAGGCTGAGAGAGGAGGCAGCCGTCATCGCAGTACTACCAATGACGGCGCCAAGCCGCAACAAGAAAACGCAGGTGCGGAGGCTGGGGAGGCATACGATCCGACTGCAGGCATCAGCATCCCACTTGGTCCTTCGAGTGGGACGGGAGCAAGTGCAACCGCACCGGCTGCTCCTGGCGCTCCTGCTGGATTCGGGTCCGATGCCTTACAATCTTTACTGCGCACGCTGGGCAAGACGACGCCTGCTGCTCCGGCGAACCCGGCAGCGGTGTCATCTCCTGCGGCTGGAGCCTCGATGATGGCGAATGTGGGCGGTGCGACACCGCCTGGGCCACCACCACCGGGACCGCCTCCTGGTCCGCCGCCCATGCTTATGCCTCCTGGTGGCAGCGTCCCTCCCAATCGCTCTCCTCTGGGCGGATCGTGGTCGCCGCATCCACCTGCTGACGAGGCGGGTGCAGGCGCGCACTGGCAGCCACCGCAGGGCTATGCGCCGCAGGGGTACGAAGCACACATGTCTGCGCCGCCCGGTCCCGCAGGAGGATGGGACCAGGGACCCGGGTGGAACTATCCTCCCGGTCCAGGCATGCATCCTCCATCCGGGGGAGCAGCACCGCCGCCGGCTCCGGAAATGCCCGAGGAAGAGTATCCGGGGCAGTACAATCCGGACTACTTGGCGCAGGCGAGCGCCGGCGCAGGTAGGGGAGGAGCAGGCTACGGGCCGAGGGGCGGTGGACATGCATTCGGGCACGGATACGGCCAGGCTTACGGCCATGGCAGAGGAAGGGGCGGCTGGCGCGGCCGAGGCTGGTGAGCACGCCCACGCATACCAAAACTCTCAGGGCGCGGCTTTGTCGTGTTTGATGTCGGTTCTATTGCTTGAATGCGACGTCTCATAGCTGCACCATCAAATGCACCCATTGCATCAACAATGAGCGATCCTTGATGATGCTCGTGTGGTCAAGGCTGACCGGGCAATGCTGCTGCTTGCAGAGAGACTTCCGGATTCCGTGCGAGATACAGCTGCCAGATGACGAGGCGAGGCGACTCGCAAATTGAAAAAGACCAAAAACATGTACCGTGTAGTGTAAATAGTGTCTCAATCAAAAACCAAAGTGCCGCGGCAAGAACGAGTGTGCTTCGAATGGGGTGGGATTTTGGATTGCTCAGCCAGCCAGCTGGGATGAAGCGAGGTGATCTCGTGGCGCGTCGCACACACGAAATGAGGAGAAGATCGGAAGAGGCGCGCGGCTGCAGAGGAGGAGGGAAAGGCTTTTTGGAAGGCGAGCGATTTTTTCAAAAAATTGTCCGAGCCTGGAGAGCTGGAGAGCAGCCGGGCGGCTCCTACTGAGCCTCAGTCCGGGCGCAAGGAAGTCGGGAGTCGAGCGTTGAGCCTGGAGCGAGGCTGCTGGATTGGTCGGCTGCTGCGATCTGTAGGCATCGCGGCAAGCCAAGGCCTCATCTCCACTTTCTCGACCGACCTCGTCACCACTTTCCTTTTGGCATCCGCATCAGTTGACTGGCTCCCCTTTGCCTTTTCTCTTCATCCTCCTTCCTTTCTTCAGGCGTCCCAACCTTTTGACGCTTGTTGCTCGCACACCCCCGCCGACACCGACCTTTGCGCTCGGACCCGTGCGACCTTTGCAACCCGGCTCTCGTTCGTTCCGTCGACTTTTGCGGTCACCATGTCTGCTCCAGTAGCGCCTCCACAGGCCACCGCCTACCCACCAGGCGTCCAGGCTCCGCCTCCCTCGGGTGCCGAGCGCGTGGGCCCCGGTGCACCTTCGCCGTTCGTCGACGAGAAGCGCGCCGCCTATCCGTCGGGCCTCACGCCGCCCATCTCGTCGCAACCGTCGACGTCGATGTTCGGCTTCTTCCAGCCCATCGTTGCGCCGCTCAACAATGCGCTCGCCACCATCCAGGACATCCGCACGCGCCTCGAGCTCTCCAACCCGGGCACGGTGGAGCATCTGCAGCGCGAGGTCAAGGGCGTGCACACCACCAACTTCATGTTTGACGGCGCACGCGCCGACCTCACCAAGGCGATCAGCATCAACCCCATCTTCCAGGTGACGCACGCCTTCTCTATGGGCTCGCAGGCCGCGCCGTCGTCGTACAACTTTGGCGCGGTGTACGGCGACAACAACAACTTCTTCCAGGCCGGGCTCGACGACGGACTCAACGTCACTATGCGCGCCAACCGCGGCTGGGTGCCCGGCCACACGACCAAGGTGCAGGCGCAGCTCACCGCCACGCCCGGCCAGTCGTTTGTGCAGGTGGAGCACGACTACCAGGGCACCGACCACTCGGCGAACCTCAAGGCGCTCAACCCATCACCCACCGACCTGACGGGCATCTACATTGTCAACTACCTGCAGAGCTTGACGCGCAACTTTGCGTTTGGTGTCGAGACGGTGTACCAGCGTCCGTCGGCGGACATGGAGGAGGCGAGTACGGGCTACATTGCCAAGCTGACGGGCGACAAGAAGGAGTGGATCGCCACGGCGCAGGTGCAGCCGCAGGGCGTGGCGCAGTGCACGTACTTCCACAAGCTCTCGGAGCAGGTGGATGTGGCGGCGGATCTGCAGGTGGTCAGCATGGGTCAGAAGCGCGAGTCGGCGGCTACGCTGGGTGCGCGCTACAACTTCCGCATGGCCACGCTGCGCGCCCAGATCGACTCGGCGGGAAAGCTGAGCTCGGTGTACGAGACGCGCCTCTCGCCTGCGTTTGGCCTGACCTTTGCTGGAGAGATCGACCATCTGCAGGGCGCCGCCAAGTTCGGATTCGGCGTGTCGATCGAGTCGGGCAACGAGATGGACCCCAACGCTCCGCCTCCCACGCCGCCCTCGGTGCCCATGTAAGCGCGCGCCGAGCTCAACCGCGCTCGCACTTGCACACAGTCTACCGCCACCACCACCTCTCTCCGTTTTCACTCCAAAACCCGCCACCATCAAAAGATGAGCCACTAAGATGAGCCACTCTCCACAGCTCAACCTCGCACCTACTCTTCAGCCTTGATACTAGTTGTTGTCGCCGTCTTTTTCCATGTGCCACTGTTTTTTTCCTCTTCAAACTGTATTACGCTCTCCTCTGGACAGACACAAACACACATGCACACACACACATGCACAGAAAGTTGCTTCATCCGGTGTGGGTTACGGGTGTGCGAAGTTTTGGGGTGTAACGATTGGAGGTGCGTGTGGGGGAATACAAGTACAAGAGAGAGATTGCGATGCGGTTTGGGGACTGAAGCAAGAATCTAGGAGGCGGCTCCTTGGTCGGGTAGACGTTCGATGCGGAACTGTCTGGATGCGATGTACATGAGCGGGATACCTGGGACCTTTCTAACCCTCCTTCTGAGTTCTCGATCGCACGTTGCGACGATGTAGCACTTGTGAGACTGGATACGTTCGATGATGCAGTCATCCGCATAGGTTCCCTTGTGACTGCATTCCAGCCTCTCGAACCTCGGATCTCTTGCGACCCTAAGGGCGATGCGGTACTTGGGGCCTAGCTTTTCGAGCTCCGAGATGACGCACGTCGTAATGCATGGGATGCTCTTTGCGTACAGACAGTCCATCATCCCCTGCACCAGTTCGATCTTGTTCTGCAGGGCAAAGTTGATAAAGTTGGTATCGACCAACACGCGGTACGGCGGACCCAGCTGCGTATTGTGCTCGAAGAACATTGATGATGCCGGCGTATCAATTCGTCGAACAAGTGTGCCATCGGGTGTGATCTGTTGACCATTCTCGTTGACGATTTTGCCTGACGAAGCGGCCTTCTTGGCTGCATCTGCCACCTTCTGCTTGGCTTTGAGTCGGTCATCGTTCGGGTTGAGCATGCGCTTCACCTCGCCAAACTTTCGAACCTGCTTCTTCTTTCCCATTGTCGGCGCCGATTCTGCTATCAAGTGCGTATGTGTTTGCCGATACCGTGTGCGTATGCGTGTGTGCGTGATCGTGCGATGATCGCAGCCAGAGTGTGTGCCGGACGAAGGTGTCAAGTGTGGATGGTGGCAAGCGCGAAAAGGTGTCAAGAGAGGGTCCGACAAGTTTCGCGACCAAAAAAATCGCTCGCCTGCCCTGCAGCTCACCTTTTTCGCCGCACACAGCTCCACTTTTTCAATCCCAGCCCCAGCTCGTGCCTGTGCAATCTAACATGCTAGAAAGTTTGCGCTGCTCACACCGTCCGAACTGGCAAGCATGACCAGGCGATGCATGCCAGAGTGACAGAGAGGTGCAATTGCAGAGCGATGCTGATGTAGTGTACATAGATATCGAGAAACACAAACGACAAGGAGAGAAACACGACAGAAAGACAGTAAGGCTAGCGAGGACAACAGGACCAAGGACGACCGGCGTCAAGACTCGAGCAATCAATCGAGCAGCTTCGAGTCCTTCCATCTGCGCTCTCTGGGCTGCTCGGGGGGTGGCAGCTGCGACATGGGCGTTGATGTGCCGGACTCGAGCGATGCCGAGGAGGTGGCGTATCCGTAGTGGTGCACTTTGGTGCGGAGGAGCGAGGCGTAGAAGCGCTGTACGAGGAAGAAGCACTGCAGACGCACCGCGGTGAAGAGCAGGCCAAAGACGAGCAGCAGTGGGACGAGCGTTGTGCGGAAGCTCTCCTCGCAGTTTTCCGAGGCAAAGACGCCGTCCAGCAGCGTCTCCCATCCGGACGAGTCGACGATCCCATCCGGCCCCGCACCGCCGCCAACACCCGCGCCATTGCTGCCTACGCCAGCGTTGCTCGGGATGACCTGAGCGCCCGTACTACCCACGGCGGAGCCCTTGGCGGTCTTGGAGGGCGAGAACCACGCCTGAAGCTCGCCGGAGCCGAACTCGTCGCAGAGATGCGCGCGCACCGACGGGTAGGTGCACACGAGCGCGAGCGCGAACAGCGAGAGTGTAGAGAGCAGAAAGTCGAGGAACGAATGCAGCACAAAGAGGCGAGAGAGCAGGAGCTGGGAGCGTAGCACGCCGACGACGCCTGCACAGCAGCACACCACGCTCAACAGGATGTACCAGCGCAACGTACCGATGACGAGGCGCAGCGCATCCCACTGTATGCGCTCCGCGTCCTCGGCGCCCTCGTCCATGATTTGGTAGTTGACCGCTGCAGCATCGGCAGCTTCGAAAGGGCGGCCAGGAGGAGGCGCAATAGCCTGAGCAGACTTGCCGCTTGTGGACGATTTGTTTGCCGCGGCGTCGGGAGCAGCAGCGGGGCCTTGATTAGGGACGTAGGAGAGGCCCTGTGCTTTGAGGTACGCCTTGGCCTCGGCTATCCATTCTGGCAGATATACGTTCTTGTTGGCGGCGTCTTCGCCGGCGGGCGGAGCGTGTGCGTACGACTCTAGCTGGCTCAGCACGTCCTTGGGCGCCGAGTTGGCGAATCTGTCAGGGGACGGGACGAAAGCGGCCGAGGCTGGCGGCGACGGTGCAGAGCCTCGCTGCGGCACATCGGGCAAGGTGGAGCTGAGCGCGCCGAGCCAGGAGTAGGTGTTGAGATGGAGGATGATGCCGAGGATGGCAATGGCGAGCGTTGCAGTGCGGGGCGAGATGCAGCCAAGGAGGCCCGAGCCTGACGATTGGGACGACGAGCGACCCATGCCTGCCTCTATGCGTGCTGCGCTGTAGGATGGAGCGGAGCAAAACGAGGGACCCGACTAGAACCGATGTGGCTGAGCAAGTTGCGGCCAGCGTCGACGTGCATGGGGGATGGTGGAGGATGTGTGACAGGTGTGGTCGAAGGGAGCGAAGGTGAGGCGAGAAGGCAGCGCATGGATCGACAGCTGAGAGTTCTTGGCAAGCAGAGAGGCGGCGTGTGATACCGGTGTAGAAGCGGCGGATCTTCAGTTCCAGGTGATTGCCGCGCCTGAGACCACGGAGCGGGGTTTAAGCTGAAAACGGGGGGGTTCACACAGAGTCGCCTTGCCGACGACCTTTGGACCTACGAACTCTGTGTTTGTTCGAAGGCGCCAAACTCGGACTCCAGCCTCCGCAAAAAGGCACACACACGAGCCCCGTCCAAGGCCGAAGCATGCAAAGCACACCGCAGAAGGTCATGCGGGACCTCTCGCTTCTTTCTGCGGGGGGCATGCGTCGAAAGCATGCGCGAGGCATGTAGGAGCGGGCATATCCTCAGTCTTTTATTCACAGGCCGCCTCGGTTCACGCTCTCGGCGAGCTACTGTAAGCTTAGCTGGCTGGCCTTTGGTGCCTGGCCAGCCTGCCAAGACATCAGGGCAGGCGAGCGAGCGGCAGGTCCGAGCGCCTTCGCCCGATTGTGGTCAGACGACCCTTCCGACCTGCTGCTCTTTGCGGCTCCAATTTCCGAAAAACTGCCATTTCACAGCAGTCACACACCGCTGGCATGTCCGCGGGGCTTAGCGGCCTCTTTTTTGTCGGTGGCAGCCGATTCTTCTTCCAGGGTCCAGCAACCCATCGAGTCGGAAACCGATGCGACGACGCTTTCCATCTCCATACAATCACCAATAACTCGCATCGCCTCTTCCGACCGCTACATTTTGAAGGGCCTCGCTGGGTGAGGGAGCCAAGCGCACCATGTGGTCTATAGCTTCGATAGGCTCGCGGCGAGGTTGTCGGATCCACAACCTCCCTGGTCTTGCTCGGAAACGCCCTTCCCTTCGCACCCTCAGCAGCGCCGCCAAACCGCGACTCATCCTGGGCATCGAAACGTCCTGCGACGACTCGTGTGCTAGTGTCGTAGCTTCCGACCGCACTATCCTGTCTTCCGCCGTCACAAAGCAGGATCACTCGTCCTTCGCCGGGATTCACCCCCTTGCCGCCGCATTGGGTCATCATACCAACCTACCTTCCACCATCGCAGCTGCACTCGACGAAGCCAGCATCCAAGCCTCGGACTTCGATGCGATAGCCGTGACACAGGGTCCTGGCATGGCCAGCAGCCTCGGCGTCGGTCTGACAGCCGCCAAGACGCTCTCTGCCGTCCTCCGCAAGCCCTTAATCTATGTCCACCACATGCAGGCGCACGCGCTCACGCCCCTGCTAACCGAAGCCGAGCCGCCACAATTCCCATTCTTGGTACTGCTCATATCCGGAGGCCACACCATGCTCGTTCTTGCCACCAGCGTCACCGAGTTTCGCATCCTCGCTACCACCAGCGACGACTCCATCGGTGATGCCTTCGATAAGGTCGCCCGCGATCTCGGCATCCCATGGACCTCGGCGCCCGGAGCAGCCCTGGAAGCGCTTGCCGCAAAGCACGCCGCTGCATCCTCAATCGACGCTCCCACCTTTCCCGTTCCCTGCAAGGGACAGCCAGCCTTCTCGTATTCTGGGCTCAAAGCAGCAGTGCAGCGCCACATTGAAGCCCACCAGGCTGCGCTCAACGACGCGGGCAAGTCGGCCATTGCACACGCGTTTCAGTCCGCAGCATGTGCCCAGCTCGAGGACAAGCTCAGCATGGTCCTCCGTCCTTCCAGCGCGATCGAGGACGCTCGTGGCCGTAAATTCCCGCGCATAGCACTCGAACAGCCAGGTCTCAGCGACCGCATCACGGCGCTCGTCTGCAGCGGCGGGGTGGCGAGCAACCACTTTCTGCGCGCACGCCTGCGCACCCATCTCAATACCCTCGGACGACGCGATGTCCAGCTCCAGTTCCCACCCCTTTCGCTGTGCACCGACAATGCAGCCATGATCGCGTGGGTCGGCCATCTCATCTACCACCAGCGCACCACCGACTACTCGCGCCATGCCACGCCAAAGTGGAGCATCCAAGATATCCCGCGCTAATCGCACTGCATTGCAAGCTGTACTTCATCGCGTCTACTTTGTGCTATCGGATCGGACGCGTTTATGCGGTCCCCACGGCGTGCCGATCTCGCGCCCGTCATCTTGGTCGCGTTTCTGACTTTGTCGATCCCGGCCCACTTCTGCAAAGAACTTGGGACCCGAGGCCGGGGCTTGCTTTCGGGCGCGCGACGCTTCTGCACGGCGTTCCGAGTCCCACAGGAAGAAGTTGCACCGATACTCGGGGTTCACATCGCCCTTGGCCCGGCCCGTCTTTTCGTACCCGGGACCGACGGGGCGCGAACAAAGCCAGAACTTGCGTCCGTGGTTCGGTCCCGGCTTGTTCACCGTCCATGCTCGACACGCCTCCGAGTGGCGACATAGCGGAGGTGGGAGGGGCGAGAAAATGGCGCCCCATGCGAGCGAGGCGCCGATCCGGTCCGTTGCCGATTGCTCCGACCCAGCGGCGCGTGGTGGAGACGCAGAAGCTTGATTCTGGAACTCCTGGATTGCGTCGTCGTCCGGCATATCGCACCCGGCATCAGAAGCGTCAGCCGACGCACCGACGTGGTCCACTTGACTACTCGGCTGCGAAGGCGGTGCTTGCTCAGCAGAATCAGTATCCGTGTCAGCTGCGTCAGAGAAGGAGGATGCTGGACGTGCAAAGAACGCCTGCAGACTCGTCTGGCCCTTGAGGCCCGCCGCAGACTTGCCTTTGGCGGCATCCTTGCCCTTGCTCGCAACGGTGCGCTTTGGCGAGCCTCCGTTCCGCTTCATTGGCGATGCCTCCGCAGACGAGTCCTTGCGCGGGACCATGGAGGCCCGAGCAGGTGCCGATGCTACAGGCGACGCTGTCTGAGCTGGATTCGGCTTGGTCGGCGAGGGCGTCGAGGGGAGCGCAGCAGCTTGCTCGCTACGAGGCGCCTGCGAGGCGTACTCGACATGTAACCCCTCTTGCTGCGAGTGTAGCGAAAACAACGAATCGACCAACGAGCTCGACTCGGCATCGGATTCTCCCGACGTTATTGCGTGCTGACTGTCCTGCGCTTGGGGAGGTGCAAGTCCGGCAGCTGTTGCACCAACGGAGGCAGACTCTGTCTGTTGGGACGAAGCACCTTTCGGCGTATCCGACGCGGACGGAATGTCAGTCCGCTTGATGGCTGGAGTGCGAGCAGCACTAAAGAACGACGCGAGCTTGCGCTGCTTGCCCGAGAACTCGTCGTAGTGACAGGCCGCCAAGGCAGGCGGCAACCGTGTCGCACCGCCGTGCATCAGCTCCGCGAGTCTGACCGTCTTGCCGTCGACCTCCCTCTCGTCGTGCAGATCAATGTAGATCGGGCAGTGGTCGCTTCCGTATATGTCGGGCTGGATATCTGCGCCCTTGACCCAGGGCAGCAGACCTTCGGACACCAAGGTATAGTCGAGCCTCACGCCATAGTTGGCCGGGCGTGCGTCGATGAGTGTATTCCAACAAGTAAACATCTTTCTGCGTTCCGGATGGAACATCCTTCCGACGTCGTGGAACTTTCCCTGTGGGGCTAGGAAGGAGGCGAACCACGCCCGCGCGGGGTGTTGGTGGAAGTGGTCCCATCCGTTTTCGCGCATGCTCTGTTCTGGATCGCAGTGGTCGATGGGATCGCGAATGATGTTCATGTCGCCGACAATCATGACGTTCCTCCCTGCGGCGATGAGACGGTGTGCTCGCTCGGCAAGACACTGGTAGTAGGTCATCTTGTACTCGAGCCTCTCTGGGCCCGTTTCGTTCGGACAATACACGTTGAACAGCACGAACAGGCCGAGGTCCACAACCACTGCACGTCCTTCGTCGTCAAGTGCCTGCCACAGCTGAGGCTCTACATCATCGCGTGTATCTGCGGGAACATGGCCGATGGGCTCGTTCGGTATTGTCGGGTTGGAGGGCGCGGGGGTATCGCACAGACGACCTGTAATGCCTTGCTCCGCTTTGAGCGGGATCGAAGCCGACTTGCGGACGTAGGTGACCGTGCCCGAATAGCCCTTGGTCGGATGAAAGTTGAAGAATGCATTGTAGGAGGGTAGGATGCACATGGCCTCCGTGAGCTGCTTGCGCGTCATCTTGGTCTCCTGGAAGCATGCAATGTCCGCACCGAGATGCTCCAGGCACGCCTCCCAGTCCGGCAGCTTGTACCAGGGCTGGTAGCCCTTCAGCGTCCGCAGACCGTTGATGTTCCACACTGTTATCCGCATCGCGTTGGTGCTTCGATGCTCGGGTCTAGGTCGTGGGCGTTGACGATGCTTCAGCCGAAGCGCATACCGATGCGCAGATCTACGGAGTTGGATTCATCTGCTAAGGAGCCGGAGTGTGGGGTCGGTGGTAGGGAGAAGTGCGTGGCATGGATGATTTCCACCGTCAGTCTGTGAGCGTAGTTACGCCTGCCATCGATGGAGCTTTTGGTGGACCTGGTGGAGTGCAGAGTAGGACAACGGAAGGGGCAACGGAGCGTCGTATGGTGTTGGTCTTCAGCCATCTCTTGCGGAGGTGGAGGCATGGACGTAATCGATCGGGTGAATATTGAGCCTATCGGGCTGCTTCCCCCCACCAAAGTCGCCGTTCCGGCATCAGCCTCGACTTCTTCACTCTCCCACCTTCTCCACACTCCAGCTTCTCCACCATTCAGCTGCCATCCGCTGCGACTGGCGCTGCGACTGGCACTGCGACTGGCACCGCGACTTCAACTGATCGATCGGGCGCGACTCTTATCCGCACGCTTGCCAGCCTTGCCCCACCGATGGACACGGCGTGATCCGCCTCCCGCCAGAGTCTCTCCGCGCCGGCCTCACCAATTGCGGAAGCTGTATTCTTTCCCACCGCTCCAATAGAAGGAGACGAGCAGTGTTAAAAGGCACTGAAAGATCCTCGGCGGCACCATGGATGCATCTGCGCCAACCCACCCGTCATGGGCCGAGATCGAAGAGGCTACGCGCAGTGGTAAGGAATTGGCCCCAACATGCTCAGCCTGATGCAAGCGCACCCAATCACACCGGAAAAACTGACACAAACGTGGCCCTACACCCCTCTTGCTCGTTCTCGTGCCTGCACAGATGCTGGCTCACCCTCGACTACGCTGGTCGACTCGCCCGCGTGGCACTTTGACGACACGATCGTGACCGACTTTGGGCCTGCGGCGCTGGACGACGAGGTGGAGATCGTTGAGTGTGCCGACTGCCACAAGCCCGTGCTGCGTGATGCGCTTAGCTTTCATCAGCAGAACTGCAAGCTCGCACGCGATATCGCGTCCGGCCGCATCTCACCGTCCATCCTCGAGGGCGATCCAAAGAAGCGCCGGATGATGGAAGGTAAATTACCGCTTCCGCGCGACATACACATCGAAGCTGCTTTACTGAAACGCTCCTTTCCATTGCAATGCTGGTAGATGATGACGAGAGTATTATGGGCGATGATTCGGGCATTCCGCTCACCAAGAAGCAGAAGAAAGAGGCGCGGCTTGCGGAGGAAAAGCGCAAGGGCGGACGCAAGAACAAGGGTCCTATCGATGTGGACAAGCAGTGCGGAGTGATCAACGACAAAGGCCTGCCGTGTTCGCGCTCGCTCACGTGCAAGTCGCACTCGATGGGTGCCAAGCGTGCAGTCGAGGGCCGATCCGCCCCTTACGATACGCTGCTGTTCGAGTGGCAGAAGGCGACCAATCCGAGCTTTGTGGCCAAGCTCGAGGAGAAGGAAAAAGCGATTGCGGCAGCCAAAGCCGCTGCTGCAGCCGCGCCACCCAAGGAAAAGAAGAAGAAGAACGTCAAGGACGCCAAGACCAAAGGCGGGGCTGCGGGGGCTGGTGCAGCTGGTGCAGGTGTGTCAGGAACCGCCGGGGGTGCAGCGGCATTTATCGAGGACGATGATATGGACATGTTCGACGCCGGCGCCGACGAGGACCAGATGGAACAGGAGCTTATGGCCGTGCTCGGATCGGTGGCCCACTCGGCCTCGCGCGATAGGACCATGCCGTTGCCGCTCGCCACACGCTCCTTCGTCGGCTCCTACACGAGCCGCGCAAAACGCATGCGCAACCTGCGCGAGCTCCTCCGCGAAGGCCTCGCTCCCGGAGGCGGCGCGTACGGCATCAACGGCTACGCCACCTGGAACAACTTCCGCCCAGCCACCTACCCTCCCAACTCCGCCGCAAAGAAGGGCGTCGCTACGGGCGCCTAGTCCGCTCCCTCTCTCTTGTTGTCCTCGTCTCGTCGTTCGCATTGTAATTGTATCCCTCACTGTTCAAGATCCGTTGTCTCCAGATTGGCTGTGCTGGCTGCGACTCGTCTCCCGCCAAGGCAGGTGCGCACGTAGAGTGTCCCGACGTGCATTCAGTTGGGCAAGAATCGTGCATTCACGAGCAAGCGGGTCGGCGATACAAATACAAAAAATCAAGAGATGGAAACAGCACCGCTAGCTGGATGCGGATACGGTGGTGGATGTGTCGGGCGTGGCGTCGTCGCGAGCGCGTGCGATGGCGCCATCGAGGTCGATGGGGATGCGCACCATGGTATCGATGAGCGCAGGCTTGCTGTTGGGTGCCGGACCGTAGTTGTACAGATCGTCCTCTTCCTGTTCGGTCGATGTGTCTTCGGCGCCCTCCGTTTCGCCTGTCGGCGGATTGGTAAACACCGTTGAAGCTGGATCCCCGCACGATCAAGTCACAAGAACGGTGTTAGTCCAATGCACGGTGCAGTCACTGAGTGGATGTTTGTGCTTACCTCTTGCGATCTGAATGGCGCGGAACACGCCCTGCCACGACCCCATGACCGACGCAATAGCTATTCGAGTCCCACAGTCAGCAACCCCCCTCTCTCTCTTCCCGAAATACCAGCATGTACTTACAATCGCCTCCATCTGCCATTTGGTCGACCGTTTCAGCCAGTCTCTCGAGTTCCTTGACCATCTTGGCCGACTGGTCCTTGAGCGCCCTCAGACCCTCGAGCTCGGCCTGTTTGGACACCAGCCTCGCCTGGTTGGCCGATGAGCTGGGGCCTCCGAACATCATGTTGGCATTGGCCTGCGGATACATCGACTGACGCCCTGCACCGGGTCCTGCGATACTTGAAGATCTGGCTGCCATGTTTCGAGATGCGCGAGAGCGGTGGATGGTGTGAGATGGTGGTGGGTGGTAAGGAGCGCCAGTGTTGATCTCGCCGCAATTTGCTCAATAGACCAACACGCGCGCGCGCCGGCTCACTATTTACGCGTCTGTTCAGCCGCCCCACCAAGGCCCGAGAAAAATACCCAGCTTGCATCTCGGCTCTTCCCAACGCCCTGCTCACTAACGGCCACAGACCATAAGAATCCCCGACACTGGCCTTCGGCTTTGTTGAGCCGGGATGGCACTCCACACAACCAAAGCTCCGCAAGAAAAGCGCCACACCAACATCGCGGGAATCAAATGTATGAACGTGGGAACGAATCTCAATGAACAGACAGGCAACGTGCACAAAGGCAGTCCGATCGGATCGGAAGGGCGGAGGTGAGTGCGGGCACCTCAGTCGGTGAGCGTGCGGAAGGCCTCGGTGATGTCCTGGTTGAGCTTGTCGAACTTCTTGGTGATGGCCTCCTCGCCGTCCTTGGGGCTCTCGAACTTCTGCTGGGTGAGGCGGTAGATGACGTCGGAGCAGTGCTCCTTGACCTTGGCCCAGGTCATGTCCGGGTTGTTGGCGATGGCGGCCTGTGCGCGGTCGTGGAAGTCGACCATGTTCTTGAGCATGCCGGTGGTCTTGTAGAAGGGGCAGTAGGCGTCGTACTCGGAGATACCGTTCTGCTGCAGGTAGTCGTCCTTCATGATCTTGGCCACGTCCAGCGTCACCTTGTCGCCCTCGCCGAGCGCCGACTTGCCGACGAGCTGCACAATCTCGGCCAGATCCGTGTCCTTCTGCAGCATGTTCTTGGCGGTGGTTCGGAGCTGGATGAAGCCCGGCTTGTTCTTCTCGTAGTACGGCTCGAGCGCGTTGATGTAGTTGGAGTAGGAGACGTCCCAGTTGACCGAGGGGAAGTGCTTGCGTTGCGCCAGCTTCTTGTCCAGACCCCAGAAGGCACCCACGATACCCAGCGTGGCCGACGTGACCGGGTCCGAAAAGTCACCACCGGGCGGCGAAACGGCACCCACGATCGAGATCGAGCCCTCGCGCTCGGGCGAACCGAGACAGGCGACGCGACCGGCACGCTCGTAGAAGCTGGCCAGCTTGGCACCCAGGTACGCCGGGTAGCCGGAATCGGCCGGCATCTCGGCGAGACGACCCGAGATCTCACGCAGAGCCTCGGCCCATCGCGAGGTGGAGTCGGCCATCATGGCCACGTTGTAGCCCTGGTCGCGGAAGTATTCGGAGAGCGTGATGCCGGTGTAGATGGACGCCTCTCGCGCAGCCACGGGCATGTTGGACGTGTTGGCCACGAGCGTAGTACGCTTCATGATGGGGAACTCTTCGCCGTCCCTCATGAGGGTAAGCTCGGGGAACTCTGCAAGCACTTCGGCCATCTCGTTTCCACGCTCGCCACAGCCGACGTACGTGATGATGTCCGAGTTCGAGTACTTGGAGAGCGCCTGGGAGATGACGGTCTTGCCACAGCCGAAGGCACCGGGGATGGCGGTGGTACCGCCCTGGATGCAGGGGAAGAGCGAGTCGAGGATGCGCTGGCCGGTGAGCAGCGGGTTGTTGGCCTGCAGCTTCTCGGCGACGGGACGGGGCGCACGGACGGGCCAGATCTGGAGCATGGTGTGCTTCTGCTTCTTGCCCTGGAATTCGGTCTCGAGCACGACGTCGTCGACCGAGTAGGAGCCCTTTTCGGCGATGTGGGTGATGGTACCCATGGCACGCGGGCCGAGCATGAGCTTGTGGTCCTTGACGAGCGAGTTCTCGTAGACGGAACCGAAGATGTCGCCGCCGCTGATGTGGTCGCCGACCTTGAGCTGGCCGGGGGTGAAGTCCCAAGAGAGCTGACGGTCGAGCGCCTGGGTGTTGATGCCTCGGGGAATGTAGATACCGCCGCTCTTCTTCATGATAGACTCGAGCGGACGCTGGATGCCGTCGTAAATGTTCTCCATGAGACCGGGGCCGAGCTCTACAGAGAGCGGCTTGCCCGTACTGAGCACGGGGTCACCGACGGAGACGCCGGAGGTCTCCTCGTAAACCTGGATGGTGACCTTGTCGGCGTCGATTCGGATGATCTCACCGACGAGCTCGTCGTGGCCGACACGCACGAGCTCGTACATGCTCGAGCCGATCATGTTCTCGGCGACGACGACGGGACCGGAGACACCGAAGACGGTACCGAAGCGCTGCTCGCGCTCCTCATCGCGGATCTTGGGGAGGTCCTTCTTTTGGGACGCCATGGTGAAGGGTGGGGCAGGATCGATGTGCGAGTCGATGTGGAAGTTGGGGAGGAGATGACCCTCGATCTCAAGACTCGGCGTGCGGAACTGAAGTGCGCGAGCTCTAGATGAGGATGAGGATGGATCCAGGAGGAGGTGATGAAGGTGGAGTGGAGTGGAGGATGAAGAAGCCAGGCTGGTGATAGGAACGTGGCGAGTCGATTGCCTGAGTATCGAGGATAGAGATTCGGACTTGGCGCACTGGCACTGGCTCTGGCTAACGAACTCGCACTGGCAGGTGGAGCGTGCTTGCAGGCTGCGAGAGGGGGGACGGCAGATGCCCACTTTCCCTAAGCACCGCTCGCATTCCGACTCGCACTCTGCACTCTGCACTCTGCTGAGGCTCAGCTTGGCTCGTTCGCAGCGTCCTCGTCGAGCTTGGAGCTGCTGGAGCTGCTGGTGCGATGCGGCGGCCCCTAAGCCCTGACTGCATGGGCCTTCCGAAAAATGAGAATCGCAATCGCAAAATCTGTCTTTTGTTACACCGCCGCGCATGACAACTTCGAAAATTAAATGCTCCACTTCCAAGGCTGAGGCTGTGATCGACTCGAGCTGAGCGGCTAAGCACGCTCGGACACGCCTCTGGAGAGCAGCAGCGCGTCAGCTGGGCGGGCGGGCGAGCCACAGTCGGTTGAGTTGACGACGCCTCCACGAGCCCACTCAACAAGAGTGACACTCGAGTGTGCAACTCGTACCGCTTTCTTCTCTTGCGCCACGAGCTTCCCACACATCGCATCAGCATTCACCGTCACCACACCGTTATACGCGTGCTCATCCAGCACAACTCAGCACCGCGATCGATTCGACAACCGCTGCGACGACAGCCAAAGCACCACCCCTCCTAGCCGCGACATCTCGCCTTTCCGCCCATCATGCCGCCCAAAGCCGACTGGGAAAAGTACAAGAAGCCCGATCTGGACTCCAAAGATGAGGAGAAGATCGTCGCGCTAGACGAAGGCGACATCCAGCTTCTCAAGACATATGGTCAGGGCCCCTACGCAGCTTCCTTGAAGGGCATCGAAAACGAGATCAAGGAGCTCCAGAAGCGCGTCAACGAAAAGATGGGCGTCAAGGAGAGCGACACCGGTCTTGCACCACCCAATCTCTGGGATCTGCCCGCCGACCGTCAACGTATGGGCGAGGAGGAGCCTTTGCAAGTCGCCCGCTGCACAAAGATCATCAAAGCCGACGATGGCAAGAAGGAGGGCGAATCCTCGTCAGAGGGCGACGCTGCCGGAAGCGCAGCTGGTCGTTCGAGTGGCGGTCTCGGAGGAATGGGCGGGCTCGGCGGCCTTGGCGGTCTCGGTGGCTCGCCGCCTCCGACAGCAGACGAGGAGGACAAGTACGTGATCAACGTCAAGCAGATCGCCAAGTTTGTCGTGTCGCTAGGCGAGCGTGTGGCGCCTACAGATATCGAGGAGGGCATGCGCGTCGGCGTCGACCGCACAAAGTACCAGATCCAGATCCCACTGCCTCCCAAGATCGACCCTTCCGTCACCATGATGCAGGTCGAGGAGAAGCCCGACGTGACATACGGCGACGTGGGCGGATGCAAGGAGCAGATCGAGAAGCTGCGAGAAGTCGTCGAGCTGCCGCTGCTGTCGCCAGAACGTTTCGTCAACCTCGGCATCGACCCACCCAAGGGTGTGCTGCTCTACGGCCCGCCCGGTACGGGCAAGACGCTGTGTGCTCGAGCCGTGGCGAACCGAACCGACGCCACCTTTATCCGCGTCATCGGCTCCGAGCTGGTGCAAAAGTACGTCGGCGAGGGCGCGAGGATGGTGCGCGAGCTCTTTGAGATGGCGAGGACCAAGAAGGCGTGCATCATCTTCTTTGACGAGGTGGATGCGATCGGCGGTGCGCGATTCGACGACGGTGCCGGCGGCGACAACGAGGTGCAGCGTACCATGCTCGAGCTCATCAACCAGCTCGACGGCTTCGATGCACGAGGCAACATCAAGGTGCTCATGGCCACCAACCGACCGGACACGCTCGACCCGGCGCTTCTGCGTCCCGGCCGTCTGGACCGAAGGGTGGAGTTTGGTCTGCCGGACAACGATGGCCGTGCGCACATCCTGCGCATTCACGCACGCTCCATGTCGGTCGAGCGCGATATCCGATACCATCTCATCGCGCGTCTGTGCCCCAACGCGACGGGCGCTGAGCTGCGCTCCGTCGCCACCGAGGCGGGCATGTTTGCCATCCGCGCAAGGAGAAAGATGGCCACAGAACGCGACTTCCTCGACGCCGTCGACAAGGTCATTCGCCAGGGCTCCAAGTTTTCTTCCACAGCCCTGTATGCCCAGTACAACTAGGCGTTCGATGTGTCTCCAAGTTCTTTTCCGCATGTACTACCATCTGCCCTCCTTTACGCAATACGACACTTTCCAAAGCAGGTTGTTTCGCTGGTATTACGCCAAATGTGGTGAGGGAGGGTATGCAAGGGACGATCAGGAGTGGTCGTCTTCGGATTGTCCGGGGCAATGTTGAGCTAGGTCTTGTTGGTCGGTGTAGGAGCAACCGCAAAAGAGGCAGTAGTAATGACTGGTTCTGAGGCAATCCAGCACGAGCTGGAGTTGGGATTTTGTATCGAGGTTGCAGAACTTGTGCGCTTCTTTCTGCTGTGGATCCTGGGCTGAGAATGCGTGTTGGAGGAGGTGGACTGCGCTTTTGAAGGCGGTGTCTTTGTGCATTCGTTCATCGATCGTCTGTGGATTGGAGTCGGCAGAATGGCCCGAGAGAAGGTGGTAGAGGGGCGCGTCGAGCCAGAGTGGGCTGTACTCGATGCCCGCTGTGCGGTCGAGGTCGATCAGGGTTTTGCGTGCGCGTGTGAGCAGGTTGAGCTCGTGCCGCTCCTGGTGCGCGCGAGAAACGCGGGTGCGGAAGTCTGCAACGAGTGCTTCATCGTCGGTAGAACGAAGCGAGGAGGATGCGGAAAGGATGGCGGCAGAAACGTCCGGCTTGGTTGGTGGGATCATGCCGATTCCTGCGCGTCGGTGCAGGCCAAGCCAGCGCTGGTCCGGACGAAGCGGCTCCGTTAGACCGGTGGATGTCACAGAGGGGCCGGTTTGCAGGGAGAATGGCGCTGATGAAACGCCACCGGTCAGGTACTCGTCTTCTTCGCGCGCGTCCGAGTCGTCCCTCTCGCGACGTGCGGCATCTTCTTCGTCCGTATCGAGGCCTTCGGCGTCCGTATCGTCTGGTGGACCTCGCGTCCTACCTGCTGCTGACTTGACCTCGGTGCTTCCCTCGTCTTGATCGTCGTCGTCTTCTTCCTCCTCCTCTTCGACTTCTTGGCTGCCGCCTCTCTGCCGTCTTCCGAGCGCCTCTCCACGCCGATACCCCATGGCGAGCATCATCTTCATCGCCTTGGACGTGCCATCGAGCCCCTCTGACGCCGTAGCATTTCCATGCTGACTTTCTCTCTCCTGTATAAGCTCCCACCTGCGCGTTCCGTCGCTTGCTTCAGGTGGCAGCGTGCCGCCGCCAGCCACGATCTCGGCCTCGGCGAGCAGATCGCGATCGAGCCCCTGTTGCCGTGCCTCCTCCTCTTGTTGGCTTAGACTCTTGCGTGTCTTGCGCGCGTGGTGCGCCTCCAATCGTCGACGCTTATCGGTATACGTCAGCGGCTGCTTCTCTTCCGACGTGACCAGGAACTTGTTCGACATAAAGTCATCGTCTTCGTCTGCGTCCTGTCCTCCAGCATCGCTTGCAGTAGAATCGGCAGCGGCGGCTGAGGTGGTCGGTTCGGCTTGAATCTCCGACAGCAGCTTGAGCGGATCGAATCGCTGACTTGCCCCTGAGCTGGGTCCAGCGCGCGGCTTCATGGTCGCTCGCAATCCTGCTGAGGGCGGTCTTGAACATGGATGTCCGTCGCTGAGTTCCACCCAAGTTGCTGGAGCTCGACATTTCGCCCGCAGCCTCCACTCAGACCCTGAACCCCGCTCAAAACGCCGTGCTTTTTGATCTAACAAACTTAGCGATTCCGCAAGGCTCTCTATCGCCCTGAAGAATCGAGAATCTGGGCAAAGAGGCGTATTGATTAAGCGATACATCAAAGTACAACGACGATGGGCAGCCAACGATCTGGTGTGGCGACGCTTGGATCGTGTGCTACACGCATTTTGCAACGTCCTGGTTCCTGAAGAGCGTACTGAGAAGGGGTTTGGTTGAGGAAGCGCAGTGATCGGCACGGGAGGGCGCGGCGGTCGGCCTTCGTGGAGATTCTGCGTCCACGAAACGAGTGAGAAAGGTGCGACGCGCTCAGAGAGACTTAGTGCGAGCCTTCTGGCGGTCCTCGAGGTCCTTGCCGACGAGCACCTTGGCAGCCTTCCAGAACTGGACGCAGTTGATGATCTGCTTGGCTGCGCAGATGGGGAAGGTGATGGCGCCGACGATCTGTGGCCAGCTGAGGAGGGGTGTCTCCTTGATGATGTACGCGATCCAGGGCGAGGCGCGGAGGGCGGGCGGGCAGAGGAAGAAGAGGGGCTCGATGTCGAGGCCAAAGGGTCGCTTGTAAAAGTCCATGAGGTAGAGGCAGACGAAGAAGAGCTCGTTGCCTGCGCAGAACATGAAGAGCGTCCTGCTGTCGTTGTAGTAGTACCAGAGGATCTTGGAGACGTCGGAGGTGACGATCTTGTGCGATGCGGAGCCGGTGACGAGCGAGCTGTACATGTGGATGTAGTGCGAGCTGAAGTCGAGCGTGATGAGGCCCTGGAAGATGACGGCGCAGCGCGGGTAGGCGGCGGTGAGGAAGCAGAGCAGACAGGCGGTGGTGCAGCGGTCGGTGACCATGTCGAGCACGGCACCAAACTTGGTCGACTGTCCGAGCGCCCTCGCAGCCATGCCGTCAAAGGCATCGAGCAGGCACGAGACGCCGTACAGGAGCGTGCAGACCTTGGGGTTGCCCTTCATAAAGTAGAGCGAGAGGGCGGCGAGGACGACGCGGGCGTATCCTATCAAGTTGGGGACGAAGAGGAAGACGTTCTCGTCCGCCTCGTTGGCCCTCTGGATGAGCGACTCGGTCTTGCCGTCAGAGGAACCGTTGGCAGCCGCCACGTCGGCTGCTGTGGATTTGGAGTTGCGAGTGTTCCTAGGCATGTTGGCGGTCGCAGGGAAATTCGGTGGGCTACGGCTACACTGTCTGAGAGACGATGGGCGCTTCGATTGGCGCTAGATCCCACGTTGAGGTCGAGAGCAAGCTGGATCGCGTATCGGATGCGTCCAAGACTGGATTGGCGGCAGTGCAAAGGTGCGCTTGAAGTGAGGCTCTGAGCTGCCTTTGCCCGCACGTGTGATGGACGAAACAAAGCGCAAAGGAGCGTGACGGAAGGGATGGCCCAAGGTGTTGGTGGTTGGATGGAGACGGTGCGGCGTAGAGACAAAGGCAGCGAGGTTGGCTGGCGGATGGATGCTCGCGGACGGAGGGGAGAGAGAGTGACGCACTGAGTGCAGAGAGCGAAAGCGCGCTTTTTCGGGATGGCTCGACCGACCGGAAATGGAAGCAAAGTGGAGTGCCTCGCGAGTGTGCCTCTCTGCTGCCTGTCAGTTGTGGATGGCAGCGTCGAGCCGCGGCAGTGCAGCCCAGTCTGTGCCTTTTGAGCTGCAAACAAATCCAACAAATTCCTGGATTTTGGCGCCTCTTTGCGGGTCCCAGGGAAACGCGTGAAATGGCTCTTTTCTGATCTCCGCTGATCCCTCCAACCGCCCGCCCGCCCGCGCCAGTTGAGTTGAGAGACGAGCTCCGAGAGACAAGAGGCTCCCCCAACCGGCGAGCTTGTACCTCGAGTGCGCACAATGCCAAGCCAGGAGCTCGTTCGCTTCGCAGCCAGACTTGGACGCTCCGCCGTGTCGGGTTTGCGGAAAAGCAAAGGCAAAGCACAGCAATTGGCGTGTGGGCCTTACAAGCGTGTCTATCGGGCCTGTGCAGATACCGAGCCGCCAACGTCGCTCGGTCCGGTCCACCCAGATGTCTGGCATGCAATCAGTCCTTCGTCGTTCAGCTCTACTCGAACACCTGAAGTGCCACCTACCGTCTTACATTTTGCCTTCCCAGCATCTGCCGACCTGGTTGTGGTGACAAGAGAAAAAACCGTCCAAGATGTTAGGCCGTACTGATGATCCACAAGGGCCGCGGAAATGCGCGTGTTGGTCCGAGAGCCGGGAAATGCGTTGCGTTGCGGGTCCTTCCAACCCCCACACACGCTGCTGCTGTTGCTGCTACTTCACCTTGGGCAACCTTGTCATACGATGAAGCGCTGATACCATGTCTGCTCGCAAGCCTCGGAGCGACGCGGCCCGTGGCGGCATCGACACCTTTTCCTCACCATGCTACACAATACCCTGGCAGCCCAAGAAAAAGGCAAAGCGTGCCTCGAGCAAGGCTGCGCTCGACGACTCCAGCGAGCCTCCGTTCCCTATCCTCGCAGAATTTGAGGCCGACAGCGACCCGGCTTACGTCCGATACAACTCCTACTGCATCGCAGTACAGAGGACCGAGGCGCTCTTCGAGAAATGCATGGACCTCGTCTACACGCCCCTCTTTGAGGATCTCAAATCCTTCTTCCATACCGACTCGGGCTCCAGCAACCCCAACGCCCATCCCGTCTTGGCAGGCACCGCAATCGCAAATCAAGATCTCTTCCTTCCTGGATTTGAAACCTTGCGCTCCGACAATCACGGCACTGTCCACCAAGATGGGCCCTCAAGCAGCATCCAGACGGCCCTGCTCATATCCACATCGGCTCCCTCTCTCTCCTCCTTCTCCGGGCGTCTTGTCTCCGAGATCTCCGATGCCAGCAACGATGGCGCACAAAGCATCGTCGTCACTCTCTCAGCCAGCGAATGCTCCAACCTCTACACTGCTCTTCGCCTCGTCGTCGCACGCTTCATAGCACAAGGATCGACCATGCCTGCACATCCGGCCTCGGACGCTCATGCACCATCTCTCGCCGAAATCGAAGCAGCCGCATTCGCCGGCAAGGTCGAACCCGACCTTCACGTCCTCGCCCTCTGGTGGAGCCGCAAGTTCGGCTCGTCGCATCGCGCTCCCAGACTGGTGGTTAATCTACCCATGATCGAGTCCATCGAGCCGACGGTGCTTTCGGATCTCTTGTCGTCCCTGCAGACCTTTGTCGCCGAGCCTTGCAAAACTGCATCCGCCTCCACAGACCCAGCTGATTCCCCCCCGTCGCGACCGCAGCTCTTGCTCGTGCTCGGCATCACATCACCCTCGGGAGGTCTTGCCGCTGCCTCCGCCGGGACCTCCGCCAATGCAGCCGCAACAGCAGCCCCTGCCCCGTGGATCGAATTCATCCCGCGACAGGTGCTGCGCGTCCTCGATATCTCGCGCTTCTCGTTGCCCAGCAAGGAGATCGTCTGGTCTCGCCTTGTCCAGTCCTTCTTGACCTCCCGCGAGCTCCCGCTTTCCCTGGGCGCGTCGACTTTCGAGTACATCCGCGAGACGTACTGGGAGAGGGACGCCGATCTCGATGCCGTGCTCGACGCCGTGCGACTGGCGTGCTTTATGCACTTTTCCGGCAAGCCCGAATCGGTCTTTACCATCCCAGGCGAGGCGAGCAAGATCCGCTTCTTCAGTTGGACGCCAAAGATGGTCGAGAGGATCAAGATCGCCTTTCTCACCACCGCCGAGTCTGGCGACCTCGTCCTGCCACTGCTCGGCGCATCTTCTGGCTCGTCCGATCTCGACGTCGATGAGTTCCTGCAGGAAGCTGCGCGCTCGGACCAATTCATCCTCGGCAAGTTGGACCAGCTCCACCATCCGCGCGACTTGCTGTGCTACCGCATCGAGTTTGCCATTCGCTTCCTGTCGCGTGCATTCGAGGCGCTGCAGCGCATTCAGAATCAAGCAAATACAGCCGCGCAGGCGATGCATGCTCGTACTCTCACTGCTGCTTCGCAGCAAGCGGCCGAGATCGACGAACAGCGCCAGCTCGAGCGCGCCAGCGAGATCCTCACCCAGGTCGTCATGCAGTGTCTCAACGCATCTGTCGGCTCGCTCGAAGCCGACCATCGCCCTCCGGCTATCTTGACGCTGCGAAATGGCCTGGCCAGGCTCTGCAATGCTGCACGTCGGCTGCTGTCGGACGAATTCGAGACGCTTCTCGACGATATGGTCGGCGCGGCCGAGGACGAAGCGCGCGCGATCGAAGACAGCGTTGCTGAAAGCATCGACATGGCTGAATCGGACCACGCTGGTCAGTCGAGACAGCTTCGCACTGCCAGCGAGGCGATTGCCGCTCACAGCGCGAAATTCTTGGCGGGAATGCGCACGTTCCAGCAGCGGCTATCGCAGACGCTGGCGGCGGGCAGCGCTGGTGTGGAAGAAGACGACGATGCTGATGTCGGTGCTGCATCGGCTTCGGGTGGCGCAAGTGCGCAGGCCGCCAAGCAGCGTCGCGAGGCGCGGCTGCAGCGCGTACAGCGCAAGCTGCTCATGGAGGAAAAGCTGCTGGGCCTCAAGCGCGAAATCACCGACTGGATCGTCGCTTCCGTTCAGGAGCTGGTCGACTGGAGGCAGATCGGTCGCGAGCTGTCCGGCCTCGACAACGGACCACTGCAACTGCTCAAGGACATCTTTTGGGTCGACTGCTACGGTCCACTGTCCACGTTGCTGGATCCATCGACGCGTGCGGGGGTCACGCTGCCATTGACTGCACCCGGCGAGTTTGTCGAGAGCCTGTACGATGCCGCGCTCAGCGTGGTACCCGAGGAAGAGCTGGACGATATCGACATCGAAGGCCTCCAGTCCTCACAGACCCCCGACGTGTGTCGACTGTACAAACTCTACGGCGAGTGCGGCAAGTTTGTCAATCTCGCCGACTGGTTCGACGCGTTCAAGCAGACCGTCCAATCCGACGAGGCGACCAGGACAGGCAAGCAGGACCTTGCACGCGAGCAGTCAGCCACGGACTCGACTGCTAACCAAGGCGAAGCGAATGTCGACGCCAACGAGGTAGATACACCTTCCACGCCTTCGAAGCGACGCAGTCCGAGCAAACGAACCGTCCAACTGGCCGATGCGGACGAGTACGATCCCGACCTACTCGACACGCCGTCGAGGAAGCGCTCGCGTTTCGCCGAACCCATACAACCCGATGATGAGGCCGAGGAGGCGCCTGGGAGCGAGACGGATCTGCAGTGCCGATTCGCCTTGGCCCTCAACCAGCTTGCGCGCATGGGCATGATCCGAGGCACCAAACGCCGCAACGAACACATCACAAAGGTCCTCTGGGACCTCGTTCCCGATACCTTTTGAACCTTCATCCGCCAGCGTTGCAAGACAAACTCACTCATCTAGCACAGCACAAATGCCACGTAAAGTCAGACAGTGGAATAATGTATTAAGCGGCCGGTCGGCAGGGTGACTACGGTGACAGATGAGGATACAGATACAAAAGTGGACGTGGCGATGCTGCTGACAACGCAAAAGAGCATGGATGCAGGATCAGCCAAGCATGTCGTCGAGAAAGTTCTCGAGGCGACCGAGTTCGCCGTGCGACGAGTGGGGCGTCATACTCTTTTGGTCGCGATACGATGCAGATCTAGATGCGGCAGTGTAGCCGCCTTGGGGGCTGAGCGAAAAGACGGATGGATCGCGACCACCGTGGACGCTGCGATCGTTGATGCTAGCCAGGAAGCTGTCGATGCGCTCGGTGCGCTGGGCCGAGCCACGCTCCTGCTCTGTACCGGCAACGCCGGCGAGTGGCGATCGGCGCCGGCCAAAAGTCGTGCTGAAGCTCGAGCGCCCCGAGCCGACCGAAGCCGTCTCACCGCTGGTCGTCTTGGCGAGCGCCGACTCGATCTCGGCAGTCAAGCCGGGCGAGAGTGTGCTAGCCGTAGCCGCAGCGGCTACGTCGCTGTCGGCGGGTGACTGGGGGACGGCATGCGGGCCGATCTGTATCGAAGGCGCCACACGAGGTTTCGCATCTGGTCGTCGTTTCTCGCCCACGCCATGCCCCTGGAAGCGAGCCTTGAGTACGCGCACGGCGTCGGCCTTCTCCTTCTCCTTTCGCAGTGCTTCGAGGTCGATCGGCTCGCCGTCAGCTTCAGCTGCCAGCGCTTCTGCAGCATGCTTGCTGGCCTCGTCCCCATCAGCGCCGCCGCGGCCCTTGGCCTTCTGACGCTGCCGTTCGCGCTCGTGCAGGTACGCCAGGCTGTGGTCGATGTCGTTCTCGACGTCCGAGGCAGTCTCGTTCTGGGCGCGGCTGCGGGCGATCTGCTCGGCAAGACCGGCCTGGGTGCTCGCCAAGTCGCCCATGGCTGCCACGCGCGCGACCAGGTTCGAGATGTCCACCTCTGGCTCTGGCTCCTCGTCGTCGGGTAGACGTGGATCCTTGGCCGCTTCGAGCCTCTCCAGCCTCGCGAGCTTGCTCTCGCCCAGCCTGCGCCGAGCGTACTTCCCACGCGTAGGATTTGAAGGGTCATCCTCCGACGCTGTATTTGTCTGGCTGCCGGAAGCGGCGTTGGCTAGGCTGGGGAAGTCCTTGTCTTTGTCGTCGTCCTCGCTATCTCCGCTGTGGTCTTCGTCATCCTCACCGCTGCCACTCTCAGATTCCTCTTCTGCTGGCCCGCCGCCAGCGCTGGCGGAGCGGCGATGCTTGTTGGCAAATCGCTGACGGTATCCGGGCTTGGATGAGCCTGCTTCGGCGTCGTTGGCCTCTCCCTTTTGCGAATTGTACCGACGCGAAGCCTTGGCCTTGTACTTGTTCTGCAGGACCATCTTGTGAGGCAGTCACCGCAACGGTGCACGTTACCAAGCCGACAACGGTGACTGTAATCGTAGGGCTGATTGACCGTTCGTGTCAGCGAAGAGGGAACTCGCTACGTCGCCTGAGCCGATGTGCTGCCGACGTATTACAGCTCGACCGTCGGTGCGATGAGTGCCTGGAGCGCAGGAGATGATGGAGGTGATGTGACTTGGAGTCGAAGCGCGCAGAGTCGAGCTGCGAGGGGCGCTGCGGGCGGTATGTCAAACTGATTCGATTTGCTCGGCTGAGTTCCAAAATTGCGGCAGCTCGTGGCGGCGGTCCCGAACTGGGTCCGAAACGATGTGTCGTGCGTGCCGACCAATGGCGATGGCCCTGTGTGATCACTGTGATCACAAGCAGCAATCAAGAGGCGCCAAGATGGTGGGGACGGTTGACACGGTTGACAAGATGAGAATGCGGATGGTCCGAAAGCGTCAAGGACACATGGTGTGAAGGAGGCCCGTGAGCTCTGTCGCTGAAAGCATCCCGAACAAACCAACACAGGTGCTTTTCTAGAATTGGCCTGCAGGGTGACAGAGTGACAGAGGCTGGGCTATGACGCGCCTTGCAGGCTGGGCCGTGCAGGTAAAACCCCCCAACCGAATCGTCGTGACAGGCAGGCCAGCCGAAGCCCGGACCTGAAAATTGAGCTCACTCGCATTCCCGATCCGCGTCTCAGATCGCAGCGTCGGGTCTAGCCAGCCCGGCTCAACGCCCGGCTGGACTCCACACATCACAGTTGTGGCAGCTTGACCGCAAGTGCGGAGGTTCACGCAGCGGTCCCGGTCGAAGCTGTCTCATCGGATCCGGCAATCGAGAGCAGCAATGATTGCCTGCGGTCCAGTCCAGCGCACGGCACGTCGGTCGTTGGTTTATCCGTTGCAGCGTCGCCGGTCCAGCTTTGTCTCCGTCAAGACTCGCAGCACATGGCCGCTTTCACGCAAGGGACTCGTCACGCAGGACCAGTCGTGGCCGATAAAGCTCGTGACATCACACGCTGTCCGCAGAGTTGTATGCCAGAGCGCGGGAGAGATGCAGGCGGTCTTGGCAGGAAATATGATACAATGCTGAGGACGATGTTGGGATGCTAATGTGGGATGCTGGACTGGCAGTGCTCTGGCAGCTTGGTCGTATCCACTGCGTACGAGGTGGGAGAGCTAGCCCCTCTCTTTCGCAGCAAGACTCTTTGTGACCGAGTCGATGTAGGTCTGCAGCATCTCGTTGTCTGCCTCGGCCTTCTTGCAGTCTTCTTTGACCGAGCTCACGCGGCTGAGCAGGGCGCGCAACCCGTCCTGTCGTGCCATGATCTCTCTAGCCACGACGAAATGGAGAGAGCATATCGTGACGTTTCGTTGTCAGCAAAGCATGCGATCGCGCTTCCTGGTCGTTATGCAGAGACTGGCACTCACCGAACGAGGTTCTCCTTTTCCACCACCTCGTTTGCTGAGATCTCGGTCTCGGCCGTCCAGGCCGCAGACTCGGTGAAGTCGTCCGAGGCAACAATCGGCGACGCCGTCGAGGATCCAACGTGCGCGTCAGCATCCATCTCGGATCGTATCGAGCAGTGTTGCGACGCCTCCTAATGTCGACGTGTAAGAGCAGCTCTGGCGATGATGCAGACGGTGAAGCTGCACGTGCGGCTGCTCCATCCAGGGTCCGACACGGTAGCTTCGGGTCTCGGATTTCGATTATTCATTGTTAGACAACCACATCCTGACATGTTCTCTTCGATTTTGTCCGTCCCCTGTTGCCAAATGTCAGTTGCGGCGCAGGCGAGACACTGTCAAGCTCTTGCAGCACGCCTCTTCCGGGGTTGTCAGGCCCGTAGCTCGGGCCCAAGTGATGGCGGCAATCTACCCGACAGCTGCGCTTCCCGCAAGACAATGAATTCGGAATGCCGAGGGGGCCACGGACCCGGTCCCGCCACCGCTATCCCCAACAAATTGACCGCCTCCAGGGGCCCAGATTCTTGTACGGCTTTCGGCCTCCAATCAAGATGCCGAATGCCTCCCGAGCACTGAAGCATGTTGCCGAATGGCGACGAAAGCGAGCCGAGAAGCAGGCTTCGAGGGGCGGAGATGCGAGGTATCCAGGCTGCGTGAGCCTTGAACCGGCAACGAAGGGTGGCGAATCGAACTAAATGGGTGGGGAATTCCCCGCGCCTCGCGTCCTGAGCCGTGGGAGTCTTTGCAAAACGTCCCAGCCGCCCGTTGGAGCGCTTGGACCACGACCCGAGGCGAGGCGAGGCTGGGTGTCTGGATGTTGCTGTGCTTCGAATTTTGCGCCTGTCTCGCTCGGAAGCCACTCTGAACAGCGACAGCTGTGGGTTGACATTTGCACCTAGCCGAGTATTGTCGACAAGCCCAGAAAAGCGGACAGTGACTTATCGATAACTTAGAGCTCGCAGACGCAGAAGTTGAGAAGGAAATGACGAGCCAACCCACGCCACGCAGCAAGATGCCAGCATGCAAGATCCCGGCAGCTTGGCGCGTACGCAATGCAGCCGCGCATGCGCGCATTTCCGCGCGCTCAAGCGCCCCCATGTGCCTGTCCGAGGTCCCTCCGTCGGTGAAATTCAGCGAGCAATTCGCCGGGCCAGGGCGCTTAGCTCGCCGCATCTTCCTTTTCTCCCCACAGCATGCTTATCTATCAAGGATCTCCATGACCATGCGGTGCATTCCAGCATGCGCAGCCCCGCGCTGCGTCAGACTTGCAGCAAGCACCCCACATCCGTAAAGAAGGAGGGGCTCCGTGGGACAACAAAGCGTTTTCATGTACCCCGTGCGCGTGAAGTGCGGATTGGAGTCGACTTCCCACCGACAAAGTTTCCTCGCAAATGGCCGACTTGCTCGGTTCAAGCTCAAAACATGTGCAGATGAGATCGGGCGATAAGAATCACGGGCGCATCCATCGGGCTCCTTCAGTGAAAGTGAGCCGTGTCACCGTCCCTCATGTCAGACCCTACGAAAGCGACACTAACAGGAAATGGTGGGGACGTTGCGAGATGGCGATCCCCAGCGGAAGGGCGGAAGCACCTCTCGATCGCGAGGAGCCGTGCATCAAGAGCCACATGGGCAGGTTCTCGCATCCCTTGCGTTCTTCCCTGCATCGCCTCTCGAGCCGGGGCGCGTCAGCTGTGCATTCTGTTTCTTTTTTGTTTTTGTTTCTTTTTCCTCGTCGAAAAATAATTTCGCAGGGCGTGGCACCTGAGCAAGTGTTGTTGAACGACGCCGATTACGGGCTCCGCGACGGCGAGCCGGAAGCAACGATCCCAGCTCCGACAATTTAGTGGGAGTGAGTGGTCATTGTGCGTTCAGATGCAGCGCATCGGCTGCCGCCTTGGACTGAGACGACGCCCAGGTCGGTGTCGGTGTCGGAATGCAGGCCACATCACTGCAGAAATCGGATCCATTCCGTCGTCCGCACGCAGACGAGTGTCGCTTCCGGTGTCATTGTCTTTGCGCCAAGGCCACGCAGGCGAAGCGTGCCGCACGTGCTCGTCCTCGGCTCATCCTGGCTGAGAATGCGAGTGTGCGGCTCCGCAAGAGAAGTGTCATATCGTGCTTTGGATATGCTCCTCGAAGCGGGTTTTGTGACCAGTGCCATCGGAACTTAGCGAGACCATCGATGCGAGACCCTCTGCATCTACCGAGAGGCGGTGCCGTAAGCGAATCAGGACCCGTCCTTGCCCAAGATCGCGTGGCCTGGGGGTCAGAACGATGACAGCCTCTACTTCCAGTCGCCAGACCGACGTGCCCGCGCATTCAGCCTACAGCAACGCGGGCTTGTCGGTTTGGATTGTTTGCGGCCTGCGAAGCGGAGTTGGTTCGGGAAAGATGGAAAAGGCGGGCTCCAAAAAGGGCACCACTGTACTGTAGCTAGCGATCGTGCGAAGGCTTACCCATCTACTGTGCATCTCACGGCAGGTATGACACCAAGCAGAGCTCGAGTGCTGCGCCTAAGCCTCCGCACAATTACGCGAGGAGGGGAAGAACAGCCGACTGTGTACAGTCAGACTCGCCCAGTTGCGTCCCCACAAGACCCTGACAAAATGTTGGTGCTTTGGCTGTCTTGTTCGAAGAGCCGTCAATGGCGCTGTGGCGCTGTAGCAAGATGATCGGCTGTGCCGACCGGGTATCAAGGCCCACCTCGACCCTGATGCGTCCGTCCGACGGGTGTACCGATCATTTGAAACGGCGCGACAGGGTCAAGCAGCAGCAGCAGCAGCAGCAGCAATGCTCCCTGATGGCGTCACTCTTTGACTGCGGCTCGAGCATCAAAATGCGGTTCATCCACATGTTCAGTGCGGAGATTTTTGAGACGTCGCCTTGGGCACAACTGATGGACTCCACCGACGTGCCCGAGTCGCATCGCCAGTGAGACCCTCCGGCATGTTTTCCCTTGCTGCTGCTGCAGTCTTGGCGAGAGGCGCTTGCTGACCGGCACGGCACGGAGTGTAAGACACATCGGCATGGCTGCCTTGGCCTCCGACATCGTGAGGTGCATCTCGCGCATCCTTCCGCAAATGCCACGACGGCTTTCATCACACCTTCAACCAACATTCGTGCAAAGTCGTTATGGTGATGTGCAGTGGACCTTCTCTCGTAAGGCAGTGAATCGTGCACATGTCTCGACATCCTTTGGTCGGTGTCGCCGCCAACGACTTGACAAGGGGAGCCAGAGACATTGAGCCAACACGGCGCCGAGTGAGCCATCGATTGGGTGCAAGCCTTGCAAATTTCGGTGTGGCACCTCTGCGCGTCGCGATCGATCTGTGGGGGAGGGAAAAAGCCTTTTTGGTTTTCTCAGGATTTTCTTTGGATTTTTTTTTCCCTTCTTCGAAAAGGCGTCCTCCAGTTTCGCGGCACAAAGGGCATGCTTGCCTGTCACACGATTTGAGCAGGCGCGATGGGGATGCGTGCATATCGCCGCTCTGCAGGCAACCAGAGCCCGGCCAATTTTCTGGCCTTGCTGGCGGCTGGCCCAAAACTGCGTTACGCACTCTTGTCGAATCGACTCGTCTTTGCGGATTGTTTCGAAACTGCTCGGTCGAATCCGACGGCCTCGGCTGAGTCGTGTGGGCCGCGTGCCGAAGTACCACCATCCAGAAATGCTGCGAATGGCGTTGGAGAAGAACGAGGTGCCCCACGGGCGTTGGCATGAGTGGGTGGCACATGTAGCCAAGACGTGCAGTGCAGCCAATGACATTGGGCAGAGATGGACATGGACGTGGACGAGCTGCACGAGAAATTCGAAATCCAGGCCAAATCACTAGCTCACGCGGGGCGGCACAATCAGATTTGGGCAGCGCGCCCTATCGATGCAACTCGGGTTTCCTCTTGCGTGCTGTTGCCATGTTGAAGCTCGGTCGCAACGCCAGGCTACGAACAACGGATGGCAGGCAAGCTGATGCTCAAGAATGGTGCTGGTTCACCCTTTTGACGGAGCAAGCTCGTGTGCGCCAGCTACATGGCGAGGAGGGTCCACCTGGCAGCCATTCGGCGGTCGGCGCCAAACTGGCATGCAACGCTGACCACCAAAAGTCGACGGGCCGAGAAGATCAAATAAAATATATATAAAAAAACATTGATTCGGTCCAGCCTGGCGGGGGAGAGAGGAGGGGCCGCTGCGCCGCGTCGCTTACGTTGGCGAACCCCCTGGGGATTCGGCCGCTTACCGAGACGCGCTTCTCCCAGCAACCAAGCAACGCTTCCCGCCCTGGAAAGCCAACAAAATGCACACGAGTCGGGGTTTTGGCGGCCAAACGCTGCCGGCCTTTTGTGCCTTGAGCGACTTGGCCCCTCCACAAAAATTCAAAAAAGAAAAAAATCTCGAGCGGGCGCGCAGTCAGCGGCGCAAGTTTCGTGGCTCAGATCGATGCGCCATCGACCGTTCCCAGGCCCGTCGGACCTGGAGACCGACAAAACGAATCGATCTGGAGACGCGCTCCGCACACTGACATATGTCCTGCCGAGTTTGCTGCGCGCGCTCTCGCCTATCGCTTGTTCGCCGTCGTGAGGGCCCTGGCGCCGAGTGTTGCGCTTTTTTGGTCCCTCTCCTCTCGAGCCTCGGCCCCCTTACTTGGCTCAGACAGCCGCTCCACAACGGTGCGCCACGCCCAGACGCAGGCATCGCAGCGTGCGTGCGAAAAAAAGGAGTGCTCAGGCCGTCCTCAGCCTGGCGCTGTCTACGCGTTGCGCTGCGTTCCTCTCCTCGCCGCGACGTTGGGGCGCATGGCCACGCCCATCGATCCCTGCCTCTGTCTCTCCTTGATTCCCTGGCTGCCATTGCCGGCACACTGTTCCTCAAGCCGCATCCTTGAGCAGTTGACACTGGCTCGTTCGTACGGGCTTGGTCGGCGCCGCCTCCTGCTCTCTTCTTATCGACCGACCTGTCCGGTGCGTTCGCTTCTGACGCTTCTCGCCCATCGCTGCCGCCCTCTCATCACGTCCACCCAAGGCGCTGCTCCTCACACCGTCGTCGCCCCGACCCCGACCTCCTCTCTCCAAGCTTTCGCTGGCCTCCTCAGCGTCTTGGACAATCGCACCCAGATCTGCTCTAGCGCTCGGTTCTCCTTCCGGCCAGTGCTCTGCTGTGCCTCTCGTCAAACGTTGATCCTTGTCCGCTCGCCATTGTCCAGCGTGCTTCAGCTGCGCAGCGCACTCTCGCATCCCAACATCCTCGAACCTGGCTACTGTAGTCGCGCGCCCCCCTTCCACCATCCTCAACCTCAGTTCCAACCTGGACCGCCCTGAGCAGGAACCTCAGCGTCCGCCTCCCGCCCCACCAACCCTCCAGCTCAGCCTCAGCCTCTGGGTTCTCCTCCGCCTCTAGCTCTTACGCCAAGCCCCGTCTTGCCCGCCACCAGCACTTCTCCTACACACAGCTGGACCCGCTTTCTCTCCTTTCTTCCTTCATACCGCCTTCGCCTCATCCCCTCCTCGTCGCTTCCTTGGCCCCCCTTTTTGTTTGTTCAGCCGACGATCCATTGGCTAGGCCAAGGCTTCACATTCCTCTCTTGGGTTCCAGCTCACCTGAGCCGCTTCCAGACGTTTGAGGGTCCGCCCACACACGAGCAGGGCATTCCTCCTTTTGTCCACCACCACCACCACCTTTCCATCCTCACTCAGGTCCTCATCCTCATCAACACCCCTAGACGACCCTCTCGACGACCCTTGCCCCGCACTTTCCGTCTTCACCACGCTTTGCTGCCTTTCCCCTACACCGCTCTTTTCTTGGTCGACGCACGCAGCGGACAGTTCACACAAGTGTTGCCCGTCCCATAATCCCTCGCGCACATCTACATGCTCCGAGCACCGTGACGACGCCATCGCTCGAGCTTCCATCACCACTGCATCGTCCAGCCGCCATCACGGAATGCTGGTAAGCGCGCCTCTCCAGTCCTACGATCGTGCTTCTATCCACCGGCCGCAGTACCACTCTTCTCGTCCGTACCACACGCCCACCGAAAAGGGCACGGCAGGTACAATGACCCTCTCCAGCTCACACGCCGATATGGCGCACTTCACCGACGGTCGTCCGGCAGTGGGCACCAGCAGCAGTCACAGCCACATCGAAACATCGTCATCCGCATCCTCAGAGTCTGCCTCGGCGTCGCTGCCCTCGGCCAACCTCGCCCAGCCAGTGCCGACGCGACCAAAGAACCACGTCCGTGGCGTCGCGTCCGATTCTCGTGTTTGGACCACAGGCCGCGGTTTCTTCGAAGGACGCTATCGCGAGCGACAGTCATACGTCAGTGCGCAAGAGCAGAAGGACCTCGAAGCAGAGCGCGACGCCATCCTGCAGATTCAGAACGTGCAGGCAGCCAAGCGTCGGGCCAAGATGATGAGGCTCACGCCCGCCTTCCCAGCGTCTAGAGATAGCACCCACACGCCCAGCCCTCCTTCCAGCGAAGCCTCGTCAGCGCGCACCGCCAGCGACGATGTCGCCACCCCTCCCGACAGCCGCGTTCCCTTCCCAAGCCCCAAAACCCGCATCGGTCTCGCTGCTGCTCAGAACATGGCTCCCCTCCACCCAGGCTCGAGGAAGGCCTTGGCTCTCAAGGCCAACAGCCCCGGTCCCGAGGTCCTCGGTGGCCTCAGCCTCGATCTGCACTGCCTGCCATCGCCAGCTGGCGACCGATCCTCCATCTCCTCGACCACATCCACAAATTCGGAGCTGCTCCGCAAAAAGTCGGGAGAGCCGGTCAAGTCGTCGCTGAAGCAGTATTCGGGTAGCTACATGGTTCCACGATCGGCCAGCGATGCCATACTCCCTTCCTCGGCGTACGGCACCAAATCCGTCCCTACCACTCCGAGCGCCCCCAAGTTCGTCCACTTTGACACTCAGCTCGAGCGCATCAAGATCTTCAAGGTCAAGGGCCGCCCGCAGGCCGTCTCACGCGAGGGGAGCCCCGAGCACACCGAGACCGAGACCGAGGAGGAGCGCGATTACCCGTGGTTTGGTTCTCGCAGGGGCGGCTCTCTCGGGCGCACTGCAGGCTCTCGTAGCCCCACCAACCCATCGACGCCTCCGGCTACCGAGCCAGAGGAGCAACTTGTTCTGCGCCTGCCCAACTTCCCCTCTTCCGCCAAATTATCCCTGGACAAGGACATCTTCCTCGAACGCATCTACCTCTCGGACGATCTGCGCTCCGTCCGCGGCACAGTGCAAGTCAAAAACCTCAGCTTCGAGAAGTGGGTCGCCGTGCGCTTCACCCTCGACCATTGGGCCACGGTCAACGAGGTGTCGGCCGAGTACTCGGAGAGCATCAAGGACGGCACAGCCGACCGCTTCGTGTTTTCCATCAAGCTCAACGAGGTGCTCAACTGGCCTCGCGGAGCCGGACTCGACGAGACCAAGACCATCTTCCTCTGCCTCCGCTACACCACCGGCGGACGCGAGATCTGGGACAACAACGACGGCGGCAACTATCAGCTCGACTTCCGCAAGCGCCCTGCGCAGCCCGCCGAGGCGCCCCGCCTGCCTCCTACCTCGGCCGAAGGCCGCGCTGCGGCTGCTACGTTTGGCAACACTGTCCCGCGTCGGTACACGCTCAGCTCTATGGGACCCACGTCCACCTCGTCCATTATCGAAATGGGACGCAGGACTGGCGTCTACGGGCAGAAGGCGACGCGCGACAACGCCATGGAGCGGCTCAAGCAGGAGCTCGAGCGCCTTCGCTCGGACGAGGAGGAGGCGGAAAAGGCCCCCATGTCGGGCACATTTGCATCCGAGATGTCGAAGCGCCGATCGCCGCCCGTATCGCCCGGAGGCGCCGGAAAGCCCAGCTCGCCATCCATGTGGTCTGCAAGGTACGACTTTGGTGCCTCGCTTCGCGATCCCAAGAGCGGCAGCCGCAAGACCGAGGCTGGACGCGCCGCTGCCCTCGACTACTTCTCGGCGCGCCCGTCCGCAGTCGTCGCTTCTAGCCCCGTGCGCTCTTCGTTTGTCGTCAGCGCCGCTACGCCTTCCCCCGACGGCTCGACGCCGCGTTCCGCCGCCGAGCTTGTGCCCAAGTTCGGCCGTCTGGGCATGTTGAGCCCGGGCCTGGGCGAGGTGGTCATCGAGCACGCCGCCGTCAACAGCTCCAACACCAGCTCCCCAACCGGCTCGCTCCTCCAAGTGCCGCAGGTCGGTTCCATCGCAGCAACCAGCCCAGCTGCGACGTCAGGCAGCCGCTTCAACTCGTTCCCACCGAACAGGAACGGCCAAGCTCGCAGTGTGTTTGGTATCTGGGATGACGAGGCCAATGGCGGCAACGGCTCTGGCTCCGGCTCAGCGTCAGGCTCTGCTTCCGTCTCTAGGTCGGGCACACCGCCGTCGCCGATCGGCTTCGCGACCACTAGGATCGAGATCAAAGGCGATGGCACCGTTCTGGAAGACTACACCCCGGACGGCAGCCAGGCCTCGCCCAACTCGCTCAACAACTCTCCAAACCCCTTCTCGCCCGCCCTATCAGCCAGCTCGGTCGACTCGGACTCCACCGCCATGCTCGACACGAAGCCTGGCATGACCAGCAGCCTCGACAATCTCGGCAACCTCAGCGGCCCGTCTGCATACCGCTTCCTGCGTGCTGATCACCTGGAGGGCAGGACGCGTCCTTCGTCCTTCACCGCGGGCGACGAGGCTGAGCAGCACGGCTACTCTTCCTCGGCTCTCTCGTCGTCCACCACCATGTCGCCTTCGTCCGAGCTCGCCACGCCGGACGAAGAATTCATGCGTCCGTCCAACCTCACCAGTTTCAACGAGCTTGTCGCCCGATTCTGCTGGAACAGCGACAATCAGGTACCCCAGACAAGTCCTGACGCCTCGGGGCTCGCCGCTCATACACCCACGTCGGCCTCGGGGCGCTCCACCCCCATCGCGCGTGCTGGAGGCGCCTACTAAGCTCGACCCACTGTACACTATCCAACGTCACGTTGTCACGTCTTTGCTACGAATGTGCTCGAATCCGATTGGCGTCCCGCGCCAAGACGCGTCCGCACACCGCGGGCATCCGTTGCTGCCCTGCAGCAGCAGCTGTAACACATCCGTCCCCTCTTGTTTCGGCACATCCACCCCATCCAGCACACACACACACACACACACACACACACACACTACATGAACCGTTCCGCATTAAGTCCGTTACGCATCGTCACAATTTCAATCGCACTTTCTATCTGCTTTCACACGTGCAGGCCCTCTCAGAGCACAATCAAGGCTGACGGATCGAGTTTTCGTGAGCGGTGGAGGGGCCTGTGAAAACAGAGTCGGCTCGATGGGTGAGGGTGCAGCTTATGCATTCGGAGCAGGCAGTGCCGTGTACCCCTGTGTGGGGTTTGGACCCCTGCCTAGGGTGCCGATCAAGTTCTGCTGAGCTCAGCGGCTTGTCTTTCTATAGATGGGCATGAGACAAGCGAGCTTGCGCCGGCTGCTTACAGACATTTGAAACTGTGGGGCACCGCACGATCGACAGTGATCCACACTGTCACGCGCAAGCAGGGTCATGTGGGGTTCCCTCTCTGCTTGCTGTACAGCGACGAATGCGTCTGGTCGAAGCGAAATCCAACCCCCAACCTCGGGGGAACTTACAAACAATGCTCGGATGGCAGCGATGATTCAGCATCTGGGTGTCGTCTTCCTGCACACGTCGCAAACCAAACTCCGATCATCGGACCGGCAAACAAATTCAACACTATATGCATGCTTAAGTCACTTTTGCACCCAAGCAAGGTTGTATGGAGTAGTTGGTTAACTTAGGAGATTCTGATTGACCGCCTTCACAGGCGTCGGTACGATTCGACTTCTCTTGCCCTGGGTTCGAATCCCAGTACGACCTCTTTTTTTGCATTTTTCATCCCTCAAACCAGCATCATTTTTTTTTATCGTCGACTTGGAACCTCAATTACTTCCGCGGATGACCACTGCCTCGCTCGATAAGGCTGCCAGACATCACCACGTCAGCTCATGCTTGCCCATCGCAGAGCTTTACTCAAGAATCGATCGGTCATCTGAAGGTGAAAAGGTTGTATTTCAACAATTATGGTCACGCGGATGCCACGAAAACTGCCAAAAGTGTAAGAAAGGAAAGGGGATTGCGAAAGGAATGAGAGGCGAAGTTGGGTTGAAGGAGGGAGAGAGTACTTAGGGAAGAGGAGGTGAAAGCAGCTGGCTTTGCAAGCTCGACCGCCTACTTGCGGAAGCGGTGTCCGCCAAGAGATGAGATGACGCTGCGAATGCTATCCTCGTCCCATAGGTACCTTTGCAGGTTCTCGGGCAGCTGATTGTAGGGCACGGGCGCCTGGAGACGGCCGTTGACCTGCCTCTGGAAGACGTACGTGTGGGTGCTATCAGGGATGATGTGGATCGTCTCGGGCTTTCGACTGGGGTGAGCGTAGACGTTGTTGAAGTCCTCATAGCGTTCGGCTACGCGGACCTGACGGGCTCGAGCCTCGGCGACCGACATTCGGCTGTGGGCAACATCGTAGACGTTTCGCATGTTGCGGCGGATGTGAGCCTTGACGTCTTCGGGAAGACGCGACCAGCTCCTGACTTGCGGAGTCTGAGTCGTCCGCGCTGGCATCATGTGGAACACGTACGTGCCATCTCGAGCCTTCATCAGCCGAATCGTTTCGCCGGGATAGTTGACGATGCGAGGCTCTTGGTTGGGCGGAGCACGCTTGCGCAGGCGACCGATGACAGACGCCCACGGCAGTTCGGGGTTACCTTGCACAAGTGACCTGACGTACGTCTTGAGATGGCTCGGCAGATCTTCGAACGGCACTCGCACACGGCTGTCCCACATGACGCCTGGCTTGAGATACTCGAATTTGTACTTGCTGCCTTTCTTGAGCACGGAGATGGTGTGCGCACTGCGTCCCTTGGTGGTATAGAAGCCACTTGGATCCCAGAAATGCTCCGAGACTCGAATATGCTGGTCCGCATCGCGTCCACCATTCTTGACCGCCTCGTCGATCTTGCTCACCGAGGCGCGAAGCTCATCCTGCTCCGCGCGATGCAGCTGTTCCCAGGTTCTGGATACGATCGCATGGTCAGAACCTGGTAGGATAGAGTAGAACTTCAAAGAGTTGCGCCCGCGAACAATGTTGTAGCCGGCTCCTTGGTATGGGAGAGAATCAACTTGCTGGCATCCGGAGCTCGAGCCGGCAGGTGCTCGCTTCCTGAGGCGGTGCAGCACAGAAGCCCAAGGCACGTCGGGGTGTCGCGCCACGTAGTTCGATGCAAACAGCTTGAGATGCTCCGGAAGGTCGCTGAAAGGCACAGTCTTGCGGGAAGAGCGGAAGAGGCCTGACTGCAAATACTCGAAGCGGAAGTCGTTTCCTCTGCGCTTGACGACAATGTCGTCCTGCGCGAAGCCAGGAAGCCTATAGAAGCCGTTACGACTGCCCTGAGTGGGCGAGACGCCCATGTGGTGCTCTGCTCGGGCCCATCCGTTGGCCTGTGCCTTCTTGAGGTTCTCGACCGACTTTTTCAGCTGCGCTTGATGGCTGCTCGGCAGATCCTCCCACCTGTACGGACCGTCTCCACTGCCAGGCAGGTTCACGGGATAGATGTACATCTGTCCACCCACCCTGCGAACAAAGTTGTAGCCGGCACCATCGTAGCGAAGAGTGCTGACTGGAGTCCAGTCGGAAGCAGAGCCGGGTGCAGGGCTGCGCTTGCGCAGATGCACCTTGCTCTTAGCCTCGTCGAAGACCTTTTCCACGCTGCCAGCACCTTCCTGCAGAGTCTGCTTGGCCTTGCCCGCAAGATCAGCAGCTTCAGAGGCGACCGAAGGGGAGGGCTTGTGCTCGTTTTCGGCCTCGCCCATGGCTTCAGCCATGAGCTTCTGATGATTTTGTCGTCTCGCATCCGCCTCTTCTTCTTCTTTGATCATCTCGGGAGTCACTTGCACGCCCTCTTGGATTGCACCGAGACCGGCGCGCTGCCGAGGTGTCATCTTGGCGAGATGAGCTGCGATCTCCTCGGGCGAAGGCTTGGGCGACTTGAATCTCGCCAGGTTCGCTTCGATCTCCCTGTCCGTCCAGACAAAGTTGGGGTCGATCTGGGTCTCACCTGGACGATCACGAGTTCTCCATTTACCCATGAGCCTTGACATGGTGTCCTTGAGGGAGAAGTCTTTGATCGCCTCTTTGGATCGGGCTAAGGCATCCTTCAATTTGTCGTAGGCATCCTTCGATCGAGCGGATGCAGACTTGAAGAACTGAGCCGTGCGATCAGCAGCATTGACAGTGGCGTCCTTTGCGCTGCCAAGTTTTTGACGGAGAGCAGCCATCTGTTCTTCCGCGTTCGTTCGCAAGCGAGCGATGCTTTCGCCAAGTCGATCGATACTGCTCTTGCCCGCGGCGATCCATCGAGCGGGACCGGAAGGCCCGACAGCTTGAGCAGCACCGCCGACAGCGGGCGCGGGAGGGGAGCTGGCGGGCGGAGCACCAGCTGGTGGAGCAGCAGCTGACTGAATCTCGTCGGCGCGGCGGATGAGAGCCTGCGCGGGAGCTGCAGTGGTGAGGGAGGAGAGCAGGAAGAAGGCGAGCACGCCGACGAGCAGCCACCAGGGCTGCTGTCGAACGAGCTTGCGAGTGAATCGCATCTTGAAAGAGTGTGGTTGAGGGGGCTGAAACGATACGAAACACGTGAGAGTCAGTCAGCACTGTGATACAATGAGATGGATCGACGGGAGAATGTGAGTGACTTACAGCACGTGTTCTGTACCTGTCCAGATTGAGAGGATGGAAGGGACGTGTGGCGACAAAGAGCCGTTCACTCAAGCCTCGTGCTGGCATTAAATACAGACCAGTTTTCTGGCTTGCTGCCTTGTGGCTCCCTCATAAGTGGTCAGATGAGCCGTTTGTATCGCCCACCAAAGGAAGTTTGCTCCCACTTCCATTTCATGACCATGTCAAGGGTCCCACCATGATAGTGCCTTTATTTTTTCCACCAACGTGGCACGGGCATGTCCCTCCAGCCAGAAACTCGTCTGATCGGCTGCATGACTTGCTGAGGTGGGCGTCAGTAACCTTGCGCCTCGGTGTTTCATCTCCGGTTGCGCTGTGAACTTCCGCAGCTCGCATGGCTTGCAACGAGGCGGAATACCGCTTGCCGCGTCCAGCTCAGCCTTGCAGCGGCGTACTCCGAAGTCACAACCCGGCTCAGCGAATGCAAACAAAATCTTCGCCGCCGTTCTCTGCCGTAGCGCCATTCTCGCTCCGGGCGTGCCCCAATGAGGGTTGAATGGCGGCAGTCGATCGACCCACTTCTTGGCAAAGCTTTCTCAGTCGTCGGCAGGCAGTCGATCTAGGGAGACTCGTCAATTCCACGAGCAATTGCTATGATAAGATGAAGGGACAGGAAAATTCCGGTTTAAAAATTTACCGGAGAGGAAGAGATGGATCTCTAGAACGAGAGGCTCGAACTGGTAGCCTCCGGCCTGGTAGAATTTGCTGCCAAATTCGACCCAGGCGAGACGGATGGCGTGAAGGAGCGAACTGAGGCCCTCCATGCAGCACAGGATGGCGATCGAGAGGCAGAACCAGAGGCCAAAGGCGAGCACGGAGGCGATGGCACCCGTGACACCCGTCATGCCGAACACGTTCTGGATGGTCATGGTCCACAGCACCTCGGACAGCTGGGCGTGGGCAAGCGACAGAGCCCACAGACGGAGGTAGGAGGCGGTGTTGGAGATACAGCCGAGGCAGAACTCGATGGTGTGGATCACCTGGTGAATGACCACCTCGCCGATGTTGAACTCGTGCTCCTCCTCCATCTCTCCATCGCCGTGGCCGCCGCTGCCATGGCCGTTGCCCTGAGCCTGAGTGAGGCGGCTGTTCTCGTCGGCATCCTCGTCGTCATCGTCGCCATCGCCGTCGAGGCCGAGGCCGCGGGAGCCATCGCCCTGGTGGCTGATGGAGCGGTAGCCCTGGCCCTTGGTGGCCTGGTGCTCCTTCCACTCGATGTAGGGCGTGACGCAGAGCATCCAGGGAACGCAGATGAAGGCAATGAGCAGGAGGACGGTTTGAACAAACGCTTGACCAGCGAAGAGCTCGGTCTTGGGATCAACGTCGCCGGGCTTGAGGAACATGTAGATGAGCATGTTAAGCAGGCCGGGCGGGTTGTTGCGGAAGACGGTGCCGTTTGCGTCGGTCTCGTACCAGTCGATGGACCACTTGTAGACGATGGCGAAGACGAGGTAGCCAAAGAGCGACTGCATGAAGAGCATCTGGGGCACGATCTCGGACCAGATCTTCCACTTTTGACCGAAGCGGATGAAGTTGGGCACGTTGAGGAGGATGGCGAGCGTCATGTGGAAGACGCCGAGGATGACGGACATCTTCATCTTGAGCGAGTTGGTGAAGACGAGCGCGTTGTCGGCGCCGTGCCAGGTGGGGTCGATGCCGATGGCGTAGGTGTTGCCGTTGGCGACGGCTTCGATGGTACCGTTGTTGTGGGGCCAGTCCCAGCCGGTGTGGAAGAGGTGCATGCTCTTGCTTCCAATGTCGTTGTAGAGGAAGCCGGTGAACATGGAGAAGACACCCATGAGGAGCATCATGTAGCGACCATAGAAGAACATGGTGAAGATCTCGTTGTCGACCTTTGCGAGCTTGCGCTCAAAGGCGCACATGGTGAGAGCAGCCAGGGTCATGAGGAAGGCGTGGAAGACATCGCCGAACATGACGGCAAAGAGGAAAGGAAGTAGGATGAAGTTGAAGAGACCCGGGTTGACCTCCTTGTACTTTGCGATGCCGTAGCTGTCGCCGACGGACTGGATGGCTTCGGTGTACTTGTTGGAGCGCTGGAAGGTGGGAGGCGACTTGTTGGTGCGCAGCTCCTGGAGCACGGCCGGGGCGCTGGCGCCGGCATTCTCGGTGGCGCGACGAAGGGCGAGCTGGATCTGGCCGAGGTCGCTCGAGGGGCACCAGCCTTCGGCGACGAGCGTCTTGCGACGGTTATCGAAGAGGAACATGTTGAGCGTCGAGTAGATGAGCTTCTCCTTGCGCACGACGTCTTCCCAGGCGCTAAGGACCTCGGCGATCTTGACGAGCTCGGTGCGACGGGTGGCGCTGGTGGAGTAGAGCACGTTGTTGAGGTCTTCGATGCGGCTGAGCACCTCGCGCAGGCTCTCTTCTCGACGGTCTGCGTTGCTGTCGATGGGGTAGAGGGTGCCTCCCATGCTCTCGCTGATCTTGCGAATCTTGGCGAGGAGTTCGGCACCGTGGGCAAAGATGATGAAGACATTCTTGCGGACGGGCTCCTCCTTTGTGGGGTCATCAAAGGGTTCCTCGATCTCGGCGTAGTTCATGTAGAGGTTGCCGCGAAGCACACGCCAGAGGATGCGCTCGAAGATGGCCATCTTTGTGCGGTCGATGGTGCCGGCGACAAACTCGAGGTCGAAGGTGCCGTAGTTGGAATCTTCGCCGCGGGAGGTGTTGAATGCGTGCGACTCGACGTCATCGAGAAGGGGTGCGTTGGCATCATCGACGGAGGCACGGACGTTGTCGTTGCGGCCCTCGGCCTGGTCGAAGAAGACGGCGGTTTCGCGAAGGACGTGCTTTGCCTCCTCGAGCTCCTGGAGCCGCTTCTGAAGGGTCTCGTACGAGCCGTTCATCTGACCGAGACGCTCCTCGTGCTCGCGCAGCTTGACGGAAAGCTCGTCCATGAGCTGAGGGCCTCGACGGCCATCGCCGCCCGCTCCGAAGCTGATGAAAGGAAGGGCGCTCTCGAGGGGACGGACGGGGACGCCCTCCTTCTCCATCTGTGCGTACAGAAATCGGATGCGTCTCTCCATCTCGTCGAGCCTCCTGATGTCGGTGACGAACGAGCGCTGGAAGGGGGATACGTCCGGGTTGAGATCCTTGAACATGACGTTGCCCAGCTCTCCGAGTTCCTGAACCGTGGCGTGGGCGGTCTCGGAGGGGATGTAGAGCTGGATCAGCGACATGGTCGCCGACCGGAACAGGCTCTCTTCCTCCGGCATCTTTGCTACGGCAAGCGCTTGGCTAGGCGGCGTGGATCAGGGAGTGATGAAGAGGACAGAAGCGAAGAAAGTTGGTGTGCAGAAGGTGATGAGGGAGGTGAGGCGAGCGATGTCGGTCCGCGCCCTCTTGCTGGTTGGGCAGTGTGTAGAGTGCGTTCAGTGCGCTGCCGTGCGTAATGCAGGGGTGGAGCGACGAGAAATGCAGGCGTGATTTCAGAGTGAGTCTGTGCTCAGCCGCCACGGATCCGACCCGCCACAGCGAATCGCACCAGCCAAGACAGCGCTTTGATTAGGTCTAACACTTCTCGAAAAAAGCCTCCACCTCGAGTCCCCCTCAGTCCGCCAGTGCGCGGACCCTGACGCTTGGCTCGCACCTGTGCTGGCCACGTTCCCCGACACCATGCTCTCCGAACGACGTCCCACACAAGCTTCGAGCCGCACGTCTGTGTAGCCACAACCAGCAGCGCAAGATCTTCTTGCTGTACTTTGAACCGCCATGGCGCTCGAATGCCACGCAGAATGCTCCAGCGCCGTCGCCAAACGCTCTCGTGCCCGTCGATCAATAGGCAACCGGAAGCTCAAAACGGCGTGGACGTCGGCTCTCCTCATACTAGCAACTTCAACAGGCGCTGATGCCCTCTTTGGTATTGGAGAAAAGCGCTTCAAGTATGAAGGACTCATCAATGCCGGAAGCCTCGGTCTCGACCAGATCAACGGACAAATAGCCACATGGGGCGACTGGAACGGCGACCAGTTTCTCGACGCCATCGTGGTAGATGCGGATCGCTCGACAGCAAGCATACACGTATGGGATCACTCTGACTTCGGATTCAAGCGCAGCCCGGCAGCTACAATCCAGACAGCCGCCGGTCAAAAGATCAGCAACGTGGTGGCAGCCGATATCAACTACGATGGTCGACTCGATCTTCTCGTTATGTCCCAAAACCCCGCCAGCACCTCCAAGGAGCTCTCCATGCAGGTCTTCTTGGGTGAAGAAGATGGATCGGGATTCAAGACGACGCCACTGTCGTCGCCATCATCTACGCTAGCCCAGCCCATCTCGATCGATGCCTCGGGTGACATGCAGATGGATTTGCTTGGAATCCCCTTCTCGGACACCCCCGCAGCGGGAAGGAACGCCTCCGATCTCAAGATCTGGCGCAACCTTCTCGTGGACCTCTCCAACTCTACAGAGGCCTTCGATATTGCCGACGCACCGCTGCTCAACGCCGACGCCGCGCCCGCATGCAAGCTGGCGAATCCCCACAGCTCCGCCTTTGTCGACCTCAACGGCGACTGTCTGGCAGACCTCTTCCTCGTCTGCTCCGAAGAGTCTTTCCTCAGCTCCAAGCTCACGTACCAGATCTGGACAGCGGTGAAGCCCAACTCCAAGGGCGAGGGTTCTGGCTTCAAGCTTGCTTCGTCCGGCGACCTGCCCCCGGGCACAGGAGCGCTGAGCTTCGGCGACGTTGACCGCGACGGAACAATCGATGTCATCTTCCCCACCTGCGATAGAAGCGGCGACAACTGCGTCGTTAATGTCGCCTTCAACCGACAGATTCCACTCTGCTCACCGCGCATCGATGGCTTCTTCGGAGGCGGTCCCGGTTTCGGCTCCTTGTCCACCGGAAAGAAAGCTTCCGGGGCTGAAGCAAACGCCACTGATGCGACTCAGGCAAAGAGGAAAGCGGAGCGCCCATGTCGCGAAGCAGAAGACCTTTGCGTCGCCGATGACAGCTTCCGCATCGACTTTACTGTTAGCAAGTCCAACGCCGATCTGCTGCGTGTTCCGCTCGATAAGCTGACGGGTGACAGCCGGCTGCTGTCCAGCGACGCGCTCGCGCCATCGTTCCTCAACCTGCCTAACGCGCTGCACCTGGGCGACTACAACAAGGACGGCTATCCGGACCTCGTCGTGGTCACCATCCCCGATCGCACCGCGGCGGGCGGACGAAACAATGTGCGCGGCAACGGCGAGACGCGCGCGCACATCCTGCGCAACCTCGAGTGCAGCAAAGTGCCCGCGAGCGAAAAGGCGGACCTCGGGTGCGTTGCCGACCGGTCCGAGGGACGCACGTTCATCAAGGTCACCGCCGGCGCCAACTCGCTCGAGGTGCTCCGGGACGTGCGCAGCGCGAGCTGGATCGACATCGACGAGGACGGCACGCTGGATCTGGTGCTGCAGCGCACCCCCTCCGTCTCGGACGGCATGGACTCGAGCCGCCGCATCACGTTTGTGCACAACAACTACTTCCACGACTCGTTCTTCCTCAAGGCGCTCACGCTCAACGGCGCCTGTCAGGGATTCTGCGAGCCCAAGAACGCACCCAAGTTCCAGCCCTGGGGCACCAACTACGGCGGTGCTTCGTACAAGTTTACCGTACTGGACCCGAATGGGGTGCGTCGGGCGCAGCAGGTGGGGCAGCTTCCGCAGACTGCGTATCGCTCGCTGCTGACGCCGTACAGCTACTTTGGCCTGGGCAGGACGAACAACTACGTCGAGTCGCTCTTTATCGGCTCGACGCGGCGGCAGAAGGAGCACTTCCTGGCGGTGGAGGGCGTGATTCCCAACAGCCAGGTGGTCATCAATCCGTGGCAGGGCGGACGCGGCAGTGAGAACGAGCGCGGCGGTCCCGGCACGTGGACCAAGCAGCTGTACCTGCATCCGGGCGACTGGATCCCCTGGGTGACCGTGGTGCTCATCACCACCATCGTCGGGCTGGCGGTCATCGTGGTGGTGCTGCACATCAACGAGCGCCGCGAAGACGAACGCGAGCGTAAACGCGCCGTCAACGCCATCAACTTTGACGCTCTGTAGAGTCGATTGCACTTTCAGCATGTTTTCGACATTTCAGCATTCGGACTTGACAATGTGTGCTGTGCGATTGTGTGATGGGGTGAGCGGCGAGGCTGTGGGTGAGGATGCGTAGCATTTGTTGCAAGTCGCGTAAATGGCAGGGTCTGGCGCTTCGGGCGACGGATTTGAGCGCGTCTGGGCGCGGCAAGAAGAACAACACTTTGGCGCGTTGCTTCTTCGGTCCTCACCGCACCTCGTTCTGCCGTCACCGAATGCACAGCCATTTCATTCCATCATTCCGGCAACAAGATGACAGCAAATGGAACAGATTCAACTGGCTCGCAAGGCGGATTGCGATCACGAACCTCGGTCCTGATCCATCCGAACCTCGCACAAGGAGGACGCTTCCTTGTCTTGCCGCACCCGCGCACGGGGATCCCCACTTACTACCTGCATTCCAGCCATGCCAACGCCAGCGCCTCGACAGCGGGCACGGATGCTACTTCTGCGGACGGGGAGCTGTTCGAGCTCTCGACGATCAAGGACACCAGGTACGATCGGTCGTGGATGGTGTCGGGCGTGAACACGGTGGTGTCGGCAGGGCAGCTCGAGGTGCTATCGCGGGTGGATGTGCGCTTCCTCGTGATTTCGCTACTGTACTCTGCGCTGGGCGATCGCAAGTTCCGCTCGCTCGAGGATACGTTTGAACAAATCTCTCTCGGTCTATTTGCCAAACGCTCAGACGAGGCCGTCGAAGCTGTAGCAGCACTCAAAGCGGCTTCGACCGAGGCCAAGGATGCTGACGCTTCACGCGAATGGTCCGACATCCTCACGTTCGGCTCGCTTCCACTCGTATACACTGCTTTGACACAAGTTGCTGATGTCCAAGGTAAGTGCGTCCTCCCGCACACGCTTCCGTCTCGAATGATACTGACCTTGAACGTTGCTTTTGGTGGCTAGATCTTCCTGGTGGCGAAAAGGCGTTTCGATTATCACTTTCCAAGATGTATGCGATCCTCGACGCCAAGCACGCCCGACTGTCGATGCGGTCCACGTTCGCAGCAGCACCCAACACGCTCGGACGCAGCTTTGAACGTCGCTGGCCGCTCGACTCGGACCCTTCGGCCTACCTCACCGACACACCCGGCACAGACTCGGACGAGCCCAAGGAAGCTACACAGCTGCGCCGCACGCTCGCCGCCGAAATCATCGCCACTAACCTCCCGCCCGCACTCGCGGCTGAATACTGCACGCACCTTGGCATCGCATCTGCCACTTGAGCAATACACGTATGATCAGATCCGTCGTCGTTGTCGAAAGAAAAATTGTATTGATGCATGACAAAAAAGGAAGGGACGAACACAAACGAAGAGACACGAGACTAGGCATTCCCAGCTAGGGGCCATTCAGGCAGGCAGGCCAGCCGAGACGCCTGAGAAGATCGAGTGATGATCAGCGCTGGAGGTGGTCGGCATAAATGTTGGCGGCGATCTCGGCCTCGGCGCGGTCGCCGTTGGCGAGGAGCTTCTCCTTGTTGTAGAGGAGCTCCTCGCGCGTCTCGGTGGAGTACTCGGTGTTCTGGGTCTCGACGATGGCGTCGACGGGGCACGCCTCCTGGCAGAAGCCGCAGTAGATGCACTTGGTCATGTCAATGTCGTAGCGGGTGGTCCTGCGTGCGCCGTCCTCGCGCGGCTCGGACTCGATGGTGATGGCCTGGGCGGGGCAGATGGCCTCGCACAGCTTGCAGGCGATGCAGCGCTCCTCGCCCGTGGGGTATCGTCGCAGCGCGTGCTCGCCGCGGAAGCGTGGGCTGAGCGGGCCCTTCTCGAAGGGGTACATGATGGTGTACGGCGGGCGGAAGAAGTTCTCGAGCACGATCCACATGCCGCGCAGGATCTCGGTGAAGAAGAAGAGCTGGCCGGCCTTGTCTAGCGCCGAGGGGCCCTTGGAGTAGTCCGGGTAGACGGGCGCATCGTCGATCTGGCTCTGTGCGGCGGTGGCGTCGTAGGTGGCGGTCTTGACCGGGTTGGGTGACGCAGTGTGTGGGCCCTCGGGGATGTGTGTGGGGCCGGTCTGCGGCGTGGCGAGCGAACGGGCGATGGACGACGAGAAGAGGCGCGCGCTGTAGAGCGTGGTGGAGGGTGCGGCGGTGGCGAAGCGGAGTGGCGCAGCCGTGGAAGAAGATGCATAGGAGCGGCTGGCGAGCACCGCCGAGCGGAGCAGCGAGCGGTTCAACGACGAAGCCATGGTGATGCCTTCGGCTTGGATGGGAGGTATGGAGATGATGACCAGGGTGAGGGTAGAAGAAGAGGATTGCAGCACGGCCTAGCTGGTTGATGGCGGCGCTGCTTCAAGCGGACTTGACCTGGCTTCTCGCGCAGAGGCGGAATGATCGCGCGGCTGCCGGGTTGGCTGGAGCACCATCAGCAGCACATGTTGCGGCTTCCAACCTCTCGTTCTTTTTGGTCGCGCGATTTCAAATCAGCCTCGCCTCGCGCCCGACTTGGCCCTGACCGCCCCACAAGCGCAATTCAAACCCGATCGACGTTGAATTGCTTTGTGCTCACAATTTGAATTTGCTAATTTCGCGACCTTTTTTCGCATCTCCAAAGCGGCGGTGCGCCTCTGGACGGCGAGGGAGACGACCAATGACAGGCGCCTGAATTGGTCATACCCGCAATCAGAACGCGCATCTCGCAATTCTCTGGATCGGGAGCCTCTAAAAAGAGTGGCTGGAGCGCGGGCAGGAAGAAGTGAGCGGGCGAGCGAGGGCGATCTCGCGCTTTGGTAATGGCAGCAGAGAGAGAGAGCCGGCTCAAGATAGAGCCCAGCCAGCAGCCACTCACTCACTCACTCACCGCAGAGAAGCCAGGCCAAAGTTGCAGTTGGCAGCCGCGAGCCTTCGTCGACCAACTAGGACTGCGACTCCACTCCACCTTACCTCCTGCCTTTTGTCTCCTGCTCACCTCTCGCATCTGCTCGGCCACTTCACCACCTACACCATGGCTGCTCTTCGAACTTCCTCGCGCTCGCTGCTGCGCTCCGTCGCTGCGGCTGCAGCTCGCTCCAACACCGTCGCCGTCGCCAGCAGCTCGTCTCGTGCCAGCGCCGTCCGCGCGCTCTCCACCTCGGCATCGCGTGCCTCGGATTCGCTCTTTGTGCACCGCAACACCGACTACAACAACCCAGACATCCCCTTTGAGTTCAACGAGGAGAACCTCAAGATGGCCCAGGAGATCATCTCCTACTATCCGCCCCAGTACAAGAAGGCCGCCGTGATCCCGCTGCTCGACCTCGGCCAGCGCCAGAACTCGGGCTGGACCTCGATCTCGGTGATGAACTACGTCGCCAAGCTGCTCGAGATGCCGCCCATGCGCGTATACGAGGTCGCCACCTTCTACACCATGTTCAACCGCGAGCCCGTCGGCAAGTACTTTATGCAGCTCTGCACCACCACCCCGTGCATGCTCGGCGGCTGCGGCTCCACAAAGATCCTCCACGCCATCCAGGACAAGCTGCAGATCAAGCCCGGCCAGACCACCGCCGACAACAAGTTCACGCTCGTAGAGGTCGAGTGCCTCGGCGCGTGCGCCAACGCGCCCATGGTCCAGATCAACGACGACTACTTTGAGGACCTCACGCCAGAGTCCATGGTCAACATCATCGACAAGCTCAGCGCAGGCGAAAAGGTCAAGCCCGGCCCGCAATCCGGTCGCCACTCGTCCGAGCCCGCCCAAGGTCGCACCGCCCTCACGTCAGAAGTAAGTTCCTCGCCCGCCTCAGCCCTCACAGCTCGTGATTTCGCCACTGACTCTCCTGCCTTTTTCTCGACTGCAGCCTTACGGTCCGGGCAAGCACTGTGTTCCCGAGTTCGCCTGATTGTTTCCACACGAGCACGCTCATTCCATGCTCGCGCGCGCACACACACACACAAGCCTAGAATGCCGAATACCTTTGATCCACTGTCGCACGCCCGCGTTCAAGTTTGACTCGCTGTCGTTCCTTACATTCCCAGTGGCATGCACGCAGCCACGACCTTTGCACACAACGACCTGCAGGCCAAGAGATAGTTTTTTTGACAGGAGGGACGCATCTAAGACACAGTGGATCTGCCTGACGCACACCGATTGCTTCGGACAGACGACTGGGTTCAGAAGGGGAAGGATCTTGTGGGGTGGCAGGTTTAGGCCGACACCATGAGCGAGGCGAGGCTGGCTTCTGTCTGCACCACCTCGAGCGCCTGCTGCACCTCGAGGCGTTTGCGCGACGCGGCGAGCCAGTCCGAGGCGAGCAATTTTGGCCAGCCCTTGAGCTGGTTGAGCTCGCGCGTGGCCGAGTCGAGGTCCTTGCGGTCGAGGTAGTACTCGGCCCGGGCGAGCACCGACGGCACATCCTCGCCCTGCACCAGTCCCTTCTTGTGGAACAGGATGGGCGACAGCGCCGCGCTCGCCAGGTGCGACAGCACGCCCGCCGTCTCGGGTGCGGGCACGAGCGAAACCTGGCGAACGCGAGGACCCACCTTGTCGTCGAACCACTGCTTGAGCGTGGTCAACGACTCGACACCCGTGTCGGCAGCGCCGCTCGCATCGAGCGCCTCGATGGCCGCCGCAAGCACCGGGTCGTCGCGAGCCTTGGATGTGCCCTTGAGCACGCGCAGCTGCTCGGCAAACGGCACCTTGGTGGCCGAAGCGTCGTCGAGCGCATGCTGCACCGCACGCACCGCCGTCCACAGCGTATGCACCGACACATTCTCGTCCAGCACGCTGCTGTTGTCCAGGCTCACCTTCTCGAGGCTCTTGAGCTCCGTCGCCAGCTCGTCCAGCTTGGCCAGACGTCCGCCGCGCTCCTCCTCCACCTTGGCCTTGATGTCCTTCATCCATCGACGCTGCAGCTCGATGCCCTGCGCGATCACCTCCTCCTTGAGTCGCTCGTTGATGATCTGGCTCTGCGTGGCAAGCTCCTTCTCCAGCTTCTCCTTGAACTGCTGCATCTGCTTGGAACGCTCCTCCTCAAACGACTTTTGCCAGTCCGTCTCGCGGCTCGACAGCTTGTTGGCCGCCTCCTCCGACTGCTTGGAGATCTGCGCCTCGTATCGCTTGGCCTGCGCAGCCAGGCTGTTCTCGACGCGCTTCGCCTCCTCGCGCTTGATCGTCTCCAGACGCTGGCTCAGCTTCTCCAGGTCCACCTGCGCATTCTCGAGCACTCCCTTGGCCTTGGCGCCCGACGAAGGCGTCTCCTTGAGGAACGTCGTGAGCTCGTCGATGGTGCCAGCGAGCTGGGCGATCATGGGCTCCGATCCGGAAAGGCTCTTGATCGATGGCGCGAGCAGAGGCAGCTTGGGCGCCTCGGGGTCAGGGCGCAGACGAGCCGTCGGGTGGTCGGGAGCCTGGAGACCTCGGTCGCGACGAGGAGCTGCGTAGCCCGCAGGAGGCTCGTGGTTGAGCGGCAGCTCGCCCGTGTAGGTCTCCTTGACCGCCTCCTTGGGACCCTTGCCGGCGGTGGCGCTCTTGGACGGAGCGGCCTTGGTGTTGGCACCGATGTCGGTCATGACCTGGACGCTGTCGACGGCGCGCTGGATGACGTTGCGACCGTCCTTCTTGGCATCGGCCGCCTCGCCACGCACCTTGGACTCGGCCCTTTCAGCGGCCGCCTTGGCACGGTTGACGAGCTCGGCGGTCTTGTCCTGCACAGCCCTGAGGGCGGACTCGCCCTCCTCCTCGGCCTCCTTTGCACCAGCCTTGGCCTTCTGTGCGAGCTTGTCGGCCTCTGCCTTGGCCTTGTCGCGGACCTCGGCGACGCGGAGTCGTGCATCGCGCTCGTCGCCGACGCTCTCGCTGGCACCAGCGTCGCCGCCAAGCACGCGTCCGACGGCGCCACTCACGCTGCCGTAGGCGGTCTTGGTAGCATCGATGGCCTTGTCGCCGTAGCCGCCAAGGTTGATGTTCTTGATCTCCTGACCAACGTCGTGGGTGTCGAGGTAGTCGATGATGCGCTCGCCTCCCGGAACGCTCTCGACGAAGAAGTCCTGGTAGCGATCGTTGTTGAGCGCGGCGACAGTCGAGACACCGTAGAAGAGAGTGGCGCCCACTGTTGAATAGAGCACGAAGCGGCCGAATCCGGACCTGGAGCTTCCATCAGCGCCAGTCGCGTAGGTTCGTGCGCCAGCAGCGGTGCGCGATCGTGCGACCGACGAAGGGCTCAGTGCAGCGGCCCTGCGCAGAGCAGCGGCGCGGTTCATCATGGCGACGCAAAGTCTCGAGACCCGATGTACGGCCGAAAAGGGTACAGTCGTGGAGTCGAGGACGGGTAGAGGTCGAGGATAGGTAGTGACTAGGTAGGAACCAGGATTGCTACGACGAAGCAGTCTCGATGACCAGCCGCCCCGACCTGTGAGACTTGTGGAGGACTCTTCGCGATTCGACACAGCTGGGCTGCCAGCCAAATCGGCAACAGGCAAGCATTTGACCAGCGCTCTCCCGGCGCACTGACGTCCCAGGAAGAATTGCCTCCCTCTCTCGAGACTTGGCCAGGAGCCTCATCGCAATGCTGCAACCGGATCGGGCGACCGCTCCAAGTTGGGCAGACGCTGCGATCCCAAGTTGGAATTTCCCAGATTTCCAAAATTGACTACCCTGCTGTGGTTTGGTTTTCAGAGACAAGGCCAGCAGGACAGCACGCATCACCGCACGATCACGACGCGTTTCAGCCGGGAGAATCCGCTGGTCCGGCCAGTCCCTCGAGCCGTGCGGATCCGAGCCCACTGTCAGATCCAAACCCCACGACGCGTTGAAGGGTCATACTGTGTGCACGCGAGACTCATACTTTCGGTAACGACCAGACGGCGATGACGATGCGAAGCTTCCAAATTATGAGAAATGCTAGTATACAAGTACATAGATGCGTGAAGGAGCCGAGAAGAAAGTGGATGCGAAGGAACCGTCCGGGGGCCTCTAATATGAGGTAGCCTCGCGCGACGGGTATATGGGGAACAAGATCGTATCAGAGTGCTAGCTGTCTCGAGACGGAAGCTCAAGCAGATGTGGATTCGCGTCGATCGTGACTGCGTGATCGGCGTCGGTCAAGAGCATGCTCGCGTGCACCCGCGAACGAGGCGCGTGGCGAGATCGAGGGGTGCGAGGGCGCCATCTCCTCGACCACACGGAAGGGCACATGCACCGAAACCTTGGCTTGATGGCCGCGACTTCGCGCCGAGATGCTGTTACGCGGACTGCGCGACGAGAGCGATGCGTGCGACAGCGTGAGCGACAGAGCGGCGGCCGCGGCCGCGGCGGTCGCTGCTGCGGCAGCGGCTGCATCCTTTGCCGGCTTATGCGGTGCGAACGAGGTGTGCAGAGAGGGCCCACGGAGCGAAAGATCTGCGTCTCGTCCGCCCAGCGAGGAGCGACGACTGACCCAGTCGGGCAGCTGCTGCCAGATGTCGTGGACGGGCTCCCTCGTTTCCTTGTACGCGCTGAAGCGTAACGCCTCGTACGTCGCTCTCGCATTGCCGGCCAGAGCCCAGTCCCATTCCGACTCGTCCGACGACGACCCACGACTTGCCCACGACGAGCTGGCGCATGAGCGAGACGTCGGAAGGCCACTCGCAACACGGCGCGACTCGGGCGATGAAGATGCCGAGGCAGTGGTGGAGGCGGGCAGCGAGACGCTTGCGAGCGACTTGGCGGCTGCGGATGCAGCGGCGCTCGATGAAGGCGCTGCCAGTCGAGACTGCTGGTGAGTGACGAATCGAGAGTTGCACGTCGACGCGGGAGCCGATGTTGCGGTGCGACCCCAGTCAAAGCCGCATGGTTCGGCGATGGCCTTGCGTGCGGCGCGCAGCAGGCCGATGTTGCCCGCGCCCATGGTCATGGGCAAGTCGGCCAGGTCGAGAATGAGGTTCGACGGAAGCGCATTGTTGCCAGAGGCGACCTTGCAGCGTCGACGTTCCAGGACGCCCGAGGCGCGGCTCTCGGAGCAAGCTCGTGCCAAAGATGGTCGGAGCATGCTGGGCCCTGCTGCCTCGACGAACATCGACGGCTTGGACGACGAAGGCTCTGGCGCACTCGAGGTCCTTTGGACGCTGGGTCTACGGCTGCTCGTGTCGAGCATACATGAAGGCTCGACGTACTCGTCGTCATCCGATGCGCCAGTCATGCTGATGGATGCGGTCATGGGTTGTGTTGCTTGCGCAGGCATATCCGTAGCGGCGGGGCTCTGACTCGAGAAGCGGAAAGTCGAGAGCGTAGCTTGGACATCGTGACAGACAGGATTGAGCGAGCGTCGAGACGACAGGTCAAAGTAGCTCGGGGAGCCACGGCCAGACGAGCCAGCAAGGTTGGGTATCGATGCGACCATCGTGTCGTGGTTGTGGGAAACGAGTTGAAGGTTGTCGGGATCACGCGTTGGTCTCTCGTCGAAGGCACGTCTGGAATAGATCGACCAGGTTGGCTCTGAGCTGAGGCGATGCTGGGGCGACGTTCGATTGCCGTAGTCACACGACTGCGAAACGCGTATTGTCGAGCTGTTCTTAGTAGCAACAGACCATTGTGAAAGAGGACGCTGTGAAGGAAATGAAGCAAGCTGAGCGGCCTGTGTCGGGAGACTGATGGAGGTGAGGACAGACGGTGGCGAGGACGGAAAGAAGGAAGGAGGACCCTCAGAGAAGAGGCGGGAGGATGGAAGGCCCGCGAGAGCTGAGACAGGGCGGTGGTGGCTACGGCTACGACGGCAACATTGATGGCAACGCTTGCTGTGACACACTGGAGGAGTGCGCAAAAAAAGGCAGCCGCAGCGGAGCATCAAAGGAGCATCACTGCGTCAGCAGTCGGTGGAAAAAAAAGAGAGCGCACCTGCGCATGCTTCAGGCACGCAGGAGCATGAGCAGCAGCCGCTTGCCCTCGCAGTGCACGCGATTTTTACAGCAACGTCGTTGTTACCGGAGATAGGGCAGCATTCAGCAAACGGGCGCAAGACGGCACAGCAGCCATCTGTTCTCACGAGCAGACAAAGCCGCACGGCGGATGCAAAGACGCAGGTCTGCAGGTAAACTTTTTGCGACCGCTGTGTGGCAACGAGAGGCGGGGGAAGACAGTGCGAGCCATGACTGACGACACGCTGCTCTGATGGCATCCGCTGCAGATCGCCCGGGACCCCTTGGGCTCGGCAGCCCGGGGCACATGGCGGAGCAATCTCGGTGGCGGAGGCAGCAAAATTTGAGCGGAGTAAGCGCGAGTGAGCCTGGTGGTGCATGGGCTCGAGCTCTGAATGCCAACCAAGGATCAACGGCTGCAAGTTGGAATCTGTCCAGGGTCAGTGTGGAAGTGTGTCAGTCGTGCGTCTCGGAGCAATCCCGGTGCAGCATCGATGCAGTCATGTTGGAGACTCTATGCAGCGCAGTCGACGGTCACAGCGCTGCAAGGAAGGCAGGCAGGCAGGCACGCGGTGGTTCCCTCGGGCCAACCCGAACCCCAAACAAAGAAGGGCACGAGTCGCACTTTCTGTCTGATGACATAGGTGGGAGGAGGCGTGCTCGAGAAAACTCGCACGCCTGCCTCGCCTCGCCGCGTCTCGCCTTGCCCTGTCGTGAAAAAACAGCATTTTTCGAGGTTCCAAACGGGCGCTGCATCGCCAGATTCAACCTCCGACGAATCCGAGCTGCACCTGCTGGGCGCAGTTGGCGCGCGCGCACTCCGATTCAATACAGTCAGGCTGGATCTCGCGCCAGAAGATCGCAATGCAGGCCCGAGAAGACCTCGAGATCGAGCGAGCAAGCAGCCTCACCACGATCGCATCCAGCTCTCGGCCGCCCGCATGCTGTCGTCGCAGAGAATCATGCCTGTTCGATGAGCCAGAAAACTGCGAAGGTGCAAAGGAAACAGGGGCTAGCGATGGGGGGGGCCGACCTTCAGGAGAAGCGAACTTGTTTGGGTCGTGTTGACCCGCCATGCGGAATGCAGCCGCTGCTGCTGCCGCCGCCACCGCTCGCACCGCTCGTCGTAAGCGAGCCTATGGCACTTCGGCTCGAGCAGCGTGGCAGTCATGACGCCTGTCCGCGTGAGAGAGGGTCCAACCTCGCCTAGCGCGCGTGGTCTTGGTCTAGGAGAAAGGCCCCCACACGGCGGTCCTTGCCCCGGTCCTGGGCTTCCCACTCGATCGATCCATTGAGCTTAACAAGATTGCCGTCAGCGGCCTTCGCAGTTCTCGGTGTCATGCAGGTGCTGGACGTCCAGCTTAGCATCTTTGGCCAGCCTGCATTTCCTGGTCGGCCGGCTCGGCCCGCTTGGCTCCGTGTGGGGGCAAGCGATGGAAAAAGGAGACCTCCGCTTGCGTTGCGCAGCGGAGCTTGCTCATCCGAGGTGCATGACTCTAGCACTGCGGCGCCCCAATCTCTATCTCACGCTCCTGCTGCGTCATTCAGTTCACCGGTCGTGGAGCTCAAATGCACCCTGTCTCGGTCGAGGCTGGTCCCAGCCCTAACTTAATACTGTAAAGTCGTTCTAGAGCAAAACTTCAGGCAGATAGTAAGTAGTGTGTGGACCCACTGTCAAAAAGCACAGCTCGAAAAATGCTAGCTCTAAAAAGGGGCTTCGAAATGGCAAGCGTGCCGAACTACTGGCACAACTCGGGAAAGCTTTTATTACAAAGCTCGAACGCATATTCTGTCGAACAGGCCGAGAGAGCCGTCAGACGTAGCTGGTGACGTCGGGCTGTCTTGCAGCCGAAAATGCGATCCCAGCTTCCTGGTCGAATACGAGCGACCGCACGACGAACAGGACGAACGTCGTCTCGCATCGGATCGAATCTCTGCACTCGTCTTCCAACACTCGCTGTGCTTTGCGGAAGGCTGCGATGTCGTCCTTTCCGCGCAGATAGAGCTGGTAGGCGATCGCGTACTGGGGCGCAGCTTCGCCCTGAAAGTATCGCAGCTTGTTGTCCGGGTCAGGGAGGGCGACGTTGGCCACAATCTGCTCGCTGATGCTGCCAAAAGCAGAGATCACACGCGGCTCGAGTCGCTCTGCTAGCACCGCATTTTCGACCTGCTCGCGGGCTTGGATGTAGTACAAAGCCACCAACCGTTGCTCTTCGGCCTGTTGCATGGGACTACCATGGATGAGCGCTTCTTTGGCGAACATCGCAATGGCACCAGCAAAGTCGTTGAAGTTGGCGCCGTCCGGGCCAATCACACTGCGAGTATACTCGTTTCCATAAGCTCGTCCTTCAATCAATCGTATATCAGCCTCACTGTCTCCAGGTGCTCCAGCTTTGCTACTCGGGACTTACCCATGTGTTCGCCGTCGCGAAAGTAGAGCTCGGTCGCACCGCTGTGACCGCTCCAAGCCGGCTGGGCAAGACTTGCATTGCTGTACGCCGAATCAAAGGCTCGAGACAAGTAGTAAACGAGCGGCGACTCTTCCGGCTTGCCAGCGCCAGCTAAAGCGCCGTGAACTTGGAAGTGGTGATCAGCATACTCTCTCTGAGTCTGATTCGAGCGTCTCCGCACCACCACAAGCTGCTTGATCGAGGAGCTAGCCATGTCGTCGTCGTGTGTCTTCTATCAAGATGGTCGAATGCTCAATGGCGGTGCAGGGCCTCCGTCGCTTTATACTTTCGATCCCATAGCTCTGTGGTGCTCAGCATCTTTGTTCGGCTCAAGCATGCCGAAGGCTTTCACTTTCGGCCACTGTGGGGGAAGGGTCCAGGGTCCGGCAATGACGGCCGACATCGAGAGCCGCTTTAACAGACTCAGATTTAATCGCGCGGACTTTTGCACGGCGTCTTTTGGACCAGCACCACGGTTGTTCGGACTTCTGAGCTCCGCATCCGGTTCTCCGCCGTTTAAGCGGTACAGCAACGGCGATCAAGCGCGATCGAACCCGTCTTCGACTTCTGCTACATCATCCAACGCTATCTCTCTCGTCTTTCGGGAGATCAAAAGAACCTCTGTTCGATTCGACAACAGGATGCTACCAACCACACGCAACGGCGCGCCTGCTGCTCACGATGAGAAGCGGGCTGCGCTCCGATCGACCGGTCAACCAAAGAGCGGACGAAAATGGGCGGCTATGCTGGCTCTGGTGGTCGGAGCCATGACGCTCGCCTTCCTCTCGCTCGACAGTGCCGCCTCGAACGCTGTCAACGATCGTCTGTGGAGCATGACGCAGTCGCTTCAGGTCGACACCTCGTCCTCCGACTTGGCCGCGCTTTGCCCGCAGCAGGATCCGTACGATCTTAAGGACGGTCTCGCCGACATCGACCGTGACCTGCTCGCCTCGAGGCTCAGCAAGGCCGTTCAGATCGACACCACCGTCGGCGACGAGTGGCCTGACCCGAACGACGTGCCCGAGCGCTGGGAGGCCTTCCCCGAGTTCGCCGACTGGCTCAAGAGCGAGTTCCCGCGCGTGCACGAAAAGCTCGACCTCGAAATGGTGCACAAGCACGGCCTGCTGTACACCTGGAAGGGCACCGACGACTCTCTCAAGCCCCTCCTCATGATGGCGCACCAGGACGTTGTGCCCGTCAACCAGGGTACGCTCGACCAGTGGCGCTACCCTCCCTTCAGCGGCCACATCGATAAGGACGCCGACACAGTGTGGGGCCGTGGCTCGTACGACTGCAAGGCTTGGCTCGTCAGCCTGCTCTCGACGGTCGAGGACCTTTTGAGCAAGGATTGGGACCCCGCGCGCACCATCCTCTTCAGCTTTGGCTTCGATGAAGAGTCCGGCGGAAAGCAGGGCGCCGGATGGCTCGCCAAGCGCGTCGAAGAGATCTGGGGCCGCGACAGCATCGCTATGATCATCGACGAAGGCAACCCGGTCATTGGCGCTTCCGACCTCCTGGGCCCAGGCATCGACGTCGCCATGCCCGGTATCGCTGAAAAGGGCTCCGTCGACATTGCGGTCACCGTCGAGTCCGAGGGCGGACACTCGTCGACCGCCGGTGCCCACACCTCGATCGGCCTCTTGGCTCGCGTCGTGGCGCAGCTCGAGGACCAGCGCGACCGTCTAACCGAGAGCAAGATCAGCGGTCCGCAGCTCCAGTTCCTTCAGTGTATCCGAGAAGGACCTCGCATCCCCGCGCAGCTTCGTTCGGCGCTCAAGGATCTGGAATGGGCCTCCAAGTCGTCATTCGAGCACCTCGGCGTCTACTCGACTTTGCAGAGCGCGCTGCCCAACTCCTTCACCTCGTTTGTGCTGTCGGCTGTCAACACGTGGTCGGAGCGAGGCCGACAGCGACGCATCAGGCAGGCTCGCGAGCGTGTGGTTCACGCCATGCCCGCCGAACTGCAGACGCAGTTCATCACCACCACCGCCGTCGACATTATCGAGGGCGGTGTCAAGTTCAACGCGCTGCCCGAGAGCGCCACTGCGTACGTCGACCACCGCATCGCCATCACGAGCAACTTCGCCGAGCTCAAGCAGCACTACATCGACGTGGTCTCTTCGGTGGCGCAAAAGTACAACATGGAGGTGGAGGCGTTCGGCCAGCACGTGCTCAACGCCAGCTCGCCGGTGGGCAAGTCGAAGCTGACCATCAAGGAGGCACGCAGTGCGCTCGAGCCTGCTCCCTGGACACCGCTCGACGGCGACAAGGCCAAGCCGTGGCGTCTGTTTTCGCAGCTCGTGCGATCCATCTGGGTCAACGAGGACGGCGAGCCGGTCAAGGTGGCTCCTTCGATCATGCAGGGCAACACCGATACACGCTACTACCACAACCTCACGCACAACATCATCCGATTCGGACCCACGAGCATGAAGCCCGACAAGACCGGCCTCGGCGGCCAGGTCGGCGTGCACACCGTCAACGAGCACTACCCGATCCAGGGCCTGGCTGACAGCACCAACTTCTACGCTGCGCTCTTCCGCGCCGTTAGCGTCGAGGATATCTGATCGATCACACACCCTCGTCTCATTTTGCATTCACGGTCGCTTGAAATCAATGTGATCCGGCCGGGTTCCTTCCTGTCGATTGTTGATACAAAGGATGAGCACGTGCGGGGTCCACATGAGGTGATCACGATCAGAGTCCGAGCGGGCGAAGCCGATGAATCACTTGCCCCAGGCTTGGCTGATGTTGTCAAACATCTGACGGTAGACGCTGTCGCGTGCCTCGACGGATTCGGGCACGAGCGGGTTCTTGTCCCAGCCGTGCTCTTCTTCCGGCACGGAGACGAACTTGACCGTCTTGTTCTTATGGGTAGCGGCAAGCTTTTCGAAGTACTCCTTGTCGTTCTTGTGGAGCAGGTCGATGTCGCCAGTGGCGATAAAGATGTTGTCTGGGAAACGCGCGGTGTCGAGGCCAGCGATGACCAGCCTTGGATCGCTCCTGTCCTCGAGATCGGGAACATAGCAGTCGTTGAACAGCTTTACCACACGCGGAGCGAGATAGACACCGCTGCGAGGCTGGCGTGTGGGCTTGGGAGGCATTTCGGACTTGCACATGTCGATGGGCGGATAGAGCGCCGAGAGCGCACGGATCTTGCCCGAGAAGGCATTGCTGGTGCTGAGTGCCATCGCGGCGCCGGCGCTGAAGCCCGAGAGCGCCACCTTGTCGATGTCAAAGCGCTCGGACTGGGAGAGCACCCATTCGACGACGTCGTCTGCATCGTCGTGCGCAGCAGGATACGGATACTCGGGCCCCTTGCGGTAGTTGCAGTCGAGCACGATGCAGCGCAGAGCCTTGACGGCCTGGTTGACGAACTCGCGGTCCTCGCCCCAGCTCGGAATGAGCCAGCCAGATCCATGCTGTGAGTGGTCACAATGCATACAAATGAAGTCAGATTGGATTGCACGCGCTCAAGCCGCTTCATCAGAGCCTCGTGGCAACTCACCCAGTTTACGATGACTGGCAGTTTGGCGGTGGCTGGAGCATCTGCAGGTCTGTACAGGTCGACGCCGATGAAGCGACCCTTGTCGCGCGAAGGCACCTGGAGCCGTTCGCGGGCGATCCCTGCCAAGGGAGGTAGATTACGCAGATAACGCTCTGTGCCGCGCTTGAGGTAGGTCACGCCGCGGAAGAAGGTGGCCGCCAACTTGAGCAGCCAGTACCAAGGCGAGAAGATGCTGGATCCCATTGTGCCGAGCAGTGATGATGCACGTGGGCAATTGGTGGCGCCAAGTTGAGATGAAGTGGGCGCAGACCAACCAAGGGTCCTACACAATGGACACACAATGGATACGGCAAGCCCCGCTCTCCCTGCAAAGAAGGTCGTTGCGCGGCCTGTGTCGAAGCGGCGGCTGCAGATCCGTATCCTGCGGAAACGACGGAAGGGCTCAGATGGGCACGGCCCGATCCGGCTATCTCAGGGTGCAGCTCCACTCCGATTGTTGGAGAGAAAAGGTCTGACAATGTTCGGTTTTCTCCGCTCGTGTTCCTTGCTCAGGCCCCTGCGACGTCCCGCACGATCAAGAGTCGCGTGCGGGACCATGACCAACCATCGGCGCTTTCGCCGGCCGGAATCATGGATGTGTGGTGACGACAGGCACCCGACATGGGAGCTTGGCGTCTTTGTTCAAAGTACGGATGAGAGGACGCAATTGGATGAGGATCCAGCGCGTCGCTCTTTGTCCGGATCGTTGGCGAGGGATCGACGCCGTGCATCGAAACAGCTGCAAACGGCCGCCAACAATTGGCGGGAGCCGGTGCAGAGTGACGGCCGACGTCGCTGTCGCCGTTGTGTGCTGTTTTGTGTCGTCTGAAGTCCGGTGACAGCAAATTCCGCGCCATCTCGCCCGGACGATTTTTCCGAGACCGACCGCACCGCCTTGTTTCTCTCGACGGCCCACTTCCAGCCAAAACAACCCCCAACGGAAGCCTTGAGATTGCCGCCGCGAACAAGTCTCTGCAGCCCCGCAGCCCCGTTGTGCGCAGCCTTGATCGTCTCAAACCACAGCCTTGGTCGAATCCGAATGCCAAGTGACGTTGCGTCCGCCTTCCATATTACCGGAATCGCATGTTGTCGAAACTGTAGCAGCAGCAACGTTCCAGCCCAGCGGGACGGCCTCCTTATCACAACTTTGCCGATGAAGTGCGAAATGTGGTGGGTCGATCAAGTGCAGATAGCGTCCATTGTTGTCAACTGGCTTGGATGTTGGCCGCAGCTTCCTGCAGTCTTCGACAATGTCGCAAAGTGTTCTGTAGAGAAAAGAAAATAAGCGAGTTGGATGACCGGTATCACACATAGACGCTCATGCGCTCATGCACCTTCCACCACCGGCTTCGTCCGTGCCGTGCAGTCTTCCTTCGGCTCTGCAACTCGACCGTCGGAGCTGCGGAGCTTTCGTGTCTAACAAGTCCAGTCCCACCTGCCTCTCCTGTAGGGTCTGTGTCGAACCACCTTGCAGATCCGTCCAAAGTAAAGCCCACTTCCGCAACGGGCTGCAAGGCAGCCACAGGCGGGACCTGCTGCCCACCTCCAAACAAGCACCTGCATGCACCTGTGGTTCCGTTGGCAAATCAACCGTCGGCTTCCGGCGCTAAGGTACAGCGCTTCATCACGCTGGGGCCTCGCCGGTACGCCCAGGCGCCGCTTCACCCTGTCCATGTGCTCAAAGCTCTTCCTCACGTCCCAAGCTCCAGGGACGTCGTGCTCGCCACCCTGATCGGAGTTCAGACGACCGTCGCCCGCTCGTCTGCCTTCGCAAGCTCGCACTTGCCAGATTTGTGTTGTCTTGCTAAGCGCCTTTGCGATTGTGCCTGTGGGTTCCATGCACCTGGGCTAATGAGCCTACATTTCGGCGTCCGACAGCACTTGCAGGCGTCAGCACGAGACGTCGAGGATATATAGAACCCCCTATCTTCCGAGAGCAGCTGTGTTTGCACATCATCCTCCCTCTCTCGCACCCTCTATACTGTCGACGTTGCTAGGCTCAAGATGCTCCGTCTTCTCCTCCTTGCCTCCCTGGCCGGCAGCGCCCTTGCTGGCGACTTCACGGTCAAGATCCGTGCCCGACAGAACAACTCTTATCCGCCAGGCTTTGCTATTCCCACAGCAGACCAGACACCTAAGGAATGGCTCGATGCTCTTAGCGCTGCCACCGCCGCGGGCAAGATTCCCGGCATCGCTCCCGCCACTCTCCAAAACGGCAATCCCGTCTACGCCAACAATGTCGGCTTTGACCCCCACACCTGCTCCTGGACCGTAACCAAGTGTGTCTCCGATACCGACATCGTCAATGCGCCAGACAACCACATCGCTGTTGCCTTTGACGACGGTCCCACCGGCAACAGTGGCGACCTCTACTCGTTCCTCAGCCAGTACAACCAGTCTGCCACCCACTTCATGATCGGATCCAATGTGCTCTCCTATCCGCAGCAGTTCGCTCAGGCGGTTAAGGAAGGCAACCAGCACTTTGCCGTACACACCTGGTCGCACAACCTCTGCACCGCACTCACCAACCAGCAGCTCGTCGCCGAGCTCGGCTGGACCATGCAGATCATCGCAGACTACAGCGGCGGCTACATCCCCAAGTTCTGGCGTCCGCCTCAGGGTGACGTCGACAATCGTGTGCGCGCAATTGCAGAAGAGATCTTCGGCCTGACCAATGTGCTGTGGAACCACGACACCAACGACTGGTGCCTCGACGACCAGGGCGGCTCGGCTTGCCCCAACGAAAACCCCGGCAAGGATCTGGCGTCCGTAGCAGCAGCTGCTGCCTCCGGCGTCAATGGTCCCAGGTCGCCCGGTCTGATCATGCTCGAGCACGAGCTTACCCATGCTTCCATCGGCGTCTTCAAGAACTACTACCCCAAACTCAAGGGCATGGGCTGGATTCCCAACAACGTAGCCGACCTCTTCAACATGCCTTGGTACAAGAACGCATGGAACAACCAGTCGCCTCCTCAGAAGGGCTCGGTGATCCAGGACTTCGACCTTGGCTCGGACGGTGACGACACCTCCAGCAGCTCCACTACCTCCTCGTCGTCTGCTTCCAGCTCGACATCTTCCTCCAGCAGTACTGCTCCTAGCGGCAACACCACGAGCTCGCGGGCGGTAACAAGGACCGAACCCACTCGCGCCTTCACCTCGCCCAGCTCTACCTCCTCTCCCCTTCACGCTAGCACAAGCGGCGCCCTCAACCTGGCCCCGGCCTCGCTGAGCATGGCCGGACTCGCCTCCGTCGCCGCGCTCGCGGCCTTCCTGCTCTGAACTGCATTCCACTTCTCTTAGATTTCGCATTCCTTCAATATACCCTTCATTCGTTCCTGCATCATTCGTATCGCTCGAGACTGAGACAAGTCCCTCCCATACATCGTTCTCTGAATTCGCACAAGCGGCAGTGATGATCGTAGTGGCTGACCAGGCAATCTTTGAGGGTGGGCACGAAAGCCTTCTGCCATAGACTGTTTCTGTTTCTCTATTCCGCTTTCCATCCGCAGAGGGGACGTGGGTAGCGAGCGACCTCGCCTGTCGCCAGGCGAATGCGCGAACCTGGGCCAGTGACACAGCCTCCTCCCAACGTGTCGCCACAGTGTTACCACCCTGGCGCCGCGGGAGGGCGGTTATTGCCCTAGCCAGCTGCCAGTGGCAGCCAGCGAGAGGCCTAGAAGGCCTCCCCGATGGGTCGCAGTGCTGATCAGACATGGTCCTGTCAAGAAGCGACAATTTTCGAATGTGAGATCGCGATAAGATCCGCACCCTGAAAGATTGGCAGATGGCCCCGATCTTCACGTGATCGGTTAGGCTTCAATTTTTGGTTCCGCACCGCGTCCTTCTGAGCGTGCACCCGCCAACACGACTTGACTCTGCGGTCTTCTCCACCTCGTCCCAGCATACGGATCCTTTGCTTCTGACACCGTCGTCTCATCTCGCACTTTGCTTCGAAACACAACACAGCTCCACTACCTTGACAGCATCAGAGCAACCAGAACGGCTGAAGGCGCAGGCTACGACAGGTCGAGCGACCTTCTCGATCGATCACAACTTGCCTCGCGGCGTGTCGAGCAGCGTCCTATTCTGCCACCATGCCTCTGCCATACACCCCGTACAAGCTCGCGTCCGCATCGCTGGTCGCCCCAGCTCCGCTCCTCGGCGCTCACAGCCATGACGACGACACAGTCACAGTACCTACGCCCCAACATCCTGCTGTCTCGGCCGAGCCTGAACCCGTCAGCATAGCCGCACACCACGCGGTCGACGCGCGTCTCTACTTCCCCTCGTCCTCCTCAAACCGATTCGACGGCGGATATGTCTTGGCGCGCGTCGTGGCTGGAGGCAAAGAACTCGAGCTGCGGTGGTCAAGCCTTCAGGATCAGGCTACTACTCCTGCTGCGTCATCCAAGGACCATTCCTTCTCAAACTCGCTCCATCCCAAACTCGCCTCAGAACCTGCGCGCACCTTCCTCTTCCCAGCACCGTTGCTGCCAGGACTCGGCCTGTTTGTGGATCCGGCATCGAATCGCCTTCACGTCATCGCGGTCACCACGACAGGCTTTCTGTATCGACTCGTCTTTGCGGCGCCGTACCTGTTCCACGACTCTCGCCTCGCATCCGAGTGGTCGTCCGAATATCGCATCCAGAGCATCGCATCCTCCGAGTCGGTCCTGGCTGCCTCACTCCGCGGTACAGCGAACGCGGCACAACTTTACCCCGTCGACTCGGGCCTCGCTCTCGTCACCTGCGCCGATGGCACCATCGTCAAGCTCAGCCGCTCCCTCTCGACCGGCAGAGATGCGAACGATGGTGCATGGAAAGAGACTGTCCTGCGTCCCACCTCCTTCCTCTCGGGCGTCTCGCGCTTCTTCGGCAGGTCCAACGCCGCTTCCGACTCCGAGTCGTCTCCCAGCTATGCGCTCTCGCTCGACGTATATCCAGGCGAGGTTGGCAGCGCACTCGCATTTGCTGCAAGCCGCGACCGAAAGCTGCGCGTGTGGAATCTCTTGACCGACTCGTGCATTCGCACCATCGACCTCCCTCTTCAGATGGACTCGCTCTTGTCGAGCGATCGACAGCTCATCGTAGCCGAGGACGACAACACGGGCGCATCAGACTCCTCCGACACCAAGGCCTTCTTCAGCACTGTCTCTCGCCCTTACATCAAGGTCTTTATCCCAGGTGCAGATGAGGGCGATGGATATGCTCTCTACGTTCTCGCCTACATTCCTGCCTCACCTCCGTCCGGCAACTTCTTCGCCCTTTACGGCGTCCAGCTCGAAGACGCAAAGGGATCGTCGGGAGGCCTCGGCGAAATGACGCTGCTCTGGCAGAAGCAATGTGACGCCGACACGTGTGGCCGCAACGTCGAGCTGCGCGACGTGGCGTTTACGCCCCAAGGCGGACGCGATGATGGCTGGGTCATGTGGGCGCTGTGGGATGCAGGCGCCGGGCCGGTGCTCAAGTACGCCAAGGTTGGCGTCGAATCGGCCAACCCAGACGAAAGCACGATGAGCGTACGATCTACGGCTGAAGACCTCTCCAAAGACGACTGGCGCACCGTCGCATCCGAGCGAATCTACAGGCCCTTGCACGGAGAGGACTTTGAAGCAACGCTCGACGCCACAAAGGAGGTCGTCGACGCGACTGAAATCTTCCTCGACCGCGTTCTCGAGCCTGGCCGCTTCTCCGAAGCGACATTACGGCTTGCACTCTCGACGTACAAGCAAGTCGTGGCCGAATCGTCCCGACAGCCATCCACGCTGTTTGCAAGCTTGAGGGACGAGGTCGCCGCAGTGGTGGCGAGCGGATGCCAGCTCGAAAAAGATCCACGAACGGGCGGTCCGATGTACGAGAAGCTGTATGCTGCGCGCGTCCGCGAGTGGATGCGCTTCGTTGGTCTGGCCGAGCAAATCGAGACCTCGGCAAGGTGGCCGATCGGCCTCTCGCTTCCGGCGCCTGCGCCGGACGCTGTGGCTGCACGCGGCGACGTTGTCGTTCCGCTTGTCGTCAGCCGCGACACCATCTCCCTCCCGGTCAACGAGGATGAAGCAAGTATCATCGAGCGTTTGCAACGGCGCCTCTTCACGTCGTCGGGCAAATCGCGCCTTGGTGGCGCTCCAAGCGTCGACTCGGCCAAGGAGGAGCGAGCTCTTCTCATTCATGCTGCGGACACGCACCCGACCTACATCCTGCCGACCCTGGGTCGAACTTCTGCCACGGTGGCCGAGGTGCTCACCCTGCTGGAATCTGCTGCAGACCTGTGTGCCTGCTTCACAGCGCCAGAGCTCGAGGCCTTCGCTGCCGGGCTCCAGAACCTCCTATCGAATCCCTTGACGATTTCGGTCAAGGAAGCTGTTGCCGACATTTGGACCAACAACTTCGCGGCGCTCGGCGGCGAGGACGCCAGCGAAATCGTTGCGCGCGTCGCATCCGAGCTGGGCGCCAGCCTGGACAGCACCTTGACAGACATGTCGGTGCTCCTCAGCGAAGTCGCCAGCGAGGCGGAGCGTGCTTCATCGGCGTCGCCCGTCGCCTCGACTGACCTTGGATCAGCGTTGACGGCCGACGCGCTGGCGCAAACCTTGGCATCGCGACATCGCCTCGCGGTCTCCTTCCTGCTCCTTCTCACTGCGCTCGCAGCTCAAGACAGAATGGCCGATATGGTGGAGAATGAGAGCACACAGATCGCTGCGGCGCTCAGCATCTTCCAGTCGCTCGGCGCAGCGCTGCAGCTGGCACGAACCGACGGAGCTGTGCAGGTCGCGGGCGATGCCACCGACGGTGCACAGGCCGACTCGATCGTGGCCAAGCTCAACCAGATGTCGGTCACCGGGCGCAAGAGCCGCGAGCCTCATCACTTTGCCGCGCCCACGCTTCTGCACCAGTGTGTCCGAGACGAACTCCTTGGGCTCTCGAGCTCAGCCGCACGGGACAGCGGCCTGGCACTGTCGCTCAAGACAGCTGTGCTGGGAGGCCTGTGGTCTCTTGGTCTGTCAGATCTGCGCGACTCGATGGTCGCCGGCGGCAAGCCGATGCTCCCGTACGCGAATGACCGTCACAATTCGATCGCGTTTGCGGTCCTCGTACAGGGATACCCGCTGGCAGCCGAGATGCTGCTGTCGAGCTTCCCGGAGACTGCTGCCGGAGAGTACGTACGCGCACGAGCATTGGTGCAGATGCAGAGACTCGACGAAGCAAGCGCCTGCTTCGAGAAGGTGGTCAGCGCACTCGAGATGCAAGCCCACCAGCGCGGCCGCACGTCTGGCGGGCTGCTAGAGCTCCTCCCTCCATCGATCGCGTCGGCGGAAGGCGAAGAGCGCGTAGCAGCTTACTATCGCCACGTTGCGCTCTTCTTCGAGCCGCTCGAGGCGGTGGAGCATGTGATCAGGTTCTGCCAGGCGAGCATTGACGCTGTTGGCACGTATGCGGACAAGCGGATCGTCAAGACGGGCTCGCCAGCCGCCGAGGCCGAGGCGAACAGGCTCGCCGGGCCCGAGGAGGTCTGGTTCAAGATCTTCCGCTGCCAGCTGGCGCTGGACGACTTTGAGGCGGCGTACGCCACGATCATGGCAACGCCGTACGAAGCGGTGCGCAAGGACTGCCTGCGCAACCTGGTGAGCGTCATGTGCGAGGAGGGCCACATCCAGCCGCTCCTGCACTTCACCTTCCCAGGTCTCCAGACCGAGGTGGAGAGAACGCTCTCTTTCAAGGCGCGCAATTCAGACCCGCTGTCGGTGCCGAACTACTACTCGGTGCTCTACTCGTATCACGTCTTCCGCGGCGACCTCAAATCGGCGGGCGCAGTCATGTACCAGCACGCGGAGCGAATGGGCGAGCTGCACAGGGCGGCTTCGGCGGGGCTGGATGGAACCGATCCGCTGGAGCGCTTCATGGTGGTGGCCGTTGAGCAGGCACAGAGCTACCTGGCAGCGATCAACGCGCTCACTATGCTCAAGCACGAAAATGCGTGGTTCGCACACGCCGCCGATCCGGAAGATTCGGCAGTTGGTAGCGACTCGCTGTTCGATGCAGCGGCCTCGGTGCGCACAGGCGCTGGGAGCAAGCAGATGAGCAGCCTCACGCGATACATCCCAGCATCGGCGTATAGCCAGCGCGTGCGCGAGATCCGCGTGGTCTCGGTCGAAGACGTGCGTCGCGAGTATACGCTTGCACTGGCACGTCTGGAGCTGGTCAAGAGGTATCCGGATCTGGCGTACTCGACGACGGTGCTGCGGCCGTCGGATGCGGTGCTGCTGTTTGTCAACAGCGACTCGTTCGACTCGGCGTTCGGCATGGCGTGGTGCCTGGGCGTGGACATGACGCCCATCTTTGCGGCACTCACCATCAAGGCCGTGGCCCTGACCCGCGCCAAGGTCGAGCGTGACGGACTCAAGCGACCCGCGGACAGCAAGCGAGTGAACGGCGACAAAGCAGCGGAGGACGAGGAAGAGGTGCATCCCGAGATCGCCGAGCTGGAAGAGGCAGATGCGGATCTACTGGAGCCAGAGGCGGTGTTCCTGACGCTATCTGAAAAGTCGGCGAGCTGGGAAGGTGCGGCGGCTGAGCGCGCGTGGCGATACGTGCGCCACCACCTCGAGATGTATGACTCGGAGGAAGACGGACGATACTACCGCGTGGTGCTGGGGCGCGCTTCGGCGCTGGATCACACCTCGCTGCCTTCGTGGCTCACGGAATGGTTCAGCCGCACCGGCAACAGCGACGTGCTGCTCCGCGTGTGGATCGACAATGGTCTCATCGTCGAAGCCGCACGCTTTGCTACCAAGTGGCTGCAGGATGCGACGTCGCAGGCGTCGAGCCTGACACGTGCATACGAGCAGTGCATCTCGAACCACATTCTCGAGCGGCTGCTCATCAATCTCGACGACAAGAGCGGCGTCATCGTGTCGTCGAGGAAGAAGGAAGCTGGCGAGGCGAGGAGTGCGCTCGAGCAGGCGCGCAAGAAGCATGTCGACGCGCTTGCGACTCGATCCAAGACGCTCAAGCGCCAGGCGGAGCAGGATGCCTTCCGTCAGGAGAAGCGCCGCGAGCAGCAGGGCGACTCGGGATCCTTCGGCCGTAGCACTACCGGCCTCCGCGCATTCTGATGCTTTAGTGTCACACATGTGCAAGGCTCCTATTCCAGCTCTTTCTTCAGATTGTTCACGTGTTGAGATCAGAGGGACTGTGAACGACAAAGGGGAAGGGTTCCACTAAGCAGGGGAGGAAGGTTTGGCCAATCGCCCGAGATTAACCCCCGGACAGCCAAGACGGCCGGCTTAGGTGGGGCCAAACCGCGTGAAGAGGATGCTGAGTTCATGGCAGCACAGTGCGACCGGAAAAAACGGAGAGCTGGTCCAAATTGTGCCGGGCGCGCAGCTCGTCCCCACGGCATGCATATGCACAGCTGCAGATCCCGCGCTACTTCACCAGTCGGACCGCCGCACGTCGCGCTGAGCTGTAGTTGGTTTTTCTCGTTATTTTCGTAATCAGGGCAGAGAGGCACAGCTTCGGTTCGGGGTGCGTCTCCGTCAAATCCGTGTGACACTTGAGCGGATCGCGAAAAAGTCGACGTTGGATGCCGCGAGGAGGTGGAGAAAGCGCTGTGCACCCGCACTCAAAGTTGCCGTCTACTCCAGGTCGGTGTGAGCCAGTGCAGCGAGGCACAATGCAGAACACGGCGATATAAGACCCCACCGGTCGCAGCACTGCTTTGTCTACCGCACACCATCCCGCCCAAGAGAGCCCGACGCTTCCCACAGGACCCTTCCAGCCCCAACATCCTCTGAGCGACATCAAGGCAAGGCGACAAGCATCTTCACACATCAAGCACAATCATGCCCACACAGGCGTTCTCAGCACCGGGGCAGGTGGTCGAAGAGGCCAAGGCCGGTGGCCACCACGCCCACGGCACACACAACTACCCTGACCCACTCACACACATCGACCGCACCTCGTGGGACGTGACCATCATCGGTGCAGGCCCGGCCGGTCTCATGCTCGCCACCTCGCTTGCGCGCTTTGGCGGCTTCGACGTGCTCGTCATCGACGAGCGATCCGAGCCCACCACCGCAGGCCGCGCCGACGGCATCCAGCCACGCACCATCGAGGTGCTCAAGAACATGGAGCCGCTCGGCTCCGAATTCTTTGACCGCAGTGCGCCCTCGTACGAGCGTACCTTCTGGGACCCTCGCTCGGACGGCCAGCGCGGCATCGAGCGCACGCGCCGCGTCCAGTCCTTCCCCACCGACATGGAGATCCAGGACAACTGCACGCTCGGTCTGCAGCAGGGCCTCATCGAGGGCGGCTTCCTGCGCGACATGGAGCGCCACGGCCAGCGTGTCACGCGCCCCTGGGCCTACCAGAACTTTGAGATGACCGACGACCCCACCTACCCCGTCACCGTCACGCTCGAGAAGATGAAGCCCGTACTCGAGTCCACCAACGAGGGCGGCGCACCCATCAGCATCATCAAGCCCACGGGCGAGACCAAGACGATCCGCACAAAGTACCTCGTCGGCTGCGACGGCGGCCGCTCCCGCCTGCGAAAGACGCTCGAGGAGCGCCACGAATTCACCTTCAACGGCGACTGGGTCGACACGCTCTGGGCTGCGCTCGACTGCGTCGTCGAGACCAACTTCCCCGATGTCCGTAAGATTGCTGCCATCCACTCCAAGAACCACGGCGCGCTCTACATCTTCCCACGCGAGAACAACGAAAAGGGCGAGCCCATCATCCGCTGCTACACCCAGGTCAATCGTCTCGGCGGCGAGAAGAGCAAGGAGTCGGCACTCGATGCGCGCGACAAGGTGACCGCCGAGATGGTCATGAAGGCCATCAAGGAGATCGCCCACCCGTACGACTTCAAGTTCAAGGGTGTCGAGTGGTTCACGTGCTACCCGATCGGGCAGCGTCTCATCTCGCGCTACTCGCTCCCCGCAGGCAAGACCAAGAGCGGCTCGGCGTTCCCTGCCCACCGCGTGCTTCTCGCCGGCGATGCATGCCACACTCACTCGCCCAAGGCTGGCCAGGGTATGAACACGGCCATCATCGACTCGCAGGCGTTGGCGTGGCGCATCAACCTGGTCGAGAAGGGCCTCGCTGACCCAGACACTCTGCTCGGCACGTACCACGACGAGCGATGGGCGACGGGCAAGCAGCTCATCGACTTTGACTCGGAGTACTCGGCGCTCTTCTCGGGCGAGGTGCCCAAGAACACGCCCGAGGTGGCGACGATGAGCGAGGCCGAGAAGCGCGAGCACTTCATCAACATCCAGCGTCGCAACGCCGCGTTCACCACGGGTGCCGGCGTGATCTACGCGGACAACGTGCTCAACCACCGCGACCCATCCAAGCTGGGCGTGGCCAAGATCACCGACAAGCTCGAGCCGGGTCGTCGATTGCAGCCGGCGTGGGCGACGCGCTGGAGCAACTCGCAGCCGGTGCGCATGATCCACGAGATCCAGTTCACCGCACCGGGTGGCTTCCGATTGTACGTGTGTGCTGGCGATCTGGCCAAGAACATGCGTCATCTCGAGGCGTTTGCCAAGCACCTTGCATCGCCGCACTCGTTTGTGAACCGCTTCCGTCCCAACAACCGTGCGATGCTGCTGCAGAACAAGGCGTACCACCAGCTGCCCACCTCGCTCAACACGGGTCTCGCCGGCGAGCTCTCGAGCGAAGCCAACCCGTTCTTCCACATGCTGCTCGTCGTCAAGGCGCAGCGCTTCGACATTGAGCTCGAGCAGGTGCAGCACCTCGGTGCGCTCGCCAGCATGCTCTACTGCGACGACATCGAGGCCGGCCACGGCGCGTTCAAGGTGACACTCGACAACCAGTTCGTCGGCGCCCTCCACGAAAAGTGGGGCCTGCCCAACGGCGGAATCGTCATTGTCCGTCCAGACGGCTACGTCGGTGCCATCACGCCGCTCGACCAGGCCCAGTCCGGCTTCGAGGCCATCGAAAAGTACTTTGAAGCCTTCCTCCGCCCGGCACCCCACTCGTCACTCGCAAAGACCCGCTTGTAAAGAATCGCATCCAGTCCCAAAATTCAACCGTCCCTTTCGCATCTCCCAACACAGCCTGAACCCCACGAAAGCGCAGTCACTCGAGAACGAGGAAAAGTCCACATCGCCCGCGCGCAGGCGAGAGGGATGGATTGACGGCCACACGAGCGGCAGTGCCGAGACTACGGATGGCCCGAGAGCGTGGATAGGGCGACAAGGAACAAGGAGTGCTTGGATACAAGTACACGGTGACATGACTACGATCAGAAGAGAAACTTTTGGCGAGAAGAAGGGGGGCGGGAACGGAGGAGAGTGAAGAACAAGAGGCGGGCAAGGCTGGTATAAGAGAGTGACGTGGCTGTCGGAACTTCCGACGTGGCCGGAAGCGAGAGCGAAAAGAAGACTCAGAGCATGCTGGCGATGCTCATGGTCGAGCGCGGCGTGGCGGGGCCGTCGGCCTCGGGATTCGCCGCCTCTTCCTTGATCTTCTTTTCCGACTTGACTTGCAAGCGCGCTGGGCTGGGCTCAGCCTTGATCGATTGCGCAGCTGCCGGTCCGCTGCCAGCAGGGTCGTCGTCTTGCGCGGGTGAAGACGCGTCCGAGTCCGCGTCGGCTTCATTGATGGTCTGCGAGCCAGCCTTGGCGCCGCCTTGCGAGTCTTTGGACCACGAGAATTCGCCAAACGTCGTGCGGAATTGCGGGTTGGGCTGGCTGAGTCGCTTGACGGGCAGCTCCTTGGCCTGCTTGGCTAGCGCCTCCAGTCCCGAGCACGAGCGTTGACGATGCTCGATCAGCTCGGCAAAGTTGGACAGCACGTTGGCGAGGCCACTCGACGAGCCGCGGTGCGACGACGAAAACGAACCGCTCGGCACGCTGTGCGACGTTCGAGCGGCAGAGTCTGAGGAGAAGTCGCCAAATGGCGAGGTCCCCCGCGACATGATGCGCGACTCGGGCGCCGAGTGCTGCTTTGGCGAGGTGGGCCCGCTCTTCGGAGCATCGGTGGAAAGCGGCGCGTTGCCGGGTGGCAGGCGCGCAAGCGGGTCGATGCGTACCGAGCTTCGGCGACGTTCCAATTCGAGAGCCTTCTGCGCCCATTCTTTCTCGAAGCGATAGAAGCGGCTGTACGTGGTGGCGACTTCTTTGGCCTCGTCCAGGAACTTGTCGCTCGACACTGTCGATTGCCACTCGCGCTGGTGCTCGGCAGGCAGCTTGTCGAATAAAGATGGCTCGTCGGCTTGACCCTTGTTGAGTACGATAGTCGGAGTGGCACTCTTCGGCGCTGTCGCAGTGCTCCGTTGCGCGTCTTTGGCCTCGGTCTCATCGCTGCGAGATTCTTGGACAGGAGCTGCTGCGCCAGACTCCTTCTCTTCCCCGGCATCAGCAGCGAGGCGTTCGGCAGTGACCGGCTCGGCAGATAATGGGCTCTTGGGCGCTGTTGGTGTGGGTGGTGCGGCCAGAGCTGAGGCGGGCGCCTTGGTCGGAGAAGAAGGAACTGGTGTGGCAGCGGCTGGGGTTGAGGGTGCCGATGGCTGAGGTGTGAGACCGAGATGGTTGGCGAGGGCATTGGCAATGGCGACGTTGTGGGATGGGTTCTCAGCCTCTCCGTTGCTGTCGACGCTTTTAGTGCGGTCGCTTGCTTTGCGTGCTTGCTCAATGAGCATCTCAAGCTGCTCGACGCGCTGACGCTTCTGGTCCTGCTCTGGAAGCGTCGACATGCGGCGCTGCCCTACCTGACATTGTAGGACGGCGGCGGCAGCCGCGGTGGCAAGGTTGATGATGCTCGCGCGGCGAAGAGGGTCTGAGGGCAACTGGATCTCGGCGGCCGAAGAGGCGAGGAAGGGGCTCGACAAGTCGGCATCGGCGTCGAACTTGCGCTTGCCCGTGTGCGACTCGCTTGTCATGGGCGAGCGCGAACTTCCGGGCGACGACATTCGTGATTGCGAGTCCGAGACGTGCGAGAGACTGCCAAGAAGTTGATGAATAGACAGTTTGGTCTGGCTGGACGCTGAAAGCGGTTCAGGCGAGGCGACGCTGGTCGAACCGGTGGTGTTGATGGTCAGGTCGACACGCGAACCGCGACGTGAGGAGGGCGCGCTGACAATAGGGACGTCGACCCAGGACCCTCGACGCGAACCTGGCGAGGATGGAGTCAAGGAAGCGCGACGAGTGGCAACGGCAGACATGGCGTTTGCCAAAGCAGCAGGATGCGTCTGCTCCGCTTGCCTGAATTGACGGGGCTGTGCAGTATCAACCGACAAGCGCTCGTCTGACAGGCAGAGTCGTGTGGTGAGAGAGCAGAGAGCAATGCAAGATTACGCCAAGGTCGGTAGGCTGACGATGGGCAAATGGACGCAAGTGATGCCGCGAGTGGTACGGCGGTGGTCAGTGTCGGTGGCGCGGTACAAGACCAGTTGATTCGAGGCGGAATGATGTCGAGAGGCGAAATGAATGCCCGGGTATGGTCGAAGTGCGTGCTATGGTGCTCGGCAAAGAGAGAGGTCGCGCTCGGCGAGACGTTGTCAAGACAGGATGAAGAATCCCGCGTGCTGGAATGTCGTCGTGTGGTGGCTAGTACGAGAGTGATGATGTGCGCGTGTGCCGGTGCTGACGATGGGGAGGATGGATGCGAGGATGAGGGATGACGAAACGGTGCCAAGGTCTGATGAAGAGGGGAAGACGGTGAACGAGGAGGAGGGGATGAAGTGCGAAGAGGGGTCCAAAATGCGGGATTGCGCAGAACGGTACAGAGCGATGACACCGAGATGCAAGGGGGATTTCGAGGCTGGCCCTGCAAGCCTGCTTGAGCATCCGCTCAGATCCCAAGCAGGCGACCGGCTCACGAAATTGACTCGCTTAGCTCACGAGAGCGCGGGGAGAGGGAGGCCGGTTGCAGAAGGGCAGGCGGGCAGGCGGGCAGGCGGGCAGAGGATGCAAGTGCTGGGCGGGTAGGGCCAGGCAGAGCGCGGATTGGGAGGATGCGTGAGAGGAGGCCAGCCGATTGCAGCGCAGCAAAGCAGTGGCGTGCATCGGGAGAGGCCAGGTCCACTGCACCGGCCCAAGTCGCTACTGTAACTCGAGTACAATGCAATTAAATTTCAAAACGAGGGGGAGCGGGGAGCGAAACACCAAGATGCAGCTTTTGCACCGTCCTGGCCAATCCTGCAGCGGCCAAAACCCGCCAGTTCCTGAGCTGAGCGGAGGTACATGCCGAGGCAAAATTCAAATAGAGAGCCGTCCAACGGATTGCAATCCCGCCGTGGCTGGCGGCTCTGCATTTTGCGTGGATTCTCATGGCCTCCGACCCCGAATCCGAATCGTATGTCCCTTCACCCTGAGCGCGCTCGTAGCCTGAGCAGACTGCGACTGGACCGCCAGGGTCTGGGTCCTGCGCTAGTCCCGATCGCGTAGAGGTCCAGATGGCAACCGCCAGGCCGGCTGAACGAGCAATCGAGGTGGATCGCTGACACTGTTTTGGACCACGGGCAGGGGTCTGGAATTCTATAGAGCAGGAGCGCTCCCAGGTCCATCGGAGGCAGCGGCAACGAGAGCCGCGCAGACAGTCAGAGTGTCTGGTCGGTCGTCGGGCCGCCAAGCTAAGCGAATTTTGGGCCAGTTTTTTTCTCGCAGTGGCAAAGGCGGGTGGGCAGAGGGCTAGTGGGCCTGGATCTTCGGTCCAAAGGCCTCGCGATCCTGAGCCACGAGGCTCGACCTTGCCGCCATTTGGTTCTTCCGTGGAGAAAATAGCGGTTTTTTCTCTCGATGCATTTCCAAATGCCACGAATGCCAATTGCCAGTATCAGCTTCAAAAGCCGCGGCGTGCAGGCTTTGCCGTTTCGACCACAAGCGCTGGAACAAGCCAGCCACCTGCGAGCGGACCGCCTTGTCCTTTCCCCGCATCGACCTTCGGGCTGGGGTTCATGGCGAGCTTTCTGCTTCAGAGTCGGCGGTGCGTGTGCAACGTGGCCGCCGCGGACAGCGAGGAACAGGGCGGATTGCAGTGCCGACGCGGGGCGCAGCTGGACGAGACAGGTGCACAAAGGGCGCTCGGTTTTAGCTTGCAACCTGAAAGGTATCTTCGAAGAAAGAAAAAAGTGGCACACTACCTCGGCAATGCTGAGCGGCTTCGGCGAGATTCAGCCTCTGCCTTTTCATCCGCGAAATGCACCGTGTCAGACTGGGTCGACCACTTTTGCCTCGCTTGCAAGGAGTGCGGTGGGGCGTGTTCGGGTGCAGATCGAAGCACGGCGGAGCTGGGCAGCTGAGTGCAGTAGAACGCCTTGCAACTCTGTACGCGAGTCGTTGGCGTGGTCCTGGTGGCGGACAACCAATCTGCCCTATCTGATCTCGATGCACTGCAGTACAGCTCGACGAGCAGCAAGAGGCTTCATGGGCGACGCCGAAAAAGTTGTGTGCCGTCGGATGCAGTTCTGAGTTCCAATACGGCCGACTCCAAGTGCCGAGCGCGGCGATGCAGCAGAACTGCATACAGTCTGTATAGCCGTGCCAGGTGCCGCGATGGTCTTACTCGGCGGCATCATCCGCTCTGCACTGACGTGTTTTGGTCTCATGATGGGCTTGAGCACGATGGCGTTGCGTCGAAAGATTCGGGACAGTGCGGGAGGCGCGGGTGTTGAATTGGGTCGCAATGCGACTGGCAAGCTCCTTGCGTCAGCCGAAACATTGACTTGGCGTGCAGAGAGGCGAGAGACTCGTGGTGCCTTGCTCGGCCTTGAACGGCGCATGATCGGACCGAGGGCGCCGAAAGATCGAGTGATTCGGATGGGCTCGGGCTGAGGGTTCCAGTCACTTTGCGAGCACGGTCTCCGACCGACCGGCCAGGCGAGTGAAGAAGCAAATGCCAGGAGCACGCCAGATGAGACAATGCGAGTCAATGCGTCGAGGACTGCGTCAGATGGCACGTTTGCGGCACATCAGGCTGCATGTATCTGGCAAAGGCAACTCGGGAGCGGGCCGACAGACAGGCGCTGTGACATATCGTTGGCGCATTTGGCCGGGCCAAACTTGGACTGACTGCCATGGGCCCTTTATGAAACGCTGCCTAGACTCGGTCTCTGGCGCCCGACGCGCGGTGCCCACTCTTCCTTTGTCCTGGAAATTCAACCCATTGGGCTTCTCTCGCTCGACCAAAATCAGGCTCCGCGAGATTGTGCGTGGTCTTCTGCAGGTCTCAGCTTGAGCTTGCTGGGCTCGCCAACTCCGAACCTCGGTTCCACTGGAACGGTCGTTCTGCCAAAGCAATCTCAAGACCCTGCCTGACGCCCGCTTTCATGCCACCGTCTTGCCCCTCGCTCACAGGTGACTCTGTGACGCGCTATCCGGCACCTCTGTGTTCCGCACGCCGCTCCTCGTGTCGGATCCGGATGAGCATGAATCTGAAGGAGATCTTACCCGATTGGATATGCGACGCGTCTCATCCGCAAGTGGATCGGCAAGTCCCGTCTCACACCAGCCCGTCGGCGTAATCAAGCGAGCTGTTCATCGGCTTGGCTGTCATCGCTCCTCTGGCCCACCCAATGCGTCCGCAGCGGTCCGGGCCTGGCAATGCCGACCCGCGAAATACTTTCTCTCGACTGTACACAGAGGTGCTACAGGTACCTCTACGTGGCATCGCGCCCGCTGGCGTGTCGCTACAATGTCTTCTTCACCAAAATGACTTAGCTTGGCCGGGTGCGGAAGCTTGCAGCTACTTACGTTGAGGTGCAGCGGAAGGGGTGTCGGACTACCAAAATGCTAGCGTGGCTACAGGCGAGTGAACTTGCTGCCAGACGGCGAAGCGGAGTTCAAACGATTCACCGTCTTGCGACAGGCTCGGTCTTGCCCGCCCAATAAGCATCTTCCCATCCACACCCGTGGTCCAGGTGCACTCATGCCAGCCACATCGTTTGCGTCATTCAAAGCAGCAGCAAACATTCGAACGGGCACCTTCTACCATTCACTTCGGTGCCGACACTGCGACAAAATCGAGCTTGTTGCGTTCGGCCGACCTAACACACCCTTCATCTTAATCGGCAGGTTCTGCTCTGCCCTTACATCGTGAGCGTGGCATGTGCCGATGGCTGCAACTTTTGGCCTTGTCTGCCCTCCACACTCTCGGTCCTTGCTAGGCCTGGTCCGTCAATTGCGCTTGCCCATTGTGCGAGCGCAGGGGCGATGGGCGCCCGAGTGTAGCGGCAGAAGTTGGACCCTAGCGTATGGAAGTCCATCCGTCCGGTGGCCGTAGGTCGAGACCTTTTGCGAATCTTTGTCGGCCCGGCCGCGCCGCCTGAATCTCGCCGCGAGGGACGCAAAATTTCCCACCGGCGTCTCCCACGGCTACTACAAACTGTTCGAGCACCGCACATCGCCGCCATCGCAGTCGTGTCCACTATTGTGGAATGCTCGGGTAGCTTTAATTGCCTCGTGCACACAAGGCTTCTAGAAGTCCAGACCCAGCCAAGCGGCACGCTGTCGCCTTTCTTCCCAACATAGCACACACCCGTGCCAAAGTGTGGCGTCCCCGTTCGGAGAGTCGATGCCGACAATCAAGCTGAGTCCAGGCTCGCTCCCAAGCATGAGTTTCTTCCACTCAGCACCCAGCTCCGAAGAGCAACGCAGCACCATCGCAACGCGGCCGTTCTGAGTCTGGACCGTGGTCATCATGCACGTGGATTGCCGACCGCTGTGAGTTGCAGAAAGCACGTGCTACTGCATTTTGAACATGCGATGCAGCATGACGCTGAGGTTATCAGTACACGGCTCGCAGCGCCGAGCTGCGACCGACTCCGCCTCTGCGGCCCTGCGGCCCAGAGGCTGAGGCACCAGCTACAGCATCGCTGTCAGGCTTGCCACCTGCCTGGACCAGCTCGAACTTGTCCGTCAGCTGCGACGAGGGTAAACGAGCGAGTTTCAGCGACAGAACGTTCCATCGGCAAAGAATGCGGAAGGCCGATCGGAACATCGTCGTAACCGAACGCGCACGCATAAGAAGAACAAATGGCTCCGTGGTCAGCAAACTTTGCGTAGGCGTGGGAGCGATGCGCCGATGCCCGGTGTGCACTGCATGTTCGAGACTCGCTCATGTCTCGGACCAACGCAGCGCGCAGAAGGTGGGCCGCCGGAACCTACCTCGTTCATCGTGTGCAGGCTCTCGGTGAGCACCGAGAGGTAGTTGGTCAACAGCACGTCATTGTGGTCCTGGAGATTCGATGCGAAGAAAAGGAAAGATCAGATCAGCGATCAAGCTTGCGAGACAGCTGCCCGATGTCAGAGATAGATGCTCGGGCTTGCTTGTTGTACTCACCCGCAAAATCTCGTCTTGCAGCTCTGGAAGCACGGTGTTGGGCAAATTGGCGACGACCGTCTGGATTTGACGCAGCGCCTCGTGGTCCCAAGCGGCCTGGCCGTCTTGTATGGCGCGCAGGTAGCCCAGCACCTGGACGATGCGGTCATTGAGCTTGCCGATCGCGCTGTGCTGTGCTTGCATACTCGCGAGCACTGTCGCGGGAGCACAGATCCGAAATGACTTAATGTCAGCACATCATCCGCGTCAGTTGATCGGGCAGCGGCGGCCACCTACTTGTGCTTTCCTGATACTGGCCCGACTCTGCGCCCGCCTTGCTTGCATGGTCGACAGCGATACGCTCTGCCTCTCCCGTCTCGATCTTGTAGCCTGCAGGCACAAAGAAGCTGGCAGTCTCGCCCTGTACGACCTCGACGACCGACTCGTACACGCGGATCGGCAGTTCTCCTGTGGTCTCGGCGTTTTCGAACGAGGCGACGGTCTGCGACAGCTGGACGAGCAGCGGCGTCTCGTTGTACGCCAGCAGCTGCTTATGGATCTCGAGGTCGCGCGGCGTCGGCACCTCGCCCACCGTATACCACCCGAGCAGGTCGAGCGTGGGGAAGACCTGCTTGTACTGCGACTGCCGCGCCTTGAGGAATGCATGGTTGACCGCCGGTGGAGAGTCCGCCGACGCCGCAGCATCCAGTGTGATCTCGAACGAGTTTTGGATGTCGATTTCGCGGCCCTGCTGTGTCCCTAGGAGCACGCCGTATACTGCGGGAAAAGAGAGGCACGAGACAGAGTCAGCATCCGAAGCACATGTGCAGTGCGAAGGTGGTCGGATAAGGCGCGCACCAGTGGTTTCGGCATTGTTGCTCTGTAGTCTTGTGCGGACGAGATGCTCCGAGATATTCAAGATGGGGAGGGGATGACTGTGAGCCACGGCCGTAGGAGAAGGGAGGTCAGCGATGCGTAACGCCAAAGAGATGCAAAGCAAGTCGAGTGCTCACAGGCTGATGCTGCTGCCCACGCTTGTCGACGAGTGGCTATCCAGTACGACAGATGAGAGCTTGGATCGGTTCAGCGACGGTGTGCTGCTAAACGGTCCTGCTTCCGAAGACATCGTGAAGTCGTGGATCCTACAAGAGGTTGAGAACGAAGCGATGCGGCAAGGGAAGCATGGCTCGAGCACTGCACTCCTTGTCTGACGTGTAGGGAAAGTGCGCAGCTGCGCATTTCCTCCACTTTTGCGGCTGCAGCGAGGCACGTGACTGCCAGCCCAGCTCGCCGCGGCGCGTCGTTTTGAGATTCCAACACCAACGCTCCGCTCCTCCATCTTTACTTCCATCCGGCAATCATCACCTTTCACTCGAAGCTGCAAACATGAAGCTGCCAGCACGCTCGCTCATCAAGAAGCTCGTACGTGCGCATCTGCCGCCCAACGTGCGTCTCTCCAAGTCCGCCGACCTCTACGTGCTGCTGGCGTTCTTGATCTACATGCAGCGCCTCGCCAACGAATCCAGGCTCGCCCACCAGCAGGACGCGGTCAACGGCCTCAAGGGCTCCGCAACCATCGCGAGGAGGCACATCAATGGTGCGAGGAAACGCGTGCGCGGCTGAAGCATCCACTCGACTCACAAACAATCCACCTAGAACAGCGCCATGGCGCTCCAATACGCTCCAATACGCAGCAGCTCGACGGCACGTCGGACCGCGACCAGCCTCCATTTACCTAGAGTAGCCATGTCGCAAGAAGGAGGCTGCGAGATACGAACAAGCAGCGCGCGTAGCATACGACCCACGACGCGCGCAGAGGCAGCAGCCTGCACGCCTATGCGCTGCCAAACAACACGGCAACTCGACTTGCTCACATGCGACAGGAGCACTCGGACACCGTGTCCAACTATCATCATGAACACGCCGCCATGGGCGCGTCTATGTCATTACCATGCCGTAATAGCAATCCATCAAGCGTGAGTCCGTGGGGCCGCACACTGAGTCTTCAGATCATCTTGCTGCGCGGAGGCGAGTAGTATCGCATGTACGGCTGAGGGTTCCCGAGGCGGGCGAGTTCGGCTTGGATCTCATCCTCCATCGTGTTGTTGCCGCTCTGCAACGAGCCAAGCGACGGCGGGGCACCGGAGGACATGGTGCTGTGTACGGACGACAGCGTAGACGCAGTTGACTTGTCCGTGGCGCCAGACACGCTGCGAATGCCGGCCGCGTTGGCGTAGTTGGCGCCCGGCTTGAGCCCCAGCCTGGGAAGACGCGACGAGACAATGCGGTGGCTTGGAGACTCCGAGATGCCACTGACCGAGCGGCTTGTGGGGATCTTGCTTGCACGCACGGACGCACGCGGCAGCTGCGAGACCGCGTTTTTTGTCACCGTGACCTGCGATGAGGATCGCGGCATCGATGAGGTCGAGCTGTCGCGCTCCAAAACCTCGTTACCGTTGGCTACAGCGGCAGTTCTCTTGGCAGTGATCGTGGAAGGACGCGAGCTGTTGCGGTCGTCGGCAGTCTCGTCGTGGGGCTCCTGACCGCTTTGCGTGCCTAGCGAGGATTCGACGCCATCGACATGCGCAGAGCTGCTCGGCCCTCGACGCGGCCATGTGGCCACGGCAGGATCATTGGGCTCATCATCAATTTCCGGCAGCTGCTCGTCAGCGATGTTCCATGCCTCGTCCTCGTCCTTCGGCAGACTGAGGCCGAGCAGCGTGGGCGAAGCGTCCTTGCCGCGGCCAGACCTGGCTTGGGCTCGATGGCTGCTGCGCAGCAGACTGCTGCTGCGTGGCGTCGGAAGCGGCGACGCTTGGCTGCCTCTGTCTGAGCGGTCTTCTCTGAACAGGCCTCCCGGACCGTTGAGCAGCGAGACTGGACGAGCCCGTGGGAGCTCACTTCTGCTCGACGGCAGAGTTGCACGCTCCGAGCCAGGTAGACCAGAGACAAAGGCCTCGGAACGGGTGCTCCTATGTGTCGGCTTGGCCGCCGCCGCCGCCGCCGCCGCCGACATCACAGAGGAGGGCGCTGGAGATGCGGACCCTGCCGCACTCCTGCGCGGCGAGAAGGCAGAGATTCCCATCCTCGTGCTCGTGTGCAGTGTTGGTGGCAGCTCCACATCCAGGATGGAGCCCTCGCCGTCTTCAGATCCAAGCGTCTGATCGGCAGAAGCATTCAGTTGATGGTCCAGGTAGCGCAGCTCCATCAGCTCGTTCTCCAGATCTTGGATCTGGCCGATGAGCGTCACCTCGCGCGAATCGCGACGCTCGAGCTCTCGTTCGAGTTCAAGCACCCGCGTCACTTCTGCGTGCAGATCCGAGGTGAGGCTGTCGTGGCGCGCGTGCATGTCGGCATTCTCGGCGCGCACGCGCTCCAGCGTGTCCAGCAAGCTCTCCTTCTCCAGCTCGTGGCGTCGCACCATATTGGCGAGCGAGTGCTGCGAGATTGACGTGGCAAACGAGCGCGGGGTGCCCAGCGTCTTGGCGGTAGCGGACGGAGACGTGTGTCCGCCACCCGAGCTGGCCCGACCGACGGTCGTGTTGTCACTGCTGAAGCGCTTGCGGAAGCTGTCCGATTCGATCAGCGAAGAGGCAGCGTGGTCTCGGCTGAAGGCCTGCGAATATCGGCTAGAGCTCGACTTGGCATCCGAAGGAGGCCGCTTGCGCACGGCAGCACCATCGATCGAATCGCGCATCGAGTTATCCGCCACAGAGGCAACCGAAGAGACACTGCCATGGCGCAGCATCTGCGGATTGACGTCGAGAGGCATGCCCATGAGGCCCGACAATGAGGTTGAAGTTCGATGGTCTGCCGGAGCCTGCGCGCGGACCTGCGTTCGTCCGGGCTGCTGCACCATCCCGCCGTCAAAGGCTGTTCGCTTGGACTGAGCAGCTTGGGTGAGAGGCTCGTCCGTTTTCGTCGAGGCCTTTGCCAGCGGAGAGGTGAAGAAAGGCTCAGTCGTAGTGGTGTTCGGAATACCAGCCTTATTCGGACGGCGAGGAGGCTCCACGCCAAGACGAGCTTCATCGGAACGCATCTGGGGAGACGGCGTGACACCGATGGCCGTCGACTGTACCAGAGCCAGCATGCGATTGTAAGCCTCTTCGATGTCTCGGATACCCTCCTGTCGCCGACGTGCGGCCCGACCTGGGGTCGCTTCCGAAAGCATCGACATGTCGCCGGCAAGCGTGCGCTCTCCGGCTGGCTCCGCTGCATCCGAGACAAAGCTTTCCATGCCCAGCGTATCCACTGATCGACTCGCAATCGCAGTGTGTGATTCGTCGGCGTCAGTCAGATGCGACGAGCTGATGGCCTTTCGTACGCTTCGGACCGCATCCGCCAGCGCCTCATGTGATTCTGGCGCGAGCGTGATGCGCCGGCCGTCGTCGCTCATGATGAACGACGAGCTGTCCTGCGTCCAAGCACCTGGCAGCGACAAGTCGTCGGTGCTCTGCTCGGCCGCGCGCGGTGCCGGCTGCTGACTGGGCTCGCGCGAGAGCATGCTCGCCGACGACAAGTTTGGATGGGTCGCGTAGGACGCATCCGACATTCGCTGTCGCAGAGACGTGGGATCGAAGCTTCCTTCGTCGCGATTGTCCTGTAAGGCCGCTTCGACCGCTGCCAGGTGGCTCTCAATCTCCGACACTTTCACCTCGGGCAGGATCACCTCTTGCTGTTCTTGGTCGCCTTCGCCCGAGTCGCCTGCCTGGAGGTTCTCATCCTCGCCGCCCATGGTGGCTGTTGAGAAACGCGAGAGTTGCGGCCGGGTCGTATTCGAGACGGGCTCCACGGATCGCGGCGTCTCTGCCGACATTGGAATCGAGTCGAGGCCGCCAAACGTGTCCCGCTTGTACCAGTGCTGCTCGCCATCCTTGGTGCCGAAGGTACCGGGCGTCGTTGGCGAGGTGGGTTCGGCATACGAGTTGCGGTTCGAGTGGCCCATCGTCTCGACTAATGCCGTGTGCGAAGCAGCCGACGGATGTGCCTGGTGCGGGAAGGCCCGAATCGATCCTTCGTCGTCCTCATCGTCAAGGTCGTGGTGACCGAGCGAGGGCGGAGGAGAGGGCCCAGCTGCGATGGCCGGGAGCGTCTGTTCTGGCTCTAGTTGCAGGAACTCGCTGCCCGGCGAAGCAGCAGCATCATGGTACGGGGTCGATCTCATGGTGCCGGCAGTGCTCGGGATGCTCAGACGTCTCTCGAGGTTGGTGATGAGATCGGCGAGCGGCGAGTCCTGCCTGCCTGCCTGGTCAAAGTGGCGAGCCAGTGGTGTGTCCAAGGTGCGCAAGCTCACCCTCGACGCCCTGGAACCGATGTTGTGGCGGCGGGTCGAGTTGGATCGGGGTGAGTCGAGATTGCTGACGGCAGTCTTGAACGAGCTTGTCGTCGTTGCGGTGTCGAAGCGATTGGCGGGGAGATTGCGTCCCGGCGACGCGTCGTCGGAGTCCTCAGCATCATCGATGTGTGTGGAGCGGACCGTATGGTCGCCATCGATCGAGTCGATGCCTTGCCACATACGAGGGATGCCGGGGCGAGGACGAGAGTGGCTCTCAGTGATGTTCGAGTGTCCGTTGGACGAAGGCAGAGCAGGCCCAGCGCGGGAGGAGTGACTGTCAGAGCCGATGGTCCCGGGAAGTTGCCTTCCGGCCGCGGCGAGCTCGTTAAGACCGAGTGAATCCTGGAAATCGAAGTTGTTGCGCGTAGTCAGGGCCATGCCCATGCCCGTGCTGTTTTCTGTCTGATCGGTCATGTGCGACAGTCGGCGTTGTGCGTCATCGTCCAGAGTCGGGGTGCCAGGGTCGGCGGCCTGCTTCATGTGAGGACTATCCAGAAGCTCGGTGGCTTCATTGCTATCATCGGAAGAGGGCACAGTCTTCTCCGTCCTTTCTTTGTCGGCATAATCGCGGCTCTTGACCGCGTTTGCTTGGGAAAAGTCGAGGTCGCGGGGCAGGATTGGAGCACTGGAGCTGAAAGGCAGGCCGTCCTTGGGAAAGGGAGGAGGGTCATCAAGAGGAAGGGGACCCAGATGACCGAACGAGTCCTCGCGCTGGGAACGGAATTTGCCGTTGAGTTTGGCTGGGTCACGAGCGAGGAAGGGCGCAAAGAAGGACGACGACTTGGACCCGTTGGCCGAGCTTTGATCCTTGGACTTGCTGCGACGGCGAGTGAGGCTACCGCGACGGGGCTTGGTGTCCTTGGACGAGCTCTTGGACGTGAAGCTTTCAGCACGAGGTGTGGACGCATTCTCGGAAGCGTCCTCGATCTCGAGCTCTGTCGGTAGCGCGATGGAGGTCTTGCCGGGGCTGAGGACCGAAGATGCGCTGCCTCCGACGGACTGCGACCTCTTTCCCTTGAGGCTGGCCCTGCGAATGAGCCGACGAATGAAAGAGCCGCCAGACTTTGCCTGCGATGAGCGGTTTTGGAGCACGTCGCCTCGTTCGCGTGCTGTGTACTGAACGCTGGCGCGCGAAGGGAAGCTGAAGGGCTTGGACGAGCTGCGGCTTCGGACGACTTCGCTCTCTGCACGCTGGCCTTGGGCGCGGCGGACGGTGGGGCGGTGGTCTTGCAGCGCAAGCGGCACGGGCATGGGGGCAGGCGTCGAAATGGCGCGCGATGTATTGGTGGGCGAGATGGTGGGACGCGAGTCGGTGCGCTGACGCACGGGCGCATGCACCGATTCGAAGCTGGGGTTGAGATCAGTGTTGACAGGGAAGTCGCGCAGAGAAGGGGTGGTTGTCGATGCAGGTCGCATCTTCATGATTGGGGAGCTGGCTGTGTCCAAGCTGGCGGCGGCTGGGCTGACGTTTCGGCTCGCGGACGATGGTGGTCCGATACGGGAGTCGGCGTCGTGATCTGCGATTGGCTTGTCAAAAGAGGTAGTCTCGCCGTTGACAGAAGTGCTGCGACGTTCTTCAGCAGGCATGACGTCGTGCTGGTGGTGCGAGGTGAACGTCGGCGGCATAGGCGAGGGAGTGAAGTGTTCTCTGAGCGTGCTGCCGAGATGCTCGCCCGCCGTACGGTTGATGGTCGCACCGGGACCTTTGGCGCTGACTGAGCTCTCTTCGTAGCTGCGCATGCTTGGGCGGTCGGAATAGGAGCGTGTCATGGTCACGGAGCCGCCGTCCGATCTGGCGGTGAGAGGACGAAGGGAGCCGCGGTCGGAAGCAAGCTCGGATGCTGGAGTGTTGGTGGCCTCGGAGCCGCTGTCGGGCATAATGAAGGGGAAGCCAGAGGCACGCACGTCGGCGTAGCCGAGTGAAGAGCGTTGGGTGACGCTGGACAAGCGGGACGACACGATGGCAGAGGAGAGGTCAGGAGAGGCTCCTAACGGATGGATGTTGCGGTTATGCTTGCAGAGCGAGCGATGTGGCTCGATGTCGTGGCGTACAAGGGAGGCGGAAGCGGACCGTTTGGGAGGCACGGGCAGGCTGGTTGGGCTCTGCTGGTTGCGATGCCAGACTCCGTAAGGATGCGGTTGGCAGAGAAGGTCCGAGGAACGAGAGAAAGGGCTCGAAGAGCGTGCGGCTGCTGGCTGATGGTCACTGAGAAGGGTGGGTTCGAAAGTCTCCGCGTTGGTTCCGATGAGGGCAGGGGAGACGCCTACGGAAGGGCTGGCATGGGGACAAAGTTGGTTGGTGTCAGGGCGGTCGCGATGTCCAGATCCTGTTCTAGAGAAGGATGCAGCTGGAGCAGCTGGAGTCCGTTGCAAAAGCGAGAGAAGGACAGGGACGCTTCACGTTAGTTCCTGATGGCGGAGGTTGAACTGGACCAATGAGTGAAAAGCGTGAGAGGATGGATGGATGGATGGCTGGCTGGATGACCAGATGGGCAGGCGGAGAGGTGGATGGTGTTGCGCGGTGGAAGAAAGACTGGGATGCGTCGACGAAAAAGGCCGGAAGGAGAGGGAGGGAAGGAATCGTTGCCGGAAGCTGAATGCTGTGCAACCAAGGACGAAGCGACGCAATCGGACGTGGAGGGAGCAGTGGATGAGAAGGAGGAGGAGCAGAAAGCGGTGACTTACCGAAGGCTGCAGCAGCAGCGGTGGATCGCTGGGCTCGAACAGCATCAGCTTTGTCCAGCTGCGAGGGCGGCTGCTCGTGCAGATGATGCGACTGATTCCCAAACCGGATTTTGGAAAATGCGAAATTGAGCCCGACGCGGAAACGCGAAGGCCTGGCTCCCTTCTGCAAATGCGCAGTCTCAGCAGTGTCAGCGACAGATCGGAGACACTGACGGGAAGCGGGCGCTTCCAGATCGGCTTCTTTCCTTATCCAGCCAGCAGCAGCGCCATGGATAGCAGCATCTGGTGGCTCCTTCTGGACCCAATACGTCGGGAGGCAGCAGGAGCAGCGGCGGCGGTAGAAGCAGCAACCAGTATCGTCTGAGTTGCGCCCTCCTTCCTCATCGAGACTTGGACTGAAAGCGTATGGCAGAATCGCCGAGAGCGCCGAGGTGCCTGCACTGCGATTGCCCTTGGAAGCAACGGGACCTCTGCGGGAACGAGAGTGGGTCCCAGCCACCGAATCTTGTAGGCTCCGCGGCCCGCTTCCCTCTTCTTCACTGCCCAAGTTTTCATCTCTTGGGCTCTTGCTGCCTTGCCACTTGATTGGATGCCTGTAGCTGGGTCGACCGAACAGCGACGAGACCGCTTGTCGTATGGACCCGGACCCGGCTTGCCGTGCACTTCGCGTAAATGACGCGGCTGCTGGGCGCGACGAGGCGAGGGTGTGGAGGCGTGGCTCTGCATGATTGGCAGCGCCAGCGCTCTCGCTCCAGAGCCACTTCCATCCGCCTCTTCCAAATGCGTCGTCCGCCTGCGGAATTGGGCTCGCCTGACTTTTGGACCCTGACATCCGCAAGCTGTCGCTGATCCGCCAGGATCGACGGCGTGCCTTGCCGGCGTCAGGCCTTCGCCCCGCGCCTGCGCATGGTCCGCTCCTGCTCTGATTCATCTGCGCCGCGGACGATTGCCCTACCCGAGCCGCTGAGGAAGCGTTCGGAACGGAATTGTCGTGCAAGCATCGGCTCGACCGCCGGCTGCCCAGCCATGAAAACCTCCGACTTGCCGATATCCTCGAGTTCCCGCTAGTAGACAGTGCTTCCGAAGCAGCCCTTCGCTTGAACGCCGTCGTGCCATACTTGCGCCCTGATCTGAGCAGGCTTCCAGGATGTGGATTGGCCCGTGTGAAGACTTCGAAGATGGGACTGTGGCTCTCTGCCTGCTGTTCGTTGCTGTGCCCTCTCGCTTGCCCGCGCCCTTCTTCGTGCAATAGTCTTGAGCCTGACTGTCGGCTGTTCGCGAGAGGCTCTGCTCGCTGGTCGGGAAAAAGCATTGCTGTAGCGGTACGAGTCGCCGGGTGCGCGAGCAAGCTTCCACTCTTACTACTCCCTAGTCATTAAGTGGTTCGTTTTGAGTCTCGTGAAAGAAGCCTCCATGGCATCCGGCTGCGTCCCTCAGTAGCATCGTGATGGTGACGTGATGGGTCAAGAATCAGCCCGCTCATCGGACCTCCTCCGACAAAGTGACAAGAGTGGGCAGATGACAGAAGGCGGCTCGAGGACTGGAAGAAGCGCTGCGACCTGCTCCTAGCGCCACATTTGCCATCTGGTGATGTCCGAGCGTAGATTCGTCGTCTTTTGCCCACTTCATCCATGCACAGCAGACGGGGCTGCAGAAGATTAGCTCGAGCGAACAATGCAGGCTTCAGAACGTCACGCTGCAGAATCACAGTTGAACGCATTGCGCCTCTCCACCCATGGAACGATGTCAAGCACAGACAGCTACCTATTCAGACTGATTGCGATGCGTTGATGCTCTGCTATATGCTTCTACGGAATGCTGTGGTATCTTTGTTCGTTCACACCAAAATGGGACCTAACCTGACAGCAAATGGCGCTTAGACATGCACAGGATGTTCCGGGTCGACCGACAAGCTGGCATGGGCAATCTCCTGGTGCGGATCCTGCTGTTCAGCCGTCGGCGTCGGGTGGCCGTGCGATGCCTGTGCCGAATCAATCACCGAGTCTAGCGGCGAGCGCAGCGTGGCTGGCGTCAAGAGACCCGGTGTCAACGGGCCGTTCGCCTGGCTCGTAAGCGGCGAAGGCGACATGGCCGACGTGGCCGCCAGGTAGATCTCGCCTTCCTCGCCTGACAAGCCCGTGCTCGCCGATGCAGCAGGCTGCAAACCCTCAGGGCCGCTTCGCGCTGTCGAGTCGAGGCCCGTGCTGGCAGCATTTTGGCCGCTGCCGGAGCTGGGATCCGTGTCGGCACGTTGCACTGCAGCCCTCAGTGCTGCGTGCTTTTCTGAGCCGGCCACAATAGCGCTGTTCGATGCCTCCGCTCGCTCGACGTGGCCACCTGCCTGTCCCGCTGAATTGCTTCTGGTGTGCAGACGGGGCAGGTCTCGAGGCGATGCGGCTTGAGTAGCGGCGGAGATTGAGCGATCGTGCGCGAGCTTCTCAAACCCGTCGTGCGGCGCATGTGCGTCGAGGTCTGCTAGCGAGCCACCACTGGTGCTCCTGGCGTGTGAGTGACCAGACATAATACCCGCACCTTCGGTGCTGGTCGCAGTGGCAGGTGTGATGGCGTTGCTCCGCTTCAAATTCGCGCTCCCAGTGACGATCGGTAGATCCGACGGCGATGGGGCCTGGAGGTCGACGCCAGTCTCGCTCATCGGCGACGAGGCCGCAAACGCAGCATCTGCAGCACTCTGCCCCGCACTGGCCAGCTCGCCATTGCGGCTCGACGAGATCGGTGGCAACAAGGGAGCGCCTGCCGTCTTGAGGTCAAAGATGTCGTTGCAGTACAGGATGAGATCCTCCATGGTCTTGTCTTCTTCCATTGCTGCCGCCACGCTCGTCGTCTCGTGATCCGCCTCGGACAAGAGGCACGGCGAAAAGACGACGCTGAGATTGGCCGCCGTCATCTTGTTCTGATCGGCGTGCTGGGCGACTTTGCTGAGGTGCTGGACAATCACTTTGAGCGTGATCTGGTGAATGGGCGGCAGACGGCGGATCTTGCCCTTGAGCACGGCAAAGCCAGTGCGGATGTGTTCCTGCCTCTCGTGGGTATACTTGATGCGCTCGGCCCAGGGGATGGCCAGCACTGGCTCCGGTAGTTGACGCAGGTAGTCCTTGAAGACGCCTGCCACTGCCGCAGGCTCGTCCTTGGCCGCATCAAATTGGAAGCCGAGCTCGTCCTTCTCGATGGCCACAGCGAGCTGCTTGACGCTGGACTGCTTGGCCGAAATGCGGTAGATGCCGGGAAGCGCGATGGCGTTCTTCTCGATAAAGTCGATGCACTTGGTCACGATCAGAGGCGGGGCGACAGTGTCGCTTAGGCGGTATGGCACCGTGAGCGGGTAGTCGGTCAGAGGCGTGCCGAAGATAAGATTTTTGAGCTCGCCGTGCCAGTAGTTGACATAGGATACTCTCTTGTCTTCGAGTGTCTTGATGCCCGGCAGATTGTCCTCCATCGCTCTGAGCTCGGTGTCAAAGTGGCTCAGTGCGCTTTGAACGTGCTCCTCGCTGTTCTGGTGGAGGCCGCTGCCCTTATTGTGCAGCACAATCATGGAGCGTTCCGACTGCAGCCACACTGCCTGTGCGGTGAGAGCCAATTCAGAGCGGCACTCGACCACCGATGCTGCCGCGGCTTTGATCGTCCGGAGCCTGCGCAGGCGCAGCGTCTCGAGGTCGAAGATGGCCTTGCGGTACGCCTTGTCGGCGTCCTCCATCTCACGTTTCACGCGAGCTTGCTTGGCAGCAAGGGTCTGCGTGGCTTTGTAAGGGTTGTTGCTGGCGCCACCAAAGGTTCCGAGGAGGGTCTCGCTCATCGACGGCGTCGACACACCGCCGTCTCCCGTACCACCCGCCCCATATCCCCCGGGGCCAGTTTGACTGCCTTCGCGCATCCTTGTGATCAAGGCGCCAAGCTTCTTGGGAGCCTCTTTGCGCGCTGCGTCCCAGCCCTCGCGCGACTTAAAGACGTCAAAGAAGTTGGGCTTGGCCTTTTCGTTGTTCGGGCTGGGCGGGGAAGTTGACAGGGAGGGCAGCGTGGCTTCGGTGGTGGGTGGAGAACCCAGGGTCGATCTCTCGTCCGAGCTGTCCGCCCCTCGCGCTGAGGCGCCGAGTGACTTGGCCGATGCGTTGGATTGGCGACGCGAATGACGACGGCTGCTCTTGCGGCGCATCAGGGCCCCGGCACTCGAGTAGGTTGCTGGAGGTGAAGTTGCCAGGGGATCAAAGTCGCCTGAAGACGGAAGCCGGCTGTGATTTGTGGATTGTGGATCGGTAGTCTTTGTGCTGAGCAAGATGCGTTGATCCTCTACCGCTTGAGCCTGCAGCTGAAGCTGCTCCACCTCCTCGGCCTTCTTCTCGTACGCACGTCGAATCTTGGGAAGGTTGGCGCCGCGCATCTCGTCGTACTGAGCCAGGCTGTTGCGAAGGTCCTCCTTGACTCGCTTGCGGATGCGTTCCTGTGAGTCTCGAAAGGCGAGGAGCGGCAGCAGAACACTTTGGCGGCAATTTTCGACCATGTACGACCTCGACTCGAGCTCGCGCTGGTCGTTTTGACGCATCTCGAGCCAAGCGCGCCTGAGCCCAGGATAGCGCTGCGCGTCCGCCATGAGGCCGACGTCGCCGACGATCTTGGAGTTGACCTTGGCATCGAGCTCCTTCTGTCGTTCGAGCGAAAGTTTGAGATTCTTGATGTGGTCTTCTTCGAGCTTGATGCGAGCCTCGTAGAATGTGACGTAGCTGTCCACCTCGGTGAGGAGGGTGCGGAAGGTCTCGAGGAGCGAGGACGAGACGTCGGCGGCCGAAGATGCTGTGCCGTCCGAGTAGTAGCCGTTGCTGGAGGCGGCACGCGAGATGTGCTCCGCCGACTTGCGCGTCGTAGCCGCACCGAGCGACGAGAGCGAGTCCATGACGAGAGCGTTCGCAGCAGATAAGGTGAGGTCAGGATGATGCGCGAGGCAATGGCTCCGATCGTGGTTGTAGTGATGCGACACCAAGCCTCTGAGGCGAGGATTGACCACGAGCCGATATGGTAAGGTTGTAAGAGGACGTTGGGCGGTATCTCGAGATAGGGGTGGAGCTTAACCCAAGCAAGTCACCGGTCACTTCTGGCGCTGGCTGGCTGACTGGCTGGCTGTCTCTCCCCCGCTGTGCAACGCTGCGAGGTGAGATTGGCTTTCCTGCTTTCCGCCACAGACCCACCTCGCCCCTGATGAAGCGTTGCCTCCGCTCCACCTCTTCAACTGAGCGGCACAGCCCTGCGGAGTGACATGTGCTGCGCCGCACTTCCGAATTCCGATCCGAGGGTCCAAGGTGAGACCGACTCGCGTGCTAGATCGATCTGGCAGCAGCAGCGTCGTCTGCCTGGCCCGTGCCTGGTCGTTCCCAGCGGCGAGCGGTGAATTTTTGAAAGTGTTACACCTAGGCTTTTCTCTGCTATGAAAATCTATCCAGCCCCGATCGGAACGCCGTTTTCACGAGGCCACGAGGCGCACAAGATCAATCCTTCCCTTAGCCAATCGAGGCACGCTATCACAGCTCAGGCGCCAGGTGGAAGCCCTTTTGGAAATTGCCCGCTGGGCTCCATGACGACGATGAATCTTCGCGGCAGCGTTCTGCAGGCCATTTGCCTTCCTGGAGAGGCCCGCACCAGCCAGCCGTTTTTTCCCAGCAACCGCCGCCAATTCCCCATCTCCAGATTCAGAAGAGTGAGGTGCAGGGCTGGACCACGACCTGAATCTCTCACCACCATCACCGCTTCGAACGCCGCAGACTTACAGCCGTGGATCATCCATCCACCGCACTCTTCCTTCCATTTGCATGGTCCTGGTAGAACAAGTCGTCCTTGTCTCTTCCATCCTGGTCACATTTGGAGTTTGCCTCGCCGCCACCAAGTTTACGGCCAAATACGTCTTCCCCGACTTTGAACCGCTGCAGTTCTACGACGCCGCCACCAACCCAATGGAGATCAACGTCGTTGTTGCTTTCATCGTGGGCCTTGTGCTCTCGGTGGGAGCGCTGCTCTACTTTGACTCGCAGAAGCTCAAGCCGGTGCTCAACCCCACCCAGTGGCAGCAGTACCGTCTGATGGAGAAGCAGACGCTCTCGCCCAACACGGCGCTCTACCGCTTCAAGCTGCCGCGCCAGAACAACATCCTCGGCCTCCCCATCGGACAGCACATCTCCATCCAGGCCAACATCAACGGCAAGAACGTCATGCGCTCCTACACCCCGACGTCGTCCGACGATGACCTCGGATTCTTCGACCTCGTCGTCAAGTCGTACGAGCAGGGTAACATCTCCAAGTACATCGGCTCCATGAAGATCGGCGATCTCATCTCGGTCAAGGGCCCCAAGGGTCAGATGCAGTACACGCCTGGCCTGTCTCGCCACCTCGGTATGATCGCCGGCGGCACTGGACTCACGCCCTGCCTGCAGATCATCCGTGCTGTCCTCAAGAACCCTAGCGACAAGACGCAGATTGACTTTATCTACGCCAACGTCAAGGAGGAGGACATCCTGCTCAAGCAGGAGCTCGACGAGCTTGCTGCCAAGCACAAGGACCAGTTCCGCATGCACTACTTCCTCAACGAGGCGCCCGCCGGCTGGAAGGGCGGTGTGGGCTTTGTCACCAAGGAGGCTATTGAGAAGAACATGCCCAAGCCTGCCGACGACATCAAGATCCTCATGTGCGGCCCGCCGCCCATGATCAACGCCATGAAGAAGCACCTGGACGAGCTCGGATACGAGGCTCCTCGTACCGTCAGCAAGCTCCATGACCAGGTGTTCTGCTTCTAATCGGCCTCTACCGGCTTCCATCATGTTGCCGCTGTACCGCTGCGATGTGTTTGACCCACCGACACAATCCCTCGCCCACTCCACGTCTTTACAGCTACACGCTCTCCCCCTTAGATACACTTGTATCAATTTCTCTCAGCGGCCGCCTGGCCTTTTGTAGGTCGCTCAAGCAATAGCAAAATGAACCTCACCGAAAGGAATCATGTGCGGCTCCGTGCGTGTTCACAGCGTGATTCCAAAGTTAGAAGCAGATTCCACGAAGGTGTGCGACAGGCGAGTCAAAACAGGGATCTAGTTCTTGGGGCTCGGTGAGCGGCGGGTGGAGGGATGCGAGGGCGGGGGAGGCAGTGTGGATGCGGAGCCAGCCGAGGTGGTGGAGTACGAAGGTGGGTCTGCAGCGTGGGTGGGAGTGGAGGAGGCGGTGGTGTAGGACGACTTGTCCGAGATGGATGCTGGTGCCTTTTCGTACGTCGACGAGGAGCCTGGTGCGGGCGAGACGGCGTCTGCAACCGCATTGCCCTTCTCGTCGATGCGGACGGTGACTTCGCGTCCGTCGTCGAGCTTGGCCTTCATAACACGCGACCTGGCAGCCTTAAGAAGCGCGCTGCGACGCACGCCGCGGATGTCCTTGTAGACGATGAAGACGTTCTTGCCTGTGCGGCTGATGCCCTCGGCGACCTGACGTGCATCTTCGCCGTACTTGTGACCGACGACATTGGAAGCCGCCTCGCCGCTGGTGTAAAGCAGCGTCTGTGCGCCTGCGTCGATGCCATCGAGCACCGTGTTGGCGGCAATGAGCGAGCGGTTGATAAAGCCTCGGATACCGGTGGGAGCAGGGCCGTAGGTGCCGTCGGCGTGCACCTTGCGCTGGATGCCGGTCTTCTGGCCGATCTTGTCGCCAACGTTGCCGGCGACGCGGAGGATGGCGCCAGTGGTCTTGGACGATACTTGTACCGCCTGTCCCGACCATTGGTGAATCTGGCGAACGCTTGCCTGGGTCTTGGGGCCGACGCGGACGGGGTCTTTGCCTGCGACGTGCGCCTTGCCGTCGTCCGTCTTTTCGTTGTTGGGGGTGGTGGTACCGGACGAGCCTGCGGCGGGGTTCTTGGCCATGTATGAGTCGGCGGCGCCCTGAATCTTGCCTCCGACAAATTCGGAGGTCTTGATGATGGTGCGTGAGATTACGTCGGCACCGCGAATCATCCAGTCGCGCTTCTCGTCAGCGGAAAGGACGTCGATGTCGACGTTCTGCTTTTCGCTGTCGCTGGTGGGCTCAGGAGGGAGGTCGATGAGCACGGGCGCCTTTTCGTTGCCCGAGTCGGACATGGCGTCGGCCTCGTGGATGGTGAAGTTGCCCTGCATGACGCCGAGGACCTTGCCGTCCTCGTCCATGAGCTCGATCATGCCTGCATCGGAGCGGTCATCGTCCTGGTAGGCAGCGTACTGAGAAAGGATCTGCTGGAAACGGGTGATGTCCGACGAGCTGGTGGTGGATGGCAGCTTGATCTTGATGGATGCGCCTTCGAGCTCGGGCGAAGGAAGCTCGTAGGAGGTCTGCGTGGCGGTACGCTGAGGGACGATGGTCTGGGTGGCAGCAATGGGCAGCGAGAATTCGTCGCCGATGGAGAGTACGAGCCAGAGGTCGGTCGAGTAGTCGGGCTGCTTGGCGGAGGCGCTCGAGCTACGCTGGGCGGCGTCGTGCAGCTCGATGCTGACGAGAAGAGCCTGTAGCTTGCCCGCGCCCAAACCGACGGTCTCGCCGTGGTACTCCTGGGTTGCAACAGCATCGGCAATGCTGAGAAGCTCGATACCCTTGGAGGACTGGTCTGTTCCGGAAGACGACATCATGCAAGAAGTTCAGATGTCCAGTATGATGGTGGTTGAAGACAAAAGTTAAGACGTGGTTTCGTTTACACCTTCGTACAGGAGCACAAGCTCTCGCGGGCCGACGCTACGCGAGCCCAGTCGGGGAGCCCGGCCATGCTCAGATGCAGCATCGGGCGGCCACCGGCCTTTGCCGCTTACATGCACTGCCACGACGTTCGCTCGGTGCAGAGCAGCGTCCTTCTTCGTGAAGCTCAGCTTGCTTGCGGGGAGGCGTTGCGCTGGGGCCACTCTGCAGCAATTCGAGGCAGGCGTCAAGTGGAGGTTTGTGCAGAAAGGCGGGCGCCAAGTCTCGACAGCTTCCCCTCGTCCCTTCTCTGCGTGTCTTGGCAGCAGCATTTCGATGGAAATCAGCATTCAACGGGTGATATCATCGGAAGTTCCGTTGCACGCTTCTGCCGCTCTGCACAGCAACATTCTATTAAAAGATTTCACTCTTCCCTCACCGAACGGTCACCTCCTCGCGCAAGCAGCTGTTCACATGTTTCTGATGTGACCTCGGGAGGGCAGCGGACCGCCAGGAATCTTAGTGTGAGACCGGACGAGCACACAGCTCTTTTCGAAAGCAACACGCCTCCACACAACACTCAGACCTCTCCAAGTCACGCTTTCAGATTGCAGCGCTGACTCGGAAAATGGCTCAAGGCTCGCTCGGCTTTGACCCGCGAGCCAACTCACGCGAGTCCGCATCTTCATGCCCGCACCTTGCTTCTCGCCTCTACCCGCTCTCTCCACCATACCGCTCGAAGTACCCCTCTGAATCGCTTCCGAGCGTCGATTTGTCTCCGCAACACGCCTAGGATCCTGATCGTGGCCGCACGCATCGATTGGAGCACCAGGCGATTGAAGCACCAAGGAAACAAACAGCACAGCAAACCAACAACGCACGCGCCAATGGCTTCGTCCAAACGTATCGCCAAGGAGCTCGGCGACCTCACCAAGGAGCCTGTCCAAGGTATCACAGTAGAGCCCAAGGAAGACAACATCTACAAGTGGACCGCAAAGCTCCAAGGCCCCGCCGATAGCCCATACGCCGGAGGCACCTTCCTCGTCGATGTCGACTTCCCCATAGAGTACCCGTTCAAGTCGCCCAAAGTGCGCTTCAGCACACGCATCTACCACCCCAACATTGATGAGGCAGGAAGTGAGTACCAGCATCGTTGCTGTTCTACCGCTTCGATGGGCGTACGCTGACGGAAACGCGTTGCTTTCTTTCTCCCTGACAGACCTTTGCGTCGGTATCATCAAGAGCGAGGCGTGGAAGCCCAGCACCAAGGCCGTCACAAGTAAGTCTCTCTGCTCCGAAGCATCCTCTCGACCTACTTTGCAAGCCACCAGCAACTTACCCGCTTGCCCCTTCTCTCGCACCCGCCCTGCACGCCTACATTCAGTCCTGCTCTCCATACTCCAGCTCCTCGAGGAGCCGAACCCGGACGATGCGCTGGTCGCCTCCATCGGTACGTACTTTACGAGCAAAAGTCCTTTGCACGCCATACATTGCTGACTCTGCCTCAACCGTCCCGCACGCACACTCCAACAGCCGAACTTTTTAACACCGACCGCGCCAAGTTCAACAAGACCGCCCAAGAGTACACCAAGAAGGTGCGTATTACAGGGATCGTTATGCTCGTTGACATCGATGCTGACGCTCTCTATCCCTTTCATCACTCGAATCTTCGCACTCAGTACGCCTCTGCATGAGTCAGAACGACGCGCATCTCGATCCAAGGTCACCGCCCCCTACTGTCAATGTCTCTGCCAAGAAGCAATGTTTTACCACCCTGGCCTGCGCTCAATCCGCGCTGGACCTTGATCATCCCCATGTCATCAGAGAATCCAAGTCATTTGAATCGCTTGGGCTGTGCAGCGGCCAAGGGACGATGTTTCGTGTTGTCGAGATTTTGATGTCCAATGCAGCATGCGGCAGCGAGGCTGGCAGACGCACAGAGCACGCGTATTTGTTATTCATGCGGGTCTCGGTGATCCTAGTCTCTGAACACTCGCGTTTCTTCTTGCGATCCACACCACCGCGACAAAGTGGCACCGACTTGGCTGGGAATGGTGTTGCATCGAGTCGGACTGCGCCTTGGTGAGGTCCAAATGCCCGCTGCCACACGTCGGCGGGTGCTGTCGGTGCTGACGCGCGTGCAGACTGGATCGGCCGCTGCACTGACAGCTTTCGGCGTGGTGCATCTATCGGCGCCCCTGGTGGGGCTACTTCATTTGGGTGGCGATGTCAACGACCGCGTCGACGCCGTGTCACGATGGATGCTGCTCGGTCGTGTCGCCTACCAGAGCGCACTGGGCGAGGCTCTGCTCTGGACAGCCCTGGCAACGCATCTGCTCGCCGGAATCACAAAACGCCTCGTCACACGCTTCACCACCGCAGCTTCGACCCGAAGTTCGGAAGACACACGCGATCTCAAGGCTGAAGAAACGGCAGTGGTTCAAGAGCCGCCCAAGCGCGGTGCAAGGTTGAGTGTGGCCCAGGCGTCGGGCTACATGCTTGCGCCATTTGTGCTGCACCATGCATGGGTCAACCGAATCGTCCCATCGTCACCTAAGGCTCCGATATCGAGCCTCTCGCCTTCAGAGCTCGACTATTCGTTCGTGGCGCACACCCTCTCGCACCCCAATGCCGGCGTGAAAATCATCATGGCCACAGCATATACTGTGCTCATAGGTGCTTTCGCCGTCCACACCTCGTTCGCCATCCCTGCCCTGCTCAGAACGATCAAGCCCGCTTCGAGGCGCAAGGGGAGCTCGCGCCCAAGACCCGCACTGCTTGCATCATCTCTCGCCTTCGCTCTGCTCACCAGCCTCGTTGCTTTGGTGCCTATGGGCGCGCGCGGTGGATTGGCCATTTCAGGCACGCTCAAGGCTCGCTACGACGCCGTGCTCAGCAGCGTATTCCCCACCCGCCTCTTCTTTGTCCGTCTGTAAATTCTCCCGCTCGCGAATCATCGCAACAAGACAAAGCACGAACAAGGCAATCGCGACGATTGTACTGTGGTTGCGGACGGCCTATATACTGGGCTGGACCTTCTTCTTGGTCCACCTGACGGTTTGAGGTTGCTGGTTGTCCTTGCACGCGCCTTCGGAGGCGAGCTGGACGGCCTGCGCATTCTGATCCTTGGAGATCTTCCAGAAGCGCACGGTGCAGTCGATCTCTTCGTACGCCCTCACCGCCCTGTCGAGCAGCTCCCAGAGGTCTCTGTCAGGCACCTGTTCTCCGATCATGCCGAGCGGCGACTCGGCCATGATGCGCCAGCTGTTGTGGCGCCACTCCCAGATCCATCGGCTGATGCCGTCCACCAGCCAGCCGTGATGCGTGGCAATGACGATCTTGTCGAATCCCTCGGATTCCCAGCGGTGGAACTCGAGGGCAGCAAGCGCTGCACGCAACCCCGCACGGCGTACCGTCGAGTGACACAGTTCGGGAGGACGTTCGAGACGGCGCGAGAAGTTCTGCTCTACCACGACCTCGGGAGTGCGCCGGTAGGCCGGCTGACGTGCGCGCGAATCGTGCGTCGGGCAATACACAAACCCAAGCCCGGCGCGCTTCTCCTCGGCCTCGCCAGGAACAGCAGCCGAGATGGCGTTGGACTTGAGCTGCGCTTCCAACGCCTTGTAGTCCGGTAGCTTGCCCGACGCGAACATAGCCTTGCGCGTTGCCTCCACAGAGAAGTTGGTCGGCACCGCGCTGTATACGGACGCTGCATCCGACGACCGTCCGCCGAGATCCGTGGTGAGCACCGAGCTCGAATCGCTGCCGAGCTGGATCGCTGCTATCTGCCCCTGCGTCAGCGCGGCGCCAGCGCATAGGACGAGCATCTGGCGCGGATCGACCTTGCGCACGTACCGCAGCGGACGCCACGGACGCGGATCCGGAACAAACAGGTCCTCGACACGGAGCTCCCCGGCACGTAGCGTCCGAATTGTTGCTGCATCCGATGCGGTGTCGGCCGAGGGAAAGAGACTCGCTTCGTACGAAGACGGCACGCGCCCCTCGGACGCTTCTTCGAACTGCGTGATGCCCAGCTTCTTCTCCTTGTCTGTGAGCCGGTCGAGAGCGCGGTGCGTGGTCCAGGTACCTGTGGCCGCCCAGGGTGTGCGAGCGTGCGCTGCATCGCCGCTCACCGAAGGAGGCGGTCGGAATGGTGCAGCGATGGCATTCGCAGTGACGTTCTTCGGCAGAGTCTCTGTGCGTTCCGCCGCGAGTGTGAGGGTAGTCATCTTGGACTGCACGGAGCGAGTAGTGGCAGTAGTCAGAATGGAAGCAGCGTCGTCCTTGGACAGCTGGGCCCCCTCCTGCGATTGCTTCTTATCATTGCTTCCGGATTCCTCTGAAGATGTAGGGATGTCAAACGGCTTGACGCTGTCTCCGTCCTCATTATTGCGTGAAACAGTGCTTGGGGCGTCTTGCTCGACGCTCTCCTTGTATGCCTGTGCAGCCGTGCGGCCCTGTTCGTCGAGCTCGACTGGCGCTGCTGTCGTAGACTTGGAATCCTTGGCATCGCGCGATCTGATCTCGTGTGCAAAGTCGTACTCCTTGGCATCGCGATCGTGCAGGGTGGCTGGGATAAACAGCCGCTTGGTCGAGTTGTGCTGAGCGAGCGCGTCCGGCGCGTACGAGATGCCACCCGGTGTATCGAGTCTGACCTGGTAAGCCGACTGCTGTGGCTTCTCCTTGCCCTTCTTTGGAGGCTGTACAGGTTCAGACGCCGGCGTGGCGGTGTCGCCATCCGTGGTGGGGAGGATGACTTCGTACGAGCTCGAGCCCTCGTATCCACGTCCAGAGCTGGATGCCGACTTGGATGCCGACGGACGCTTCCACGCCTGCAAATAGCGATAGTCTGGCGCCGCCATGTTGTGGATATGTGTACCGATATGCTTGCGGACCAAATGGTGGCAGGAGGCTTGCATTCGGAGGATTGGTCAGGGTCCGTGTTGTTCGGCACTCGGCTCAGCAAGCTGCGCGTCTGTGCTGCTGTGCATGATGACGGTCGCGCAGAACAACACGCGATATTCCATCTCGGAATTGCGCTTCGACTTCGGCCGCTCGGAGCTTTGTCGCCGACAGTCCAGATATCGGCTCCATCATGGCATCACTGCTGCTTATCATCCTCTCAGTGCGGCAACACACAAAGCACAAGCTGTATGAGCATATAAGGCAAACTTGGGATGATTCAAAAGTGTTATTGCAGGCGGTTGGACACGGCAGCAGCAGCAGCACGCCTTCAGTCGTGGGGCAGAGTGCCGATCTCCTGGAGGTATCGGTAGGTCTCGAGGTATCCGTCCTTGACCGTATCACAGACAGTCGCATAACCTGCATCTCTGACCTTGTCGAGGCTACCCTGCTGGTCAAAGGTAGCGCCGAGCGTGAAGTCGGCGAACGCAAACGTGGCGTGGTCAGAGAAGGCCGAGGGGTCGCCACCCTTCTCGCTGGTGAGCTTCTTCCACGCCTCGATGTTCTCGGGTCGCTTGCTCCACTCGTCCAGGCTCAGGCTCAGCTTCGGTGGCTTGTCGTTGTACTTGGCCTCGCCCGCCGCGGTAGGGGGCAGCACCTTGAGACCGAGCTCCTTTGCGAGGTCTTGCCAGAGCTGGCCGAGCGTGCGCTTGTCACCGTCCTCAATGTTGAACGACTGGTTCTCGCACTTGGCCGCGTTGGCCGGATCGGTGAGGAAGACCTGGAAGCGCGCATTGTTGATCGCCGTGCTCTGTGAGACAAATATCTGGTCCCAGTTGAGATTGTTGCCCGGATACTGCACTTCGCTCTTGCCCTTGGCCTTCTCGAGCGCCAGGTACAGGCTCGTCGACACGGCCTGGTTCATGAAGTTGCCCTTGGCCGCTCCGATGATGGTGTTGGGTCGCGTTTCCGACCACGCGTATCCGTGCTTCTGAGCGTGCGCTACGAGCGTGTCCACCTGGTCATAGTAGAAGTTGGGAGGGTCGGTGGGACCGCGCGGAGCGTCCTCCTGGTACGGAACGGGCGAAGCGATGTCCTTGTTGGCCAGGTGCAGCGAGTACCACTTGTAGCCGGTCTGCAGGTGGAAATGCTTGAGCTGCTTTCCCGCTGCGGCATACGTGGCATCGAGAGCCTTGCTGAGCAGCACATGGTTGACGTCCAAAAGCTCCTGGGCGTCCTTCTTCTCGATGTAGGTGTAGTGCAGCGCCGCGTTCACCTTGTCGCCTCCATTCGCCTTGAGCTGGTCAGCGATCTCGTCAACCGAGGCATTGAGGATGTCGATTGAGACAAATTTGATGCGCTTGTCCTTGAGATCCACCTGCGGCGGCCGGCGCGAGACGGCGAGAATCGAGCCAACCACCTCGCTCGGCTGCTCGACCAGCGCTCGCAGCGCAGCGATGCCAGAGACGCCATTGGCGCCCCACACGAGATAGTTCCTAGGCGAAGACATGGTCGTGTGTACGTGGATGATGTGATGGAAAGGGGCTACGAAGCTGAGTGACAAGCTCTTGCCTTGATATAGTCAGCCGCGGCAATGCAGACAGCACGCGCCGCAAGTTTGTGATTAGCCGCCTCCACCTTCACTGCGGCTCTGAGTCGTAAATTCTTCTCTCACCTCCGCTGTGCGACCGCTGACACGCCTCCCACCCAAAATGACGTCGATCGGGGCTTTGGCAGAACCACAGAAATTCGCCGGTCCATGTGATTTCTCGAGATTGCCGGATCGGCTCGGCCCTGAATCACATCTGAGGCCGCACCTTCGCTGTCCAACTAGCTCCGATTCGCTTTTTCGACCCTAATCACGCAAGAAGGCGAGTCGCTTCAGCAGGATCTCGGCGCTGTCGGTCATCTCGGTTCCAGCCGCAATGACCTTCTGCAGGTAGTCATTGGCCAGCGCCAGGTTGCCCACCTTGGCTGACGTGGCGTCGTGACCGTCGTGATCCATTTCGTCACCTGCTGCCCGCTGCTGAGCTGATCTTGCGCCAATCTCACCCATCTCCCACCTGGCTGCGATGATGTACGAGCGAGCGTAGCGCGCGACTACGTTCGACTCGGTCCCCGCCAGCGCACGGTCAACCACCTGCACCAGCCGGCGGTGGTACGAGGCAGCAGCTTCAAAGTCGCGCTCCTTCTCGTACACCTCGATGATGCGCGTCAGACCGACCACCGTGTCGCCTTGATTGAGCCGGCAGGCCAGATAGCGCTTGAAGCACGAAACGGCGTCTTGAGATCGGCCCAGGTGGTCGTAACAGATGCCCATGCTCGACCACATGCGCCCGTCGTACGGCCGGATGGCGGCGCACTTTTGGAAGTAATTGACGGCGTACGTGTAGGCGCCGTTGAGCTCGTACACCTGCCCCAGTCCGTACAGCGCTCGGTATTCGCGCGGGTTGATCTTGAGGGCTCTCCGGTACATCTCGGCGGCCGCATGGCTGTTCTTGAGCTCAATGTATTCGTGGCCCAGCAGGATCCATGCTGGTACACAGCCCGAGTCGAGACGCAGCGCGTGTCGAAACGCTTCGATCGCGCGGTGGTGATCGCTGCGCTGATTGTAGTAGTTGCCTACCAGACAGCACACTTCTGGCCGATCCTTGGCAAACGAGCTGAACTTGTGCGCAAGATGCGCCAGCTCTGCCGTCCGGTTGAGCAGGTAGAGCGCGTTCGAGTAGTCGGAAAGCCCGTCAACTCTGTACGGGTCGATCGACCAGGCTTCCTGGAAGTCCTGCTCCGCCTCGATGTAGTCAAGGCGATGCACATTGGTCTGCGCCCGGCACGTCAGCAGGTAGGCCGACCTTGGGAACGACTCGAGCAAACGGTCGATGCGCGCGATCGTCAGGTCACCCTCCTGCGCAGAGTGTCGATCCAGCAGCTCGCGGAAGAAGCTCGCCATGAACGAGTCGGGCAGCAGATCGGCGATCTGATCCACCTCGCCTGGCTCCAGTGTCATGGCCAGCTCCTGCCATGCCGCCCAGTTGTACGCGAAGCTTTGGACGGACCGGAGGAGGCAGTCCATGGCCTCGATCGGACGATTGAGCTTGCGCAGGATGGCTCCCTTGAGGAAAAGCAGAAAAGGGTCGACAGCATTTACGAGCTCCTTGAGGATGGGGATGAGGCCGGGCGAGGTGGCGGGGAGGGTGCCATTGGGTTTGGGGATGATCATACCGTGCTCGTCGAGCTTGCGCTCCGACATGAGGAAACGAGCGTAGAGTCGCAAGAAGCATGCCTTGTCCGAGGCATGGCTGCTGCTCTCGAGCACCCAGATGCACCGTTCGAGCTGTTGCTGGTCGAAATGACTCTTTGCCAGCATGTACGTCTCGTCCTCCATGGTCGATATGCGCGGCTGTAAGCCCCCGAATCGAAGCTGCGATGGACCCGGCGAGCAATCGACCGAGTTGGTGTACGACTGCCAGTGGACATGTGCAGATCCAGGTGCCTCGTCGTCCTCGCTGTCGACGGTGATGAGCGAGCTGTCGGGGTCGCGTTTGGGCGATGCTAGGTGGCTCAGGCGGGCATTTGCCAGCGGAGACGAGGCGTAGGCATTCGGGGCGAATTTGCCGGACACATCGCGAACCGAGTCATCTTCTCCCCTCGGCTCCACCGACATGCGCTGCTGCATGCCCAAGGCTGGTGTCGAATGTTCCGGGATGAGCGGTCTATCATTCGTGTGTCGCTTTGTTGCTGGGGTGGCCGCTCCGGTCGCCGACTCGTCCGAACGACTCTGGGCTGAGAAGAGAAGGCCGCTGCCATTCTGAGAGGCCGAGTATGGTACAGATTGCAGAAGCTCGAGCGTCCATCGCGACGAGGACGCCAGGCCACGATCTGAAAGCTCGATCGCTGCTATGCGAAGCTCCTCCCGTGCTCTCGCCGGTTCCAAGTCGGGGAAAGGATGGTCGACTTCGAAGATAGACGCCTCGGACATGGCCATTTGTCGATACACGGAGGCTGCTGATTGCGCGACCGTATGTGATACAGATTTGGCTACCGGATCAGCGAAGGGAGGATCGATGCAGTCCCAGTGTTGGTTTGAGCTCGTCGAGCTTCAGGTGAGGGTGTTGCCGATTGTCACAAGAAGGCCATAGCAATGACTAGCGTCGAATGTAGCGGAGAGTGGCGCTGCGAAGGCGCCACGGCGGGATGCCGAGAGTTTGAGGAAAGTCGGGAGGACGTGGCGTTGCGGCAACTTGTGTGTCTCAACGTCGGACAGTGTTGTTCTCGAGCCCCTTGGCAGTGACTGGGCCAGGATCGGATCCGTATTCCAACAACGCAACTCGCCTCCACCCAACACCACGAACGGACGCGTCTCGCAGCAACGGACCTCAACCCTGATGGCGAAAATTCCACCGAATGGTCGTCTTTAATCGAGCCACAAAAAACAACGGGTCCAGCTGGATCTGCCCGGGCAACACAACTGCCAGCTGTCGTTTCCGGCAGCAAAAGTGCTCGTAGTACATGTGCAGATGTCCTATCACGGCCAACCAAACTCAACAGATGAGCAGGGCAAAAGGGAATCTCGTGCTGTGCCAACAAGGCAAGGCTTGCTAAACACAGGAAAAAAAAATGCAAAAAGAAATGCAACCTGGAGGAATCGAACATCCGTTTGCTCGGCGCTAGACCGGGACAACCCAAGTGAAACTCCCGAAGGAAGAGCCACAACGAGCCGTAATAACCACTATACGAAAGCTGCTTTGATGCTCCTCGACAATGCAGTAGTATATATATACACGTGAGCAATACCCAGTAATCGAAGAGTTCTCCGAATCTCTCCTCACCTAGTCTTTGTCCTGTACAAAGATGGTCGTAGCCGGCGCGATGGCCTTGCTCATGCACCCTTTGCTGTTCGGGATGGCAAGAATCGCACTGGTATCCGAAGAACAGCCGATTAACAGAGGTCCGAGAGCACGATCCACGCTACTGAAGGTTCCTCACCTGCTGCCCTGTTGCACTTGATTTCTCGAGTCTCAACCGTCTCACGACAAAGATGCCGTGCAATGATGTCGATGGGTCGCTTTGGTGACGAGAACTTTGTCAAGCTGAGCTTCACATCGGCGACAGCGCTCGTCGGCTACTACCGTCCTTTTCCACCGCGTGAGCATATCGCTGACTTCTTGCGCACGACCACGGCCAAGCAGTCCTCTTGGTCCCTCAGGCACCGGACCAGGCCAATATCTCAGAAACAACAATCAAATCTAACGGAGAAGCTTTGGGGTCATTGTACAGGTTCGAATTTTTGAAGATAGTGGGTAGCCAACATGCGTGGATGTCGGCGTGAGCCAAGCAGCCTTGGCAACAGAATACGGCTGTGCCGGGATGCCAGGAGCCCAGGGTGGGTGGCTATAGAGGCGAGCGCCTACCGCGCCAACGTGCCCAGTGACACAAAGGGTGCGGAGACGATCGAGACCTAGGGGTGAGAGCGGATGGATGTGGAGCAATGGCACGAGCCGTTTCTCGTGCCACGACTGAAAGGAAGAGCGGCCGGCAAGTCGACAATCATGCCGCAAATCCGTTTCTTTTGGAGAGGAGATGCAAGGTGTGTAGAGAAGGGCCGGGGTGGGAGAGAGGGAACGACAAGATGCTAGGCAATGCACGGGACGAACGACGCTGCAACGAGGCAAGATCGACGAGTGCTTAAGCCTGGGTCTTGCGGGAGGCCTTGCGGGCAGCCTTGTGGGCGGCAACCTCGGTCTTCTTCTCGGCGACGCGCTTGGCAAGGAGCTGCTCGTACTCCTTCTTCTGGATGTTCTGAGCCTCAGCCTTGCGGATCTTGAGCGAGCGCTGGTGACGCTTGCGCTGGAGACGCGAGGCGGTCACGAGACGCTGGATCTTGGGGGCCTTGGTGTAAGGCTTGGCACCCTCCTTCTTCGAGACGACCTCGCGGCGAACGACGAACTGGCGGACGTCGTCCTCCTTGGAGAGGTTGAAGAACTTGCGGATGTGGTTGGCACGCTTGGGACCAAGGCGCTTGGGGACGGTGGAGTCGGCGTCGGTGAGGCCGGGGATCTCGTTGTCGCCCTGCTTGACGACAATGAGGTGGAGGGCCTGGATATCGGGGCCGACGATGCAGCCACGGACCGACTTGCGCTTACGCTCACCGGTGCGGCGGGGGCGGTAGCACGAGTCACCCTTGGAGAGGAGGAGACGCACACGGTTGGGGAGGAGGACACCCTGCTTCATGGGGAAACCCTGCTTGTCGTTACCACCGCCGATGCGGAGGACGTAGCCCTTCCACTCATCGCCGAGCGAGTCGACCTCGACGTCCTGCGACATGCGCTTCTCGTAGAAGCAGCGAACGAGGCGCTCATCCTGGATGTCGAAAGACTTCTGGGCACCCGTGGCCGGGTTAGCAACGTTGAGCTTCATCTGTAAGGGTTGGAGCAACAGGGGCGGATGGTGAGCAAGTCGAATCGCAAGACGGGAAGAGGCGCAAAGCAGGCAACAATTGCAGGTGATTGACCTCCGCAACAGAGACGCAACACACTGTGTCTGTCGATCGTCGAAGTCGGTGAGCAGACAGGGGCGACTGCGGATGATTATGTTGGTGGAGAAATCGATGCGTGGCACAGAGTGTGGCGATGGGAAGAACGGCGCTTGACTCCGGAGACGCGAGCCAGTGACTCGAGTCGTCTCGTTGGACGGAACTCCTTGCACTACATGCGGCCCGCCGTCGCCAATGACTGACGCGCAAGCGACAAGAGCGGTCTCCGAAACTGTCGGCTGCGAGCTGATTGCTATGTATGTCATTCGGACCATCAACAGCTCTTTGTCGATTTGACTCCGATGATATTGGCGGCCAGGACTCGCTTTGTCGATGCGGCCATTGCACGTGGCTGAGAGCGTGGGAGTATTGTATAGAGGTTGCAGAATGATGGCTGCACGGGTAGGCGATATCGGCCTTGCTGATAAGGGAGCATAATCTCGTCTATACTGGGTCGGATGCGTCCTAGTGCCTGGCGGATGTCGGTGATTGCGGCGTCTGCGTGTGCGTGATGTGTGCTGCGTCTCTGATGTGCGTGGCGATGCTGCTGCGTTTGTGCTGGTGCGGGGTACCTACCTTGACGAATAGTTGATATGATGAGGTTAGAAGTCAGACAGGATCGTGAGCAAACTCGAATCGCAATGTCGAGCTCTCGTCGCGCTGTTGGCTCTGCTGGCTGTGTACGTTCTTCGTTGGGGCTTCACACTGGCGCCCTTAGGACTTGCCTGCCCAACGACCCACCTCTGGGCCTTGCCTGCGTGCCACTCCAAGTCTGCTGCCGTCCTCACTTGGTTGGCTGGACCTGCCGCGGGAGTCTGAGAGTGTGGTCGTGAGTGCTCTGCTGAGAGGAAATTCAACTGAATATCCTCGGCCGAGCTTTGGCGGGTCACGTGCAAGCATTTCCGTCTCTCAAAATTCTGTTAGGCAAAATTGCACAGGGCGCGCGACCCTCCGTCACCGACACTGGAAGGCGTCGTCGGCCAAAACCAGAGCTGGCTGTGGGTCTCGATTTCGAGAAGGCAGCCAGGTCCTGGCTGCTCGAGGACCTGACCGTGCTGTATCGGTCGACAGAGGCAGCGCAGTCGAGCGCTGCGACGGTGAGAGCGGGTGCCCGGCAGGCGTGCTCGCCATCATACTTCCCCTCTTGCCTTCAGGAATCTAGTCCATCACCGTCGTCCTCAAGATCAATAACATTTAGGTACGTTCCTACGAATCACTGTCTCGCACAGCAACAGCATACATAGTTGAGAGCGACAGTCTGGCTGACCTTCGTCTTGATCTCACTCTTCTTGCAGGTACGTCCCTGGCAGCATTGAATGGTCCCTTGGAGGAATCCGGTCCACAGGAAAGGTGGTGATATCGACATCAGTTCAGGGCGACTGGAATCGCGCAGGATTCGTCGTGATGATCTTGGGCAGCAATTGCAACGACACCACTTGGAGGCGGAGCATGGAGGATTTGGGAGGATGATGTTGTTTGCACCCGCCACGCCATTTTGAAGATACAATTCGACAACTATACGCAACCGCATTAGCACACGCAGCCGACTCTCTCGACAGCATCTGCGTTTCAACGATACCTCGCGCAGTGCTCTCGCCAGGTACTTGCAGCACCGACACAAATCCGTCAGATCAACCCAGGAATCGAAGGATGGAGGACGGATTCGAGCAGGCCCTGTGGAACGCTTTGAAAGAAGCGTGAAGCACGGATACCTCAGGGGACCGATGTAGAACGAGCTTCATGTTGGTCTAGTGCTGACTGTTTGCTGTCTTTCTGTCCGACCACGCATCGAATTTCCAACCATCGCCCGACTTGTTATTCGACCACCATCATCGACACATCTTCGACATTCACCACTTGCAGCCAAAATGGGTCGCATGCACTGTAAGTGTCCACCTCCATCGCCGCAGGCGAGCAATTCGGCACAGCAGCTTGGCATCGTTCCGTTAGCCCTCTCGTCATCACTTCGCATAGCATCGCATCGCTGCAGGGCCAAGAAGCCACACTCGGCGTAGTGCTGGCCTGCACATGGTTGTCTTTCCGGATTCGATGTCGGAAGCAGGATCGTATCCGACTCTTTTCTGGAAGGTCAACCGGTAGCAGCTCTAGAGCGATCGCGATGATGTACACGGTCACGACGAAGGTTGGCGTTGCAAAGTGCCATGCTGCGTGCTGCAACAGCCCACCCCGCCTACCTCACTGATGCAGACACAACTGACACTAACCGGCTTTTACGCTACGCTCCTCCACTCCAGCCAAGGGAAAGGGTATCTCCGCTTCGGCTCTGCCCTACCGCCGCACTCCCCCCTCGTGGCTCAAGACCACGCCCGAGGAGGTTGTCGAGCAGATTGTCAAGCTCGCCCGTAAGGGTATGACCCCCTCGCAGATCGGTGTCCAGCTGCGTGACTCGCAGGGCATTGCCCAGGTCCGTTTCGTCACTGGTAACAAGATTCTGCGTATCCTCAAGTCGCAGGGCCTTGCTCCCCAGATCCCCGAGGACCTGTACCACCTCATCAAGAAGGCCGTCTCGGTGCGCAAGCACCTCGAGCGCAACCGCAAGGACATGGACTCCAAGTTCCGCCTCATTCTCATCGAGTCGCGTATCCACCGTCTGGCCCGCTACTACAAGACCAAGGGTGCCGTTCCCCCTACCTTCAAGTACGAGGCCGCCACCGCTTCCACCCTCGTTGCCTAAGCGTAGGGATGGTTGCATCTTCGTTTTGTACTATCTTGATCCTGTCCACGGTCTGAACCAGGTCAGACCTAGGGATGAGCTCTTCGTCCCGAATTCACCCCCCAAAATCGCATACACCTCCCTAGCTTTTGACAGGGAGCGTTTGTTTCCGCATCCTTTCGCGCGACGTGTGCTCATCTCTGTGTGGTCCGAAACCCCAGCAGACAGTGAAGGGCGAGAGACGGGAGAACTGAATTGCATGCCGTGACGAACGTGATGCTTTGTGATGCTTTGAGACTGGACAGATGCTGGAAGATGCTGACCCGACAGGGACTGAGGCGAGAGAATGCATGCTGACGACGAACGATACCAACAGAAAACGGCAGAGAGGAGCAGCAGGAATCTACGGGGAAGGTCAGATATGAACATGAAGAGGGATCGGGACTGCAGGCCAAAAATCGTGGGTCAACCGAGGATGCCGATGCTGTCCGAATAGCTGGGAAGGGAGTTGGTGTCGCGGTGCGACTGGGAGATGGTTGCCCTGCGGCGCGACTGGGCGGCGGCGGCGGCGGCGTGCTCGCGGTCAATGAGGCCGAGGGCGAGATGTTCGGTCAGCTCGTCCTCCTCGTCGACGTCTGCCTCGTCCGGGATGGGGTCGAGCGAGGGCACTTCGAGAACCGACGACGCCGAGTCGCTCGAGATTGACGCGGCGGATGAAGCGAGTTCTTGCCCGCGAGCAGCCACATCGCCAGAGTTGGCGAGCATGGTCATGTCCAGCGAGCGTCGCAGCGGAGTGCGCGCCAAAGGCGTGGCCTGAGCCGAGTCATCAGCGTCCTCGTCGGCTTCGTCGTCTTCGTCCATGGCGGTGGCCGCCGAGGAAGTAAACTGCGCCGCCACCGCGGACCGCATGATGCGAGAAGCCGACGCCTCGACCAGACGCTCTTCGTCTTCGTCAAGCACGTCGACGGTCGACAGAGCGTCGTCGTCGAGCGCCTCGGCGGCGTTCTGACGCGTAAAGTCGACCGTGTCCGGGTTGGCAGCCACGTGCACCGGCGGTGTCTCCATGACCAAGCTGTCTGCGGCAGCCCCCGGCTTAGCCGAGGTCGACGCGAACGCCTCGGTCGCGCCCGGGAGGGAGATCTTGACGCGCAGGCGGTACTCGACACGCAGCGCCTTGAATGAGAAGCTGGGCACGACGAGGCGCAGTTCCGGTGCCCGGATGAGCTTCTGCTTGAGCGGCGCCGACGAGCCGGCCTTGATCATCTTTTCGTACCGGCCGATGGCAAAGTTGCCCGTGTAGAACTGACGCGCCTTGCCCTGCTCGTAGAAGGGCGGCAGATGGTTGTCGGTCTGGCGCTCCATATTGACGAGACGGATGCGCTCCGACCACGAGTGCGGGCCGCTGAAGCCAGCGAGCTTGTCCGGATCCTCCTTCTCGATCACGAGCGTGCCCAGGCGCGAGTAGGTCATGACGGAGCGGACCAGGCCGAGCTCGACGTCTGGCACGTACGTGTCGACGAGATGCGCGGGCATACGCAGCTCGAGGCTGAAGGGGATCTTGGTCTCCATGTAGAGCGCGGCCATGGCGGGCACCGAGAGGATGGCCTCGAACGAGCCCATGCCGTCCGGCAGCATGCTTTCGAGCGAGTGCGTCAGCCAACCCTTCATGCGGCCATCGACGCCCTCCTTGACATTGATATAGCTCTTGCGTCGCAGTGGCGGCAAGCCTGGTCGCACTGACGCAGGGCGGGCGATGGAGCTAGGCGCAAAGGCAGGCGCGTCTTCGAGAGGCAGCGCGCCGAACACCTCCTGGGTTCGTCGGAAGCCGCCGAGGTCGGGTGCCCACGAGTCTTCGTCGATGGCGTCCTCGCCCTCGCCATCTGCCGAGTGGACAGAGGCGGCGTCGGGGGCGGCGACACGCTCGGTGGACGGCGAGCGGTTGTCGCGCGATGCGACCCTTCGTGCGCGTATGGGCTCGAGCGTCGGCACGGCCAGGCCGGCGGTGCGTGGCGGGTAGGGCTCGACGGCAAACGCCAGAATGATGCGCTCACCTCGCTTGTGTGGCAGCAGTACCGAGCCAAAGCGCTGTCTGCTGACGATGATGTCAATTTCGTACTTGATCTTTGCCATGGGTCGCAGCTTCTGACCGTGGAGCTTCTCCTTGACGTGGCCAAAGAGCTGGTTGGGCCTGGGCGGCGCATAGCGGGTTTCCATGTCGATCGAGGGCGGGAGGTCGATGTACTGCTTTCCGCGCTTGAACGACTTTTTGAGCTTGCTGTCGAGCATGTCGAGTGCCGATGCGTGCAGTTTGAGGGGCAGGACGAAGCTGAATGGGACCGCGAGATTGTTGCGGCGGCCATGGTCGACGAGGCCGGTGGATTCGAGCTCAAAGGAGCCGGACTCCAGGTCGGCCTTGGTAGCGAGGGTCTTTTGTTCGGAGAAGAAGAGAAGCTGGCGTCGAGCAATGCCGTGCTCGTTGTCCATCGAGTAGTAGCTCGAGTCGCCGACGCCAAAGACGCTGGTCTCGAGGTCGCCGCGGATGCGGGCTTTGATGCCGGTGATGTAGCCGCGCTCGGGATCGTTGCGGAGGAGATGGACGGCACCCTTGATCTCGTCGCCGGGACGGTAGGTCTTGTAGTCGAGCGAGTCGGTGGGGCCTTCGAGGAAGGCGATTGTCTGGCACGCATGGCGCGCTGGCGCCGAGGAGAGCGGCTTGACCTTGCCATTGACGTCGATACGGGCGGCGTAGCCGCGGTTGACGGTGCTGGATGTGCTGAACTCGGTGCTGTCGGTCAGGATGGACGCTCGGCAGCTGTCCATGGTAGCGACGCGAGCCAGTGCGGGCCGGCCTGCGAACTCGTTGTTCGTGTGTGCATGCGCCAGCGTATGCGACCGCAGTCGACCCGGCAGGGTGTAAGAGCCGTTCGGAAGGGCGGCGAGGTTCTCGCGGGTGAGAGCGCCAGTGCCGAGCACGGCGCCATCGGAACGGCCGAGTGATGCGCTGGAACTGATGCGGCGAGAAAGGAGTGCACCTCTCTGCATCGGTAGCGCCGACAACTGGTCGTCGGTAGGGGCCATGTGGCGCAGATCAGCCGCAGAGGCACCGCTCACGATCGCCATGGTTGAGAGAGATGCTTAACGAACCTTCGAGACGGTGGATCTCATCACAAGATGTTGGTGAGTGTCGCCGGACCCGAGATGCAATTCGCATGTGTGTCTGCTGCGCGACAGATGCTGTGGGCGGGAGGTAGGGGCAATGGTGGGGAGCGGGAGAGGAGGGTGCGCTGCGGAGACCGGGAGAGATCCGGACGGCGAGGGGGAGGGGAGAATTGACAGCCTTGGGCCTGTGGGGGTGAGCCTCGTTTGGGAGCAGCGACGAAAGCCGGACCGGCGTAGTGAGCCTGTCTCTGGCTCTGGAGCTGGAACCCTGAGTGCTGCCTGGTGCGTCGAAGGCACGAACGAGTCCTATCTTCTCGATCGCGAGCCGCTGCGGGCGAAAGGGGGCCGAAAGTAAGCCACACGGAAGCGCAATTGCGGACCGAGCGGCCAGAGATCCAGATCCGATAACGAGACGGTCGCGCCCATCCCACCGACCTCAACTCCGACACGCCCTGCTCACTGATTGTCGGAGGCCCTGGCGCCGGCCACCTCTCGCGCACACAACCCACGGTCTTACGCATCCCGCAGCCCGTCATCTCCATCCCAGTCATCGCCAACCGGAATCCTAGCCTGGTCTCGCATTGCTGACCAGGAGCAGTGATGACGCGTCGGAGGCTCCGGTTCCGGCTCCGGCTCGACAACGCCGCCGATGCCCAGCCTCAGGGTGACATCGATGTCGAGCTTGGCGGCGTGAATTTTTAGCACGGCGATTACAGAAGCAGCATGCGGCTGGGGCTGTGTGAAATGGGGCGCAGAACGTGGGGAGAGATGCGGCTCCAGCTGCAATTCAACTCAAATCCGATGCACTCGGTCACGCACGGGATGCGGGGCGGAGCAGCCGAAATTCGCATCTTCTGCCAGCCTCATGCGGCGCTGAAGCGTCCCAATTTTGCAGTCACGAGAGAAGGCGGTACCACCGGCAACCTGTGGTCTGGGCTTCATTGCGGGTCCGTGGCCCACCATTGTCGCGGCTCCTCTAGACGGCTCGTTAGATTGCGCCATGAATCGCGTCTCGACTGTCGGCACTCTTGTGCCATCGCTGTTCGGAAGGACGCGGGAAAAGGCGTGCCGAGATGCCCGCGGGGGGCCGCATAGACCAGCAACTGCAGTGCAGAATCGGACGTTGCGCTCCGGCTGTGCTCACTCGTGGCCCACCCCCTGCAGCACGGCTCTCAACTGCCGACACCGCCTTCCATCGGAAAGACTTCCCCGACAGCCTCCTCGTATCACCACTGAGACTGCCAACGGCATTCGATACGAGCCAGCTTCGTGTTGGAGATGCTTCTTTTCCACCGGCCAAGTGACGCGTCAGAGCTGCTCGGCTAAAGCGAATCTAAGGGGGCATCCTTCGCCAGAGTTCGGCTCGGCCCGATCCTCGTAGCGCTGACAATCAGCGCGTCTGAACCTGTTGACATCATCGCTGCCGCAATAGCGGCTCGCAATCACTCGCATCGCAAAGCTACCGTAGCAGACCTGTGACGGAGCGCAGCGACACCGAGATCTCCGTCATTGCGACATGGCACCTTCTATGCACTCACGGCTCGACACGACATCCCCCGCCAGACAACAGCCGGCCGGCGATCTCTTCCCGTTCAGCCGGCCGGCAATCTCTTCCACGAGCTTCACCGACAGCCCTCGATCTCGTCGCCTTTCTTCCAGTCAGTCAATGATAGACGGAACCACGTGAACATTTATTGCTGAAGGGCCGAAGGGGCATCACATGGCGTACTTCTCTTTGCCGATGATGCGGACTCGGTCGGACTTGAGAAAGTCGCTGATGCGGTTGCATCCGAACACCGACACCTTCTTGAGGTTGGGCAGGTTGCGGCAGATGCGGTCCAGGCTCTCGTCGTCGAGCGCGCGCACAAACGACAGGTCCAGCAGCTCCAGCTTGGGCAGATTCTTGGCATTGCCCAGCGTCTCGAGCCCCTTGTCCGTGATGCCGTCGACCGAGTTGAGCGACAGCTCCACCAGCTCGGGGCCCGAGTGCGTCAACAACGGCTCCATCAAGCCGTCATCCAGCTTGAGCATGCGATCCAGGTGTACGTGCGACAAGCCAGCGACGCCGTCGCGCGTCCAATCGGCAAACATGTCGGACACCGTGGCCGCCTCGACCTTTTCGCATCCGATCAGACGCAGTGCCTTGAGCTGGCGGCAGTGCGGCAGCACGCCTTCCTTCACCACCCGATCCGTCAGATCGATGTTCTTCGACACGTCCAGATACGCCAGGTTCTTGCCGATCGCCTGGAGCAAGCTCACCACCTCGTCGTCCTCCAGCGACTTGGGCGGGATGCCCGGCGCCGACACGCCCGGGTCCGATACGTCGAGGTACGTTAGTTGCTCACCGTACGCCTCCAGGGGCTTGAGCATCGTCTTGTCCAGGGGTCCAATCTGCGCCAACCCAAGCTCCCGTAGGTTGGGGCAGTGCTTGACCATCGACTCGGCACACGACAGATCGAAGCGCGGCGATTCGCGGATCTTGAAGCTCTCCAGGCGCGGGCCGAGCGCCTCAAAGAAGCGATGCCACGCCTCCTTGCGCACCAGGAAAGGCCCGTACAGCTCGACGCTCTTGAGCTTGGTCAGCTTCTTGGACCACGCGTCGATGGCATCGTTGTCGAGCATGCCGCAAAGCTGTAGGTTGATGTGCTCCAGATTGGGCGCAAACGTGGCGAGACTCTGCAGCGAGTCGCTGTCGAGCTTGCTGCAGTCGTACAGCGAGAGCGTGGTGATGCTGGGTGAAATGAAGAGCTGCAGCGTCTTGGGGTTGAGACTGCGGTTCTTGGAGATCGACTTGCTGATGGCGTCGATGTTGTTGACGCCGATGTGGCCGAGCGCCTCGACATCCTCAATGTGTCGACTAATGATGTCGATGCAGTAGGTCTGCAGGCTTGGGAAGCTCTGGCGCAGTCCGTCCTGCGGCCCTTTGCGGCGGGTCTGCTTCTTCTTGGCTGCAGGTTTGGCCTTGACGTCGCCAGCAGCCCCGGGTCCCTTGTATAAAGGACCGCATCGATGGCACAGAGGGCCCTTGTCGGCCATCTTGGTGTACTGCGTGATGGTGAACTTCATCTTGCACATGCCGCAGTAGGCGATGCTTCCAGGCTTGCGGCTGGCATATGAAAAGTTGGCGCGCGAGCTGCTGGCCTGCGGAAGGCCGAGCGAGTCCTCCCACTCTGCAGGCGCGGGGCCCTTGCTGCGGCCCTTTTTCTTGGGATCAAAGTCCTCGTCATCGTCGTCCTCCTTCTTCGACTTCTTCTTCTTGCCCTTGCCGTTCGCGTTGCCATTGGCGGTGCTAGGCTCGAGAATTGGTTCGTCTTCTAGAGCACGTCGCTTGCCGTTCGCTCGTGTCTGCCTGCTCGAGCTGGACGCAGTTGGAGTGGCCGCAGCTTCGGGCAGATCGTCGTCGGTCTCGTCGTCCTCTTCGAAGTTCATCGAGCTGCCGTTGCGGGCGAGACGGCGTCGAGAGGCCGCAGCAATCGCAGCAGTAGCTCGCGCAGTGTCAGCTGGGGATGGGGATTGCGTCTGGCCCTGCTCTTGAGCCTGAGCCTGCTCTTGTTCAGCTTCGTCGCGGCGACGGAATCGATTCGCGTTGCGAGCCGTGATGCCTCGTTCCCTCAGGAACTCGGTCAGCGCCGACGTGGGGCCGCGAACGTTCGACATAACTATCAAGCGGGTAGCTCGTGTGTATGTTCTTGCTGATCGTAGGTGAGGAGGGTGTATGCGCCGAGGGGCGACGCCTGGGATGAGGAGGAAGGGAGGGTGCGAACAGGGTCCGGTGGCAAAATCCAGAGCTCTGGGAACAAAGCGCGAACGACAGGGCTGAGTCGTGATTTCAAGAAGAATTCGGATTCTGAGTTCCCATCACTCTACGGCGGCAGGCCTCCACCTCCAAGCGTGGGCATGCAGAGAGGCTGAGATTGGACTTTTGACATGCACCCTGCCCGACCCTGCGTGGCCGTGCAGCTAAGTTACTGCGCAGCACAGAAAGCTTTCATAATGCAGATTCGAGGTGTACGCTAAACAATACATACAAGTAGCGACGCAGGCCATCAATCAAAGATGGCGAAGACGGGACGGGTCTCGATATTACTGTAGAGCACGGGTGTAGTTCGACGGGAAAATGCCCGTGCGGCCAGCCAAGGTGCCGCGCCACCACATCTCGTCTTCCTTGCCATTGACCTGAATGATGTCTCCCGTCTTGAAGCCAAGGTCGTCGGCCTCCTGGCCATGGAAGTCGTAAAGCGCCTCAACGCGAGCAGGAAGCGTCGAACCGGCGCTGGCACTGCCAGCGCTGTCTGCCTGATTGGAGTCGGCGTACTGCTGCTGCAGTCGCGCCTTCTCTTGTTCGGCAGTCTCGTACTGTGGGATGCCAGCACCGGAGGCGTCCGATGGGTGCGCAAAGGGATTGGGCGGGGCATCTCCCCTTCTTGCGTGCGAAGAATCAGCGGGCGCAGCGTCGCTCAACTCTTTGCCCCCATGAGCATTTACGGGGGCGTTGGCGAACTCGTAGTCCGGTGGCAGGTCGTCATAGGGCTGAGCTGCCGGAGCCGAAGCTGCTGCCGAGCTGGAAGAAGAGGCGGAAGCCTGGCTTCCTGGAGTGGGTGGCACTCGGCGCGAAGAGATGCTGCCCACCGGAGCAGACGATGCCGCGGCGGCGCCATATTGTTGGTTCTCATGTTCGGCATAGGCGCTGGCATCCTTCATGTCCTGTTCGCTTAGCTCGAGGTCTCCTGGCGTAGTGCCCTCCGGAATGCGGTCGGTGCCCATGACTTCGGACCGGCCTTCTGCTGCATAGATCGTCTGCCACAGAGGCATGACCGCGCGCGGTGCAGGGGCGCGCAGCTGGCCAGAGAGGATGTTGTCGGCCGTGATGCCGGGCGAGTTGTAGAAGCGGCCGTTCTCGTCGTCGCGCTTGAGGATGATGTTTCCGTCGAGCTGAATACCAGCGTAGAAGCCCTTGGACTTGACGTAGGACCAGCAGGGGGCTGCCTCTACACCGGAATCGAGCATCCTACCGTTTCCGACCGGTCCGCAAGCCACGGAAAGCTCTCCGCCCAGGCTGAACTTGGGATGCTTGAATGCATCCACGGCCTTCTGGTTGCGCAGGACGAGCACAACATCGTAGATATCGAGCCCAATGAGCAGTCCGTATCCGATGGTGTGAACCAGCAGCCCAGAAGGCGGCGACCACGAGCCATCGGGGAGCCTCGACAGCACGACTCCCGATCCACTTGCACCACTGAAGCCGAAACCTGTCCGGAAGACGGTGAAGATGGCCAGGCCTTGTGCTTTCTGGAGGACCTTTGGCGGGATCCTGCGGATGACCTTCTGTGTCTTGCGGTTGTCATACTTGTGGGGGTCTTTGATCTTCTTTCCATTGGCGTCGTACTTTGGGCCCGAGGGCGGGATGACGGCCGACTGGTCGCTAAGCCCGTCGGCATTGTTGGCATCCACCTCGACAGAGGCACCCTTGGTGGTGAAGGTTCGCAGGATACGAGCGGCCTTGTCGCACTCGAGCGCGAGCTCCGTGGGCCAGAAGGATTCGGCGCCGAACTTGCCTGCGGTGCGGTTGGTCCAGTTTCCCACGGGCGCAAGCGCATTCCACGCGCCCGTCTCGACCTTCTTGTAGCCCTGCTTGAGCTTGTCCCACTTGGGATCGTCAGTCTTGAGCGCCTTTTTCAGATCGATCGGCATGTCTGCTTGGGGAGGTGGGTTGGATTGATGGTAGGGATGGCGGTCGAAGGGCAAGAAGGGCGTTCCGGAGAGGGCTCATTCACACCATCAGAGCTCAGAGCGTGCACAGCCTCCACTTCTGGTCCGGCCTCTTGGTCCGACGGACCTTTCCCGGAGCTTATTTTTTTGGTCTGACTTGTGGCGGCAATTTTTCCCAGGAGCTCAACCAGGACCCGCGCTCGTCGTACGAGCTGGCTCAGCTGGTGCAAAGAAACGGAAGAGGATACACGAGTGAGGTGAGAAGGAACGTGAAGGCTGCGAATCCATTGTCCTAGCGTCAATGAAATGATGAGAGTGAGACATGCGTGCAAACGAGGGGCGGGGTATCGCCGGGCTACAGGCCAATCTTCTTCTGGCGGTAGTACCATCGGATGCGGTCGCGCTGCCACCAACTGAGGGCACCTGCAGCCGCAAAGACGACGACGATGACGACGACGGCGATGGCGATCTGTGCGCCCTGGCTCAAGCCGCCCTTCTTGCGAGCCGGATAGGCGGCATCGGTGGGACGGCCCGAGGCCACATTGGCGGCGCCGGTCAGAGTGGCGAAGGGCGGGTCCTTGGTAACGTTCCTGGCAATACGCGACACGGCGGCAGCAATGAGCGGCGCGTTGTAGTCGAGGGCGATCTCGGTCTGCGGCCAGTCGTCACGAATGTCAAAGAAGCGGTCCTGTTTGTCCGGCCCACCGGGGACTGCGCCGTAGAGCACGTGCAGCTCTTGAGGCGGGCTGGTGTTGATGTTGGTGATGTCGTTGCCTCCCGCAGCCATGGCCGAGTGCGGATTCTGCGGGCTGTTGGGATGCTGGCCGACGATGAAGGGGCCGTTGTAGTTGTTGTCGCCGAGGAGATAGTCGACCTGCGAGTCGGCGAGCGAACGGTACGCCGAGTTCTTTGCGGACGTGGTGGCAAAGCCCGAGTAGAGATCGGCGATGAAGGCGGCGTTGAGGGCAGGGTTCAAGCTGGCCGCGTCACTGTCGCCTGCCCACCAGTAGAGACCGCCTTTGGTCTGGCTGACGTACTGCATCTTGCCCGAGGTGAGACGATCAAAGTACGACTCGGCATCGTTCTGGAAGCGGCTCATCTGAAGACCGAACGAGGCATTGTGCTGTGCCAGCTGGGTGGCGAGCACGGGCAGTGCTGCGACTTTGCGGTCCCAGTTGAGGGCAGAGTTGACGCTTGCGAAGGCGTTGGTGCCATTGGGATAAAAGACGAGGCCCTGGTTGGCGTAGCTTGCATCCGCCTTGGCCAGCGCCATCCACAGACCCGCAAAGGCAAGGTCATCCTCGTAGTCGCTCGAGGGATAGCTCTGACCGGCGGTGGGTGCAGCGGTGTTGTAGACCTGCTTGGGCGAGCTGTTGACGGCCAGGTCCCAGAGGCCTTCGGCGTGTCGGAGGAGCGCTTCCGAGTAGGTTCGGTTGTGGATGCTGGCTACACCTCCAAGCTGAGCACCACCCGTGCTGGTGGGCAGCGAGGCGCCTCGCTCGCCGTACAGATACGCGGATGCCGCAAAGGCTGCAGCACACGAAGCGAAGGCATCTGTGCCGGGATTTTGGCGCGTGATGCTGTAGGATGGACGAGGACCGGGGATGTCTTGATCGCCGCCCCAGTACTGGTCGTCCGTGCTAGGATTGCCCACGAGGACCCAAAGCGTGTCTGCGTCCGAGTGTGCTTTGGAGAGCCAATCGAGGCCCCAGCGCAGCGTCGAGTCGAGGTAGGCGTCCTGCGAGCTCCTCTCGTATGCGGAGCCGAAGCTGAGGGCGCTCCAGGCCAGCGAGGTGAGTGTCCAGCAGAAAGGGTAGGTGGCCTTGATGTAGTCGCCTGCGTCGTAAAAGCCTCCGGAGAGATCGGTGTTGTTGAGCGATCCGTCGTTCTCGCAGCTGCTGTTCCTCCAGGAGACGCGGTTGTCGGCGGGAAGCGCGCCGCTCCTCTGAGCATCGTAGAACCAGAGAGCATTGCCGAGCAGATCTGCGTACTGCGGGTTCACGCCGTTCGTGAGATTGGACTGCTGCGAGACCGCGCCGCGCGACGCTGGCGGAGGTTGATAGACCTGCTGCGGGGTGATCTGGGCCCAAGCGCCGCTCGAGGCGAGGTGCAAGAGCGCCAGCAGCGGCCCTGCTGATGATGCGGCGGTGGATCGCATCGTTGAGGTCAGCCTTGTGCTGGGAGAAGGATGGTGGTAGCAAAAACAAGCTAACGAGAGAAGGCAGCCGACAACGGCATGGCGGCGACGAGGACAGGCTCAGGAGGGGCGAGGCCGAGGGTCAAGGGGAGCTTGCTGGAAACGGAACGCTGGGCAACAGCAGCAGCGTAGGAGTTTGAAAGGGTCTGGGCTTTGGCCGAGAACGAACCTCCGGCTCGGCACAGTCAAGAGCGAAATCACAAAGCACACCGCGTTCAGTGCCGCCCAAGGCACCACAGCATAGGTACGAGCGTCAGTCATCTCCTGCAGCGTTCGGGTGTTGGACGCGCGAAGGACGAAGGGCTCGTGGCTCGTGGCTCGAGGCTCGAGGCTCGAGGCTCACGGTTGGCTGAAGCGGATGTCATGCATCGAGACAGTCAGGCACGTTGCTTTGCGAGGAAGCTTCCAAACGAGCGCCGGATCGACAGGGCAGTGCATCACGGCACGCTGCGACTGAGCCCAGCACGTCGTCGCATTCCCGCTGCCAGCGCCGAGGCATTCCGCTCGACTTGAATGAACCCTGCAGTGGTGGCCTATCTAGGCCAATTCAGCTTTGTTCGCGGCAAAATCTGCCTCGCAGGAAAAACACAACTTTGCTATGCGAGACCATCGTACACCTAACAGATGTATGCTTTTTCGATTTTTCCTCTGTCTTGCTGGGTGGAGCAAGCCGAGTTCCGCGCCATCATCACCTTCACCACGCTCTCCCAGCTTGTCTAGCTTGTCCAGCAGCAGTACTCGAAGGGACTTCAGTGTCCTCGCGCTCGCTGCCGCGATGGGTCTGCTCACCATCATCCGCAAGACCAAGTTGCGCTCGCACGAGTTCCGCTTCCTCTTTCTCGGCCTCGACAACGCAGGCAAGACGACCATCCTCAAGAAGCTGCAGAACAAGCCGCAGGACGAGATCGAAGCTATCTCGCCCACACTTGGCTTCTCTATCCAGACCTTCCAGTACGGTACTTACCACCTCAACGTGTGGGATATCGGCGGCCAGAAGAGCCTGCGGCCGTACTGGAAGAACTACTTTGAAAAGACGGATGCCATCATCTGGGTCGTCGATTCCTCCGACACCGCCCGCCTCACCGACTGCAAGCTCGAGCTCGACAATCTGCTCAAGGAGGAGCGACTGCACGGTGCAACCATCCTGATCTTTGCCAACAAGCAGGACATTCCAGGGGCACTCTCAGCCGAACAGATCAAGAAGCATCTCGAGCTCGACAATGTCTCGTCGCACAGCTGGAGGATCCAGCCTTGCAGCGCGTACACGGGAGACCATCTGGTAGATGGACTCGACTGGACCGTCAAGGACGTTGCAGATCGCATCTACTACCACGTCGATGCCAAGTCTGACTCCAACCAGCCGCCATCCACAGCGAGCTTGTCCGCGACGTAGCGCACGCCTCAATGGAGCAGCTTCACGAGGTATGCCTTGCTTCAAATTTGGCGTTACTGTCTACACTTGTACAACGACGCGACGAGCGCGGTTCTCCTTCTGGTCCTTCACAGCCACCGGAGCACCGCCATCTGAAGCATCGTTGTCGAGGGATGGCTCATCAAGCCTTGGCGACTTGGGCTGCACCTTGGGCCGCGCTCGAATCGGCGGCCGCTCTTTCTCCCACCGTTCGCGGCCCCACGCCCACATGGCATCGAGCACCAGCATGCCGCCGCCCAACGCCCACACCAGCGTGATGGCATAGAAGAAGTTGGCGTTCGCCGAGCCCGCCGTGAGCCACAGGTGGTGGAACGCCGGCGAGAGGCAAGTGCAGTACGTATAGGTCAGCGTCGACACCAGCGGGTAGCGCATATCTGCAAGTCAATCGATGGCAGGAAGCAGAGTCAGCATACTTGAACCTCTACCGTCGACAGACCGCTCGAATCCGACTTACATTCGAGAATCTGGCTGTGCAAGCTTAGCAGCGCCAGGAAGACGGCGTGGTCACCGAGCGTAGGATAGCTCTTGAACACGGCGATCACACCGCTCATGAGCGTGATGCCGAAGAGCGGATCTTGCCTGTATTTGCCAAAGCCACGGTCGCACCAATGTCACGTCAGTATACCCATCGTTGTGCGGGAACCGGTCCGTTGATGGGACGCACCTATACTTGATCGAGAACGGCAGCACGTAGCACGCCAGATGCACGTTGAAGGTGAGCAGGAAAAAGTCGCGGAAGTGGTCAAAGATCTCCATAAAGAAGTACCACCAGAGGCCGAGGTTTGGGGTGAGATCGGTCGCGAGCAATACCGAGCCGTACACCTGCTCGGTCCACGCCCAACCTTCTTCCAGCGGCACCTGCATGACCGCAGCGATGTTGCTGACAAGAGCGCGAATGGAAGCGTCGCCTGGACTAAGAGCGATGGCTCGAGAAAGCCACAGGCCGCCCGCGAGCGCCGCGGGCATGAGCACGACGCACTTGAACACCATGAAGCGCTGGTATAGAGAGCAAGAACCGAGGGTAAGTCAGGTGCAGATTTGGGCATGGGACGGAGATTCAACGTGCTTACCTTGGCGGATCGCACGCGGTCGACGAGGAAGCCGAGCTGGCGCGACGATTTGGCCGTCGAGCTGGCGGCACTGCCGATGCGAGCCACCTCGCGTTCGTAGACGCGCTCGCCGGCCCTTCGACGCGCGAGCTGGATCAGCATGGGCAGCAGCAATGCCGGATACAAGCTGATCAGGGATGAGAAGGCCCAATGCAAAGCGAGCGAAACGGCCGAGCCTGTACAATCACAACACAGAGACTCGTCAGCCAACAGGTCGTCCGTGTATTTGCAGCTCGACACGAGCATACTCACCGGCCATAGCGGCGTGGATAGTCGCAAGTAGAGCCACGACCTCGAGGGCGACTGTGCTTCTTGCCAAGCAGGTCGCGAGGGTATACGGATTGAAGAGGAACAGTGCCGCAACCTTGACGGCTCGGCTCTGATCCCAGGACCACAGATGCGTCTTGCGGGCCCACAATGCCACTTCGCGCGTGAGGCAGATTCGGAAGAGTAGCCATCCCGCGACCACATCTGCTGCAGTCCATATAAGCGCGGTTGGCAGCACGTCATCGGAGCGCTGCATACGCTGTAGCGCGCTGTTCAGGAGGGGCAGGAGGAGCGGCGAGTGATGGACTGTTCCTGCCGAGTAAGGGTCTGGGATGCCTCCGGACGCGGTGCCTGGACTCGGCGACGGCGGGCGGTGGAAGAGGTAGTGTGTCTCCCTGAGCGCACGCAGACTGCTGAACGGCGTGCTGAGCTCCGGTCTATCCTCCAAGACCTGCGGCGTCGAAGTGTAGATAAAGATGCCAAGTCGAAGCGCAGCCGCGCAAAGAAGGACGAGATAGAGTGCCGGTCGAGACGGCTCCAGTGCCCGCGCAGTCATGACTTTAGCCGTGCCAGCCGCACGAGCCGGCGCTGTCGAGCCCATGTTGTATGCTCTGGCGATCCGAGCGATGCACTGCGGGGGATGCGATGGTGGAAGCGTGCAAAGGCGCCGTTGAAATGTGTTGGTCTTCCAACCACTTTTTGACTTCTGGCGCGTGTTGATCTTCGACTTGGCTCGAGAGCGCCTCCGGCACCCGAACTCTTAAACGCGAGTCTTCCGCACCGCAACCTTGGTCCAACAGAGAGTTCAACGCTCGCAGATCCAGCACAAAGAGCGTTGAAGCACAGCCAGTCAGTTGTTGCACACAGACAAGGTCGCTATTTCGCATTCGTTGATCGAACAAAGGATGCATTGCTTTGATTCATGGCTGTGATCCTGACCCATAGCATGCGAGATGAAGCTAGTGTCAGCGGCCGTTCTTCGTGACAATAAGCCAGATAGCACAACACGATCTGTCGACAATCAGCATTGCCTTTTACTCTTTCGCAGGGCCAGCCGGTCCGAATGGACCAAGGCAGAGCCCCGCTCGACACGTGCATCGTGCTCGAACTCACAGAGAGTCCAGCCGTTGCTTCCAGCATTGTGCATAGTTGTGTTCATCACCATTCCAAACGAGCCCGGACGCATCGGCTATGAACACTGTACCTACACTTACATAGATTCCAACTGAGCTGTTCAGGGCGACCAGCTGGAGGCCGCGACTCAATCAAAGCCTGCTGGTCTGTGGTCGGGTGCGTCCAACAACGTAGCGGAAGGGAAAAGGAAGAGATGTCGGGACATTCGGTCATCCCCAAATCATGGGCAGCAACGCTCGTGTAGAGGGCGCCTCCTGACGATGGTTTTAAAGTCCTGCAAAAGATTGATCTCCCGCAACTAGCCTCGTACGTGAACATGATCCTCACCCGACCAGCCTCTTAACTGCCGCAAGACCGAGCCCACCGAAGCTCACGAAGAGCCTCAAAGTGGATCCGAATCTCGCGTGCAGATTTTGTGACGAGGCTAGCCAGGCCTCGGCCTCGATAGAAGCCAAGGGATATGTCACCGAGCTTGCGGTTTGTGGAAAGAAAGGAAGGGGATTCGAGGTGGGGCTGGGGAACGGACAAGGGAGACGAACTTCAACTCGTAACTGGGACGGAGTGGGTGGGAACTGAAAGAGAGGGTAGCCAGCAAGATTTTGCCTTGCTGCAGGGCTGTCAAAGATGGGATGGCGTTGGGGTCGAATGAAACGATGCTGAGGCGAGCTGCGACCCGACGATCATGGAAGCGATGTTTTGGTCAGCTCCTTCGGTCCACGCTGCACAGTCCTAGGATGATGCCGGAATCGCAGCGCGATGGAGCGCGCCGATGCCCGAAGTGCACGATGTCAGAAAGCCTTATGCTTGAACGAGGAGGTGGTAGTCGGGATGCACGACGGAGCCAGCTCGGGGAGCAGGGAAAAGTCGAACAAAAAACGTCGAGCTGCGGATCAGGAAGAAATGGAAAATCCGCACTTGCTGCTCGGCTTCTCGCACGGAATCTTTTCCAGCAGCGAACCTCCACCTGCAAGTGCAGCTGAGCAGGGTCCAAGTGTCCAACGGCTCTGGCGTGGGTCACTTCTATCCTTCTCCTTCATCCACCAGCCCGTCAACCGCGTCCGGAGTCCTCTCTTCCCCGCGAGTCTGCCAGGACCCCCGCTACTCCCCAAGATGGCATCCATGCGGAGAACAGGCACAGGCAACGGGCGCCCTTCAGGCTCGTCGGTCACATCGTCGAGGCCAGGCGGACCATCTCGTCCAGCTCCTAGCTCCACTGCGGGTCCGCGCGCCATCTTTGACAAGTCACGCCGCATCGAAGAGTTCTCTTCTTCCGACGACAAGTGTCCACAATGCAAGACGGATCGATACCTTAATCCGCGCCTTCGGCTGCTGGTCAGCCCGTGCTATCACAAGATGTGCGAATCCTGCATCGATCGCATCTTCTCGCTCGGACCGGCACCTTGTCCCGAATGCGGCAAGAAGGTGTCCAAGAATCAGTTTACCGCTCAGACCTTCCAGGATCTCGGTGTGGAAAGGGAGGTCGCTGTGCGTCGCACCGTAGCCAAGCTGTTCAACCGTCGCGAAGACGATTTTATCGACCTCAAGGCGTACAACGACTATCTCGAAGAAGTCGAAGAGATCACGTTCAACCTTATCCACGAAATCGACCTTCCTCGTACGAATGCTAAGCTGGAGCAGTACCAGGCAGCGCATCGATCGGCGATTGCGAACTCTGCGAATCTGTCGCAGCAGGAGTCCGATAGGCAGGCACGGATGGACGAGCAGGAAAAGCTCGCCAAGAAGGCGCGCGCGGACCGGCTGCGTCAGGAGGAAGAGAAGGAGCGCGAGGAGCGCGAACGCGAACGTATCGAGATGATGCGCCAGCTCGAAGGTGGCGGTGACCCGGACGCAATCCTGGAGAAGCAGCGCCAGAAGCGCAAGGAACGCGAGGAGCGCCAGCGCCTGCAGGAGCTCGAAGCGCGGCGGCGCGAAAAAGAGGCTGCACAAGCCGCGGCCAACGGTGCTGGAGGTGCTGGTGATGCTGTTGACCGTCGACCTTGGACTGTCGACATGCTGCTGGACTTTGAGGGGCCTATGGCGTACTTGGACGATGCGAGCGCGCTCTTCGACGTGCGCAAGGCGCCAACGGCTCTCGGTGGCCTCGAGGGAGTCAGAGGAGTGTCGGGCTACGAGGATCCTTGGCTCAAACCAGCGTGGATCACCAAAGAGCAGATCGCACGCTATCGCGCCGGCGGCTTCGACTGGGAGCGTCAGGTGTGGACGCGTGGTCTCAGCGCCGCATGCCAAGGTATCGGCGCATCACCCCTCACCGGCGCACCAGAGCAAGACGCACTCCCAAGTATGGAAGTCGACGCATAAGTTCAGATGCTCCACATGCTCGAATCATATTCACTGATGGCGCATTGTATACAATCCGCAATCTGAGATCGCGCGTGGCAACGGCACCGACACGTGAGTGACTGTATTGGGGGTATCAGACGTCTTTGCGGTCCTCAAGCTTGTCCTTGACAACGTCCTTGGCGCCAGCAACCGCGGAGAAGCTGCGTACGGTGAGCGAGCAGCAAAGATTATGTCAGTGGGAGTGAGCGGAGAAGGAGTGCGAGCACGAGCAAAGCCTACCCCGAAGCGCCGGTCTCGTTGTCGGCGTTCTGCATGCCCTGGCCCTGGTCGAAGTCGGTCTGGCCAGACTGGTGCAGCTCGGAAGATTGCTGAAGCTGACCCTGGTCCTTCTGAAGCTGGCCGGCTGCCTTTTTGGCGCTGGCGGTATCGGCGGATGACATGATGAGGCTAGTGATGGTTTTGGTGTTGGCCAGGCTAGTGTGAATGGGGTCTATCGGAGGCTGTGGCTAAGCGCCATCATAGAACTCATGTATATATACGGCCTCTTGCTCGAAAGAGTTCGGATGGGAAGAGGGCCACCGATGGAATGACGCAGCCAAAGGGTCTGTCTGACTTAACACGACCCTCACTCCGCAAGCCTGCCGCTCGCCGTCTCTCATCGGATCGCAACACTTTCTGCCGCCTTGGCTATCTTCATTGGATTGATACAGTATCAAGCACGACAATCGTGTCGTTGGTCGTGTGCCTCTGCACCAGTGCAATATGCTGCATCGATGTGCGGGTATGAGCTCAGCCTTGTAGCGTCACAGCGTGGAAGAGTCTGGAGGGAGCTGTCAAAATCTCACATCTGGAAAGCTGCGCGGAGGGTGTCTCAAAGCAAGGAGAGGCGTTGAGCGCCTTCTGAGGTCTGGCTGAGACCTGCGACTTGATTCAGAGTGCGGTGGGTGAGGGAGTGGGTGAGTGAGCACGCAGCAGAGCAGCAGCGTTGAAAGCGACTCAACGCGCTGCATCTGCTTTGCTCGAGTCAGGCTGTCTGAGGCAGGTCCCCACACCTCTGCTGCACTGCTGCTGCTGCACGACTGCTGCTTCTGCACTGCTGTGGAGAGGCGGTATGATGCATGTCACCTTTCGCTGCACTGCACCGAGAAAATGGGCGGTTCAAAACCAACTTTGGCAGTAAATTCAGCCAAAATATGGCCCACAGCAGCGCTGCACCAGCTGCAAAGCCTCGCGAGTGCCTGAAGGCGCTGAGCATTGGCCAAGGCGCTGCTGCTGCTGCTGCTGCTGCTGCACCTGATTGCTGTGTGCTTCTGCCTGTTGCTGCCGGCTGCTGCCTCGATTCTCCCGCGTTGCAGCTGAGCTTGGTTCGGCCTCGTCTGCCTCGCATCGTACCTTCGCACCGACCGCCTTCTACCAACCTTGTTGCTTCTTCACCAACTTCGATCCCCCTTTTTGCCTTCACACGCTTGGCCCAGCATTGGCTCAGCACTGGCTTGTCTTCAGTTCCGGCTTGCTGCGTACGAGCCTCTTCTCGATCTCGCCTCGATTCAACTGCCAAGAGCGCCGCCCCGCCTGCTCGCTGTTCAGCTACCTCAGCACACCCGCATCTCCCGGTCCGCCCTTTGCCAGCAGCTCGTCTCGAATACAGCGGAACTAATCCTCGACAGCACAGAAAGCGCCTCGCAATCACACCCTACGATTGCGATCTCAAGCTCGCTATCGTCCAAACATCCATGTGTTGCGACGCAACTCATCTCTTCTTCCTACCTTTGTGACACCGCCTAGCTCTGGACCGGCCATGGACTTCTAAGCATCTCCGATTCATCGAGCAGTAGGCGGGCCTCCATCTCGATCCCATCGCATCCACCGATACCCTTCACATTGCCGACGCCCCTCGGTTCTGCCTCGTCTTTGCTACCCGATCCGCACGATCACCACCTCTTTGATTCCCAGCCAACCTGGCCAAAGCGCAAGCCGACAGCCGTCAGTACCATTCACAGGTCCCAATCCTCATCTTGTCTCGCACTCGACCCTCCCTACCTGCCACAATCATCGCTTAACGTGCAATCATGGGAAACGCCAACTCCACCCCTGCCAAGGCAGGCGAAGCCTCTACGGGCAGTTCCACCGATGCATCTTTCGACCCTGCCATCAAGCGATACCACAGCACTCAAATTGGGCAGGGACAACCCCCTCATCCCTCCATCGCAACGCCCGGCGCTGCCGCACGCCACGTCGCAGACCGCCCGAGCTCGGGATCCTCACGTCTGGGCAGATCGGGCTCCTTTTTCGGCCGTGCCAGCAGTCACGATGGTGCATCAACGCCACAGCGCGGCCGCAGCCGTAGTGGCAGTCTCACAGGCTTTCTCGCCGGACAACGAAGAGGATCTGCAACCGCTGCCATGATCGCGCCAGATGCGCCGGCTGCTGCTGCTGCTGCTGCTGCTGCTGCCGCCGCCGCGGGCTCATCCGCTCGCTCACCATCCGCCTCCTCGCCGCTCGCCAGGGACCAACCCAACCACTTTGCCGCCTATCAGATCTCCAACCCATCCGATGGCTCGAGCATCGAGACCGCCATTCGTTCCAATCCACGCACCCGCCGTCTTACCGAGGGTCTCAACCTTCCACCCTCCCCCGGAGGCTTTGATCCGCACAACTTCGTATCGCCCTACCCAAGCCCTTCCGTCGCCACCCACGCCCACTATGCCGCTGGCTTGCCCAGCCATCATGCTTCCGTCGGTGTCTCGAGCGGCTTGCGCGTATCATCAACAGGCAGCGAGGTCTGTGCCGTTCCCGCCATGATTTCCAAGGGCTCGGAACCGCAACAGGTTCCCGGAACCACAGCACGAGCGCCCACCCGCCATCCGCTCTTTGGCTTGGGTGGCACCAGCCTTTTCCCCAACGTCGGCACCAGCCTAGGCACCAATCCCGCAACATCTCCGCCCATCGGAGGCTCGAGCCCCGTTTTGTCGTCCCAGCCCTTGAATCTCGCCGATGCAGGCGACGATGGCGAGCCTACAGGACGACCTCCTGCGGCACTCCCCTCTTATCTCAAGATTCCAACCGCCATCCCCAGCTCGCACGTCTCGCCCAACTCTCCTCCGGCCAGCATCTATTCACAGCACTCCGACCACGTACACTCGTCATCGGTCCGCCATCGCCAGCGCTCGCAGTCTCCATCTTTACAGGTACCCGTGGACGACACCTTGCCTTCCCATGTCGTCGGTGGAGCAGCTACAGCAGCAGCTGTGCTCAACACTGAGGACGTCGTCATCCCTCCCGGAATCGCTAGCAAGGCAAGCTCGCCCATTGAAGGACGCGGCGCTTTCTTTGGCCAGCGCAACGACATCACCAGCAAGGACGAGCATGTGTCATCCGAGATCAGCGTCGAAGAAGCACGTGCGGCAGGCATCGATGTGACCGACTTGCCCAGCAGCCCATTACAGCGTGATGACGAATCCGCAGTCGCAGATGCGGATGCAGAGTCTAGCTCAGCAGCAGCCGGCGACGACAATGAGCGACAACCACGAGCGCTTCAACGATCCGCGGACACATCTCACACCTCTGCCGACGGTACATCTCGCACTCCCACACCCAAACCTCATGGTCACGGACCGAGAACCCTTACGCCCACCGGAAACAGAACGGCCGGCGGCCTCCGCTCCCTCTCGCCAGCATCTGGCCCGTCGACCTCCATCGGCCCGCCTTCTCAACCAATCTCCACCAAGCGCTCGCATGTCGATGTGCAGACCGGTGGCGAAAGCGGGTACAACACGCCGCTCCTGCCACCAGGCTTAACGTCGGCTCCCCCCAGTGCCTCGGTTCCGGGCGTCACGCCTCTGACCCAGACCACAGCAGCCTCTCCCTCCCAGAAGCGAGAAAATGTCGTTGCCACTGACGGCCCGCGCACACCCACCGTCGCCGGTTTCACCAGCGCTTCGAGCCAGCCTTCGACTCCCATCAGCGCCAAGACACCCGGCGGCCACACAAATGACCAACACGCACACGCTTCGCACGCTTCTGCGGCGCAGCACCAGACGCCGCTGATGCCGATCGTGTTGACGTGGCGAGCGGGCGGGCGCGAGGTGTTTGTGACGGGCACGTTCGCCAACGAGTGGCGATCCAAGATTCTCCTGCACAAGTCGAAGCGCGACCACACATGCGTGCTGCATCTTCCCCCGGGCACGCACCGTCTCAAATTCATCGTGGACGACCGCTGGCGTGTCTCTCGCGACCTGCCGACTGCCACGGACGGCGATGGTAATCTGGTCAACTATGTCGAGATTCCGAACGTCGGTCCTGCGCATCCGGGTCCGCTGAGTGCTCCCGGCGAGGACCTGCCCGGAGCCGAAGAGGGCAACCGAAGCGAACGCAACTCCAAGATTGATTCCAAGAAGACGACGATGAACCTGGTCGAGGAGGCGAGGCGCGCGGAAGCGATGCGCTTGGACGACCTCTTTGAAGACGAATCAAAGCAGCAGGAAGAGACGTGGACGTCGGAAATCCCGACGGCGCTGATCGAGGCTCAGGAGGCAGAGGAAGCGCAGCGCGAGGCAGAGGAGAGTGGCCAGGCAGCCAAGGGCCAACGAGACGGTGGAGCGGCTCAGTTGCCTCAGCCACCAGCCTTGCCTCGGCAGCTAGAAAAGGTTATCCTGAACTCGTCGCCTGCGAATCCGAGCAACGGAAGTTCCACCACGGGAAGCACGGTAGACGACAACTCCATCTTGCCAGCGCCGAACCATGTGGTGCTCAACCATCTCACGGCCAGCAGCATCAAGGGCGGAGTGCTCGCGGTAGGCACCACGACCAGGTACAAGAGAAAGTACGTCACGACAGTCTACTATAGGCCTGTCCAGATCTAGCTGAGCAGCGAGACGAGGTGTATCTATTGTAGCGGAGCAATCGCAATGCATTTAGACGACAGTCGCGGTGACAAGTGTGCTTTGGATTGAGGCTAGAAGCACAGAGAGGGGAGGCGAAGGGGGTGTTACTTCTTGGTGGGACGAGACCTGCCCCAAGTGATGCGCACGGTGGTATTGTCCCAGTCCATCTTTGTACTGCAATGTGCTGCTGCGCGTTCGGCGTTTTGGCGGGAGGTGAAGTTGACAAACGCGCAGCGCGAGGCGGTGACGAGCGTGACCGACTTGATGTGTTCGGTGCGCAGCTCTGGTGCGAGCGCCGTCATCCAGCTGCGTAGCGAGTCTTCGGTGGTATCTGCTGGCAGAGAGGATATGAATAGCGATACCTAGTGTAGCCACGAGAAGGTCCAAGTGTCAGCATGCGATGTCGTAGGACTGAGAGGGCGAATGGGAGTAGACTTACGATGCTGGTGTCTGCTGGTGGCGGTAGTCCCGCAGCTGCAGTTGAGCTCAGGATGCGTTTTGGTGCCCCTGTTGCGGCTGGGCTAGTTGGTGCGGGTTGAGTTGCAGCGGTGGCGGGAGCTGCGGACGCGAGTGTGTTGGCGGAAGGGACACTTGTCTCCGCGCGGGCAATTGCCCTTCGCAAATGCAGCGCAGTACTGCACGGGTCGATCGCGCTTGTAGTCTGGCTCCTTTCTCGCCATCTTTTTGAGCAGTTCCTGCCCCGCCCTGCCCGCCGGACTCGACGAGGCGCCAACGAGCGATGTCGCACCCTCGAGCTGCTTGTCCATGTTTTCGGCATAGTACTCGCGGTTCTTATCCGACGTCGGACCTGTCGACTTGATGTTGAGCGCTGCATCGCGCATCTGTACCGGCAATCCGTACTGCAAGTCCAGAATACATGTCTGGCATACGTTCTTGACCTTGGCGCACGTTGTGCAGATCTCGGTCTTCTTGAAGCGCGAGCCTGCGCCCGGGTTCCATCGGAACACTGTGAATGGCCGTGTGCAGATCTGCAAAATCGACGAGCTCCTTGTCAGCATTCCGGAGCAGAAGAGAGAATAGTAAGAAAGAGGTGTGGGGGACATACCTTGCAAATCTTCCCTTGCGTGTCCTTGGTCATGCGGATGTATGGATTGGGACCTAGGCACGGCTCGCACAGGATGGGCGTCTCGGCGTCCTCTGGCGTTGCGGCCGCCGAGCCRCCGATCTTGCCATGAGCGCCCCAAGCCGACATGTTGACGGTGCGTATGAAGATGCTGGTGGTGGTGGCAATGTTGAGAAGGATGTGGTGGGAGCGGAAGAACTGCTGCGCCTCGATGTTGCACGACGGCTCAGCTGCAGGCCGGGGTGGAGGAGTTCGACCTGTCGGATTTGGCAGTTTTGGGCCAAAATTCAGGAACTCGGAAGTTGGCGAACAAGCATTCTGGGGTGCCCGACAAGAAAGCTGCAGTCCAAGTGCAACTCCTCTTCCTCAGCCCACATGCAGTGGCTCTCTTCTGTCAGCACCGTGTCCACAGCCTAGCCAAGGCCGGTGCCTGCCTGAGGACGGAGCATACCCGGCACAGCTCGTCCTTGGGTTGCGCTTCCCCCGCTTCGCCTGCAAATTGGTCATGGCCTCCTCGCTCACCGTCGACGAGCTGAGGTCCCGCCTCGACGCACTCGGTCTCGATACCAAGGGCAAGAAAGCCGACCTTCGACTACGGCTCAAAAAGGCGTTGCGCAACGCCAACAGCATCTCGCCATCCGACGCACAGACTCAAGATGTGGACGCAGAGTGGGAACCTGAATTCGATGCCTTCCTCGTGCTCGATGTAGAGGCCACGTGCGAGTCGACACGCAAGTACCGCAACCTCGAGCACGGCTACGAGACAGGCTGCTTCCAGTACCCGAACGAGATCATCGAGCTGCCTGTCGTGCTGCTCCGATGGAACAAGGACGAGCGCCGTCTCGACACGGCGGGTGTGTTCCATTCATTTGTGCGTCCGACGTTTCGGCCACAGCTCACGCAGTTCTGCCGCGACCTCACCGGCGTCACGCAGGCGCACATCGATGCAGCACCAACCTGGAATGACGTCGTAAAGAGTCTCCTTCAATTCTTGGTTGCACAAGACCTCGTGGAAGATGCATCGACGGGCAAGAGCCACATGCACAACTTTCGGCTTCGTCGCGGCGTAGCTTGGATCAGCCACGGCCCTGCAGATCTGCGCGACTTTGTCATCAAGCAGAGCTGGATCTCGGCCCGTCCTCGCGATCGTGATCATGGTGCACCGCCAGTTTTCCTCCGAGGACCCTTGATTGATATCCGCAAAGGCATAGCTAGCCTGTACAAGTGGGAGCAGGAACTAAAGGCCGACCAGTCGCGTGCCGCTTCCTCCCGCTCCACGCCCTTTCTGGAATTTGGTGGTGACGATGGATTCCAAGTCATCAGCGCACCCTCCGGATCCAGTCCATCGCCCGTCAGGGAAGATGTGCGGTCCACCGGTCTCTCGCCGCACGACCAGAGCCTGGCAGGTCTCTTGGACCTGCTCAACATCGGACCGTTCCAGGGTCGTCAGCACTGCGGCATGGACGACACGCGCAACATCGCCCGGCTGGCTGTCGAGCTCGCTCGTCGCATCGAACTCGCTTCGCACGGCACACAGGTGCTCCTTTCCAAGAGCTACGAGGCGCTCGACGGCAACATCGAGACAAACGCCGAGGTGCTGGAGCTCGACAAGCGAACAGCGGGACACAGGGCAGCACAGATGGAGAAGCTCACGCTCAGACCCAACGTGCGTCTGGACAGCTTCCACAAGCGCTTCTTCTGGATGGGAAAGTGCACCGGCGAGATCCGCTGGCCCTTCCCGCCCGAATCGCAACAGGCTTGACCTTTTCCCTAGTCATAAGCGCCCGTCAGAAGAGTGGGATTAGCAGCAACGCAAGAGCATGGAAATGTTCTAGAACTTATTTGTACCATCAAACAGGAAGGTCGCTGATGAAGAATCATAGATGGTCTGTATCTCCGCTTTTGGACTCTTCTTGAGGCTGACCCGCTTTCGGGACTTGGGTCCGCCGTTCAGAATTTTTGAAGAAATGTTAGGTCAAAGCTCTCGATCCACGTGACTTGATTGGGCCATCGAGCGCTGGAAGTGGAATCCCACCATCTCCAGTCTGGACCGCTTCGCATTCATCCTCATCCGTGACAGATCGTCCCCGCACCTTGTACACCCACGCAAAGGTTTGTCTCACGCGTGAGCGCGCTCATCACCCTCGCATCGGCACTCGCGGCATCGCTGACTCCTCCGCTCATCTTGGTCTGACCGATTGCATTGGCGGCCTGGCAGCACGCATCTCAACATGACGGTGGCAGCAAGCGTTCTCGGCTACGCCGGTCTCGGCTTCATCACACGATGCTACGCACTTGGCATTCAGAAGCGTAACATCTTCGACAGTAAGTTCGCTCTCCATCATCCTGGCTTTGATGCAAAAAAGTGGGAAGCTGACGGTTCTTCGTTTCTTCGACAGACCTCGGTGGACACGCCATGATGATGACCGCTTTTGGTGCTCTTGGATACTACGTCCACGGCCTCGAGGGTCGTCAATTAGAACTCATTGCAAACAAGAAGGAGCAGATCCTCAAGAACCGCGAACGCATCGCCGCCGCTTCCTCCAAGGACGACGAGTGAACTCCACGCTCACGCAGAGCACCTCCAACCACTTGCAATCCCAACGCTTTCCTATCCTAACACTGTCCTTTCCCCGCATCATCGCTGCTACAGTATACGCATTACTGAAAGAGCCGTCTCCACTATGGGCAGCTGCCAAAATCAGATGAGGAGGATGTGCTCCCTGCTACAAGTCGATCTGAATGCTAGGAAGAGATCAGGCGCGACAGTGGCAGTCTGTTGCATTTTGTCACCTCAGGCTTTCAGAGAGCAATGCGCTGTCGGCTGCGAGACTGGTCTTCGACGTTAAGGTCAGTGTTTGACCACGCACAGATCCACATGCCACCAGGTCGACACGCCGAGCGTCGATTTTGGACCTCAATCATGCTTGCACGTGCGGACAGACTCGATATCCAGGCGGGCACAGAACTTCAGACGGTGAAACGGAAGCTCTTAAGTGGGACCTCGTATGTTGTACAGCGTAGCGTGGAGTGAGAGAGAAACAGGGGGTGCAATTTGCCTACTTGCGGCCCTTGCCCTTGGCGGCCTTCTTGGCGGCGATGGGCGAGCCGGCGCGAGCCTCGCGACCACCCACACTCATCCAGTCCAGATCCTCCTGGCCGAACTTGACGTCGCCGCCCGACTGCGACTTGGCCTTTCCATCGGCAGCACCAGCAGCCTCTGCCTCCTGGAACCTTCTGCGGAAGCGACCCAGACGGCCACTGTCGTCGTCTGCATCACCGCCCACCTTGCGCTCCTGGCCTGGGTTCCACAGTGGGTGGTTGGTGGGATCACGCGTCAGACGTGTGAGCCGACGCGGCGAAGTGGTGGCGAGCTGGATCGAGGAGCCGTCAGCGAGGATGGTGGTGGAGCTAAACTTGGGCACGGGTCGGGGCAGCGGTGCCTGGGATGCGGCCGAGGGATCTCGGATCGATGCGGTCGCAGACGATGCAAAGCCGCTGCGTTGCGACTGGAAGCTGGTGGCCTGCGCGAGGATCGTCGAAGCGGGACGAGCCGACATCGAAGAGTAGGCGCGCATCTGACGGGGTGCCGAAGACGACGACGATGCACCGAGAGAAGAGGTGGATGCGGAGGCTGCTTGGTACTGCGCGGCCATCTCGCGGCAGCTCTTCCTTTCGGGCTTCTTGCCAGCCTTGAGGTCGGCGATCTGCTTGGCCCTCGCTTCCTTGATGCTGTCGTTGTTGCCGAGCTCGGTGTCCTTGGTCATGCGCAGCTCGTACGCCTCCTTCTCCTGTCGCCACTTGCCCTGCACGACGTTCTGGCGCAGCACCGAGACGATCTCGTCGCCCATCTTGAGGCCGTCGTCGATCTTGGTAGCGTCGGTCTCCTTGGCAGCCTCCTTGAACCGGCGCCGAGTCTCGTCGCGTGCGGCTGCAATGGCGACCGCATCGCCGTCGAACGTCTTGCGCGATGTGCGCAGCAGTCGCTTGTACAGGCCGACGGCCCTTTGCCTCTGCGCCACGGTGAAGGACATGCTAAGCTTGCCGGACGGAGTTGAATTCGCAAAGCAGGCAGCTGATCTGATCGGTAGAGCAGGTGAAGATGAAGATGGTGATGCAGCGAAGACCAAGGGCAGTGTGCCTTAATGATGGCGAGACACGAGGCTGAGCGGAAGAAAGAATTCTAGGCGCTGCGATTCCGGGCGGTCCGAGGCCAAAATTGGTCAGTCGGACCAACGGCAAAATTGTTTCGGCCGGAATTTCCCACACGGACGGTCGAGTCTATCTCTTGGCCGCGGCCAGGTGCATTCGAGCTCTCTGAACCTGCGGGAAGACTCTGCCATATGATATCGAGCAAGCCACGAAGCTTCGTCGTGGTCGTGCGTCTGTATATGAAGTGGGATGCAAGGGGGTGGGCCGAACCCACAGCTCTCTGGGGGTTTCCGCCCGAGCCGATGAAACAATGATGCCGGGTCATCGACGGGAGGGCTCAGTAAGCATGCAACGTCGTCAAGACGACGCAACCAGCGAGATGAAGTGGGATTGGACGAGTTGCGCCATTCCTGCTGTGAGACAGATCTCGCTCCGATTGCTTTCTTGCATCATATATAGGCAGGCGCAGGAGCTCGGACCCTCATCTGAAGTTCCTAGCTCCTCATATCGCTGTTTAGGATCGATCAGGATCGATCGCAGCGAGAGCCTTTTTGACACCGACGACAGCCACAGGCAGACATCATCCTAGTCAGTATGCGGGTCCTTCCAACTTTTGGTGGCCTTCTTGTTGCGCTGCAGCTTGTAGCTGCTGTTCATCTCGACCAGCTCGATTCGGTCCGATTCGCCAAAGTGCGACGAACGGTCTCCGGCCCGCCGAAGGAGGACCTGAAGCGACGTGCAATCGAGGAAATCGGTAAGCTGCCTTTTTTACGTCCAAGTCGACCTGCTCCGACAAGGATCGGACGCACAGCGAGCATGACACTAACCTTGAGACCTCCTGAACTGCCTCTTGAGGGGAAAAGTGCCTGGAGTCCGGGAGCTCGTCGAAAAGTTCGAAGGACAGACCGGTGCAAAGTCGCAGGCCGAGTTCATGGCACAGCTGAAGCAGCTTGTTCAAGGCTCTGACCAAGCTGCGAGCTCCAAGGGCAAGGAGGTGATGAACCACTACCAGGCGGGAACAAGCAATGTGCCCTCGCGCACATTCACTCACCCTGCCGAGGGCGAAGCTTTGGTCAACCCCAGATTTTCCGAGCATGACAAGCTTCTGAACAAGCACGTTGAAGCCCTGGACGGCCAAGCGCACACGCTCAACGTTCACGAGCAAGTGCTGCTCAAGAGCATGGAAGGCCTCGACACCCTCAACGGCAGGCTGACAGCCGTGGAAGCGTCCAAGGAAAAGCTTCTCGAGGCTCAGAAGACAGGGAACCGTGCCCTCAAGTGGGGTGTCGGAACAGCTCTGGGTACGGCTACGCTGGCCGGAGGTGCCAGTGCCCTGTACGCACAAGGCTCAAAGGATCACATCAACGCATTGTCCGACACTGTCGCACAGCAGCAAGCCGAGATCGAGAAGCTCAAGGCAGCGAGTGCCGGCGAAGCACCGGCAGGTGCGGGTACCCAGGCTGGAACCAGCACCTCGGGCGGGCTCGTTTGAGCCTCGAACAGCATCTCGCTCGTTGTCCCTCGACTTGGTCCCACCACTTTTTCATCAGACTTTCTTCTCTTTTATCACTTTTCCTTTTGGTATTGATCACTCTGCTTTCTACTACCTTGTTCGCTGGGGTGTACATGCTGGGCCCTGTGTCGTTGAAGGCACTCGTATCGACACAAACGATCTTGACGAGGAGATGAGGGCACCATCGGTCTAACAAATCGGCAGGCACGGCGCCGAAGCGTATCGAGCTTAGATGGCTCAGCCTCACAACGGCCCCACGCAACACACCGATTTTTCCCCTTTTTTTCGAATTCGCCATGACCGCCGATTTGGGAGTTGGGCGAGTTGGGCCGGCACGCGGTGGCCGAGCGGCTCGGATTTTATTTTGTGAAGGCTTGAATTTCGCCTGACGGAATGCTGTTGTAATTTAATTCGGCGGTAATCGTGTGCCGCCTGTGCTGTCAGCATGCGAAACGGTGCAAAGTCAGTGTGGGCACGGCACGCAGGCGCAGGCGGCCTCCCCTGCACCAAAGCGCTTGCCGATGCCCGTCGGAGCCATTTTGGATGAGCGCCAGGCCAGTGTGTGTGCGCGTGCACTTGCAAAGTTCCCAAGCGTTGCCAAAGGGCGCAGCACAGCTCCGTCCGCCGCTTCGCCTTCTCCACCCGTCGCCCGCAAGGCAGTTGGCAGTGCAGCCCACAACTCAACTAACGGCAGCACACCGCAACATTCTCCCCGCCCTTCCGTCCTTCCTCCTCACCACCTCCTCGCTCACCGTATCGATCGGTGCCTACGTGTTTCGGTCTGCACTCCTCGCCGTGACTCTTGTCCGTTCCTTCACCGGCTCCATATTCTCTGCTTTCCCGCCTCGACTCTGGGCCCATTGATCCCCGCCCGAAGGCATCACACCGAGGCACTTTCATTCGTGTACACACGGGCCCTGACCCCTCATCGCCGGCTCATTTCACCGCGTCCAATCCAGCTCGCATCGTTCCAAAGCATTCCAGCACGCTGCTCGTCCCGTTGATCGCAGCCTGCCTCACTCCCAGCCATGGTCAACCCCAGGAGCCCCGGCTCGCTTTCGCGAAAGATTCGCATCACCGTCGTCGCTGCCGATGGACTGGCCAAGCGCGATGTCTTTCGTCTCCCTGATCCTTTCGCCATCGTCACCGTCGATGGAGAGCAGACACACTCCACGTCCGTCATCAAAAAGACGCTCAACCCTTACTGGAACGACAGCTTCGATGTCACCGTCACCGACTCCTCCGTCATCGCTGTCCAGATCTTTGACCAGAAGAAGTTCAAGAAGCGCGACCAAGGCTTCTTGGGCGTGATCAATATCCGCGTCGCCGACGTTCTCGACCTCGAACTTGGCGGAAAGCGTCTGCTCAACAAGGAGCTCAAAAAGTCCAACGACAATCTCGTCGTGCACGGCAAGCTCATCATCGACCTCAACACCAACGTCTCCACCCCCATCAACAACAACTCCACCGCCGGCCCCACCAACCTCCTCGTGCCCGGCACATCCAACGCCTCCTCCGCCTCGCTCGCCACTCCCTCCTCCACCGGCGCTGCTCGCTCCGATGCCCGCCCCTCGACCTCCGCTAGCGGCACCACCACACCCGTTGCCGCATCGGCCGCAAACGGAGACGTCGCCAGTCGACCAGCATCGACGGCCGATGGCGTGTCGCCCTCTACCAGTGCCACTGCCGCCGCCCCCACCGCCGCCTCGGGCACAGCTGCCCCTGCTTCGTCGGGCCCTGCTTCGGACGCCAGATCATCCGCCGCCCCAGCCTCCTCGGCAGCGCGCCCAGCAGGCTCGCAAGATGCGCGATCCGACGAGTATGGTCCTCTGCCCACTGGCTGGGAGCGCAGGACCGACCATCTCGGCCGCACCTACTATGTCGATCACAACACGCGCTCCACAACCTGGACCCGCCCTTCCACCAGCTCCAGCGCCAACACGGCCGCCGCCGCCAGCACCACCGCTGCCGATCGTCAGAGGCACAGCAACCGAGCCTTGGCCGACGACTTCCTCGGCGTCAGCGATGGCGATACCTCCCGCTCCTCGGCGACTGGCTCGGCCATCGCCAGCCCTGGCGCTGCCGTCGCCGCCAACTCGCTCCCTGCCAGCTCGAGCACCACGGCTGGCAACGGCCCGCTTCCCGCCGGCTGGGAACAGCGTCACACTCCCGAAGGCCGACCCTACTTTGTGGATCACAACACCCGAACCACCACCTGGGTCGACCCGCGACGACAGCAGATTCTCCGAATCATGGGCCCCAACGGCAGCAACCTCACCGTGCAGCCCCAGAGCGTCTCGCAGCTCGGCCCGCTGCCCAGCGGCTGGGAGATGCGTCTCACCTCGACTGCACGCGTCTACTTTGTGGACCACAACACCAAGACCACCACCTGGGACGACCCGCGACTGCCTTCGAGTCTCGACCAGAACGTGCCTCAGTACAAGCGCGACTTCCGTCGCAAGCTCATCTACTTCCGCAGCCAGCCTGCGCTCCGTCCGATCCCTGGCCAGTGCCACATCAAGGTGCGCCGCACGCACATCTTCGAGGACTCGTACGCCGAGATCATGCGTCAGCAGCCCAACGACCTCAAGAAGCGTCTCATGATCAAGTTCGACGGCGAGGACGGTCTCGACTACGGCGGTCTGTCGCGAGAGTTCTTCTTCCTGCTGTCGCACGAGATGTTCAACCCCTTCTACTGCCTCTTCGAGTACAGCGCGCACGACAACTACACGCTGCAGATCAACCCGCACTCGGGCATCAACCCGGAGCATCTCAACTACTTCAAGTTCATCGGCCGCGTGCTCGGCCTCGCCATCTTCCACCGACGCTTCCTCGACGCCTACTTTATCGTGTCGTTCTACAAGATGATCCTCAAGAAGAAGATCACGCTGAGCGATCTCGAGTCGGTGGATGCCGACTACCACCGTTCGCTTCAGTGGATGCTCGACAACAGCATCGAGGGTATCGTCGAAGAGACCTTCACCGCGGTCGAGGACAAGTTTGGCGAGATGGTCACCATCGAGCTCAAGAAGGGCGGAGAGGAGGTCGAGGTGACGGACGAGAACAAGAAGGAGTACGTCGAGCTCATGACCGAGTGGCGCATCAGCAAGCGCGTCGAGGAGCAGTTCAAGGCGTTCATCAGCGGCTTCACCGAGCTGATTCCGCAGGATCTGATCAACGTGTTTGACGAGCGCGAGCTCGAGCTGCTCATCGGCGGCATGTCGGAGATCGATGTGGACGACTGGAAGAAGTTCACCGACTACCGTGGCTTCACCGAGCAGGACCAAGTGGTGCAGTGGTTCTGGCAGTGCGTGCGCGCATGGCCCACGGAGAAGAAGTCGCGTCTGTTGCAGTTCGCCACGGGCACATCCAGGATTCCCGTGAACGGCTTCAAGGATCTGCAGGGATCGGATGGACCGAGGCGCTTCACGATCGAAAAGTCGGGCGATGTGAACCAGCTGCCCAAGTCGCATACGTGCTTCAACCGCATCGACCTGCCGCCCTACCCGTCGTTTGAGACGCTCGAGAGCAAGCTTGCGCTCGCCATCGAGGAGGGCATGGGCTTCGGAAACGAGTGATACCCCCGCGCGGATCCCACTGCTGCTCGTTCAACGTGTCGTGGACTCTTTTCGCTTCTTGATTCAACTCTTTCTTTTAGGTTCTGGCTCACGCAGCCTCTCATTGATAGCTATGCACGCATCCTTTTTCTCTCACACAATCTCTTTTGTACCATTCCTCACCTTTGCAAGTTAGTCTTGATTGTCTCTTGCATACACGAGTGTTCTGAGTGTGAGTCGTGAGCGTTGTGCGGGGCCGTTCGTTGGAAGGCTTGGATGGGCAAGACCCGACGCTGCCGCAACACCCGAGATCCAGACTGGAAGACGCGCACCGACCATCAAGACTGTGCACACGCGCGCCCGAATTGCGATCGAAAACTGTGTGATGAAACTGCGTTGCAAGAGACGATGCGTTGTGTGTGTGTCGAGCTAAAAGTACAGGAGCTGTGTGATGCGCGAATCCAACCAGGAAGCCAAAAGAAACCATTGCCAAAACCGATTCCTGCGCCTAAGCTCGGCGATGTTCATCTTCAAACTCGGATGCGTTCTCGTCCTGGGGAAGGTGGCTGTATCCGTTCCTCTCGCGCGGCATGCAGAAGCCAGGTGGACTGACGATACCGTTGAACAAGAAGGTTCCGTACACGAGCAGCACGAAGCCAAGCACCTGCAAGCTACCCGACTGGAGCTTGAACGTTTCCCATCCGAGCGTGAGCGAGACCACCCAGATACCCAGCGTCCTGCACGTATCAATCGTACTGCGCGCAGTTGCCGAGACGTTCCTCGTGACCGAGAGCCCAAAGAAGTTGAAGAACGCAATGGTAAAGCAGATGGCAATCGACGAGCGCAGCACTGCAGGCACCGAGATGATCTGGTAAAAGCCAGCCGACATGTCAAAGTAGCCACCCCGGCCTTCGGGTGTGGAGCCGACAAAGTAGTGGAGCAGCGGCATGGCCACCAGCGTAGTGGCAGCACCGAAGAGACCCTCGTATCCGACGGCCAGAAGCGGCTCCACCGAGTAGCGCGACATGATCTTCTCCTCGAGCACGAATTGAGACGCGGTGAAGAGCTGGGCAAAGAGGATGAGCAGCACGCCAAGCAGTGCCTGTGCGGTCTCGGGGATCTCGTCGTCGCCGTCGGACGAGGGCGATGCTTCGGGAGCCTTGAACACGGTGCCCGAGAGGCCGACGACCGAGACGCCCATCATGACGGTGACGAGGCTGAGCCACTGGAAGAGATGGAGGTGGCGGCGGAGGAAGATGACGGAGAAGACGCCGACCCAGAGCACGAGCGCGCCGCGCGTCATTTGGTAGATGCTCACGGGCGTGAAGAGCAGACCGACGTTCATGAGCGTCGTACCGCAGATGTCGCAGAGCGCGGGCATGAAGAAGAGACCGACGGCCTTGCCGGACATGGTCTCGCCCTTGACCGCCTCAATCTCGTCCGTGTCGACGTCAAGGTAGCTGCTGTCGTTGGCCGTGGTGAAGGCGGACTCGTCGAGCTCGCCAGGCTGCACGGCGCGTGATGCAATTTCGAACGGAGGAGCGGGTACGGAAGGGTCGGTGGGAGCGTGGGTGGCGCCCGTGTGGACGCGGCCGCGTGTTGCTTGATAGGACGAGATGGCCGAGACGCCGCGGTCTCTTGGGGACGCGTCGCCGTCGAAGACGATGCCCGAGTCGGGGGGAGCCTGAAGGAGCGGCTTCTTGAGCGCAGCATCGCGTGCCGAATTTCCAGAGACGCGCGCATAGATGGCGCGGAGCAGGATGGGAAGCAAGCAGAGACACTCGCCGAGGAACATCTGGAGCGTTTGCCACACGGGCTGGGAGAACTCCTGGCGCTGGCGCGGATCGGGCGAGTCGCAGTTGGCAACGCACTGCATGTCCTGGTACTTGTTGAGCAGCGAGTTGCTGATGCCTGTGATGAGCATGCCCACCACAAAGACGGGCACGAGCGATCTTGTGTTCAGCATCTTGGGCTTGGCGTCGTCGTCGTCGTCGTCGTCACCGTTCGCGTCTGTACGTGCTTCAGGGTTTGCTGAGGTAGGTGCCTGCGACTCTATCGATGATCGAGCTGGATTGAGCGGTGAATCCGCGGTTGTGCTGTGCGGAGCGGCTGTCTTGGAGGTTTGACGGTGACGAGGCTCTTGGTCGCCTGTGGCTATAGATGGATGTGTCTGGGAGGCTGATAGCGCAACGAGCTCGATGGCGTCTAGATTGTGGCTCGGAATGGTGCTGTTCTAGCGTTGGCGCGTGTCTAGCCTGTGGATGTGGAGAGATAGGGATAGTGATGGTGATAGGGTGAAGGCAAGTGTGTGTTGAGGTGAGTCAGGTGAGAGAGGGTAGGGTTTATGCGCGCGGGGATGGCGAAGTGGGACTGACGCGGCACAGTCGGGCGACGCTGGACCGACGAGATAAGGATCGCCTGCAGCCAACACGCAGCGAACCCGCAGTGGAGCAGTCACAGCCGATGCAGTGGGGCTGCCGGCTCGGACCCTGACTCAACGCGCCCTGACAAACACCCGCTCTCTCTCCGCCCCTCTCTCTCTCTCCATCACTTGGCCTACGCTGGGCATAAACTCCGCCCGCGTCACTCTGCCTGCACTGTGACTGCAAATCAATTGGCAGTGGCGTCACGCCAGCTGGCCAGTCACCTCACTCTCTCGCCGCCCCTTTTCCGCCCTCAATTTCACATTTTTCAGTTCAGCCCTCCACCGCGGCCGACTGGCAGCAATTCGCGCCAGCGCCGCGCAAAATGCCGCAAATTCGACTCATTTGTGCGCTCTGAGAGTTCGGCAGCTGCTCTCTTGCCAGCCAATGAGCTGAAAAGGTTGCCCGACGGCGTGCAGATGAAATTGCCGGTCAAGTTGGCGGCTCGAAATTCAGATTTGTTAGGCCGTAGTGTCTTGCGTACCCGCATCGAGAGAATTGCTACGGCTCCGAATCATCCACCCAAGACCGTTCCTTCCACCTACAGCTCTGCTCTGACCACCACCATCATTCCATCCACGGCTCGCCTGGAACACTCGTAGCCGCTTCTGTTGGCTTCCAGCTGCGCGCGTTTCGGTGTGGGGCGCACCGACCTTTCGCTCCGACTTCCAGCCAGCCAGCCACTCTCACTGGTGTCCATGCCTGGCTGAGCTCCATCCGCCAGCTCTACACCTCCAGTCATGGTCGTCATCGACTTTGACATGGCAGCCACCGGCGGTAACTCCGCCGCCACCTTCTCCGACTCGCCCTTCTTCTACGATAGATCAGATGCCAACGGCGCCGGTCAGGCCATCTACAAAGATGCCTCCCACGTCCAGCCGCACAGCAACCCGCGTGTGAGCTACTACCACCCGGCCGGAGTCGGCGACTTTCACTACGGCGAGCGCCATCCCATGAAACCTGCGCGACTCACGCTCACCAATCGTCTCGTACTCGCATACGGTCTTCACAAACATATGAACGTCTTCACTCCAAGAGAGGCCACCAAGGAGGAGCTCGAAATGTTCCATGACAGCGACTACGTCGACTTTCTCGCCAACGTCACCCCTTCCACACCGCCCTCGGCCGCATTCACAAAGTTCAACTTTGCCGACGACTGTCCCGTCTTCGATGGCATGTACGACTTTTGCAAGGCTTACTCGGGCGCCTCGCTAGCGGGTGCGCGGCGGCTCGCGGCGGGTGAGACCGACATCGCGATCAACTGGTCCGGCGGTCTGCATCACGCCAAAAAATTCGAGGCGTCCGGTTTCTGCTACGTCAACGACATTGTGCTCGGCATCATGGAGCTTCTTCGTTTCCATCCGCGCGTTCTCTACATCGACATTGACATTCACCACGGAGATGGCGTGCAAGAGGCGTTCTACAACTCGAATCGCGTCATGACCGTTTCTTTCCACAAGTACGGCAACGACTTCTTCCCCTGCACCGGCAACATCGACGAGATCGGCACAGGGCTTGGCAAGCACTTTTCCCTCAACGTGCCGCTCCAGGACGGCATCGACGACTCGGGCTACGTGGCGCTGTTCAAGAGCGTCATGGAGCCCTGCATCACCACCTTCCGCCCGTCGTCGATCGTGCTCCAGTGCGGCGCCGACTCGCTCGGACTCGACAGACTCGGCTGCTTCAACCTCAGCATCGCAGCGCACGGCGAGTGTGTGCAGTTCATCAAGTCGTTCGGCCTGCCCTTGCTCGTGCTCGGTGGAGGAGGCTATACGATCCGCAACGTCGCAAGGTGCTGGGCGTACGAGACGTCGGTCTTGACCGGATGCTCCATTCCAGACACTCTGCCCAGCACACCTTACATGGAATTCTTTGCGCCCTCGTATCGATTGCACGAGCCCACGCAGGCAGGGAGGGTCGAGAACCAGAACTCCAAAGCGAGCCTCGAAAAGATCCGCGTTCAGATCCTGGAACAGCTCAGATACCTGCATGGCGCTCCAAGCGTCCAGATGCAGGAGCTGCCTCCAGATCTCGCAGGCGCCTGGGTCGAGGAGGAAGTCAAGGTTTGATTTTGACCAACTCGGAGCGCAACGTTGGATACGATACCCCCCACAACCTTCCTTCTACTAGACCATGGAACTCTCCCCTTCGCTCTCCACCAGTGTACTTGTATCTCGATTCTCATGTACTCTATCTCAAGCCAAGCTGGCTGTACAACAGCTGACTTTTCCTCAACCGTGCAGTTTGTTTTTCACGGAGGCAAGGCATGGATTCGGAAACATGCGGATGGCTAGAGGTGGCGGGGCGTGTTAGGCGGAGGGTTGAGTCCAATCTGTCTGGTCCTGGATGCTTTGGCCATTGACGGTGAAGGCGATGCGCAGACGCAGACGCACGGGTGCACTGTTGGGCACCATGACACGCAGCGCCTGCGTCTCAGTCGCACCAGGCACCACGTCCGAGTTGGAGATGGCCTGCATCTGCAGCTTGTGCGTCTTGGGTACCGCCGCCTGGAAGTTGACCCCGGACACGTTGCCAGCCGTGGCGGTGAAGCGCGCCGTGATGTTGACAATCTCGGGACGCGCCGGGTTGGTCGTGGGCGTAAGCGTGATCTTGAGCCCATTCTTCTCGTACACTGTATGCGCCTTGGCACTCGATCCTGCGGGAGCAGCGGGTGCAGCAGCGGGTGCAGGTGCAGGCGGAGCAGCTGCTTGAGTAGGGGCAGGAGACGACGAGCTACCGCCCAGGCCACCGAGCAAGTCAAGACCCCCAAAGGCTGAGGATGCAGAAGCTGTTGCAGCAGGAGCCGCCGCTGGTGCAGCGGGTGTGCTGCCACTGTCGCCAAACAGACCGAGAATGTCGTTGACCGAGCTCTTGGGCTTCTGAGCCGGTTGATCCGCCGGCGCAGCAGCAGGCGCGGGAGCGCCACCCATGTCGCTGGCGCCAAAGATGTCGGCCAGCAGATCCTGCGTGCTCTGCTGCGTACTGGCACCCGCGCTGGCCGCCGCACCGCCGCTCGCCACCGGCATCTCGTCGCCCATGAGGTCGAGCAGCGCATCCTTGTCCGTGCGTGTCGAGCCCACCGGCTTGGCCTCGCTCACGGTGCCCAGCACGGTCTGCTTGATTTCGGGCGGCGGCATGCTCTCGAGCACACCCTCGCGGATGTCGCTCCTGCGCAGCAGGCTCGAGAACTCGACGCTGCGCTGCTGGATCTCGACCTCGACACTGCTCTCGAAGCTGCCGATGATCTGCTCGATGCGGTTCTGCTGCGCCGAATCCGGAAGCCGTGTATGCAGCTTGGCCAGCGAAGTCAGCACAAACTGCTTGATGTGGCCGTTGACATACGGGCTATCCAGCACGGACGAGAGCAGGTCCACGACATCCTTGGGCTGCACCTCGCGCACCAGCTCCTCGTCCTCAAAGTTGCCTCCCTGCACGAGCACGTCACCGAACTCGCCAATGACCCACACGGCGGCGAGCGTGAGGCTCTCCTGCGAAAAGTCGTGGTGAAGCGCCGAGAAGAGCTTCTGCACCGTATACGCCTGCAGCTCGGGCGTGTGGCAGACGAGCCGGATGAAGGCCGAGAGGATCTCGTCGCGCACGTAGTTGCCCGCGAGCTTCAGCACGCGCAGCACCGTGTCGATGTGCCAGCGCTTGTTGGGCGCGAACCGTTCGGCGGCGAGGCAGATCTGCGTGGTCATGCCCAGCTTGAACTCGTTGTCCGCCACCTCGAGGAAGGAGAGAAGCTCGCGCGTGAGCACACGCACGTTGCTCTCGTTGATCAGCGCATAGCTCAGCTCGAGCGCACGCCGGCGGATCGAGATGTCGCCGTCGCGCAGACAGTCGAGGATGATGTTGCGGTGGCGCTGCACCGCGTTGGTGTCCATCGAGACCACCTTGCTGAGCGTGTTGAGCGCGACGTAGCGGATGTTGTTGTCGCGGTTGCTGAGGAACTTGCCGAGGATGTTGATGGCCATGACGCGCAGACCGTTGTCCGCATCGATCTCGAGGATGGTGAGCACGGTCTCGTACAGGATGCTGTTGCCGACGTTTTTGGATGCTTCTGTGTTTGTGGCGACCTGTGCGAGGATGTCGTTCATGGCTTCGGACGCCTGCGCGTTTTCCTTGCCGAGCACGCGGAGGAGGCGGAGGATCTTGACCTGGAGGAAGGGGTCGGTGATGCCCGAGACGTCGTGCTCGGGCGAATAGCCGGTGGTGACGAGCGACTTGAGGTGCTGTACGAGCAGTGGCACGGCGCGTCGGAAGTCTTGCAGGGCGTCGGCGTCCTGTCGGACGATTTCGATGGCGAGGGTGACGGCGCAGAGGAGGACGCCGTGGTTCTTGTCCGAGAGCAGCTGCCTGGTGCGGTCGGCAAAGTGGTCGATGAGGTCGGGTACCTTGCGGACGATGCGCATGGCGCAGATGGCGGCCTTGCGGCGGATGTAGGTGTTGCTACTGCCCATGAGCTTCTCAATCTCGTTGCAGAGGTCGCGCGACATCTCCTCGGAGGCGATGTTGGCAAAAGTGCAGAGGGCGAGGCCGCAGACGTACATGTTGGAGTGCTCCATGTCGTTCTTGAGGCCGTTGGTGACGAGCGTGAGCACCTCTGTGTTTTCGTCGAGCAAGAGCATGATGCCGAGGTAGCCGAGGCGCTTGTCGGTGAAGCGGGGGGTGGCGACGAGCTTGAGGCATTCGATCTGGCCAAAGTGGGCGGGGTAGCCGAGCATGTGGATGTAGAGGAGTTTTGCGATGTTGTTGTGGCGCGCGAAGGGGTCCTCATCCTTGAAGGCGGTTCGGATGGAGGCGGACTCCTTCTGGATGAGGGATCGCTCGTCGGCCAGCGTCTTGCACGAACGGATGGCCTTGATGAGCGCCTTGAGGTTGTACAGACCGGCGCTCGCCATCAGTCCTCCGAGACGAGGGTCGAGCGCAGCGACCTGCTGCTGCTTCTGGAAGAAGGTCGACATGGCGACGACTCGGCGGCTCTTCGGCTGGCGACCAGGAGTGAGAGGACTAGTGAGCCGCCAGTGCGGGGTAGCAGAGAGATGAAGAGAGCGAGAGCAAGGAGACGCTTGTGGCCAGAACAACAGAGTGCGAGGCAAGACGGAAGGATGATCTGTCGCTGGTTGGTGCTCTCGCGCCGCGTGCTGCGTTGCTGTTCTCCGACCGCCGAACCGCCGCCTGCCCAAGTGCCAACAGCAGCGGTGCAAAGACTCTGCCCGCGCGTCCAAAGTTCCAGATCGGGGTGCATCATCTCGGATCGAAGCCGATCCTAATCGGGGTGGCTGAGTGTGGAGCGAAAATTTGGTCATCAGTCCGGCCCAGAAGGAGGAGAAAAAAGTGAGGCCTTCGCGAGTCTTCGGGTCTGACCCTGCAGCTGTCGCGAAAATTTCAGAGGAAACTTCCTGGTGGCACGATTCAGGTAGAGGCGGAGCAGCAGCTCACTTGGGCTCGTGGTCCTCCTCGTCCTTGCTCTCACGCCACGAACCAAATCCGCCACACTCCCAAGCCTTTGCTCCAAAAGCATCCTCACTCCGGAGCAAGCAGGGAAGTCTAGCCTGTTCCTTCCAAGCCTTTGTGCTTTCTGCTCAACCTCGGCACCATGCTGTACACAAAGATGGCGAGCCCGCTCGGGCTGGCCCGTTCCACATCGGCAGCACGAAGCATCTCGACATTGATGCGCCGCTCTGCCATCGCATCCGTCGTCAGCCCATACGCTGCTGCCACTGCCTCTGCATCGCGCAGCGCCCCTCTCGCCATCAGCCAGTGCGCTCGCACCGCCTTCAGTTCCAACCTCTCCCAATCCATCCGTGCTCTCTCTCAATCTTCCAACACCGCAGAGCCCGCCTTCGCCGCCGCCAAGGCAGCCGACGTGGATCTCAACCAGCTCCCAAAAGATGCGCAATCGTCGGCTGCTCGCACAAAGGACGCCACCTTTGCTTCGCTTCGCGGCTCCATCGACTATAGCCTCCTCAAGGCCCTCACCGTAAAGCCATTTGGCTACGAGACCATGTCCGCGGTGCAGCAGAGCGTCCTTCACCTCCTCCCAGAGCTTGCCAGCGGCGTCGGTGCAAACTCCACGCCCATGCCTGATGGTCAGGGCAGGGACATGCTCGTCAAGGCAAAGACCGGTACGGGCAAGACCATCGCATTCCTCGTTCCCGCGCTCGAAGCTCGCCTGCGATCCATCCAGGACGTCAGCAAGGGCCGCTTCTCCAAGCCTTGGCTCGACATGCTCAAGCGACACAGGCCCGACCTCGACGTCTCCAGCCTCTCCAAGAAGGAGCTCGACGAGATCACCAAGCAGTACGTCAACAACACCGTCGGTGCACTCATCCTCTCGCCCACCCGAGAGCTCGCAACACAGATCGCAGACGAGGCCAAGAAGCTCCTCACACATGCTCCCGATCTCAAGGTCCAGCTGCTCGTCGGCGGCGCCAGCCGCAACTTCCAGATCAACGACTGGAGGAGGTCGAGGCCAGACGTCGTCGTCGCCACCCCCGGTCGCATCCTCGATCTGCTCAACGACGTCGGTATGATGCGCGAGGCCATGACCGCCTGCCGCACCCTCGTCCTCGACGAGGCCGACACGCTTCTCGAGATGGGCTTCCGCGACGATCTCCAGGCCATCATGAAGCATCTTCCCGCCAAGGTCGAGCGCCAGAACATGCTCTTCAGTGCCACCGTCAGCCCAGAGATCCGCGCCATCGCGCGTGCCAGCTTGCAGCCCGACCATCGCTTCGTCGACTGCGTGCCCGCGGGCGAGGAGAACGTGCACAAGCACATCCCACAGTACGCCACCGTCCTCGAGACCGCCGAGGAGCAGATTCCCCACATTCTGCGACTCATTGCACACGACCAGCTCGTCAACCCCGGCAAGTCCAAGACCATCGTCTTTGCTCCCACCACCAAGATGACCGAGTTCTTGGCCGACGTCATCCGTGACGCCCAGCGCCACTTCCCGGCCCAATCGAGCATCTACGAGATCCACAGCAAAAAGGACCAGCGCGCACGATTCAACACCAGCGACCGCTTCCGCAAGGACAAGAGCGGCGCCAGCGTGCTTGTCACCAGCGACGTCAGTGCGCGTGGCGTCGACTACCCCGGTACCACCCGCGTCATCCAGGTCGGCATCCCCAGCAGCAAGGACCAGTACATCCACCGCATCGGCCGTACGGGACGAGCCGGCGCACAGGGCCGCTCCGACATTGTGCTCCAAAACTTTGAACGCGGCTTCCTTCACTTCCAGCTCGACGACCTCCCTGTCAACCAGCTCCACGTCGACGACCTTGCGCAAGAGGTCGAGACGCTCGCTGCCAAGTTTGACGAGAATCCCCAAGAGTTTGCTGTGCCCGACGAGGTGTTCGAGGCTGCCAGACAGGCTAAGAAGGAGCTCAAGAAGGGCGGCCGCGGCCGTGACAGCTTCAGCACTCCAGGCGCCAAGCCTCCCGCTGAGATCCGCGGTCCTCTGACGGGCAAGTACGAATCGAGCGAGCTCAAGCCCCTCATCGCAAAGACGCTCGCCAACATGGAGGAGTCCGAGGAGTCGCGCGAGGTGTTCACCTCGCTGCTTGGCTTCTACATGGGCCGGGGCGACGAGCTGCGCACCAACAAGCTCGCCGTTCTCGACGGCCTCAAGCAGTGGTGCGTCCAGGCGGCCCGCATGGAGAAGGCGCCTCACCTCAGCGACTCGTTCTTGCAGAAGATGGGCATGTCCATGCGAGACATGCGAGGCGGTTCGTCGTCGTCGCGTGGTGGTCGCGGTGGCAGCGGCGGTGGATACCGTGCCGACAGCTCGCGATCTTTCGGGCGTGGTCGCTTCAGCAGGGACGGCGACAGCCGCGGAGACAGCCGCGACTTCCGCGGCAGTCGCGACGGTCGTGACAGTCGTGACAACCGTGACTTCCGCGGCAGCCGCGATGGTCGAGACAGCCGTGGCGGACGCAGCAACTTCGGTACCGGCCGCGACGCTCGCCAGAGCCGCTTCGGTAGCGACAGCAGCGCCAGCAAGTGGTAAATGGTCTCCCCCGCATGCCTCTTCTGGTCCCCTCAGCAGCTTTTCGGACACACCAGCAACGTACCGGCATTCCCTTTGGACCATCCAAGGCCTCGCTCGAGTGGCTTTATCATCAGCACAGTTTCAACCTCGCTCTCTGTACTCTTTTAGACCTCCCCCACCCTGTCTGTCCCCGCCCAAAATCCCGTGTATCAGTAGTCGTCGTTTCATCTCATTCAGATCCGTATGCGCACAATCTCTACTCCACTCTTTCCGGCTTACCCTGTCATGGTTGAGGGTCGAGCGCAATGTGGGTTTGTCACTTTTGTGGGGCCAAGCGCGCGGGTGGGATTGGCTAACGTGGAGGTTTCCGCTAAAATGGTCGGACTTCGCATCGGGTGCTCCCTTCCGGCTTCTCCTCGCCTTCCTCTGATTCTAATCAACGACCATCGTCACAGGGACGCTCTCCCTGCGCAGACCAACAGGAGCAAAGGCGGTACAAATCCCGGTCCACCGCCCAGCTACGCGGATGCTGACGGACCAATCAGGCACAGGCAGGAGAAGCTAGGGCGCTAGTCGTCAACGCAACCAGGCGCCGAGCCATGGACGAACAAGGCATCCAGCTCGCTGATCAGCAGCGCGACGAGCACGAGGTTGAGCTCATCCTCGGAGCGCTGCCTTCGCTGTGGCACAACACGCAGAATGTGCTCAGAGATCTCGGCTACCAGCAGGCGCCAGCACCGGAGGCCGACGAAGGGCCGCAACTTGGTCAACCCAACGACGGTCCCGCTGCTTGGAGAAGCGACGACAAGACTGCTGCGGCACCAAATTCACCCGGCGGAAGCGATGACGATGGGGACGAGAAGGTCTGTCGTATGTGCTTTTCGTCGGAAGCCGAGCTGGCAGACGACGGCTCATCTCTCGGCAGGCTCATACGTCCGTGCTACTGCGATGGCAGCATGCGTTACGTGCACGATACGTGCCTCGACCAGTGGCGGCGCAAAGCGGAGGCTTCGGAAGCTGCGCGCGTCTGCGGCCAGTGCCATGCACGCTACCGCTTCCGTCGCCGACCACACGCCAACCTCATGGCCTTTGTCCAGGCCAGCCAGATGCTGCGTATCCTCGTCTGCGTCCTGGCCATCTTCATCCTCTCCGTGGCCTTTGGTATGGTCGCTCTGCTGTCACTCAAGACGGTCGCTCTTCTAGGCTCGACTCCGCTGGGCTTCGTTCGAGATGCGGCGCTTCGACGAGTGCACGTCAACAGCACGCCGTGGAACATCACACTGCAGCCTGACAAGGCGCGTGCTGAGGTCTGGATTCCCGCCGAGACGTGGAAGCACAGCACAAGCACCGGCGGCATGCCTCGGCTCGACGAAGAGTTCTACTCCAAGATCGACCTCGAGGTCTTTGCGCGCGTTCGCCAGGAGCAGCTGCTCAACCCAGTCTATTGGAAGCGCGTGCAGCGTCTGCCTTCGTCGTATCGCGCCAACTATACCGACGCCATGATCGTCAGAGCCAAACTTCAATCTGGCGAAGATGTATCCGAAGAACTCGAGCGCCTCTCGCGCGGTCTTCCGCTCTTCCCTTGGAAACCAACAAAACGCTCAGCGAGCGAAGCAGGCGCAGCGCAGGATGGAGCACATCCCTCCTTGCCCGTGCCAGAGCGCGAAAGTGCCAATATCTCCTCGCCAAGCTCGCAAACGCCCTTCAACCTCACGCCTTCACTGCGGGAGCGCCTCGTTGGCAGCGATTTCAAGTTCAAGTTCGGCATTCCTTTCCTCTCTTCGCACCGAAAGGAGAGCGACGCCGACACGGCTGGGCATGAGGAAAAATTCGGTGTTTGGCAGCGGCAGAACATGACGATCAAGTTCGACTACGAGGAGCTGTCCAGCTTCATTCTCGACGAGCCTTCGGAGCATGTGCTTGTACGTAGCCTACCCGAGTGGCTTGGATTCGCACGCTACGTGCCGTATTGTATCGTGCTCGCGCTGGTGGACCGCTTCTACTTTCTCGCCAGCGTGTTCCGGCCGTGGTGGTCGTCGATCGCGCGCTCGGCACTGCAGCTCGCACTGCTGCTGCTCGAGTCGCATCGCGAGCTGCTCTGGTGTGCCAGCAAGGCGGCCGTCGCCGCACTCGTCGCTTATGTCGACGTCGAGTTCGAGCCCGTCAGATTCAACCCAGACAACGCGGTGATCGTCGGCCCGCCTAGGACACGGCGACGACGTGCTGCGGCGATGGTCCGCGAGGTTCTGGTCGTCGGGGCGGATACAGTGTTCGGCCCCATGTGGCTGAATTGGTGGGGCGGGTATTCGCTCGCGGTCTACATGCGTCCGCGTCAGTTCATGACGACGGAGCGCGTCGAGATGACGCAGCTCGCGGCGGTGTTCGCGCCCAATCTCACCGTGCTGCTCGATGCGATCGTTTCGGGGCTGGCCTCGTTCAGCACACGTGCGGAACGTTTCAAGACGACGACTGACAGATGGACACACGCGGACTGGGTGCACCACGACTACTCGGCGTCCGAAGGCTACCGCAGGATGATCGCAACACTTCTCGGTGATGAACAGGCGAGCAAGGCTACGCTGCACGATCTCTGGCTCGAGGCTGGCAGCAAGCGCTTGCTGCCCGGCAGGACCAAGCCGCTACAGATGGCACTGATGCCCAAGCTCAGCATGTGGAAAACGGCGTTTCTGCTGGGATGTCTGGTGACCACGGCGCTAGCGCTCGTGGTTGCCACCAAGATGGCTTGGGACTCGACCATCTCGCACTTTGCGAGGCAGGCTTGGCGGTCGCTGGTGAGCATCTGGCAGCTGGCGTTACATTCGGGCGACAGCTTGCGCGTGGCGTGGCGACAGACGGTGTCGAGCGTGCTCTTTATCGCTCGCTGGACGCTTGGCAGGGCCAGACGTTTGGCGTCGCAGCTCGTGCGAAGTGTCAAGAGCGCCGCTCGGAGCGTTCGGAGCAGTCAGGAGAGTCACTCGGGCACAGAAGCTTCTGATCGACAAGATTCGTCATCGTCGTCGACACAGCATACCGATGCAGACGGTGCGGCAGAGCAGGCAGAGCAGGCCGAGGCGATGCCCGAACCTTTGCTCAACGATCCCTTCATTCAGGGCGGGCACATGGGCGTGTTTGGCGCAATCCTCGGCCACGTCGCCTCCATCTATGGCTGCATCCATGCGTTCGTGTTCACGATGCGCTTCATCCTCGTCTATCTGCCGTTCGAGCCGTTCGTCATTCTGTACTCGCTCCTCCAGCAGCTCATCCAGGTCGACGTGGCCAACACCGAGGTGCTCGACCGTGAAGACGTCGATGTCTAGCCCGCCGTAGCTCGCACGCATCTGCAACTCAGCTCAGTTCAGCTCAGTGTGAACATGCTCGTTGATCGGGGCCGAGGCAGTAGGGTCGTGCTATCGTGTGTGTGCTTGTGCGCAAATGGGCGATGCATGGCCACGCGAACGCCGTTTTGCCGTGCCGGTTCGTGCCGTGTTTGCGGTAAGATTACGCAACGTCGGAGCTTGGCCGGTCGGCGATGCCGATTGCATCCTCGCAATGCTCCGAAGTGGAGGTGGGATCGTCCCGTCGCGGTTCGCGCCCGTCCTTGCTTTGCCCGTGTGAAAGGCTGCCATGCTCAGTGTTGGGGAAGGGCCGCTGCAACGGTGGGAAGCATCTCGCAACTTTCGTGTTGAGTCATTCCCACGGCACGGTCAACGAAGTGCGGCGCACGCCATGTCTGCCTCGCTGAGCCTGTGTCTGACGCATACGCTCTCGCCGCGACGTACTGTCTTGCAGCAACGGCGCCGATCCTGTGATGCGTTGGTGCGGGTTTTTCACGACAATCTGTCTCCCGCAGCCGAAGCTCGCGGGTGGTGACGGTGCGAGAGGGTCCTGTGTCAGCCCACTTCGGCTGGGTCGTACGCGATCCACTGGGCCAAGACTGTCTAGGCTGCGCTGACTGAGCGACGACAACAAGTGCAAGCCTAGAAGGTGGCTTTGCGCCTAATTCGGGCAGACAATGAGCACGCGATTGGGGAGCATTGGCGGAGCAGGTCACGCGATACGAAGATCCAGCACCACTAATTTTCGCCTCGGTTGACGTAGCCCGCAACAGCTCGGCACCGGTGCAACGCTTCGATCGAAGCACCGCAACGGGACGGCAACCCCCGACTGGCGGTGGCCGTGCCCTTATGGGAGAGCTATTTGCGACGTGGCTGGCGAGCACTATGGCGCCATCCTCAGGCTAGTCTAGGAACCCAGCCAAGACCTTGGCAACCAGTATGTGGCGTTACGAGACACGACCTGAGGCGAACATCTCGTTGCCCGTTTCGCCGTAAGACGACGCTGCGGCGGTGGTTACCGCCAGCTTCAAGCGCAAAGTCCGTGATGACGGCACCTTTCGCGCAAGCGTAAAATTCAGAGGAGCCCTTCTGAATGTGGGGTTGTCGGGCTAGAGCGGCGTTGCTCTGAGCCGAGCAGCTTCTTTCGCCCGCCGCTCGAAGCTGAGTTGCGATTCCGGCGTTGTCGGGGCAACGATCACGTTCTGTTTGTGCTAGCAAGGGTTTGCGCTGCGGCAGTGTCGCAGGCGAGAACTTGGTGTCGATCGGCAGCACGCACCTCTGCATTTTTACGGTGATGAGGTGGAGGTACAGGCGGCGCCGATCGAGGCGTGCGTCTTGATTCGGCCCGGCTGTTGTGTAGACGTCGCGGCGGAGCCAGGCGGCGTTTGGAAAATTACACCATCCGAAAAAGAAAAAAAATGCGCTGCCCTCGACCACCGCTCCAGGTGCGAGCCAGGTTGACAAACAAATGTCTCTCGACCCGGCACCGATGCAGTCGGCCTTCCATTCAGGTCCCGAGATACATCTGCGTACTGTATATGGTCTGGTGACCTCTCTGCTCAGCTTTCCAGCGAGGTTCGTGCCGTCTCGCTGTGCAAAAGGCGACGCAAGAACATGTGCTCAGGTTGCTGTGACTATTTTCCTTTTCTTTTTTTTTTTTGCAAATGATGGTGACTTGGGCCCCCCTACAGCCGACGTGGACCTTGGTCGATGGAAAAGAAAAAGAAAATCCAAATCTGCATCTGAAATAAAGGACAGAAAATTCCAGAAGCAGACTGTGGGCCTGCGCAGCCTAACAGCAGGGGGGGGGGGGGGGTGTTGGCCGCGTCGAGCCTTGCCCGCGTTCACCACCACATCGCTCTTCTCGTTGCAGAAAGCCACACGAGCAAGGCCGTCGTGCCAGCAGCAGGCGGCATATCGGGTGGCTTGCCAAGCGATGCAACCGCTTCGACGTGGCGCGTGGACAGGTTGACTGGCCGCAACCTTGTGCGTGGCTCTCGCACGTTGGGCTCGTCCGACTTCCGGACGAGAAGAACGTGTCGGGACGGGGCTCGAAAGTCGCTGCAACGTGTAGAGGCGATATCGAGGTGAGAAGGACCTGTTGAGCTGCACCTCACCCGCCCTCAAGAGTTCGCGTACCTGACGCGGAACTCATGCAGCCTGCACACGCTCCCGCGAACGCAGATTGCCAAGAAATCGCAAACTCACAATTATTATAAGCCGTTCCGCAAAGACGATTGCGTCGACGTTACCGCATATGGTTCAAAGATAAGGATCGTGGCGGAAGAGTCGGAGCCCACAGGGCAGGCGAACGGAGGTGGTGTGTGGCTATCTTTGCTGCGAGTGCCATCCCGCGGGGGATGGGTGCCAAGCGGTGGCGGGCTTGCAGTTGCAGGCTGCAGCTGCACGCGCACATGAGCGCCGATTTGTGGAGACAGCCGCCGCCTGCGTCTCGCTTCGTCCCACGCTGCACAACCCCAGATTTCGAACTTCCCCGCCTGCATTTCGTTCGGCGTGTCCACATGTCGCCCCCTCCTATTCGTTGCAGCCACCGGTCGAGCGACGCCCTCCTATCTCCAAGAGTTTCTCCAGCCACAGCTGCGCCAGCCGGAGAAATTCTCGGCCCCTTCACTCGATGATTGGACGCACCCCGCGACGCACGCCTGCTCTCCCCACCCCGACTGCAGCCTGCGTACGGAGAGACACTCACAGCGGGAGTACAATTTTGACTTTGCGCCCCCACGCTGTTGCAAGAGTGACTACCGATTGGACGAAGCTGCCGACTTGATACGCCGGTCAACACCGGCCATCGTATGGAGGCGGTCCAATCGCTGGCGGCAATGGAATCGGAATGATACAGCGCAACGGCGAAGGCCGAGAGGCCGAGGTCACAAGCACAAGTTCACCTGATCTACGGGTGTGCATTGCCGCGCGAGGCGAGTCTAAGGCGTGCACACTCGATTTTGCGGGGTAGGAGCTCCTTTTCCAGGAACGCGGAAGCCCGCCTTCGACAGCAGTAGGCAAGGATGGCTTGGGCCAGGTGACCTTGCGGAGTGGAAGACGTGACGAGAACGTGAGGCGAACCAAATTGTTGGGGAAGCGCCAGGCGCCTAGGCGCTCAGCGTACGAAGAGGACGCGACGGCACCGGAGATCGACAGCCGTTGCCCCGCCGCGGAGTGAATTGTGCCGGAAAAGCGCCTGAATTAGAGCTACGCGTCGGCTTCGCCTCGATGCGAATCACGGCAAGGGCAAGACCCTCCCTTGCAGCGGACGACAGCCTCGCTTGGCACTTCCAACGACTCTGCTGTCTTAGACTCGCGCATATCATCATATCGTTGATGTCTAGCAAGGTGCCGAGCCGAGTCAAGTACGACAAGGCGGAAAGTGGATGCGAAGGTGTTCGCGTGCCAAGCGAGATCTCGCATCGAGCCTGCAAGATCCAGCCCGCGATTTGGACCGCGTCGCATCGCAAACGCAGATCGGGAAGAGATGCAGGAAGCAGATGTGGGGCAGATGCAGCCATAAAAGACGGATCGGTGGCCCGATCCGTCACCGCATCGAAGCTTCGTTCGCCAACGGATTTCGTCGAGGCTGGAATCCCTCAGAACTTTCGATCCCGCCAGCCAGAGACACCTCGCCGACTCCGCATGGGCCCCGCCAAGCTCAGCTGTGCAGACTTCTGATTTTGAATTTTTCTCTTTTTTTCGACATTTCGGCTGACGCGCTGCCTACGCGATACTTACTGAGGCGGGAGCGGGCGAGCCCAGAACGTTCCAGCGTCATTGAATCACGTCAGCCGCAAACACGACGAGCACGTTCTGGCAGCGTTTGCTGCAAACGTCCGCTGCTGCAAAGAGGCGTCCTTAGGTATGGCGCAGCTGACAGCTCGCAGCTGCAGAAGCTGGAAGCGCGCTCGTCCCCCCGCTACTGCAGCACCAAACCTAGCTTGGTCCTGCAACGCACTGTGCTGCGCTGTGCAGGACGATCCGCGGCGACCACTCAGATTGCGACGCTCTGGTATCAGCCAATGGCTCGGCTTCGAGGTGCAACCCTTTTTCCAAGCGCCGGCAGTGCGACCTACTGTACGCTCATGCCTCGTTCGACCCTAGTCCCTCGCAGATGCTCTTTGCATGAATTAGCAGCTGCTCAGCCCTGGACAAAGGGGTTGCCGGAAGACTTGTTTCCGTCGGCGAGGTGGAGCGCAGAGGGTGTAAAATTAGAAGAAGAAGCACACCCAATGACAGTAGCGTGCTGTACTCTGCGTGCTCCGATCGAGCTACACGCTCGAGCCGAAAAATTCCAAGGGCCCGAGCCCAATTTCTTCTCGTCTGGCGAAAAAAAAAAAAGTCCTCACTGCTGGGATCGGGGAGGGCAGCTTCATCTATTTCCAGGGCGCCGATTCGGCCAACTCGGGCACGGATGCGCGGACTGTGCACCCTGCAACGCTCGATGGCGGTGCAGGGCTCCGTGCGGTTACAGACCCTCAAGGTGCGTCTGACGCAAGGCGGCAGCACGGTGACCATGGCGGCAGCGTTGGCCGTATGGTGATCTGGAGCGCTGGATCGAGAGTCGTAATTCGGAACCTTTTTCCGTCGAGTCCCGCACATTTTCTGCAACCTCCGCGCAGTGCCGTCCACGTTCTTCGATTTTCGAGATTTTTTTAAGGCGTTGCCTGGCATCAGTCGCGGCAACGTGCGAGGTCGACAGCATCCAGCCTGGCTGCAAGCGGAGCAACTCGAAGCCACAAACGTACTGGTTGAGAGAAGACTGGAGCTTGCGTCTTGACCGAAGCCGAATGCGACCTCGATCGCAATCGCTGAGCCAATCGACGCAACGCAGCAGCGAGCAACACTGTTGTGCGCGAGCCTGTTCGGCATGCTCGGCATGCCTCACGAGCCTCGATCTGCGCAGTCAAATTGCAGTTTTGAAAAAAAAAAATCGAAAAAAACACGAGAACCCTAGCGTTCATCATAGCGTGCCTGGCTTGCGTGATGCGTCGACTCACCATCGAGGTTGGCGATTGGCCGTGATTCAGTGCCGTATGATATCTGTGAACAAATTGCGACAGCATCCATTCGGAAAGCGGATTCCGCATCAATGAAGCATGCCGAGCTTGAGCCTCTTGGCTGCACTACGGCTGCGATGGTACGCTCCTGAAAGGCTCCGAATACGCCTCACGGCAATCGCTGACGACAGCCAAGGCAACAGCATAGAAGGGTAGGGTGCAAGTGTGCCGATGTGGAGTCATCGACGGCAACGAGCTAGTGCCACAAAGGTACCCTCTTGCGTGACCTTACGGTACCCGGCACCTTCTTCCCGTCACCTTTTTTCTTTTTTCTTTTTTCTTTTTTTTTTTTTTGGTCTGATGAATTGGAAGGGGCCGGGGTGGAGTTGCTTCCATTTTTTATGCGTAAAATTCAAAAGAGGGGGAGACCGGGGGGGGGTTTTCGAATTTCCTGCTCCGAGGTCTCAATGGGTGGCCGTGATTCCGTCAGGCGTTGGATGCCAAGCCGAGGGGCTGAGTTGGATGAAGCGGCGCCCGCAGCGAGCCTCAGGATCGAGGGTTGCACCTGCACTGCGCCGCCGCGTTGTGCAGCTCCCCAACAAGTGCTAATTTCTCTCGGGATTTCCGCTGTCCACTTAATCCCGTCTCCGGCGTCCGAGCGGAACCAAACTTAGGTGTACGCATCCAGCCGTAGCCCAGTGAAGCTCGCTCGCTCGGCTTTGCAGCGCTGTGCAGCTGTTGACAGCTCGACTGGGCCCAACGTGCGATCCTTGCATTTGCACGCTTGCGTCGGCAGGTGACTCTGCCTGACTCGTCTTTGCATACGGCACAGCACACCACACTGCACAGCATCGGACCGCATCGCCATGGAGCACCGCGCTGTGCGTGTTCGAGCCCGCCTGTTGCGTGCGAGCATGATGCATACTCGTGCGTCCACGAAGGCGCCCGCCGCGACACGAAGCCTTGTCCTTGCGTGCTGCCCGCGATGATCAGCGTCGGCATCCAGTCGAGCCCGCAGCCTCACCGCAACCCCAGGCTGGATGCCGTCGAGCAGCGCACTTCTTTCACCATTTTTTCCGCTGCAGTCGCTCGCTCCCCCGAACCCCCCTCTTACCCTGAAGGAGTTGGTGGCCCTTGAGCATATCCGCACCTGTCATACTCGACTCCTCCTCTCGGCAAGCTTAGCTGACCCTCCTACCTGACTCGACGTTGGCTTCCATCTCACCATCACTCGCACCTTTCTGGCTTGTTCGCTCGCTACCTCTTCGTCCATCACCACACACTAACCATTCGACGTTGCATTGTCCAATACGCCCGAAGCTACACCAAGGCACACACCCAGTAGTCACGTCAGTCACACCTGCATGAGCTGCTGCAGCACGCACGCTTCTACCGCCTTTTCTGCCATCACACCCAGCTGCACCTCCGACAGCTTGGACCCACCCGCCTTGACCCTTTGTTCCCAACGCACCGCCTGGGACCCACGAGCTTGGTCCTCCCGCACCTCTTCGCTCGCCATTCTTCAAGTCACAACGCCACCACCCACCCGCCTGTGAACGTCGCAAGTCGCACTTCGCCGTATCACTCGCTCCTCCTTTCTTCCCGCCCCTTCCAAACTTTTCCTCCGAACCTTCTTATACCGCAACCAACCACCCGCGCCCGCACCTCCTTTACCGCCTCGTTCCATCTCCGCCGCTGTTCCCTCATTCTCACAGCACCGCCATTGGCACCACCTCGACCGCAGCGCCTGACCGCATACTACGCGCCATCTTCCCGCTGGCCTCGAGCCCATCACAGTCTCCACAAGGAGTCTTCGCTGCTACCTGCCAGCCAGCACGAGCGATTTTGTCCACCCGTAGGACCCGTGTCGACGGGCCTTGACACCTTCCACAACAATGGCCGGCATCTACCGACGTTCGCTTGCGCGCATCGGACGCAAGGAGAGCGAGATCTCTGAGATCCGCACCACACCCGCCGACGAGCTTTCCTCCTGGCTCGGCGATGATGTTTGCACAAATTGCGGTGCCTCCACCCCGCACGGCAAGCTCTTCTGCTCCGAAGCCTGCAAGCTTGCCGACGCCAAGGAGGTAGCCCAGGCGTCCATGATCGAGAGCCTCGCTTCCCCCATTCCAAAGTCGGACGAGTTTGCCAGGCTCGACGACGGCCTCAAGTTCCGCTACCCCTGCCCCCCTTCCCCTAGCCTGCTCGCCCAGATGTCGGCACCGCTGCGCACCACCCACCTCACCTCGCCTGCCCTCGCCGCATACCAGAGCTCGCTACCAGTCTCTCGAGGCCGCTACAGCCTCGCCTCCGCTGCCTCCAACGAGGCCGGCACCCATGACGCTCGTCAAACCAAGAAGCGAAGCAGCTCTCAGTCCACCTTCTCGTCCATCTCCGAGTCCAACGGCAGCCAGAGCGCATTTGCAAGCACCGATCCCTCGACGCCATCCCCCGCTTACGGTCCCACCGAGGACGAGTCGAGCGACCTCGATGCGCACGACTTCCAGCTCCCCCCCTCCGTCAGCACCGCCAGCGCCGTGATGCTCCGCAAGAGCTCCAGGTCGTCCGCATCTCAGGCCGCGCCTCGCCCCATCACCGCCGACTCCCGCACTCCCAAGTCGCCTCTCTGGTACGCTCGTCGGCCCAGCAACACCAACTCGCGTGGAAGCTGGTACACCTCGCCCGCCATCACCGCAACAACCATGGTGACTGCCACCAGCCAAGACCACCGCAGCCCCACTGCCGAGCAACCCCGATCTCCGCGCGACACCCAGGCCACCTTGACTCGCAGGGCTGCCAAGGACGTCCTCGCCCAGGCTTTCCCCTCGGTCCCCGTCTCGAGCAGCCAGTCGGCGCAAGGCGACCTCTTCACTGCTCGCCGCGCTCGCTCCGAGCAGATCGAGACTCGATCACCGCCTCCCGCGCATTCCGTCGCCTCGTCTGCTGGCCGCACACTCCGCGGAGTTAGCCCGTCGAGCTCGCGAGCCTTCAGCCCTCGCAGCACCGAGCTCGGTTGCGACCGATGCCGCACCATCTCCAACGTCTCGGGTGACTACCAGCCCTACGGTAGCAGTCTCTCGTCTCGGTCGCGAGGCGCCTCCAAGTCGCCGCGCATCGAAGGACTCAAGCAGTACCACAAGCACTCGCACAGTGCGGCCGCTGGCCTCTTCTTCACCCACATGGCTTCGCGCGACTCGCTCGAGGCCGACGTGCAGGACGAGCGTCAGGGTCGCCCCACCGAGTCCTCGCGACACAGGAGCCCGCGCTCCGTCGCTGCCGACACCCAGCAGGATGTGCGAGCCACGCCGCCGCGCGGCCGATCCAAGGCGCGCGGCAGGAGCTCGCACCGACGCAGCCCTAGCCCTCCCCGCGCAGCTGCCCGACGCGATTCGTCGCTAGTGGGCAAGCACGACTCTTCGCCCGCACCCATCTCGCCACGCTCGCAGCCCATCTCCATCTCCATGATGGCTCGCGACTCGCGTCGCGCCAGCGACGACGCCGCCTACCACCACGACGAGGAGCTTCGCTCCGCACTGCCTGAACGACCATCGCCGCTTGCCCTGATCTCCGAGAACGAGGCGGTGGCCAAGGTCGACGTCGCTGAGCCGCTCGCAGAAGCGCGGGGTCGAACCCGGGGCCGCAGCTCGCGCCGTGGCCACGGCTCGCAGGAGCGCGGTTCCGCCTCGCGATCTCGATCGCGCTGGATCCAGCCGGACTGCGAGGTCTCGTGGGCCGGCTACGGCCACCGCGCTTCGGACCGCGGCGAGGCGGAGCCCGAGCAGCAAAAGCGTCCGCTCCGCTCGCGCGCTCCCGAGTTCTCGGACCCTGGCTTCGACGACGTCGATCTCGAGCTCGACGGCGACGACGAGCGCGAGGAGTCGCAGTCGCTCTCGTCGGGCGGCAGCTTCGGATCGGCCGCTGCTCGTGGTCGCGCCAGCCTCCGCGCATGAAGAAGGCGTAACCACATCGATCGTCACCTCTCTTCTCTCACTCTTCAAAAGCACCTTCGACGCTGAACGCTGCTGTCTACGTACGGGCGCGTCTCCGAATGGTCGCATCGATCTCAACGATCTCTCAGTCTCGTCTTGCATTGCCTCTCCACCCCGTCCATCTCACCGTGTCACGCTCAACTCTAATCATCGGATCCTCAATCATTTGGCCGGGCTCGAAATTCATCCACTTGCACTTGTACCATCACCACCAGTCAGAAGCACATTCATCCATCACAACAATCTCAAAGCAGTCACCATTTCATGCGCATGTCTTGTTTGGAGTCTCAGTCTGTGTGAGGGGCGCGCTTTGAGCCGACAGGGGATGCACTGAGAGATTCCGGTTTTGCAATTGATGCGGGAGGAGACGGAGCGGGGGAGCTAGTGGTACAAAGCGAGTCTGAGTTGGGGGGGGGGGGGGGGGGGGGGGGAAGGGGTATAATCAAAAGCTAGAGGGGTTGGTGATGTACCAGAGCACGTGGAGTGGGGCTGAGAGGAGGATGACTAGCGAGCCGATGAGTTGGGCTATGGCGTAGAGAGTTAGCTGGAGGGCGAAGGTTGGGAATCCGTTGATGCGAATGTAGGCTGTGTAGATTTGGGAGACCGACGTTGCGGGATGGTTTGGAATGAGACGCAGCATTGAGGGTGATGGAAGCGGTGGGAAGGCGTTTGCGAGCTGAGCCAGGCCTGGGATGGCGAGAAGAGGGGTGAGGTGGATATCGTGCGCCGACGATTCCCATTCGATATTCGACCTGGCGTTCAAGAGGTGGCGAAGGTCACTGGGGCTGGTGAACATGCGCATGCGATGGGCTTTGCGCTCAGCAAGGGCCATTAGATACGCTATCAACATGCACTGTACCACCACAACCACCACGATCCGCAATCTCCCCCTGCTTGGTTTCGCCGAGGTCAGTGGTGGCGTGGCAAGCTCGTTGGGGATTTGCGCTTGAAGTCGAACAACACGGTCGGCAAGAACAGCGAGGGCTTGCGCAACTTCAGCTCGCAACTCCTCGACGCGCTTCCTGTCTTGCTCCTCCCCCTGGATCACAGCTTCCCATGCAGCACGAGAGTCTCGAGGTAGCCGCGCCGTGGGTGAGTGGAACTCAGGTCGTCGTACCGCTTCGACCTTGCTCATGCTTTCGCCGACTGCAGTGATCGCTTCACCGAGTCTACCTCTCTTCTCCCTCGCTTCGTGCGCCGCCTGCATGGTGGTTAGCATCTTGCTCACCGTCGCCTGCAGCGAATCATCTCCGCCGCCGACGCGAAGATCTTGCGGATTGGATCCGCTCGAATCATCGGACGTTCCCGCCTCGAAGCTCGCAAACTCCTGACCCAGGCTCGCCGGCCTCGGGGAGCGCGGTGAGTTGCGCGGATCATCCGGTGGCAAGAACGGCCTGGGAGGCGGAGTCGACTCGCGCGGAATGTCCGCGCCCGATTCCGGAAACAGCCCGTACTCGCCCTGCACCGCTGCAGGAGTTGTGATCATCGCGGGAGGCAGCACTCGTTCCGTCTTGGGGCTGGCACGGATGATGTGTCGCGAAAACGTCTTGGCCTTGACCGGTGTGCACGCATACGCGCCCGGGAAGCGCACGCTCTGCGAAAACGAGCCCGCCGCCTCGGGCTCCTCCACCTTGGCGGCTGTATGCAGTCCACCAACGCTCTCCTCTGCTTCCGCCGCAGCCACCACGTGCTCCTTGGTGGGTTCGGCAGGTGCCGTATCGGACGCAGCCTGGAGAATATCGGGGATCCGGATGGGTTGAGCCGGAAGCAGCAGACGCGTCACGGCCGCCTCGCGCGAGTCGCCCTCGTCGTTGCCCGCCGCCTGAGTGCTCTCGTCCCAGGAGCCCGAGTCGGATCGGTAGTCGGGCCGCGGACTGAAGCGCACACTGTGCCCGCGCCGTGCTGCACTCAACGGACCCTTCCTGGCCGAGGAGAGGATGCTGTTGATCGGCGTCTGCGGATACTCGTGCTCTGCCTGCAATTTTGAGTCCTGCTCATCAGGCGCTGATGCATTGGACCGCAGAACGTGGTTGAGTCGCTGGCGAGCTGCGCCGAGCGAGGCCGAGGGGAGGTTGGCCGCGACGCTGACCGTGTTGGTGTTCTGCCGCCGGTGTGCGCCCTTGCGCGGGGAGGATGCCGGGCTGGAGACCGACGACAAGCTGCGTGCAGGCGACAGTTCAAGCGCCATGGGCTGCGAGGCGAACCCAAACGCCACCTGCTGCGTCTGCGGCGTCGTCGGCAGCTTGTCCACCGCTCTCGCGCCCACACTTACCTCTTGCGAGCGATCGGGATCTCGAGCCTGGCCATTGGCAGATGAAGCTTCGTCCTCGTCTGCCTCGGCGAGGGTGTCGGGGATGCGCGCACTCGCCTCTTCGCCCAGATGCCGCGGCTGTACGTCGGAAGCTGCGTGTTCGTCGATCTTGGGAGAGCCGGCGCTCGAGAGCAGCGGGGATGCGGTGGCCGAGACTGACACTGGCGAACGAGTCGCGGGAGTCCTCCAGTCCGGCGAAGCGCGGTCGGGGGCGGTTGATGCGGAAGCGGGGCTGTCGAACTGGGAGCTGGCTGCGGACGTGCGGCGCCGGGAGGGGACAAAGGCGCGGGCTGCCCGTTCACGTTCTCTCCGCGCCTGCTTCTCTTGCCACTGCCGATGCTCTTCGGCAGCCCGCGCCTCGCGCTCCTTCTGCATCGACTCGAATACGGCCGCGATGCTTTTGCGGCCGGGCGTCATCAAGGGCGTGGCGAACGATGCCTCGATAGACTCTTCTGCGTGCCTCGATTGCGGTGTGCGGCGGGACGGAGAGGGCACCGGGCCCGGGCGCGCCGGCGAGGACGTGTCTGCTGCTACGGGCGCTGCAACCGGTGAGCGCCTGCCGTTGGGTTGGGAACGCACTTCGGTGGATGAGCGGCGGGCAGTCCAGCGGGCCATGGACTCTGCTCTCCTCTGCACGGCGCGCGAATGCTCTGCATCGCTGTCTGCCGAGTCGCTGCTCTCGAGCGTGTCGAGCCCGCGCTGGAGCTGGTCGTAGGAGTTCTGGTGTGCGCGTGGCCCCAGGCGTGCGCGCGCCGACTTGGGCACCAGCACCGGGTCCTTTTTAAAGTCGCGGCTGTGCGAACGTGGTTCGGACGCCGAGTTGGAGTTGTGAGACTGGTCGTAGGGAGCCGCGCTACTGGGATGCAGTACTTCTTCCGCATCGGCATTGACAGCGTCCGGGGTTGTGTTGCGCGGCCTCATGGGATGCATGCCGACGGACAACGAGCCCGGGTCCGAGCCGGAAGAGGAGGAAGCGGCGGCGCGACGGCACAGTCCGAGATCGATGTCCTGATCCGAGCAGCGGCAATCATCCGGGCACACCTGGCGTGGACGCGACCTGCGAGGCGAAGCAGCGACGGCGGGTTTGTCGGAGCCTTTCGGGCGAGGCCGTGTGCGTGCAGGGAGAGGCGAGATGTGGATGGAAGGGAGCGTGCCGACGTCGTCAAGTGCGGAGAGTGTGGGCGTGGCTCCACCGTCCACGGAAAGCAGAGCTGAGGCGAGAGAGCTTTCGCTTGAGCTGGAACGCACCTCCCACGGGCGATAGTCGGATGTGGTGTCGGCGTTCACTAGCGTGCTGCTCGATGTCGAGATGGCGTCTGGTGGTCTCGAGGCTAGATCAGGACGAGGTGCCGGCAGGGTATCGTTGCTTGACCGCGAGTGTAATGAGGTTCTGTTGCCGCCCGAAAGCGGCCGACGCGACAAGAAGGGGCTGTGGGAAGGTTTGGGCGAAGGAGACGCAGCAAACGGATGGCGGTAGGGTGAAGTGACCGAAGCTTCATCCCTAGCGAACGAGCGCAGCGGTGATGTCATCTATGTATGGCGGAAGGATGCGTAGTGGCGAGCTAGCGCATTGGAGATGGGCTTGATGGTTTGGATGTGTGATCTCGTTCCTAGCGACTTGGCTGCATCCATGGTGGTGTCATGCTACACAAGGTTGGCGTTTCGCGCTTACGGCCCGATCAAGCGGTCAACGGTTGGTGTTTGTCTGCCAGGAACGTGAAGAGGAGCAGAGACGTGGCTGAAGAGCAGATGGTGAACGAATGTGAACGGCTTGCCAAGCGTGATTGTTCGGACGGCGATGCTACCGGCGGCGTTGTCGATATCGGGACGACGAGCCGTGTTGAACTCGCGTAGTCTCGACGTGAAGGGTCGCGCCTCCGCTGCAGACTCTCTCCGGGCGAAGCCAAAAAAAGTCAAGTCACGCGCGTGCGCAACGTGCAACGTGTTGAGAGCAAATCGGCAACGGTCGGGAATCGGGTCCAAATTGGTGGAGTGGCCACCGATGGCCCCGATCAGTCAGCGTCGTCGGGTCGAAACTCGGACATGGCCGAAGACGAGGCGCGGCCGAGTCCCCAGTGCTCCTCGGCGTTGTCCGAGGCTGGCTGACTGGCTGCATGGCTCCACGCTCGCTGACTGGCTTCTGTTTGCTCGAGATGCGTCGAACACTATGTTGCCCACCCTCCCGTTTCAGCTGATTCCGCTCGGGAAAGCACCGCTGAGGTGGAGGCCATGACCCACATGGCTTGCGCCAGCAACACTCGGCACGTTGCGTGTCCGAATCGAGTGGGCGACAGGCGCAGGCGTGGCTGGTCAGGTGGAGTTGCGTTGAGCGGCGCGGATACATGAAGGTCACACACAGTGGCCTCTGAAGGTTGAGAGAGATGGCTGAGCCGAGCGGATGGCGGAAGCAAGCTCGACACGCCAACCGCTCCTGCTGCGGGTTTACAGTTGTCCGTGCTCAGGGTCTTCGGCGATCTCCATGCTCGCTCCGCTGCCTCGAAAATTTCCACACCGCGGCACGCATGGCGTCTTAGCTTCTGCGCAGAGCGGTGACAAGCTCACCCGCCACATTACATGATTCCGTGCTCTTGGTGCGAAAGGTTGGGATGAGGAGCAACAAGCCATTCGGGTCGGGCGTCAAGGTTGGGCGGTTGCGGCCGCAATTTTGCACTTGAGCAACAGGCAATGCAACCGGCTAGCCGAGCACTGGACAGCGTCCGAAGCAATTTGCGCGTGGCCTCCGCTTATCGCTCGACGCGGGCCGTTGCTGCTCCCCACTCGAACAGCACGGCTATTCTGCACCCTGGGCTTGCCACCGACCCAATCTCTCGACGCTCGTTTGCCTCCCTCTACTGGTCTACATAAAGCTCACGCCGTCCGCCTTGGCACTCGCCGAACATCCCCACCCACTCTCCGTCAAAGCAACTCCCGGTGCCCATTCGCCCGCCCGCCCGCTTCGTTTGCTATCTGGCCATGTCGTCCAAAGCCTCGTCTTCCAGCGTCCGTCTGGCGTCCTCGTCGTATGGCAAGGACCTCGTGCGCATCTTCCGCATCGTGCGCGACACCAAGGATCCTTCGTCGCATCGCGTCGCCGAGTACACGGTGCGATGCCTGCTCCACGGCGAGAGCCTCACTCCGTCCTACACCGAGGCCGACAACTCGCCCGTCGTCGCCACGGACACGGTCAAGAACACGCTCAACTACCTCGCCAAGGTGCTGCCAGCAGAGGACGTGCTGTGCCCCGAGCGATACGCGCTGCACGTCGTCAACCACTTCCTCACCACCTACTCGCACATCGAAAAGACCGAGGTGGACCTCATCCAGCACAAGTGGACGCGCATCGTGCTCGATGCCAAGGACGGCGGCGCACACAAGCACAGCTTTGTGCGTGACGGCGAGGAGAAGCGTACTGTGCGCGCGCTCGGCGAGCGAGCCGGCAGCGAGATCCAGGTGACCACGCTCGAGGGCGGCATTAAGGGCCTGCTTGTACTCAAGAGCAGCGGCAGCGCCTTCTACGGCTTCCACAGGGACAGCTTCACCACGCTCAAGGAGGTGCGCGACCGCATCTTCTCCACCGAGGTCGAATGCTTCTACGCGATCGCGCTTCCCCAGGGCGGACTCAGCGCTGCGCTCAAGAAGCCGGCTTCGCTGCCCAAATTTTGCGACATCCACGACTCGGTCAAGTCGCACGTGCTGCGCGTTTTTGCGCTCGACGACTCGGCGAGTGTGCAGGCCACCATGTACCGCATGGGCGAGGCCATCCTCGGCGATGCTGCCAACAAGACGGTCACCGACGTCGCCTTTGCATTGCCAAACAAGCATTACATCCCCATCGACCTCGGCTTCAAGGGTCTCAGCAACCTCGACGAGAAGGACGCCGAAGTCTTCCTGCCCACTGCGCATCCCAGCGGCTACATCAAGGCCAAGATCGCTCGATCCGCCGCTGCCAAGCTCTGAGGTCGGACGACGCTCAGACTTCATCTTGCGCAAGCGTCGTCGTCTCTAGATCTTTGTCCCATGTCCGCTCGAAGCGCACATATCGATACCGTGATGTAAGATAGCTCATTTGGTCCGGCAATCTCTCCATTCCTTATCATACCGTACCAGGCCGACGTGGGGAATCGTGCGTGGGATGAAATGAGTGCGGATCGCATTGCGCGATCGATGTTCCAAGTGAGCTTATTTGGCTTGCGCTTGGCAATGAAAGCCAGTCTCGCAAAGGTGAGCTTGGGAGCGTGGAGGAGCCGGCTTTCTGTTGTATGCTCTGCCGGTGGTGGGGCGGGGATGGGTTCGTTTCGGGTGGGCGTGAGGGGTGAGGGGGTTTTGCGCCTGCAAGCCGCGGTCTGTGCGTTTGACTCGAGTGCCGGCGCGTACGCCTCTGGCCAAATTGAATTCTTCGCGAACCAACACCTGGAAGTGCATGCGGGTCCCCTGCCAGGCACCGACTCCCCCAGATCCCCCACCCGCGTGACAGGACGCCGCCAGCTAGCCAGCCAGCCAGCCAGCCAGCCAGCCAGCCAGCCAGCCAGGTCTCGCCACACCTCCGCTGCCTGCCTTTCGCATCACATCCGTCGTCTCTTGCCACCACCTATCTCAACGACCGGGGACTCACTTCATATCGACTACAAGATGGCCACCACATACTTTGAGCAGTGCAGACGTGTAAGTCCAAACGGCACTGGCGCACAGATAGTCGACCACCTTCCCTGGCAAAGAAGCTAGTGCGGACGCGATACTGATGATCAATCTCACCTGCTATGCTGGCGCTGACTCTTCGCCTTACCTAGTCGTTCGCCGATGTGTCCACCGAGGGCGGTGTCGACACGGCGGCTTTCCTCGAGGCTTGCGAGGGCCTGGTCAAGCTCTTCGACCTGCTCGGCAACACGGCATTCAAGGTGGTGCAGAACGACATGAACGGCAACATTGCGGTCAGTATCCCGTCCGGAGTGCCTGAGAAGCAGGATGCTGCGTCCCAAGTACAGCAGCTGAACGGAATTCTACTCTTTGCATCGTGACCGGCTCCCTGTCAACTCGTCTTCGCCCCACAACAGAAGGTCAACACTCGCCTCGCTCAGACGGGCGTCGAAAAGTCGGGAACACTCGAAAAGCTCGTTCAGAACGAGGGCCCTGGCGGCACCTCGAAGCGACCCGCCACCGAGGGCCTCATGTGGCTGCTGCGCGGACTCGACTTCACGGCTCAGGCGATGCGCAACTCGGTGAACAACAAGAACGAGGAGCTGGCCACCAGCTTCACCAACGCATACGGCACCACGCTCCGCCCACATCACGGCATGCTCATCCGCCCCGTGTTTGCGCTCGCCATGAAGGCGTGTCCGTACCGCAAGGACTTTTACGCCAAGCTTGGCGAGCCTCAGTCCAAGGTGGACGAGGAGCTCGAAAAGTGGCTCGCCGCCCTTGAGAAGATTGTTGCCCACATGAAGGCCTTCTATGCGTAAGTTTTGGTGGCGTGCGGCCGATTGCATGTTCTCACGAGAGCGCCGCTGACTCGACGTCCTTGCTCGACTCCGTTGCTTGCGCGATGTGGTCCCCAACAGTTCTGGCAAGTACGACAAGGGCTTCTAAACATGCTTAGAGGTAGCATACGCTCGCGCACTCGCAACAATACGAATTGCAACAGGACAGATCTTACACCAGCCCTGAAGCTGGGACACGTGGCACGCCTGTGCCGTTCGAAGCTGCACTGAGCTATGCACCTGAGTGGTCTAGCATGCGAGACGAAGGCTGATACGGCGGTGCGCCGCTGATGGCGTCTAAATCGAGATCTGCGGCAAGAGATCTGCACCCGATGAAGAAGCAATCCTTGCTGCAGGCTGCACCGAGGCAGCAACGAACGAGCTCCGGATTGTGTCGACATGAGCAGCAAAGCGTCTTCCCATGTGGGGCGAAGAGGCATCTCGGACGAATTCCCACGCGCGTCGCGGAGAGATTATTTCGCTATCGATAAGCAAGCGCCTTCGCCCCTTCGTTGCCATCAGTAGCTCTCTGATTACAGTACAGCTACCCTGAAAGCTGCTTTGTCCAGGCTCATGTCCATGCAACAGGCTGTCATCGCAGAAAAGAGGGCGTGTAGGAGTCACCGAAGAAGAGGAGCTTGCATGCGGAACACCAGTGCCCTCGGCGAATATCCAGCCCGATCGCATCTGCACCCTTGCCTTCCTCACATCGCCGATGGAGAATGGATGCCGTCCGTCGTCTTCGGCCTCAGGTGACGTTGGAAAAGCGGAGGTGTCGGCTCTTGTGAGGTGTTGCTCCGTGAATGGCCGCGCCTTTCACGTTCTCACCCGAGAGGCTCGGACGCGGTAGAAACAGCAGCCCGGCATGCGCACGGATGTCTCCGAGGTTAGCGGCAAGCCTCGATCGGGCGGAAAGCAAGGTGGAGGCTGCAGGGTCGCTTGCAGGCTTAGGTGGATCGCGGCAAGTCGCGCTTCTTCTCGTTGCACAGGCTCAACGTGGTTCCGCTTTCAACTCGCCGAGCAGGGGCATCTTCACAAGCATTCCTGCCTGCTTGCTGCCATGAGGACAAGTCGCCTCTGAGACCGAGATGGCTCAGATGCAAGAGAAGAGCAGGGAGGCTGATGTGTTGGGTGAGGCGGCAGTTGGGATTGGCTGGGAATTTCGATTGGATTCTAATCAACGCAGAATCGCTGTGGGTTCGGAGAGGCGGCCTGATCGATCTTGGGAAGTCCGTGCAGCAGCTTGGCCCAGATGCGAAGAAAAAAAGGTCATGTGTCGAAAGCGCCCCTGCGCCCGTGCCACTCTCTCTCTGAATGCTCTCTGCCCGCTGCGGCCGCAGAGCGCAGATCGACCGACATCCTACCGGGTGCCTTTCTCGCAGGCCCAGCGCTGCGCCCCCACAGCTGCCAGTCGGCAGGTTGATACCAGCTCCTGCCCACTTGTACCGTCCTTTCTTCCCTCCACCACCACCACATCTTTCCCACTACCACTCTTCACTCTCGTTGCATCATATCAAAGTGAGTATGGCCCCCATCCCCGCGTACAGCACCACGCCTCTTCGTGTCCTCGGCTGCTCCCCCGCGTCCACACCCCGGTCGTGTCGCAATGTCGACGCGGAAAGTTGCGATGGTTGCGACTGGTGCGAGCATCGATCCAATGAGCATTCGTCGCTGATACGCATCTACACTTTTTGACGCTTCTTCGCAACTGCAGAATGGGTGTTCTTGACATTGTTCCCGCCGGTGTCGTCTCCGGAAAGGACGTCTACAAGGTCTTCGACTACGCTCGTGAGAACAAGTTTGCCATCCCCGCCTTCAACGTCACCGTAAGTACCTTTTGACCCGCATCGAAAGGACTCTGCGAAGGACTGCGGCCGTCCGCGGGGCGCCTGCAGAACGGACGCGCTCATCTTTGTAACGAGCTGAACGCTGACATCCTGCGATTGCCTCTGTCTTTGCGCGTGAACCGGCAGTCGTCGTCGGTTGCCATCTCGGCCCTCGAGGCTGCTCGCGATGCCAAGTCGCCCCTGATCCTGCAGGTCTCGCAGGGCGGTGCCGCCAACTTTGCCGGCAAGGGTCTGTCGAACTCGAACCAGGAGGCCTCGATTATCGGTGCCAAGGCCGCTGCGCTCTTCATCCGCGCCGTCGCCCCCTCGTACGGCGTGCCCGTCATCATGCACTCGGACCACTGCGCCAAGAAGCTGCTCCCCTGGTTCGACGGCATGCTCGCCGCCGACGAGGAGTACTACAAGGAGCACAACGAGCCCCTCTTCTCGTCGCACATGCTCGACCTCTCGGAGGAGTCCAAGGAGGAGAACATCGAGACTTGCCTCAAGTACCTCAAGCGCATGGCGCCTCTCGGCATCTGGCTCGAGATGGAGATCGGCATCACCGGTGGTGAGGAGGATGGTGTCAACAACGAGGGCGTCGACAACGCCTCGCTCTACACGCAGCCCGAGGACATCTGGGACATCTACCGCCAGTTCTCGGAGATCACGCCCAACTTCTCGATCGCCGCCGGTTTCGGTAACGTGCACGGTGTGTACAAGCCCGGCAACGTTTCGCTGCAGCCCGAGCTCCTCGGCAAGCACCAGGAGCACGTTCGCGAGCAGGTCAAGAGCGACAAGGAGAACCCGGTCTTCTTTGTCTTCCACGGCGGCTCTGGTTCGGAGAAGCACGAGATCGCCACGGCCGTGTCGCACGGTGTGGTCAAGATGAACGTCGACACGGACACGCAGTGGGCGTACCTGCTGGGTATCCGCGACTACATCCTGAACAAGAAGGACTACCTCATGAGCCAGGTGGGCAACCCGGACGGCGCGGACAAGCCCAACAAGAAGTTCTTTGACCCGCGTGTGTGGGTGCGCGAGGGCGAGAAGACCATGGCTACGCGCTGCAAGGAGGCCTTCACCGACCTCGGCTCCACCGGCAAGCTCTAAAGCGGTCCCCCCAACATTGCCGCTTTGGCGCGCAGTAGGCATGGTTTTGGCCGTGTAGGTCGAATCGGGCTGCTGTGTGATTCCGCATACGAAATCCAAGAATAATAACCAAGACGAACATGGTGTAGTTGAGGTGACGCTTGGCGAGGCATTGTCGATAGTGTACAAGGGGCAAAGGGCCGGGGGGTATGCGTGTTTGGTTGAGGAGGATCTATTGGTCTGGGGACCAGAAGGTGCATCTTCCGGAAGCGTTTCCCGTGACGAGGCGTGCGGGGCGGGTAGGATGCATTGCAGTGACAGCGGGGACGGCGGTGACGAGGTTCTCGTCCCACAGCGTGCGAAGGAGCGTACCGTCGGCAGCGTAGATCTCGGCGCGGCGCGTCATGCTGCCGATGGAAAAGTGGGGCTCGAGCGTGGGATTGGCGTTCCACTTTGCGCGGAACATGGTGAGCCATTTGCCCGTCTGGTTGTTGTGAGGAATGCGCACCGGATCTTCCAGCACGTCTTGAGGTCGATCCTTGGCCGGAGCCGTAGCCTTGGCGGTTTGGATGGCCTCCTTGACCTCTTCCTCGGTCTTGAGCGGATTGAAGCTCGAAAGCCATGTGGAGAGTGCACCCTTCTTGGGCTCGGCTTCCTCCTTCTTCACGCCTGCTCCGCCGCGCCTTGCGCCCTTGGCGGCGCCGTTGACTGCGCCCGTGATGGCGGCCTTGTTCTTGAGACCGTGTTCGGAGTAGAGCCAGCCGGGATCCATGCTCCATACCTTGACGACGTCATCGTACGAGACGCCGACGAGCTGGTCACCTCGGGGGCTAAAGTCGACGCTGGTGCACGCCTGTCTGGCCTTGTTGGCTGCGAATTGCGCCTTTGACTGTGCGGCCTCGAGATCGTCGGCATCGACGCCCTTGTAGTTGTATGGAGCTTCTGCGGTCTCTTTGACGACGGAGGCGAGGGCGCGCACGTCAAACAGCCGAATGTGCTGGTCCAACGACGCAGTGGCGACACAGTGGGGCGCCGCACGGTTGAGCGACATGGCGCCGATCTTCTTCTCGCACACCTGCCAGCGACGCGTGTTGTTGCCGCGGCGCGTCTTTTCGCGCAGGTCGATGTGCAGCAGGCCGCCGCGGTGGTCGGCGATCCACATGGAGCGCTCGTCGAGCGAAGGATGCGGCGTGTCGATGTAGGCGCCGGCATGGGTGGAGGGCGACAGAATGTCAAAGATGGACAGCAGCACGTCCTCTTCGCCCGCCCACACCTCGTCTGACTTGCCTGTTGCCAGGTCGAGCTTGCGCACCGTCGAGTCGTACGAGCTCGAGAAGGCCGAGTTGTGGTTGACCGGGTCGAACTTGATGCATGTGACGGGGCTGCGGCCGTGGACCTGGAGTGTCCATGCGGTGCCTTCGGGGAAGGTGTCGTCCTCAGCTGCGTCCTCGTCGTCTTCCGTCTTGACGCCATTGGTGCTCGAAGAGGCAACGGGCGCGGCGTCCCAGACGCCGATGGCGCCCTCCTTGTCGCCGACAAAGATGAGATCCTTGTCGATGGCCGGGTGGTATGCCATCGAGTATATGCGCCTGGGAGTGACTTTGGCTGCGCTCTTTAGCGTCATCTTGTTGAGGATGTGCTCTAGCTCGGTCCGATCGGCACTATGTTGGTCGTCTTCTTGCTTTGTGGCTCTGCGCTTGTTTTCGTGCTTGATGTCTACGAGCTCTGCGGCGGATGCGGCGTTGGAGGCGAGGCTGCTGAGGGTGGCCTCGAGGGCAAGGATGGCTTCCTCTTCGAGCTCACCGCCAGTCATACCGGAGAGGTCGAACTGCTGGTGGCGTGCGCGCTTGGCTGCGTCGGCGGCTCGCTGTGCCTCCTCGGCCTCTTTCTCGTACTTGCGCTTGAGTGTCTCGGAGTCTGCCTCGTGTCCGGCGAGTCGTGCGCTGGAGCGGGTGGGCATGATGCGGGTCGGTGTGGAGTCGGACTTGCTCTTGGGCGTTGCGGGCTTCCTGGGCTTGGAAGGGGTGGCGCGCTTGGGGGGCGGCCCGCCGATGGCCGAGGAACCGCCCATGACGCCGAGCTCTTTCATGAGGCGCTCATTCTCCCTGATGTTTTTGAGCCGCTCCTGCTCGTAGTCGTTGTCCTCGTTCATGATGCCGGCTGTCTATGAGGGGGAGGGGGAAGATGAGAGGAGGGGAGCACGAGCGTGGAAAGGCAGAACGTGGGGTGGAGGAAGGACGGGCTGAGCTGCGTTGATTGACGCCGTGTGGAGCGGATCAAAGTGCGGAGCCTAGAGATTCGGCTGTCTGCCATAAGTCAAAAGTCGAAAGTCGAAGCGAAACGCGTTCTTCTTTGACAGCACACTGCAGTCGCGCCCCGCAGATTTCATTTAATGAGCGTGTTTGAGCGCCACGCGCGTCCGACGCGAATGTGAGAGCGGCTCAAAGTGCAGTCCATTTTCCAAAAAAAAAGGAATACTCAGGTGGAGGCAGAACTGGAGCTGCCAAGCGGAAACGCACGGCCGGCTGACAGCGACGACGACAGCGCGAAATGCAGCGCTACGTAGCCGCTGCTTTTCACGCCTCTCGGAATGCCTCGTGTCGCTGTGCCTGAGCACAAGAGAGAGCGAGAGGCCGACTCGCACCACTCGCGCCAACCTTATCAGACACAGCACCACCACCATCAACAGCAACCATCACATCATATTCACGCGCTTCCGGACACTTTGCGCCAGGGGCATGTAGGTCGAGGCCCTCGTCTTCCTACACCGCAGCATACCCTGCTACCAGGACACACGCCATGCCGCTCTTCCGTCCCGCCCTCGTGGCCCCTGTGGGCGCCCGCCTCACAAATACAGCCTCGGCACGCTTCGCCCTCGTTGCAAGATCACAGCTGATAGTTTCACCCTCGAAGCGCTCACTTCTCTACACCGCCGCTCCGCCCTCAATACACACGCGCGCTGCTACAAGATCACTGCTCCACCATGCCCCGAGACCGACCTCAAGCATCCGTCACCTGACACAGTCACATAAGCGCTTCTATGCCGCTTCTGCTGAATCTGCCGCAAGCCACAAGCCACACCCGCATCGCACTTCAGGCCGTATCGGATCGCTTGCCATCGCTGGCATCGGCGGGTCCCTCCTCATCGGATACTACCTCGCACAAGGCCCGCTCCAGTCCGATACCTCCTCGACCGACCCGCAGCCAGAGAACCCGCGGCATCGTGACTTTGCTCCTCCCGTCGAGGAAGATGACCAAGACCTGGCGCGACGCAATGTAGTCGTCCGCGTATTCTTCAAGATCGGGAATGTCGTGCAGGAGTGGATCATCGAGCCCTTCGGCACCGCACGTCGCTTCCTCTACCTCCTGCTTCTCTTTGCTCCTGTCATTCTCGCATCTCCCATGCTTCTCGTCGGATCTAGACGTGAGAAAGGTCGTATGCGCGGCAGAAAGGTGCGCAAGGACGAGCACGGCGATCGCTGGGGCGCCATCTGGTGGTACTCGTTCTTGGTCAAACAGATGGAGCGCGCAGGTCCCACCTTCATCAAGCTCGCCCAGTGGGCAGGCAGTCGCCAGGATCTATTCCCCGAGGAGCTCTGCCAACGTCTCGGACGCCTCCACTCCAACGGCAAGCCGCACTCCTTCCGCTACACCAAGCGCGTCATCGAACGCATCTTCCAGAGGCCCTTTGACGAGATCTTTGAAGAGTTCGGACACGAGCCCATGGGCATCGGCGCTGTAGCACAGGTATACAAGGCAAAGCTCAAGCATGACCTCCTGCCACCCGGATACCGAAGAGCAAAGAAGGAGCCCACCTCTGGCGAGACCACAAAGAAGCTCTCCAAAACGCTTGCACTCTCGTACGAAGAGGACGTGGCGCCACCCCAGATCCCCACCAACAGCGTCGCCATCAAGATCCTCCATCCGCGCGTCGAAAAGACCATCGGAAGGGACATCAAGATCATGCGCTTCTTCGCCAGCCTCATCAACGTCATCCCCGGCGCAGAATGGCTCTCGTTCCCCGAGGAGGTCGATGTGTTTGCCGACATGATGTTCTCGCAGCTCGACCTGCGCAACGAGGGCAACAACCTGCGCAGGTTCGAGCACAACTTCTCGCGCCGCCGCTCCGCCATCTCGTTCCCGCGCCCGCTCACCGAGTTCAGCACGAAGCAGGTGCTCATCGAGGAGTTCGAGGACGCGCTTCCGCTCAAGCACTTCCTCCAGCTCGGCGGCGCCAAGTTCGACCACCGCATCGCCAACCTTGGCCTCGATGCCTTCCTCAACATGCTGCTCATCGACAACTTTACGCATGCCGATCTGCATCCGGGCAACATCATGATCAAGTTCTACAAGCCCTCCACCGAGTCGCTGCTCTCGGATCTCTTTGCGCGCATTTTGAGCAAGTTCGACAGCGACTATGCGCCCGGCCACCGCAAGGCGCCTGCTACACCCGATGATCAGGTGGACGAGGGCATCGTCCAGCGTCTGCGTCCGCTCAACCACGACCAGGACGCGTGGCTCGACGAGCTCGATCGACTCGACGCGCAGGGCTACCAGCCCGAGATCGTGCTCATCGACGCCGGTCTCACCGTCGAGCTGACGCCGCTCAATAGGCGCAATTTCCTCGACCTCTTTTCGGCCGTGGCTCAGTTTGACGGCGCACTCGCGGGACACCTGATGGTGGAGCGATGCAGGACGCCCGACCTGGTGGTGGACGAAGACGTGTTTGCGATGAAGATGCAGGATCTCGTGCTGAGCGTCAAGTCCAAGACGTTTTCGCTCGCAAAGATCAAGATCTCGGACGTGCTCAACAAGGTGCTCATGGCGGTGCGCGACCACCACGTCAAGATGGAGGCCGACTTTGTCAACACGGTCATCTCCATCCTGCTGCTTGAGGGCATCGGTAGACAGCTCGATCCGGACATGGACCTGTTCAAGAGCGCGCTGCCGATCCTGAGGCATTTGGGACGCGAGTTGCAGCATCAGGAGGGCGGCGGCATGCACGTGCCCAAGAAGGAGGAGATCAAGCGCATGCTGCCCATGCTCAAGGTGTGGCTCTACATGGAGGCGCGCGGCATCCTCTCGGCGTTTACCGATGCCAAGGTCAGCACCGTCGATGCCTTCATGCGCTACGGCTGGCATTCAGAGTAGAGACTGCGGTTGGAAATGCACTCATATTCCCTTGGCTGCCGCGTGTGTGTCTAGGTTTGGCCTGAGCGAGGCGCCCAGCCCGAGGCGAGGGCTTGTTGGATAGCGACGTCGAGGCGCTCTTGAAAGACGTCGACGTCCTGAGCATCGGGGTCGAGAGGAGTGCGAGTTCGTCCCACAAAGCACCAGTTTTTGGTGCTTGGAATGCGCAGTGGCTCCAGTTCCACATGCCAACCAAAGTGCTGATGGACATGCGAAATGTACGCAAGATACTGCTCGTTGCGCGGTACAACTCCACGCAGCAGTAGTGGGAAATCCCTCGTGCCGTCCAAGGCAAAGTAGCAGCAGGGCAAGTTGATGAATCCGCGGCAGCCGTAGTGTGTCGCCAGCACGGGAAGCCACGGCGTCAACTCATCAGCGTGGTTGCCGATCAGAAATGCGCCTTGCCAACCGTCGCTCGGCGGGGGCGTGCCAACAAGGTCGGCGGGATTGAACGTCCATTCGTGCAGCTCTGCGCCATCGTTCCTGTACTGCGTCCAGCTCTTTCTAGCGCGCAGATCCAACCCTACACCTTTGAACCCCTCGCGGCTAAGGATGTAGGTGAGCAAGCCATTGCCACATCCGACATCGACGAACTTTACCCCGCGCTTCCACTCCTCTTTCCCATCGGCGGGTTGGTCGGATGCGTACAGCTGCTGCCACAGCGCAATGAGGAAGGCGGCGATTCCCATCTCCTCAAACACGTGCTTGGTCGGGTCGGTCGCCTCGGCCCAGGTCGCAATGAGGTGCGAGGCATAGCGCGACTTGAGCTCCAGATACGTGTCCTGGTACAGCGTGCGTGCGACGATCTGGTCGTGGTGCACGCGCTTCTGGTAGCTGTGCAGCTCGCCCCACGTGTGCATATGCAGCGTGGTGAGCAGCGACAGCCCCACGCGCGACAGCCGATGCGTCGGCCCAAACTCTGGCTCGGCACCCGAGGCAGAGAAGGGAACGAGGGAGATGCCGAGCTCGCCGTAAACAACAGCTTCAGAATCGTCCGAGGTGGGCATGCAGCAAAAGTGGAAGGCCAATGCGCGTACTTTGGGGTGGTAGAACGGCACATACGCCTCGTGCGGTGGAGGAGCGCCGATGACCGCTGGTTGTACTGTGGGCGGGACAGCCAATTTGGGGTGACCCTCCACACCCACCAGAGGCGTGTACACCACAAGAGCCTCTTCGATGTTGTCGACGTCGTTGTGGCCATCACCATGCGCTTGATCTTCTCCATCGTGTTGATTCGATGCCATGCCTGCAGCTCGGTAGCGGTAGTAGAGGGAGCAGTCCTGCTCCATGCGCCAATCGAGGTTCGGCCGGCGCGGGAGCAGTGCCCTACGCACTGTCCACTGCTTCATCCAGCCACCGGTTGCCTCCTTCTCGCTACTTTCGGAAGTAGACGTGTCTGCGAGGATGTCGGCTCGAAGGATGTTGCTCGAGTTGCGCTCGGGATGCCGTATCAGGCTCTGCATCACGCTGCGCCAGCACCGAAGCGGCGCATACGCCGGCGCTGTAACCACCGACACCCACCTATCGTCCGCCTCTCCATCCTGAGTTGCTGGCAGACCGGCAAGCGAAAAGGGCAAGCTCGATGCATCGGCTTGCGAGTTGCGAGGTGGCGTGCGTTCCGTCGCCGAGGGATAGGCGGGGACGAGTTTGGGCCGCGGAGGCAGCTGCTGGTGCTGCACCGTCGTGCGCTTCAGCCCTGCACCACCGTTGATTTTCGATCGTGGTGTAGTTGCATCCTTGCTGCACTCGGCGTGGCTGTCCATGTCTTGCTGGTCTCCCGCCTTGTGGGGATGGTGGACATGCAGAGGGTGCGGAACAAAGTCAGTTTGCGGCGACTTTCTTCCTTTGGACCCTGAGCTTGGGGTAGCGGATCGGGATCGATCGGGATGGCCAAAAATTCTCCACTTGACGCCGACGTTCCATCGCTTCCTCGATCGGTTCTGACTACCATCTCGCTCTCTGACATCCGTACGCTTCACAATGTTCGGTGGTGCTCCCAGTCAGCCTTCGCCCGCAGAGGCAGCCGCCGCCCGCCTCCAGGCACGCAACACCCTCAAGCAGTTTGCAGTCTACGCTGCCGGTCTCTGGTCCGGTAAGTTCTGAAGTTGCCCTCGTCACTTGCATAGCTTCGCCAGGTCGACAAAAGGTGTCCTGATGCACGCGAATGGACAGGCTGACTGACACTGCGGCTCTTGATAACTCGCAGCTCCCGTCGCTCTGTACTACCTCAACGAGCTGCTTGGTCGCCACATCGCCTAAAGTGTTTCTTCAGCCTGGAAAGCATCGATCTAGTCGCAGTCAACTCTCGAATCAAAGCTCGCTCGATCGATAAGTTCGTAGCACATAGCGATTCCCTCTTCTCACATCTGACAAATTCGACCGCGATGTACTCATAAAAGTCACGATCACGACTCCGTTCGTGCCACAGCCTCGTCGACACCACGCGCCACTTGCAGCCGGACTTGAAAAGAATAGCGAAACCATATCATAGCATTTGAAAGCATCTGCTTGGTACATATGAAACACGCGAGGGAAACACGCCTACTCGTCATCCTCGTCCTGGTCGTCAGCCTGGTTCTTGCGGGCGATCTCGTCGACGAACTGCTTGGCCTTGGCCAGCACGGCATTCTGGCTCTTGGCGTCTCCGTGGGTCTTTTCGTACTCGAGCCACTTCTTGAGCAGGCTCTTGCCCTTCTTGGCGGTGAGCTTGAGCGTGAGTGTGCGCTCGAAGAGGTTGCGCACCTGGATCTGGTTGTCGTCCAGTCGCGACTCCTGGTCGAGGTACTGCCACCACAGATCCAGGCGCTTCGGGTACGAATCCACCAGACCCTCAAAGATCGTTCGGCCGCGCTCGGCGTCGCCGAGCTTGAACTCGTTGATCGCAAAGCGCGTGATGGTGCTCGTGTGGTCGCGCTTGTCGAGCGCCTGCATGGCACGCGGCAGAAGCGCACGAGCCGCGTCAGCTTGGCCAGTACGCAGCAGGTAGCGCGCATACTCGATCCAGAAATCCGGCGTCGTCGAGTACTTTGCCTTGGCCTTGACGAACATCTCTTCGGCCACGTCGTTCTTGTCGGCGGCCTCGAGGATGTTGACCATCTTGAGGTACATGGTGAATCCATCGTTGGCCTGCACAGCCTCCTTGAACGTCGCCTCGAGCGTCTCGTCCGAGCCGTACGTGTTCTCGAGGTTGAGCAGCGCAATCCACACGTTCATGCGCTCCTGCTCCTCGCGGTAGTTGATCACCTTGAGTGCGCGACGTGCGATCTCGCGCGCCTTGTCCACGTCCGAAAGCTGCAGCGCAAACGACATGAACTGGATCCACAGGAACGAGCTGTTGGGAGAGCCCAGCAGAAGGCGCTCAAAATCGCTCGACGACTCGGGCGCCTTGGTCGCAAGGTCCGCAGTCAGGTCCTCCTCGAGCGCAGCGCCCTTGCGCGAATTGCGCGCCTTGGCCTTCTCCTTCTTAAGCGCGGCCGCTTTAGATTCGGAGTCAGAGTCAGAGTCCGAGTCAGAGTCTGACGAATCCAGCTCGTCCGCTGCGTCATCGTCACCAGCTCCTGCGGACCACGAGAAGCCACCCGAGAGGGCAAGCGAAGGAACCTTGGACGTCTTGGACTTGGAAGGCGCAGCATCCGCCTCAGAATCACTGTCCTCGTCCATCTCGATGACATCAGCTTCGTCGTCGTCTTCGCTATCGCTCGCGTCGTCCTCGGCATCAGAGCCGATGTCGGCGACATCGTCTTCGTCCATCTCCTCCTCCTCGTCTTCATCGTCCTCGTCCTCGTCGCTGCTGTCTTCGAAGTCAGCCGCGTCAAAGTACGAGGGCTTGAGGGCGAAGCTGATCTTCCTCTTCTCCTCGTTGATCCTGAGCACGATGGCGCGCACCTTGTCGCCCACACGGAACGCCTTGAGCGCCTCGTCGGCCTTGCCATCGCTGAGCTCGTTCATGTGCGCCAGACCCGACACGTTGGTGCCCTCGATCTGGACAAAGACGCCAAAGTCGATGATGTTCTTGATGAAGCCCTTGACCTTGTCGCCGGCCTTGAAGTCGTTGAGGCGCTTGGGACGCTTCGTGCCGTCGGCCTCGGCGCGCTCCTGTGCGCGCTCGGCACGCGGCTTGATGCTACCAGGCGTGCTCTTGAGCGACATCTCGATTTCGTTCTGGTTGGCGTTGACGTCCATGATCGTTCCGCTGACCACCTGGCCGACGGTGAAGCGCTTCTTCCAGTCGCGCACAAACTCGTCGAACAGCTCACGCACCTGGACGCGCGCATCGAGCTTGCGGCCCAGCGAGACGAAGACGCCGACGTTGGTGATCGCCTTGACGAAGCCGCGCACCTTCTGGCCCTTGGTCAGCTCGGTGATCGCCGTGATCTCAGCATCGGTCACCTCGGCGTCCGAGGGCGAGATGCGCGAGGCACGCGTCGAGACCACGCCGCTCTTGCCGTTGGCCTTGAGCGACACCACGAAGCAGTCGACATTGTCTCCGGGCGAAGGAAGCGAGACGCCGCTGGTGTAGTCGTCGGCAAGATCAGTGATGTGCAGCGTGGCGCGCGTGGCGGTGCCGAGCGCAACGACACAGTCGAGGTACTTTTCGTTCTTCTGGATGACGCGACCCTTGACCACGGCGCCCTGCTCGACCTGCGCAGACGTGGAAGAAGAACCGTTGGCATCGCGAGCGGTCTTGCTCGACCTGACCTTGTCTGCCACAATGACGAGGCCCTTTTCGGGGTTCTTGACCGAGACGACGAGGTTGTCGATCTCCTGGTCCTCCTCGAGACTCTCGAGGAGCTGCTCGGCGGAAGTGCCCCTCATGGCAGCCAGCACGGACAGGGAGAGCAGCGCACGCACGCCCGACGGCACAAGCGAAAGCACCACCACCTCCTTGTGCACCGCAGCGACCTTGCCAACCACCTTCTCGCCGACCTCGACGGCATCCACGTTGAGCTTGGCCAGGAACTCGGGCGAAGCCTGCTTGATGCTGCCCACGAGCCTCTGGTTCTCGTAGTCGACCTCGGTGATGCGCATCTTGACTACCTTGCCCTCGGTGAAGCTGGCCTTGACGTCCTCGAACGAGGCCTCGCTCGCCTCCCTACCGGGGATGAGGGCCTTGAGGCCGCCAAAAAGGTTGACGATGATCGAGTTGACCTGGACGCGGAACACAGTGGCATGGGTGACGACACCGACGCGCGCATCCTGCATGGATCCGACGATGGGCAGGTCCGACTTGACAAGCGACTTTTTGCACGTGAGCACGATGCGGTTGCGGCTGGGGTCGACGTCGAGCACACGTGCCTTGACCTGAAGGCCCGGCTTGAATCGCTTCTCGGGCTGGGTGAGCTTGACGTCGGCAAAGTGGTTTGCGAAGACGACGCCGTCGACGTGGCCCTGGAGCTGAAGGAAGATGGCGTTGGGCAGGCCGAGCTTGATGATGGTAGCGTTGACCACCTCGCCGACCTCAACTTCCGAGACGCGCATGAACTTGCGCTCGAGCACGGACGCCTTGAGCGAGAGCTGTAGAGTGCGGTCGGTGGGCGAGTGGCCGACGACACGAGCCTTGTGCTCGGTGCCCTTGCAGAACGGCCCGCTAGACGGCGGCAGTGCAACGACATGGTCGTCCGAGACCTGAGAAATGTGAACGAAGCCGCGCAGATCGGTGCCTTGAACCGAGACGATGAGGCCCCAGTCGGTGACGGTCTGCACGACGGTCACCTTGATGGGGGTGCCGATGGGGTATGCGTGCTGAAGGAGCTGCTGATCCTTGGCGACGGGTGCCTGGAGCGAGAGCACCTGAGGAGCGAGCGAAAGACCAAACTTGCGCTCGTGTTCCGGGTTCTCTCCCTGCAGCGCTGCCGAGGGAGGGCTGAGCAGGTCCCAGAGGACACGAGCGACGTGCTTGGAGCCCTCCTTGTATACGTCTGGAATGTCCTTGCCCTCGGGCAGCTCAGGAAGGTGGAATCGGTCGATGGTTGCGTCGAACATGCCGAAGAGCTTGACGTTGAGGCCGGTGGGGAGCGCGGCAGTGACGAGAACCTTGGTGAGGGTGCCGGGGAGGACGGCGGTGATGCTGGGGACGTGCTTGATAGGGGTGGTGGAGACGGCCTTGGGGTCGAGCGTAGCCTCGAAGCTGCGCTTGTTCTCGGGAACCTTGGTGATCTTGGCGAAAACAACGCTGCCAACCTGAAGGGATTTTCCGCTCTTGCCGGCATGGAAGCTCTCTGGCAGCTTGGCGGCGTCGGCGAAGGAGACGAATCCGCGGAACTCGCCGATACCGCTGTCGAGAATGTAGCCGTGGTCCTCCACACTCGCGATGGTGGCCGAGAGAGTGGCACCGGCGTCCAGGTCGGAGACGGCCACGCCAGCGTTGACGAGCTGGGGAGCGAGCGAGAGCTCGACACGGCGAGACTCCTTTTCATATTCACCGCCCTCGCGCGTGGCGCGGCCCCTTGCGACGTCTCCACCGCGGACCTGAACCACGCTGGCGACGAGCCACTGACCGACGTGGAAGAGGTCACGCAGCTCGGGCACCTTCTTGGAGCGCTTGTTAGAGGAGCTGGCGGCGTCGTCATCGTCATCGTCGCTGTCGCTGTCTGCGTTCATGCTCTCGTCGTCGTCATCGGACTCTTCGGCCGCAGCATCGGCAGCGGCCTGCAAGCGTTGTGTGAATTGAGGGCTGATCTGGGTGACGGGGATGTGGCCGAGGAGCTGGTTTGGCAACGAGACGACAACGGCGAGCGGATGGACGGCGAGCACGGAGCAGAGAAGCTTGGAGCCGGGGACGAGACGCTTGTAGTTGATGTGCTCGATGCGGATGTGGTCCTTCTTTTCGGACTGTGATGCGGAAGCAGAAGCGGCTGCGGCGGTGGTGGAAGTACGCTTCTTCTTTGCGTCGTTGCGCTTTTCTCGGTTGTACTTCTGCTTGTTCTTCTTGCGCTTGGCCTCTGCCTGCTCGTCCTTTGCGTCCTTGAAGAGGAGCTCGTTGGCGGCGGACTCGGAGCGCGCCTCGCGCTTTGCCTCGCGGAACTCGAGCGCGGTGAGACCGGAACTGCCGCCACGAGGGAAGTCGACCTCTTGAGCTGACAGGAGCGACGAGGAGGGTGCGGAGGTCGCGGCGGGAGCGGATGAAGCACTCTTTGACTTTTTTGTGTGGCTCGACTTGGAGGAGCTGGCGGCGGCGGAGGATGCCGGCGCATCCTCTGCAGGACGAGACCGCTTGATTCCAGGCATGGTGTAGGAGTCGGCCTGAGTCTCAAGTGGTGATGAGCGTGGTGATTCAAGAAGAAGAAGAGGCCTTGTCTGGTCGGAATGAATCGTTGGCCTCAGCGAGCCACCCTCAAACTTCCAAGGCTGGGCTTCGCAAAAAAAAGTGTTGCGCAGCGACAGGCGGAAAAGGCAAAAAAACGCACGAAATTTTTGGTTTGCCGCCCTTCGCTCGACCCTTTTTTTCCCAAGACCGCCAGGCTTCCCGGGAGACGGGAGAGGATTTTCTAAATCAAAATGTCTACTTGAACGACATAACATTGGTTTGAATTTTTCAGCGGTTCGGCAGATTGATCATCTCGAAGGAAGGACGTTCCGAAACCAATGACGGAGTAGCGGCTTCAGAACTCGGACCTACCGGGTGTCTGGCGCAGTGTTACACCGTTTCTGATGGGGCAAAGGCTTCGGACCCAAGGGCCGAATGCGTGGAAGATGTCAGGGAGAACACATGGCGCTCCCCCACGTCCATGCGGTCAATGGTTGCTTACTTAGACGGAAGCTCGGCCGCGAGGTTTGATAGGAGATAGGACCGTGAGGTGCTGCAGGGGCTGCACGGCTGTACCGTGACTAGACTGGTGTGTTGAGCGGCAGACTGGCGTCCGGCTATTGCTCGCTCGAGTGGCGGGCTGCCGTCTACTCCAGCCGACTGTGCCGTCGGTCGATGCATGGAAGAAGGTGTTGGGACTCGGTGAGGGCATCAGGGCGCGCCGAAATTCGCCGGGAAATTCGCCTATCAAAAGCCGGCGAGTGCAACAAAGGCGAATGAGCTCACGCCGGCACACGCTGGCTTGCATTACCGCGTTACTGTATCATATTCGACCTTGGCCCCACACATCACCTCCTCATCTGCTGCCACCACCACCACCTTGCTTCAACATGATTCCGTCCAATGGCGCCGTCGACGAGAGGTCGGCACTGCTCGCCTCTCACAAGCACAACAACACATCGTCGAGCTATCGGTCAACCTCCGACAACCGAGACAATGACGGCATCGACTCGTCGTCGCGGTCTTCGTCACCCACAGAGGACGGCAATGGAGGCGAAGAGGATCACGTCAAGGTCATGCCGCCGTTGAGCAAGCTTGCACCACTGCTCACGGCGCTGTGGGTGCCCGTGTTCGTGGCGAGCATGGACGGCACGGTCACCGCCACACTCATCTCGAGCATCAGCAGCTCCTTCAACGCGTCCGAGCAGGCGCAGTGGCTCGGATCCGCCTACCTCCTCTCGGTCGCCTGCTTCACCCCGCTCTACGGACGCATGGCAGACATCATCGGACGAAAGAACTGCATGTACACCGCCCTCACCTTCTTCACCACCGGCACCTTGCTCTGCGGTCTCTCCACTTCGATGAATATGCTCATCTTTGCGCGTGCCCTCGCAGGCATGGGTGGCGGCGGACTCACCACCACCACCAGCATTGTGCTCTCCGACCTCGTCCCGCTCAAACAGCGCGGCTTGCTCCAGGGTCTCACGAATATCGTGTTCGGACTCGGTTCTGGTCTTGGAGGACCTATCGGCGGCTGGATGAACGACACGCTCGGATGGCGACGCGCTTTCCTCATCCAGATCCCGCTGCTGCTGACGGACTACGTGCTCGCGTTCGTATTTGTCAACGTCAAGACGCCCAATTCGCTTGCACACCAGTCCAAGTGGGACAAGCTCAAGTCGATCGACTTTTTCGGCGCCTTTTCGCTCGTGCTCGGTCTGTCCAGCACGCTCATCGCGCTCAGTCTGATGAGCGCCAACGATCTGGCCATCTCGCACCCAGCGGTCTGGGGAGGCTTCCTTGTTGGGCTTGCCAGCATTGTCTTCTTCTTCTACGCCGAGGCTCGCATCGCTCGCAACCCGATCCTGCCGCTGCGCCTCATCACCCAGCGCTCGGGTGCTGCGGTGGCATTTGCCAACTTCTGCCTGTCGATCGTGTCGTTCGGCACGCTCTACCACTTTCCGCTCTTCTTCCAGGCGGTCAAGCTGGAAACGCCCTCGCTGGCGGGTCTGCATCTGATCCCCAACAGCGTGGCGCTCAGCGTTGGCTCGGTGCTGGCGGGCATTGTGATGCGCAACTCGGGCAGGTACTATACGTACAACCTGGTCAACTCGATGCTCATCACTGTCTCCATCGTCTGCTTTGCGCTCATGAGCCAGCAGAGCTCCGAGGCTTTCACCTACATCTCGATCATCCCGCACGGATTCGGAACGGCGGGCGTCTTAACGTGCACGCTCATCGCACTCATCAACTCGGTGCCGCGCTCGGACGTTGCCGTGGCCACCAGCATGTCGTACATGGCGCGCAACACGGGTCAGATCCTCGGCGTCTCCGGAGGCGGCACGCTCTTCCAGGCTCTGCTCAAACGACAACTGCGACAGAGGATTACAGGCAAGGATGCCGACAGGATCATCTCCGAGATCAGACACAAGACCTCGATCGTCCCAGAGCTACCCAAGGAGCTCCAAAAGGCTGCCGTCGAGTCGTACGCATATGCGCTCCGCTGGGTGTTCATCGGCATTGCCCTCGTCAGCGTCGGCACCGTCATCGGCTGCGCCTTTATCGAGGATAGGGAGCTGCCCTCGTACGAGAACGCCAAGCCTGCGTCCGATGACGATGAGCAGAACGGGTCCAGCTCGTGAAAATTGGGCTGATAGTCACTTTCTTTTTCAGACTGGCAATGCATAGATGACTGCGACAATCGTGTGACCGATACAAGAGCGGTACAGGATCGTAGACAGTTGCATCTGGGGTTCCTGAGAAATGGGTATTGAGGGCCGCCGCGTCTGACGGTGGAGAATTGTGATTGCCGGCGCGTAAAGCAGCTCGTAGTCTGTGCTTCGCGACGGAAAGTGTTACTTTTAGTCCCGCACCTTTTTGCTCCTCCGCGCTTTGCATCCCGCCACCAAGCATTCCTTCCGTACCCGCAGACACCGGCCAACGAGCGCCCATCTTGAGAAGGCATACGCTATGGAGGTCCACGCAGTCGCCAGTACCAGCCACTCGGCACCAGAGCCGCGCCCATCCTCGCCATCGCGCAAAAAGCGTCCGCGCCGCATCTATGACGTTGACGGTGAGTCTCCTCGTCTTCTTCAGTGCTCTTGCATCCCACACCGCTGACATCTGCGACCTCTTCTGATTATTTCATCGGTAGACCGCAGCACCAAGGTCGACGTTGGCTCGACGCCGGGAACCTCATGGACGCTATCGTCGTACAAGCCGGGCTCAGGGGTAGCCGAGCTTCGGTCTGCGGACCTTACCAAGCTGTGGCAGTCGGACGGCAACCAGCCGCACCTGATCAACATCCAGTTCGCACGGCGCACGTGCGTCACACACGTCTCCATCTTTCTCGACGTCAAGCAGGACGACTCGTACACGCCCACCAAGATCGCCATCAAGGCGGGCACCAACTACCACGACCTGACGCCCGTTCGACAGCGCACCTTCGACACACCCCAGGGATGGAAGCACTTCAGCATGACACCCGGCACTGTAGACGCTGCTAGTGAGGAGGAGGACGAGGAGCACGGCGAGGCGGATGATGGCGAGAACGACCAGACCCTTGGGGATGGGGAGGAGGGAGGGTCGGATGAAGAGGGCGAGCAGGATGGTATACGCGTGTGGCTGCTGCAAGTGTGCATTCTCGCAAACCATCTCAATGGCAAAGACACGCACATTCGCAGGATCGTCGTGTTTGGTCCCAAGACAAACCCAACATCGTCCACGGGGACGGGAGCGGCTGGCACTCTGAAACGAACCCGCGACGTCAGTCTTGATGCCACCGCGAACTCACGCTCAAAGTCTCGAACTGCTGTCGGGAACAACGGCTCTGACGTTACGCTTGCGCAGCTGTTGGCACTGCAAACCCAAGCGGATGCGCAAGGCGCGGAAGAGGCCGCCAATGCAGATGCGACTTCCACGCCACCCCGCAGATCCGCCCTCAATCTCTTTGGCAGTGTCCGCTGAGGCCAAAGCCCCATCGCAATCAACCATATCCTGACGCCGTCGACGTCCGTACTGAATGACGTTTCCAAGCCAGCGCACGTGTTTGAATAAGTTGTGTCATTCCAACAGTCTTACGAGCGAGTGGTGTTGATTGACACTTTTGGAGTAGATGTACTGATACACGGGCACTTCCCTAAAGGCCGGCCTCTACGACGGCGCCTGCAGCACGCTCGTTGCCGACCCTGCGGACGTACGTGGACGAGACGATGTTGAAGGCCTCAAAGTAGCGTTCCATGCAGCGGGTGAGGCACGTCTGCTCCTTGCCCGACAGGCTCGATCCAGGTGCCGGGATGCACTTGGCGTAGCACTTTTCGGTCGCCTTGGTGATGAGCTGCTGTGCATTCGCCATTGCGAGCTCCGACGAACTGCTCGTCCAAAACAAAAGCCATTGATCAGCACTTGACTCGCGGAGAAGCATGTGGATCTGCTTCGGTCGGTTTGCGCAACTTACACCTGCTGCTTGATGGCTTCCTTGCGCTCAGCCGAGGTGGCCGAGCTCGCACCAGCGCCAGTGGCAGACTTGCCTGTTAACGAGCTGAGATCCATAATGTGTGTGTGTTTGTCGAAGATGGTTTGGGTCGAAGATGTGGAGAAGGAGGGATGGAAGCGTTCCGCACCAGCAGAGCCAGTCAGACGAGAGGATTCTTGAGCACCCACGATTATGTCACGCTGACTTGCTGCTTTGTTCCTCCACTTTTGGCGATGTTGGGCAAAAATTAATTTTCCGATCGAGGAGAAGAAACGTGCCTCCTCGGCGACCTCTGTGTTTGTAAGCGATGCACTGCAAAGCCGCATTTTTTGCTCGCTCGCTGCCCCCATTTGTGCCCGATTTCCGCCGAGCTGAGCCGAGCTGTTGTGGACCCCTTTATCCCTGCCGGCTTTGCAATCCACCTTCATCCACCACTCAACCCACCTTAGAGCGCCAGCCGACTCGCTTTATCCATAGGTCAGGCGCGACAGGAGCTGCAATTCGACCTCGAGCGTTTCAGGACGGATCCATCGGCGACTAATCTTGGCGTTACACGACCGAGTTCCGGCTATCTTTCCAAGGGCGATAGGGACATAGCAACCGCCTGCCTGGGGTTGCGAAAAGCATGGTGCTGGCCACAGCGCGCGCTCTGAAACCGTTCAGTGCAGCAGCGGCGGCATCGACGGCGAGGGCAGCGGCCGCGTCGACAATATCGACCGCCGCAATGGCGCCCATGCCGTCGTCGTCGTCGACGTACACCATCCGTGCCGTGGCGGCGTTTGCGCGCAATCTGCTGCGCTTCGGCTGTCGTAACGTCACGGTGCGTGGACTGGATCGTTTCCTGGCGCAGCTGCACTCGGCTGAGCGCACGGCATCGTCGCGCGGGCTGCTGACGTACTGCAACCACATCTCGGTGCTCGACGAGCCGACGATCTGGGGCACTCTGCCGGCCTCTACCTTCCGCGACCCACGCACGGTGCGTTGGACGCTTGGCGCGAGCGACATCATGTTCACCAAACCCATGCTTGCGCGCTTCTTCCGAAACGGCCAGTGCATCGAGACCCACCGAGGCGGCGGGATCTATCAAAAGGCGATCGACGAGGCGATCAGCAAGCTCAACACTGCCAATTGGGTGCATCTGTTTCCCGAGGGATATGTGAATGTCAGCACGAGCTCGCGATTGCGCCGGTTCAAGTGGGGGATCGCAAGGATGCTGCTCGAGGCCGAAAGGTTGCCGACCGTCGTGCCGATTTGGATCACGGGGTTCGATCGGATGATGCCCGAGCCAAGGGCAAAGCCAAAGTGGCTGCCGCGCTTTGGCAATGATGTGTCGATCACATTCGGCGAGCCTGTGACCGACCAGCTCGCGCCGGTGGTGGAGGCGATACGAGCCACCAACGACATTGCACCCCAGCATCTGCTGCCGGAAGAGCTGCGATTTGATCCGGCGTCGATCAAGCATGCGGATCCAGACGCTGTGATTGCCGATCGATCGGTGCCAACCCAGCTGGCGACCGAGTGGAATACAGCTTCGCTCTTCCAGCGCCCGCTCAGGGCGGGTGACGACTCGCGCCTGGCACTTGCACGCTCGCAGCTCGCCGCCCTGCTCCGATACCACCTCGGCCTTGTAGCTGTCCAGCAACGCACGGCCGACGCGTATCCCAACCCGCAAGAAGACGCAACGCTCGTACACACTGAATCGCTCAACCCGCAAAAGCAACATGCGCAGAACAACGTGCTGCGTGACGGTCAGCGCAAAAAGACTGGCGTCTAACAAAACCTCCTTTGCACCAACATGAACTCTGTATACCCTCCCTTTTTAATCATTACGCTGTTATAGAGACGTTAGAGCTTGAATACGTCTTGCTGTTTGAGGCCGAGATGGGCGAGGGTGCCACTCAGAGCGCCCTGGCTCTGGCCGTCGCGCGACTTGGGTCCTGCCAGCGCAGTGACCATTCCGTCGGGCCCACAGACGAGCACGAGCGTGCGCGACGCCGGCGTGGGTGCGAGGGTTCGGCGCAGGTGATCCTGCGTGATCCTCGACTCAAACACGGGGATCGTCGTCGATGCGCCATCCGCACCGAGTAGCAGCTTGGCATCCAGACTCGAGCCACTGCCGAAGAACGGAAGCCAGCTTCTGCGCTTGGCGGCTTGCGTCTGCAGCTGCCCGAGCGCTGCTGTCGTGGAGTTGGTCGAGGGCAGGCGTTCGGCGAAGAGACTGACGCCGACTTTGTCCGGATTCCGACTGGCCAGCGCATGCAGCTGGGGCACGAGCAAGGCGTTGTCCAGGTCCGGCATGGCGTACAGCACCTCGACGCGCGGTGATGCGGCGTACGGCGAAGCAGGCCTGTTCGGGTGTCCAAACAGATTGGTGAGCAGTTGGTAGGCAGGCGTCACACCTGTGCCGCCCACAAGCATCACGATCCGATCCGGCAGCTGCGGTGCCGAGTCGCGCTCGAACGACCACGTATCTACGGGCCCGCGCACTTCGAGCTGCGGTATGCTCGCGTCCGGCACCGCGCGGTGCAAGAACCGACCCAGCTCTCCATCCGGATAGCGCTTGACCAGCAAGTCGAGCGAGTCCTTTTCTGCTCTCGTCGCGCCTTGCATCGCCAGCGACGCAGTGCCGGGCAGCGAGTCGTACACCGGCGTATACGCGCGCTCGATCACCAGGCTCGGCTCCTTGATGTACACGCTCCTAATCCTCAGCCTCTGCGCCAGATCATCCTCCCCGCCCCTGCTGTTCGCCAACACCGACGCGGGCAGGGCGATCTTCAACAGCTTGTGGTTCGACGTCGTCTTGGCGTCGGGGTAGAAGCTCGATGCCGCGAGTGCCAAGGGGTGGTGCGTGTGCGGCTCGAGCTTGCCGGGGATCGAGTTGGACGTGCGCGACGAGCCCGGAGAGGTGCCAGAAAGCTTAGCATAGCGCTCGAGGAGTTTAGGCATAACAGCAATGATGACGGCCGAGGCGAGTAGGATGTGTGGTATGCTGGGCCCCACGTGCTTTGGCGGCGGAGACGACGAGGACGACGAGGATCCCGAAGAGGAAGAGGCAAAGCGTCGCGGGCGGCCGGCGTGGGGTAGGCGCGGAGCAAGGTTGTGTGGAGCATGAGTAGAGGCGCGTGCTGAGCGCACTCCACGAATCGTGAGCCGTGCTGAAGCGAACAGGTTTTGCATGGTGGAGAAGTACCAGCGCCCGCAGATAGGGAAGAGATGATGGAAGCAGTGTCAATCTCCTGCGTGTGGAGGCTTCGCAGCTTGAGGAAAGGACGAGCCGCCTTACCTGACACTGGGCGAAGCTTTATGAATGTTAAGTTGAAAGCTCGCCCACGTGGGGAAGCGGCTGCAGGGTCGAATCAGCCTCGCAGTCGCCGTTGTTCCCCGTGAACGCCGCATCCCCAGTCCGAGTCTAGAGCTCATCACCTTCCTCCTCCACCACCACCACCGCCACCACCACCAACAAGCTTTCTTCGCCGGCTCCAGAACAGACCAGCGCAAGATGCGACACCGCCTGCTGGCGGCCGTGCTGCTGCTCTGCTCGCTCACCTTCTCGCTCGCTCTCTACCTGCGCTTCCGCTCGTACGACCTCGTCTCCGTCGGTCTCTGCCGCGTCGCACCGCTCTCCTCCTCCTGCTCCTCCGCCGCCATGCCCGTCTCCCCAGCCGAGCTCGACACGCATCGCGTACACACCGGCTTGCACGGAAGCAAGCGTGGGCGCATTTCGCTCAGCATCGGCTCGCTCAACATCCGCTACTCGCGCAACGCCGCGTACGACTCGACGCAGTCGATGCTTTCGTCCATCGAGAACCTCATCACCGCTGCGCGCAAGGGTGCAGGCCCCGCTTCGCAAAACGTCTTTTCGGAAGGCTCGCCGTATCTCATGCAACAGTACCACGGCGAACGCAGCTGGCTGCTTCGGGGGCCCAAGGTGGCCGACGTGGCGCTGTTCAACGACTGGGACCTGTTTGCTTTTCAGGAGGTGCTAGATGGGCAGCTCGGCAACCTTGTGCACTGGCTCGGCGACGAGTACGATCATGCCGGAGTCGGACGTGATGATGGAGACCGTGCGGGAGAGGCCGTACCCGTGTTCTGGAGGCGCGACACATTCGAGCGCGTCGGACAGGATCAAGGCGGAGTGGGCAAGGATGGCGTCGAGCACTTTTGGCTCTCGCCGACACCGAGCAAAGTGGGCAGTGTCGGGTGGGATGCTGCATTGACGCGCATGTGCACGCACGTCAGTCTGCGGCTGCGCGCCACGCACGAGATCATCCACGTCTTTTCCACCCACTACGACCATCAGGGAATCGTCGCGCGCGCAAAGTCGTCGGAACTCATCGTAGAGAGAGCTCGTCGTGCGTCGGCGTCCACACGTGCGTTCTATCAGGCCAATTCTCCCGCGCTGGCGTTGGAAGAGCCTCTAGTCGTGCTGATTGGTGATCTCAACAGCCCGCGCAATGAGGGCAGCTGGTCGACACTGGTTTCGGCCCACTATGGCATCCCCGCCAACTCGTCCGGCGCTTCCTTCCTCGACACCGCGCTGTCGGTACCCACCCGCTTCGCTTCTCCGCTGCTTACGGATAACGAGGATCCCCACCGGGCTGTCCTTGCTTCGGGCCGTAAGCTTCCTCCTTCGCCGGGGGATTCTGGCCGCGGAGGACTGCTCTCGGAGCCCGTCGGCCCGCTAAGAACGTTCACTGACTTCCAACCTTCGCCAAGGAACGCGATCGACGATCGAATCGACTTTGTCATGCTCCTCGACAACGCCGCTGTGGTCGACGAGACGCATCCACACACCCGGCTCGACCACTCACCGTCGCCTCCACCCCCAGGCGCAATTCGACGTTCCGAAGCTGGACAGAGTGACAAAGGCTCAAGATGGGCAATTCGAACGTTTGGTACGCTGCCAAACTGGAGCGAGGGCGATGCGGGGTTCCTCATCTCCGACCATCGTCCCATTACGGCGCGCATCCAACGATCCTTCCCCGCACCAGCATAGCCTCACTCAACCAATGGAAAACATGGACAACACAAACGCACGAGTTTGGCGAACAAAACTTAGAATGGCTAGAGTACAGTGGGAATCAAACGAGAACCGGCAGAACATGAGAAAGGAGAGGACCATGAGAATGAGACCGATGGGACCGGCGAGAGGAACGGAGGATAGCGAGTTCGTGGATGTGGGGAGCAACGCGGGTTGCCGCTGAATGCTGTACCCCTTGTACTACGCCCAGGCAATGGAGCGGCAGTCGGCGAAAGGAGCGCACGAACGACGGTCAGACGACAGACAACCCCGCATCCTCGCTGTACCACGACGAAAAAGTGGCAGGATCGGGTGCCGCCATGCTCTTCTTCGCCGCACACTCCCTCGTCGACAGACGAACTGGACCTCAAGTGGGGAAGATGAACGTGATCGCGATCGGGAAGTGGGGGTGGGATCAACAAACCGCTCACTTGTCCTTCTTGTCCTTCTTGTCCTTCTTCTTCTTCTCGGACTTGGGCGTCTCGCCCGCCGCCGCCGCCTCGGCCGCCTTGCGCTCCTTCTTCTCCTTCTTGCGCTTTTTCCTCTCCTCTTCGGTCTCGCCGTCGGTCGCCGCGCCGGGCGTCTCCTCGAGCTTCCTCTTCTTGCTCTCGTCGTCCTTCTTGGCGGGCGTGACGGGCTCGACCACCGCCGCCGCCGCCACCTTCTCCACATCCGAGGCTGCCGCTGCAGCTGCGGGGGCAGCGGCGGCATCCGAGTAGTCGACGTAGTCCTTCTGCCACTTGTCGGGCGTGACGCCGTTGATGGCCTTGCCGTGCTTGTCGAGCTTGCCCGTCTTGATCATGGCCTTCTTCTCCTGCGCCTTGGGGCCGAGACCCCAGCGGCGCGGGTAGGTGTCGCGCTCCATGATGCAGCGCTTGACCTTGGCGACGACGCCGTGGTCGCACGTGGAGAGGTCGACGGTGGACATCTGTGCGACGGCGAGCGCGATGGCCTCGCCCTTGGTGGTCATGAGCACCACCTCCTCGTGCACCTCAATGTCCTTCTCGTAGCGCAGCAGACCGGGGATCATGAGCTTGGCGCCGTAGCACACGGCGTTGACGGCCGAGTCCTTGACGACGATGCGCTTGTAGCCGGTGAGCAGCGACTCGAGCGGGCGGATGACGCGGCGGAGGTACGTCTCGTCGCGCTGGTTGTCGTAGAGCCACTGGGCGTCGAGCACGTCGTGCATGGTGACGATCGAGTCGTTCTCCGAGAGCGCACCCGAGCGCACACGACGCAGCTCCTGCATGTGGCCGCCGACGCCGAGGAGCAGGCCGAGGTGGACGCAGAGCGTTCGGATGTAGGTGCCGGCCTCGCAGCTCACCCAGAAGACGGCGAGGTGGCGGTCGTTGTCGAACTCGATGAGCTTGGACTCGTAGATGGTGCGGATACGCAGCTGACGCTTGACGGCCGAGATGAGGGGAGGACGCTGGAAGAGCGAGCCGGTGAGCGTCTCGATGGCGCGGGGCAGCTTCTTGGGGTCCTCGAGCTTGTCGTGGAGGCGGAGGACGGCGACGTACTCCTTACCGGCGCCCTGCTGCGACTTGACGAGACGGGTGGCACGGTCGATGCAGACGATGAGGCAGCCGGTAACCTTGGGGTCGAGGGTACCGCTGTGGCCGGTCTTCTCGACGCGGAGGATGCGGCGGAGCCAGGAGACGACCTCGTGCGAAGAAGGGTTGGAGGGCTTGTCGAGGTTGATCACACCCGACTTGACATAGCTCTGGAGATCACGCTTGAGCGGGGAGCAGCCGTGCGGGATGGGCGTGAAGTGGGAGCTTCGGACGAGCAGCTGGTCGTAGTTCTTGAGCAGCAGAGGCCAGTCGGCAGTGTTGAGCTTAGGGCCAGAGTTCTCGGGCTTGATCATGAAGTCGCCCTGCTCCTGGGCCTGGGCGACCGAGGTGCCGAGAGGAAGAGCCATGTTGGACCAGACAGTAAGGCGCAGAGGAGCCTTGAGGGTGTATGGTCGGGAGGGTTGGCTGGTTGGTATAGGTGCGGAGAGGTCGAAGGAGAGGGAGTGGTCAGTGACGAGACCGTTGAGCTTTGTTTCCGCCTCGTTTTTTTCGTTCTTTTGCATGCGCTGCGCTCCGCCGAATTGGCTTCATGGCCGGCGCCGCCCCTCTCACCTGCCTGAACCCGCATGCACCACAAAAATTCTTCCGCCTGTCGCGCGCTTTTTCCCAAAATCACAGATCTCGTCGAAGCCAGGCGGATCCGCGAGCTGGATGTGCTGACTACACATTTGGTCAGATATTTTGACTTCCAATTTTAACGTGGTCTAACAAAGTCGACCAGAGAAATGTGGCGGGATCGAAGACTCGAGGTCACGTGCTTGTCGAAGCAGAAACTGTAAAAAATTTAGGCGGCAGGGGAACGGCTTTCCGGCGTCGAAGCGGGACTTTCGAAGGTCGAAGGGGCTGGGCGAGCATCCGAGGCTGGATAGGGAGCGGGCATACTTGAGCACCTTCTCCCATCCCACACCACCTCGTCTCGCTTTGCTGATCTCCCAGTAGGCTTATCATTATCAACAATGGCTGTTACCAAGACCACCAAGGCTTCGGCCAAGCAGGGCAAGACCGCCCACAAGTTCTTCATCGACTTCTCCGGCCCCGCCAACGACGGTATCCTTGATGCCGCCGCTTTCGAGAAGTATCTGCACGACCGCATCAAGGTCGACGGCAAGGCCGGCAACCTGGGCGACAACGTCACCATCACCCGTGAGGGTAAGTATCTGTAAACAGGTGGGGCTAGGAATGGCGTTCCAAGAGCATGGCCAATATGCGCAGGGGCTAAGTTGCAGGGAAGACGATGGGTAGAAAGAAAAGGACGTCACAGCAATACTGCCTACCTCCCAACAGGAGGTGCTCAGCGAGTTGTCTCTTTCCTCAGATGCGTTGTTGTTCACAGCGGCTTTCCGGTGCACGTCCGGGAGCCTTTGTTGCGAGCGCACTTCTTTCTCTGATCCGGCTCTCTACATCTCAGCCTAGCTGTTGTTGCCTTGGCTTGGGCCGCTCTTCCACGGCCCCACCTTTCCCTTTCCGCCACTTCTGCTTCGTACAGAAGGTCGCATCGCGCACTCGAGTCGGAGATAGCTGACTCAAGCTTTCTCGTCCTCGATCCCGACCTCTGCGTTTGGTTTGCTCCTTTTTGCTGTTTTTGCCAACGTCTCGCGCATTCGCACGTTGCTTGATGCCCGGCTTTCACTTTCACCTTGACACTCATAGGTGAGGGCAAGATCTGGGTCAACACCAACGTTGCCTTCTCGAAGCGCTACCTCAAGTACCTGACCAAGAAGCACCTGCGCAAGCAGCAGCTGCGTGACTGGCTCCGCGTCGTCGCCACCTCCAAGCAGGGCTACGAGATCAAGTTCTTCAACGTCTCGTACGACCAGGAGGCTGAGGAGAACTAAGCGTTCTCATCGCAACCCCTTACCATGCCTTGGAAGGACGGTCGCCCTCGCTTGTGAGAGCGATGGCGTGTGCTCCGAAGCACCCATCTTGGCCGTGTCTAGTTCACTCTTTGATGTAGCCTGCGGGACTTGGAATCACTACCCCAAAAGCCAGGAAAACGGGAGCTTGACTTCCTGACCTAGCACCCTCCCATCTTTCGCTGTCTGTGTGTGTGATCCATCGGAGCCTGCGATGCCACCGTCGAGGCACGAGCATGTGAAGATCGGGAAGAGTTTCATTTGTTAGAGTGGCGCTCGAGTCTCCACGGAGCGGCTCACGTAAAGTCGCTTAGGCGCGAGTGCGCGGACCCTGGGCTGCAGGCGTGCATGACTTGAGCCTGGTCGTTGCGCGCAAGACGGATTTTCAGAACCGCGCTGATCTGCGTTGAAATTCAGCGCGGCGTTTTGACGGCCGAGGAGGCTGAGTGCCGCTCCGCACCTCCACCCGGCAGTTGCGCTGCCCTGTGCACGCTTGGCCCCACCAGCAGCCTGGAGGTCCCTCCTCTTCTTCCATATGCGCCCATTGCGAGAGCGCCCTTGACTCCATCTCATTGCATCAAAACTTGGCGACACGCCCGATTTCTGGAGCGACTCTTCTCTGAAACGGCGAGCGAGGCAGCGCACGCATCTCAACCGCTTGTCTATCGTTCGACGCTCACCGGCAACTGATTTCGGCATCTGCAGCCGCATGCCATAAAGGGCCGAGATCGCTCTTCCACCGTCCTCCTCGCCTTTTTACGCTAACAGAGCACAGCGAAGCATGGCTAGCACAGACAACTACCAGCGTCGAGCCGGCGCCCTCAGAGACGACAGCGAAGACCCTTCCACAAGCGACGAGGATCAATTTCTCTCGGAAGGTGAGGCCGCGATCTACCTCGACGGAGACGACGACGAGGAGGACGACGAATATGAAGACACGCTCCTCCAAGACGCGCTAGAGGAGATGGTGGCGCAAGCAGAGGCGCGAGACTCGTTCGGCAACCAGTTCGACGACTCGGAAGGCGATTCGGAATACGTTCCCTCCGACGACGACGGCTCCGTATATCAAGACCTCATTCAGGACGCAGGCGGGCTCGAGATCGAGATGGCCGACGACGATGACGAGGACGACGAGGGTGAAGACGACGCAGGACAAGACGATGGCGAATCCATCACCATCGACATTCGCGATCTTCTGCGCGCACATCTCGCCGCAAGCAACGAAGACGACGAAGGCGGCGATGCGGGGACGCTCAACACAAGAGCCGCCATCTCTCGCGCGCTCAACAGCATCGGCATCAGCGGCCTGCAGCGTCTGCTCGCCGCAGCCACGGGCGGCGTGGTCAACGAAGACGACGATGAGCTCGAGGACGAGGATGACGAGGATGAGGACAACTGGTACCACATGGCACGCTCCAAGCCAATGGCCGACTTCTGGGAGCCCATCGAAGAGCCCATGCGCTCAGGTCAGGAACTGTCGCTGAGCGGAGAATTCGGTCGTCAGCCCAAGCGCCCGCTCGACTCTGCACCTTCTGCGTTTGAGGAGAGTCGCAACCTGTCGGATCTGGTGCACCAGCGCAAATATGCGCGTCGGCGCATGCTCAAGCAGGACATGAGCGCGTTTGTGCCCAACACCAACGGCACCATCGTTGCCACGTACCCGGCGCGCGTGTACTGCGGACAGTACTCGCAGGACTCGTCGTTCTTCTACACGTGCACGCAGGATTTCCGCGTGCACATGTACGACACCACCGTCGCCGGGCCACGCAGCGTACAGGTGCACGACGACGGCCCGCGGCGCGTGCGCAACAGCTGGTTCTTCAGCTCCATGGGCACCACCCACTACACGTCGCTGCAGCAGACCAAGAGCATCCAGGGCCGACAGGGCAACTGGACCATCACCGACGCGCATCTCAGCCCGGACAACCAGTGGATGATCTACTCGAGCATCACGCCGTTCGTCCACCTCGTGCCCACCAAGCAGACGTTCGAGACCGGCGGCGGCACGCCCAGCGACAACCAGGTCATGCTCGATTTCTCCAATACGGATGATGACACAGGGGTAAGATGGCGCTCAGCGGTAAGATCCCCCGAGGCCATTGGCATGAGCATGGACTGCGAAGCTGACCCTTTTCAAACCTTGATCTCCCCTGTTGGCTGGGTGCTGTAGATCTGGTCGATTCGATTTTCGGGCGACTCGCGCGAGATCGTGGCGGGCGCGCACTTTGGCGACATCTACGTGTACGACATTGAAGCGCGGCGGCGTGTTCTGCGGGTCGAGGGCCACTCGGACGACGTGAACGCGGTAGCCTTTGCGGACGCAGCGTCGTCCAACGTGCTGATCTCTGGTTCGGACGACTCGTTTGTCAAGGTATGGGACCGACGCTCTCTGTCGGGCGGCAAACCGGCGGGCGTGTTGATGGGCCACACTGAGGGCGTGACATATGTGTCGCCCAAGGGCGATGGGCGGTACTGCATTTCGAACGGCAAGGATCAGTCGTGCAGGCTGTGGGATCTGCGCATGATGCACAGTTCGGCCAAGTTTGAGCGCATGACGCACCTCGACTACGGGCTGCGCAACTGGGACTATCGCAACATGTCGTATCGGCAGCCGCGCTACCAGGCGCATCCGCAGGACTGTTCCGTCATGACGTACCGCGGCCATGCGGTGCTCAAGACGCTCATCCGATGTCACTTCTCCCCCGCCGAGACGACGGGGCAAAAGTACATCTACTCGGGCAGTGCGGATGGCAAGATCCACATCTGGAATTTGGACGGCACAATTGCACAGGTGCTCGATCGGTCGCAGGTGCGCCCGTTGTATGCCGAAAAGGATCCGGCCAACCAGGTGCATGCCTACAAGGGACCCGGCACAGCCGATGACGACGACGAGTCCGAAGACGATGATTTGGACGTCTTCCGTCCTCCAGGGATTGCGTCGGATCCGTCAGCTCCACCGGTACCGTGGTTCAGGCGCAAGCATCCACGACGCCATGGGGCTGCATCCATCGAAGCCTCCAGCGGTGGAAGAGCGAGCAGGGTCGCAGGTCGAGGTCACAGAGGCACGGGTGGCGGCGCGGCATGCACCGTACGAGACGTAAGCTGGCATCCGCAGGAACCGAGTCTCATGAGCACCGCCTGGGACGGCGCCGAAGGCGAGTCCGGCAGCATCGCCAAACACGAACTCGCCGACTGGTCCAAACGCCACATGACCCTCGACGACATTCGCGAACAGAACCACCTCGAGGCCCTGGGTTAGCCCCCACACCCTCCATGCAATCTCATCATCCTCCCGTCGACGCACGTTCTCACCGAGCATCGCACAGCACGCGCAAAACACAGCATGGGCAAAGATAAGCGGTCTGATCTTGCGATGAGAGAGGAAAATTATTGCCGCGGGATTCCGATGCGGGAAAAGAGGGCGCGCGGATGCGGATCAGGGAGTGGACCAACCCGCAAGTTCGACGACAAAGCTGGCGGACAGACGGACAAACTGCATGAGGTGGTCAAAGCTGAACTCGGGGTGGTCAAAGGTGTCCTGGGTCGTGTGGATGCGCTTGAGGTTGCTGTTCTCAAACGTCGCCTCGATGGCAAACGCCGAGTCGGCGCCGATCTTGGTCCAGCTGGCATGGTCGCTTCCTGCATAGCCGAGCTTGGTCTCGGTGTATCCAATGTCGAGGTACTCGTCGACGAGCGAGCCGATGAACTTGGTGAGCGGGGCCGAGACAAAGTCCGAGACGAGGCCGACGGTTTCCTTGGTGCCCTGCTTGACGAAGGCGGTCATGTCCTGCTGCAGCATGGCGTGCACCTTGGTGGCCTGACGTTCGTACGACTGCGCCACCGCCTGCGAGCCGAGCAGGCCGCCCTCTTCGGCGCTGTACCAGTGCAGCTCCACATCCGTCTCGGGACGCCACTTGGACTCGAGCAGCACACGCAGCGCCTCGATGATCGTCACGGTGCCCGAGCCGTCGTCGTCCGCACCGGGGGCAGCAAAGAAGGGGAAGAGGTTGGTGGAGTCCTGGTGCGCACCCAGGATGGTCACGCCGCGCTCCTTGGTGAGCGTGGCGTTGGTGCCCTTGACGGAGAGCAGGATCGAGTTCTGGCCCCAGGCGTGCGGGAACTCGCGCACGCTCACGTAGTCGTACGACGCCACGAGCTCGGACACCGTCTTGAGCAGCCACGCCTGCGAGTCGCGACCCGTCGAGCTCTTGTAGTACCGCGTGTGGAAGCTGGTAAACTTGGCGAGATGCTTGCGCGGGCCGTCCTGGGAGATAAGCTTGAAGACCTTCTTGAGCGCCTTGTGATGTTGCAGCTTGCTGGGGAACTTGGAGTCGCTGCCGACCAGGCTGTTGGAGCCCTGCGCCTGCAGACGGGCTGCCGAGAGCTCGCCGAGCGTGGGCGTGTCGGTGAGGTCCATAAAGTGGACGCCGCGGTACCACAGCAGCTGTTTGCCGAACTCGGTGGTCCAGTACGGCTGCTGCTCGGGCGCCGTCTGGACGAGACGCGGAGTAAAGAGGTCCGAGAGCGAGCTGGTCAGCCCGCCGAAGAGCGAGCCAGCAAAACCGCCGGTGGAGACGACATCGTGGATGGGCAGAGCCGACGCGCCGAGCGTGGACGTGGACAGTGCCACCGCAACGGCGGCGATGGGAATGGTGAACTTCATCGTGAGTCTTGAGGAGATGGAGGTATGCTGGTGTTGCAGAGGATGGAGGTGAGACAAGTCGGAGGAGGTGAGCAAAGGCGCATACAGCCAGGGAGTCCCTCTCGCTGGAGAGGAGGGCCGCGCAGCAGGGCGCATACATCGAGGGTTGGGTGAGCGGAGTGGGTCTGTGATCTGCGACCTCTGCTCGGCTGGGAGGCTGCCGCATTGAGTCAGGGTGCAGCTGCGCAACACTGCTCCAGTGCCCGTCACAGTGTGGAGGTTGAGCAGCCGCCCAGAGCCCCACCAAACTCCTCGGCGCCATTTCCGGCTTTTCTTGCGTGCCGTAGCTGCGGAGCTCTAACACTCTCACAGTTTGGCCATGGCCAACTCCGCCACAGGTCCGGACCTAGACATCACATCACGAACGACGAGGGACACCATGAACACAAAATGCGGTGATCGTGTAAAGATTGCAACGTATACGAAGACTAGAGAAGACGCATACCGGCCGGTCCACCCTCGGTCTCCTTGCGGCCGCGCTCCGCCTTGGTCTGCTTCTTCTTCTCGCTGGCGAACGCCTGCTTGGTCTTCATCTTGCGATCCTTGCGCTCCTTCTTGTTGGCCTTGAGCGCGTCCTTGCGTGCCTTTCTGTCCTCCTTGCTCTCGTTGCGGTCTCGCTTGGCGGTCACCGCGATGGTCGACAGCCTGCGCGCCAACTCGCCGCCCTCGGTGGCGTCCGAATCGTACTCGTCGCCTTCGCCATCCTCGGTATCCGAGCCGGAATCGCTCGCTCCCGACGGCGGGCCCCTGCCGTCATCCTCATCCTCTTCTGCGTCCTTGCCTTCTGCATTTTGCTTCTGCTTGGCAGCTCCGCGTGGTTTCGAGTATCCGACGATCTCGGGGAAGCCCGTGCGAGGGTTGATGCGGATCTTGGGCAGGCGTTCTTCGTCGTTGAGAAACGCCGACGCCGACGGACGCTGGCTGGTGTAGCTCGTCATGCTTGGCGCCATGCCGTTGCCCAGCATGGCACGGTTGACGGCGCCGTTGCTGCCCCCAACCACACTGCCGGGCCGGAAGGCGGAGGCATTGCTGCCGCCAAACACGCTCTCTTTGGCCGTGATCGTCCGCGGGTGATTCTCCAGATTCGTCTTGGTACTCTGGATCGTCTCCACGTCCCACTTTTCGCGCATGTGGCTGCGCGGCACGGGGTCCACAATCTCCTCGTCGGGCGACTCGTAGTCCTCGTAGTCGCCCAAATCACCCTCGCCCTTGCCTTCGTCCTCGCCCTTGCCCGCCCATTCGCGGCCGTCGATGCGCGCACGGCCGAGCGCCTGACGCAGAATGGCGAGCTTCTCAGCAGAGGTCGAATCAACGCCGCCGAGCGCTTCGCGCAGCTTGCCGTGCTTGGTCTCGTATCTCGCGAGAAAGTCGTCCATGATGCCTTCAAAGTCCTCGCGCGTGACCGGCTCGCCCGCTTCGTCGCCGTCCGAGTCGACAAACTCCTCGTCTTCGAGCTCCTCGAGCGACGGGTCAAAGTCCTCGCGGATGCCGTACTTGCGTCCGAGCTGTGCGAAGCGGTCGTCGAGATCGGTGAGGCCCTTGTTTCGGAACATGGCCGAAGACGACATGGACCACGCCGTGCTGCCTCCGCCGATCGACGGCGCCTTGGTGCTTGCGGCTCGGCGCGCGAGCGCGCCTGGCTTGCCCTTCTTGCCGATGGCCGTGCCGCCGGCAGTGTACATGGTGCCTGCTTGCGAGCCAGCAACTCGCGAGCCGCCACGGAGCGAGGCGAGCTGGTCGCGCTCTTCGTCGTCGTCGTCTTCGCCGTGGTCCGAGCTGGGTGCGGCCCTGCGCTGCATCTCCTGCTGCTTCTTGAAGAGCGCCACTCGCGCTTCGAGCGACATGTTTTCCTCGCCAAGCTCGTCTCGCTCCTTCTCTGCGCGCGCGGCCGGGTCGGCCCAGATAGCCTCGTCGCCGCCCGGAGCATCGTTCCTCCACTCGTCGTCCTGACGCACCACGCCGTCCCACTCGCCGTCCTTGACGACCTCGCCAAAGAAGTCATCGTCCAACTCGTCGTCGACGAAAGCTTCGTCGTCGAGCGCCTCTAGCGCCTGCCGCAGATGTGGGTCCATCTCTGGCTGGAATCCCTGCAGCGATGGCTCGACGGCCAGATGCGACGTGAAGCTAAACGGCATCTCCTTCTGCGATGGCAGCACCGACGCTGGCAGGTTGAGCTTGCCATCCTGCGCCTCTTCTGCACCGTCCTTCAGGGCGAAGCTGGCGTCCTTCTTCTCCTTGCCCTTGCCCTTGTTGGCGCTGGCGGAGACGAGGATGGTGTCGACGGTCTCGTCGACATTCTCGCCGCCGCGCTTCACGTTTTCGTCATCGTTGATGGGACGCAGATGCTGCATGTAGTCGTACTCGGTGTCGTCAAAGTAGATGCCGTAGTTGGCTGCCTCGCCGATGTTGCCACGGATGGGCTTGCCGTACTTGTCGCGGATCACCGTGGCGTCGGCCTCGAGCTCGGCGCGCGTCTTGCCCTTGGCTCTCGACTGGTTGGCGGGGTCGTAGGAGAGCAGCACGTGTGCACCGGCATCCGGATCGTTGATGAGCGGATCACGCTGCGAGCGATGCACGAGCTGGAAGTGCTGTGCATTCTCCGAACGCCATATCGACTTGTTCTTGGTCTTGGACTTGGCTGGCATGCTGGGCTATCCTGGCGACCGCCACTCGCCTTGTGCGTGCGTTTCCAGGAGGGTTGCTTCGAAGGCAGCCGGGTCTATGAGTTTGCCCCACCTGTTTGATGTATAGGCGGAACGGACGGTGATGCTGTCGGTGTATCCAAGCCGTTCGGAAGGTGCTGATGAAGTCGGTGATGGTGTTGGTTGTGATGCAGACCTGACCAGTTGGGCTGAGCGCCTGACCTGTCAGAAAATTTTGGAGGAGCAGGCGGAGGCGGCTGCCGACTTTTTTTGGAGGTAAAAAATCCCGAAATGCGAAGGGCGTTCAGGGTGCAGCAGCTTTCTGGCTCTTCTCGACAACCCTCGCAGTTCTCTGAACGATTTCTCGATTTGCTCCACTCGGTCTGCTGCTTACATAAGCCAGATTTGCGGTCCGCCCTTTCTCAGAAGACAGCCTCACCTCAGCTCGGCTCACGTCTTTCCTCCACCAACTCGGCCTTCTCCACAACCTCTCACATCAAGATGGTCGCATCAACGACATCTGCATCGAGCTCGCGGCTCTTGCTGCCGGGCCAGCCACTTTCTTCCACGCTTGCGACCAAGCCAGGGAAACCGCAGCTCGAGCTCGGACTGGGCACATACTCTCGCGGCGACTACATCCTGTCCTCGCTCGTCGGCTACGAGACTCGCTTCCCGTCGACACCGGACTCTGCGCCATCATCGTCGTCTCGTTCGCAAGCACCAAAATCCGAGACAGTCTCGATCAGCGGTGTGGAGAATCGCTTTGTGGTACCGCGGCCCGACTCGACGGTGATTGCACGCGTGACGCGCGTGACGCCGCGCCAAGCGTACCTGTCGATCCTGATTGTCGACGGCCAGCCGTGCGGCTCTTCGTCATCCACCTCGTCTACATTCGTACAGTCTGGTCTTGGCAACCATGCAGCTGGCGAAGGTGAAGGGATCGACTTCCAGGGCGTCGTTAGGAGTCAGGATGTGCGCTCGACGGAAAAGGACAAGGTGAAGCTCGCCGACTGCTTCCGGCCCGGCGACATTGTGCGCGCAACAGTCATCAGCCTCGGAGATGCACGCAGCTACTACCTTTCGACGGCAGCAAATCATCTCGGCGTCATCTACGCCCTCTCGGCAACATCCGCAGGCGAATCATCCAATGCCCACCAGGGTCCCGGGTGGAACATAGCCGGAAACCAAATGGTGCCCATCAGCTGGAACCAGATGATCGATCCCATCACCGGCATCGTCGAAAACCGAAAATGCGCCAAACCCGACTCCATCTAGCCCTTTCCTCGACTGCACCTGTACACTAGCCTCCTCCCTCTTGCACACAACAATCCATCACATCGCACACTCGAACGCTCACATGCCCCGCATCGAGTGAGTCAAAAAAACATTGATTTCCGTCTAGAACAAGTGGGTCATGCAACACCACACCGACCTCGGACACTCGCGATGAGTGCAAAAGCCAGAGACTGGGCGTGAGTAGCATCCGTATTTCCTCTCCTCCGTGTACACTTTTGTTGGCGGGCGGGATTCGTGATTTGGGGATCCAGTATGTGTTTTTCTTTCAGTCCTTGCGGTGGAAGAGCGAGTTTTTGCGCTTGCTGTCTTCGCTCATGACCTTGACGTGCGGGTGGTCGGGCTGCTCGCCCGGTTTGCCGTCCTTGACGATGTGCGCACACGTGCGGATGCCCTTGAGCCAGTCGTCGCCATGGTCATCATCATCCTCGAACTCGGTAAGTCCGATGGAGCCCAGCCCGGCCGCGTGCGCGTCGCGGCTGATGCCGTCGATGGTGCCGCTGCGCGGCGACACGGTGCCCGAGCCTTCCGGATGCGCCTGCGCGTGCGCGCCGTCGATGGCAGACCGCAGCATGTCGGTGCTGTTGCTGCGCGACATGACGGGCGTGCGCGTGAGCGGGCTGTCCGTATCGCTGAACCGACGTCCGCGTAAAAGATCGCCGAGCGTGCATCGCAGCGAAGGCTCCACCGCCATCATGCGCGACAGCGCAGAGCGCGTCTCGCGCGGCAGCAGTCGGAAGATGCTGTCGGCCGCACCGGACGTGTACGTGGTCTGCGACGACGCCGACGACACGCTGTCGCTGCGGTGCTGATGCGGACGCACGTCATCAAACGCACCGCCTTCCGCACTGTCGCCAAGCGTCGAGCTCGGCGACGACACCACGGGGGACACGGCGCCGGGGCTCGCGACAGGTGCGCCGCCGTTGCCATTGCTGTCTTCGCCCAGCATCTTGTGCGCGTCGAACGAGTCGCTGAGCGACGGCGAGTGCGGGTTCGAATGGATCGAGTGCGGCGTCATGTAGCCTGCCTCCTTGGCCGATCGGATCTGCGGCGTGGCGGCATCGTCGGAGCTGGTGACCGGGTCGATGGACGACATGCCGAGCGTCCTGCGGATGGCCGACACGTCGTTGCCCGAGTTGACGCGGCTGGCGAGCGTGCTCGACGTTGTGCTGCCCTGCCGACTCGGCACACCGTCGCTCTTGGCCTCGGACGCCGGTGGCTTGCACAGCTCCGGATGCGAGTTGACAAACAGGCGGAAGCTCGGGTCGGTCTTCATGTCCGGCAGCTTCCAGGGGAAGCGGCGCAGGATCATGCACAAGAAGATGATCGCACAGCTCCACACATCCGTGAGGCGCGGATCGTACGTCTGCTGCGACAGCACCTCGGGTGCAAGGTAAGGGTCGGAGCCCACGACACCGGTGGCGACCACCTTGGTCTTGCCTGGCGAGTGGAAGACGGTGGCAGTGCCAAAGTCGATGAGCTTGACAATGTTGCCCGTAGTCATGACGCAGTTGTCGAGCTTGAGGTCGCGATGTGCGAGACCCATGGAATGGAGGTAGTCGACACCGTCGCAGATCTGACGGAAAACGCAGTAGATCTCCTGACGGCACATCTTGCCGCTCATGACGACGCTAAAAAGGTCGTAGGGAGCGTATTCCATGACCTCGTAATAGTGTCCGTGGTCGGAGATGATGTCGATGGTCTCGATGATGTTGACGTGGTGGAGGGTGCTGCCGATGCAGAACTCGGCGGTGACCTTTTTGATGTACTCCTTCTCGTTCTCGCCGGGCCTGCGCTGGCGGAACTCTTTGACGGCAAAGACGGTGTGGTCCTTGGAGCGCTTGATGAGACGCACGGTACCTCCGGCGCCGGAGCCGAGCACCTTGCCCCACTTTCCGTACTTTTTGGCGAGGTGTGCGTGGTCTTCGCCGAGGGGCGGCGAATCCTTGCCGTGACGCTTGGGGGTCGCGACGCCGGAGCGGCTGCTGTCGCTGCGGGAGTCGCTGTTGTGGTGGCCGATGTGGTTGTGGAGGAACTTGCGCAAGTCGGAGAGCGGGTTATGATGGTGGGACGAGTGATCCTTGTCCTTCTTCTTCTTGTGGTGACCGTCGTTGTCCGAGGGCGAGGCGGCGCCGCTGCCGCTGCCGGAGTGGCGGTCGGTGTTGCGCCGCGAGCCGAGCTTGGGGAAGATGAACTGCGGAGGCGTGCTGGTGGCTGTTTCGTTGCCGGAAGCGTCAACGCCGCGCGCTGATGCGAGGCCGCTGGCGCCGGCTCCCTGGACGGGCTGGAAGTTGGTGCCAGTCATGGCGCCGCTGAGCACCTTGTTGAGGCCGGACTTGGGCTGGCTCACGACGGGCGAGACGGGTTCGGACGATGCGTTGTTGGGCTGGAAGTGTGCGGAGGAGCCACCGGTGCCGATAGGTGTGGCGACGCCCGAGTGATCCGCGCGCTCGCTGAGACCCAACTTTCTGAGGTTCTCGGATCGAATTTTGGCGGCGGAGGCGCTGGGCCCTGTGATGGCATCGACGGGGCCGGAGACGATGCCGCTTGAAGCGTCGAGGCCTCCGGTGGACACGGGTGAAGCCACCTGCGCCGGAGAAGAGACGACGTGTGCGTTGTTGCTGGCAACGGGCGTGGGCAAGTCGGATGTCGAGGTGGAGCTGGGCTGTGCGGACGAGGCAGCCTGAGCGCGGGGTGAGGTAGTGTAGCCTGGAGCGGCCGAATTCTCTCGGAGCGTCATCTGATTTGTTTGGGTAGCGAGATGGACGACATCGGCGCCTCGACGCTCCTGGTCGGGCTCGGTGGTGTGGTGGACGATGGGGTCCATGGGCTTTGACGACAGCATGTTGGAGAGTAGTATCGATCAAATGCTAAGCCGTGGAGTGTGCAAGGGGAAAGAGTTGCAGCGAACGACGGATTGGACGGACTGGCGACTGGCGACTGGCGACTGGCGATACGTTGAGAGCGATCGCGTGGCCGTTTGTGTGTACGACCTCGGATGTGACAGGCCGAAGCGGAGGTATTGCGGAATGGAGAGGGTGGGACGAACCTTGGCTCGGAAGTAAGTGCGGCGCGTGGGTTTGGGGGGGGGGGGGGGGGGGGGGGGGGGGGGGGGGGGGGNGGGGGGGGGGGGGGGGGGGGGGGGGGGGGGGGGGGGGGGGGGGGGGGGGGGGGGGGGGGGGGGGGGGGGGGGGGGGGGGGGGGGGGGGGGGGGGTAGGGTTTGGTTCAGGCCGGCCAATTCTTGGCACTGGCGGCTCCGGGGGGGGGGGGGGGGCGGAATGCAGGATGCTACGGGCGTCTAGGGACGTGCAGGTAGCTCAGCTTGCCACGCGAGGAAGGAGCTGATTCGAGCCGTGAGCTGATCGTGCAGCGTCGAAGCAGAGAGCGATGAGCGACCGAGAAGAGTTCGTCATCCAAGGTGACGCGAGGGGGCAAATCGACACAGCGACGAGATGAAGCCGAGATAGGCGCCAAAGACGCAGCAAGGAGCAGGGATGGAGGTGGAAGATGTAGACAAGCGAAGGTGATGGTGGGAAGACGAGGTGGAGGCACGATGCACAGTTGGCCGGAGCAGGTGGGAGGAGAAGCACGAGGAAGAGGAGGAGGAAGCGGCCGAGTCGTAGGTGCAGCAGCTGCCATGCTGGGAGGAGGAGCAGCAGCCGCAGCGGGAGGCGGCCACCCAACCATCCGGCATCCGCACGAGCATCCGAGGCAGCAGCAGCAGCAGCAGCAGCAGCAAAATGACGGCAGCAGCCAAGTTAGACTGCCGGGGCAGCAGCAGCAGCAGCAGCAGCAGCACGAAAATCGCAGGGGAATCTGAGCGAACGAGCGATTGGGTGGCCCGCGCCAGAGCAGCCGGGCGCGGAAAAAGAGCGATGAAAATCGTCTTTTTCCAGGGCGAATGGGCCACCCCCCCCCCCCCCCCCCCCCCCCCCCCCCCCCCCGCCCCCCCCCCCACCCTTTTTTTTTTTTTTTTTTTTTTGGCCTCATTTCGGCCAACCCTCCCACCCGCACATCCGCACCACTTTTTTTTTTTTTTTTTACGGTACGCGGCACTCTGGATGCGCTATCCTCTTTGACTCGCGCGATCTGGCTTTTGACTCTGCCTTGATCGTCGGTGGCTCTCTCGCTCGGATCTGCATGAACTCAAGAGGTAAACAATAGCATACTTGGAGAAGAAGGAGGCTCGAGTGGCACCTGCTTATCTCCGAGTGGCCCTGCGTCAATAGCCGCAGTTGGAGCCAATAAAGCTGAGGCAGCAAGAGAGAGAGAGAGAGAGAGAGAGAGAGAGAGAGAGCGAGAGAGGGTTTTGACGGTTGAAAGAGAGAGAGAGAGAGAGAGACGCGTTTGTCAGTGCCTCTGACGACACGTTGGCCGCTCGGCATCGTGCAGCTGAGCCAGTCCAAAGCCACCGGAACTTGCGCGCGACTCAAAATCCCACACGTCAGAGAGCTCCACAGACCCTGGGTCTGAACCCGCTAGATGGAAAACTCGGTTCTCGGCATCCAGTTTGGAACCAGCAGGTGTGTCGAACGACGCTCAGCCGCCAAGACCCAGCAGACAGCTGATTGGAATTTCGTTAGACATCGCGTCATGTCTTGAGCTCGCAGCCCAACACGATGGACAGGTCAGAGCACCGCTCGCCAAGAAGACCAACCAGGCGCTAAGTTACCTGCGTCCATGACTGCACAGTGCTTGAATCCAAGACAGCTTCTTTTCGCTTCGGTCGAACTACTCGCGGTCGGCAAGAAGTCGACCTAACACTCGCGACTCGACGCTCAGCGCACATAGCGTGTTGAAGCAGGCGAGTCGTTGCACGGAGGCCGTCTCACCATGCGGCAATGCAAGGTCCCCCGCCAAACAACACCTTCTCACCACCGGCCCTCGTTCGCGCGCATGTGTGCCAGTGGCGACCCAAGCTGCTATGCGGTGCTCGGGCCAACTGCTGATGTCGACTGAAAATCGTGATTCCAACTTGCATTGCGCCGCGTGAGCTTGGAACGACAAAGTGAGCGGTAACTTATGCCAAAGCCTTGACAGTGCGGACCTCGGGGCTTGCCGATGCTGAGCGTCGGTCTTCGATGCACGACTCGCTCCAACGCCGAGATCATCAGCTGTCCAGCCGGTATGCGGATTCGAGCGCAAGACCCTACCAGATCCCCGGTCCATAGCGAGCGTCGATCGAAGCCTCTCAGAATCGGCGGAAGAATCAGCGTGAAGACTACCGCAGCGGTGGCACGGCAATCTCGGCCATCAGCGCCGCAGTCCTGCATCCGGCAATGTCGCAAGCACCCTACGACTGTCCTCACCTGTACACAGCGTCTGCATGCGATCGTTGCACCAGCCGCATGTTGTTCTCGATGCCCCCTGTATCGCGTGGGCGGCTTTCTAGGCTCCGAGGATCCGGCGGAACAGCTCTTCGGAGCACTGCAGGGTCCACCGCATCCATGCTCAGGTCTAGCGAACAACCCGCATGGCAACGTTCCCTTCGACCCAAGGCGGGGCAAGCCTGCTTTGGAGCTCGTGTTGGCAGCTGTCAGAACAGCGCGAGCTTCGTTCCAAGGCAGGAAATTCGGGCGCTCCCTTCCGTCGACCAAGCCGCGATGAAGCGCTGAACCCTGATGAGATTCCCGCTCGGCTGGCACACAACAAGGTTCAATCGCCAGCGAACACCACGCCAGCTGCACAACCCCGCACCGGCAATCTCGGCTGGATTGAGCTAGCGGCGGTTGCATGCTTCTGGAAGCGAACCCTGTTTCATGCCCGTACCACACACCCCGCAAGAAGCTATGCAAGCAGTGCCGTCAGACCGGCGATCGACGTACCCAACTGCCGGTCCCTCGGCACAATGAGCGAACGATGTTCGATGCCTGACTGGGCCATCAGCAAAATCCCCCACCTTGGCCTTGGTCGCGATCGTCTCTCGATCGATCTTTGAGTCAGCGGCGAGGGCACAGATGCAGCTTGAAATGCAGCCAACGAGCGCTCGACTCGATCGGGGAAGAAACAGCGAGATGAAGCCCAGTTTTGCATGCAACCTCTGCTGCTTCTTTTCCACCGGCGACCCTCAGCCTGCTAGCGTCCTACCTCGGAGCCAAGGATCAACGATCGTCGGTTGCAATCGTCATGCTCGCGTGCACGAGCTGTGCGTGGATCGCAACCGGACTATGGCGTTCCGGTTGAAGCTACAGGTGGGGTTGGAGGCGCGCTAATGGGCGAACGAGCGAACCCACATGCGCCACGTTGGCGTTGGCGCATCAATGTCGCCCTGCCCTGACAACCTCACCTTTTGTTGGGATGAAGTGGGGTCGTAGCTGCGCCCAACGTGCATCCCTGCTCAGGGGGATGGCTTCACTAGCAACACCGGGACTCAACCTCGGCGTTCGCCACCAACCAGTCCGTTGCTGTGGATCAGGACCGCCAGGCTATTGTGCGCTTCTTCCCCTTGACTGCACCCACATCCCAGTGGCAACAAGTATAAAGACGCACTGCTCGCCGGTGCTTTGGTCCAAGCAAGATACCCACACCTCTCCCCTCCCTCCATCCTACAACCCCTCCTCACCTCTCTCAACTCTTCTCTCTCCACTCGTTCGTCCTCGTTCGATATGAAGATCTCAAGCTCGCTCGTTGCCATCAGTGTGGCTCTGGCAGCTACGCTGGTGGGTGCGTCGCCCACTGCCGAACGTCGACAGACCTGTACTCTGCCGACCTCGTACAAATGGATTCCCTCGGCGCCTCTCGCCAAGCCCGCCAATGGTTGGGTGGCGCTCAAGGACTTTACGCACGTACCGTACAACGGCAAGCACCTCGTCTACGCCTCTACCCACGACCAAGGCACCAAGTACGGCTCTATGGGATTCGCGCCCTTCTCTACCTGGGCCGATATGGCAACTGCCACGCAAACGGCCATGAAGACGTCGGCTGTTGCACCAACGATCTTCTACTTTGCGCCGAAGAAGACCTGGATCCTGGCGTCGCAGTGGGGCGTAGCATCGTTCTTCTACATGACGAGCAGCGACCCCACCAATCCCAATGGATGGTCGGAAGAAAAGCCTCTGTTCACCGGCAAGATCGCTGACAGCGATACGGGACCGATTGATCAGACGCTGATTGGAGACAGCTCCAAGATGTGTCTCTTCTTTGCCGGTGATAACGGTAAGATCTACCGATCTTGCATGCCCATCGGCAACTTCCCCGGAAGCTTCGGTACTGCATCGGAGGTCGTCATGTCCGATACGAAGGCTAAGCTCTTCGAGGCTGTGCAGGTATACACTCTCGAGGGTCAGAACAAATATCTGATGATCGTAGAGGCTATGGGTAGTGGTGGACGTTACTTCCGCTCCTTTACGGCTGATAGCCTCGAGGGCAAGTGGACCGTCAATGCCGGCGAGGAGTCGGCACCCTTTGCCGGTAAGGCTAACAGCGGTGCCTCGTGGACCGACGATGTCAGCCACGGCGATCTGATTCGATCCAACCCCGATCAAACCATGACGGTGGACCCCTGCAGACTTCAGCTGCTCTACCAGGGCCGTGACAAGTCCGTCGCTACTCCTAGTTACGATCTCGCCCCCTACCGCCCCGGCCTTCTTACTCTCCAGAGGTAGGAGCCTTCACGTCCGCTCCTCGGATAGATTCATGTGCTCTGTGCAGAGCCCCCTCGACGTCACTTTTTTTTTCCTCTCCCGTGCTCTCATCACTGCATTGCCTAGACCTTCGCCCCTTGTCAATGTCCAGTGCTCCCTCTCACCCGTTGGCCTGTGTAGCCAGCATCCGGGAGATGCATTGCAGAATGAAGTCTGCCAGTGCGACCCGCCATGAGCAGCGACCCCACCAATGATGGCCTCGCCCAAACTCAATCTGCGGCTGCGATTCAGACTCTAACCTTTGCTCCTCGGACATTTGCTTTCGTATCGATGCCAGAGTGCTTTGCGAATTGCCAACTGCGGCATGTGCACTACCATTGCCAAAAAAAATGGGGGGCCCTGGGCGGAACAAGTGGAGGAGAAGAAACGAAGGTGGAATCCGAGTGTGCAGCAGCCCCGAGGTGCGCAGCGAAGCGGAATCTATGGCGGCATCTAGAAGAGAAGGCTTCCCGCCACGGCGGCGACCGCACAGCCCACCACGGCAGCCGAGCCCACGCGGGTCGAGGTGGAGCCCGAGGTGGTCTGGGAGCTGGTGTTGGAGCCGGACGAGTTGCCCGTCTGTGCCGAGTTGGAAATGGAGCTGGTGCTGGATGCGCTGGCCGAAGTCGAAGAGCCTGCGCTGGCCGAGGACGAGGACGAGGTAGGGGCCGACGAAGCCGAAGCCGTGTTGGCAGCCGCGCTTCCCGAAGCAGAAGCAGACGACGGAGACGAAGACGAAGCGGCGGAAGCGGCAGAGACGATCCTGCCCACGCCCCAGGGGATCGCTTGGCCCTCGGGCTGCCTGGCGTTGGGCGGCGTGGTCACGGCACCCGTGGTGTCGGCGATGGCGAATCGAGTGGTCCAGGTCGGGTCCTCGCCGTCGTGGGTGAACTGGAAAAAGTAGATGCCCGAGTTGGGCTCGACGTTGGGCGCGGTCCAGAGCAGCTTGCCTGCACCAGCCGAGGTGCCGTCGACGTCGGTGGCGACCGTGTAGAGCTCGGTCATGTTCTGGTTGGAGCCGGTCATGAACTTGATCTCCATGCTCTTCCAAGCCTGGTTGGTGGTGGTGTCCCACTGGATGAGCAGCGGAGATCCCTCGTTGGTGAGGCCAGGCGTGAGCGGCGAGACCGCCGAGGCTGCCGACGACGACGACGACGAAGACGACGACGACGAGCTCGACTGACGCTTGACCATACCGGGAACGGCCGATGCCGACTCGACGCTAGCCAGCGCGAACAGGGCCCAAGGGGCAAGGGCAGCAGCAGAGAAGAACTTCATGGTGGTGTTGGTGAGGAATGCAACTGTGACAAGGGCGAGCGTGCAGAGGAGTGGGTCAGTCATGTTTGCCAACATGCGCTGCTTGGATCAATCGTGACCTGTCGATGTGGTCGAAGGGCTGGCCTATACTTACAAGCAACGGGATTCTTGGATGAAATAGTTCAAAGTCGAAGGACGGTCGAGATGGCGTGGTAGAGCGGGTGTTGGCAGGTGGAGGGTCAAAAGAGTGACGACGGTGAGAGTGCTGGTGGACCTTTATGGAAAGGGGACAGGACGAAACCGGGGGAAAGGATGAGAGGAGGGGAGGGTCAAGAGTGGATATGGTGAGAAAGGAAGGCGAGCGCTGAACAAGATGGACTGAAACAGGCACGACCCGCCGACAGCATGTTGCAAGGTGTGTGGCAGTGTGGCACACACACTCGCCAGACCGAATTCTCGTCAAGAGGGCTGCGGGGCGCACATCGCAGCAACTCCGTCTCAGGCTGATCACGCTGCTGTGCGCTCGAGGGCGGCGGGATAGGGGTGGTGCTGGTGTGACGCCGCAAAAAAATGAAGAAGGCAGGCGGGCATTCGGTCGCAGCCAGTGCTGGTGGGCTGAGGAGCGCGGCAGATGTTTTGAGACCAACACTCGATGCACAAAGGGCCAGGGCGGAAAGTGCAGTCGCAGTGCAGCAGTGGGCGAATTTGACAGATCCGACGCGCGACTCCGAGGCTGGTTGAGTCGGCTGCTGCCCATTCCTGGCGTTGAAGGCGGTGCGTCGCTCTTCTGTCGCAGATCCGCCGATCCAAGCAATTCTGACGCCTCGGCTGCTCGCTCTTCGAATTCCACGGCAGAGGAACAATGCATGGCGGCGATGCACTTCTGCACGCGTGCGTTCCTGTCGCTGCCCTGTCGCTGCCCCCACTGCACAGCTGCAGCTTGCCAAGCGCCAGCAAGCCCAGCAAGCCCAGCTTCCACAGGAGGAGGACCCGACGCGCCAAACAGGCAGGGGTTGAGAATTGCGACCAAGGCATCGGCGTCGGAGTCCCAACCTCGTCTGTCGGCAGACGTCGCCCTTTCGCCAGCAATGCCCGACACTCCGGTCAAGAAGCGCTCGCTTCCATCGGCGACTCGACGTCTCACCTCCCTCCGTGCCGTAACTGAGCGTCTCGAGAAGCCGGTGCTGTTTGGCATGCAGATTCCGCAAATCTGTTCCCGGCGGAGCTGCACTTCTCCGACTTTGCTTGACGAAGCTTGAGGGCGGTGCGCTGTTGGGTTCCATAGCGGACAGCCGATTGTCAGGAACAGCAAAGTATCGAGGGATCTATCCTCCAGGGTCTCACCACTGACCCTCGCGGGGGCGACGCGCGGGGCGAATTTTCACGTTGTTAGATCTATTAAGCTCCGGAACTCGGACATCCCTTCTTCATCACGTGAGCCTGCTCAGCGCTGTCTGCGGGAAATTTTTGCAGAAATTCCACCAAAAATTTCGCTGTTGCGAGCGCTGCACCCTGTCGAGGCTTGGACTTGGACGAGAGGCTCGACCCTGAACCTCGCATTTGCACGCTCCACAAGGGCATTTTTTTTTCTTCTTCTTCTTCCTGCGCGCGGGGCTGCCACTGCGATAGCGCTCGTAGAACTCTTCGTTGCTTCTTGCAGTCCACACAACTCCCATCGTTCCGAAGCATACCTCTTCTTCCCGCAGGCCCGCCTCGATCCACTCGATACGCCGTCGGAACCTGCTAGACTCGTCGCATCGACGCTAAAACCTCGACCCTCGTCCTCGCACACTCCCACATCCGCACATCCATCAAGATGGCCAAGATCAAGCAAAAGGGAAAGTCGGGTGCGGCCAAGAACTACGTGACGCGTAACCAGGCCATCAAGAAGCTTCAGGTGACGCTTGCCGACTTCCGCCGCCTCTGCATCCTCAAGGGCATCTTTCCGCGCCAGCCCAAGAGCGTCCGCAAGGCCAACAAGGGCTCTTCGGCACCCACCACCTTCTTCTTCGCCAAGGACATTGCGTACCTCCAGCATGAGCCCGTGCTGCAGTCGCTGCGCGAGCACAAGACGTTTGCCAAGAAGCTCTCGCGCGCCATCGGTCGCCGCGAGTGGGCCGCCGCCAAGAACCTCGACGAGAGCAAGCCCACGTACCGACTCGACCACATCATCAAGGAGCGCTACCCGACCTTCCGCGACTCGCTCAAGGACATCGACGATGCGCTCTCGCTCCTCACCCTCTTTGCCAACCTGCCCGCCACGGACAAGGTGTCGGCCGAGGTGATCGCCACATGCTCGCGCCTCTGCGCCGAGTGGCAGTTGTACGTCATGAAGACCAAGGCGCTCAAAAAGGTCTTCCTCAGCATCAAGGGCATCTACTTCCAGGCCGAGGTGAACGGAGAGACCATCACATGGCTCGTCCCTTACCTCTTTACGCAGCACATCCCCTCGGATATCGACTTCCGCATCATGTACACCTTCCTCGAGCTCTACCAGACCCTGCTTGGATTCGTGCTCTTCAAGCTGTACACCGACGAGAACCTCGTCTACCCGCCCAGGTTCGACGCCACCAAGGACGAGCAGGCTGCCGGCTTTGGCGCGCTCAGCCTCGACCCGGCCAGCGCGGCTGTGCTGCGTGGCGAGAACGCGGCGGCCGTCGCTCCCTCGACCTCTTCCACCGTCATCACCGCATCCGGCAAGAAGGTGTCGGCGAGGGACGTCAAGAAGCAGATCAAGGCGATCGCCAAGTCGGGTGCCGTGGCCGACGACGTGGATGAAGCGGACGAGGCGGACGAGGAGGAGGCGCAAATCGAGGCCGAGCAGGACCAGTTTGTGGAGCAGCCGTCCAAGTCGGCCGAGGAGCAAGAGTCGTCGGCGCACCTCACCACGTTTGACGAGATCCAGGCCGCTTCGGCGGCGAGCGAAGGAGCAGCCAACGGGCTCTTCACGCCGTACGTCTTCTACATCTCGCGAGAGTGCCCGCGTGCGGTGATCGAGTTTGTGCTGCGCTCGTTCGGCGCGCTTCCGGGCCGCATCGGCTGGGACATGGTGGCCGGTGCCGGCAGTGCGGTGGACGAGGACGACGCGAGGATCACGCATCACATTATCGACAGGCCCGTGCCCGCTGGCGGCATGAAGAAGTACGCGGGCAAGCGCGTGTTTGTGCAGCCGCAGTACATTGTGGACTGCGCCAACGCACGCAAGCTGCTGCCTGCTGGCGCGTATGGACCGGGCCAGACTCTGCCGCCGCATCTCAGTCCGTTTGTCGACGATGCCGAGGTGGCGCGTCGCGGCGGCTACGTGCCCGAGGAGGCGAGGGAGCAGCTGGGTCTCGAGGCCGATGCTGCCGCCGCCCCATCGGACGACGACGAGGACGACGAGGATGTGGACGAGGAGAGTGCCGACGAGGACGAGGATGCGGAGGAGGAGCCAACAAGCAAGGCCGAGGAGTCGTCGCGACCTGCGCTTGCAGCGTTGTTGGCCGATCCTGCGGATGCCACGGATGCTGGCCTGCTGGATGCTGCCGAGCTCGAGGCGGAAGCGGCGGGTGGCGAGGATGCGCTGGAGGAGATGCGACGCAAGCACGCCGCAGCGCTCAAGGAGGCCAAGAAGAAGGCCAAGGGCAGCAGCGCCGGTGGAGCGGCGGCGCGCAAGAGCGACGAGCAGGAGGCCAAGGAGATGACCAAGATGATGATGAGCAATCGCCAGCGCAAGCTGTACGAAAAGCTCAACTACTCGTCCGGCAAGCGTGCCGAAGAGACCGCCAAGCTGCAGCAGAAGAAGAAGGCGCTCAACAAGAAGGCCGCCAAGGCGCGAAAGTGATCCGCCCTGGCCTGCATTGCATTGCACTCATTCTTGCGTTGTTGTTGTGTTCCGGGTATCAATGTCATTTCGTATATCGCATGCATGTGTGCTCGAGAGTGTGATGCCGAGCATGCAGGGTCCAAAGAGAGCCTCGGGGGCGATTCGTTTGCAATTGTTACGCCGGCGTCTGCTCGCTGGGATATTCGCGGCGGGGCAGAGGTGGGAGCGAGATACGGGAAGCGGCAGTGGCAATGTCTCGACTAGACGCGCCTCTGGATTCCCCGCTGCTTTTGGGCGTGCCTTGCCAGGCACGACGATGCGCCGATTCGGGATCGTCAGCCGCGCGCGCGGGGTCCATCTGTGGTTGGAGGACGACTTGATTGGTTCATGCGATCGCGATGCTCGCCGAGGCCCATCTACATAGCATGCTGGAGCAGATGGATACCGTGGGACTGCCCTCGTCACATGCATACGCTATCGATCGGGACGTGGGAGAGTTGCAAGCACATGGCGCCGTCGTTCCATTGTCCGGCTCTGCGGACCGCCGTCATGCTGCGAAATTTCGACGAGCAGCATCGAGCACGCATTGAGAGCAGCAGCAACCAACTCAGCTGCACGAGGCGGACCAGTCGGAATGCTGCAGCGCTGCGAGCCATCAGAGGTGCTAAATTCGTAAGAGCTGCACGTCGGAATTTTCCAAGGGTGGGCTCGATGCGTCTGTTTGCTCCAGCTGGGCTACCAGAGGCGGGGAAAGACAGCCTAGCTACAGCAGAACAAAGCCAAAGCCCTTCCGATGGTCGGGCTGCTCCGACGTGTGATTGATTGTTGTCTTGGCCATCAGCCGCTTCAGACGCAGAAGGTGTTCAGGTCGACAGCTCGGACGGCACGAGCCGCGCGCCGCTCTCGCCTCGACTCGACTCGCCTCGTCTCGCTTGGGATGGCGCCGTCTCGTCTCGGCTGGCTCGGCGGTTGCTTGCTCCGTGCGCTATTCCAGCCTCCGCCCTTCCGCACCTCCGCCCCCACCGCGTGCCGTGCCGCGCCGCCCGCCGTGGCTGGCCTGTCAAAGATCCATCCAAGGCTTGGCCTCGCGCTGTAAATTATCTCTCCGCACTCGCCTGCTGCATCATTCCACGCGCTTTCAACGGCATCACGTCCGGCTCGCCTGATTCCTTCCATCCTGCCAATCGGCGGAGCTGCCCTCCTCCAGCTCACCTCTCGAGCACAGCCTTGGGCTCTGGTCATCTCGTCGTTCCCTTCCTCCATCCGCACCTTCATCTCTGGAATCCCCTCCTCCCTCCTCGCCTCACCTTCATTCCATCTGGACGAGCCTCTGGAGCCTATCCCTGTCGCCACCTCTCTAGCCTGCTCGTGCCTGTCCTTTCGACAGGTCGCTCGCTAGATCGTCGAGATGCCCTCATCCATGCGCCGACCGCCGCCGGACAGGCGTAGCATCGTCAACTCCATGGGCTTGCCTCCCCGCGATCCGGTTGCCGAGCCCACCAGCCCCACCTACTACCCCACCTTCCCGCGCTCCCGTCGCGACAGCAACGCATCCGGCGCAAGACGCAGCGAACGCTCCTTTGGCGCAAGGCGCGCCGACGAATCCGACCACCAGTACGATGATCGCTCCCGTCGCTCGGCCCCGCGTCATTACGACGACGACCGTCGCCGCCAGGACTCGCGACGCGCCGACCGAGACGACGGCCGTCGTAGGTTCGACAGCCTTCCCGCTGCTCCGCGCTCTCACACCAACAGCACCCGTCGTCCCGCTTTGCCCGACTTCGATGACGACCGCGACCGCGATGTGCTGGATGACCTCGACGAGGAGGATGCCGATCAACTCGACGCCGACGACGCGCGCTCCAACAGGCGTCGCAGCATCAATCCGCCGCGTCGATCCATGGCCCTCTCCGACCGTCCAGCCGTCGTCAGAAAGCCCGTTCCCAAAAAGGCGGAGCGTGACCACGACGACGAGGACGACAACGACGACAAGGCCGACTTTGACCGCCGCCGCCGCTCGGTCAGCAACCCTTACGGCGCACCCGAGCCCTACGAAGAATACTCGAACGCGCGCTACGTCGAACGCGCACCCGCTCGCTCCGTCTCCAATGGCAACATGAGCCGCGATTACCGTCGCAAGTCCACCAGCGCTCGTCCCACCAAGCCCAGCTCCTACAACTCTCGCGACGCCCGCCGCGACGACCTCGAACGATCCGCCGACCGCGACTCGCGACGCTCCGATTCCGCGCGCAACGGCGGTGGCCTGCTCAGTCGCGTGCTCAGCCGAACCTCCGGAAGCAGCCGTGGCGACCTCAATGCCTCCCGAATGGAAAGATCCTCCTCACGCCTCAACCGCTACAGCGAGCGCCAGCCCGGCGCCGATCGCCGCGACGAGAGCGAGATCGAACTCGCGCGCATCGAGGAGGAGGAGATGCTGCTCGCCATGAAGAAGCGTCGCAGCGCTGCCAACCGCGCCACAAACGGCTACGATCAGGACGATCCTCGCTGGTACAGGGACGACCGCGACCTCCGCCATCCCGTCAACCGTTCGCGCGTCACCAACACTCACTCCGCTGGCCTCGAACGCTCCGCCAGCGGCGTCCGCAGGAGCATGGATCGCGAGCGACACCGCACGCTCGCAACCCTCGAGCGCAACAACCGTCAGGACGGCGAGTTGCCCACCGTCTCGCGAACCGATGCTGTCGCACGTGCCAGGTCCCAGTCCCACTCTACCTCGCAGCCACAATCGCGTAGCCGCGCCCTTTCCGCCTCTCGTTCCGCCGCCCCCCCTCAGCGTGCCTCGCGCGAGGCTGCCCTCGCCGCCATCACCGGCGTCTCCACCGGTGCAGCCGCGGCGAGCGTGGGCAGAAGCAAGTCGCAGCAGGCCGCTCAAGAGGACGATCAAGACAGCGAGTCCGAAGTGTCGTCGGTCGACGATGATCTTCTCCACGATGCCCCCGAGCCCGCCGATGTGCATGACGACGAGGCCGTTCCCGTTATTGTGGCCAAGCCAGTGCTCAACGGCTCCAAAGCAGCCGTCCCTGCTGCCGTCGCGTCGGCTTCCAAGAAGGTGCCCGAGACGACCAGTGACGACGAGCAGGATTCGGACGAAGACTCGGACGAGGACAGCACCGAACAGACCTCAGACGAGCCTCCCGTCGCAAAGGCGGCGCCTGCCATCTCCGCCGCTATGGTTCGCAAGCCATCCACCGCGTCCAAATCTAGCTCGCAGATCGTCGCCACCAGCGCAGCCGGCCGCGCTGCGCCCAAAGGCTACATGAACTTCACTCGCAAGTCTCCTGCCGCGCCAGCCGCAGCTCCAGCGACGAAGCCCGTTGCATCCAAGGCCCGTGCTCACTCCGAGTCGGAGGCGTCCTCTCAGGACAGCGAGGAAGAAGAGGTGGAAGAGACGCCAAAGCCATCGCGCGCGACGCCGGCTGCCGCAATCGCAGCTCTCTCGGGTGGAGTTGTTGCCGGAGCAGGCCTGCTCTCCTCCAAGCGCAGCTCCCAAGCCGACAAGGACCAGCGACGAGCCGCCAAGCTTCAGGCCGAGCAGGAGCAGAAGGCGGCCGAGGCGCAGGCCCGTGCCGAAAAGGCCGAGCGCTCGGCCGAGCGACGCAAGGCCAAGCAAGAGGCGTCTGCTGCTGCCGCCGCTGCGGCTCTCGCAGCCAAGGAGGCGAAGCGCAGCGAGAAGATCAAGATGAAGGAAGCTAGGCAGGCCGAGCTGGAGCGAAAGCGCGACGAGGAGTCGCAGGCGCGCGACCGAGCCATCCGCGAACGCGAGGAGGCCGAGGAGAAGCGTCTGCTGGCCATCCGCGAGAAGGAGCGCGAGCGCGAGGACAAGGCCGAGGCGAGACGACAGAGCCGACGCCGCCCGCACGGAGCCGGAGGCCCCAAGATGCGCGATGCAGGCGTCAAGCCGCTCACGCCGCAGCAGCGCCACCACCTGCTCAAGGCGCTCGTCATGCTGCAGATGCAGAGCGAGTGGGCCGAGGTCGAAAAGCTCGGCGCACTCACAGAGTACGGCTATCCCTTCTCCAGCCAGCGCTCCAAGCTCACGCGCGTCAAGACGTTCGAGCGCGGCGAAGATGCCGGCGAATACTCGGGCGCTGCGCGCGATCCGTACGCCAACGACGATGCGATGCGCGAGGGTGAGAACCTGCAGGAGCCGCTGCTGCTGCGCCACCTGTTCCACGTGCACCTCCACTCGTTCCCGGGCCTGGACCTGGCGCCTGAGAAGTACTGGCAGAAGCGCATCCAGCCGTTCTTCGATGAGATGGCCGCGCGCAACTTCTCGACGTCGATCGAGCGCGGCGAAATCTCCAAGCGAAGACTGTACGCGCTTGCCGCCACGCGCTACCTCGGAAGCTTTGTCTCCCGAGGTTTTGGTGTGCGCGGCGAAGGCGAGACGCGCGGTCCTGGTCTCGGCGACCCTGGCACCGAGAAATGGGGCGTCGGCAAGAACTGGGGCAAGGGCACCGTCAAGCGCGGCCTCGACCGTCCCGAGCGCATCGATGCGGAGCTGATGCAGAACATCGACAACCTCTTTGACGGCGAAGGAGGCCGCGTGTGGCGCGCTGCGGGCAAGGAGTGGGCCAAGGTGCGAGGTGATTGGTGCGCGTTCAAGGAGAGCATCATCGAGAGCGAGACGGGCCTGGAGGATGCCATCTCGTACCTCGACATCAGCAGCATCAAGAATCTGCCGCCGCACTACCGCAACTCGGTCGAATTCGCGCGCATCCACGCCGCCTACATCTTCTACACGCTGTTTGTGTCTGCGCCCAACGCCGACGATCTGTTCAAGATGGTTCGGGGCATCCACGCGCTGGCGCCGTACTGGGGAGCCAAGCAGCTGCTCAAGTACGCCAATGCCGAGACGATGATCTCGGGCATCCTGAGTCTGCTGCTCGCGCGACCCGGTGGCGCCAAGTCGCTCATCCAGCGCGTGTTTTCGTACGTGATTGGCAAGGAGGCGGCGTACATCCAGAAGGAGTTTGTGGTGCCGCTGCGCAAGGAGATCGACGACCCGGAGCTCACCAAGAAGATCGAGGACTACGTGCGACGCGGCGACCGAGTCGAGTCGCGCCGCGTGCAGCGCGAGGCCAAGAAGCGCGGCGAAGACGTGCTGACCACCATCCTGCTCACCGCCGGCGGCAAGTTGGGCGGCGAGGCCGAGAACCACGTGCTGGAGCTGCAGCGCTGCTTTGCGCTCTCGCCGTACCGCGGCAACCTGTCGCTCGCGTATCCCGAGACGACGCCCGCCGGTGCCGACCGGCCGCCGATGCCGGCGTGGGGCGCGCAGGGCGCCGAGCACACGCGTGCGCGCAAGTTTGCGCTGCTCAAGCTGCTGCTGCGCGAGAGCCTCAAGCGGCGCGATCGCGAGCAGGCGGTGGAGCTCGCGAGCGGCAGCCTGATCCCGGCCATCATCAAGGACTCGCTCGAGACGGTGTTCTATCCGGCGATCCGCGAGATCGCCGGCAGCGCCAACCTGAGCGAGAGGCTGGGCGACCTTCAAAAGTTTATCGACGACATGCTCGAGACCAAGAAGAAGGGCGGCAACAGCATCGAGGACTGGATCGCGCTGGCGGCGCGCCACGAGCAGTCGCTCTACGTGCTCTTCCACGAGTGCGCTCCCATCGCCAAGCCGCTGTGGGACTGGTGCCAGCTGGGACTGGACTACATGGCGCTCTCGACGACGGATCCGGCGCATCCGGCGGACCGACGCGCGGCGAACCTGGAGATCAACTTTGAGGAGCTGCTGCAGGACTCGCGGCTGAGCGATGCGGATGTCAAGAAGATTGTGGGCGAGGCGGAGCGGCTGGCGCGGTACAGCAAGTGGATGAAGGTGCGGTACGAGCTGGAGGCGCGCAAGAACTACTTGCTGGCCAAGCCCGAGGCTGCGCATCCGGGCGGCGTGTCGGAGCGCGATCTGACGGACGAGACGATGCGGCGCGAGGTGAAGGACATTGATGCGATGATGCGCGATCTGATGGAGGAGGCGGGCGAGACTTTCGACGACGGCGTGTGCGAGGACGGCGTGCGCGGTACGGAGAAGTACGACTTCCCCTGGGCGTTTTTCGACGAAGTGGATCCGCTCAACCAGCACCTGGCGGCCGAGGAGGAGGCGGGCGAGCTGCGTGTGCCCAAGGTGGCGGTGGGATTCCCGCCGCCGAGCCTCAAGCACATCCGCAAGCTGCAGCCGCTGTTCTGCGAGCTGCTGGCGTCCAAGCTGCCCGAGTGGCAGTCGGAGGACGTGCTGGGCCAGCTGCAGAGCGATGTGGGCGGCAGCAAGGCGCGCAAAGGCAAGCCGAGCCTGAGCCTGAAGCCGAGGAAGGCCAACACGAGCTTCAGCGAGTCGGCGAGCATGGCGCCGGCGTACCCGGCGGAGAACAGGAGCATGCTCAGCACGGCCACCTCGAGGTTCGGCCGTCTGCGCGTGCCGAGCCTGTTCGGACGCAAGTAGCGCTCCACACATACACACATTCATTATTTCTTAGTTGTGATCACGGTGCCAGATACAGTCTTAATTCAAGTTCGTGGATCTGGAAGATGGCGGACGAATGTGCAAAGGGCTGCATGGCATGGTGGTGTCGGGAGGTCTAGGGTGCGGGGTGCGAGGTGCGGGGATGAAGACCGGGGATTTGGTGCGGGGCCAGCGGCGGAAGGAGTGGAGGTGTGCGTAATTACCCGCCGCCCCGCCCGGCGCGCGCTCGTGCGGCGTTTAAACGCGACCCCGCATTGCCGGTCGGAAGGGCGTTGCCGACCGACGCTACCACCGCAGCTTGAGCCTTTCTTCTCGACCACAACAACCTCGCTCACATCCAGTGCCTAAGACGCTTGTCGGCTGACAATATCGAACTACCTCTGGCCAGCAACAATGATGCGAGTAGTCAGACCACATGCGCTGCCGAGGGCGTCGATGTTCCTGGCGCGGCCTTCAACAGCCGTCTCCATCGCGAGGCCCACAGCCTCTTTGCGTCGTCCAACGTACGGTGACGAACGAGGCCAGCGAACGTTTGCAAGCTCGGCGACGTCGCGGGCGGCAGCAGAATTCACAGGCATGTCGGAGCAAGGTCTCACCGAGTCGCAGGTGGACGTGCGGCGTGCGATCCAAGATGTGTGCGCGCAGTTTGACGACGATTACTGGATGCACAAGGACCAGTAGGTGCCGATCTCCCTTGTCTACTTGCACAACTTTTGCTGACCATCTCATCTTCACGGACGGCTAGGAGCGCCGAGTATCCACACGAGCTGTACGATGCACTCTCCGCTGGACGGTGGATCGGCATCTGCATGCCCGAGTCGCTTGGCGGTGCAGGACTGGGTATTTCGGAGGCGACGGTGATGCTTCAGACCATCGCCGAGTCGGGCGGTGCGATCGCAGGTGCCCAATCGATCCACGCGAACATCTATCCGCTCATGCCGATCATCGAGTTTGCGTCGGCCGAGCAGCATGCCGACTGGCTTCCCAAGATGATCGACGGCCGCATCCGATCGTGCTTTGGCATCACCGAACCCACCACCGGCTCTGAGACGCTCAAGCTCAAGACGAAGGCGGTGCGCAAGGGTGACAAGTACATCATCAACGGCAGCAAGATCTGGACGTCGTCGGCGCAGGTCGCTTCGCACGTCGTACTGCTCGCGCGCACTTCGGACCCCTCGCCTGCTTCGCGCTCCTCGGGGCTGAGTCTGTTCTTTGCCCCGCTGCGCAATGTTCCCAATACGCCGCAGAACGCAGGCAAGGTGGAGCTGGCCAAGGGCGTGGAGATGAGGAAGATCGCCAAGATGGGCGGGAATACGGTGGATGCCAACGAGGTGTGGTTTGACGACTTCGAGGTGCCCGCCGACTGTCTGATTGGCGAAGAGGGCAAGGGGTTCAAGTACGTTCTGCACGGGATGAATGCCGAACGATGCCTTCTGGCCGGTGAGGCGCTGGGCAACGGATATGCGGCGCTGAGGAAGGCGGTCAAGTACGCTGCAGACCGTGTGGTGTTTGGAAGGCCCATTGGTGGGATGCAGGCGGTGCAGCAACCACTCGCACGCAGCTGGGCAGAGCTCGAGGCGGCAAAGCACCTCACTTATGCTGCTGCGAGCATGTACGATGACCGTGCGGCGGATTCGGGCGCACAGGCGAATGCCGCCAAGTACATGGCCGCAGAGGCTGGATTTCGGGCGTGCGAGACTGCAGTCATGACGCTGGGTGGAATGGGATACGCAAGAGAGTACCACGTCGAACGATACCTGCGCGAAAGCCTCGTCCCCAGGCTCGCACCAGTAAGGTAAGTGCCGAACCGAAACAATCGCCGTGCTTCTAGACTACTGATCGTTCGAGAGTTCTTGTCGTCCCACGATGTCTGCAGCCGCGAGATGATCCTCAACTATCTCGGCCAGCACGTTCTCGGACTGCCCAAGTCGTACTGAGCCGCAACCCTTTGTCTTGCTCTGCTGAAACACAATGCTCGATACTGCCTTTCAACGTGGGTGCCACCTGACTTGCTGGCAGCTGAGCCTTTTGTGTTTGCGTACGCTGCGATGAAGTACGGACGTTGCTGTGGCTCGGCTGAAGACAATGGAGCTTAGTGCTGTGCACGAGGCAGTGCGGGTGTGGGCTCGGTGGGGCTCGGCGAAGCTCGGTGGCCTAACAAAGTGGGCTGAAAGCGCAACATGGCCCAAATGAAGGAGACGCTCCCGCCGACGCGCGTGCCATCAGGTTGGGCGTGGAATGCGCTATCCAACACGTCTGCTGTCCTCCTTTGTTTCCATGCACATGCACCTCGCTTCGATCCATCAAAGGGCCGGCTCTTGTTCTCCCTCGCCCTTGGCCTTTCGCCTGGGCTTGCTCGGCACCTCGCCGAAAGCGCCGACCGCCCATTGTTCTGAGTAGCTAGAAGCTGCATTCGCTGGGGCCTCTAAGTTTAGCGTGCATTGAGACCCTGCGCTGAGATCACCTGGTCCCACTCATGCACCGCCCCTCGCACCCACCTCCCCACCGACACCCGCTCCTGCCCACACCTTCATCTGGCATCGGAATCCACTGTGGGTCCCTTCTAATCTCACGAAGCGACCGCCTCCCGCACGTACAAATAATGGCCCCCCTTCGGCTCAGCCTGGCCAGATTCAGACATCCCCTCGCCCCCTCTTCTCCTCCACGCCTTTCTCACTACCCCCCATAGAGGCTGGTGTAGCTTGAGAAAGATGCGATCCACACGCCTCGCCTCGCTGCTGGCATCAGCGTGCCTGCTCGGCGCGCTCTCGGCCCACGCCATCTGGCCGCACCCTTCCAAACTCGATGCTGGCAAGGACGACGCGTTTGTGCGTCTCTCGGGTGATCTGCGCTTCGAGCTCGCCGAGGGCACCGACCAGTCGCGCGTGCCTGCCGACCTCACGGACGCCATCGAAGCCGCCGCCAAGCAGGCCCACAGCCTCGACGTCTGGCCGCTCGTCTCCGACCGCGGCGAGAGCTACCGCGCCGGTGTGGAACAGGCCAAGCTCGTGGCGAGCGTACGCATCTCGGTGCTGGAGCTCATGACCGCCACGACGCCCAACCCTTGTGTGCCCAACAAGCCCATGGATGTTGCGGTCGGAACCGTTGTGCAGCCTCGCTCGGTGCAGCAGCCTTTCGGCGGCCGCAAGAATGCCGTGCAGCCAGTCGATCTTACCGCTGAGCCCAAGCAGACCGCGCCGGACAACTGGTTCAACCCGTGCAGCATCGCGAGCCACGCCATCCGCGAACTCAACTACAACATCTCCTCCGCCAAGCTCAACCTCGAGACGGACAAGACTGCCCCCGCCGATCTGGGCTACCTCGATGCCGAGGCGTACCGTCTCTCGGTGCCGGCCGACGGCGGCTCGATCCAGCTCACGTCGTACACGGCGCTGGGCGCGCTGCGTGGTCTGCAGACGCTGCAGCAGCTCATCTACACGCTGCCTCCCAAGGGCGACGATGCGGCGGCTGCGCACAAGTTCATCCGCAACGTGCCCATCGTCGTCGAAGACAGGCCCGCCTATCCGTACCGCGGCCTGCTGCTCGACACGGCGCGCAACTGGTTCGACCTCGCCACGATCCGCAAGCTCATCGACACCATGGGCTTCGTCAAGCTCAACCAGCTCCACTGGCACGCCACCGACACGCAGTCCTTCCCGCTTGCGCTCGATGACGATGCAGACGCACAGGGGGGCAACGGTATGCAGCTCAGCCTGCTCGCCGAGCGCGGCTCGTACGGATGGACCAAGGTGGATGGCAAGAATACGCGCATGGTGTATACCGAGACCGATGTGCGCGGCATCGTCGAGTACGCTGCACACCGCGGTGTCAATGTGATCATCGAGACCGACATGCCTGCACACATGCTGTCCGGCGTCGACGCGATCGATGGTGGATCGCTCATGGCGTGTCCCAACGAACAGGCATGGGAAAACGTGGCGGCCGAACCACCTTCGGGCCAGCTGAGGCTGTTCACCAACACCAAGGCCTCCCCCGCGCCCGATGCGGCCACCTACAAGGTGCCCGACAACATCAACCGCTTCGTCTCGAGCCTGCTGCGCAAGATCGCCACGCTCTCCAAGTCGGCGTACGTCTCGAGTGGTGGTGACGAGCCCAACTACAAGTGCTGGAACCTCACCACCGAGGCGGAGATGGAGCCGTACATTGCGCCGTTTATGCAGCTCGTCACCAACCTCACCGAGGCCAGTGGCAAGCGCGGGATGGTGTGGGAGGAGATGGCGGTCAAGTTCCCCAAGGTCGCCAAGACGCTCGCGCCCAATTCGCTCGTCGAGATCTGGAACGATGCCAACAACTCGCGCGTTGCCCTCACCAACAACCCGGACGTCAACATCGTCCTGGCGCCCTACAGCTACTTTTACCTCGACTGTGGTAGTGCGAGCTTCCTGGGCAACTACACCAGCAACACTTGGTGCCCCTATGTCTCGTGGCAGCAGACCTACTCTTTCGATCCTTCGGTTACGATTGCCAATGCAACCAAGGCGGGTCAGGACGCAAAGAGCGTGCGCAACAAGTTTGTCGGTGGCGAACATGCGGTTTGGACCGAGACCATCGATCCCACCAACCTCGAGGGAAAGGTCTGGCCACGTGCTGCTGCGGGCGCAGAGGTCTGGTGGACCGGAGAGGAGGTGGCGGGTAAGAAGAGGGACAAGGTAGAGGCGCTGCCTAGGATGATGGATCTCAGGTACAGACTCGTCCAGATGGGCGTCGCCGCCGAACCCCTCCAGCCTCTCTGGTGCGCCACCAGACCCGGTCAGTGCAACTGGCACGGCTAGAACCTCGCTCCAATCTTTTTTCACGCAGTAGACACACTCGTCGTTTGTGGCGGCGTCGTGTCAATCATGTCATTTCATGTCGTTCAATCGCTTTCGCACGTCGTGTTTCGAGTGCGCCGCGCATGGGTCCACCTCGCGTATCTCCAGGTCTTGATGGTCTAGATTGCGGTCTTGAGGCATCTTGATGCTGGTCTTGATGATCTTGCCGCTGGTCTTGATGTCGATCTTGATTTCAATCTTGCTTCCGATCTTGACGCTGGTCTTGCTGCTGATCTGTTGCGAATCCTGAATGCGTTCCATCTTGCTGTACAATCGCTTGCTGGGCTTGGAGTTGTCTCTTCTTCCTTCTCTTTTTGGTTTCTTGCGAGTTCTCGTATCTGCATATATACAAAGGCAAAAGGGGATCAGTAGTAGACGAGGCTTCTGTACAAATACAACCGTGCTGTTGAAGCAGCGGTGAGGTTCAGTGTTGACCCGAGGCGAAGCGCTGGTGCGAGTGGCTGCGTGCCATAATGTCCGTGCGGCTGCGTGTCATGTCGACCGACTTGCGCGAGAGCACGGGCGTGTACGGCCTGCGTTGGTCGCGCCTCGCTTCGAACTGGACGATCTCGAAGCCGTCGCCGTCGGCGTGCGTTGTCTCGCGGTCGAGCGTCACGCTCGCGCGCGGACGGCTGGGTGGTGGTGGCGACAGCGGGAACGCTGCACGTGGGGGCGAGTTGAAGGCAGACAGCATAGCGTTGTGCGTGCGGCCCAGAGCATCGCGCTGCCCCGCATTGGGCGAAGGACGACCGAGCATCACACCACCCCAACCTTTGACTGTCTCCTTCAGCCCTCCGTTGCCAATCCCGCGCGCTTCTTTCAGCGTGGGCGCTGCATCGTCTTGACCAGGAGGCGTGGACGCGCGCGGGTTCGGCTCATTGCGACTCGCGATGAACTTGGCCAGCCACAGCTCGCGACGTCCTTCAGCAGCAGCCGTGGCGGCAGAATGGCGATCAGCTTCGTGCATGACCGAAACAGGCGCCGCACGTGTAGCCTGCATATCGCGCGCGTCGTCACGGCGGTACACTTCCAGACCGTCCTGCGAAAGCGGTCTGTATCCAAGTGCATCCGCGAGACGCTTGGCGAGGCGAGCGGGCGCAAAGCGGCGGACGTCCTCGCTCGTGGCTTGCGACTGAGAGATGGAGCGACGGCGTTGGAGTGCGCGACGCTCGCGCTCGGCTGCCCGACGCGAGTGGGCACGCTCTCCGTCGGCCTCATCGAGACGCAGCAGCGAACGCGCGCGCGGCTTGGCACCGTACAGGTACACGCACACCAGCATCAGCACCAACAACAGCGCCACCGAGGCAAAGATCACCGCATACGCGCCGAATGACAGCTTGGAATACGCCACCAACGCCGCGAAGGACAGCACGCAGCTGATCGTGTACACCAGCACCACCACCGCCGTCATGGCTGCCAGAGCCGTCTCGTCCAGCCATCGCTTGTCGCGACTCGTAACCACGCCTTCGCCTGCATCCAGCCACGCCTCTCGCTCGCCTTCGCTCTGCTCCCCTGCCGTCTTACTGGGCTTGCCGAGTCCATGACGTCCGTTGCGCCCTCCGTTGAAGCGCGCAGCCGCCAGCCGCCCAGCCGTGCGGCGCGAGTACGACGTGAAGCGGTCCTCGTCCGCATCCTGCAGCAGCGTCGGAGTCGACACGTCCTCGCGCGCCACCACGTCGCGCAGAACCACCTTGCGCGCGGGCGAGTAGCCGTCCAGCACGTACTGCACCACCGCCAGGCCCACGCACACCACCGACGCCGTCGCAAGCACCACGCTGAATGCAGTCAGCAGCCACGTCGTCGCAAAGCTCGCCGTGAGCGCAAGCGTGTACAGCGCGAAGCTGAACAGCGCACCCGCGATCACGCCCGGAACGAGCAGCGTCTCGGTCTTGACGCGCAGCGGCTTGTGCGTGTCGATATGGCCCTTCTCGTCCAGGTACAGCGGGCGCGACTTGGTAACGAATGCACCGCCTCCCACCCTGCGCGAGTTCACCACGTACGTCGTCACCACGCCCGCAGTAAGACCCAGAGCCGCCGAGACGGTAATGGCCAGTGCGGCCGAGGTGCTCGACAGCCCGTGGGTGCCGGTGAAGACGCGCTGCAGACCCGAGAAGAGGAACATGTACATGCCCGTGAGCGCCGCCAATGCAATGGCGAGTAGCACCAGCATCGGGTTGTATCGCACCAGCCGCACCGGTCTGCCGAGGTCATCCACAAACGCCTGGCGTGCCTGCGTCTCGGGCTGCGGCTCGGGCGTCCATCCCTGCCCCGTTCGCTTCAGCCGCAGTGCCTCGCGGCGGAACACGACGAAGGCCGACGTTTCACGCGTGGCGACGCCCATGTAGACGATCAGAACCGCCGCCACGATCAGCGTCAGCCAGTACGTCCATGACCAGCTCAGCAGGCTCAGCACGAGCTTCGAGATCCACGGCCCTGCAATCTGCCCGCCCACCAGCGCCAGTGTCATCGAGCCCACGCCGAACAGACGGCCCTTGGACGTGGCAAAGACGTCCATGACCGTGGCGAGCGCGAGGAACGTGGCGACACCAGCGAGCAGGCCCAGCAGGCTCTGGACCGCGAGGATTGGCACAAAATGGTGTACGAAGCCTGCGATCGTGCAGACACCGCCGACAGCAACGAGCGAGAGCAACGTGATACGCTGTCGACCAAAGCCGACGAGAGCATTGGCGAAGAAGAGACCGCCACCCTGAGAGCCGTTGTACGCCAACGAGCCGATGCCCAGCAGCAGCGCTGCCGTACCGTCAGCACGCTGGTCGGCGATGATCTGCCCAACTGTGTTGGTGTATCCGGAGGCAAGCGCCTGCAGCGCAAAGAGGTAGACCCAGTACGCGAGCAGCTGGCGCAGCTTGGCGGCAGCGCTCCAGCGATCCGCCCAAACCACCGGGTCGTCCTCGGACGCCGACGAGAGCGTCTCATCGTCCAGGTCGGCCTCGTCCTCATAGTCGGCGGGGTCGATATCGACCACCTCGCCCTCTTCGAGTTCGTGCTGCTTCTGCGAGCCGGAACGGCGAAGGTTGCTGAGCAGCACCTGGCGCGCCTCATCCTCATCGAGTGGCTCCACATCGTCCACGCCGTCCTGCAGCGTCATTTGGCTGTGGCGGCGGTCGCGGTTGCTGCTCAAGCTACGCTTGACGCGCTCGCTGCTGTGCTTCTGCTTGGCAATATCGTCGTGGTCCGGGCTGTCCACGTCGGCGGCCCACGGCTTGTGGTCCGTGTACATCTGCCTCCGTCGCTCTTGCTCCTGCTTCTCCTCGAGCAGCTCGTTGTACATGCCGCGCGTCACAGGGCGGCTGAGCGCCGACTCGCCGAATGCCACCTCGCCGAGCTTGTCCACATAGTTGCGCCCGAGCGCTTCCTCGACCGTGATGCTGCCGCGGCCACCTTGGCTGTCAGCGATCGAGCCGGCCAGATTGCCGGGCGCAGCACCGTCGCGGATCGAGATGGCATTGAGGCCGCCGGCGGCGACAAAGTCCTGGAACGCCTTGCGTGCAGCGGTGCCCTCGCCGAGCTGCAGGTTCATGGCGCAGTCGAAGCCCGCGCGGAAGCACTGGCGGCATGCGGGAGCCGCGCCGTGCTGGCGCGACCCGGGTCGCGGCTGGTCGATGTGAGACGGGTTGCTGCGGAACGAGACGCGCGTGTCGCGCGTGCGCGGACGGCGTGCTTTGCCGGCCTTGACCGACGAGATTGGAATGAAGCGGAACTCGCCCTTCTCGCCCTGCTGGCCGTGGCGCAGCGCACGCATATCAAAGTCGTCCGCATCGCGGCTGCTCGCGTACGTGTCGACGATGAACGGAACGCGCTTTTCGAGCGACAGATCAAACGGCTCGTCTTGCTCGTCGATCTCGGTCCCCTCGTCGTCCTCGCTCCGGGGTGCCTCGGCGTCTTCAGGCTCCTGCATCTCAGGAACGTCGCTCGGCGGCGCCACCGCAATGCGCGCCGTGCCGCGTGCACCTTTGGCGCCGCCAGATCCGCTCGATTGGCGAAACAGGCCCGAGGGGAAGTCTTCCTTCGTCGGAGAGTCGAAGGCGGTAGTGGCTGACCCGATCGAGTCTCGTCTGCTGCGCTGCGAGGCCGAGCTCTCGCGACGCACGATCTGCGCCGCCTGTGGACCGATGGAGTCGGTCTGGCCGCCCTTTTCGCTCGACTCCTTGCTCTTCCTTGCGGCCTCGCGGGGCGCGGTACCACCGGATGTAGGCACAGATGTGTGCTGGCGCGAAGAGCCAACACCCTTCTCGCGAGCATCGTCGTCGAGCTGCTGCATCTGGTACACGAAGAGCTTGCGGTTGGCCTCCTCAAGCATGCTGGGTGCCAGCTCGCCAAACGTGTTGCGTCGAGGGTCGCCGCGGAAGCCGACGTCGTTGTCGCGCTTGCGCACGTCGGTGTCGTCCGACTTGGCCTGCGTCATCCCCGACACGCTCTTGCCCTCCTTGCCCACGGCATCGCTAGCCACATCAGCAGCCTTGACCTCCGCCTGCATGGATTGCGGCTCCTGAGGCGGCGTACTGATCAACGGCTCGGACTTGTGGAACTTGAGCGCATGCGGGATCTGCGGAGCAGTTGGAGCCTCGACGGACGCCGAAAGTGGAGACGGGATTCTATGGTCTACCCGCGTCTCGCCGCCGGGGTGAGCAGCAGCTGGCACCTGCAAAAGCGTCGACTGGCGTCTAGCGGCAGCGAGTGTCTGAGGCGTGGGCGAGTAGATCATTCGCGACGACCCATCGTTGCGCGCAACGACCTTGGCATCGGCGCGCGATAGGACGTGACCACCTACACTGGCAACCGCCTCAGGCTGCACCTGCTTCGGCTTCTCCACTGCAACATTGGCTGCGGTCCCGGCGGGCTTGGGCAGGCTGATGCGCTTGAGGTTCTGAAAGTCGGTGCGGACGGTGGGGATCTGCGTACCATCGGGGAGCGCGATGGTGTCACCCGAGTAGTTGGTGTCGTTCGAGCTGGAGCGGATGGGCGGAGCCGAAAGCTTCGACGGCGTCGCAGGAGCGAATGGCGCAGCTGAAGCTTTGATGCTTGCCACTTCGGCAGCAGACACCGCCACTGGAATTTGTCGCTGCTGCTGCTGTGGACTTGGCTGCAGGCCGAATCGAGTGCCGGAAATCACTGCCTGCTGCGCCGAAAGCGGGTTGGGTGCAAGGGTGGATGAAGAGGAGAAAGTCGACGGCAGAGTGAGCTGGACGGGAAGGAGCTGCGACTCGAGTTGGGCGTTGCGCTCGCGCATGGCTGCCACGCTGCTCGCCGTGGGCGTCGGCTCCGATTCGGTCTCCGAGGACCATACTGACGAGGTCGAGGGAGCCTGAGCTTGGGGCTGCGACTGCCTCGCCTTGTTGATCGACAGGGGCATCGTCTGAAATCCAGATGGTTGCGAGTTGGATCCCAGTGGTGGAGTGGGCGGGATGTCTCGTTGGAGCCTGTCGGCATGAACGTGCTGTGGTGGGCTCCTGGTCTGGTTGTCGCTCCTCTGGTGCTGCTGGTAGCCGGAGGCGTGACGCGACAGGAGCGGAGACTGCATCTCCTGGCTAGCACGACGTTGCAGCTGAGCAGTTGAGAGCTGCGAGTCCGAAGGCCCGGCGCCATGTGGGTTCGGGAAGTCGCCTCGTTCGGTCGCGGCGGCCTGCTGAGGCTGACCCTGCGACATGGGCGAGAAAACATACGGCAGGCTGGGTCGACGCACCTCACCCCTCGGAGCCTGTTTCCTTCCGGTGACCGGATCAAAATTTCGCGGAAGAGCGCCGTAGTTGTCTCCCATCGACACGGACCGGCCATGTCCGAGCGCAACTGTTGCGCCGGCACGGTCGCCCGCTCTGAGCGCACGCGGAGTGTCGGTGCTGTTGCGCGCTTCGCGACCGGCCGCTTCGCCGGAAGACGACTCCGAGTTCACCTCTGGTATTCTTTGCAGCTGGCTGGCCGAGCTGACTGTGGCGGATGCATGACGGACGTGCTGCGACGGTGGACTCTGTCGCTGCACCTGGTAAGGAAAGGAAGCCGGAGATTGCTGCATCTCCTGCTGGTAACGTCGAAGCGCCTCTTCTGCAGCCAGGGTGGCGTCACGCATCTGTTCCTGTCGTGTCGACGAAGAGGCTACGCTGACGCTCGTGCCCGAATTGCGCTGCTGATTAAGTGCCGAACCAGAGACAGTGGCTGATCGTTCCCTGCGTCGACCATTTCCAGACATTTTGCGTTCAGGGTTCCTCGAAGGTTGTTGCTGTCTGAGATCAGCTATACTTTGTAGCTGGTCAGATGGCGGCAAGATGTTATGTCTTAAAGGCGGTGGAGTGATGTGCTGAGTAGTGTTTCTGATCGTTCAGATAAAATGGTGATGTACGTTGAGCTCAGAGCATTAGATGGCGTGCTGAAAGAGGTCGTTAAAGTCGTGATCGGGGGACGTAAAGGGTCGAAGCTTAGAACATGGATGCTTCAGTTTTGCTGCATCCAGGGTTGCTTGTGCAGTGCTGGGTGTAGCTTGCTGAAAAGGTCGTGTAATGAAAAGGTGGTCAAGCCGAAGTAAGGTGAACGAGACCTCGGCGTTGGTGGAATTGCCAAGTGGCGAAGTGATGTAGAAGTGTTGAAGTGCAATAAGTAGGGTGAGGAGAGAAAGTATCGAGCCGTAGGAGCTAGCGCAGCTAGTAAGAACGGTCGTAAGCAGAAAAGGATGTCGAATGCGAGATGATTCGATGAAGTTGAACCGGCTAATGCCAAAGAGGTCGTGAAAGTGGTGAAAGGGGGCGCGTAGATCGTCCAAGTATGCAGCTGAAGCAAATCAGAGAGAAGATGTGAAGTTCGTGAAGAGAAGCACCTGAAGCCAGTTCAGGGTGCGATGGATGGTGCGTCAAAGAGACCTGCTGGAGGTGCTCGAATCGTCAAAGCGTAAAAGGGTCGTAGAAGAAGGTGAAAGAGACAGCCGAATGAAGTGGAAGAGAAAAGAAAAGGGGCTGCCCCGAACTTCGCCGTTAAGATGAAAAGTGGAAGAAGAAGAGGTGGTCGAAGGTGGTCAGGGAGTGGATATGAAGGAAGCGTTGAGCTACGGCTGGACTTCAATACGGGCGCCAAGAAGCGGCTGCAGGCTCTTTGCTAGACGGGACAGAGATACCGAAGAGGCTTGCACGCCTGTCAGGCTGATTGGACGGGAGGCGGATCACACATCCGGAGCAGGCACACAATGATCTGTACCAAACGAGCGGGCCTGCACCGTGGCTTGCGATGCAGCAGGGCAAGACTCCAAGTTTGCAGATCGCACTTGTCCAAATGGCGCCAGCTTTGGCTAGCGGCGGCAAAGACAGGATATGCAGCCTGCTACCAGGGATCAATGGACAAGGCGATGCACTGCGATCTGCAGTCGACAAGGTTGGAGCATGCGGTCTGGGTAAGACCAAAGTGTTTGAGTGTCTCGCAAGGCAGGCACGGGCTTTGGGATCAAGCCGTGGGCAGGCGAGCGTGGTGCGATGGATGCTTCACTCCCGTCTCCGAAGCATGTGCATCACAGGGCAGCGGCTTGCAGCGCAGCACGGCCGTGCACGCACGACAGAGCGGAGTGGGCGAGACATGTCTACGCAGCAGCCACACAAGGTTTGGAGGAGGCGGCAAGGGTAGATTCGTGGATGGCAAGAGATGCAGGATGGGTGGCGCTGATGGTCAGGGTCGCGTCGAGGACCCGCTACTCGACACATGTCAAAAAAGCGAACAACGTCGGCTCTGCTCGATGTGCGTGGGCTCGGTAAAAAAAGTGCGCCTCTAGTTGACACTCTGTCCGCCCCCTGACTCTCCAGCCATTCGCCATCTCGGTCTACTCGGCTCGGCGGCTTGCTCAATTCGGTGTCGACCTCGAGCTGGAAAGTATCTCAACCCTTCGCTCAATACGGCGGCACCGCGAGCTCGATCCGTCGTCCGCGGTATCTTTCGGAAAAACGTTCCTCCCGAGTACCTTAGATCGGTGATCTTGAAAGAAGGCGATCCAAATCGGCGATGGAGAGGTGGAGGCGAACGGGTCCAAAAGCTTCGGAACATCATCGTGACTTCGGATGCAGTGCTCGTCTTCGCGTCACCTCATCACAGACGAAGTTTCGACGTGCATCGCAGGCCCGTCGAGATGGCACCCACATCGATACCGCCATCAAAAAGGCAGCGGGTGGAGCACGAGGATCCCGCACCGCCTCTTCCGCCTCTTCCGCCTCTTCCGCCTCTTCCGCCTCTTCCGCCTCTTCCGCCTCCACCAGCTGAGGAAGACGAGGAACACTCGAATGGACTTCCTGCGCCCCCCGGCTCACCGCCACCACCGCCGCCGCCAGAGCCATCTCTAGATGTGGCCGAGAACGCCGACATCGTGCCGCCACCACCGCCATCCCTACCTCCGCCTCCGCCTCCTCCCGCTGCCGGCGAAGAGGACGAAGACGCCGAAGACGATCTCGACATTCAGGATGCCGAGTACTGGACACGTCTTGCGCAGCCGTCTTCTTCCTCTGGCCCGTCCGGCACGGCGGCATCCTCTTCAAAAGGGCCAGCTACAACAGCAGGCGGAGTGACGCCAGCCAAGAATAGCAAGTCGGCGCTCTACCTCGACACGATCAACCGCGCGGTGCTCGACTTTGACTTTGAGAAGCTCTGCTCAGTGTCGCTGAGCAATATCAACGTGTATGCATGCCTGGTGTGCGGCAAGTACTTCCAAGGGCGCGGGCGCAACTCGTTTGCGTATCTGCACAGCATCGACACGTCGCACCACGTCTTCATGAACCTCGCGACCTCGCAGACGTACATTCTGCCGGACAACTATGCGGTGCCGGAGGAGAGCCAGGCTGCGCTGCAGGACATCAACTACCTGCTCAACCCGACGTTCGACACAAAGACGCTTGCGACGCTGGATGAAAAGGAGGCGTACGACCTGAGCGGCACGGCGTACTCGCCCGGCTTTGTGGGTCTCAACAATGTGGGCAAGAACGACTACGTGAATGTGGTGGTGCAGGCGCTCGTGCATGTGCGTCCGCTCCGAGACTTCTTCCTCCAGCAGCACGAGGCGCAGGCAGGCACGAGCGAGCTCGTGGCAAGGTTCGGGGCGCTCGTGCGCAAGATCTGGAATCCGCGCGCGTTCAAGCCGCAGGTGTCGCCGCACGAGTTCCTGCAGCAGGTGGCCCAGGTCTCGCACAACCGCTTCAAGATCACCGAGCAGGCGGACCCGGTGGAGTTTCTCGGATGGCTGCTCAACCGACTCCATGCCGACCTCGCCTCGCCAGGTGGCAAGGGCGCGAAGCGCAAGCGCACGGCGGTGGGTGTCGAGACGATCATCAGCCGGTGCTTCCAGGGTGTGGTGCAGGTCGAATCGCAGCCGCTGGAGAAGGTGGAAAAGCACGAAGATAACGCTGCTGTGGCTGCGCAGGCGGCAAGTCTCGCCAATGGGGCTGGTCCCACGGGAGGACAGGTGGACAGTAATGGACGTGCATGCTTTGATCCTGCTGGCAAGGTCGAGCGCAAGGACTCGCCGTTCTTTCTGCTGTCCATGGATCTTCCTACGCCTCCACCAGTGCTGGGCACGGACGGGGACGACGAGAGCGCATCGCTCGTGCCGCAGGTCACGATTGGACAGCTGCTGGCCAAGTACGACGGTACGAGTCTGCACGCCTCGCACGCACGGCTTTCCAAGTACCAGCTGCGTCGCTTGCCGCCCTTCCTCGTGCTCCACTTCCGACGCTTCACCAAGAACAGCCTTGGCCAGACAGAGCGCAATCCGACGCTGGTCAATTTCCCTACCACCAACCTCGACGTGTCGCGCTATGCTCCGCTGCTCCCTGCGGCCGACGCGATGGATACAGACTCCCCCGTCGCCCATGCATACGACCTCGTGGCCAATGTCGTCTACGACGCAACCCCAGGCACCGTCAACGAAAACGCCGCATGGAAATCCCACGTCCACACATCCCCCGCCAACCGCAAGCAAAATGCACCAAAGTGGTTCGCGATTCACGACCTCATCGTCGACCCTATCGATCCGCACATGATCTTCCTCGCCGAATCCCACCTGCAAATCTGGCAGAAGCGCTCATCGAACCCGCCTTAGGACCTCCCGAAACCATGCCATGCAAACATTCAGAAGCCTGAAAACCTAAGGACCTTGATGTGTGATTGTGAATGTGTGTGTGACGGCATGCGAATACAGTGACGAGAAAGCGCGGTACGGTCAACGACTGTTGAAGTGTTGCGGGTGTGGGGGGATATACCGGGAAAAACCAGGACCAACCGGAAACTGAAACTGAGACCAAGAAAGGGAAGAGTGGGAATAGAGAAATGCTAATGAAGGGCGGAGACCTCGCATCGGTTTGAGGCGTGCGCTCAAAGCTCGATGGCAACAAGCACGAGGCCGGACCTGAGCGCCAGTCCTGAGACCGGGTCAGTGTCGGGCAGCCTGTGCGGACCGGCACCGAAGTGGTCAGCGGCCATGTCACTGCTGCTAGCGGTCTGTGCGGCTGCAGCGACAAGAGCGCCGCCCACATAGCAGAGCCCGTGGAGCACCGAGGCAAAGTCGCGCAGCGCGCGGTCGAGGCAGATCATGACCGAGTCGCAGCCGAGCTTCTCGCTAGCCGCGTCGAGCACGGCGAGCACCTGCTCGCGGAGCAGGCTCGCGTCGACGATAGCGGGCATGCTGACGTACAGAGTGCGCTGTGCGTCCGCCGAGCTATCGCTGCTGCTGGTGGAGGAGAAGGAGCTGGAGGCGTGCGCCGACGCGGGACCAGCAGCCGAATGCGACTTGATGACCGCGCCACTCCAGCCGGGACTGACGAGCTCGACGCCGGCATCCTCGACGGACAGGTTGTGCGGCACATCGGCAAAGATGCGATGCAGGAAGGCGTGCGCCGACTTGTGCGCGTGGTGGCGGACGTCGTTGTCGGGACTGATCTCGGGTGTGGCGGGCATGAGCTCGACAGAGAGAGTGCCTCTGTGAGCAGCGGCGACCGGGTGCGTTGGCTTGGAGCCAAGCGAGGCATCCGAGTGCAGCAGGAGCGACTGCGCCGCCAGCGTGAGTTGATCAAGCGTGGCCTGCGAAGCGTCATCCGAGACGTCGGAGCCGTCGTCACTTTCGAGCTCGCTGTCGCAAGGGGTGTGTCCGGTGTAGATCGGATCGACCGCATCTGCGTCATGTGCGGCCTCGGTGGGCAAGGGGTGCGCCGAAGGAGAGATGCGAGGTTGCTGCTGCTGCTGAAGCTGCGCCTGCTGCTGCTGTGCGCGCTGAAGCTGGGAGAATGAGCCGGATTCGATCAAAGATGGCATCTGCACGGGGCGGAGGCCAGGAGAATGCGGCGGGGTATCGGGCGGAGAATCAGGGAGCTGATGGTCCGCGAGGGTTCGTCGATCGATGGACGCGCTGCCCACGTCGGCAGCACGTGAGGCGCGGAAGATGGGCACTGCTACCGCGGGAGCGGGCATGCCTCTGCTATACGCCCTGTTCCACCCCTGAGGATGGGTGGACGTAGCCACAATGCCAGCCATCTGCTGACCATGCTGCTGGTGGGGCGACAGAGTCGAGACGGCGGCTACGTTGACGCTGGCGCTGGTGGCCAGAGTGTTGGAAGTGGAAGTTTGCTGCGAAGCGACCCCTCTCACAGGTGCACTTCGACCTGGATGTTGCAAAGTGGGTGTGGATCCAGGCATTTCTGCTTTAAGGACGTCAGGACCACCACTTGACCACGGTGCTCAACGTGGTAGACTGCTGCTGGCTCCGGGGCGAGCCAACAGCGGCGTGGGTGGAGGTGAGAGCCGAGCGAGCGGGGCTGAGGCGCGCGGAGGTAACCCCATCGAGGCCAGCACCTGCGCTCGGGCTGCTGGCGGGGGATCGACTGGGTTGATTCAGATTATTGGCGGTCATGGTTATAATGTGCGGGCGAACAGCTTGGCGGTGGTGGTGTTGAATGAGCCCGACCGACGTGGACCGAGGGAGGCTTGAAGTCGTAAAGACGAGCGTAAACGCCTGGATGCGATCGTGGATGGAGTGATGAGGAGATGATGGCTGACGTTGAGGTCAGAGTGACTGCGCCAAATGTGCCTGCCCAACCCTACCTCTCCGCGCGATTTTGGTCAGCTGCTCAGCTGCTCAGCTGACTGTAGAAACTCGGAACAGCCGGCCCAGGCTTGCCTGGGAGAGCGAGCGTGAGACTCGTTTTTTTCCGCGCTTTTCCACGGCTTGTAGCCTAAGCTGGGCTTGGCAGGGTGTCGTTGCAGCCAACGCCTGCGCTTAACGAGGGCCGCTTGACGAATGGCGCCATTTTCAGCCCTGGCCCTGTGATGCACTCGCACGAGAACATGCTAATCTCCAAATCTGGTTGGGACGGGATCGGGCTTCGGATTTTTCCAGATATCAGGGTCGTCCTCCACCTCTGCAGAGGGCTGCACCTAGAGCCGCTGAGCTTTCGGCGGCTGCCACCCCACAACCGACCGTCTTCAAGTCTCGTTGGACCTGACGTAGACGTTGAGTGATGCCGCTGCGCAAGGAGCCACCAACGCCGCGCTCGGCCGCGGTGGCCGCACGGCTTGACGGCGCACAGCAAGCCGGCACGTCTTCAGCCACCGCCCTGGGGCCGCTCATCCCGGTGCGGCCCGGACAGACGTCGCTGCGGCGCCAGGCGATCCTGACGGAGGACGAGTACACGTCGGCGCTATCGGCGGTCATCAAGCGCGACTTCTTCCCGGACCTCGATCGCATGACGGCCGAGAACGAGTATTTGGCAGCCGTCGAGGCCGACGATCCGCGCCGCATCCGGACGGCGCTCGAACGGCTGCTGAGCTTCGATGGTCAGCAACGCGGCCCTGCGTCCACAGCGCGCAAGACACGCAGCTCGGGACGAAAAACTCCCGCCACGGATGTGAGGGCGACGAGAGGCGAGTGGGACGACACGCCGGTAGCGTCTGCTTCGACGTCCAAGGTGTTCGACCCCACGCTCACGCCGGCCATCAGCACACCTGGCCCGGACGCGCGGCTAGAAGAGCAGGGCACGGACGATGCCGAGCCGAGCTCGGGGATCGTTCCCGATGTGAGCCTGTCGCTCGCCGGCTTTCAGGCGCGCTATACGAGCGAAGACAATGCGAGCTTCGCGCAGCTGCTCGAGCGCGGCAACGAGGAGCGCAAGCGCAAGCATGCGTGGCTGTACGCGCGCGAGCGTGCGTCGGTCGAGCAGCGCCGTCGCATCGAGTCGATCGAGCGCCAAGAGGCAGAGGCCGGGCGCAGGCTGGCCATCGAGGCGAATCCGGACCATCCAAAGTTGATCGCCGAGGGAAAGGCGACGCTTCTCCTCGAAGGCAAGGGCGGCAGCAAGGCGTCGGAGCCACAGTCAGCGCTAGAACCAGATCCGCAGAAGAAAGACACGGACCCGATGGACGATCTCATCCTCGTACCGGAACCAAGGCGAGACGACCGCCGCCCGCCGCCGGGACTGGGTCGGTGGAAGTACACCGCGCGCAATGCGCTCCTCTTCGGGCCGGACGCCAACGCCGACTCTCTGCGCGCACCCGGCGCCGAGACCGCCACCGACGACGAAGCCACCACGAACTTTGCTGCGATCCAGAAGCTGGATGGGAGCGAAGGTGCGGGCGGCGCCGAGGCGGAGGGTGGGAGTGAGGCTGGGTGGTCGCCGAGCAGTTCGCGTGTGGATGCGGCGATTGCGCGCGGGCGTGCCGGGTCGGTCGCATCTTCTTTCGACGCGCACGAGTCGCCCCGCGTCAACGGGTACGGATTTGTGACGCCGTATCTGACGCCGCAGCATGCAGTTGATGACGAGCATCTACGGATTTACAATGCGATCAAGGCGCGGCGCACGCCCGGCGATGCAGACGCAGAAGCGGGCAGCGCAGGAGGGAGGGGGTTCGAGTTGCCGCGTCTGGGCAAGCGCGAGGAGCTGGCACAAAAGCTTGCGACGCCAGCAGCTAAGCGGGTTAAGCCCAGTCCTTACGGGACGCAAAAGTACACCGGACTGGCAGGGTTGAGAGCGCGCGCATTCGCGTCGCCCGCAAAGCAGAGCGCTGCCGCTCTCAGTCCTGCAGCACGAGCACTGCTCGATCGAAGCACACGAACGCTCACTCCCGCACCATCCGTCACACGCACTGCCTCCGCTCACGGCTCTACCACTCCTGCCTTCCGTATTGGAGATCGAGGCTGGACACCTACACCACAGCATCCCCAGCGCCGCGCGCGCTAACCCACACCACTTTGTATCAATATCTTGTCCATGTGCATTCAATTCATTCCTGACGTGAGCGGTACCGAAAGATTATGCCTCGTTGGGGCGGATGATGACCTTGACGCCCGAGACGCCGTCCTTGTTGGCCTTGAGCGCCTTCTCGACGGCGTTGAGACCGCCCTCGATCACCATGGGCCTGTTGAGCGTCACATCGCCCTTGGCCACGTAGCCGTTTTCGCCGCCGAGGTGTGCGGCAAGGGGTTCCGAGATGTAGCGGTACTCGGGGTGGGAGCCGATACCGAGGATAGCGACGACCGAGGTGTCGGGGAGGTCCTTCTCCTCGGACTGCTTGACCGCCTTCTCGTCGGCGGGCATGACAACGAGCACCTTGCCACCCTTGAGCGCCTGCAGGATCTGGACGCCCAGCAGCTGCGTCGAGGGCGACGAGATGGTGTCGTACACAAAGTCGACGCTCGAGTCGGATGGAATGGCCTTGACGAATGCCTCGGCCGTGGTGGCTTCGGAGCGGTCGAGCACCGTAGTGGCACCCAGCGACTTGAGGAAGTCAAAGTGGGACGCGGAGGACGAGGTGACAATGTGGTCGAAGCCAGAGAGCTTGGCGAACTGGATCGCGTACTGGCCGACGGACGAGGAGCCACCAAGGATCACGGCGGTCTTGCCCTTGCCGACCGAGGCGCCGTCAGCGTTCCAGGGCGGCGAGAGCGACATGCCGGACTTGTGGTAGAAGCCGGTGGCTACAACCATACCAGCCACCCAGAAGGTGGCGGCCTGCTCGTCGGACACCTTCTTGGGCGTCTTTGCGAGCAGAGCAGCAGGCATCTTGACGTACTGCTGGAAGGTAGACGAGTCGTAGTTGCCAATGATGCCCTGGAAGAAGACACGGTCGCCGACAGCGACGTTGGTCACCGACTTGCCTGCCGAGACGACCTCGCCCGAAGCGTCCGAGCCGAGCACAGCGGGGTACTCGGAGAGGAAGACGCGGTAGTCGCGCATCTTCCAGTCGACAGGGTTGATGGAGGTGGCAATGACCTTGACTGCCACCTCGTCGTCGCCAATGGGTGCGAGCGAACGGTCAACGACCTGGTGCTGGGCACCAGCTTCGGGGACTACGGCGGCCTTGTGCGAGGAGGGGAGCGACATGTTTGCTGAGAATTCGGTTCCTTTTCGTAGGAGCGAGGAAAGTTAATATGAATGGATGTCGGAATGAGTGTACGAGGGGGTCGTCACCTATATACCCTCTTGACCAGGTCACGGCAAGAAGGCTGACGACTGAGCTACGGCCTTCGCAACATTCCACCACGGCTCTCACAGCTGTGTCTCGGGCCATGACAGTTCACTTTCTTGTGGAGGTGTCGACAAACAAATTTGCGCATGGACCTTCGGCAATGCTTCCACCACACTGACCGAGTGCCTGAGCAGGCGCCATGGTGAGCCCAAAAAAGAAAAGAAAAAGAAAATGCAATTTTATCCCCTCCTCTCTGCGCTTCTGCGGTGATCTTCCCCTTTCGGCAGGCATGGCTAAACGTCGGTTCAACTTCGAGCTCTCCTTGCCCGGCTTCCGATCCGAACCACCGCCATGACGTTTTGCGTGGTCCAACAACGTTCGGAAATAAGGCTCATGCAAAGCGACAAACTTCTCCGGCTAACCTGCACGCTCGTCGGGCCGGTCAATAAACGGCTCGCCTTCTCACTCTGCAACGTCACGCCTCGTGTCACACTGTTCGGCTCGGGCGATCCATGCATGCTCATGCGCAGGGTCACGGTCTCGAGCGTTCGATTCATTGTCCTTCTCAACTAATCTCCGGCGGGTTCTTAGGGCACAGAGGCTTCTTCCATGGCCGTGGGCTTCGTTCGCCTAGCCATGCACATCTCCCTGCTGGCTGTCCGAGACTGCGCCTCGTCGCTGCATCCACTCGGCGTGCGCCTTTCGGTAGCCTGCCTCCGCGACAAGAAGAAAAGGTTCCCTCTGTCAGATTCCGAGCTTCGCGGTCCACTGCTTCGCCATCTTCCCGATCTCACTCACCGACAGCGTTGAGCCGTGGTCCATGCTCGTTGGTGGCGCGATGCGTGTTGAGGTCTGCTCGTGTCATCCCGTGCCATGAACGTGCAAGACGCGACCGTGAACGAACGGGCCGAAGGTCAGTTGTCAGCATCGCCATGCATCTTTGCTCTAGCTGTGCCTCGCGTACGATCCGGTACGTACGATTGAGTGTGCCATACGCCTTGTCGCATCCAGGAAAATCGCATCGATACTTGCGCTCCACCTCTTCCGACTTGCGGCGTCGTCGAATCCTTCGAAACGGTTCACTTCCTCGCGAGCTACCATCGCCGTTTGAGCTCCCATCTCCCCCCTCTCCTCCAACACGTACCTGGCTCGCAGAGGCGAATTGACCGTTGGGCGCCCGATACCAGATACGACGCTTTGATCCGATCGACCCTTCCTCCATCCGGTTGCCCCTCTGTGCATCGTAAGCTGCTGTTCCGTCACTCGCCAACGTCCATGACGAAGCTCCTTCACCTTGTGCAGCTTCCTGCTCGGGCTGCAGGCTATGGGTCAGCGCTGCGGTAGAGAAGTCAGACGACTCGAACCGCGGTTCTCGGATCGTGCCTCCTGCGAATCCGCTTTCCAGCCCATGACCCTGCGTGTCAGACCACGGATTGTTCCTCGAGCCTTCCATGCCATCGCCATAGAGCATCGTTTCATCCAAAGCCCATGGTAGGCGAGGAAAAGGTTGACTCGACGCGAGAGAGTTTCTTTCCCCTATTGATCCTAGAAGGCTCGGCCAGCTGCGCCCCGACATGGCTGCCTCGGTCCAGATTGTCCCGGGACTCGAGCCACCTCCGTACTGGCCCGAGCCCCACATCGGGTTTTCGGTTTCGCCTCCCGCTGCCACTGTGAAGAGTGTGCTCCAGCTGCTCTTCCCGAGCTGCTCGACCACTTCTCTTCCCTGTGAGTTGTCACATGTACCGGTAGTCCCCGCACATGGCACGCCAGCCCATACATGCTGAGACTCAATTGAGTCCTTCAGATCCTGAGCAACGTCGTCTTGAACTACACCACGAGGCGAGGGTGGCGAAGGCGTCGACAATTGCAGCTCGCGCACCTCTGATGCGATGGATTCCTGTGAGCCGCCCGCTCGACCATTGTGCTGAGACGCGAGGAGATTTGCAGTCGCTCCACACGGTAGCCCGAGGCCATCGCCGTGCGGAACAGGGCAGTATGAAGCTCTCTGTTTATGCTCGGATCGGCCTGCGTCGTCCTTGACGCCTTCAAACCGCAGGGTGAGACTGGGACCTACCAGGCTTTCCGTGACCATACTCTCCTCCGTGAGTGCCGGCTGAAAGCCCGCCTGTCTGAACACGGGGGCATCAAATCCCGCGGCGTCACTCTCAATCGGAGGACTGTACGTAGAAGCACCGTCTGTCAAGACGCGATCCGATCCAAAAACAAGGTCAGCGGGAGACTCTCTTACGGGGGCATCGTGAGCTTTGCTCTCAGCTATGTGCTTCTTGACTCACGGTACCACTGCAGAGAAGCCGAAGCGTTATTTGAATCGAGACAACGCGATTGAGAAAGGCAGGGAATGATGTCCAAGGGACTGGCAGCGGTGAGGTCGAACATTTCCGTCGCTGATCTACATCCACCGCATAGGTGAGCATAAGCAAGGCACACGGCTGGTGTCTGATGCAGTTGAGTGTCAGACTCCTTGGCTATTGCCGATGGATGGACATCACCGGATGGAAATCCTCCACTGTTGCGCGAAGGTGGTGCTGAGCTCGACCGGGCTGGCTGGCAGCCACCTTCCAGGCGGACCTCCTCCTGCAGAACGTGAGTTTCCCTATCCATGATGAAGAGGTGGAGGAGGAGCTGCGGGAGAGTGAGCGAGCAAGATCCCTAGTCTCACTGCTGCCGGTCAAGTGGTCAAGTCCAAGTGCAATGCAGAGATTGAGAGCCTCGAACGAGAAACGGCTCGAGCGGCCCGCCATCTCGCTTTTATGCTCTTGTGATTGTTGATCATAGAAGAGAGAAGATTGTTCGAGGTCTGAGATGCCATGGAGTCCAGCTCCACAAGTTCCATCTGAAAGTGCTGAGCGGCGGGTTGTGACGAGAATCCCGAATGGGCTCAGCCGTTTCTAGTCATGCGGCTCGAAAGCAGCGGGCCAGGCCCTTGTGGACAAGATCAAGACTGCTACCATGGGGCACAACGTAGCGGCATAAGCCGTAGAGTCGACGGAACTCGATTCCATTGTCCAGGAGGTCGCCACGTCTGAAAGCTATAGGGCTGAAGCCCAAGGGCGTATGACGTCAACTGCCCGTGCTTCTCTTCGCACGCTGAACGAGGACGTCCACACATGTAGCCAGCCGTCGGCGTCATCGATCACATGGTGATGTGATCTCACAGTGTAAGCAGCACGCTCACGGTCGGAAAGGCTTTCTGACGCTGTTCGCCCGCATCTTCTTTTGACCGTGTCACCATCACACGCTCGTCCAAATCGAAAACTTTTTTCCGTATCGTCACATAAGTTCGAGCACGAACGCCATCTACGCCCCTCTCGCCATGCTGCTGCTCGCTAGCGATGGCAATGGAAACCCCTCTCTCAGGAACACCGGTGTCGAACACAGACACCCAGTCACAGTATGGCGACGTCGCAAGACCGATGCCACACCTCCCCTGCTGATACCGATCACTTGTGCCTGATTGGAGGATGTATTTCGACCGCAAGACAGAAAGCGCATGGAGCGAGGCGCGCGAGGGCATCGGATCCAGGAAGGCACACCTTATTCGGGCTTTGATGCGCGGAGGCCCGCGCAATGCATGGCTAATTGAGTTTGAGCACCTTACGCTTTGGCGACTTGCGAGGCGTCGTCTTGGTAGGACTCGTGCTCGGAGCCCGATTGCCTCCTTGCGACCGACGACTTCGGCGGGGTTGCTTGGCATCCGCGACTTGATCCTTCTCTTCGGACTTGTCGGCTTCCGCTGCAGATACTTGGCTAGACGATGCTTTCGGCACTCGCTTGCGTTTGCGTGCAGGTGTCAAAGGCTTTTCAGAGTCAGCCTCGGCCTGCGGCGGCGTTTCGTCTCTCTGAGCCTCGAGCTTGTCGGATTCGACCTCAACCTGGTCCGGCTTCTTATCCTGAGGATCAAGCAATTCTGCTTCCTCTTGATCTTGACGGACTCGACCACTTCTCCGAGGACGCGAAGCGGCAATGGTTTCAGCAGCCTCCTGGTTGACTCCAGGCTCCCTCGATTCGTCGCCAGCGTCATCGGCGTTTCCAGCATTGCGATGATCTCCTGATTCGGTCCGCTGGCGTCCGCCTCGTCCTCGAGCCAACGCCTTCGGTATTAGGACCTTGTCCGCTTCGGGAGCTGTGTTCCCCGTGTCCGTAGCCGCAGCTGCGCTTTTCCTAGGCCGGCCCCGTCTCTTCTTGGCTTGAGAGGCGATCGGAACCGGCGCAGTGCCTGAAGTCGAATCAGTCGCTTCTCCGTTTCCACCAGCGTCATCGTCGCCCTGATGCAGATGCAGATCATCAGGATCGCCAGAGTCGCGCGCTTCCTCGTCGACGTGCTCCTCAAGAGAGGCGATGGACACGTCGCCTGGAGCGGCGGCTGTCGAGTGTCTTTCCCGCTGCAAGCTCTTCCTCTCATCTTCGGGTAGGTAGTTGGCATCGGCATTCGACGGATCGGAACGTCGAGGCGAACGACGCTGTGGCGAAGCTGTGGCAGCCTTGCGCGTCGATTCTGAGACTTTGATGTGCTGACTGGCCCGTGGAGGAGTTCCGGGTACTGGGTGAGGCAGATCATCGATGGGTGTGGCCTCCATCGGGTTGTCCTGATCAACCGCGAATGCTTTCGGAGAGCCTTGCTCATCGTCCGCGGTTTGTTGCAGATCCATGTCGAAGTCGTAACTCGCAGCCACCAGTTCGGCGGCGGCGGAGTTGGGCTCTGCAAATATACCCTCGCGGAGGATTTGGAGACCGACGATACGGCTCAGCATGTGATGCACCTCGAGCGGAAGGAAATCGGGATCCACATCGACCCAGTCGTCCGAGTTCTGTTCAGAGGCTTCGCCCAGGTCCTGAGCGTGCTCGTCACGAGCGTCCTCGTGGTTAATTGAGCAACCAGGGACAAGGAAGACCGGGGAACCGGTCACGCCCGACAATTGCAGACGTCTGTACAGACAATGTGACCGGGTCGTGATGGTGAACTTGGCAGGCTCAGATCGTGCGATCGGGCTCGATGCCGGATCCTCGTCTGGAATTGAGCTCTTGTGCTCTCCTTGGTCCGCGCCGACGTCGATTGCCTCATCAGTGCCTTGGACTTGCTGTCCCTCAGCAGCCGGACTCTCGCGGATCGGCAGTAACGACGGCAGCGCACGAAGGGGAGCGGCGAGGTTGCTGGCCAGAGTGGAAGCGGCTTCGGTCATTTGGCTGAGCAGGTTGCGCTTGGCAGCTCCGTGAAGGTGTCGGTGACCGTGGCGGTTGGCAGAGGGAGTGAAGCTTGAGACTGATCGGCGGTCCGATGAGGCAGGCGATGGGGGCACTCGGGATGTCGCAGGGATCTTCGGCATGACCAAGGGCGATAGGTTGCTGGGCTTCTGTGCCTCTCCGGAGCCCGACACGGCTGGCAGCTCGTTGGAAACATCGCCGGCGTCGGTCTCCAGCTTTGCCTTCTTGTGTGGAGCTGTCTCGACCCGTTCGGAGTCATCGCCGTCCAAATTGGGTAGAGACGACTGTTCGGCGTCAGGATGCTGCTCGGCCGTGTCGGACTCTGCCCTGGCTTTACGCTTCGCAGGGACGCTAGACGAAGCGCCGAGCTCATCGTCGGTCCGCTTTTCATCTGCGAGTGCATCATCCATGGTCTGGTCCGCCGAGTCCGCACCTAACGGCGCAGTCTGACGCTCGACCGAAGTGTCGCGGTCAGCAAGATCTCCGCTGAGAATGCCTTCGTCATCCGTCGCGACGCGGATGGCTGGCTGGTTGACATCGTCTTGAGAAAAAGGGACGTCGGTCTTGCCGCTGCCGTCGATGGCAACGTCTTCGTCCGGCATGATCGCACTGCCAAGGGCTTCCCCGGAGTCAGACTTCACACCCGTGTCGAGAGCAGGTGTAAGCAATGGGGAAGGAGCGGACACCTTTGCGGGCTCGATGAGGATCGGTTGCTCGACGACTTCCTCCTCGCTATTGTCCTCGACGTCCGCCTCCAAGACGTCTGTGCTTTCGATGCGCACGAGGGTCGGTTTGGCCGGCTCAGAGGCGCTGCCGATCGAAGCTTCAGCCGGTGCGCTGACAGGAGCCGTGGTCGCGCTCACGATGGTGTCTGCCTCTTCGACTGCAATTGGGTCTTCGCGGGCCTCGGCTGCGGGAGATGACTTTTCGTCATCGGCCTCGGCCAGAACAAGCGGTGCCGGTCTGATGTCGTCTGCACCATCTTGAGCCACCTCGATTAGATCTGATCGCGAGGCAACACTTCGGTTCGCGTCGGCGGCAGTATCCTCCTCCTTCTCGTCTGTCAAGTCTTGGCGCCCTTCGTCATCGTGCATGAGTTGCTGGGACTTGTCTTGAACGACGACCTGATCTGTAGTCCCATGGCTGGCGCTCGGTGGATTCGCGGAGATGGCGCCGTCAACCTCGACTGTGTCAACGTCCACTGGAACTGATGGAACGTCGAGCTTGGGAGATGTGTCCGACGATTCTGCGTCATGAGCAGCCACAGCGCCGTCGGCACCGTCCGAGTCCTCTTGCTTCGAAGCCGGCTGATCTTGACGTTCGTCATTTGGCACAGAGGCCAGAGCTTCCATGAGAAGCGGATCGATTTGCTCAACAGCGTGGATTGCCGCAGGAGACGCCTGCTCCACGGCGTCCTGGGCTTGAGATTCGATCGTCTCGATACTTGCCTGCAGCTGAGAGGCGGTAACGAAGCCGGGCAGAGCTTGTGCCCCTTGCAGCGCGCGGAAAGCCGAGCTGACGGACGAGAATTGGGGCGGATGCGGAGACGAGATGTCCTCGTGGGAAGACTGCTGGTTGTCGAGATCTGACCAGCGCAGATCCTCGTCAACCTCTTCCGGTTCAACTTCACTTTCCGGCATGGCATCGCTGTCTGGCTCGGCCAGATAAGTGTCGAAGAGACGCCCGTCGCCATCAGTTGGAGACGCCCTGTCGTGCATGGTGATGTCTGCTGCGATGTGATCGTCAGGTTGAATGACTTCAGCCGAGAGTGTCTCAAGCTCAGGCTCTGCATGGTTTTGGACTTGAGCTCCTTGATGGGCGTCCTGGCTGGAATCCAGAAGCTGCGAGTGGTGATGAGTGGAGCTCTCGCCGTCGATCTCGTCGTCGTGAACGAGCACATGAGAGCCCGAGTCGCTGCCTGCGTCAGAATCGTCGGAATGCTCGGAGGGGGCCTCGTCGAGGAGTTGATCTTGCGAGCCGAGGCTGTAATCTTGCGCCTCAACCGTCTCTTGATCGTCTACCTGCTCATCGTCGTCAGAGTCGCCTTCATCGCTGGACTGACTACCCTCGTCCGAGTCGGAGAGCACGATAGGTTCGTCGGCATCGCCAGCTGGGCCATCAAAGACCGAGTCGTGCGGACTCGCATTGGCATACCGGTCTCGAAGGGTGGATGGATCTTCATCGACCATGTCCTCGTCGTCGTCAAGCTCGTCTGAGGCAGCATCAGCATCAGATGCTTCGGATTCGAATTCCTCGTCCAGATTGGCATCCTCCTCGAACGTGTACTGAGCGCTGTCCTCGACATCGTCTCTTGTCGCAGCGAGGTCGAAGGCCGCGGGCGTCTGGGCGCTCTGATCTGGGACGATTGTGAATGTGCCGTTGACGATGGCGATCTGGTCCATGGGCTGTGGAGCTGAAGATGTCTGGCTGGCTTGCTGGATCTGGTTCGACGCGGCTGATGCGTTGTCAGTGTCGGCTGCGTCAGCATCCGAGCCGGACTCTGACGAAGAAGCGTCGCTTGAGCTAACGGAATCATCCGAGGAGCCTGACGAGCTCTCGTCGGATTCGACTAGCGCTCGCTGGCTGACGCTGGAGCCGGGCAAGGCGGTGTCTGCTTGGAGAACCTCGATCACCGGCTTCTTTGGAGCGACGTCCGAGCTGGAAGGGTGCGGCTGGCGTTGGTCTTCGAGAGCGGCTATTCTGGCGCGTTGCTGGAGGATGGACTCGATATCGAGGGCGCCGTCTGCTCCGCGGTTGGCTTCGAAAAGCGCCGAGGGGCCAAGATCAAGTTCGGAGCTGGAGAGCGGCTCAGCGCTGGAGAGGATGTCTGCCAAGCCCGCGTGCTCGACTTGTGGGTCTTCGGGTTGCAAGCCGCCGCCACGCATGAGCTCCTGGAGCGACTTGGCAGCGAGCAGGCTACGTTGTACCGCTGGATCCGATGCAGCGAGTGCATCAGCCTCTTCCGATTGAGAGTCGGCCTCGGCGTCTTGACTGCTGGCCATGCGCTCGAGTACTGCTCTACGAGAGCGCTCGAGTTCGGTACGGCGGCGCTCGAAGTCAGATTGAGCATTCGCAGCCCATTGGGTTGCGGACAGAGAATCGTCCGAGGCAAAGGAGGAATCGTGCGTAGAATCGGCGTCCAGAGCGGCCGAAGCCGGAGATGGCACACGATTGAGCTGAATACGTTGCTGAAGGTCTCGAAACTCCTTGCTGGGCCGTGGAAGGCGGACGCGACTGCGTGAGCGAGGCAGGTTGTGGAGGGACGATGAGGATGGGGATGCAGCAGCTGGTACTTGTGCGGAGGGATGTGATGGTGACTGGAGCGCGTCGCCGATGCGTGAGCTGAGGTCGACGATCCAAGCGACTTCATCGAAGCGCTGGTATGCCGAGGCGGAGACGCGTGGGCGACGCGGATTGCTTGGGCTGGACATGCTGTGGTTCGACTGCATTCTAGCAGGTGATGGCGCTTCAGGGATGGGCGAAGCTGCCGAGCCTACTGCGTGAGCACCGAACGAGGATTGTCGAGGACGTGAGGGGGTTCCGAGATGATGCAGTGAGACGTCGCCAGATGCGGAAGGAGGTATATAGCGAGGACGCTGGAGCGTGGTCTTTGAGGTGCCGTTGATGTGGTCGGCCGGCATGATGGCAGGAAAGAGGTTGACTAGGCTGAGCGTACGGGCTTGGACAGGCGAGGCGCGGTGATGACCCTTGCAAGCGGCCGCTCGAGCCGATATGGGTGGATAAGCCGGTGGCCGTGGCCTGGATGGAAGAGGAGGAGGAGGAGGGAGAAGGGAGGATGAAGGTGGGTAGGCGCAACGAGAGCTGCAGCGGATTGAGGCGCGTCACAGAACATGAATCGAGATTTTTGGTGCATCTGAAAGGCAGTCGAAAGTGCGAATTCCGAGCAGGCGCACCAGCCACCCCAGGTGGAGTGCGCCCACTCTGCGCTTTCAGATCGGCACGCGACCCTCCATCGGCTTGACTGGTGTGATCATCGGTCGATCTAAAGAATTCATGCCACGCCGTCGCCCAAGGGACGCAGCCAGAGACAAAGGGACGTCGCTAGAGTCGGCCACAAACGACGAGATATGAGCTCAAAGCGACCAGCGTCTCAGCGTCTCACACATGTCCGTCAGATGAACTTCATCTGAACTCCAGTTGGCTTGTGAAGATGGCGCCAACAGGTGACAAGACGAGATTGGACCCTGGCGTAAGGAGGTGGGTTTCTGCGGTTGCTCTGCTCAGGGTCTTGGCTGGTCTGGCCAGAGTGAAGCGCTCTGGGTCTCGAGACTCGAGGTTCGTTGCAGGGTTCGTTGGTTGATTGATTGATTGGCGGGCTGGTAGGCTGGCAGGCTGACAGGCAGCTGAGGCTGGAGAGGATCGGCGCAGGAGTGGGCGTTTGGGTCAAGACTCTGACACCCCATGCATCCCACGCACGAATGCATGCCTTGTCTCGCAGCGCGGCGCCTCCTCCGCCTCTCGCTTGGCGTGGAAACGAATCACGATTTTTTCGGGCTTTGCCGACTGCATCTTTTGGGCGGCCTGGGCTGCTCTGTCTGCGAGTCAGGTGGATGAGGGTCCGATCCGTGCTTGCCTGGAAGGCGACGACCGCAACTCAACTCCGCAGGCAGGAAAGAAGCAGTGGGGCGGTCGGTCACCGGCGAGGGGGCGTCGGGTCGAAGTCATGCGCAGCGTGGCGTGGGCAAGGCCGGGCGAGTGGGCAGAAGAAAATTCCAACTCAACCGCTGCTCTTGTGAAGAGAGAGTCGTGATTAGAGTCTAATCCAGCGCGACTCGCCGGGCATCTGCGCAGAGAGAGAGGCGCTTCGCTCCCTTTTCGGCCCTTTTTCGTCTAGAAGCCCAAGCTTCTGACAGGGCAGGAGAGCAGAGAGCAGAGGTCTCGGGCCGCTCCTTGTCACGTCCGTCGGCTTGGGCTCGCACTTTTGACGCTGACCTCTGCCGTTGCACTGCAGCTTCCGAGTCTCGCGTCGGCGCCCGAGCAGCCTTTTCCTTGGAGGGGAGCGCGCGTGTGTGTCTGAGAGCAGGACTCAGCTCACTCCGGAAGCCAAAAAAGGTGCCTCGTGCGCACAGCCAAGCCAGCACCTTCACCTTCCGGCAGCAGCAGCAGCGGCATCAAAGCGGATCGACGACAGCACCCTCAGCTCGTTTGGCCCGGCCCCTCACTCCGCTCCGCACTGCACTGCACACCCTTCCGCCCGCTTCATCAGCCTCGACCTCATTCCGTTTTCACCCTCCAACTCGATTGCCGTCGTCACCACCCTTCTCCTCTTCGGCCTCTGCTTTCCCTCTGACCGCTATCGTCCTCTGCACCGTCGTCGTGTCTCGTGCCCCACCACCTCTTTGACGCGCGTCTGCTGCTCTGCGGTGCCCAACAAACTCGACCCCTCGCTCACCTCCTCTGTGCCAGCTCGCTGATCTCAACGCACTCCACTCGATCCCACCTGCATCCCTTCGGCCTAAAGCACATCAGCTTTCGGACATCCAGCCTCGCATCTTCCGTCTCTCCTACATTGCTTTTGCGCGCATTCCCGGATCCCCTGCCGCTACCGTCGCATCCGCCTGCATCCTTGCAAAGCCGCCTGCGTCTACGCTCTAGCATCTCGTTGTCAACACGGGTCGTTTTGCTTGTCAAACCTCACTACCTTCTTCTCACCCCGTACGTCACGCCACGCCTCCATCATGTCAGTGCCAGGTGCCGACTTGCAGGAGCGCATCGCCGCCGCTCGCCGTGAGGCCGACGGCCTCAAGGAAAAAATCCGCGCAAAGAAGGATCAGATGGCCGACACCAGCCTTCGAGCCATGGCCAACGACATCGAGCCTTTGCCACGTATCGTTATGAAGCCCCGTCGCACCCTCAAGGGTCACCTCGCCAAGATCTACGCCATGCACTGGGCCAACGACAAGCGCCACCTCGTCTCGGCTTCGCAGGACGGAAAACTCATCGTTTGGGACGCCTACACCACCAACAAGGTCCACGCCATCCCACTCCGCTCCTCGTGGGTCATGACCTGCGCCTACGCCCCCTCGGGCAACTGGGTCGCCTGCGGTGGCCTCGACAACATCTGCAGCATCTACTCGCTCCGCGGCCGCGACCCCAACAACATCAAGGTCGGCAGGGAGCTCTCGGCGCATACCGGCTACCTCAGTTGCTGTCGCTTCCTCAACGACCAGCAGATCCTCACCTCCTCCGGCGACATGAGCTGCATCCTCTGGGACATCGACTCGGGCACCCGCATCACCGAATTCAACGACCACACCGGCGACGTCATGAGCATCTCCCTCAGCCCCAACCCCAACGTCTTTGTCTCGGGCGCCTGCGACGCCATGGCCAAGGTGTGGGACATCCGATCCGGCAAGGCCGTCCAGACCTTTGCCGGTCACGAGAGCGACATCAACGCCGTCCAATTCTTCCCCAACGGCGACGCCTTTGCCACCGGCTCCGACGATGCTTCGTGCCGCCTCTTCGACCTGCGCGCCGACCGAGAGCTCAACACCTACACCCACGACAACATCCTCTGCGGCATCACATCCGTCGGCTTCTCCGTCTCTGGCCGCATCCTCTTTGCCGGCTACGACGACTACACCTGCAACGTCTGGGATACGCTCAAGGGGGAGCGCGTCGGTGTGCTCGCCGCCCACGAGAACCGTGTCTCGTGCCTCGGCGTCAGCACCGACGGCATGGCTCTTTGCACCGGTTCCTGGGACTCGCGCCTGCTGGTTTGGGCTTAGCCACGCCCTCTATCTTCGGAAGCCACACGCGCGATCCAGACCTTTGCTGTCGCCATATACCCATCCCTTTTCCCACCACCACCGATCGCTCTCTCTCTCTCTCCGACCGCATCGGTGCTCACGACAGACGACGGCGGCAGCCGAGCCTCATCACGGGCGGCACACCAGTGCAAGCCCTCTATGCGTACTCGTCGCGTCGTCCTGTACCCTCTTCCCCTTGCATTTTGTCATCCTAGCATCCCTCCTTCACCCCACTCTGCCTGCCTGCCGAGGCTCATGTCGCTCGCTCTCTACGCGTTTACAGCCGCTCGAACGCGGCCTAGCGGGTCCTCACCGCGGCTTCCCGCTCCCTCGAGACGCCCCCCGGTACGCTCTTCCCACTTTTTTTTCTCCTGTCTGTTCTCGTCGGTCTTTTCACTTCAACCTTGGCTTGTCATTCATCAATACACACCGTAGCTGTGTGCTCCATGTGGCAGCTGCAGATGTGTGGGTCCGCGTAGTGTTGAGGTTGGGAGGAGCAATTCCAGCCTGGGCGTTTGAGGTAGAAGGCGGGGCGGTTTGGTTTTGCCCCGTGCGTGGGTGCGGTCCGGCTTTTCGGCTATTTCCAACACCGCTCTGAGGGCCGTCAACCCCGCACTGGATTCCGAGTCGCTGTGGTCGAGCAAGTGTTCTTCTGAACCATCACCGACCGGCATTCTTCGGCCTCGCCTTCCACCATCACCGCTCTCGAGCTATATTTTGGGCTGAACGACTTACACATACGACGCAAGCCTTTGGACTTGGATCACCGACAGGATGGCGACTATCTGGCGAGGGGTCGGGCGGACGAGCTCTCGACTTGGCATGCCTGCCTTGACGGTTCCGACTCGAACGATGGCATTCCAACGAGGCTTCACTTCCACCTCCGTACGGGGTTCTGAGGATAAGCGCGCAGCTTCTTCCAAGATCTTTTCTCTCGAAGAGGTCGAGGCGGGAATCAAGGCGTTGGAAGACGCAGGGTACGAGCGGGCAAGCGTGTGGGAGCAGCGCGTGGTATGGGGAGACCACGACCAGTTCCAGCACGTCAACAACGTCCACTTTGTACGCTGGTTCGAAAACGCACGCATGTTCTTCGCCAACGCCATGCTCGAGTCGGACAACTTCACCCCGGAACGCAAACTCGAAATCACAAGAGGTACAGGAAAGTCGTTCATCCTCGCCGGTATCAACGTCAGATACAGAAGACCAGTCGTATATCCAGACACCGTAAGCCACCCCAACCCCCTTTCTAAAGCTTGATTGGTAGAAAAAGGTGTTCATGCTGTTTTGTTGGCTTTGTAGATCTTGGTGGGACAGGCATGTGAGCTGCCACTCGGTAAGGATCGATTCATGCTCCGAGGCGCAGCATACTCGTTGGCACAAAAGACCATCGTCGCCGTCTCGGCACAGGACTGCGTCACGTACGACTATACCCAGCTCAAGAAATGCGACATCCCTCAGGATCTGCGCACCGCCCTCGAGAAACGCGCCTCGCACTTTGACAAGAAGCTCTAGCCACACCAAACGCGCAATGACAATGCCTTTATTGCGTGCTAAGCCTTGGTTGATTCGCCGATCCGCTTGACGTGGGGATAGAGCCAGCTGAGTTCCTCACGCAGGCGGGCGCGCAGCTTGTGCCAGATCGGAGACTCGCGACCCGTCTGGCGTCTTTGGCGACGATCTCGCTCGCGCGCGGCAAACTTGAGCAGTGTGCCGAAAGTCTTTGCATCCGGTCCCACTATGTGCCCGTTGCGATCGCGCACAGGCGCCTGCATGGACCGCACCATGACTTCGGCCACCGTACCAGCCGCATTGCCATCATCGTCCAGATCGTGCGACTCGATGGCTTGACGCAGCAGTGTGGTGCGCATTTCACCAAACGCCACCTCGATGGCCTCTTCCAGCCTCCCGCAGCGCGCCAGGCATTCAAGCCACGCATCCCACGCGCCCTTGGTCATGGGCGTGCGCCGCTTCGTACCCCTCTCCTTGGCCTCTTCTTCTGCACGATGCACCGTGCTCACCACCTTGCGCGCCAGCGTCAGCAATCCATGTCGCCCGGCCGTGTCGAAGAACACCGACAGCGTCACGCTGTCGAACTCCTGCCGCGTCGCCAAGAGGCTCTCCCAGATGGCGAGCACGATCGTCGGCTCGTCGATGCGATTGTACGCGTTCATGAGCGCATTCACCAGCGGCAGGTCCGGCTCGAGCTCTTCGTCCCACTTGAGCATGGCGTGCGTCGCCGCCACGCCCGCCGCCGACGCAGGCTGCGTCTTGGAGTAGTAGTCCAGTACCGCCGTATACACCGCACACGTCGGCGGATGCCCGTCGGCACGCATATCCTGCAGCGTTCCGAGCAGATCCTCGGGTGGAGCGGCCAGCATCACCCGCTCGCCTCTCCCCTGGTCTTCCGTGAAGCGCAGCTCGAACAGTGACCGCCGCAGCTCAGTGTAGCCCCTCTTGTCCAGGCCCCTGCTTTCGCCTGTAGACGAGATAGGCAAGCGCAACAGAGCCCGATAGATCCCGAATGCTTCGGACCACGACGACGCCATGCTGATGAGCGGACGAATGAGCAGCGCCTTGTCATCGACGTCGATGGCGATGCGCGCCGATTGCAGCCGCGACAGCAGCCCGCGTGCCGCGGCGACATCTCTGGTTCGCACGCATGCGTCCAGAACGGGGCCGATGACGTCCATACCCACTCTGTCCGAGCTTCGACTGGGCGCCGCATCCGTCGTCTTGCGCTCGGCACGGTGATCGAGCATGTCGTGCACGAGCTTGATCGCCGCCGAGATGGACGGGATGAACGCTTCGCAGTATGCCCTCAGCAGCGGCACCACGAGCTGCGGGGTGGGCGACACCCCAATCGCCCGCGCGTGGTCGTAGAGCAGCTGTGCTTCTCGCACCTGGTTCGGCGTCGGCAGCGCGCGAGACTGAGTCGAGCCGTTCTCAGCGTCTTCCACGGCGGACGCGTTGATGTCGGTTCCACTCGTGTTGAGAAGACCAAGCATGAGGAGGTGGTAGCACTGATCGTCTGGATGGATGGTCCGGCCTGGATCGGTGGCTGCTAGGATCCGATCCAGCAGCTCGACCGCCTCGTCGCTGCTCTGCACGCTGTTCAGCTCGTCACCGTGGAGGCCAAGCAGCAATTCCTCGATCGCCCGCTGGTCAGGTGACTCGGGCTCGTGTGCTCGTGAAGCTGTCTCGGGCGCCGGCGTGAGACCGGCGTCCACCGCCTCAAAGCGCAGAAGCGCGTCCCGAGCGGCTGTGCGCGCTTCGTCCGGCGCGCGTGATTCGAGCAGACCTCGTAGATGAGAGGCATGCGTCCGCAGTCGGAGCAGAAGCTCCTCGTCGACCTCTAGGACCCGAGCGGCGAAGTGGCACAACCCTTCCACGACGATGATGCACGTGTGGAATGCTGTGTCGTCCGCACCCTGCGCAAGGCCTTCCAGTCGTGCTCGCGCTGGAGTGTCTTGACTCTCCAGGCAGAGATTGACCATTAGTTCGCGAAGGCGCATATCGGGCTGCACGCCTGATTCCATCATCTCCTGCCAGACATCGATCGCCTGATCATAGCGCCCGCGCCGTGCGAGCGGTGAGATGATCATTCCCCATCGTAATGGCGCAACCCGCCAATTGGGGTAGCTCTCGCGCAGCTCCCGAAACGCTGCTACTTGGTCCACGTCGGTGCTTCTGGATATGCAGTAGAGCTGGCGATGCAGGTCGTTTGCGGCGATCTTGAAGCCAAAGAGCCGGCTGAGGTCTTGAAACATGCGCTGGCACGCTTCGACGATTTGAGGCGGGATGGGCCCTTGCTTCTGAGCGTTGAGCAAGAGTGTCTGGATTGCATTCTGTATGTCGTCTTTGTGCATCGGGAACCCGACCTCAGAAGGAGCGAGGAACTTGGATGAGGAGCTGGTGACATCTTGGACGTGTCTGTGGTGGGCGCGCACAAGGTTGTCGTACGCATTGATGATCTCGGTCGATGAGCCGAAGCTGACGGCTCGCCGCAGGGCGGTGGTGGCCTGTCGAGAGGCGGCGGTGATGTCGTAGGAAGTCTTGCTTTCACCGAACCGAGGTTCTTGTCTTGAGGGCGTGACGGGAATGCGCCTGTCGAAAAAGTGCGAGAAGCGTGTCTTCCTGCCTTCTCGGCTGTGAGATTGGTAAGGATCGTCGCTTTCTTCAAGGGCTTCTTGTTCAGAGCCGGCTCGCGTGGCACGCCCAGCTACGGTCGACTTGCGTCGTAGACAATGCGCGCCGTGCCTGTTTCTGATGGTCGACGGCAGCTGGCGCGCGAGTTGTGGCGCAGCACGGGCCAGCGATGCCGAAGGCTGCAGAAAGGGGAGCATGGTGGCAACCGGAGCTAGCCATCTTCCTTCGCATTCGCCGTTCTTGGCATTTGTCCGACCAGGCGAAACGCTCACAGCTTGCTACGGCGGTTTGCCGGTGGATGGTCCTGCTTTGCAGTCGTCGTGTTGTTGCTCCTTGCGGTATCGATGGGTGGAGCGGAAGGAGTGCCTCGTAGATGCAGCCAGAAGAAGGTCCTCCGGGCTTTGGAAAAAGTGAGGACCCTGCAGGATCGGGAGAGACACGGCAGCCGATATGGGCTGGGATCGCCGATTGGGTCAGCGGGGTCAGCCTTTTCGCAGCCGCAATTTTCCTTCCAAATAATTTCGATTCCTTTTTTTTTCTTCGAGCGTCCTTGCCGCGAAGAATACCCAAGTTGCCTTCATCTGCATCACCGCTATCATAGCAGGGCCAGACACTGCCAGAGTCGGCTTGCGAGGCTGGAAAGCTCGGCTGTGTGGATTTGGCAGGCAATGCAGATTCTCAAGCGTGTGTAAGACCTCTTCACGCAGCTTGCTAGCTGGCCGATGCACAGGCGCGTCGAGAGTCGAGAAGGCAACGAGGGAGATCAAACCGGGCAAGCAATCGGGCTCGAGTGCAATCGGGAGGGCCTGCGGCTGTCGGCAGAGCACCGCACACGCTCCCGCATCGCGTTACATGCGCGAGTCGACGTGAAGCCTGCGACCAATCTGGCCGAAATGAAGCCTCTCATCGGGCAAAAAAGGGACCGCTAGAGCGCACCGATATGGGGCGGCAGAATGTGTTGGGGATCGACCGACGCGCGGAAATCCCCCGCCTGCTGCTTGATCCGCAGCCAACCACAGTAGCGGCGTGGGGTGTGCGCGCTAAGAACCGTAAGCGGCGCATTCACACCGATCGAGAGCGGGTACGGCACAGCCGGCTTTTCGCCCGGTCTGCTACTGTATACATCGATGCCCCCACTCCCGCTCTCTCGCTCTCTCGCTCTCACGCCCTCTCACACGGCGGATCCTTGGATGCGTCTGTGGTGGCCGATCCCCAGAGCCCATCAATGCGCCCCGCAGCCAAGACTGTCCGTGCGTGCAGTCTCTAACCCGATCCGAGCCCTGCAATCAAGCTTTGCCAGCCATGCATGGCTGCCAGCAACGCTTCGAATGTGCTACAATATGCTGTGTCTTCCAGAGTTGCGAGCATGGAAGTAGCATGCGTGCATGAACGCTTGCTGCTGTGGCTTCCAGTTGCGGTGGGTGCAAAGTCGCCGTCTTCGCGCTCGCCAGGCTGCAGCCGCCCGCCCCAAAGCCGAGGCTGGGCTGCAATCAATCTTCTGAAATCGCGTCGTGTGTTGTGAGCAGAGCTCGCTGTCTGTGCTCGAGGAGGCCTGGCGCCTCCGATTGGATCTTCTCGTTTTTATCTCTTTATTTTTTTCCTCGCCTCGCGCCCGCGTGCACTTTCGCGGTTGATCCTGCTCGTCATCGTGGCCGATTGTGACTGTGCCGGATGAAGCGGCCCGCCTGCAGCCTGCTGTACAGTCTGCTGTGCAGATTGACCGCTGCCCGCCGCTCTTCTGCCTGCCTGCCTGCCTACCTGCCCACCTACCTGTCTGCGCGGCTGCTCCGCTTCTTCCACGCCTGGGTTTTGCTCGCCTTCCACCGCGGCCGCCTTGGCGTTTCAGCATTCTTCCTTCGCGAGCCTCGGCCCAAGACGGTCAAAGCGGCCTGCGTTGCTCTCTGACCCTGTTCGCCTGGCTTTTCACCTTCTTCCTTCGCTGTCCACTCCACACTCACACTTGTCCACCACCACCGCCCCGGGCATTGCCTGCAACTCGTTCTCTTCATCACCATCTTTCTCGTTCGGTTCGTTGGCACGGTTCGGCAGCTACCCGTTCCCCATCGCTCGTCACGCTCGTTTCGGATCACCCGGCTCTTTTCTGGCTTGGCTCGCTATCGATCGTTGCGATCCTCTCTGAACACCGGGAGCAATCCGACCCGGCACGACACGCTCTCGGCGCCCAAACCATTGCTGCTTGCGCTCCAATCTGCAATCGATTTCGGCACGATCTCACGCGTTTCACGTCGACTGCAGCAGGGCAACTCTTCGCCCGTGTTGATCGCGTCGTTGTGTCGCAGAGGCTAGAAAAGTCTCGCTCGAGCAGCTTGCGTTTCGGGAGATTGCCGCGTCGGCCCGTCCACCTCATCCCGATCTCTGCATGCCACCTTACCCGCGAAGCTACCCTCGTTGCCTGTAGCCGAGGCTGAGCTCAGATCGGCTCAGCGGGACCATGAGCATCGGCTCGCAAGAGGCCAGCTCACAGGGCACCCAGGTTGACCCTGGCGCTGCTGCGGCCGGTTCCAAACCTTCTGCCTCATCTCCATCATCTTCCGATCCTGCCCCTCGAACGCCAACGCCTCCGCCAAACTCCGCACAGCAGGCCGTTCAAGCCGCTCCAACGCAACAGCAGTCCCAGCAGCAATCACACCAACCCTCGCCATCCCAATCAATATCTCAAAATGTCGCCGCACAGCCATCGTCCAGCGCACCTGCGCAAGCCAAGGTAGCATCGTCTTCGGCTCCCGCTCCAGCGTCTCAGCCTCCGCCCCGCCCACCACCTCCAGCCAGTGCTGTCAGTCTCCATGATGCTGCTGCCAAAGCCGCCGCCGCAGCCGCCAACAAAGCTGCTGCCCGTGGCAGTGCTTCGACAGACTCCAACTCGACGCAGACCGTCACGCCAGCGAAAACGCAGCCGACTTCCAGCTCGTCGGGTCTCGACAATAAAAGTGAAGCGAACGGATCCATGAAGAAGACCGCCAAGCCGAAAGCTCCCAAGCCACCAGGTCAGACCAAGCCAAAGCAGAAGCGTCGGGCGAATCAGGCCAGCACTCAGGACGAGCTCGTCTACCGTCCCACCTCGAGCACAGTAGGCGGCACCATCGGCGCCGCTCCGGACTCGGTCATCCCCGCCATGCTCACTGCGGCCGGAGGTGGTCGCAAGGCCCTGCCAGAGCTCGTGCTTCCCTTTCAGCTACCCTACGTCGACGTCCGTCCCGATTTCCCGGTCCTTGACAACGCCAGCGTGCAGTCCGCCATGGCTATGGGCGCCTCCGAGACCTCATCGCCCGATACCGGCAGCGACAGCGACGACTATTCGGTCTTGTCCGACGAATCCGATCTGGACAGCGAAGCAGAGGAGAGCCGGAGACAGGCTCGCAGGCGCAGAAAGGAGCCGGCAACCATCGAAGAGAGCCTCGTGCTCCTCCAGTCGCTCAGACAATCGCGCCTTTCGCACCTCTCCTCTCTCTTGACGCCCTTCAGCCAACGCGTCAAGTCGGGCATGATCTATCCCAACGTCCTCCCACTCAGCCTGCTCCACGGCCTCAACCCGAGAGAACCGCACGTCCTCATCCAGCTCGGCCGCGCCGACATCCACGTCGGTCCGCATGTCTTCATGAAGACCAAGTTCTGGGAGGTCCGTCCCGACTACGAGATGCCGCCAATCATGGATCCGCTCGCACGCATGCGTGCACATGGCTCGTTCGGAGGCCCTCCCGACTACGTCCGTCTATCGGCATCTCAGCCGCTGCCGCACCACATGTCGCAACCTCCGCCTCCCCAGCTTCCTTCGCCACGAGCAGCTCCTGTCATCCCGGCACCCAGCGTGCCCCTGGCGCGACCTCCAACCTCGTCAGCCAAGCCGCTTCCAGCACGTCCCCCTCAGACGAGCGGTCCCTCCCCGGCTCCAGCGACAGCCAGCACCTCAGTTGCCGCCCCGTCCACCTCCTCGGTCCAGGCCGTCACAAAACCTATCGCACCGGCTGCACCAGTGGTGTCGTCGACCCCGACGCTGCCCGCGACGCCTGTGGCAAGCTCTGCTTCTGCGCGGTCGTCTCTGCCTTCCAAACCGCCGATCTCGACGCCACCGTCCGCATCCGCTTCATCAGGGACGACGACCGCACCAGCTGCATCTCAAGCCTTGGCTTCCTCCCTCCCAGCAAAGCCTGCCGCTCCTGGCCCGTCTACTGCCTCTGTAGCACCTGTAGCATCAGCTGGCACGTCGACGGCCGCTTCTTCGACCCCCGCGTCACCTGCTATCGCTGCTAAGCCAACCGTGCCCGGCGTCGCAGCTAGGGCAGTGCCTTCGACAGGCAACGCTGGGGCTGCTACCAGCGCAGCTGCTGAGACCAAACCGGCATCGGTCACACCGGCACCTGTTGCTGCAACACCCAAGCCTATCGCCCTGCCGGTGTCGCTGCCACGGCCTCCTATGACGACGCCATCGCTTCCTCGACCGCCAAGCATCAACCAAGCCCACATGGCCTCGAATGCGCTTGCCAGCTCGACTGCTGCCAGCGGCGCTGCCACATTGGCAGCAGCGCCAACGGCGTCGTCGCAAACGCCTGTCGTCACTGGTACGCAGGCGAAGCCTACTTCAGCGATTGCGCCCGTCCTCCCGCTGGCAGCAGACAACACTGCAAGTAGCTCTGCAGGTCCATCGACGTCAGCGACTGCGGCGGCTCCTGCTGCTAGTGCAAGCACCACGCCGGCAGCTCCGAGCGCAACCAGCACCTCTGCATCATCGTCTCAAGCGGCCGCAGCCGGCAAGCCCGCTGACGCCCCTGCCGCTACTACGTCCACGCAGCCTCCGCCGCGCCCTGCCGGCGTCCCGCCGCCTCCAGCGATCGATGCTGTCTTGGTCTCGCGAGTCAACGCCACTGCAGCGCTCAATCCTGAGCTGCAAGAGCTTCTCCACATCGCCGCTTCGGGGAAAGCAAATCCGAACCAGCTCAAGGCACTTGGTGTTTGGATTCAAGCTATCACGGCGCAGCTCCGGCAGGATGAGGCACGCAACGCAGCTGCTGCCAACAAGGCTGGCGCCGCAGGCTCGTCTGCCAGCAACGGCGCCTCTGCCGCCAATGCAGCTGCGGGTAAGAAGACGAAGAAGACCAAAGTGGATGAGGCAGCCAAGGCAAGCAAGAAGCAAGCCAAGATCGAGGAACGCGAGGCAAAGAAGCAGGCCAAGGCCGAGGCGAAAGCAAAGGCACAGGCCGACAAGCAGATGGCTCAAAAGCAGCAGAAGGAGAAGCAGCAGAAGCAGCCGAAGCAGCAGCAACAGCAGCAGCCAACCGTGCCGCCGGTTTCGAACAAGCTTCGTCACCCTCCTCCTGGATGGCCAACTGATGGTCCACCCAAACCTCCGGTCATCATCGTCGAATTCCGAGAGAATCCGAGCATGCGCTTCATCCTTCCCCTGTGGAAATGCCTCGTGGAGCGCACCGAGGGCATCGAGCGACCTTCGATCCCCAAGGTGAAGAAGGAGAGGCGCAGCTTCTTCGACAACGACTCGGAAGACGAAGAGAGCCAGAGGATCGAGCCGGAGCTCAAGCTCAGCTTCTTTGCGCCATCGCTCGGCTCGGACGCGGCGGACGGCAGTGGGCTTCGCGAGCTCGAAGAGGAGCTCAAGCGAAAAGCGGCCGAAGAGGCCAGGCTCAATCCAAGCAAGACAACGACCCCGGCTTCTCAGGCCGCCAACTCGACGGCTTCACCCGAGGCGCAGGCTCCGGCTGAGGACAAGAACGGCGAGACCGCGTCGGCGGCGTCCGGCAAGAAGAAGAAAGGCAGCGCCAGCACGGGCGGCAAGAAGAGCAGCAAGGTCATCAAGCAAGAAGCCAGCGACATGAACGGGATGGCCGACCTGAATCTGAGCAAGAAGCACGAGGTGTACCCTCTTACATGGAGCATCAAAGGCGGAGTGACCGAGAGCCTCTGGGAGGCGTTCGGACGCGTGCCGGGCACGATGACATGCCAGCCGGTCAAGCGAGAGCCCGAGATCGAGCTCGAGCCGGACGTGGCCGAGTTCCTGGTGCCCGAGATTCGGTACCACCTGCTGGACCTGCCGATGGAGGAGATCAAGTTCCAGAAGGAGACCACCGACTCGTTTGTTGACCTGTACAGCCAGATGCCCGACCGACGCTTCATTTTGCCGCGCGTTGCGCCCGCGTTGCTGCCGCAGGGCCTGGAGGACCACCTTCAGGATCGATTCGCCGTTCGCCCTCAGTGCGTGTCGGGACGACCGATGGTGAAGCGCAAGGCGGGCGCCCGCGATGACGACGTCAGCTTCTCGTACGAAGGCATCGGGCTCACGGTGATTGGGCCGAACGGCATCCAGACGGAAGCGGGTGCGACGCCTGCCAAGCCGCCGAAGCGCAAGCGACATGTGGCGACGCACAATCCGGACGGCTCGATCAAGAGCTGCGGAGCTTGCGGCAAGACCAAGACGCCCATGTGGCGACGCGGACCCAAGGGGCCGTCGCAGCTGTGCAATGCGTGCGGAGCACGATGGAAGGCGGGACGTCTGGTGGTGCCGGAAGTGGCACCGCCGCCGATCATCGAGACGGAAGAGAGCAAGACGAAGGACGAGGAGGCTCGCAAGGAGGACGAGGCGCAGGCGTCGATGCACGGCAGCAATGCGCTCGTGATCCCGCAGAGCTCGAGTGGAGACGACGGCAGCTTCACCGTCATGGCGGCGAGCGGCTTGGTCGGGCCGGCTGCGTTTGGCGACCACAGCGGCGCAGGAATGTACTCGCTCGGCTCTGACAGCAAGACGGGCATGGGCTTCGGCTCGAGCCACCTTGCTCGCGGCTCGGCGAGTCCGAGCCCGTTCATCCGCTCGCCGGTGCCGGAGGACGAGGTGATGCCGGCGTCGGTGGACCCGAGCATGCTGTCGGGCTCGATGCGCCTCCCTTCGAATCGTCGTTGAGAGCGGTCATGGTCAAAGCGGACGTGTCAGTACCGAATGTTAAAACCTTGTACTTCTAGGAGACGACGCAGCGTGACGGTGTGTCTGGAGAGAGGCAAGGGAGAGACTAGCGAGTCGGTCGCGGCCGATGATACGAGCGAATGCATGCCCGATAGCCCCGATTGTGTCTGGACGTCGGCAGGCGGTGAATTATTGGCTCGATGGCGGATTGCTTGCTGTTTGGCCTGGCTGACGTGCCCGAGTCGGAGAGGGCGGACAGCGAATTGGACTTGGCGGCACGCCTGGTGCGCAAAGCACAGCTCTCAAGGCTCGGAGCGGGTTAGAGAAACCAACACTTTTGAATTTTCAACCTGGACCGAGCCGCACGGCAAGAATTCAATTTGGAGGCAGTTCTTCGCTTAGCAGAGGCCGAACTTTTGAATTCGATGTGCTGCCACTCGAGCCTCCCGCTGAAGTGCGGCCTGAGTGCCGATCCGCTCGTCCGAGCTTGCCGTCGCGGCTGCGTATGGCTCGGTTGCGGCGCTCCAAGCCATGTTCTCAAAGTGAGCGCTTGCCGATTCATACAGCAGGACTTGTATGCAGTTCAACTTTGCGTCCATGCCACGGCAGGAAGCAGCTGCGGCCACGGCAGATCATGCCGAGCGTGCAAGTAACGATTTTTTGTTTTGTTTTGTTTTGTTTTTATTTTTACAACGCCGGCCTGGCCCCTTTGACTGACCCCCTTTTTTCTGATTTCCTCCTGCCGATCTGACGCGCGCCTTGGCCTCGGAGTGCCGGTGCCTGCACCCCGACGTGCCTCCGCGTCTCTGCGCTTGGGCTGTGGCTGGTGGTGCCGGCCGCCGCTGCCAAGAAAGTGTGCAGTGCTAGGCTAAGTTGACTTAGTTGCTGTGCCTCTGCTGCTGCTGCTCTTTGGCTGCTGCATCTCGGTCGTCTTCTTCGACTCAGCTCACGCTGGCAAGCTGCAGTAGCTCGACGGAGGTTCAAGGCAGCGTGGCAGCCTCGACGACGCCCGCCGCCGAATCATCCCACCGCCACGCTGCAACTCCTGTGGCTCCCTGGGCCTTGACCCTGAGACAGCAGCAAAGCTCACTTCATCTCGCACGCACCTCGTCCCCGCTCCTTCATCTCGACCACCACCAACGTCACCCACACTTTCCCACTCGCTGGCCCGTCAAGGTAGGTTGGCTCGACTGTCCCTCGCAGATCACAGCGTGTGCCCGTCGCTCATATCTGTTTGCTCGATTGTTGTTTGCTCGGCGGTCCGCTTCCTCGTTGCTTGCTCATCACAAGTAGAAGGCCGACTCTAGGGATTGTACAAAATGTCGTATCAACGACCCCAGGACCCCTACATTCATTCGAACGCGTCTCAGTACGATGAGCGCTACCAGCAGGGCTACTCGCAGAGCTACCAGCAGCAGCCCTACCAGCAGGGCTACAGCGGCGGCAATGCTTCCGCCGCCGGATACCGAGACTACCCCGACCATGCCTCCGGCTACCAAGGCTCCGCCTACAAGGAGTCGCAGGAGGGCCTCTATGCCAACCAGGGCGCCGGCTACGGCCAAGGCCAGCAGCGCAACGCTGCTACCCAGGCTGCCGCCACCTACTCGTACGCCAAGCCCAAGCGTGGCGTCTCCAAGTGGATCAAGTTTGGTATCCCTCTGCTCCTCCTCATCATCGCCGGCGCTGTGGTCGGCGGAATCTTTGGCGCGCGAGCCGCCAAGAACAACGGCAGCTCTAGCGGCAGCGGCAGCAGCAGCGGCAGTGGCAGCGTAGGCAGCGGCTCATCGCCCAACGTCCAGGGCGCCGCCCTCACCGCCGCCCAGCAGGCTGCCAAGAACGGCGGCAACAACATGCTCTTCTACCAGGGCACCGACCCTTACGGCAACCCGGCATTCGTCTCGGCCAACGTCGACACCTCGGCTGCCGCCTACTCTGGCCAGGCCCACAACCAGTCCTGCTCCGACTCGTGGTCCGCCACCAACAGCCTCACCAACCTCCGTCCCCACCCGCGCATCATGACCACCCAGGCCGAGTGGGACTGCCTGCCTACCAAGATCGCCAACGACGCCTACCTTACCGTCTGGAACACCACCATCTTCAACAACGCTACCAACTGGGCCTCGCAGCCGCCCGTCAAGTACGTCTTCGACGGCCCGCCGTCGAATGGCTCGGGCATTCTTGACGTCAGCCGCGAGGTCCAGCAGCGTGTCAAGGCCTTCGCCTACGCCTACAAAATCTCCAACAACACCTCCTTCAAGGACCGCCTCTACCTCGAGCTCAACACCGCCGCTGGTAACACGGCTACCCCCTTCGGTCAGGACGGCTCTCATTGGAACCCGGTTCACTTCCTCGACGTCGCTGAGATGACCTCGGCTTTCGCCATGGCCTACGACTGGCTCTACAACGACTGGTCCGATGATCAGAGGTCCATGATTCGCACCGCCATCGTCGACTATGGCCTCGTGCCCGGTCAGAACCAGTACGCCACTGCCGACGGATGGTGGAAGCTCCCCGCCAACGGTGACGGCAACTGGAACTGCGTCTGCAACGGCGGCCTGCTCACCGGTGCCCTTGCAATTCGAGGCGACGGCGACTCCAACCAGACCAGCATCGCTGACAGCATCATCAACTCGGCCCTCACCAACATGAGGTCCAACTGCATGTCAGGCGCTTACGACGACGGCACGTGGACTGAGACCGCCAACTACTGGTACTTTGGCACCAACGCGCAGGCACGAGCCCTCTCGTCGCTTATCTCGGCCACCGGCACTGACCAGGGCTTGATGGCGGCCAACCCCAACTGGTACAAGACTTCCGACTTTCACATGTATGTCTCGGGCCCCGGTGGTCTCTTTGCTTACGGAGACAACGGCCCGAACAAGTTCGCCACCACCGCCAACCAGCTCATGCTCTACTCGAAGCTCAGCGGCGATGCGCGACCCGCCGTGTACCAGCGTGACCGCGCCGATGCCTCCTTCGACCCGCTCAGCATGTTCTGGTACGAGCCTACCGCCAAGGGTGCCTTCTGGAACGGTCTGCCCCTCGATCGATACTTTGACGACAAGCGCGGCTCGTGGGTCAGCATGCGATCCTCGTGGACCGATCCTAGCGCCGTCTATGTTGGCGTCAAGGCCTCCAACCTCACCGGACACCAGACGCATGGCGACCTCGACGCTGGCGATTTCGTCCTTGATGCGCTTGGAACCCGTTGGGCCGGCGAGTACGGCAGCGGCAACTACCTCTCGACCGGCTATTTCTCCAACGAGACGCAGGATTCGGATCGCTGGACCTACTACCGCAAGGCCACCGATGGTCAGAACACGCTCGTGATCAACATGCAGAACCAAAACGTGGCCAGCTGCCTGCCCGACAACAGCTACAACTCGACTGGCGTCGCGCAGACGGGCGACCTCTCGTTCAAGCCTGCTACCACCGACGCTGTTTCGTTCATCACCGACCTCAGCAGCTGCTACAGCCAGGCTTCTGGCACGGTGAGGCGAGGAATCCGCATGCTCAACGGACGCCGACAGGTGCTCGTTCAGGACGAGATCGGCCAGTCGAGCTCCATCACGGACGTCAAGTGGCGTGTGCAAACCAACGGCACCGTCAGCATCTCGTCGGACGGCAAGACGGCGACGCTCACGCAGAGCTCCATCACCGACCCCAACGCGGGCGTGGTGGGCAAGGTGAGCCTCGGCGGCACCAAGACGATGAAGGTGCAGATCCTGAGCCCGTCGAATGCCGTGTTCACCGCCACCGGCCCTCCCGCCACGCGCATCTACGGCCAAGCCGTGTACAGTGCGCCGCCCGAGGACTCGGATCAGGTCAACACCGGCGTCACCGCGCTCCAGATCGACCTCGACGGCACCCAGTCTGGCGCCCAGACCCTCCAGGTCCTGTGGCAGCCGCAGTGGGACTCGCTCTCGGCTGCCGACCAGGCTACGCCCAAGTCGGTGCCTCTCAGCCAGTGGAGCCTCACCTCGCACAACTAAGCGCGGCTCTCTGCGCTATCTTGCCTAGCTCTGGAACGGTGTAACTCAGATGGGACCTTACCGTCTGCTTCTTGGTGCCCGCCACTCTGCTTCTGCGTTTCTTTCGCCTCATCTTTCAAGCTGCTGCGCTAAGCCTGCTCAGCCTCGGCTTACGAACAATCGTTTTGTCCCTTTGATTCTTGGTCTCGTGCTCTTCATTGTACTGTCGTTTCCCGTTGCTACGAGTCGTGGTCTGCTGTGCGGTCCGGACGTGGTGAGCCTGATTTTGATAGAAAAGGCAGGATCGACGGGGCCAGCAGGTGTGTGTGCTGACAAGCGCGGCGCGTGTGAAAGCCGAAATTGAGGATTTGCTCGCTGGGCGGTGGCGACCTGTCGGCGGTGGACACCTCGCGCTTTCCCCGCATAGGAGCGCGTTTGATCTGCAGCGCTGCATCTTCGAAGCCCTCCTCCGTCGCTTCCAAGGTATCCACCGCCACTGCAGATATAACTCCTCGACTCCATCTTTGCAGTGCCGCATCTTGCCCGTCAGACCGCACTTCGCCTTTCTGACATCACCAAAACAACGATGGTCGAGTCGCTGCCACCGTGCGAGCAGCCAGTGCTCACGCCCGAGTACCACGATGTGGTCATCGTGGGCGCAGGCATCTCTGGCATCTGCATGGCTTGCCAGCTAAAGCGCAAGTTCAACATCCACGACATCAAGATCCTCGAACGCAGCGAGGATCCGGCCGGCACATGGACCAACAACACCTATCCGGGCTGTGCATGCGATGTGCCGGCGCCCGTCTACTCGTTCTCGTTTGCCACCAAGGGCGACTGGTCGACATTCTACCCGCAGCAGAAGGAACTCAAGCACTACTTTGGCACGGTTGCGGCGCAGCACAACCTCCAAAAGAACTTTCACTTCCAGACCACCGTGCAGGAGGCGAGGTACGACGGCGAGACGGGTCTTTGGCATGTGTGGAGCCAGGACTGGCGCAAGGACGGCACCGACGGCGAGAAGCACCACTTTGTCTGCAAGTTCTTCGTCAGTGCTGTAGGAGGCCTTTCGCAGCCCAAGGCTTGCGACATCGAAGGCAACGAGACGTTCGAAGGACCCATCTTCCACACGGCCAAGTGGGATCACTCGGTGTCGTTGGATGGCAAGGACGTGGTGTTGATCGGCAACGGCTGTTCGGCAACCCAATGTGTGCCGTACCTGGCCGAGCACTCCAAGTCGCTCACGCAGTTCATCCGCTCCAAGCACTGGATCGCACCGCATCCGCACAACCCGTTCGACGACATTCCGGGCTTCAAGTGGCTGTTGCAAAAGTCGGTGTTTGTGCGCAAACTGCAGCGTCTGCTCATCTGGCTCGTTCTCGAGTCGCACTTTATCCTCATCCTTCAGAACCCGCTGGGTCGGCTCTTCCGCTGGAACTGGCGGCGCAAGTGCGAGGCGCACCTGAAGAGGAATGCGCCCAAGGAGTACTGGGACATGCTGCTACCCAAGAAGGACGAGCTCATGGTCGGATGCAAGCGCCGCATCATCGACGACGACTACTACCCTGCGCTGCGCAAGCCGCACGTCAAGGTGGACAACACCAAGGTGCAGCGCATCGAGCCGCATCACGTCGTCACCGCCGACGGACGCCGCATCAAGGCGGATGTGATTGTCATGGCCAATGGGTTCGAGCCGCATGCTGCAGGCGCACCCCTGAAGATCATCGGCACCAACCGATCGCTCCACGAGCACTGGGCCAAGTACGGCGAGGGCGGCATGATCGCCTACCGCTCGGCCCTTAATGCTGGCTTCCCCAACATGGGCCAGATCAACGCCGCCAACACGGGCACGGGCAACCAGAGTCTCATCTTTGCCTCGGAATGCACGGTCAACTTCCTGCTCGAGGTGGCCAAGCCCGTGCTCGCTGCCGCACGTCCACCGCAGCTGGCCATCGAGCACATGCCCGGCACTCCGGCCGACGAACGCGTGCAGCGGGCCAAGATCCCCACGTTCCAGGTCAAGCTCAAGGCCGAACTGGACGAACAGCACTTTATCGCCAAAGCCATGTCCCAGCTCGTCTTCACCAGTGGCTGCAAGGTGCGTTATTTCTGTTTCCCCGGAAACTCATGACTCGGAGCCATCGCTGACCTTCTTCCTTCGTTTGTGTATACAACAGAGCTGGTACATCGACCCCAAGAGTGGGCGTGTTACGTCGATGCAGCCCGACTGGCAGGTCAAGTTCATGCTGCGTTCGCACTTCCCCAAATGGGAGGACTTTACATTCACGGGCCTCAAGAACGGCAGCTACCACCCGTCGGGCGTGCCCTTCTGGAAGCTGCTGGGCAACAAGCTCGGTCTGGGCCACGTGCCCTATGTCGACCCCAAGGAGACACCCCAGATCAACCGCAAGGCCATGGATGCCTAGATCTTTACAGAATTTCGAATGCCATGATGCCTTAGAGCCTCGACTGAAGCATACCGTAGTGAAGTGGTGGGCGCGAGTGTCGGTTGGAGCTTTCTCGCGCGAAACCGGCTCGAGTGAGGGTGCGATCTGACAAGCTGGAGAAAATCGGAAGCGGCCGTGGAGGTTGGAGGGGGTCACAAGAGCGTGGATGCCCGATTTTGGCTCGAATTTCGTAGCGGTTGGCTGGGGTGGGGGCCGATAAAATCTTTACTCTCTCTCTCAGCTCAGAGGCTGACGACAACCGGCGCCCATTTGGGGGCAAAAAAAAAGTGGTTGGAAATTGAGGCCGATTCTTGGCTCAGCCTTCGCGTTCTTCCGGCTGTGGGTCCGAAGTCGGCAGCTGTGAGCGAATCACCATCTCATTCTGGATCTCCACCTGTCTTTCACCTCATCGCTTCCACCGTCGAACCAATTCGTCGATTCGTACTTCAGCAGCTACAACGGCATCGACGCATACTTGGCACGGCCTCAGAGAGCTTCAGCCAAAGCGATTTTGCGCAGCGCCTACGACGGAAGCATACTCGGACGCTCCCTTTGTCTCGACGAATCTAAAAGCAGCTCGAGTTTACACAGCTTCACGGCAGCTGCTTCAGCACTCGAATCCGACCGCAAGTAGCACAGCATCCAAAGGCTTTTCGCTAGAAAAGGCACCAGCTCGCATCGGCACCGGACGGCACAGCTACGCAACCCAGCTTGGTCTCGCTCCCACCGCATACTCGAGCAGAGCCTCAACTGCCTACTTTCGCATCGAGCAACTCCAGCAGCTCGTGCTCGGAGATAACCACACAGCATGTCGCACGCCGACCACACGCGCGACCCATGTCCATGGGTGATCCTGAACGACTTTGGCGGTGCGTTTGCCATGGGTGCCGTGGGCGGCACCATCTGGCACGGCATCAAGGGTGCGCGCAACAGCCCGCGCGGTGAGCGTCTGCCCGGCTCGCTCTCGGCGATCAAGGCGCGCGCACCCGTGCTCGGAGGCAACTTCGGCGTGTGGGGCGGCATGTTCTCCTCGTTCGACTGCGCCGTCAAGGGCATCCGTCAAAAGGAGGATCCGTGGAACGCCATCATCGCAGGCTTCATGACCGGAGGCGGTCTCGCCATCCGTTCCGGACCCAAGACCGCGGTCGGATCGGGTATCATGTGCGGTATTCTGCTCGGTGTCTTCGAGGGCGTGGGTGTGCTCATGCAGCGCTTCATGGCCGAGGGGAATAAACAGGTCGCCCCCATCATCCCCGATACCCTCCCTGGATCCGCACCACCAGCGTTGTCAGCATCACAATAGACTCGTCCCTCCCCACCCGATTGGACCTTCCAACCCAGTTTCTTTCAAAAATAAGTCAGCCAACGCAAGAGGCACGAATCAGAGAGCACCACCGCAGCTTTTCTTCTCTCGCCGTCGGGGTTTCTGCGCTTTCACATCACCACCACTATGGCTCCTACTTTCTCATGTGTACAGTTTCCCAATGGCACTTTGCGAAAATTCCAACAGGCAGATCCAAGATGTGCGAGGTTGTGTGTGGAACGGCTTGCATCGGTGCGGGAAGCTACTGGTCCGAAGGCTTGTCCTTTGGTTGGGCGACTCGGTTTTTGCGGAAGCAGAGGAACTCGAGTGCGGTCGACTTGCGCGTGTGCACGAGGATCTGCTTGACGCGTTCGAGCTCAGCGTTCAGGGTGTCCTTGTCGCCCGATGTGCGCACGTAGTTATGCGAGATGGTCTCGTAGACGTCCTTGAGCCGCTGTTCCGCCTGTGGCGAGATGTACGCCGCCAGCGTCTGATGAAGAAACTCGATCTCGAGTGTGGCTTGCAGCATACCGCCCATTCCAAATCTTCCGATGCGCTGGAAGGCATCGAGCGTGGTGGCGGTGAGATCGTCTACGAGCGTGGTGATGGTTCGCGTGACGAGTGGTTTGGCGATACTGCGCACGTGCGCGTGCACCTCGACGAGCGACAGCAGCGCCTCGTAGATAAACGAATGCACCCCACTAGGCTTCGGAATCGACGCCCAATCTATACACGATTCGAGAATACCCCGAGATATTATCTGAGAGAGGGCGCCTGATTTGCGCTGAACATAGTCGTTGAACAGGATCGCATCGAGTTGCACCGCCACTTCGGCTAGCGTTGCCAGGTCGTCATCCATCTTGACGGCGTATGCGTCCGAGAACTGCTTGACCAGCCCGGGGATCACACTGCGCGTGAGGTGCGCCAGATTCGTCACGCTCAATAGCACGCGTGTGTCAAGATCCCGCACGTCGACCGAACTGCCCGGCTGGCCCGGTACGGCTTGCACCGACAACGCCGTGCGTGGCTCCAAGGGGCTGTACTCGGAAAAGGCCAACTGCACCATGCCGTCGAGAAAGGCATAGAGCGCATCCAAAAATGCGCCCTTGATGCGCGTCGTAAACTCGCTCGCCACGGGCTGCTCTGCGGCGCGGTTCTTGCCGCGCGCCTCGAGTGCGGACACAGGTGTCGATGCCGACCGCCCTCCGGCGAGGTGAAATGCCTGGCGCGCGTTGCTCTTGTGGAAGGCAGCGATGGCACGCAGATGCAGCGTAGTGGCCTGCTCGTCCGGATTGAGCGTCCAGTCCTCGAGCAGGTGGAAGATCTTGGCGTCCTCCTGCCACAGCACGCACACCACCTGCACAAAGCAGAAGCGTGCATTGGTGAGCAGCGCCCGCAGCGTCGTCGCCGACGCGATGCCTAGCCCCGCCAGATCGTTGCACGCATCCACGACGTGCGCCAGCGTCTCGCGCAGAAAGTGCGCCGCCGTCGCCGAACTCGTCCCCGCAGGCACCCACGCCGCCACGGGCGGCAGCGGCTGGCGCATCAGAATCGACACGTCCGTCAGCGAGAACAAATGCGACACCAGGCTGATGTACGCCTCGAGCGCCTCGACCGCCCACGCCTTGTTCTGCGCCGACACCTTGTCCCCGCCCGCGCCCGCACCGGCACGCGCCTTGGTCTTGATGAACTTGCCCTCGGCGTTGTTCTTGGCGACGCGCCAGAAGCTGGGCAGGCCGCCGAGCATGGTGTCCGAGAGCGCCTTGACCAGGTCGCGGATCGCACGCCACTCGTCGGCGCCCGTGCACTTGTCGAAGCTGGCGTCGAGCTGGCCCGCGAGCCGCATGCTCTTCTGGAGGTCGCGCGCGCGGTCGCGTTCGGCGACGCTGCTCGACGGCCGCTGCCCCGCGCGCGTCGCCTCGATCCGGCTCACGCCCGCGTCGAAGGTGTTGCGCATGACGCTGCGCAGATGCTGATGCTGCGCCTCGAGATAGATCGACACGGGATCGTCCGTGGGATCGAGCTCGAGCAGGATCTCGATGGTGCGTTCCTGCTCGTCGACGTTGCGGCGCGGCTCGCGCAGCTGTGCGGTGAGCCGGCTCTGCATGTCCTTCATAGTCGCCTCCACCGCATCCCACACCTTGGCGAAGACGCGCTTCTGCTGCACATCGCCGCGCGCGCCGCCGGCCGACTCGGGCAGCTTGGCGCTACCCACCGCCAGCAGCTGGCCCGGACGACTGTCGAGCAGATACTTGCCCTTCTTGTAGTCGCGCAGCGCCATGTCGTAGCGCCCGCTCTCGACCGACTCGGACAGCGAGCCGGGCAGGTTGAAGAAGAACTTGGAGCGCTCAAATACGCCCAGCGTCGAGCGCAGCTTGATCGTCTTGAGGTTGTTCTCGAGCACAGGCATGAACACCTGGTCTGCCTTGGCCGAGGCGTTGGCAAGGATGGTGTTGAGCGACGCCACGCCGTAGTCCGCATGGGGCTGCAGCGGTCCGGACTCGGTGTCGCGCATCTCGCGAAAGACGCCGTCGGTGGTGGCCTTGACGGCGACGAAGCGGTCAAAGTTGTCTTCGACCAGCACCTTGAGCGCCTCGGAGCGCTGGTCGATACTGTTCTTGAGGTGGAGGATGCCGTGCGACAGGTCGGCGAAGGTCGCATCGGGGTGGATGGTGGACAGGAAGACTTTGGCGTCAAACGCTTTGGATGAGAGCGATGTCTGCGTCTTGACGTCCTTGGGCAGGCCGCGGAAGGTGGCCATTGACGAACGCAGGCCGAGCGGGTCGGGCTCATCTGCCACGCCCATGGACGATGCAGCGCCCTTGGCATCGGATTCAGCCTCGGTGGTGTGCCATTGCGAAGGCTCAAGCGAGTCGAGGTTGTACGCCTTGAGCAGCTCGGCCTCGTCGAACCGCAGGCTCATCGTGACGGTCTACCTCGGAAGCGACCTTCCAGCAGAGTTGTGGTGGGCCTGGAGCTAACTGAACATCGCCTCTTACGCCGACGCTGCGGAAGTACCTGGACGCTATGCGATGTTGCCGCTATCGGAGTGCTTCCAGCTGTGGTGTGTGTGTGGATGATGAGGTAGGAGGGGTCCGAGGAGGACACGCGAAGCCGAGCGGGTGGTGGTCGGTGCGCGAGCCGCCAAAAAATAGCTAATTGTTAAGTCTGATCCCAACCATCTGTGGCCGCGGAGCTGAGCCACAAATTTTGCCGCCCAAGTGGAGTCGTCAGCTTGTCGTGGACCCTTCTGCTGGCTTTCTTCCTGTCCACCGCAACTCGCAACAACACATCCTCTCGCCGCGAACATGTCCAAGGTCGCAGTGAAGCTCCAGTTCGAGCAGTCCACCAAGGACGCGCTCGAGGCATGGCAACAAACCATCCGCGACAACGCGATCAACATCATCCAAAAGACGCTGCCTGGCAAGATCCTCTCGCTCAACGCAAAGATCGCCGAGGTAGACTCGAACAGGGAGCACCTCTTCTCCAAGAGCCGCTACTACGAGCCCTCTGCCATTGGGACCGATGTCACAGTCTATCCCGCCCCTTCTTCTTCCAGCGACTCGGACCTTCCGTCAAGTAAGAAGCGCAAGACAGAGGCTGCTGCGGTGAATGGCGAGACTCCCTCGCACGAAGAGTCGGCACACGTCTTTACGGGAATCGTCAAGACACCGGTCTACCTCAGCAAAGCCTTCGACGAGCTGCGTGCCGAGTGGGACGAGCTAATCGAGATTATGGACGCACTCAAAATGTACATCAACCTGCAGATGCCCCAGATCGAAGACGGCGATACGTTTGGCGTTTCGATCCAAGAAGAGGCGCTCAACGAAATCGTTCGCTCGCAGGACGCAGCATACAACCTCATCGCAACACCCTACACCTACCATTCTGCACGCGGAGATATGGCCGCCAAACTCGTAAGATTCCCCGGGGTGGAGGACTACGCAGAGGCTATCCGAGAACATGATAGGAAGTCGGTATACAGACTCAAGATGCAACTCACCGACGTGAGGAACATGTATGCCGTCGTCAACGACATTTTGTCTAAGAATATCGCCAAGATCTCGTGCCCAAAGTCGGGGAATCAGATGGGAAGCTACAGCTAGTCTGCCCTCTCCGCTCTAATGGCATTCGTACATCCGTCCTCCTTCACATCCCTCTCATTCTCGCTCAGCAGCCACAATCTGCATCTGTACTTTTACATCGCATTCCAAATCCTAGACTTCCAATCCAATCAAAAAGCCAAATGCATTGCGAAACACTTCTACAGCAGTCCATGCGATCGTGTATGTATTTCATGCCTCGTCCAGAGGCGGCGCGGTCGACAGCTACTGGAATGCAGAGGTCTTGGCGTTGCGCACGATCTCGTCGCGCGTAATGTTGCTGCGGACGCACATCGAGTGGAAGATGCCGTCTTCGCGCTCAAACAGCTCGAGCGGGCTGGCGTACTCGGCGAGCTCGCCCTTGTCGAACACGGCGATGCGGTCGTACGACAGGATGGTGCGCAGCCGGTGCGCGATGCACAGGATCGTGCGGTTGCCAAACTCCTCGCGGATCGTCTGCTGAATCTTGGCGTCCGTCTCGAGATCCACCGACGCCGTCGCCTCGTCCAGCAGGATGATCTTGGAGTTCTTGACCAGCGCGCGCGCCAGCGACACGAGCGAGCGCTGCCCCACCGACAGATTCGCCCCCTCCTCCTCGATCACCGTGTCGAGATTGATGCGCGATACGTTCCTGCCCGGCGTAGCGTCGCCCGGTACAGCGAGCGCTGCCTTCTCGTCGTCGTGCGACGACGCCGTCTCGCTCGCCGGCTCCGTCACGGGCATGATCGGCGTGGCCGCACCGTGCGTGTGCGTGTCGTCGCCAATCAGGTACGCGCGCTTCAGCGCATCGTTCAGCCTCGCGTCGTCATAGATGCCGAACGGATCCAGGTTCGAACGCAGCGTGCCGCTGAACAGAAGCGGCTCCTGCGGCAGAATCGCCAGCTTGCGACGCAGATCCTCCAGCCCAATGTTGCCTACATCCACGCCGTCGATCTCGATCGAGCCCTTGCTCAGCTCGACCAGACGCAGCAGCGCCGTGAGCAGCGAGCTCTTGCCGGCACCCGTGCGTCCGACGATGCCCACCTTCTCGCCGCTGCCCACCTCAAACGAGATGCCCTTGAGCACCGACGGCAGGCCCGGTCGGTAGCTCAGCCAGATGTCCTTGAACGAGATGCGGCCCTCCTCGGGCCACGACTCTCGCGTCGGGTTGTCGGTGCGCGTCTGCGCCTTCTCCTGCTCCAGCTCCTCGGCGTAGTACAGCAGACGCTCCACCGACGCCGAGTCGTTTTCCACCTCGGCAATCTGCCGCGTCATCCACGAGAAGGCCTGGGCGACCGTGAGCATGTAGGTGAGCGCGATGCCCGCGTTGCCGCCCGTGATCGGCGTCGAGCTGGCCGTGGTGAGCAGCGCGACTATGAGCACCAGCAGCGCTCCCAGCATGTCGAGGCGCACACCCAGCCAGCGCTGGTTGGTGATGCTGAGGTAGTACGCGCGGTTCTCGATGTCCATGCGCTTCTGGTTCTCGCGCACGAACGTCTCGGTCTCGCGGTAGGCGCGGATCGTGGCGAGACCCGACAGCGTCTCGGAAAAGTGCGAGTAGAGGCTCGATCGCAGAATCGCATCGAGTCGCTTCACCTCTCGCGCCGATGAGCGGTAGAAGAGCGCGCCGAAGAAGTAGAACACAAGCACGACCGCGACCGCAATCACAAAGTAGTGCGTGAGGATGGTGATGAGGATCACGGCACCCGCCACCGATGCGATCGTGTTGGCAGCCATGCGCACGGCGTCGGCAAGCTGGTTGTCGACAACATCGACATCCTTGGAGAATCGGTTCATGATGCGTCCGATCGGCGTCACATCCAGCCACGCCATGGGCGCATACACGACGCGCTGGATCGCCTCGTGATGCAGCCGCTTGCACGCATAGTAGCTGAGGAAGCCCATCGCACAGCCCATGACGAACGTCAGGATGGTGACCACGATGCCGAGCATGGCGTAGATGCCCATGTAGAAGCCGATGCTCTTGTCAAAATGGTTCTTCTGCCACCAGATCAGCCAGTACGAGTTGAGGATGTTGGTCGTCTGCATGAGCGCCAGACTGCCCACGCAGAGCGGCACCATGTAAGCACCGCGGCCGAATTTGAAGTACGAGAGGTAGACCTGCATCGAGACCGAGCCCGTGTTGCGCTCCTCGGCCTGCATGAGTGCACCCGCCTTTTCTCCGGCCTTGCCGCCCGAGAGATGGTTGCGGTCCACCTTCTTGCCCTTCTTGGTGTCGTCGACCGAGTCCTCGATGGCCTCGGCCTCATCTTCCTTCTTCTCTTCCTCATCCTTCTCCTTCTCGCCGCCGAATTCGAGGACGAGTCGCTGGAAGGGACCGTTGGCCGTGTTAAGTTGGTCGTACGTGCCCATCTCGGCGATGTGGCCGTCTTCGAGCGTGATGATGCGGTCGACGTCCGGGAGGAAGTGGAGTGCGTGCGTGACGAGCAGCACGGTGGTGCCCTTGGCACGCAGACTCATGATGGCGTTGTAGAAAAGCGCCTTGCCGACGTGAGCATCGACGGCCGAGAGCGGGTCGTCGAGACAGACGATCTCGGCATTGTAGTAGAGCGCACGAGCAATGTTGACACGCTGCTTCTGACCACCACTGAGATTGACGCCTTTCTCGCCGATCTCGGTGAGGTCGCCAGCTGGGAGGATGGCCAGGTCCGCCTCGAGCTCCGAGACCTTGACAGCCTCCCAGTAGCGCTCCTCGTCGAACGGCTGGCCGAAGAGGATGTTGTCGCGCAGAGTAGCGTTCTGAATCCAGGCGCTCTGGGAGCAGTAGGCGACGCGCTCGCTGCCCCAATGCACCGAGCCGCTGGTCTGGCGCATCTCGCCGATGCACGCTTGGAGGAACGAAGACTTTCCTGAGCCGACAGGACCAACGATGGCAACGAGCTCGCCCTTGGGGATGGTCACATTGATGTGCGACATGGAGAAGGGCTCCTGCGCCGTCTCTTCGATCTTTTCAAACGACTGTGCCTCGCCTACCGTAGGCTCGAGCTTGGCGACATCCAGCACGGCTTCGTTGTCGCCATCGGCTGCTGCGTCGCTCTGCTCGGCACGGATCTGCTCCAGACGTCTTCCGTTGTCAGTGTCAGGGACCTTTGCCGTGACGGGAGCAGGGAGGCCTGGTGCGTTGGCGGCAGGGGGCGCGGCGGACTTCTTGGCGAAGTTCTTGGCCTTGCCAAACAGGCCCTTGCGGGACCCGGCGTTGGCTTGGGCGGCGCCTTTTGCGGCGCTGCCCCCCTTCTTGGCACCCAGTCCGTTCTTGCCCTTGTTCGCGGAGGGGAGCGCCTCATCGGCCTCGACGGTCTCCCATCGGAAGGATGCGTCGTGGACGACGAGGGCATGCTTGGAATCTTCGTCGTGCTCGACGGTGTCTTCGAGCTGTTCGGCGGTGAAGACGGTGTAGAGACGGTCGAAAGCGTTTCTTGCGTCCGTAGTAGCGGAGAGGGAGAGAGGCAAGAACATGAGGGGCATGCGGAGAAGCTGGAACAGGGTGAGGGCGGGGAAGACGATGGCAGGGTTGAGGTCGTGGCCGGTAAGGTTGTAGACGACAAAGGCGAGCACAGCAGCGAGGATGGGCAGACTGAAGGCGAGCGCGATGTTAGCGGATCGGATGATGAGGATCTTGCGGATGCCGTTGAGCTCGTTCTTGCGGATGTCGTAGATGCGCTGGAGGAACTTGGACTCATGAGAAAAGGACTTGACGATGCGCATGCCGCCGAGCACCTCCTGGATGGTCTTTGCACGTGCGTCAGTCCACTTCATCGAGGCGCGACGGATCTTGAAGAGCATCTTCATGGTCTGGAGCTGGATGGGCGTGGCTACGACGAAGATGGCGAGGCCGGCCAGAGCGGAAGGTCCCAGCTGGGTGAGGAGGATGATGACGCAGATGATCATCTGAATGGGAGCGGCAAAGACGACGGAGAACCAGGCGGAGGCGAAGTCGATGCGGCTGCAGTCGGTAGAGATGTGGTTGATGAGCTTGCCGCTGGATCGGGCTTTGCCGTTCATCTTCATGGCGCGGTCAAAGATGGCGGTGATGAGGGCGGCGCGCGCCTCGACACCGCACGACATGGAACGCCAGAAGAACTGGTGGGTGCCGAGCGACGAGATGATCTGCATGAAGAAGAGGGCGAACGAGAGACCGACGCCGTGACCGACTGGAGGACCAGGTACGCCGCGAGCGTGAGCGGCGTAGAGCTCCTGAGCGTACTTGATGATGGCCTTGAGCACGAGCGGCGAGGTGATGAGCGAAGCGTCTCCTATGATCTTGAAGGCGAGGCCGGACCAGAGCTTCCATGCGAGCTGGTCGTGCATGGCCCAGACGAGCGAAGGCTTCTTGTGTCCGGAAGGATCCTTTGGCAGCTTGAGTTTGCCAGGCTGAGGTGGCCCGGCGGCGGCAGCGGCAGGAGCGGGCCTTGGCGGCGCTCTCCATCTGGCTTCGCGCTGCTGACGACTGCCGCCCTTGGGGTTGAGGGTAGAGGCAAGGGCCCATGAAGCGCGAAGTTTCAGGCCGGGCTGGATCTCGCCAGAGACGAGTTTCTCGTTGTAGGCCTTGGCCTCGGCTACGCGTCGAGCCCAGTCTGTGTTGAGCTGACCACCGAGCTGCTTTGCGCTGAGGTCTTCGGAAAGAGCCCAGAGATCAGTGGCTTCGAGGGGACGCTGGTAGCCGAGGATCATGATGGGGGTCATCCATTGGAAGAAGATGCGATTGATGAGGCTTGCATTGGCGAGAGGAATGAGGCGGGCATCGTCGAGGCTGTTGGGTGGTGGGAGTGGCGGGTTCTTGGGCCGCCAGACCTGGTACCACTTTTCCTTGTGCTTTCCGCCGACGAAGCTGCGGACGCCCGGGTTGTACTCGTAGCCGGGCTTCTCATCGGTGGTGGAAGAAGGCTGTGCGGCCTGGTCGGTCGAAGCGACGGCGCTTTTGGAAGACTCGCTGTGGCTCTCGTCCTCGGTGTCGTGGATGACGGTGGGCGCCGCAGCGTCAACGGAGGGCACAGAAGCGGGATGTGAAGAGGTCTCGACTGCACCCGTCGCATGCGAGGCTGGCTCGGCCATAGGTGAGGTTGAAGAGGAAGTGCCGGACATGGTGAGAGAGCCGACAATGCAAACACCTGATGAGCGGGGATGCTGATCAGGTGGGGAGTGTGAGAAGCAGCAGTTCAAGCTATTGCATCCGAGATTGTGTGGGCGATGACGCCGGAAAGCTGTGGATCGGGCAAGACCAGAAGCAAGGGTGAAGCGTGGTGAGCTATCCCGCCTTGTGGTGGAAGAGGTCGAAGGCGAAGTGACGTGAAGCGGACAGGTATGCTCCAGACTGTGTGCTTAAGAGCAAATGGCGGCGGTGACGGTAGATGGAGGGAGTGAGGAGCGAAGGTGATGGATGGACGCAGATGGAAAGGAGCGCGGGAAACTGAGCGTGGACGAGAAGCAGGAACACACACAGGCTGCGGAGAAGGACGAGCGAAGGGCGAGGATGTGTGGATTGGGGCGAGGGGAGCAGCAGTCTAGGATCGCGAGCACAACGCCGCGGAGCAGACGACACACCTCCGAGACCGGCACAGAGCGACGCGCGTCGGCAAAGCATGAGAGCACATGGTGTCTTGAATCTTTTTGGACTGCGCCGTTTCTGCGCTCTCAATCCACCCTTCAGCTCAGTTCCATCGCTTGCTTTTGTGCCAGCTTCGTCAGCTTTGTGAATACACAAAAAGAAGCTCAGCGTCGTTGCTTTTGAGTTGGGATGTCACTGCGCAAGGAGCGCCAAGTGTGACAGATTTTGGTGGGTTTGGTGTGCGCAGAGCTTCATGATGAGCGCACACAGCGGGGCTCTGACTGAGACTTGGGGATCGGCCACCCCCACTCGGCTGTCCCGTCGGCCTTTTTCGAAAAGGAAACAAAAGTCCACTGCACCTTGTGACCGCCTCTCACCTGTGCAAAGTTGCTCAGC